TGCATAACGCATGCAGCTAAGTCACTGGAAGGTAGATTTACCCATAACAAAGCACACATGGTTGGTTGGAAGGATGGATGAACGTAGATTTTGATTGTTACTCTTTCTTAACCATCAAGGACGGGCAAAAGGAAGAACCGACAATGGCAGAGACCAAAAAACTCTAAACTTTAGAGTTGAAAGATCATTGATATCAGTATTATGATCAATACAAAAAATTTATCTCTTCAGCCTGCACACCTTAGTTCACTTACAATATGCTCCACAGTTTCGCGTTCTCCCATTTCTATCATGACATTCCAATTCAAGTACCATATGTTCATGTATACTCTAATTTACAAATCTTTCAAACAAACTGAGGCTATGTTAGTTTCACCTACCTTTTTAGTTCAAACAAACACATTTTGATAAGCCTAAAATATAGAGTATAACTATTCGTGATGATCCCTACAAATTGCCAAAAACTAAAGGCACAACACTAAGGAAATTTCATTCTCAACTTTGGCCACCTGAGATAAGAAGCTAATCTGAAATTATACTCATAATAGTCATTTCATAAAAAAACATTTCTTTATATAAAAAAAACAAATTATCTCACATCTCATCAATTACCTTTTCATTTTGATAATGTCATCAGCTACCTTTCCATTACTAACTACAATCTTTTTTACTGATCAACTTTATTTTTTATAGGGCAATGTCTATTTTTTACCCAAACCTTTTTCAGATTCTTTAATTTTAACCAAACCTATAGAAATTCTATTTTTTATCCAAACGTATTATAATTTATCAAAGTTTGGGCATTCATTCTGTTACCGTTACTTATTTCGTCCACGTGAGATGTGGGATTTTGTTTTGTTTTTTGATAATCTTTTTATTAAAAATAGTAAATGATGGTATTCTGACCGCCACGTAGGAAGTCAACTCATTATGGTCATACTTAGTCAGCATTACTAACAGAAAAGTTGACGGAGAGTTAACGTTTGGATAAATTTTAGGAATTCAATAGGTTTGGTTAAAATAAAAGAATCTGAAAAAGGTTTGGGTAAAAAATAGACATTGCCCTTTTTTATAAGACCTTATAAGATCCATTTTTGCTACTAAGTTTTTAAGTTTTGATTCCTAACGTTTTAGAAAAATCCCAAACAAACACACTCTAATATAACTAGCATGACCTGCAACCTACAAACAAAGAAAAGAGAACAGAAAGAGAAAAAAATTGCAACAGGGAGGTACATCTCAAAGACAGAAGCAGATGTAAGCTGACCTGCTCATCATAGTCATTCCGTTCACGTATACTTGTTGCCAATCCCAAAATAAAAGTATCAACAGGGGCTCGGTCCTTTGCCCATCCAGATTCAATTATTTGGCAACTTGTCTTCATCACACTCTCAAACATTGCTCCCTGACAGCTAGCCCAAGTATCAGCCTGGAAATCAAGAGAAGAGGGGGGGGGGGGGGGCATAAGTCAAGAAAATTGGCGACAAATGACAATATTAATGACATGATACTATTAACTCATTATGCTTACTTGTGCACATGCTGTCAGCACAAGGGGTTTAAGGCGAATAAGTAGAACTCGAAGGGGCTGACCACCCCTGCTTACAGCAATTTGCGCAATCCCCGCAAGCAATGAACTAAATAGCTCTTCACAAACTCTCAATTTCCTCCATAAAGATAGCAAACATGCTTCAGCAGCATCTATTAGCAATGCAAGAGTTTCAAGAACCAATCTTTTGGAGGTTTTTCCATCAGCATCAAGAGATGCAAGGCTCTTTATTTTCATTCTAGCTGCAGCTTGGTAAACTGATAGTTTAGCAATCACCCTAGATTTCAATAGCTGCCCCTGTATGTTCCAGTCGCGCTTCCTTATCTAGCCACATAATGAACTGCACCACTTTAGTCCTCCTATCAAGAATGTTATACATCGAGAACATTTACTAAAGCACGAAAGCAACATCCAGGTTATCTATATGCACAAAATATAGCATAGATATTATTTCCCAGATGCAGTTATAATACAATTTTGATAAAATTGAACTAGCATGTCGCTTAACCTTTTACCAAGTTGCCAAATACTAACCAACCAGATGGCTGACACATATGAAGAAAATTCAGCGATTACTCCTTGAAATGCAACAAAATAGGCAGTATGTACTTTGGATGCACGTTGCTTTCTTTCCTTACTTTCCTCAAACTTCTAAAAACATAAATTCGTTCCTATGCCGCCCCTTAAACACAGTGAAGCTCATTTTCTAGAATCTTCTAAAACACACATAATAGTGAGAAAAAAAGAAACAGATGATGGGTGCATACATTGAGTTCTTACCTTTAAAAAAGCCGACAGTGACTGCAGCTGCTTCTTAGCAATGAATCTTACTTGTTCTGAAAGCTTGTTGTCAAGCTTCACATGAGTCAATACATTGGCAATCAACTTGAATGCAATTTCATGCTTCTCCAATCCCTCAACGCTCTCCTCCTCAAACAAAGCCGCTTGCTGCTTAAATAAAACCCCACCGGCATCGTTGAACCCCATGCTCATTCCCATGGTCTCAAACCCACTCTTCCACATCACCCCACTCCCGTTCAGCAATGCTGATGTTGACGACAAGCCACTTAATGAGCCCCCAGACACTTGGCTTAAATCATTAGCAGGACTAGAAACGCCATTGTTACCATGATGATTGACTTTGATTAAGGGGGAGCTCTGGTACGATGAAGTTCCTGAGTTACCACCCGCTTGTTCACCTGATGATACCCCGACCTGATCAAGAAGAGTGGTCACCAGCTTCTCCCCATCAGAAGCCAAAATAGGCGGGAAATTCTGCGTCAAAGCCAGCAGAAAAGCTCTCGAAATGGCCAAACTCTCACTGGCATTGTGATTAACCGCTTCCATAACGACTTCACCTAGAAATCCAGCAATCTCGTCACCAAAATCCACGCACGTTTCCGCCGATTTTACCAAATGGGCCAAGAAATCAGCGTAAAACGCCCCGATCGAGTCGACATTGAACGACTGCGGCCAGAAGGATTGTCGAAACGACGACGGAATTGCGCGGAGAAACTCGAGGACGATGGACTTGGGCCGGAGATCGATGGAAGGGTCGTCGGTGCCCAAGGAGAGGAATCTGGCCACGGCGAGAACCGCATTGAGCTGGGAACGCGAAACCCTAGACGATCCGCCGTGCAGAGCCTCCGGCTGCGGGCAGCGGTTGCATAGCCACGTCAATTTCTCCGCGAATTGCGTCGGGTTCTTGGCAATGAGCTCGCAGAGCTCCATCAACGGGTCCATTGCCTCTGAAACCTAAGGTCCGGAAAACAAAAATTGACGCGAAGCAACAAGCAGAACGGAGAAATGGTTAAAACAAAAAAATTCCCTCAAAATTCTCGAATTCTCTCTGTGAGGCAATCGAAGTCACCGTTGAACCGCAGATTTCAAAGAATGGATGCCAAATGTGAAGCGGGAGAGGCGGGAAGGAGTGGCGGGAAGAGGGGAATTAGGGTTTACAGGAAGCGGGAAACACGATCATCTTCGGCGGAGAAGAGAAGGAAGAGAGAGGAGAAGGGTCGCGGTTGGTCCTGCATTTCTTCTCGTCGCTCTCGCCATTGTTTTTCGCTCTGTTTTTTCTTCTTTTCTTCTCCTCTTTTCTCTTTCTTGAATTAATTTTTCTTTTTTTTTTCTTTTTAATCCCTTCCTTCTTTTTCAATTTTAGTTAATTTTCCGGCTTATTTTTGCCTTCTCACTTCTCGGCGCGTTTCCCACTTTCATCTTTCTCTCTCTAGTCTCTGGCCTCGACGTACGGTCACCGAATGTGTTCAGAATTCCCGATTTCCGACACAGCACCAATAAACTTGCAGTCGTAATTCCTTTTAACAGTCTGGGTCTTGGGCCAAGGCCCATACTAGAACGGACGAGGATAAACACCTACCAGCAAAAGAAAGCCCGGAACAAAAAGGGCAATCCAGTAAGAGAAATCGAACCCAGCTTAATGCGTCCAAAGGTGGCCCAACTATCTTGCCAAACAATCTAATCAAAATATTTGTGGCGGGAAATAGGCAGGTTGGGACGTTGGGTGAGTTTTGATCTCGAATTGACTCACTCGCTTATTAGCAGTTGGGTTGTGTGTTAACCCGTAAAAATAATTATTCAGACCATTAAAAAATTTTACTGACATTTATAATAAATTCGTACAGATTAGTAAGACTATATCAATTTAAAAACTCCCAATTTATCTCATGTGAATCAGTGTAGTATTTGCATAAAAAATTCCAGTACTCCATAAATTGTGTAAAAAAAACTAACACATTTTGCGACTTAATACAATTAATAGTTTATAATATATATGTCAATATATAATGGGTATTACACAACACAATATCCAGCAATAGTAGTCCAAACATATTCTTTATACTCCGCCTTTAGAACTAGATGGTCAGTGTGTAGTGCGGTTAGAAAATATGATGAATATTCGTTAGTATAAGAAACAACATTTTGTCATGTGAAAATATGGTGCGGGTCATTCGTGTGAACCTGAAATCCACCTACCACCCACCCGCATAAAGTGCGGGTAGGAGATTTATCAATCCACAATCTACCCATATGAACCACCCACTGCCTCCAGTTGGGGTTATTTGCTTGTAGATTGATGGCAACCTGCCGATTAGCCACCCGCGTGCCCACCCCTACAAAATATCATCCGTTGTTTGTTTCTTTACAATAAATAATTAAATATCATCAATCGTTATTCACTAATCATACTTAAATTCTCATAATATAAAAACCAAACCGAATCAACAGCAATAATAAAATTCATTTTGTTAAAATTATAGTGAGCCAACTTTATGAAATACTAACTAACAAATTGGTTACTAAACTATCAATAATAAAATTCACTTTCACCATCAACGTCAAGCAATTTATCTATTAATAATCCGAGACTCTAACGACTGAAAACATAAAATTACTGAATTGACTCCAGACTAGCACCATACGTTAGATTCCCCAAAAGCCAAAAACATAGATATCAAACTGTAACTTCCATGTTCCATCAAGTATCATTTCATGCCATTTCCAATTCGCCGAATCGACTGAACACGCGAAGCGCATTTTTGGCCGTCTATTGTTATTTTTTTCCTCCATTGCCGAAGTCCGATCATTCTGCTGTTCTACTATGTGTGCCATATTCCCCGGGAAGTCGGCATCTTCGTCCCTACACTTTGTTTCCTTGTGATCGAATCTCCAGTCCGTTTTCCTCCTCCCTTGTTCTTTCAGTTCCCTTAAGAATCCCAAATAAACCTGGGTTTCTTCTCCCCCAGCCCATCCTTTTGTTACCCTCTACGCAAATCACTACATAGTCTCTGAATGCTCCCTTCTACGTACTGATATATCCCTGTTACTGGTTTTAGCTATTAGGGGTTACTGAGAGTGATATCTGTTCACTTGGGTCTTTCTTCTTTGCTCGGATCAATGGACTCCAAGCAAAAAGTTCGAGGATTTTCCTGCTCGATTCACCAGGTAACTAAGTTCTTCCCTCTAGCATTAAGCTTTTAAGGGCTGGAATATCTGTTAGGTCTGCTGTCGCAATCGGAGCAATGGGGACTTTGACTTATGAACTTACCAAATCCGTCCTGTGTGAAATAGAAATGCTTTCAATAGCTCTTTTTGCAGTATGGAGCGATGGGATTCAATGCTTCTTTTTCTGGGTTGGTTGAGTTAGCTAGCTATTGATGCTTGGAGTTTCTTGGCAATTTGTACAGATTGGGAATCTGGGTCTCCAGCTGCTGTGGAGTTTGGTACACCTACTTATCAGCATAGGTTACTTTGTAGTTGCTGCTGCTGCAGCTGTTGAAAGCTATCTGATCTCCAGTGGGTTGCTAACTCGTTACAAAGTGCTCAACATCAGCAAGCTCAAGTACTTGGCGATCGTGATAGAGAGTGATGATGCTGTTCAAACTTCCAAGGTTGTTCAGCTTTTGAGGTGGCTGGAAGTTATGGGCGTCAAACGAATGTGCCTATACGATGCACAAGGTAAAAAATGGTTGCTGTGTACATAATCTAGTTCGATAGATCTGCAATTCGCCAATCTGAACATGGTGTTGTCCTCATCTGAACATGTTGGATTTGTTTTGTGCATGGTCTTACTGTAGGAGTGCTTAAGAAATCAAAAGCTTCAATAGTGAAGATGTTGGACAATGCAGTTCTCTTTGAGGTAACATCTCTGTTCTACATGTTCTAAACTTTGTTTTGGGAGTCTTTGACTTCCTGAATTGGTCTTGAATCTTGATCACCGAATACTGCCAGCCAGTTAAATTGTCATCCCTGTAAAGTCAAAAACCCAAACTTGATATTAGATGTGATTTGTTTTTCTTTCTAATGTTGTCGTCTTTCATCGGATGATGGATGAGCTACTAATAGCATGAGTCAACTGAAAAAATGTGCTAGTCAACTTCAGTAGTGATGACATATTGCTCTGAACGTGGGTCTTGGTTTTCTTGCAGGAACTTGATGAGAAAGATTTGCTTGAAAAGCCAAAATGTATGGCTCTTGAATTTGCTTCCATGTCTGATGGAAAGGAAGGGGTCGTCAAGGCTGCAAACCTGCTCTTTGCCAAGTATATGGAACTTGGAAACCGTGATGGGCTGGATGATGAGTTTTTTACGGAAGCTCAAGTCGGGGAGGCATTAAGAGCTGTAGGTTTGTTCTACTTCTCTTGAATCATTTTGAGCAGTTGGAAGTATTTGTCTGATTGCTCTATCTGATCATGAATTTTGTACTCTGGAAATGAGATCTTTCTCCTTTCAGGTTGCAAGGGGCCAGAACCTGACCTATTATTAGTTTATGCACCGGTGAGATGCCATCTTGGTTTCCCTGCTTGGAGAACTCGATACACCGAGATAGTGTAAGGAGTTTTGGTTCAGTTATATTTTATGTTCTTTTCTTGTAATGCTGGCTTATAATCTTCAACTCGCACCTACTAGATGAAAAGATATAACACTACAGCATTGAGCCAGCTGCTTTGTTCTCAGAACAACGGAGGTCTCATGTGAAAAAATTTATTCTGTGCAGGAATTTTTGCTTATGTTTTAGTCAGCTAGATGAATATAGGGCTTTATAGGATCGATGTGATTTGTGGAAGTAATGAGGCCATCTGGTCTAAAAGTGCTTCAAGTATTATCCAGCACGGATTACCTTGTTTGTTTCAGTTCATCACAATTTCATACTTCACTCGATTAAATTTCGGTCCGAATTTTTTTGTTTTCTGTTGTTGATACTTCACTCTATTACATTATACTCCATCTGTAGACAAATTGTGTTGAGTGCTGTTGTAACAACTGAATCATTCACGTCATTCGATATTAAACCATCTATGCTTTTGTGTTCCCATCTCTGTGCTTGAAGGGTGCATGCAATGATTTTTATATGAGTTCTGCTTCAGATACATGTATTTTGATGAAATGACGATTATGTTGGTGTATTGCAGCCATATGGGATCATTGAAGTCCATGAGACTTGGCTCCTTGACCAAGGCAATTTACAAGTTCACTAGGGTGCGCCAAAACTACGGTAAGGGTTCTCCTGTCTGTACACTTTGATAATGGCCATTAGATTCGTAAGATCGAAATCTAAAGCTGTTCCATTTGGCCTAACAATGTTTGACAGGGAAATGAGTGGCCAACGCAAGAGGGGAATGGACATTTCCAGCAGAAGACCATGGATGATCTGAAATTGCAGCGAACTCGGGCTCTCGATACAAGCATATTTTTATTGTTCTGTATTCAGCTCTCATAAAGCAGGATTGGCTGTATCATCTGTGTTATACTTGGGAAAAAGAATGAGAAGTCTTCCTACACTCCATGGCGCTATTATTATGCTCCCTATATTTGCTGTAACTTAGTGAAACAGCTGGGGCAAAACTCCTCCTGATGCTCTCTTCATCTATTGCCCTGCCTTTTCTTGGTGCGTGCATGTGTGCTGTAATAATAAAAAATGCACTGAAAAGAAGACTTAATAAAAGGATTTGGCATTGCCCTAGTGCAAACTTACAGCCTCCATTCTGATTCAGGATGAAGAAAATACAATACAATGACATGTTTATCTGCTAACATGATCTGAAGTTCAGGGACAGTGTTTTTTTCAAAGGTATTCTGTGACCTACTTCATACAAAATCCTTCATCTAAGTTCAGTACTCTGTTTCCAGAATGCCATCAATCAACCCGAACTCCATTGCCTGCAATCCACAGAGCAGGCAAGATCACAAAAATCAACTAGCAGGGGCAAGAAAATCTCAGAAGTTCAAATTCAGAGTACAAGTGGTTCCTAATTTCTGTAAATGTCAAATCGTCCAGCTTGGTGCTCGGAATCCTTATCATAGGCTAAGTTCATTATAACATTGAATTCGGAATTGGGCGGGGCAAGTTCTATTTAAAGTGATGGAAGCAGTTATACATTCACTTACTTTCTCCCATTCCGTTTAACAATTCGGAAACCATGGCAATTCAAATCTGACTGGAGTAGTTGTGACAACATACCTCGGATGTAGAGAGGAACCTATCTCTCTCTGTGTACTGTTGCACAGTCTCAAGAGGTTGGCCAGTAAATGCAGCATACATCTTGTCAACTTTCTGCACCGCAAGTGCCAGACATATCAGATTCAATGGAACACAAAGCTTTGAACAGCGAAAACATTCTTTAAACTATATAAGCAGTTTCACAAACGACCTTCCCTCAGCCAAGAAGAAGATTCCATTGTTAAGTCTACTTCAAGCACTTGGAACGAACTGATAGTTTATTTTCTCAGCTTTCTAGGAGATCAGTGTGCATAAAATAAATTCTAGAGACAGGGAGAGAAAGTTACATGGCGAGATTGAACAGCTTCATTCACTTGTCGCCTCACATCCTCCACATGACCCTGCATGAATGAGTTTAAACATAAATTAAACAATATCTAAGATCATCTAGGTGTCCCAAAGTAACTCGAAACTACGATTACGGTTTGTAACATGATAACTACAATTACGGTCAGCACATGCTACACAGATAGCAGTAGAATGATCCGTCAGCTGTTATGCCACACAGATGAAATCAAGTATCAACCATTCCAATAATAACATATTCTGCTTCCTGATGATTGCACCTTATATTACATTCAGATACTGGCAAACAAACACAAGTTTTCCTCAATTAATTTATCTCTAAGCTGTAAATCGCAAACAAAATCGAGAATCAACCATTTCTGACTTACCCCGCATCCACTCTGTGGTTGATGTATCATTATTCGGGAATTAGGCATTGCATACCGCATTCCCTTCTCTCCACCAGCAAGAAGAAGAGCTCCTTGGCTTGCAGCTACTCCGAAACATACAGTGCCAACTTTAGGCTTTATCTGAAAACATTACGAGCATTGTTAAGAACAATCAACCATTGTTAAAGAACAACCAACATGATAACTTGATGCAAGACTTTGAATATAAAACATGCATTATCCAAGACACCGATACCATAACTAATACACACTACTTGAATGATACTATTACAACCAATTTCAGTTCAGGGAAATAAAAGTTGAAATTCACCAATGAAATCAAGAGAAATTTAGGAGAGAATAGAAGCCGAAACAATAAATTACCCAGGACATGCAGTCATAGATTGCCAACACGGAGTATGTACTTCCACCAGGGCAGTTCAGATAGACCTGACAAAGTAAAGGCGAGCAAACCATTAGAACTTAAGCTAGCAATTGGAGTTGGTAACCATAAACAAAATCCCCAAAAGAAAAAGGAACATTGTACATTAAAAACATATGCACACCATAATATCTGCCTTCTCGTCAATAGTCGCTAGAGTCACAAGCTGCGATATGACACGCTGAGCAACTCGTGAATTGACTGGCTGGCCAATGAAGATAATCCGGTTTCGAAACAACACAGACAACAGATCCAAAGCTCCTCCAGGTGTAATCACTGCTGGCATTATGGGAGGGTTACCCTTCTTGCCATCATCCTCGGCAGACCTGCATACGGATGGTATTATGACTCTCATCAACCTAACTTCAGTAGTCTATTGATTCCTAATCCAATCCTGAGTCATTTAAGCACCCTATATAGTCATTTAGTAAACAGAAAACCACTCATTCCTGAAAACTTATGATCACAATGCAAACCAGTCACAATTGAAAGATAGAATAAAACCAGTGAAGCTGCTAGTGATTTTAGTTTCTCAAAGCAGTCATATTGATTCTGATTCCTAACTAAAACTTGAGCAACAGCTCTATCCCTCTGCCATGAATCCGATGAGGTGAAACTAATACATTAACCGAAAGTGATTCTCAAAGTCGAGAACTTCACAATCTACTTGAATAAGCATCGTGATTGGTAGCGTCCCAAATGTCTAACTGAAATATATGCTCATGAAACCAAACTTCCAGTAAGAACAACAGTGTACAGAGTAGAGAAAAAACCTGAGACTAGAACCATAGATAGCCTGCTCGTCTATATCTAAAGGCAACCCAAAAGCATTCTTCGATATTCCTGGACAAAGGCACAAGTGCCTTGCAGCAACTCAGTTACTCAATCCAATACACACAGTATGTAACATTAGCTGAACCAATTCAACAAAAACCCGGGATGCTCAGAAGAATAAGCCCAAATGGAACACAATTCAAATTTCTCGAAACCTCACCATTTGACAAAGAATCGCCGTAGGGACGAGGCAAAGCGGAAGCTACGAGTTTTGTGCCCAAGTTTCTGCGAGGGATTCCCACGGAAGGAGAGCAAGATTGACCGTGACAAGGAGGAGTTGAAGAAGAGCAAGGAGATAGGGAGATGCGGAGAGGAGCTGAAAGGCTGGGTGAGGCTGCCATCTCCGAAATCTGAAAGAACGAGAAGATCTTCTTCGAGAATTGGCGAAGAATGAAGATTGTAACAACAACTCTAGACTACTATCGTCACTCGTCGTCAGTTTATCGCGTTTCTCTTTCGGTATGTGAGAAGCCAAACGTTTCGGGTTTCGCGTTTGCCCAGGCCCAACAAGGTGGGCTTTTTTCCCCAAGCAAATTTAACCACAGATTCTGATGAGCATCCTTCAGCGTTGACAGCCCGCCTGGATTTCAGCCCACACGAATAAATCCTAGCGGCGGGTGGGTAAAGGTTCGTTCCGGATCGGACCAGACCAAATTCATCAGAACTGCGGTTTAATAGCAAAAAAACATCTTAGAACTAATGACCAGATCAATAGTGTATATATATTCGATCCAATTTGATTCAGTTTGATTTGTTCGGAAATGTCAATTCAGTTCATTTTTCTCCGGTATTTATCATGGGACTAATGATCGGATCAGAGCGTCGGACCCACTTACAAGAATGGATTGGCAATGGACAAACCTTAAATCCAAAATTTCAACAAAACACTTGTACAGCCTTTTATTTTAGCGTTGGTAGTATTTGGATTGGAAATAATTTGACAATCCTTAAAAGATTTTAGTCTATCGTTGAATACCCTTCATGAAATTTCGGAATCTGTCATTGTCGGACCACTTTATATTAGGTTCGATACAATCCACGCCAAGCGACCGTTTAATCTGGTACCGTACAATACAGACCAAACCGTTACACACACCCCTACTTATCAATAGAAGGTTGAACTTCAAACCGAAAAATGAAGGGAGTAGAGGAAGTCAAACCGCACTTGGTCCGACCACCAATTTACCGAAAATGAAGGGAGTAGAGGAACTCAAATCGACTGGTTTCGAATCCACCCAAATTGTAGGTGAATTTTGTATAAAATGTTGATCTAACGGCTGCAGCCATTGTTGATATGTATCGAATTTCTGAATTAACTTGGGTCACTTTTCTGAGTGCGGTGTGGATTGCGTTATCCTGCCGCGCCACGAAGATCCATCAATCATATCCATGAACGGATAGGCGTGGAGGTCGGTAGATAGCAGACATTTTGACCAAAACAAATTAAGAAACCAGCAATTTTTCAGTGGAAAAATGAAATGTCACCTAACTCCTTTTTTTCTGGATGTATGCATGATTCGGATCAACAGAGAGAGTTGCCCTTTCAATGTTCCCGTTGACTTTCGTACTCGGCCAGTATTAAATTGAACTTGTTGGCTTGCGGTTTGCTGGGTGCACATGTAAAAGAAGAGTAACAAGAGACAAACAACATCAGTAGTGGGATCATGCCAACACGAACAGTTGACTTTTTTAACACAAACATCATGCTTCTTTCGAGCTCGTTTCTAATCTTCTCTAACAATTTGAATTGTCATTGGTGAGATAAATATACGGCAGTTTATTCTTATTTCGAACCCTTTCATCGTATATAACAAAATCAAATTTTAAAACTTTTGTTATTAATGGGTGTAAGAGTGGCGGTTAAAATTCATACACGGACCTCCTCCAAGGGCTCGATCTATATTGAGATAACTAATGATCTGTCCTTGAGGGGTCACATATTCAGGTCTTCACGACCCTCAATGTTTACCGTTGACTTAAAAAACACATGGTATATAAGACATGTACAAATTTCAAGTCCACGATCATACTTTCGTTAAAAATAACATATAAACAAACTGATCAAAATCTCCACATCCAAACCGAACGTCTCGATAAATTTGAACCACTTTCTTTCCACCACTATTTGTCTATTTTCTCACATTCAATACAAGGGGTTTTCTTTGCTTCTAAATGCACACATATATCCGATTATAATAAATATCCTACAGAAAAAGAAAAAAAGAACAACATGCAGTACAAAAACACGACGATCTGACCAGCTCCAGAATATTTATTTTAATCAACTAAGCAGCTGGGTAGCTGGCTGGCCGGTGGTCCGGCCGGTCTAACCGCCATGTGATTGTGTGGCGTGATAAATGATGGCGGTGGTCTGGGTGTCGAAGTTCCTCATGAACCGGTTTATTGTCACCTTCTTCTCGGCGGCGGCGGCGGCGTGGTCGTCGTTGCCGGCGGCGAGCAGCTCTTGGATGGGTTTGGGAAGAGGCTCGTCCTTCATCACTTTCTTCCAGTATTCTTCCGCCGACTCTTTCCTTATAGCATCGTTCACCCTGAAACTAGCCTGCCCAACAAATTACATATATCATCAGATCCAGGGGAAGAAAGAAAGAAAGAAAGAAAGACACAAAAACGAAAGATTAATTATCGTTAATCGGGTTTAGCTAGTTAATTAATTACCAGTAGGAGGCAGAGGAGAAGGCAAAGAACAAGGCTGGATTTCATGGCTGCCTAGTAGTCTCTATGGTTTTGTTTGTTGAGGTGGCTGGGGGAGTATTCAACTTTGGTGTCCATTGCTTATTTATAATGGTAATGGAAGGTGATGGAAGTTATTATTATATTTTTTTCTAAAAAAAACAAAATGGTATTATTATTATTTTTTTTCTAAAAAACAAATTTGGTATTTTTATTATTATTATTATTATTATTATATTTTTTCTAAAAAAACAAATTGGTATTATTATTATATTTCTAGAAATGAAAAAAGGTATTTAGCATTATAAATTGAGCAGCAGGCTGCAACAGCCAGCCAATGCTTTATTTAGTATTACTATTCTTACAGAAGTCAGTGGATTGATATATTGATTAAGCCATTATTTTGCTCAAGTTGGTTCATCGTGAACAAATTAGTAAAAAAAAAAAAAAAATTGGTTTGGATTAATTAAATGAAAACGAGACAATTTGAACAATTGTTTCATTTTATAAGATAAAACAAGTCATTTAAAACGAAATAATTTGAATTATCCGTCCTGTCTCATATATTATAATTCGCCTCAAAACAAGTTAATCAAAATTCGTTAGGAAAATTTGATTCATCCAAATTTTTATGTTACTGTTAATATGATCCAATTGTCTCAAAACGTACAAGACAATTTTGCTTCATTTATGAGATGTCTGAGTCCGTGATAATCAACGACATCGTGTACGTACTATCTGATATTATTATTTTCCTTAGCTCATATGTTATTGTTTTTCTTGAAAGATGAAAGGATAAGCAAAATGTCACAATTAACTCATATCATGTAACGTTGGGCTGCCTGTATACTCAGACGACGCATAAGATATACAAAGATAATTAGCGAAACAATGATGGATTAAGTAATTAACACGGGAAGTTGACAAAAAGAGATGATGAAGTCACATGTTAATTAATAAGAGATGCCAATTGTCTGTCCTAGGTTAATCTATTCGTTAATTATCTGTCCTTACAATTGCACAGGGAACCAATTTCTGGGATCGTTAGGTTTCAGGGTTGACACGCAAAGAGAAGATGCCGCGAGTACATATTAATGGGGGAGATTATAAACTAATAATTAAGGAATAGAAAGGGACAAATATGAATTCCAATTTGGTGTTAATCGTTTTTACATAGTAAAATTGCCTACCACAATCTTGGTAGTGAATTGGCACTTGATTGAGGATCATGACAAGTCATTTTTTTTTTAATAAGGGTGATATAGATTGACTTTTATAATTAGTTGTTACTGAGACGATTTGAACCTGTATCCCTCATATATTCAAGACTAGGGGTGTTAGCAATCATGGCAGGTCATGCCGGTTGAGCCTTGTAGGAAGCCTTGTATTTTTTTGAATTCATTGTTGAAAGACAGGCGATAATCTTCATAGTGAATTGACACCCGATCGAGGTTCTGATAAGTCATTTGAGTTGTAGAATGTCTCAAACTTGCTCCTGACCATCATTGACTACTAGGACTTGAAATATGCAAAGGAAACACAACCTAGCATAAAAATGCCCAACGAGAGGAAAGTTAAGAAGCAAGTGGCTATAAATGTCTGACTTAGGAAGCAAGTTAAGACGTTGTATATAGCTAAGAATACATATGTGTCTTGTATTTGTGAGTATGCATAAGGTGCACGTGATGCAAGTGTGGTTATTAAGAAAGAAGTGCGAAGCAAATTTGAGATGATACAGAAAGCTCGAATGCTATTCAACATAGTTGGAGGCATGAAAGAGTATGTTCGATATGTAGTTTGTGTGACTTTCAACTTTATCATACTAATTAAAAGAGTATTAATACATGGCGAATGGGAAGTTTGACTTTGATATTTTGGAATTTTTGAAACTCAGGAATGATAATTAGAATAATTTCGTCAAATGATCTCATAATAAAGGAACATTTTTTTTTTAAGTCAACTCATCACCAAATATATTGGCCATTAAACATGGTCAATACTCGATCAATACGCTTATCTCTCACACGTGGGGTCGGATACTATGCTAACCCCTAAAGGGGTAGTGATTTTCGACACCCCCTTTATGATTGGCCAATTTTATTTCCAATCATTGGCAAGTATTAATTAAACTGGTTTTTTATTTTTTTTAATCTTGTAATTTGGGGTCTCTCACCCACATTGGAAAAGGAAAGAATATGGGGAATCAGAAAAAAGCTCCCCCCCCAAATGTGCAATTAATTGCCTTTTTTTCTTCCTTTCGTCTCCTTCTCTCTCCATTTGGGCCCTCTTTCCATTTTGATTTCATTTTAACCAGAACCCTCCTCTACTCTGAAACGACCAAAACCCTCCAGCGCCTTCCCCCACCACCATCCTCCTATCTCCAGCTGCCGCCATCCTGGGATCGCCTCTGACCTACCAATGGAGTGGTACGTGTACCAGTGGAGTGGTATTTGTATCATTGAAGTGGTACTGCATTGTTGCTCCGTTATTGTTTATCATTGTTATGAAAAATATCATTGCACTGGTATTGTTCTCACTCTAACCTACCTTGTGGATTGCTCGCACCAGTGGAGTGGTACGTGTACCAGTGGAGTGGTACGTGTACCAGTGGAGTGGTACGTGTAATTAATGTACCAGTGAGAGAAATTAATTATGTAATTAATGGGGGTGATTTCGTTTTTCCCCAGATTCTTTCTCTTTTCCAATGTGGTGAGAGACCCCAAATTACAAGATTAAAAAAAATAAAAAACCAGTTTAATTAATACATGCCAATGATTGGAAATAAAATTGGCCAATCATAAAGGGGGTGTCAAAAATCACTACCCCTTTAGGGGTAGTCAAGCTAACCGATCCCCTCACACGTACACTACTCGAGCTTTGACATGAATTGTTTATCTATCATGATTAGTTTGGTGACCGGTGTTAGTTTCATCACTTTCTCCAATATTTTATCTCAAACAAGATTACAACAATTAACAACAATTAACTATAGACATAAAGGTTTTTTTTACTTTAGTTATTATCGGTTAAACCGATATCAAATTTATGGTACGAATTTTGTATCCGTCCCATGACACGGTACCGTTTTGAGGTATTCCGAATTTCAGATACGAAATAAAACAAAAGCAAACGTAAACATAACGATTTGTCACCAATATATCTCCCCCACTACATAGAAAACCAGCCAAAAAGCAGTAAAATTCGTACCATAAATTTGGGAACTCAGTCTACTATCACTGCTTGGCCAGGCTTGCAGGTTTTTCATTTGACAGATTTGGGTTCGGATCATCGTATGATTTTGCTGCAGTTACAGCCGGTGGCAGCTACCACTAAGGCTACTTTTCATTTTGATTCTCGTTGGGTGACCAATGAAGAGGCTGTAGCAATTGTGGCTTATTTATGGCCTCAGCCGGTTAGTGGGTCTAGGCAATATCAACTATTCATTAAATTGAAGAAATTGCGTCATGTTCTGTTTGGATGGGCTTCGACGGGGACTAGTAACTCTGCTCGTAGGATTCGTGAATTGGAAAATGCAATAGCTATGGAGCGGGAACATCCGATGGTTAATTGGGATACTATTCATCAATTTGAATTGCAGCTTTCTGATGCTTGGTTACAGGAAGAAATCTTTTGGCAACAAAAGAGCAGAATTCAATGGCTACGAAAGGGGGACTCCAACACCCACTTCTTTCATCTCACTACCATTCAGAGAAGGCGCAAGAACCGCATCCTCGGTTTGTCAGATGATCTTGGCAATATGCATACAGATGAGCAAGTCAAAGGACAAATTGCAGTGGCTTACTTTCAGCAGCAGTTTCGGTCTGAGTCTCCTGATGTTGATGCTTACCTGGATGCTCTGGGGGTCATGCCTTCAGTTACGCCAGAGATGAATGTGCTGCTGTCCGCTCCGATTACTGAAGAGGAGATCAAAACTGCTGCTTTTGGCATAGGTGCATTCCAAGCTCCGGGACCAGATGGTTTTACAGGTATTTTCTTCCAAACCTTTTGGGATATTGTAGGTGAGTCTGTCACTGCAGCTGTGTTTGAATTCTTTTCCTCAGGACATCTTCTTCCTAACTTCAACCACACATGGATTACTTTGATTCCAAAAGTTGCTAATGCTGATACTATGCGCCAAATGCGTCCAATCGGGTTATGTCAGATGCCTTATAAGATTGTTTCTAAGATTTTAACTAGTAGATTAAGACGCATCCTCCCTTCTGTAGTGGGGCCGTACCAAAATGGTTTTGTGAAAGGCCGGCTGATTACAGATAATATCTTATTGGCTCAAGAAGTTATGCAATTTTTAAAGACTAAGACTAAAGGTCGAGATAAGTGGATGGCTCTCAAACTAGATATGGAAAAAGCCTATGATCGGGTAGAATGGTCATTCTTGTTTGGAATTATGAGGCGGTTAGGTTTTTGTGATCAATGGCTCTTATGGTTGCAGGCGTGTGTTACTTCTGTCACTTTTTCTGTTCTTATTAATGGCTCTCCTCATGGTTATTTTCACTCACACCGGGGTCTTCGACAGGGAGATCCGCTCTCTCCTCTTCTTTTTGCTCTTTATACGGAGGCCTTTTCTTCCTTAATTCAAGTTGCAGTTACTAATCACTCTTTGCATGCGTTGCAGATTCACGGTCGTTGTCCAGCTATCGCTCATCTCTTTTTTGCAGATGATGCCTATTTATTCTTACGTGCCTCCATTCCAGAATGCACCCAACTCCTTTGTCTCCTTGAGGATTACCAAGTTGTTAGTGGCCAGAAAGTCAATTTGCAGAAGTCTGCTTGCTCATTTAGTTCCAATGTTTTGCCAGAAGAGGCTGAGGATATCACTTCTAAGCTAGGGGTTGCTGCCATTGGTCCTCATGATCGCTATCTCGGGTTGCCTTCACAGATTGGTCGTTCCAAACAGAAAACCTTCCGTTTCATTGAGGATTGCCTTACTCAACGACTTCAACAATGGAGATCAAAAGCTATGACGCTTGCAGCTAAAGAGACTATTATAAAGTCGGTGGCTTCAGCTCTTCCCTTGTTTGCCATGTCGAGTTTTCGCCTTCCATCTACTCTTTGTCATCGGTTGAATAGCCATGTCTCCAGATTCTGGTGGGCTCAGCAAGATAAGGAGACTGGTATGCGTTGGGTTTCATGGCGAGCTCTTTGTCGGCATAAGTTGGATGGTGGCCTATCTTTTCGTGATTTTGACAGTACCAATGTGGCTCTATTGGCGAAACAAGCATGGCGTATTCTCAAGAATCCGGGAAGCATTCTAGCTCAAACGTATAAAGGGAGGTATTTTCCCCATACGTCTTTCCTTTCAGCTTCGCCAGGACATTGGCCATCTGGGGCTTGGCAGGGGATACTTGTGGGCAGGGGGTTGCTCCTCCAAGGGCTAAGGTGGCAAATTGGATCGGGTGACTCGGTGCATATCACAGATGACGTTTGGATCCCAACAACTCCGCCGTCAAGACCTCAACTCTTGTCCACTGCTCATCTTTCCTTTCAGTTTGTCTCTTCTCTCATTGATCATACCACTGGTTCGTGGAAGATTCCTTTGTTATTGAACTTGTTTGATGCAGCCACTGTTCAGGTGATCTGCTCGATCCCTCTTCCTATTTTTCCTGTCCCAGATAAGCTCATCTGGCACTATGAGACGTCAGGTGAGTATTCTGTTAAATCTGGGTATGGATTAGCTTCTGCAGCATTTGTTCAGGACACCCCTATGATACCTTCCTGCTTTGATGCCAAATCTTGGAAAATGTTGTGGTCTCTTCCTCTTCCCCGTAAGCTTGCCTTTTTTCTGTGGAGACTTATTAAGGGTTATCTACCCCTACGTGAGGTCTTGCTAGAGAAAAACATTATTACTGATGCTCCTTGCCCAGTTTGTGTTGATGAAGTTGAATCATTTTCTCATTGTTTTCTTCATTGTCGTGTCGCTACTGCCATGTGGTTTGCCGCTGGTCTTGGTCCAATTTGGTTACATTTTTGTAGTTGCTCCTTTGTTGTTGGTTGGCATTGGCTACTTATGGATGCAGGGTTGACTAAGCCGGATGTGGCAAAAGTTGTTTTTCTCTGTTGGCGAATCTGGAAGGCGAGATGTTGGGCTGCCTACGATGATACTTTGTTCCAAACTTCAGTTTTATTGCGACAATTTTCAGAACAGTTACAGGAATGGAATGCGGCTCAAGTTACTTCTACTCCCTATAACCATGTGGATAGAGGATTTCTTCGAGTTTCCTCACACCTTCGACCACCTGATGTTCCCACTAATATGGTTCTGGTGCACTTTGATGGTGCCATTAATATTTTGAATGGAGGTGCAATTGGTTTTGTTGGATTTGCAGGGGATCATTGCGTTGCGTTTGCCTTTGGAAAGTTTTATGATTTTGTTGTGGATCCATTTCTCATAGAACTCCTGGCTTTGAGGGATGCAATTCGTTGGTGTTTGGCTCACTCCCATTTTAATGTCCTCTTTTGTGGTGATGCACAGGTAGTTATCCAGAAAATTATTGCCAAGGACTCGTCACATGCATTCGGTGGATCCCTCTTAAAGGAGGTTCAGGTTCTTAGCACTTCGTTCCAGCATGCGATGTTTTCTTTTGTTCCGCGTAGGTATAATAGGGCTGCTCATCTTGTGGCAAAGCAAGCCCTCTTGTTGATGGTTCGGTCTTTGATTGACCATCATTCGTTCCTTTTATCCGTGTTATAAAGTTATATTGTATCTAGCGAGGAAGCTATAGTATTAAAAAAAAGAAGAACATGTCGACAAAATAAGAGATGGTGTTGATTGTTTATATTATGAGAAGAGGAACGTGTATATAATCAATGTTAGTGTAGTGTTTAATGTTATTTGTGTGAAGTATGATTTTTTAAATTTTCATTCTTGTTTTGATGTAAGCATGTTTCTGATAAGCAGGTGTTTCTGAGCTTGCGTTTCTAGTTGGCGGCTCTAACTTTTAGTGGTGAAGTCATTAGTTCGATTGATTATTTTCCTTTTTGTTCTTGGTTTCTGCTTCTACTAAACTGGTTCCTAGAGCTAGTAATCATGTGTAGACCTTAGTTGGCTTAGTGGTTTCTTTATTCTCTTCAGGGTTTTGCAGCGGCTTGTAATGCGCCCTTCTGGTCATATATCATAACCAGAAAGATTGATGTGGTCTTCTTACCTCTTTTTTTCTAGACTCAAAATTGTTTTGTTTAGGGAGTTCCTGAAATTAAGGCTTTTGAGTGCTTGGGTGCTTTTTACAAGGTTACTTGTTTGGTTTGCCCTTTTAGGGCCTTCTTTGTTTGCCCATTTTGTAGGTGGCAATTCAAGGATGGATGTTTCAAAACAGAATGCTTTTGTAGGTCATTTTGATTTCGACAGACCTAATCAGGGTGTCTTTTGGTGTTGTTATCGCGCTTGCTTTTGGTGGGGCATTCTCAGTGCCAGGATACTTGCAATGGGACTTCACGGCAGGAGAGCTTTGATCAAGCTTGGAGCTACACAGTGGTGTGCGATTTTGTTTTTTTTTAATTTTGCAGACTTGCAATGGGACTTCACTTCACGGTGGGAGAGCTTTGATCAAGCTGTAACCTCAACTGTGGAGGTTTACAAGGGTGACTCTTTCTGCCAGAACGGCAAAGATTTGCTTCTCTGCTTCGGTTTCAGCATGGTTAGTTCCTTGATTCTTACCTTTACAGGATAAGAATTTTGGATACTGCCTATGCTGTATAGGTATTTAAGAGCTGCCCATTGCGTGGCGAAAAAGGCTCTCTTATCGATGATTCGGCTATTTGTCGATCGTCGTCCCTTCCTCTTTTTGGTTTATTTGGGTTGCCCGAAAAGGCTTCCAATTCGTATCTATTTGTTCCCCTCGGGAATATCTTTGACAAAAAAAAAAAAAAAAAAAGAAATAAAACAAAAGCAAACGTAAAAATCTATTTTTCTGTGGAACAGAACCCTCGGTCACTCCGTATCTGATTGACCTTCGCTTCAGCAGTCTTCTTCTCTGTTGTAGACATCTCCAGTTCCCCAGGAGCAGACGGCAGAGTAAGAAAGCGCGACGGAGACGTCGAACACCCGCGCGGCCGACGGCAGCCTTCCTAAGCTCTGCTGCTAGACGAGCTGCCTCAGATTGACGTCCGGCTGCTTGCTCAGACTCAGAGTGACGCGAGCTTCAGACTTTTGAGCCCGAAACCTTGATTGGATCAAGACACGGGCGCGATCTCTGATCTATTTCGTTGCTTATTCGCGAGTCAGGTGAAGATTCCTTAATTTGATTCTTAATTTTCCCTTCAGAGCACAAACTTGGGAAGCCTAGGGTTCTCTCCTTCGGAATTCCACAAGAATGTAGATTAGTGGTTGATTGATTAGTTGCAGTTGCGTTTCTGAAATATGACAACCAGCTGCTTCAGTCTCTAGATCTGTTTAGCTAATGAATTGAGGAGGATCTGTGTAATTTCTCCTAATAACTACTTCAAAACTCCTACCGTCACTCCACATGTCCACGTTCTGTGGATAGCATGAGAAACATGCCACATTCCTTTGACTAACAGTGGATTAGTTGGGAGTTGCTTGCAGGAGACAGACTTTAGGGATCTAATAGGTTCAAGGCTGAATTGTGATGGACAAGGGAAAAGCAATTATGGGTTCTGGCCGAAGGTGGGCTGTGGATTTCAGCGATAATTCCCTAGCGCCTTCCTCACGCGACATCCCCGATCCTCCGGGTTTCTCCCGCGCATCCCAAGAACAGGTTTCTTTGTTTCCCCTCATTTTCCAGTGCTATGCCAGTTCTTTATGTTCTGTATTCAAGGGCGTTGTTGATATTGGTGGACTGGTTTCAGGACGATTCTACTGTTACCAAGCAAAAGAAGGAGGCAGAAGCTAATTGGAAGGCCCAGGTTGGTTATTAGGTTCATCTGGAATTGGTTAAGTCTTGGGTAGGATTTTGTAAGAAACTATCTCATGGCGGAGTTCCTACTGTGTGCATTGTCCGTGAAGTTGAGTTCTAGATTTGGGTTTAAGATGGTAGATTTTGTGGAGTACTACCTATAACAGTTACTGTGAATAAGGACATTGCTTACTCCCCACACTATATGTGATACTATCCCTCAAGTTAACAAAATCTTAACCTTTAATGTAATGCGCAGAAAGCTTGGGAAGTGGCACAAGCACCTTTCAAGAATTTGCTAATGATGGGCTTCATGATGTGGATGGCTGGAAATACGGTGCACCTTTTCAGCATTGGTATTACGTTCTCGGCACTTTGGCAACCATTAAGCGCTCTTCAAGGGGTTGGAAAGGGTAAGCGAGCAATATTATGGTTCTACAATTTGTTGCTTCCTTTATTACACCTCCTTTCCTAGTTATATAATTTATTGGAATTACTCTAGTGACTTATATTTCTTTGTCTCCCAACTCAGACTAGTTTTAGAGATGTCAAAGAAACATGGTTATGTATGTTTGAATTCGTATGAAGTCGATGTAGTATGCCCCAGCTGGGATCTTGACATTCATATCAAAGACCTTTGATATAACCTTAAAAAGCTTGTTTTGTGTTTTTCTCTACATAAAGCCTAGTTGTTTACTTTGGAATTGTGCTCAGATAAAATGTTACCTAGTTTAGTTGTTATCATGATGATAATCTCTATTAATCATGCTTGAAAGCGCTTGTAATATGTTACTATCTCTTTATGAGGTTAACCTTTTCCCCATTCTGTCTACAGTCTTTGAGCCATACAAGGACAACAAAGTTGACCTCCTTGCGCCTAAGTTAGTATTCATTGCCCTAAATTTAGGGGCTATGATTCTGGGTGTTTGGAAGGTGAGACTTGTTTCTAGCAAATTGTCTTTGTAAAATTGCAAATGTGTTCCTGTTTGATCCCAACGCTACCATGCTGAGACGCTTTTTTGTCATGGCAGCTTAACACATTAGGTCTTCTGCCAACACATGCATCAGATTGGGTTTCTTCTCTACCGCCTGCTCAGGTTCAATTCTCATCCCAACTGTTTCATTTGCAAACTCTATATAAGCTTATATAGAACGGAAAAGAACTTGAAAGCCAACTTAAAAATCTTGTTCTTTGAATGCGACAGCTTTCGGTGTGTGAAATTTAAAGGGAAACTCACTAACTTTCACCAAGTAGACCCCTTCTTGTTGATTTGTTATGCTTGTGTACAGTGTACCTATACCAAGCTAACTGGGCCGTCGTTTTAGGGTATGAGTATAGAAATAATCACACTCTTGAATGCATGTGTTGTCTGAGAATATGTACCCAGTAGGCCAGTACATGGCCTTAAGCCCTTCACAGTTCACAGACATTATTCTGTGGTTGTTCACCGACGAGTGACATAAGAATATGTAGTGAATAGCTATGTCATGTTGATCTATCAGCATATGAATTGCACTCAACCTTCATTGATTCCACACTTGGTTCTTGGAGAACATTATTTCTTCTGTTCTTGTCCTTACTAATGGAGGTTGCAACACTTGTTGTCTAATTTGCAGGAGGTTGAATACTCTGGTGGAGGCATTGCATTCCATTAAGCCTTTTTTCCACTCTCTAATTAGCAAGAAAGAACTTTGGACGTTACCGTTGTGGTACCCTAAATTCGAGCCCGGCGTTGTGATGAAACTAGACAACATTCTATCTCCAGTCATGTTAGTTTTTACAGTTGGCACTGGGTAATGTGTCTCTGGGATGTTACTATTTCTGTACATGAATTGCCTGAAATCGAAACATTTTTGTTCCATTTAGGGTTGTTTCATGTTTGGAAGTATAAACATACCTTACAACATTATCACCATCTTCTCCAATCTCTTTCCCTAGCTCACTGGACAATCAGATCAGACACACTTTCGTGGTCGTTGCGGATGCGGCCGAACCTACTCTCACTCAGCCATCTCGCTGATCGCCATTGTTGTCTTTGAGCTCAATCGTTGCTCTTGTACACTGACTGAACATAATCGATAAACATTATTAAGTGACCATTGAATTTTAACCCCAAAGGCTAAAACTGCAAGTGTTTTTAGCATTCCGGTTCAATCAGTCCAAACAACCAAAGTTACCGGTCAAACCGGATGAACCCCACTGACACCGTGTCACGATTGATGGTGGCAAATGGCAATCGAGTAATTTCTGTTCCTTCGAACTATTACGGCGCCGTTCTAGCTTTCCAGAGAAAAAGAAAGAAGAAAGAAAACAATGGAGGAAAAAGCGCGGAACCCTCGGCCGCTTTAAACCAGACCTTTTCAGTTGAGCAGCAGCCTCCGACGTCGCCTCTTTCCAGGGAACAGAGAGCAGCGGAGAGGGAGAGCCCGCCGGGGACGGCGAACAACGGCGAGATATTGTGCCACTCGATTTGAACGATGATTTCGGAGAATCTAGTGATGATGAAGAACATCCAGTTTTGGAAGATGAGGTTCAGTTCTCTTCTCTTGTAGTATACTATTGGTTCCTACTGTCACTTAGGTTTAGTTTAAGCTTCTTGGTGTGGCATGACTATGCTTTTAATAATAAAGTATTAGTTAATCCACTTTGATCATATTCTTAATTAAGTAATTTAACTCTATTGGTGGGTTAAGGATAAACGTGTGAAATTTGGGGCCAAAGATGTGGCGTAAAACAAATTACATACAACAGTACTATTCATACATCAACAATAGAATGGAAACTGAAAAGGAAACCAAAATTGAATAAAGTTCAGGTCGTGATTGATTAGCCGGCACCGGCGGAACAATCGCCGGCGGCCAGGCTTCACCGGCGCATGTTTTCGTCAGAAACTCTAGCGCCGGAACTAGCACTACTAGTAGCACCAGAATGGGTCTTGAATCTCCTGAAGAAGCAACCACCGCCAGCCGACTTCCCACCGGCGCCATTGTCGTTCGACTTGTCACCGATAGTATCTCTATTTTCCATCTTCGCATCATCATCGTCACTGTGCTTAGCAGTAGCAGCGGCTGCTTCCTGGCGGTCAAGCTTCTCCCTGTAGATCTTTCTCTGCACGTAAGCTTCCGCCAGCCCACTCGTGCCTATACCCGCCATGTATGTGCTAGCTGCCTGCCTGCCTGCTGCTGCTCAAAAGATCGATCTCTCGCCGCGTTTCGGAGAAGAGAAACTCGATGGAGGAGTAGAGGTTTAACGAGGGAGAGCGTTACTGAGGAAGAAAAGAAAGGGGGGTTTTGTGGGACTTTATAGGCGGATGAGATTGCGTGGGAAACAAGCAACGCAGCAACTTCCATAGTCCGATGGCTTTTTCCTTATTGACTTGTCGTCTGGTGCATTTATTTGCTGAGTATTGTTAGTCCACTTATGTTCTTTTCTACGTTTGAAAATGTGGGGTGGTCGTCTCGTCCCTTTCCCATGCCCTTTCTCGCCCCGCTAATTGCTGTGAACCTCGTTAATTAGTTTAGACATTGAAGATGAAATTGCTTGAGCTGCAAGCAATAGCAATTGGAGCCCATGACGTAGGCAAAGATGTGGCAACGAGGCAATAAACCCAGAGTTTACAAGAGAGACTAGGATTTTTTTCTTTGTTGATTCATCGGAGTCTTAGTGAAAACCGAGAGGGAGCAAGGTTGAGTGTCAACTGTCAAGTGTAAATAATTACTTTCTTCGCTTTTGAGGTTGTTTTTCGAATAGAAAATTAAGATGCCTCTAAAGTAATACGTGAAGTCCTGTTAAAATCTCCTAAGTTTGTAGTTTGACTTCATTAGTTCTTGTTTTGGTGGGCGTAAAATGGTTAGAGATTGCTACTTGTTCTTCTATTGACTGTTATTTCCCATGTTGTGAAAATTGGATTATAGTTCCACTCGGGGAAGTGAAAGGTCCAGAATTCATTAGTTAACTCATATTGAATGCTAACAAACTATTTCAAAAACTAGTATTTAAAAAAAGTGAAACATGTGACATTTCGATGTGAGATTTGTCGATGTGAGATTTGTTTAAAATGTTACAGAACAGATATGATATTATAATAACACATTTGGTTATTTCTAAAAAATGGAGGAAGAAAAAAAATGGATGCGAGGAGGTAAAACAAAACGAATGTTGCGATCATTGACAAATCCATGAAACTCTGGGTATTATTTATTAGAAGATACAAAATTAAGAGAAGTCCCCTTTTTGGAGGGCTTGAGCGGTTGAGCCTCCTTATATAGGCCTCTAAGGCTTTTAGTGAGTTCGACGCCCTAGGGTGAACTGGACGGCTTAGAGTGATCTGGGTGCCTTGTGGGATGTCTTAGGGTAGGACGCCCTAGGGTGCACGCGTTAGAGAGGTGCCTTAGGGTAGGATTGGGCCCAAGTTATAATGACCATGTCGGTGGGCTTGGCCCATATTAGGCAAGTTAATTATGTCCCTAACATTTGCCCCTTTACTCCTCCCCTTTACTCCTTGTATTCCGCAAGAATGGAAGGAATAAAATAATGCGTTAAAGTGTATTAACTTGTCTTACTTGAGTGTGAAATGTGCGTCTTTGTCTCTTGTGCAACCATTGCATTTGTCCCCTGATTGGCTTTTGATGTCTTGAGTTAGAGCTCTCAAGTCATTTGAGAATTTCCCACTAATCCATTGCTGAGCGTGCTAATATATAGGCCGTTATTGTGAGCTTTAAGCGTTAATCTGTTGGACCGCGAGATGACCATGAATTTGTGTAGATCCGTGAGAGTTTTAACTCAAGACGTCATTTGTGTCTTGGTGATGCCTCACCTACTAGGAGGTGAGATCGGGCTTCCACCTCGTGGGGATGCATTTGGCATTTGTGAAAGATGGGGGATGGCTTAGGAACTGCTTTGAATAGCCGGCGCTGCAAAACAGATGCACAAGGTTGTCTTAGGATCTGCTTGAGCCCAAAGTAGAATGTACGTGTTAATCGGCTTGGGCCCGTTGGTGACGTGGGTTTAGGCCCATATTAGGCAGGTTAATTCTGGTCCCAATAGTTTCCAAATTCCAAGCTCTTCTACTCACGCCATCGAAGCTTCTTCTTGACCTTCAACACTGCAACTTGCTTCTCGGCGATGAAACCGCCGCCGTGACCTGCCCACGCGCGCCGTCGAAACGACTCTCTCTTTCTTCTCTTCTCTTCTCTTCCCGCTGCAGTCCCCAGGTCTGTGCCTCCCAGTCGCCGCTATCAAGTTTTCACTATTCCGTATTCATTTGCCCATACTCTTAATTTTTTGTTATTTCAGTTTCTATGGCGTCAAGCTGCTGAAGTTGGCGTTTTTATCATCATGATCTGCACAAGTTCTGCTCTTTTTCTTCGATTCTTCAGGTTCCCTTTCTCCATATTAGTTTGAGAGCTCGAATAACTTCGATTGATTGCATTTGGCGATTGTTTCTCAGTTTTCTGAAGGTTTAGGGAGTCTATTTACTCAAAGAACTTTGGCTAAGCTGAACAACAATTAGGCTTAGCAGTTCCCATATTGCTTTTACACTGTGAACGCTGGAAATTCTCACAGCTACGGCACTTGGAATTTCCAACTGCTGTTCTATCTTAAGCCTATGGACTTAAAATTTGGAAGCTTTGGGTATTTGTTCTGAATGAAATACATTGGCTGATGGATGGAAGTTTTATTGGTGACCAGGAGCTGAATAATTATTATCGATGATGGCACAACCTTCTGTGATACTTGCGACTGGTAGCTATGATCACACAATCAGGTTCTGGGAAGCAAAGAGCGGTCGATGTTACCGTACAATTCAGGTCCAAGAATCGGTTAGTCTCTTCCTGCACGACTTGAATTTTCGGTCTGGTGATTGTTGCTTCTGCAAGTCCTAGATGGTTCGCTAGGTTTCGAACTTAGCCTAATCTCTTGTTAAAAAAAAACAGCGAATAAGTGTTAAAGAATGGGGTGTGGGGTGCTTGCATTTGCTTCTGGTTAAGTAAGCATACATGTCTTAGCGCACACTTTGTTCATCGGTGTAAGAAAAGTGCAATATTAGGTGTGCTTTTCACTTTCTATGTTTTCACTACTCTCAACTCAAAGTGTGGCTGGAAGCTTTTTCTGCTGGAGCCTTTTACAGGACTTTCTTTTTTCTTTTTGTGTCTCTGTTTTCTCGTTGAGTTAATTCTTCCTTCCGTGTTCCGAGACTTTCCAATTAACATATTTTCCCCTTTCTCTTCTACCCCATCTCAGTATCTTTTTTCTTTCTTCACTTCTCTTAACTCAAAATTGAATGGCATATAAATATTGTAGACCTGCCCTTTGCTTTGTGCTCTGTTAAGCCCACACAACTTTATTGCTTCACACTTCTAACATCTATTGTATTATAGTGTTGTTTGCTAGACTTCTTGAGTTTTAGCTGTCATTTTTACCAGTAAGTTGTGGGTGACTTTGTCATGATTGATTTGTCTATTTTCCAGCAAGTCAATAGGCTTGAGATAACCCCGGATAAGCGCTATCTGGCTGCAGCTGGGAATCCTCACATTCGGTTATATGATGTCAATTCTAACAGCCCTCAACCAGTAAATATATCCTCTGACCTGTTGCAAAACTTCTTTCTTACAAGATTAAGTTCAATTTTCTCAGATGGATGACTTATCTTGGTACGCCGCAGGTGATGAGTTATGATTCACATACAAATAATGTTATGGCAGTGGGATTTCAATGTGATGGAAACTGGATGTATTCAGGATCGGAAGATGGCACAGTAAAGATTTGGGACTTGAGGTAAAATATGACTGGTATATGCATATTGGGTTTATAATTGAAAGTTACCTATCGTGCTCTAAGTTGTGGTTCTATGTGTACTGAAGGGCTCCAGGTTGTCAGAGGGAATATGAGAGTCGTGCTGCTGTGAACACCGTTGTTTTACACCCGAATCAGGTTTCCTTTCTTTGCTCGTCTTGTTTGACTGAGGAGCTGCTGTAAAATGCCGTTCTGTTTTTGATAAATCCTTTTCTTTTCCAGCTTGTGCATCTCTGTTTAGAATGCTTGTTAGGCTACCTATTTTGCGGTGCTACTTTGCGTGCACACTTGGGTGCTTGTACTTGTAAAGGTCTTGGTAGGAATTGTGAACTGGATTTGTACGTGGGTGCTTGTACTTTTAAAGGCCGTGGTGGAAATAGTGAACTGGATTTATATGCTAACGTGCTAGGAAAAGCTACCGAGTCACTGCAGAAGAGTAATTAATATGTCAAGGATTTGTTTCACCAGATATCAGGTGCACGAGTTTAGACGATGGTGTACTTTGTCTACTCTCTGAAACCCATCATAGTGAAATTACAATGTCACGTTTGTCCTTGATAAATGCCGATTATGATGCTTTGGGTAGGATCTGAGTTCCATTCAGCATAAGTGAATTCTGTTAGTACTAAAGCGCGTAACGATTTCTATTTGCAGACAGAACTGATATCTGGGGACCAAAATGGGAACATTCGGGTTTGGGATTTGACAGCTAACTCATGCAGTTGCGAATTGGTATGTTGCCTAATAGGAGACCCCATTCTTTTTATTTATGGGACTATTATTATTACTACTAATAACAATGCTGCCAATACTGAGGTAAAAACAAAGGACCATGAAATCTGATGGCAGTGCATGGGCCGATCAGTTCTATTTGTTTTTGCTAAACAACGAATCATGTTTACAGGTTCCTGAAGTGGATACAGCTGTAAGGTCACTGACAGTTATGTGGGATGGAAGCTTGGTAGTTGCTGCTAACAATCATGGAACCTGCTACGTTTGGCGGTTGTTACGAGGAACCCAAGTAAGTTAGCGAGTTCTTTCGTAAAAACATATTACTGCACTTTTCAGTATGTTACACTATGTTACCTAAAAACTTGCAATATGTTTGGCAGACAATGACCAACTTCGAGCCGCTCCATAAACTACAAGCTCATAATGGATACATCCTCAAATGTCTCTTGTCCCCCGAGTTCTGTGAACCTCACCGGTATCTTCCAAAAAACTTTGTTTGGTTCCTTTCCTATTTCCATCACAATCCAATTCAGAAATGACCGATTAGTTGTTTGTTGAATTGTTTATTTCTCAGGTATCTGGCCACTGCATCATCAGATCATACTGTCAAGATATGGAATGTCGATGGTTTCACTCTAGAGAAGACTTTAACAGGTATTGTATTTGTAAACAGGGTTCCAATTGAAATCCCCCACGAATCGCTTCTGTTGTCGATCAGCATATTATTGCCTTTACATCCTTATCTATTCCTGCGATTTGCCAGGTCATCAACGCTGGGTATGGGACTGTGTTTTCTCTGTGGATGGTGCTTACCTTATAACAGGTACCCTAATGCCGGATGAAGTCTGAGCCCAGATTTCTGGCTTGCATATGGTTAAATCGTTGATATGTTTTAGTTTCTTGGGGTACCAAATTGACTTATCGTATGACGAAATGCAGCATCTTCTGATTCAACGGCGAGACTCTGGTCAATGTCAACTGGTGAAGACATCAGAGTGTATCAAGGCCATCACAAAGCAACTGTCTGCTGTGCCCTTCATGATGGCGCAGAGCCATCTGCAGCCTAAAACAATTCATCATACCCTATGTCTTGTCGCCCTGAATCCTTGCAGCGTGCCTCTGTTCGATATTAATTGCTGAGCAACATGTTCATCCATTGCTACACTGATCAGTTTTTCCTGATGTGTACATAGCTCTCTGCTCTCCTGAAACATCCCCTTCAATTTAAGTATGGACTTCCCATTTTTAGGCTGGATATGCAATTCCTAGATGAATCCGTTGCACGAAGGATTATCGATTCGACACGACTCGTTAATTATTCAGCCATGTCTGCTGCTCTGTTCCAGTACTCATTTTAAGAGGCACGTGAATCCTGATGCAATTTAGAACTCGAAATATGATAATCATCATACTTATGGGGAAATTTTAATACAATTAAAGAAAATAATTACTAATTATACACACTTCACTTTTCCTCTCCAGTAAAGCAACGTAATCATGCATGAACACGGGAATTCTAGCTGGCTAGCTAGCTGCTGTTAGAACTACAATATAAACTGCAGAAAATGCTCTGATACCTCCACACACAAATCAAACATACTGTAAAAGAAAGCTAAACAGAGTATACCACAATGTCGAATTCCTGCTGCTTCGTCGCAATCCAGCTGATCGTACTGCTTCTCCTGGTAATGTATTTCAGATCTTCCAGACACTCTGTTTCCTATACATCTTGAGATAACATTGATCCACGATCTTACGTGTTATTATTAGATCGCTGCCTGCCGAGACACGAATGCAAGAAAAGATATTGGAGAGTTCAGGAAGAGCGCGGTGAAGGATCAATTGAGCGACGAGCTACTACTAACGACGAAGGCGTTCGAAATCTCTCCCGCCAAAACAGAGTATCTTGATGCAGAGCAGCACTCGACAGCCGAGGAATTCGAGGCGGAGCTGAACCCATTTGCGGAGAACAATCAGGAAGAGAATGAGTTGTTTCCCGATGGTTTCCAGTTGCCGGAGAACAACAAGGAGGGAAAGGAGTTGTCATCCATGGACTTCAACCCGCCGCCACCCCCTGTTTTTTACAGTATGCTCAACCCATCTACAGAGAAGAATGACGAGGAGGATGATTTGTTTTCCGAGAACTTCCAGCCGCCGGTCAGTTTAATGCATCCCCTGGTGCATGTTTGATGTGCAATAAGCTCAACCCATCTACCGATTGAGGACAATAAGGAGGAGAAATAAACAGTTGTTTTCCAGAATTTCCAGCCGCTACTTTGGTGTAATCTTTTGTCAAAATCTATGGATGAGGTGTTTCGTATTTTGGGTATGAGACTATATGTTAATTCTTATTGAGTGAATGTTTGCGTCCTAATTCTCTAAACTTAAACCTCTAAGCTACATGATGATGCATTTGGTGTGTTGGATATATTTCAACCAATCAGAATCTGTTGTTTCTAATTAAATTGATTTTAGAGTACTGGATTTAGAGAATTATGACCTAGATATTACTCATTGAGGTTTATGTTATAGAAACATGCCTCTGACTCCCATTAGTTCAATCTCTATATAACAGTCTTACTACCATCATATTTAGAGAACTTTGTTGAAGTATCACATTTACCATTTTGTTTATAATATAAAAAGTAACGTATATAAAATTTTAGATATATAGTTGGGGGCAAACAAATTCTAGTAATCTCAATCAAACTATCTCAATAATCCCACGTATAGAATGAGATTTATCTATCCCTAATTTTTACTGATAATTTCGATCACATCAAACAAACCACGCTTATATTACTTACCTGTAAAATTCAGAAAAAATAATACATTATCAACAATACAATCATAACCACTTCAAACAAAACGATGACCAAAACTAGTACAACTACATATTCTAAAATCACTCTTTAGCACAATCTCTCTTGTCCAAGGACTCATACTAGTTCAAAGAAGAGGAAAATTTCTTTACCCCAAAGTTTCCACAACGACGCCGTTTTAGGATTCGTAATCTAGTCTAGATAATAAATAAAAGCCGAATGATGAAAACGGTTGCTCCATTTCAAATTTCCTGCAACGAGAGTGATTATAGGAAGGATATTTTGGTCTTTACAATTGCTTATTTTCTTATTTATTTATTCATAAAAAAGGCATGCACTGGGATTTGAACCTTGGTCTCTTTAAAGGCAAACAAGGATCATAACCAATCACACTAAGTATATTTGTTGTATCTATTTAAATTCAAACATACACGAACCTAAATTATGAAAATCATATGACTTTTTTAACGATTAGTTGGCCACTGAATCTCCCGTAAGTACTTATTTGGTGTTTTAATACTTTGATTATTTTAGTTGTAGTTTAATACTTAATTTAAATTTCTATCTATTTTATAAATATACAATAACCCTAAAATTGCAGCCCAAATATCACTGGTTCGAATATTGCATATCGAATTGCAATATTAAACATGTAGAAGCAATATCGACTTCTTAAATTAATATTATTTTTCAGAATTACTATGGAGAAATTATATCTTTGTGCAAACTATATGAGACTGGTTCTTTTAATGTTTTAGTCGGGTAACCGCTACATTTTAAACTTCTTCATAATCTGGCATGATTGGATCCAATGATCATTATACAAGATTGTGTTTAATAGGGTGGCTCATTTCACCACTTTTTGGCGTGTTAATGAATTTGTAGGACAATGACAGGTCTAGATCTACACTCATCACAATCTACACATCATATAAATGTGAAATGTGAAATGAGAAAAGAGGGATTCCATTTCAAATTTGATGCGTACAAAGCAATTTTTTAGGGGTAAATTTAGAAGATGCCAGTGCGGTAGGTCTGTTGAGCACGAAAGTAAAAATATGTTTTCATTTAAACGGGCCCAAACTGTTTTTTGGCCCACTAATCGTGCACCCATCGCCAATGCAGTCAAATTCGGGATTTTGATCGTAAAATCGTAGGATTTTAGGATTTTAGGATTTTACTTAGGGATTCCGATCTTGATTTTACTATAAAATCGGTGGACCTTAAAATCGTTTAAAATCGGAATTTTGATCGTAAGAGAACAAAATAGGTGGTTTGAGCCAATTTAAAATAAGTATAACTGTTTCAGCGGAAAGGGCAATGGAATCTTCTCAGATATTTTTCTATTAGAAAAATATTCAAAAATAATAAAAATAACCAAATTAGGGTTCGGTTAATCTCTTTCCCTTCACCCCATTTAACTTATTGGTAAAACACCTGTCCTAATATTGGAAGTATGTAAGAACTAACATCATTATTAACTAATTAATTTATTAATGAATATATTTGTACCAAGCCACTACCATTACTTATTTTATTGGAGTTCAATTATTTTTAGTTTTAAATCATACTTAGTAGACGATGTCGAAATATTACTTTGAGTTAAATAACCTAGACATAACATGAAAATAAGAGCCAAACCCATGAACTATATCCCTTCATCATGAATTATTTTGAGTTACACATTAAATAACAATTAAAATAGTGATTTTGGAACATTAATCTTGAGAATTATCTTATGGAAAAAAAATCTTCTGAATTATCATTTTAAATGCTATGTGTCTTTGTGATATTAATAATTTACCTTATTAATATTCTTATATGCTATGTTCTATATGGTACTTAAAATCCTACGATTTTACGATTCGATTATACGATTTTGATTTTACCCCAGTTTTCGATTTTAGGTAAAATCTCGATTTTAACTGCTTTGCCCATCGCAGCCTCTCCAAATCTTCCTATTCTACTCGCCGGGTCATCTCCTCCACTACAAAATATCTCCTCATGTACTCAAAGTTCTCACTGAAACCTAATATCTACAACTTAGGCGCAGAGGGAGCAACCGATGGATTGTAGCGACCCCCACTATTTTGATAGCTAATCAAGAAGAGCGTGTTTGTTTAGTTGTATGGTGATTCACTTAATTAACAATTTTTATTCCGTTGACAGCCTCCTCTCCGCAATTGTATTGTGTTCACGAAGATCTGAAGGCGCAAGTGCAACAGGTCCAGGGGTAAACAATATGTATAAAGCGTTGGCCAAATTGAATTGAGTCATTCTACTTGGAATATGAAGATTTTTGCTTAATTGCTTTGGTTCGTGATGCAACTATGTTATGTTTGAAGGTAGACCAACGCAAACAACAGCACAGCTCCAGGGCTATTATGCACATTAGGTAGTTGGGGCATTAATTGATAATTATTTGGGATTATTCCTACAAGTACATAATTTGGAACGTGCCTTTATATTGTATTGATTAATAGTTGTTTGAGATTTTTCAAATGAGTGATTTGACATGTTAAACTCTCTTATTTTTGAAAATGGAGTCTTCGAAGTGGAATATGAAGATTTTGGATTAAGCTTGGTTTCGTAACGCCCTTATGGGTGTTTATTCTCTAAAATGCAGCTGTCTTTCAAAGTGCCCGTTGCAAATGGCAAGTCAGGATACAACGATGGTACCTGTACACGTTTATATCATTAGTAGGTAGCAGATTGTGTCCATTCTACTATATCATTTAGCTAAATACTTAGTTGTTCTTTTCAACTAAAAATTATGCTTAAATGCTATGATTGGCCTCAGAAATGTATGTCTTTGCATTAACTGTTAATGATTGGACAATAGGAATGCCATACATTAGTGTCGTGGGAGGTTTGTTTGATGTCTCAGGGTGTTAGATTTTTAAGAAGGTTGTTTGTTGTGGCAGAGAGTCCCTAAAGCTAGCGAGGTATTCCTATGTGGGCTTTTTCTTTGTTTGACTTTTTCTCGCCTTTTTTCTTATCTCTTTTTCTATTTTTGGTTTTTGTGTGCTACCTTCAGTTGCTACGTCTTCATTTGTGAGCCATCTATACTTTTCTTATTTAGTGCCTAAAAATCATATATACTCGATTGCATAGTAGTTACTAATAGATACATTTATAACAATAGAGAGATTTTAAGTTTTATCAGTTGTTAGTTTTAATATTTACTTACATTGGTTGTTTATGTAGTTTTCTTAGTAATATTTCTCATTATACAACTAATTACTATGGCTACGTAGTTGTATAAGTGGGGGTTGGACATGATAGTTCTTAGAAGCATCAATACTTGAAGGTTATTATAATGACCAAATTCTAAAGTTATGGTTTGCCTTCAACTTGCTTGGAGCATTTCAATTATGCATCAATTGTTCTCTCCGTGTAGTTAACTCTCAGACAAATCGAAAATCTTGCTGATATGTGCTTGATTGTAGTTAAATTTAGGGTTCTACTGCATTGTTGCTTTACTCTTTTTTCGTGGTTGAGTCTGCTTCAAAAAATTTAGTTTGATTTTAGAAAATTTTGCTTCTGCAGTCCTGTCTTGCCACCAACGCGTTCAATAGATGGAGACGGGAGAGGCGAAGGCTATTTTTGTGTTGTTGTTGCTGGTTTAGGGATCGGTTTGTGAAGAAGAGGGAGAAGAGAGGGGGAAAGGGAAATGCAGGAGAGGGGGATAACTCTTTTCTCCGACAAAAGTGGAGTGAAGAAAGGAATTATGATCAGTAAGAATATGGTTATCTTACATAACGGTCTCTATTCTGTTTGAATTGAGCTTGAGAGGCAGTGATAAGGACGAGCTGCAACCAATTCATAGTGAGAAGAGAGCTATGAACTGTGATCATGTCTTATTTCAAGTTAGAAGGTAGTTTCAGTATAAGGATTATTTAATTTGACAAGTTGTTTCGTCCATGATTCTTGGTAGTTTCAGTGCCATTCTAGCAAATGTTTAGTCTGTAATTTTTGAGAATTGATGTGCGAGTAATGACTTTCACTTAGCTTCAACTATTATGTGTGTATTTATTGGCATGTGATAGAATTCTCTTTTCCTTTTCATTGAATTCATTTTCATACTCTAATTGTATTATTTGTACATAGGCAAATCATGCTCGAGATGGCAACTCGCTGATATGGCTGGTGCAAGGAATGAAGTCATCATTAGAATTCAGACCGACAACGGGGAGGGATGCCCAGGACTAATTCAATGATGATTGATGATGGTATAATAAAAACTGCAGTCTGCATCAGCACCAATTTCTAGGCCTAAGTAAAGGTATTCAACCCAGAACTCTGCTTAGCGCTAAAAATTGCCCTCACCCAACCTTGATCCTGTTTGACCCACTTCTGAAGAGTCAAGATATATGAATAATCCTCCCCGTTCGTATTTTCTTATTGACTCTTTCTGACCCTGTAGGTTGGGGCGGGGCGGGAATAATTGGATTAGTGGGTCGGTCCTAATCAAGTGGAATCCCAATCCCTTCACTCTCACTTGCTTTCTCTCCCATTCCACAAGTGGGTAACATATTGTAATCCGGCCAACGGGCCGGGTAATAAGCTAGTCCCTTTTCTGCCCTTCGACAGGAAACCCCACCGAAAATGTTCTGCCCCCGATATCTTTCTTCCTCAGTTCTCTTCCGAGACCGACCCGAAAACCCTCTGCAGTTGCAACCCAAATAATTAAACCGAAGAAATGGAGGACAAACCGGCGGGCAGTCCAGCGGCGGCGACGCCAGGAGCAGAGGCGCCGGCGTCCGCGGATCCACCATCGTCGCGGCGCCGAGCTGGAGGGCTGAAAAGGAAGGCCAGCTCGCTGTCGACCTCCACCTCTTCCTCCTCCACTCCTTCCAAGCGGATGACCCGAGAGAAAGCGGCGATGTCGCTCTCCCAGGCTCAAATTCACAATGGCCCCTTCACTAGGGCGTCCCGGCACGGCCCCAGCACCTTCGGCTCTTCCTCCGATGGCAGTGGGGCTGCTGGCGGAGTGAAGCTCGAGGAGAAGGAAAGGGCCGGTTTGGCGGCGGCGATGGCGGATGCTGCGGAGGAGGAGGAGCGGAACAGATTGGAGGAGTTGGGGAAGAAGATTGAGGCGGAGTTTGAAGCTGTTAGATCTCGGGATTCTAATGCGCATGTGGTGCCCAATCACTGCGGTGAGTGTTTGAGATTTTGAGGTTGGTTCAGAATTTCGGTAACAAGTTCTTGCTTTTCTACTTGGGTCTACGAGGGAATACGGCAATTTGATCCTCCCTTTATGAATTTCCCAGTGGTTTCATTTGGAGGAAAATGCTACGCCATTTTAGTGACCGACTGATAGAATGGCCAAATTCTTGAATTTTGCTTTCATTTGATGTGAATCTAGCCTACTTTCTCATTATCTAACTAGAACTAGTACTGTGTTTAACTTGAGCTTATGCTGGTGTCAGTTTAAACTCTTATTATCTTTCCTTCTGTGAATGTGCTCTGGAGAAAACGTTTGGTGAACTTAAGAATCATTTGTTTGTTAGGTAGTTGTATGTGATTTTAAACAGAGAAATTTGCATTGTGAAATGCAAGGCGGAGTACTGTAATTCTTGGTGGTTCAGATTAATCTTAGTTATGTGCTGGTCTTGGTAATAGGGTGGTTTTCATGGTCAAAAGTTCACCCTCTTGAGGAACGTGCATTGCCTATGTTCTTCAATGGGAAGTCTCCTGATCGAACTCCTGCTACATACATGGAGATACGCAATTGGATTGTGCAGAAGTTCCATACGAACCCAAATGAACAAATTGAGTTGAAAGATCTATCAGATCTTGAAGTCGCAGACTTGGAGGCAAGGCAGGATGTGTTAGAGTTCTTGGACTACTGGGGATTGATTAATTTCCACCCTTTCCCACCAATGGCAGATACTTCTGAAAATTCTGAGGGTGTAGAAACAGCACCTAATGATTTATTGCTTGAGAAGTTATTCCGGTTTGGACCAGTTCCCTCGTGCACAGAAGTTGCTCCCAAGCTGAGCTCCACTACTACATCTATGTCATCTGGATTGTTTCCAGATTCTACAACTGCGGAAGAGTTGCTCTGGCCTGAGGGACCATCAGTGGAGTACCACTGTAATTCTTGCTCAGCTGATTGCTCTCGCAAGCGCTACCACTGTCAGAAGCAGGTTAGTCAAAATACCTTCAGAATGCTTTGGCTTAACTGAATCTCCATCTTTCTGCCATGGTTTATGATTGCCGGTTGTCTATTTAACTTAAGTATAGAACATATTCAGAATTTAGGAAGTACTGATTAACCCCCTGTCCTTTTATGATAGATCCCTCTATTCCAAGCTGTTTTAGAGGCTGAGACCTAGCTGTCATCATTGGTATGACAATGAACGTCGACATAAAGCTTTTTGAGTCTTTGTTGTTGCAATAGTGACAGAACTTGCAAGTTTGAAGACTAGCATATGATATGAGATAGTAGGCCCTAACTTCAATATTCATTAAGAATGGTAGTGCCTGTATGAATTCCACCAATATGTTTGATGGGAATTAGTTTCTCGATCTTGCCGAGTTGTCTAAAATTGTTAGTCACCGAAGTTTTGTGTCCACCAATTTGGTAATTACAGTTATTTTGACTCCAAAAGGTATAGGAGCATTTGGGGCGTATAGGTTTGACACCTGTATGTGACTTTTCAGTAGTAGATCCTTTGTTTAGTGTTAGTGAAGCAGACTATTTGGAGTCTGCAGTTGTTTTATTGGCAATTCGTTTTTATTAACAATACACTCATTTCATTTATACTACCTTCTTTCTAAATTTTCATCTGTATGAACAGGCTGATTATGATTTGTGTTCCGATTGCTTTAAAAATGGGAAGTTTGACCCGGACATGTCGTCCTCAGATTTTATTCTCATGGAACCTGCTGAGGCTCCTGGGCTTAATGGAGGAAATTGGACAGATCAAGAGACCCTGCTTCTTCTCGAGGCATTGGAAATTTATAAAGAAAACTGGAATGAGATTGCAGAGCATGTTGCAACAAAGACAAAGGCTCAGTGTATCTTGCACTTTGTTCAAATGCCAATTGAGGATGCTTTTTTGGATTCCAATAATGTGGAGGACAGCGCGAAGGAAATAGCTGACACGAGTGCAACAAATGAAACTGCTCCTGAAACAAGCAATGTTAAAACTGGTTCAAAAGAGGAGCAGAGTCAGACATCTCCTATGGAGACTTCAAACCCAGAAGCTACCAATGAAGTGAAAGACATTTCTGAGAATGGCAACGAAGGAAAGGAAGCCCCTCAAGTTTCAAAATTGGAGGCTGATGAAGGGAAAACAATCTCAGAAACTCCAAAACCAGATGCTGGTGAAGGAAAAGCTAGTGAAGAAGATGTTGCACTAAGAGCTCTAACGGAAGCATTTGAGGCTGTTGGTTATGCATCTAGTCCTGGTTTATCGTTTGCTGAAGTCGGAAATCCAGTCATGGCTATGGTGAGTTCAAAATAAATAGAAGAGAAACAGTCATTGGTTGGCTGTAACCAAAGAACTAGTATCTTCTGTCCATACAATGTGGTAGTTACTTGCAGCATGTATTGGCAAAGTTCTCACCGCACTCAATCATCTCATCTATCCAATTTGCACCGTATCTCTGTTTGTTTGTCCTTTTGCTTCACATTAGTGAGACCAAATCCCGAGCTTTGATTGCTTTATTTAATAATTAATATCTAATGTATAACTTTTGTTTTATAGGCAATATTTTTTGTCAGATTGGTTGGAGGGGATGTTGCTTCAGCTTCTGCTCGCATTTCTCTAAAATCATTGTCAAGCAGTTCTCCTGGACTGCAGCTCGCAGCACGGCATTGCTTTCTTTTGGAAGATCCACCAGATACCAAAATGGAACAAGGAGATGGTGATGGGTAAGTAAACCCTATTATTTCTCTTTTAAATTTAGTTTTGCCATTTGTAGGTTGTTTTTTGTGTCATTAATATGGAGTTTTGCAGTGATGTGAAAGAGAAGACTGAACAGAACGATGCTCCCATTGGAAACCAAGATGATAAGGAGCCAGCAAATACTCCTACTTTAGATCCAGATGTTTTGGTAACAGCAAGTGAACCAGATAATGATAAAAACAAGGGTTCTTCTACAGATGAAAACAAATTGGTGGATTCTCCAAATGATGAATCCAATGAAAAGGAAAAGACTACAGAAGAAGTAGGTCTTGGAGACCGTAAAGAGGCGGGTGAAACTCACGTGTCAAGTGAACTAGGTAATTCGGACCAACCACTAGGCACTGGGGAGGAATTGCAACCTAAGTCGGAATCCCCTGCAGAGTCTGTGAAGAAGCAAGAATCCTCTACAGAGCCAGTGAAGGAGCAACAGAAAGGATCTTCTGCTGCTGATCATTCTCAGGATAAAGAGATGGGTGAAAATGTAGAGATGGTGTCTGATGCAGAGAAAAATGAACCATCTTCTACATCACTGGCTGGTGAAGTCCTTGATCAAGCTGCTGCTGTGGTTTCAAAAAATGTAGAAGGCAATGTGTCAGATGCTATTCCCATGGATAAAGATGAGAAGCAGGAGCAAGTGAAACCGAGTTTGACAGTTGAAGATAAAGTTCAACCTGAGGATATTGACATGCCATCTTCTCAACCTTCTGAACGAAAGCATGATGAGAAACCTGAAGGGAAGGATGATCAGAAACCAATCTCTACAAGCATAGTTATTGAAGATGGAGCAACTACAGGTCTCTCTCTCTCTCTCTCTCTCTGCTCTAAAGGGTTTTCCGCCAGCCTACAAGTCTTAGCTTTGCATGTATGTCCTTTGCAGGGGAGGCTCAGAAAGATGGTAGTACGAAGGAGAAGTCTGATTGTGCAGGGACAAAAGATGGCTGCTGCAAGATTGATAAGCTAAAGCGTGCTGGAGTAGCTGCACTTTCAGCAGCTACTGTGAAGGCAAAACTTCTGGCGGAACACGAAGAGGACCAAATTCGACAGCTTGCTGCGGCACTGATTGAAAAGCAGGTATATCACATGGGGCTGCTTTAGTTTTAATCAAAGTGAATAAATGTGTGCTTGGTAAAGGTTTAGAAAGACATGAATAATAAAAAGATGAAGTAATGTGGGAATTACTATTAAATCTTTAGTTCGAATCGGTAAACTTTGAACTTGTTTTTTGCTTAGTGATGTGATCACATGTCTCGTAGAATATCTCTGCTATATTTCGTGCAGAAATTTGACATCTTGGTGTATCTTACAGTTACAGAAACTTGAAATGAAGCTGGCTTTCTTCAATGATATGGACACAGTACTTCTGAGGGTAAAGGAGCAGCTGGACAGGTCAAGGCAGAGACTTTACCAAGAGCGAGCACAAATAATCGCAACTCGCCTTGGTTTTCCAGCTTCATCATCTTCTAAACCACCTGCCCATCCTGCTCTAGCTGCCAACAGAATTGCAATGAACTTTGCAAATGCATTTCCAAGGCCACCGATGGGATTGACTTCTTCACAACTGCCACCGGTTTCCAGACCCATGGGAGGTGGTGGGGTGGGGAATAATGCTTCTTCTAACCCTTTTAACCCAACTGTGCCAGTAAATTCAATTATGCCTTCTAGCGAGGATACACCACTGTCTTCAGTTGAGACAAAGTAGTACTTTTGTGGGATGCCAGGCACCCATTGCTTATTAGAAACCAGCCGTTATCGGACATCTTACCAAGTGAGTACTTTCTCTCCTGTATGCTAACTATCAGACAACAATTTCTGCAACTACATTTAGTGAATTGTCACTTTTCTTTATTTCCATGCATATACCTAAGAGATCTATAACTTCCTCTGGATGAGGCCAGTTAACTCAAAAGTCAAAATGATATCTCGTTAGTTTTTTCCGTTGCTGGTCTATTGGCGCATCACAATAACTGGTAATGCTGCATGTGTAACAGCATCACTGAAATCCAGATTTTTGTTTTCCATACTCGAACTGGATCAAACCAGTAATTATAAACGGAGAAGTGTAAATAGTTGGTGCCTGGAATTTTTATACCCATTATCGCACACTTGAATTGCTAGGATAAATTCATCAGTCTGTTTTATGAACCATACTACAGCTACTGATCTTCCATCCTTGTAGTGAAATGATTCCGTTATTGTCGTTCGATGTTTCTGTGATTCATATATTGTCCTTGCTGTTTCTTCTTCTATGTGATTATAGTTACTGGTGCACTGTGAACGACCGAGTTCCTTAATTCTAACGGCTTGATCATATCCACATTCCAGTTCATTACCATTAGAAGGTGCTCAAGAAAGCACCCACACAATGGCTGATCTCCAGATGCTGAACCCCCGTATATCATGAAAAGGTTGTATGCAATGCAAGCAGCTGATTTCAAGACGTTAATGCGCTGTAAGAAGTAAGAATCATTGGCTATGCTTCTTTACCTGAGCATGAAGATGGCGAGGCTTTCACTATCTTAGGCCAGAACTATATTGTAGGGTGTTTCTTGATGTGCAAGTATTGTATGTTGTAGAAATGGCATGTAGCTTATAGTGTGAATTGATGATGATGATGATGATGATGATGATGACAGTATTGGAGTATTAACAGTTCTGACCTGCTACTAATCCTGGTTACTACCAGATATGTAACCAATTAGGGCGGAAAGACATGTAGAGAAGGGGGTAAAAAATGTCCTATGTATGTTCCTGAAATTGTGAATTGCATAGATTGGTCGTCTTTGTATTTGCCTTTTTCCCCCTTTGCCTTCTCCACAGTTCAACCCAAGTGGTGTTTATTCAAATAAGCAAAATCTACTGAATTCGCTTAATTCGTCTCGTTCATTTCTAAATCGATCTGATATTTGATGGTAATGTCAATCTCACATGTTGTCTCATCCTGTATTGGTTCACTAGTCGTATCAATCAATCAATCATAAATCTATTTCACACTTCACCTATAATACGTCGAAGCGAGACGTAATCCCAAAAGTGTTTCAAATGAAGAATTATTAGCATCTTAATGAGGAAAGGGACACGGTAGACAGACTATATAACCAGACTATACTCAGAAGATGAGTGCCTAGAAAGAAATGACTTTTCAACAAAGTGACAGCAGGCTTGTACAGGACCAACAGAAAGCCAAATTGCGAACCAGACGGAGAAGATTAATGTACAAAATGTATCCTCCCTCATACACATACACACCATGAGGAACGCCCAGAAACACTTTTCCATGGTAACACTTGAGACGAGACGATAGATTCCTTCCAGAGTGATGAAAACAAGCCTCTGGATTTAGCATTCCTTCCAGAGTGATGAAAACAAGCCTCTGGATTTAGCATTCACATCCACTGGACCTAGGCTGACTGCTGCTTCCAACATCAATTGTGTCCGGCAAGTATCTACATATCCCATCATGCCGTTAGGAGCAAAAACAAAATAGGAACGTATAAGTGTTATAGACAAACATAAAATACATGCAATACTGGAATCTGAACTTGCTCAAAAGCCAAAATTCCAGTTTTTGTTTACGATTTAAGAGGTGGATTAAAGCATTATCTAGTGATCGTAAAGAGGTGGATCGTTTTCTGTTCATGATCGCAATTAGTCAGTTACCAAGTCCTCTTCTAGTGAACAAATGAGTCAAGCCACTTGAGAGAAAGTTCGTCAGTAATGCTTTAAAAGAATGATTGTTCAAATTTGACTTACATTTCTTCCTCTTCTCCACTCTTCAAGGCATCCTTTGCTATGACCTGAAAAGCTTCCTCTACATTAATGCCTTCCTTGGCAGAGGTCTCAAAGTATGGGATATTTCCTTTTGATGCGCACCATGCTCGAGCCTTCTTCTCTGAAACCTTACATTAACAAAGCAGACAAGCAAAGAGGACAATATCTGTAAAACCAGGGTCAAAGAAAGTATCTTCAAATGCAATGACTAAACAGAACGGTGAGGAGTAAGGGCGGGGGACAAGAAAAACAGAGGCACAAAGTTCAAAGATGCTTACTACTCTGCTGTTTCCGCCATCAACATCAATCTTGTTTCCGAGAACAACAAATGGGAAATTCTCGGGATCGGAAGGACTTGCCTGTAGAGGAAGGTTCCCATGTTATTAATTGTACATGTTCAAGTAAGTTTTCGCGATACAGTGTATTAGGGATTGAAACAATACCTGGATTAGGAATTCCTCCCTCCAGTTATTAAGATTGTCGAATGATTTCATTGAATTAACATCATAGACAAGTACACAGCAATCAGCACCTCGATAGAATGCAACACCAAGGCTTTGGAATCTTTCCTGTCCAGCAGTATCCCAGATCTGCCAAACGAAAAGCGTATATTGCAGGTTAGACAACAGAGAAGTTCAGTGAGGGAACCAACATTCTTAAGGGTCAAACCAGACTACCAGAGAGAGTGCAATCTAGACCTCAGCGTTCCTATCCATTGAGGAACCTGTATGATTCTCAAGTATGACTTAATTTACTTGTAATGTTATAACTTTTCAAACCCAACTGAACTATTTGTGTGTTATTCCTTTTAACTAAATAAAAAGTAAAATTATGCAATCACAGTCATCCAACTGCTCGTAAGCTTCTGAGAGTTACAGCCATGCTGTTAAGCTCGTACTAACCTACTAAGCGGGCACAAAGAATTAAATCAATGCTAAATCATTTCCTCTTCTTCTCTTTTCTTTACCCTGACTTGTACATAATTAAAGGCTCTTTCACCAGTGCATTTCTTTATGGGTATGTTATTGTTAATCACCCACATATCTACATTATTGTTAAAATTTCATAGCTTCACAACCAAGATTAGTAATTAGATGATAGCAGTAATCATTTTCTTGGAAACAACCATTCTATCATTCAACACCACGGAATGATACAGGTTTCAGAATTCAAGGGCATTTCTTCCTATAACCTTTATTTCATGATCTCGTGCCCTAGCTTCACAGCTCTACAGCAGTTGCTAATAAGATGAAAAGAAAAGGCAATTTACATGACAAGCATAACAGCTGGGCCACAGTAGTACAACCAAACCAACCTGTAAAGTGAAGAGCCTATCTTCAAACTGCACTTCCTTGGTCAAAAAATCCGCTCCAATTGTGGCCTTGTATTGGTTGCTGAACTTCTTGTTTACATATCTAAAAGCAATCCGTCAAAGAAACAACACCACCTAACATCCAGGGGAGAAAAAGACTCTCTCCATACAACATAACAATCGCTGTTTAGAAAACAGAAAGTACTAGAAAAACAAAAACAAGAAAGCAGAGCAAGCTGCAGGATACTGATTCATCAATGAAGTCTTGCCCACCCTGCAAACAGTAACAAGTTAAAAATCCACCATTATTAACAAACTAGACCACGATAAACAGTCCCAGATCAACACAGTTCCCGAACTGACTGACGGAGACCGATAGAGAGAGAGAAAGCTACAGGAACTAGATCAAGAAACCTAGCAAGCAAATTCGAAACCCTAGACCGAATTCTCGTAGATCAAAGACCTCAATTGTTGAGTCGAAATACAACCAGATCAAAATCGGACCATCTCGAACTCGATCCAAGATATATAAAAGAAACTCCAATTCTCCATCAAGAGATATATAAGCAAGCAACTGACCCGCTGTCGCCGAGGATGATGACCTTCAAGAGAGTTCTTCGTCGGGACGGCATGGTTGAATGGGCCGGCGATCTCGATCAAATCGCTGTTGAGAGCAGGTAACGGGGAGGAATTGCTAGCGGGCGGGCGGGCGGGGAGGATTTGGCTGTAGGGGAGTGGAGCGAGAGTTGCTCTCGACGACTTGGATCAACTCCTAAATTGCTTCTCTTCTTCGTCTCTCGGTCTCCGGATTGCGACGGATTTCGTCCAAGTTATTATTTTTCGACTTCTTTTTCTTTTCTTAATTTAACGCATAATAATTTTCGAGGCTTGTTTTTCCCGAATAATGATTGGACGCTTTTCGCCTTTCGGGCTGTGTTTGGTCGCAGAAAAGCTGGACATGACCTGTAATTTATTCAGTATTTTCTTTTTTGGTCTTCTCTCTGTTTTTTGTTTCCTGTTTCGTATATACGAGAGCATCCTACAAGGCTATAAGTCTATAACAGAACTAGGGTAAGAACTGAAAATAGTCAAAATACACCTTTTTTTTATAGAATCGGAAAAACACTTTCCTTCTTCCTAAAGGTGTTTCAAAGCAAGTGCAAGGACTAAAGTTATAATGATAGAGAATTAGAGATATAAGTTGATTAAAAATATGTTAATATCATATGTAAGATTTGGGCTCAAGTTAATGGATCAATTATGGTTATGCACGATTAAATAACATGTGGTTATGCATTTGATCCTATAACAATGGATCGTGGATATTCCGGGCTTCTGCCTCCGTCCTAGACAAAGGCAACAACTTTGAGCATTCGAATGGGTTATGAACGGAACCTGGATCTCATTAACCAATCATGTTTGACAACTGAAGTGGAGGTTATCAAATGCGTACTGATTGGCTCATAGCATATATACGATACTTGGACTTGAGAATCGGAGCAGTTGGGTTCTTTCTCAGTTAAATTCTCATCTTCTGTAATAGTATTACTTGTATCAAAATCACTACAAATAAGTGAAATTGCTTTATTGTCAAAGGAACAACATCATCAACTGGTTGTCTACCAAATGATTAATCCATCTGCAATCTATCGGTCAAACAAACTACTCTTGCATTTGTTACGAAAGAAGATGCAAACAAATCCGACCAAACACTACTTCTTATTATTACTATTAATCTAGGAATCCATGATCACAAACAATAGTGCCAAAATGTGCATTCATGTGTTCATTTTTATCTTTTGATGACAATTCAACAAAAAAAAAATTTGAAACCCAAATGCAGTTACTGACGACTTTGCTCTGTTGATCAAGCCTTTCTATCCAACTTCAAATAAAAATAACAATCGCAAAGGATGAGAAAGCTAATTAATGTTGTTCTAGCCCTAGTGCTTTCTGGACATTTCTTCACTGCTCGAAGCAGAAGGGTTGAGTCCATATTCGCTTGTCATGCCATACTCACTGCTTTGGTACTCCAATACTGCCTTTCTAAACTTCTTCATATCTGCACTATATGAGACATGGTCATACTCTGAGTTATCAGAAGATGCTTGTCCAAGGTACGAGCTTTGCCCTGGCTTCACCCCTCCATCACTCAAGTGGTCGAGTGATGCGTCTCCTTCCAAAGTTCGAACGATCTGTTTTACCCGACGCACACAAAAAAGATTCATAAGTGCGAGAACTCGTCATACTCATATCCCCTTCCATTTCTTACGAAATTGTATCCAGACAGAGACCGTGATATCATCAGCACGTATACCTGGCTCATCTTGGGACGTTTCTTGGAGGAGTGTCTGATTGCATTAGCAGCACAAGCTACCATGTGGCTCATCTCTTTAGGGTCGTAATTGCCTTCGAGACGTGGATCAACTAATCCCTTGCAGTTCCCGTCTTCCAATGCTTTCGAGCACCGAGGCCTAGCCTATTGCATTAATGGAGGCATGGATTAACGATGTGCACATAAGAATGTAAGAAATCAATGATAATCGAAGTAGATCTAATGATTAAGTTGTGTTTGGGGTTTGAGTGAGACTATTTGTATATGCTCATGTGAGTCATACTAAAGGAATGATGTTTTATGTAGTTAATCTTGTAATAAGTAAAGACGATAAATTAAAGAGTCAACAAAATGCTAACCCAATCCACTAAAGAATCGTCCATCTGGTCTTGAAGATCGAGAGGGGGGCGACCAGTTATGAGCTCTAGTAGCACAACTCCAAATGAGAAGACATCTGATTTATCGGTAAGCTTCCCGCTTGATGCATATTCTGGAGCCAGATACCTGCAAGTCATGATCTAATGGTTAAACAAACAAGTGCAAGAGAACAAAGACTACAAAGTAAAAAAAGAAAGACATACAAAATGGATCCAGCTTAATGTATCATTTGCTATCCAGTTTGAGAATTTGGATACCGGGAGCAACACTCACCCGAAAGTCCCCATCACACGAGTCGATACATGAGTATAGTTGTCTTGTGATAGTTTAGCCAATCCAAAATCCGCCACCTAAGTTACAAGTTACGATAAAATCATCATCACAATAAACCAATCTCTTACTATAGTGGAAACAAATAGAATCAAAAGTTAGACAACGACTTAACTAGATAGAGAAATGCAGTCAATTATGACACGAATTACCTTGGCTTCAAAATTGTAGTCGAGTAGAATATTTGCAGCCTTGATATCTCGATGGATAATACGTGGATGACCTGCAAAATTATTATTACAATTTCTTTACTCTTTCCATTTCTTTCTGGAGTTGGAAGCTGGAACAACAATGGATGCAATGCAAGTGACTTACAGTCCTCGTGCAAGTAGGCCAGTCCCTTTGCTGCTCCAATGGCGATCTTGAGACGGGTGGGCCAGTCCATCGTGGGCCGGTTCTTACCTGCCAGCTTTGACCCATATTAGCATTTTAAGTGTACAATGGTTTGGTATCAATATCGATGCGTAGTAGACCAAACTGACATTTGGATATAACTAGCGAAATGATATAAAGTGGTTTAGTCATTGGTTCTAAACTGAACAATATTGAAGAAACTGGACCCAATTGGCATTTGGACCGTGTTAGTAAAACCGCATATATGACCCACGATTGAACCTCTTCTAACAACTCGAGTTATCGGAATTAACTCGAGCCATGTCAATAACCAGTTGATCCCAATAACTCGAGTTGTTGTGAGAGGTTCGATCGTGAATCATATACCGGTTTACTAACAGACAAAACAAAACCGAATCAAATGGGACTGAATACAATGTTGATTCGATCCTTAATTCTAAGCATACCTATAACTATTGGACTTATGGGTGCAACGGATTGGTCTGTACCGGATCGCTCCGGACCAAACCGACACGTGGACCGGACCACACAGACCCGAATATAGTGTGGTGTGGTCCTTGTCAATATGATTTTTTTTTAAATATCGAAGAAAAATGAATCAAATTGACATTCGAACAGGGCCAAATCGAACCGAATGCACTGTTGGTCAAAATCGTTTGTCCTGATATGCCTTTCACTATTGAAATAGTGATTCTCATCATTTTGATTCGAACCGAATCGTTGCACACATCCAATCAGACTACTATTCTCGTGAATTTGATCCGACCCGAACCATTAAGAAGTCAAAACTACAGGCAGATTGATTAGGGCATACGTACCGTGAAGGTGAAACTCGAGGGTCGAGTTAGGCACGAACTCATAAACCAACAACTTCTGGTCCCTCGCAATACTATACCCCACCAGCGTCACAAGGTGACGGTGGTGGACCCTAGTAATAATCTCCACTTCGGCCTGAAACTCCCTGTCACCTTGCCCGCTCCCGGCCTTCAAGCTCTTCACCGCCACGTCTTTCCCATTGGTCAGCACACCTTTATGAACGTAACCGAACCCGCCCTGACCGAGCAGGTTCGACTGGTCGAACCCGTTGGTCGCGATCTGCAGCTCCTCGTAGCTGAACGCGTTGCTGTTGTTGTGGTGGAACCCGGCCCCCAGCGCCGCCAGCCCCGGGTGCGGCGGCGGCGGCGCGGGTGCGCCGTGGTTCCCGGAGAAGGACGAGCTGAAGTCGTCGCTGGACGAGGCGGCGGCGGCGGGCGGCGGCGGTGGGCGGCCCGCGGATGTGGTTGGTGGCGGGTTGTATTGTGGCGGCGGTGGTGTTTGGGTTTGCCAGCGACTGGCGGCGGCGCCGCCGCCGCCTCCGCCGTCGGTCTTGTTGACTTGCCAGGTTTGTGGTGGAGGGGATGTGGCGTAGTATCCGGCCATCATGCCTGGATTAGGTGACGCCATGTAGTAACCACCACCTAATCACACATTAATCCGAAAGGAACACAATATAATGTTTAGAAGAAACAAATTAAGGTTACAAATTATAAGTGACTCGAAGAGAAGGGTGACCCGTGACTGATCATAATCAACTAGTTTAGATTGTGAAATAATTGGAGTGTGCAGAGGCATGATAATATACGTCCTGGTATCTGATTTTCTGATGTAAATCATAAGATTTATTTTATTTTACTAAAAAAAATAAAGACCGATTTTGACTTGTCGAGATATATGGGTAAATGCCACATTTGGTCATTGAGATTATAAAATCGTGTCATTTTTAGTCACTAGAAAAATTTAATATCGATTTTTGGTCACTCGAATTACTGGAACACATTTAGTCACTCTCCCGTTAGTTCCCGTACAACTCCATTAGTGGAGTTGGACGGGAGCTAACGGGAGAGTGACGCTAAATGTGACATGTTTCAGTAATTCGAGTGACCAAACGTGACACATTTCACTAATTCGAGTGACTGGAGTTGGACGGAGGCTAACGGGAGAGTGACTAAATGTGACCGGTTCCAGTAATTCGAGTGACCAAAATTGATATTAAATTTTTCTAATAACTAAACATGACACGATTTTCATAATCTCAGTGACCAAATGTGGCATTTACCCCAAATAAATCTAATAATGTCTGTTTCGCCATATAATTTAGGCGTCCTTCTAATCATAAGATCGATATTTTCTTATTTATATAAATATAAATTACATGTATATGCCAGCATATATTATCACATGTCCAGCTAGTATATCTATTTGCACCATGAATTAACTGGAGTTCCAATGTCTCGCGTTTTAATTTTTTTTATATCTATTTGCACCATGATATTATATATGTAATTGATTGATGAATATTTGCACGAGGGAACACAACAATTTTTTACCTTTGTGAGGAGGTGGCGCGGTGGAATAGTAAGTGAGCTCCTCCTTCCGCTTCCTCTTCCTGCAACAGCAGAAGTACGACAGCATGGCGATGAAAAGGATCGCCGCCACGCCCACGACGACGCCGACACCAATCGCAACCCCGTTGTTGTTTCCGTTATTATTGTCCCGCGACCCTCCTTCCTTCTCCCGATGCGACGGCGGGCCGAGCGGCCGCGACCGCCGCGGCGGAGGCGCGACGTCACCGGCTACAGGAGCCGGTGGCGATACGAACGGCTGTACCGGCGGCGGCAGAGGGGGCGACTTCCTGACGTCGGCATTGCCGGGAGGTGGCGATTTCGGGGGTGGTTTTGTGGCCGGCGGCGGAGGGGAGTGCTTTGGTGGAGGCGGCGGAGGGGAGTGCTTAGGTGGCGGCGGAGAAGCTGCCGCGGGCGGTGGCGGGGACGGCGATGGTGTTGAAGGAGCGGGAGCGTAGGCGGTAGTGTTCGACATCGGAGGAGGAGAAGGAGACGAGGAGGTTATTGCGACTAGTGATGACGATGCTGACGTATGGGTGGGATGGTTCTTTTACGTCGACGGTGGTGGATTTTGCATGCATGCATCGTTGGAACGGCGGTTTCTAGTTTGAGATCCACATTGTTTGGGAAGCGATGGAGATTGGAGAAGAGAGAGTTGTGATTTTCGGGTAATTTGTTTTTTTTTTCTTTTTTTCTTTCTTGTTTCTCTTTTGGGTTAATTTGCTGGACGAGAGTTTCTGCATGGTAATAGCTCCACGCAAACAGAAACATTCTCCGAGGAAGTAGGGGATCTTGTTTGATTGTTCTGACAGTTGACTGGTCTAAATGTGTCATATTTAGGTGCCAACGACAAGGAAGACAGTAATGTTGATGGGCTTCGAGTGGTAGAATAGAATGGACCTTGACTTTTGGTAACGTATATATATGCGAAATGAGAATAGGTGATCACTTATGTTATCGAGAAAACATTGAAATACACTAGAGTCATGTGAATGACCACGAATGGGACCTGTTATTCTTTCTCTGCCCTATCAAAGAAATGTTTTAGTCACTTGCGAGGATACTTACAAGAGTAAGGATTTAGACTAATTGAGATCGAAGTGACCTAACTAGGCTTCATCTATAAGATAAGTTCCCTCGGTCATCTTTTAATTCTTTAGTCTTTGGAAGGGACGAATAGGCTCGAACTTTGTGAGTGGAACGAAGTTGCCGTCCAATCGCTAAGGCGTTCCCACCGCCAGGGCTGTCGTTCAAACCAACCACGGAAGGGCATTCCAAACGCTTATTGTTCCAACCGCGGGCAAGCATTCCAACACACTCGTTACATATCTTTCGCTCTATGGCTCGCAACAACCTGCTCTTTGGTTCTAAGTGTGCTTTCGTTCCTCTCACTTTGTTCGAGCTACTACTTGAATCATTCTTCTGGTTTCTTCTCGCACCACATATAAGAAAGACTATAAAAGATCCAAGAACGAAAAATCAAACAGTACTATCAAACTAGTATATAATGCATGACTTTCATCGTCATCGATCAATAAACACGCGTATTTTGGTGATGATGATATAATGGTTAATTTTCTTTAAGTTTTTGCATGGTGGCAATCCTTTTATTTTGTATAAACTTGTGTATGTGTAATTGGGCTATTGAAGGAATATAGAGGAACTACATTCCACAATGTTCAACAATCAACTAATGATTATGTGTGTCCAATTAATTAATCACCTTGCATCGAACATATGGATACGTACGTATGTGATACCCTATACAATATTGTTTTACACACATAACTCGACTACTTAAAATTCACAAGTTACAAGTCGATACTCAACAAACATAATTCGAGTAATTAACATACATAGCTTAGTTGCCTTCTAAACATTTATAGTAGGGGAAGTTTCAACATAAACAATTAAGAGTCGATCACCATGTTCACTCTCTATTTGGCCAAATACACAAATACTCATCCCTTGGTTATTTTTACATCATGCTTGGGGAAAATGAAGAACACTGCCATTGCTACCCTCTCTATCTCTTCTACTAATTTAAAGGACGATTTATGCTTCGGTTTTGAATCGAATTTGATTAGAACATATACAACAAATTAGTATTTGAATTGAACCAGACTGGATAGAATAATGTAATTGTTTCACAATTTATGATTTGTGATTTGAATTCATGAATTGTATTAAATATAAAAGAAAAATGGATAAAATAATTCAATTAGACTGAATTTAATCAAATACGCTCTATTCGAATTTAATCATCATTTCCTCTCTATATTAAATACGCTCGATTCGACTTTAATCATCATTTCCTCTCTATATTAAATACGTTCGATTCGACTTTAATCATCATTTCCTCACTATTTTTGGTTTGTTCTCACCCAATTGGGTTTGGTTTTGGTTCCAATCGACCCACACCCACGCTTAGGAAAATTGAAATAAAAAATCCATGATCAAGGGGAAAACTAAAATAAAAATCGATGAACAATAAGTCAACGTGTTTAAGATCGGCGGCTGGAACAACATCGCCTAATAAATTAAACGTAAGCGCGACCACAGAGGATTACGGATTGGATTTTCCTTCAAAATTAATTTTCACATTTGCTCACTGAACCAGAGGGCATACTTCTTAAAAACGCTTCACAAAAAAGGATCCCTCGTCTTCGTAATTTCGTTTTCCCTGCTGCTGAGAGATAGAGAAAGAGGTTCTCTACTTCCAGTTTCATTCCATTCAGCCGGAAAACCTTACGCAGTAGAGATCTCGAAGGCTTGGAAGCCATGGCTCAGCCCCTTGTGAAGAAAGACGATGATCGCGACGACGAAGGTTACTCTCCTTCCCTCTTTTCCCCCTTTCCCTTCCTTCCTCTCCCAATTCTCCAGTTCGGTGGCTCCCCCGTTTACTTCGATTTGGATCATTCGTGCTCGAATTAGCGATTCAGTTTTAGTTGTTGAATGGCGAATTTGAACCTCGGTTCTCAGATCTTAGGTTATAGCAGCGTCAGATCAATCGTTTGATGTCTAGATCTGGTGCAATTTCGAGAAGTCCGATTGGCGGCGTTTGGAGTGAGGCGCTTTAGCGTGTGGTTTGGTTTCTAGCATCTTGCAGTTGGATCTGGATGCGCTATTGAACTTTGCAATTGAGTTGAATCGAATTTGGCGATATTGGAGCTTGACTTTGATCCCTCACTGGCAATGTGGATAACCTTGTTGCGTAAATCGACTTGGATTTGGTTGATGCAATGCCAACTGTTTGTATTGAATGTTGGAAATGAATTTACTGTATCTTACTCTTGGCAGTTGTTTTTATAGTGCCTTGTCATCATATAGTAATTTCTGTTGTGAGCTACCTGTGGTTGTAATCAGAATTACTAAGTTCAAGGATTTGTAGTGTGTTCTCTTGTTTTCATCAATTATGGAGTGATTCTGACTATAGAATCGTCTGGCTACATAAGGAAGATAGTAACGGTTTGTGATTTTTGGATTGCACAGCCGAATACTCTCCCTTCATGGGAATCGAGAAGGGTGCTGTTCTTCAGGAAGCAAGGGTTTTCAATGATCCTCAGCTAGATCCTAGAAGATGCTCCCAGGTTTTGACTTGGGCTTGGTTTTTCTATTAGATAACTTGTGGTTCAGGAATATTAATGGATCTGTTTTTAATGTGTTTCTTGCTTTGATGATAGGTCATCACGAAGCTCCTTTATCTACTTAACCAAGGGGAAACATTCACTAAGGTTAAGCCTTTTCCATGCAGTAATTTACTTCTTGTTGTTACAGTATTAATGACATGCCTTTTCTAAACAATCTCCTGAAATATCGTTACAGGTTGAAGCTACCGAAGTTTTCTTTGCTGTAACAAAGCTATTTCAATCAAAAGATGTTGGGTTGAGAAGGATGCTCTATTTAATGATAAAGGAATTATCTCCTTCAGCGGACGAGGTTATATATTCTAGCTTGTGAAACCAGCTTATGTGTTTTTTTCTCCTTTCTTATTATTGCTTTCACAACGAGATACTGATTTTATCTAACTTTTATTGGGAAATAGGTTATCATTGTCACAAGTTCCCTCATGAAGGATATGAATAGCAAGACTGATATGTACCGGGCAAATGCCATTCGTGTGCTTTGTCGGATAACAGATGGAGTTCTGCTGACTCAGATTGAGCGTTATCTGAAGCAAGCTATTGTTGACAAGAATCCAGTTGTTGCTAGTGCTGCTCTAGTCAGTGGTATCCATTTGCTTCAGGTGCTAATGAATTTTCTACTTAGTGGTCATCTTTTTCTTGTTAATTGTCTTTCTGATTTATCTTCATGTGTGTCTTACTTTGATAGACAAATCCAGAGGTAGTGAAAAGGTGGAGTAACGAGGTTCAAGAGGCAGTACAGTCAAGGGCTGCCCTTGTACAGTTTCATGCACTGGCGTTGCTCCATCAGGTATGCAGAATTCCACGATTGGTGTTCGATTTTATCCTTAACTTTCTGGATTATGCATTGGCACTTATTAAAATGAAATCAGTTATATAATTTCTGACACGATGACCTGAACAAAGTAAAGTGTTCAATGATTTTGATTGTGATGAAATGACTGATTTCATGGTCCGTTCTTGGTTGTGAAATATGCAGATACGGCAAAATGATCGACTAGCTGTTAGCAAATTGGTTACTAGTTTGACCAGGGGAACTGTTCGTTCACCATTGGCTCAATGCCTTTTGATACGTTATACGAGTCAGGTTTGTCTAATATGAAACACGTGTCAATTTAATTAGCAATCTCTGGGTTCAGCAATAATATTGATAAAATTTTGCAGGTCATCCGCGAGTCTGCTTCTAACTCACAAGGTGGTGATCGCCCGTTTTATGATTTTCTTGAAGGTTGTCTTCGCCATAAGGCAGAGATGGTTATTTTTGAGGCTGCTCGAGCTATCACAGAGCTAAGTGGTGTGACGAGTCGAGAACTGACTCCAGCAATTACTGTTCTGCAGCTCTTTTTGAGCTCTTCCAAGCCAGTATTGCGATTTGCAGCTGTTCGCACCTTGAACAAGGTTGATGTCCCTATATAAGCTACTTTTATTTGCATTATAGTCTCGTGCTAGAAAATGTGCTCTTATAATGTTCCTGTCGGACTGAATACCTGTGCAAGAAGCATGGCTCTTGGTTTGCCTTTCTAGTTACAGAAACTGTATCAAGTATAAAAGTTATTTGACATTAGATGTGTTAAAGACTGTCTTTGATTTTTCTGGATGCCTTGATCTAACTTCATTTACGATAACCTATTATTTTACAGGTTGCAATGACTCATCCAATGGCTGTTACTAACTGTAACATAGATATGGAGAGTTTAATTTCTGACCAGAATAGAAGCATTGCCACACTTGCCATCACCACATTGCTAAAGACAGGCAATGAGTCAAGTGTAGATCGTTTGATGAAGCAGATAACAAATTTCATGTCTGATATTGCTGATGAGTTCAAGATTGTGGTAGTGGAAGCCATAAGATCTCTGTGCTTGAAGTTTCCTCTGAAATACAGATCACTGTAAGTAACCTACTTTCGCCCACTTGTGCAGCTCTCTGGTATCCTCTTCTCTGAGTAGTAAACACAATTGCTGCCAATTTGTAAACTACGTTGAGTTTCTAATGGGCCATGTTTCTTTTCTCAAGGATGAACTTCTTAAGCAACATTTTGAGGGAAGAAGGTGGATTTGAGTATAAGAAAGCCATTGTAGATTCAATTGTGATCCTTATCAGAGATATCCCTGATGCAAAGGAAAATGGCTTGCTTCATTTGTGTGAGTTTATTGAAGACTGTGAATTTACCTACCTTTCCACCCAGGTATATTCGGCTGATTGTTGCCTTGGTGCTATCCGTACCTATATGTTGGTCGATCGTAATCTGGTTCTGAATATACTTTGTTCTTTTTTTTTTCATAGATACTTCATTTCCTGGGGATTGAGGGCCCAAAGACTTCTGATCCCAGCAAGTACATACGTTACATCTACAACCGTGTACATCTTGAGAATGCTACTGTCCGGGCCGCTGCTGTGAGCACGCTGGCAAAGTTTGGTGCTATGGTTGATGCCTTGAAGGTACAGTGCACTGGTCTTTATAGTGACGTCCCAGCGCAGTACAGTTATTCCTATGTTTTTATTTTGAACTGAATAGAGTTGCTCTACTCATTCACTAGATCTGATATGCCCTTTGGTTCTTTTATGCAGCCGCGTATCTTTGTCCTGTTGAGGCGCTGTCTATTTGATAGTGATGATGAGGTAGGATTTGGTTTGATGGCTATTTTCTTTTCCTTGTACACATTTTGCTATTGCTATGCCAATGTTTAGTTGTTTACCTTTGCAATGTTTGCCTACTTTTGCAGGTTCGTGATCGTGCAACTCTTTATCTTAATACACTTGGTGGCGATGGAGAAGTTGTTGAAACTGATAAAGGTGTGAAGGAGTTTCTCTTTGGAGCCTTGGATATTCCACTTGTCAACCTCGAGACAAGTTTGAGAAATTATGTAAGTTATCCCTGCCTTGGTCATATATATAAGTCGTCCATGGTTCATCATGTAATACTTGCCTTGTTGGTCTTTGTTACAGGAGGCTTCAGAAGATGCTTTTGATATTAACTCTGTTCCAAAAGAAGTGAAGTCTCAGCCACTTGCAGAGAAGAAAGCTCCAGGGAAGAAGCAGCCAACTGGTTTGGGTGCTCCTCCAGCTGCTCCTCCAACTACCGTTGATGCTTATGAAAGACTTCTTTCTTCAATTCCAGAGCTTGCTAGTTTGGGGAAACCTTTCAAGGTGCTGTGTGTGCTTGCTTGTTTTAACTCATCTGCAGTTTTTTTCCTCGTGCAAACCAAGTTGCTTATGTTCTTATGGCTTTTCCATTTCTTGCTGCCAGTCCTCAGCACCTACGGAGCTTACAGAAGCAGAGACAGAATATGCTGTTAATGTTGTGAAGCACATCTATGATAGGCATGTTGTGTTCCAATACAACTGCACAAACACAATCCCAGAGCAGCAACTGGAAGAAGTAATGATTTTGGTTCTTAGGGTGCAAGTGCTCTTTCCTTGACATAAAAAAGCTTGAGACATTGCTTATGTTACCATTTCAATTATTAATGTTATCAGGTTAGTGTGGTGGTGGATTCTTCCGATGCAGAGGAATTCGGTTTCGTATTATCAAAGCCTTTGAGGTCTCTTCCTTATGATTCTCCTGGTCAAACATTTGTTGTATTTGAGAAGCCAGAGGGAGTCCCTGCAGTGGGGAAGTTCTCTAACACCCTGAAATTCATTGTTAAAGAGGTAAGTTAAACATTATTGGGGGATCATTTCTCTCATTGCTTTTATTCTGAAATACAAATGGTCGTTGCGAGTATTAACAAGGATTAACTGATTCGGCCTGGTGTTTTGCAATACACGCCAGGTTGATCCTAATACTGGAGAAGCAGACGAAGATGGTGTGGACGACGAGTACCAATTGGAGGAACTGGAAGTCGTGTCGGCAGATTACATGCAGAAGGTTGGGATTTCCAACTTCAGGAACGCATGGGAAAGCTTGGATGCTGACCTTGAACGTGTGGATGAATATGGGCTTGGTCCCAGGGAGAGCCTTGCTGAAGCTGTTAATGCAGTCATCTCTCTTCTCGGAATGCAGCCTTGCGAGGTCTGTATTCTCGCTTTAATCATCGATGATCCATTTGTATATCGTTAAACATTTCTTCTGACTGTCGTTTCATTTTTCCAGGGAACCGAGGCGGTCCCAAGCAATTCAAGGTCGCACACATGTCTACTGTCCGGTGTGTTCATAGGCAATACGAGGGTTCTTGCGAGGTTGCAGTTCGGACTCACTGGTCCAAAGGAAGTCGCGATGAAATTGGCCGTGAGATCCGATGATATCGCTGTCAGCGACGCGATTCATGAAATCGTCGCCAGCGGCTAAGAATTGGATATACAAGGAACTAGAAAGGAGGCTGTAATATTTGTGAGTGCAACCGAAGAAATTAGGACATATCATTCTTTTGTTTCCGCTTTCTCCCCCTGTTTCTTGTATTCTAAAATTTTAGAGGTCTTGGGTGAGCCTCGTTAAAGGACTCGTCATACTGTGTTGTTTTTTTGGTTTGTTATACGGCAGCGATGAATTTTGGGAGTCGATACAAGCGAGGTTAAATATATATCATGGTAGCTGCGGACTACATTTTTAGCTAAATGTTACCATTTGAGATTCCACCCATGTTTGGTTGCAAGCGTTCAATTGCAAACATTGGTAACATGTAACAGGGTGTTTGGACGACGAAATCTGTAATTCGCAACATAAAAGAGACATTCGACTAGGTTTTTTACACAAGTTAGGGTTCCTACTCCCTATAGATACAAACTTCCTTTGCATTTGCATTACAACAGCATCGACCTCAAGCATTCTTCTTCTTCTTCCATATCAATGACTCGAAACAGAGCAGGGTATAGCTCGGAGCTAAATACACTATGTTACAGGAACACAGATAAACGGCTGATCGTGCTACTGCACTTGCTCCTGCAAACCCCCCAGGCCAGGGCTCTTTTCTCTCCATCCAACATACAAACAGTTTTACTCCATCCATGCTAGCCAGGACAAGATTGTAACAAGTTCGAAGTGCCAATTAGAGCGAAGAGAATGGCGAGAGAGAAGAATGTGTTTGAATGCCGATTAGCTCCTCAGACAACCCTCCTGTGCCCACCAAAGGCCCAAATCTGAGAGGAACCACCGTAGTCAGAGAGAATTCGCCAAGGCTAAGTGATTAGTAGAAAAACATCTACCAGATCTGTTCAGTCAGAGTTTACCTTAAGATTTGAATCCCAACTTCCAGTGCATAGGGCACTTCCATCACCTGACATACCCAAACAACTTATACGACTTTCGTGTGAGGTTTGCAGAGCTCCCAAGTTCAGGACAACCTAGCCCCATCAACAAAAATGATAAACAGAGTCAAATGCCAAAGCAAAAGTTTGAGACTTTATAGATTCTCTCCTATCTAATATTCTAATCCACATTTCAAAGAAACGTTCACCTTTGCAAGAAGAGTATCCCATACATAACAGGAACCATTTGAATAGCCTGCAAAGAGAAGCCTTCCTGATATAGAGAATGCAATGGAGGTCACATGCGGTTTTTCACTCTCGCCATTCTGCTGTTGTTCGTACACTTGCAATTGATGTCCAGTCCGGATATCGAATAGCCTACAACTTCCATCATCCGAACCAGTTCCAAACCTATTCCCATCTGGAAAGAACTTGACTGCATTAACGTCTCCGTTGTGCCCGTAGAATGTACGCACAGCTCGACTTGCAACACGAGTGTCCCATAACCGAGCTGTTCCATCACAAGAACCAGATACGAACATCCTCGACGTTGTTCCATTAATCGAGATACTGAAGAATGTCACGAATAATGTTATTATCATCTACAAGACTACAGCAAATGAATCAAAGGTCTGTACATCTGAAGTAGGAGTACCACACAGTTTAATTGTTATTGAAATTGTCAAGAACCAGTTGATCCCAATAACTCGAGTTGTTGGGAGAGGTTCAATCGTGGATCATATACCACAACACTAACAGAAATAACCAACGCCCTACGGTGCAATGGTAAAGGGATATGCAAAAGCACTCTGAGATTGTTGGTTCTACCCCAGGGAATGTGGTATGTGTCGGAAAGAATATGTTACTCAAATGAGTTCCGTAACACTCACATGTTTGTTGGATTGAAATGGAGATAAAAATAACCTTGAGTAAAAACTACTAATCTAGGGATATCAATAGAGCAACAGGTGGAAAAAGCAAGACTATCATAAAACATAATCACATAATGCTTGTTTACTGACCTTAATACATCAGCAGTGTGACCAGATTGAAACTCGCCTCCAAACACAGAAGTCCTGAGACCAGTCGTGGTGTCCCATAATACACATGTCTGATCACCCGAGCTAGTTATTAGGTGGGTATCTTCGTTCGGAACATACTGACAACATGAAACATAACCCTTGTGCCCACTAAGCATCTTGGACACGGTTAGGTTGCCATCTTTGTCAGGCGGGGAATTGAGGTTGAAGATTGAGCAGACGCTATCGAGACCACCACAAGCAACTGACTGCCCGGATGGTGAGAAGGCGCAGGTCATGACCCATGCGCAAGGCAGTTTGATTGCATGAGTTTTCTGACTCGTTAGGGCATTCCATACTATTAACCTCCCATCTTGTGAAGCACTCACTATCCGGTTCTTTTCAGTAGTCCAGTCCAATGCATAAACCTTCACAAGCAAACTTTTCTTAGACAAAACCACAACTTTCTCCCAGAGTAAAACTTGGATAAATCATGTACAATGCCAAGTAAGTAGCCTAGACTGGATCACGTGGTAATTAAGCTAAATTCAATTAGGTGAAACTAAACAATCTACATCAACAATGGCTTACTAACCCCCAAACAGAATTCGATCGAGCAGGATGCTAACAGCAAAAAAAAATTGAACTTTTCCCTAAATGTTTGATTTCTCAACAAAATCACACACCAAAAGAATTGGTGGGAGTAGCTCGCTATTTCCATGAACTGACCTTGCCAGTATGCCCCTGAAGTGTCCGGCAGCACACTAGATCGGTGGGGCCGAAGGTGACCGGAGTTTTCCCCTGAGCTCTAGCGTACCCAGCAACTGCCAAACAAAAAGAATCCAATCGGATCTAACACAGGCATTCAAAGCTGGCCAAAGTACGCAGAAATGGGAAACCCACAAAGAGAACGGAGAATAACTGGAACCAGTCTCCTTTTCCCCTTTCAAAATTTGACAGGCTGGGGAAAAAAATTCAAGAATCCGTACCATCCGTATCGAGCAATTGAAGGCGTTTCTGCTTCAACCGTTCCCTGAGAGTATTGACCGTCTCCGAAGCCGCCACATGACGCTCCTTCAGCTCAGCAACGGACATCGTTGCTTTTCCTTCTTCCCCGCGAGAGCAAACAAAAACGGGCCACAACAATATGAAGCGGAAATTCGCAGAGTTTCAAATGGGAATTCGAGGAGAACCCATTAGTTGAAGCTCCTCGCCCATTCCACAATTGGAATTGAAGCTTGAACTCGGAGAATTTCGGCGTCAGAAAAGGGAATGCAGAACGGGAAGTCAGCTGAGCTGGGAGAAGGGGTTGCTATTAAGTTTGGGTTGTTGAGAGGAAAGGACGATAGTGGGGGGGAAGAAGGAGAAGAGAGCAGTTGGGAATGGAACGGTCGCCTGGCTAAGTCAGAGCGCAGCAGAGCAGAGAGAGAGAGAAGGGTCATAAAGTTGACAGAGTGGAGTGGTGAAACCGTGAAGGAAGTAAAAAAAAAAAATAGAACCGGGGAAGAAAGGAGAAAAAGGACGGTGAACGAGGGGCTATATCTAAAGAGGTGGCCCATGGGCTTAGGCCCACTAGTACCACCACGAGTCCACTATAGAATAAAAGCCAAGCTGGAGTCTCGTGAAATTGAGCCCAAATGAGGATTAGTATTGCCTGGCAATCTAGCAATCACGCGGAGACCTGTTCCTAGAGGAATCAAGAAGAGGATTTGTGTTGTTAGCAAAGAAAGATTTGATATGTGTGATTGTAGCCCCTTCAAATGGGTGACGTTGATGATTGAGTGGGAGTTCATCCGATAACATATTCGAGTTTTGGGCAAGATCAGTGTTTCTAGCGAAACCAAATACCACCGTCGGCGTGCCAAACGACGATGTTGATTTGATATTTCGCGGTGGAAATTCTTGCGGTGCCGTTTGATTAGATGCACCATTGATTGCCAAAATCAAAACAACCGTCAAATATTCCCCGGACGGTGTTGATTTGATTGGTGCAACTCTGACTTCTGAAAATGAAGACGATCGTCAAATATCCACCGGGCAGTGTTGATTTGAACGATGCACCTCTAAATGTTGAAATCAAAGTGATCGTCAAATATCCATCGCAGGGCGATGTTGATCTGATCGATGCACCTCTGATTTCTAACCAACGCAACTGTTACTATGGTTCACACCTCTACAAACTACGTTCGAACGAGGATGTTTGAGTTCTTGGGAATCTACGTTACGACTACTCCTATGGAGATTCCTGTGGAGAGCTCCGCGACTATAACTACTTAGCTTCTACCAACTATGGAGATCCTTCCTGGAAGGAGAGCTCTGCGAAGGGGTTACAGAGAAAAGGTAAAGTTTGGAACAGATGTGTTCTGTGTTGATTTTTGGTTTCCCTTCTCTCTCCTTGCTCCGCTGCTTTTATTTGAAAGCATCCTCGTAGTCTTTACGCTCCGTGAACCCGCTTCCTCAACTGCTCCGTTGTGAACTCCTACGTGTCTCAACCGCCTTGATGTCCTCAAACGGCTTCGCGTGAACTTTACGTGCAAGAAAATAACTCCCTTATTTTCATGAACCCGCGACGTTGCTCACACCTTCACGGCTCCACCAACAAAGTTGTCATAACGACGTCGTTGAACTCATTCACGAAATTGCTTAGATCGTGATGCCGTCAATCTCGCGGCAGCGTCAACCTCACGACATCGTTGAGCTCGCGATGTCGTGTTTATCTAAATGTCACCGTCCAAAATAATTATTGAAAATGTGTCGAATTGTTGTGGTGCAGGTAACGATAGATTTCGACGTGCGGTATTCGATCTAATCAAGGACAATCATCCTTTATATCAATTAATCTGGACATTCGGTCATCGCGACATTGTTTTAAAATTTAATGACTCCGCTTCCAGTCTCGCGGTGTCGTTGGCTCACTCGAGCTTTGCAGCATCTTTGTCATGTTAGGCTCGACGTTGTTCTTGCGGAACAAGCCGTCTTCTACTACCACGACATCGTTTATGCTGCAATTTCTCGCGCCATTGTTTTTACTAAACACTGTCATTTCTTATTACAGTGGTATCGTTGGGATTTGACTTTTTGCGGCATAGTTAAATTCTTGCAACACTGTCTTTAACTAAACAATATCGTCTTCTTAGTGCCGCAATGTTATTTTTGCGTTGCACGACTGTGAGGGTACCAAGCAACGCTGGGATATGGTCAAGCGAATTAACGATATTGTTTTATATCAAACACTGTCGTTTTCTAATCCGCGGTGTCGTTTTTAGCTAAACAACACCGCTTGGTTCTACCCGCGACATTGCTTGTCACTAAACGATACTGTTTTTTATCCTTCTCCGACATGGAATAAAATAAACTCATTTTCCAACCTCAACATCAACATTCAAAACCGCTCACGACATTGTTTTCTACTAAAACAATGTCGTTTCAAGTACCGTGGCTGGTAGTGGTAATCGGTCGGTAACCGGTTAACCGGTTAGCGACCGACCCGGTTAGCAGTATACCGTTCACGACATGGGAGAACTCGAATATCGATATCGGTTTGTAACCGGTTAACCGGTTAACGAACACCCGGTTAACGGTTACAAACCGATTATACCGGCTACCCACGAGACACACCTCCTCCTCTCTTTCTCATTCTCGACAAATGGACTCTCTCTCTCTCCCAAACCCTCTCCAGACCTCCTCTCTCTCTCTCGTTCGCCTCTCCCCAACCTTCCCAGACCTCCTCTCTTTCTCGATTTCCTCTCATCTCCCCATTCCTACACTAATCGCCGCCGACCGTTGTCGCCGCCGCATTGAACAAGCTTGCTCTCTGCCCTCACCACCATTCCAGCCTCCAGTCGTTGTCGCGGCCGCCGGATTATGGATTTTTTGGCGGTGTCAAGAGATCCGGGTGCCTCCTCTCGCGATCCAGATCTCCGGCGGCGAGGAGAAAGAGGAGATGGGTGAGGCGACAACCATCCCGCCGCCATCTCGTCGTAGCCCTCCCTTTGCTCCTGCTGCTCCCACCAAATACATATCCAAAAGCATGCAACCTCCTCTGTAGTTCGATCTGGGTTCGAGTTGTCCTTCTCCAGTCCACGTGCTCAGATTTGGAAAGATCGAACCTCTACTTCATCTCTTCGGCGACGAATCGATGGCGGAGCATCCCTTGGAATTCAAGACATCGGCGATGGTGGTGTGCATGAATCCGTGCTCTAGCGGAGAGGTGGAGGCGGCGTCGTGGAGAGGTGAAGGCGGCGTCGACAGGGAGAAGGGTTGGGGAGGAAGTCGAGCGAAGGAAGCCGGTATCGGTATACCGTAAAACCGTCGGTATATACCGACAGAGGAGCCGGTATACCGAAATCCTTTGAGGCGCTGCCGAATACCGATACATCCCGGTTATCGGTACGGTTATCGGTTAAACCGGTAACCGAAAAACCGATTGTCACCCCTAACCGCGGCATTGCTTGCCTTTCAACGACACCATTTTTTTGTCATGCGGCCTCGAATTAAATGTCGAGACTAATTAATGTGGCATTTAATTTACGCCAAAAATATTTTAGGTGGAAACAATCAGAGGACATGATCGAGAGACTCAAACAAATGTATGTCTCGACCATGTATCTGGGGTTTTTTTTTCATTCGTGCTTCGCAGTGGGAACTTTCACTAGGTCGATTTGATTGTGCATCTGACTTTTCGATTATCAAGATTTCGTTACTAAGGTTCCCAGTAAATGTAGAAAAATATGATTACTCTTTAAAAATGTGAGAACTTTCACAATGTCAATTTGATTGTGCATATGACTGGTGTTCACCGTTGATGTTGAGTGCGGTGCGATCAGAATATATGATGGCTCTTTAAAATGTAGAAAAGGAAATAACCTTTTGTGATAGGAAAGCAAGGGTGCGGGTCATTTTAATGACCCGCAACACGCCCACCAGCCACCCGTATTAATACGGGTAGAAAATAAACGACCGATGGTTCACTCACATTTATTACCCACCCACCCCCACTTTGAATCTTTTGTGGGTCGTCTGGTCCATTTCAACTACTCATTCAGTCAATTTCTCGCCCCTGTCTCTTACCCCCTAAGATTTGTTTTAATTAATTCTATAACAATCTTTCCTTTTTTGTTTTCTTTTAATTTACTTTCTTTCCTTTTCTCCTCGCTCTTGCATTTCTCCCCGGCCCTATAAATGCGACCATGCTCTGTACTAATTGTTGGTGTGTCTTCCTATTCTCTTTTCACTTCTTCTTACGCATGGACCTCGAAGCAGAACTCGTGAGCGACGAGTCGCCCTCGTTCATGAGTCTTCTCCTTGACAATGATCATCCAATACAACAAACACTGCAACTTGAAAGTTTCGTAGGAGGGATTCACAAAACACCATCTTCTTTTTCCTTCTCTTCCTTCTCTTCTTCATCACATTCCCCTAATGACTTGCTCATTCAAAATTTCCCTCATGTTGATGATCACCATTATCAACCCCACCAACCCTCTATTGAAGGCTTTCTTGACTATAGCAACAATCCTAATAGTTTCTCAATTGAAGGGTTCTCTTCTTCGTCGATCTCATCGCAAACCATACAAAATCCATATTTTCCCGTCTTCCCACAACAAAACAATCTGCCCTTTCCGAATCCTTCTCTGATAAGGATTGGCGAGGATGAGGTGGGGAATGAGAGACCATCACTCTCAGCAGAATCTCCAAAGAAATCTCCCGCCAAAGGCCAATGGACCGATGAAGAAGACAAGTTAGTTCTCTAATTTTCTTTTATTATTGTTGTTTTGGTATCAATCTCGTTCATAATATGAAAATTTTCTCCATGATTTTTAAGCCGGCTGGTTCAATTGGTGGGTGAGCTTGGAGTCAAGAGCTGGAGTCAAGTTGCTAAGAAGCTTGGTGGTAGAATTGGAAAACAGTGTAGAGAAAGGTGGCACAACCATCTAAAGCCCTATATCAAGGTATTTACACATCAAAACCTCCCCCGTGTTTAACGATCTATCAATCATCTGATTCAATCTGCTGTGGATGTGCATATCATATACTCGGTCGAAATTGATTGTTGTTTTACTCTGTTTTCTGGGATTGTATTTTTTTCGAAAATCGTATTTAATTTTTCGTTTAGTTTTCAATAGTGCATGTAAAGATACATAAAACGCTTCTTTTAACTGTATCTGTAGCCGCTCAATTCTCCCGGACGAAAATCACGTGTAATTTTTATATGGTATTTGACACTTGTCGTGCATTCATTGGAGGTCATACGTGGAGCTCGCGCACGTCTGTTTGTTATTAGAAAAAAAAAAAAAATTTTAACTGGGTGCATAAAAGAGTAATGAACTTACCATGTGAGCGAAATTGTCTTTTATATAGAGTGACAATTAGAAGTAATTAAAACAGTTACATAACAAATCGTGAAAACGTTTCTCATGTTGGGTCCTATTTACAGTTATCAAAATACAATGGTGTTTAAATTACTTTGTAAAATATTAACTCTAATTTGTTATATCGTACCGTACCGATAGCCGGATCATAAAAATATATTAATGCTTAATCATCAAAAAAAAATTAGACTTCTATTTTTTTCCACCATATGGGCCTGTAATAATACGTGGTGTGGATTGTGGTGGGCTGCAGAAAGATGCATGGAGCGAGGAAGAGGATATGAGGCTAATCCAGGCCCACATGGAGTTAGGAAACAAATGGGCCCAAATCGCGGAAGTACTCCCGGGCCGGACCGAGAACAGCATCAAAAACCACTGGAACGCCACAAAAAGGCGACAGGTCAATTCCGCCAGGAGGAACTACCGCTTCCCTGAGCCCTCCGCCGCCCTCAAGAACTACATCGACGCCGTCACCTCGCCGTCCTCGCCGTCAATTCAATCTCCTGCGTCGTCCAGTTTGGCGACGAATGGCGGCTCGTCCATCGGATCTCCGTCCGAGGAAGCTTCTGAGGCGCCTGCCACCGGCGTAATGAATGAACTGAGCGAGGCGGCGGAGCAGCCGTTCGATTTCGGTGGCGGCAGCGATTCGGGGTACGGAGCGGGCGGGTTCGGGTCTGATATGGAGATTGATGGATTTTCGGTTGCTGATTTCGATTATTCGAATTTGGTTGGGATGTCGATTGATGGTTACAACGGCGAGGTGGAGGGTGACGGGACGGTGAGGGCCGGCGACGGCGGGGAAGAGGTGGAGGGGATGAGTTGGCAGGATATTCTGAATAGCCAAGTTTAATTATGTTTGGTGATTTAGTTATGGAATAATTAAGTTTGGTAATTACATCAATTAAAGCATTGTTCTGTAGGGAAAAGGGACTGCCTTTTTCCATTAATGGCGTTAATGACTTTTGCTGTTTTCTTTTGAAACTAATAAATGTTTTTTTGGTAATGTCTATTTTAATGAATGTTTTTTTTTTTGGTAATGTCTATTTTATAATGAATGTTTTAATGAATGTTTTTTTGGTAATAGATATTTTTATTATTCAAAATATTGAAATAATAAGAATTAGTCAAATGTTAACTTTCAATTAATAATTTTGTTAGTAATATTGACTTAACAACATGATACTGACTTGGATCAGATACACATGAAGGTCAACATTCTAAAATGTAAGTATTTTAATTAAGAAAAAAGTTACAAAACTATTAACGACAAGGTAAAAATGATTAATATTTTGATGCATTACGAAAGATTTGGCTAATTAATAACATTTTAATAAGTTTGAATAATATAAAAGAATCTTAAAAACGTTTGGATAAAAAATAGACATTACCCATTTTCTTAATGAATTAAACTACCAAACTATAGTTTGGCCAATCAAACCTAATTTGAAACATTTTGACTTAATAAACATGGAAAATAACAGGACACACAACTCTCTGCTACAAAACCATGGGATGAGTTAGCTCGATTACTATCTAATGGGTTGGAAAAACGACACCCCTTATTAGTTGTAAGTTTTTAAGGTATTAAATCTGTGTTTCATTTAATGATATGTGAAAATTAAAAATTCATATTAATTACATTACTTTTTTATATTAAAGATACATTAATTGCATTTCTATCTCCATATTTCTTACTTTTTCCTCTTCCAACAGTATTTGTTGCATTTTTCTGGTAGACTCCTTCCAATTAGGAATGACAATGGGGCAGGTCCGGGGCGGGTATCTCGATACCCATACCCGCCTCGTGGCAGGTCGGGTCCGGGTCGGATAATTTATCATGGGGCGCGGGTCGGGGCAGGTCGACCCATTGGGTATATAATTTATGCGAAAAACCTTAGAATTATTAATTATTTTAATTAAAAAACCAAGAAAGAAACTATAATATGATAAAATGTAGTTAAATTATTGGAGAGATTGAGTTTTCACTTATTTACAACTTTATTATACCTAAAATATGATGTAATAAGAGGAAAATCCTAAGAAATTTGACTAAGATTACATGTAATTTAGACCAGAACGGGTCGAGAATGGGGCGGGTCAGGGCAGGTCGGGTTGATGAGAGGTACCCATTCCCGCACCGCCCCGCCTACGGGGCTGGTTGGACCCGCCCCAAAACAGGCCAAACAGGTCGGGTAAATCGGGTCAGGTCAAAATTGTCATCCCTACTTCCGATCATACTCTCATCGGCAAACTCCTTTCGATCAGATTTTCTCCAACAGACCTCCTTTGACCATCTAAAAAAAGCATCACTGCATTTAAAAGTATCATTTCGCTGATAACTTTACCTGTACACTGATACTATTGCATTGATAACATTACCAGTACACTGATACAAACTACCAGTACATTGATAACGTTACCACGGGAATTAAACGTGTCAGCCGCCGCCAATGAGAGGAGCGACGGTATAAGGAGTTGCAGAGACGCGACATGAGGAGTTGCTGGGAAGGCGACCGTGGGTTCGTGGTGGAGTGCGGCGGCGGGGAGATGGAGGAGAGGGAAATGTAATTAACGTAGGTTTAATTTTGAAAAAAAAAGAAATGTAGTTAATATGAATTTTTAATTACCACAAATTATTAAATGCAACACAAATTTAATACCTTAAAAGTGTATAATCAATAGGGGTGTCGTTTTTCCAACCCCTTTGGTGGTAGTCATACTATCTCGCCCCGAGAATTATAAGATTTAATTAAGATTTGTCCATTTTAATGTTATCTAATGACCCAAAATCATTAAAAACAAAAACTACGAAGGGACAAACCAGTAATTTCGCACCCTGTCCTTTTCTGTTTTTTAAACCAAATCCAGAAAAGAATTTTTTTCTCATATTTGTTTAATCGAATCATATCTCCTTCGTTTTCTAACTCATAATTTAAATCTTTTTACATAGAACTCACACATTAATTAAGATATACACAATGATATTCATTTTGCTCTTCAAACACTTGTTCTTTCTAAAATTGTCAGTGTCATGATGTAATATCATGATCTTATCACTACGATAGGACTTACTGCATACCGTACTACTATCATATCAAGATATAATCACTATGATAATATCATAATATGACAGTGTTATTAGGGGTGACCATTGGGTGGTTGAACCCCAAATCCACCGGCAATTGACCCACTCATTATCATGTGGGTGGTTTTTATGGGTGAGTATGGGTTGTAAAATAGGTGACCCACAAAAAATTGGGTGAGTGCAGGTAGACTGTGGCTGAGGATTGTGTTGTGAGGTGTGCTTAAGCAATTGGTGGGTACGCTTAAGCATAATTGGAAGAAAAACACAATTGTATTTCCCAAAAATGACATCATCTCAAGCTACCACTGATTCGTCCTTCATTCCTTCCATCAATTTGGAATGGTAATTTGTCATTATAGGTTAAAGAGCTATTTACACTGACAACGCCTAGGCGAATGAGGCGCTAGGCAAGACCAAAACTTTTGCCTTAGTGCCTTCTTGAACTTTGGTTATTATCAGGCTTAGACCATGGTTGTCAGTTGAATATTTTGTAACTTATGGACCATTACCTATACCAATATTGTGAAATAAATTATTCACCTGGCGTATGAATTTAATACTATTTATAATTTTCTTTCATTTTAACTTTAAAAATATTGAAATTATGTAATCATATGAAATATATGTTGTAAACCCACCGAATCCATCACCCATCTCACCCCACCCACATGTAATACTTGGGTGAGTGTGGGTCATTTTTTCCTTCACCCACCTCGTAGAGGGCGGTTCCACATCTAGTCAAATCGCATAGAACCACCCACCGCTCACTCTTACGTGTTATGATGTCATTAATTATTCTAGTTATTTTCTCAAACATAACACTTCATAATAACATCATATCATAATATCATAACTGTATCGAATTATTTTTATCAACCATAAGACTTTATACCAATATCATATCACATCCATATATTCTTGTAAAAAAAATAATATCACATTCATATAATATAATATAATATGATATGATATTATCACTACACCACAATGATAGAAACATGATATTATCACTATACTACAATGATAAAATCATGATACAAGAGTGAAATATGATGTCATCATTTTTTTGGGTCAAATATAAGTGTTCATACCAATATCATATCAGCACCATACCACTTTGATATCATACCACTGTTACTGGTAAGATGACTATAAATTTTTTTGTTCAAGAAATATCATATCGTAAAGTACAAAAATATGATATTTCTACACAATTTTTTGTTTGAAATTCGATACGAAATAAATGAGATATGATATATTTTAAAATTTTGTAGAAAATTTAAAAAGTGTTTACCATAATTCTGGTCAGCTATTTCTCAAACCTCTACTTTTCCATCTAATTTGATCCAACCTATAATTTCAAAAGCGATTAAAATCCAACCTAACCCAATCCAAAATTCGAGAATACTGAATTTTACCCAAATCGACCGAGTTGCAATCTAGTTGGGTAACCAAGTTTTCGAGTTCTAGTACCCACGGATTATGGCGGATCCAGATTCTAGAGAAGCCGATATATATCCCACGTGTCCCTAATAGCCGCGCTCCTAATTCCTAAATCTCTCCCCATTTCCTCTCGCGGATAACAAATCAGCCGCAGTTCTTCTTCCCCCAATTTGATCGCCGAAACCTCTCTACCAAAAATGCTCCGGATGAACCCTAAGAAACGGCCGCGCGTGGCTGTCCACAACCGCTACCATACCGCCGGCGGCGCCGCCGCTGCTTCCGTCTCTTCCACCTCCGCTCTCATCGATTCCGTCGCAGACAGAACCATCAGCGAAACTTCTCAGAAGATCCGGCGAACATCCTCCCATCCACAGCTCCTTTCGTCCTCCGCCACCTCCGCCGCTGCCGATGCCGCCATTTCGTTCGACGATCCCGCCACCGCCGACGTACTCCTCCGCCTCTTCCTCGACCCCACCATTGTCACCATCGACGGTTCCTCCGGCCAGGTCTCTCCACCCGTCACCGATGAGCGTTCGGACGTCCTGATCTACCTCCATTCCGATGTCCTCTGCCGCGCGAAGTATTTCTCCGCTCTCTTGTCCGATCGCTGGCAGCGGAGCAACACGAGCAGCAACGAGGATGCTGAGAAGGGGCCCGATGACGTCTCTGGCGGTTCCGATGCGAAATTGAAGCATCTGAGATACGGTGTTCCGCTCGGAGAGGGTTCGATTGATCATCGTCTCGCGGTGCTGAAGCTCCTTTACACGGAGGATTTCCCGTCGGTGATATCTTCGGCCTCGGTCGCGCTCGACCTGCTTCCGGCGGCGCTGCACTTGATGTTCGAGGATTGCATCACGTATTGTGTGAGATTCCTTGAGGCGGTTCCGTGGAATGAAGAGGAAGAGAGGCGGGTGCTGCAGCTGGTTCCGTTTCTCAGAGAGAATGAATCCAAGGAGCTTTTGGCCCGGATTTCGACGGAGGACGAGGATTCCTGTGCGGAAATGCTCGAGGGATTGATCGCTGCCGCGGCCATTCACAACCAGCCTAACCTGGCCTTCGTGAAGGCGTTTGTTGCCAAGCTGTTGAGGGATTTCTCCTCGAGGGATGCTGCCAGGACGGCGTTGGAGAACGCTTTCAGGAGGAGCTTCAGGGTTGTGAAGGATTCGTTGGAGGAGTACTCGAGTCCCGATTTCAGAGGCGGCCACAATGAGACTGAAGCCATACAGCGGGTGAACCTGCACACTGCCATGACCAATGGGAAACATTTGCTGTGGATTGTGGAGAGGATGATTGAGCTGAGGGTGGCGGATAAGGCCGTGAAGGAGTGGAGTGAGCAGTCTGGTTTCACAGCTGACTTGCAGAGGGCTTTCCGGGATGATGCGTGGAGGAACATCGTCCCTGGCCTTCCAGCCATTGTCATTCGTTGCACTTACAAGCTTGCCTCTGCGGTTGCTACTGGTTCCATTCTGGCTGCTAGAGAGGTACTCTACTCGAGAACTTATTCACAATTTTCTGTCCCGTTTCCAATTGGGTAAATGTCAAAGCTAGTGAATTGTGCTGTAGGAGTAGTTTTAGCTCTGCCCTTTTCTAGGATGGAATCATGGAAGAGACAATTTGAGTTTGCCAATTGTATATAGTCTGTTAATTCGTTGTGCTTATGGCTGGAATTCGTTCTCAAGTAATTGGCATTGGAGAAAAGTTTCTAAGTGAGTTGTTCTAACCTCTAAACTAATTGAATTGGCAAAAAACTAATTTGCACCTCATTAAATCCACTTGAGATTGGTCCATCACTCGGACAATCTTGTATTGACATGACTTTTCCGGATATCCAATCATCATTAAAGCGATTAACATTAGAGCGATTAACTTGACCATGGTCCTTAGTGTCTGAGGGTCTTTGGTGGTATAGGATTCTGAATGGAAGGATGGGTCTTGAGGTGGTCTATATTACCAACTGGTTGGTGCAGTATGAAGTTTAGTTTAAGGGAGCATATGGCGAGGATGACAGTAAGAGCATGCGCTATTTTAACCTTTTAGGGAAGTATTGCTGGTGGGAATGGTGTTTTTGTTGTCTTATCAATGTGGCAAAAGTGTCTTGACTTTTAGTTGCCAATGATGCATCACCCAATGTAGTGATGGATCCCGGGAATGAGTCGATGGACAACAAACAATTTGTGTTGTGAAGTCAACCGTGGTCTGCTTGGGGCGTCTGCGAATCATTACTTTCTTACTATGGTGCTGCATGTGCAGGTGAGGATGAAACTTGTACAGGACTGGCTTCCTGTTCTAGTTATATGCAAAGACAACGTCTCCCCTATGTCGCCTGGTCATAAGGCACTGTATATGGAGCTTGAGGAGACATTCTTGATGATAATCTCAACCCTTCCCATGTCAGATGCCCAAGAATTGCTTCAGCAGTGCCTCAGCTTCTCGACTAGGAACGTTGAAGATTGTCCGCACTTGATGACTGCTTTCAACACCTGGTTCCGTCGTGCAGCTCGTCCTCTACCACAAGATGATCAGCATTCCTGAATTGCTACCGTATCTAACTTCGATGGTTGCTCCGTATCGAACTTCGATCACAGCCAAACAGTTTGGCTGGTGTGGTTCTGCCGTTTCATTCGATGCCTAAAAAGTAATAACTGTTAAATGAGTTTGTGAATATTAGTCTTGGCTTCGGTAGAATGGCCTTAGTGCTGGTAGTTTGTTGGAAGAGAGGCTTGAATCGGCCCCGACCTCGAAGTACATGGATTAGAACAGAACTCTTGAATGCTTTGTAAGTAAGAACATCTTTCGTTTCATGAATCCTATTGAATTGGTGGGGTTAGGTTGTCGAGAAGAAATCAGGGTGATTTCGAAATCATGAAAATCCAACAGTCATATTCACCCAAAATCCACAATCGAAACGACTTTCTTCGTATGTTGATCTGTTGGCATCAAAATGGATTTGCTAACAACGGCAAGTACGAAATTTAGACCAAAGAAATAACAAGATGGCCTTTCCATAGTATTGTAGTTGTTAACTTAAGCAATCAGAATAGCCTCCTCCTGAAGTTACCAGTTGTGCCTTGGTATGTTCTAACTAGCAACCCTACACCTATACCGATACCGAGGCAAACGCTCAATCCAATCCCAACACCAACTCGAACACCAGCATTGAACCACGAGAGCTCCCCATCTTCATCTTCTTCCATGTAGTAGTAATCCATCCTCCGATAGCCATCGTTGTACCCTTCTTCATTTTCGGGCTTCTGTACATATGGGGATTCTGCTGACTGCATCAATCATCAATACAGCAATGATAAAGAGGTTTGCTCTTAATAATCAGTGACTTCAGAAATCACCATGCAGTTCTAATCATCTATCATAACACAAACGACCAATACACCCTTATGTATATACCTGTAAAGGAAGCCTGTTGGATGGCCCATTCTCCATAAGATTCCCAACAATTTCATCATGTTCGGCTATAGAATTCACGCATGCTCCTTTCCTCGCTCTGTTCGTATGAATGTGGAGATGCAAACCCTTGGTTAAGATAATCGGACTCCCCAAGAATGATCCAGCAACGTATACCTCGATGCTAGGCGAGCTTGGTGAATCTGAACCCATAAACTGTTTGGGTTTCAGGAAGCTGCTGCTGCTGCCAGTAGTTACGTCTGACTCGCACTTCATGCTCCACCTCGGATGAGAATGGTTTCTCAATTCCAACTCCCCGTGCAGTATCAGAGTATGGTTATTGAAAACATTGAACTTCATGCTACCTGTCGTCCTCACATTGTCGGTGCTCACGAATGTAGCTTCCTCGGATTTCTTATCCAACCGGTCTCTCCGAAGGAGTGTGGATGCGCCGTCGGAGTCTATGAGTGTTCTAACACCATTGACTTCGAGAAGGGCATCGGGAGATAGCGGAACGTGGTTTACAATGAGGTATTCTGGTGTTTCTGAATCGTCGATCTCACACTTGCTAACTCGAACATAGAGTACTTTCAAATCAAGCCAAGGTAATGATGATGATGATGATGATGATACCTTATGACCATTTTCCATTGGTCTACTAATATATCCATTGGATGTTTTCTCCATGACAGAGGCTGAAGAAATTGATTAACCAATCCTCTGGTCTTTTCAATCTTCAGCAAAATGCTTTCACCATGTTCAGCCAGTTTGTGTTAATCCTCTGCAGGCAAAAACTCATAATATCACCACATTGATGAAACTTAAACTCCAGGTAATCAATATACAAACAATCGCCAAGGGGATAGACTGGGTTCGACTACTTTACAAGCAAGAGCAGCAGCACGTTTCAGCAAAGGAGTCCAAAATGCACTGCCTATTCAAGTCCAGTGGAAAGTAGAGAGAATTGAAGCAGACAGTAAGAATTTGATTGGATTGTATTTGAAAAGAGGGTAATCAAATATACAGTGTTCTCCCATTCCTCTTTCAGTTGGAGAAGCAAAAGCGTGGTAGTTGAATGTAGGTGAGAACTGAGGAGGGAAGCAGGCAGCATATGCGAATTGCAAATAGAAGGAAAGAAACAAAGAGATAAAGTGATAAGAAGATGAGACAAACAGGCATAACTCCAAGAACTCAGGCCAGTGATGAAAGCCACCCCCAGGCCAGAAAGGGTCAGGATTGCATTTATTAGCAAAAGTGCACGAAGAAGTAAAAAGAATACAGTAAAAGAAGTTTCTAACAAAATGAACCAACCATCCACAGTCAATTTCTGCACCTAACATCAAGTTTGTCAGCCAGTAACTAGACTAGATCACAAGATGGAAGAAGCCCAGAAAACAAAAACAAGAACTTTGATCAAACTACAGAATATAGCACATTGCAAAGAGCTAAACCAGACTTCCCAGCAAATTTGAAGGCACTGGAGCACAGATTAAGCATGTGATAGAAGCAGACAGTACACTTTCTTACTTTCTTTCTTTCTACCCTGCTTCTGGTAAGCAGTCTCAAATCAATCTAAACCAGAGGAGAGAAGAAATTGTTTCTTATAAACCCAACTAAGAGAATAGGGGAAACAAACTCACAACTCATCCCAAAAATCTGGAATCCCCAATCTTTGCATCGAAGTGGAGGCCTGGGAGAGAAGTAATTGTACTTGTATCGCCTCCAGAAGCAGAAGGAAATTTCAGAGCTTTTAATGCTCTGCCCGAAAACCGCAGCCGTAGAAGTACAAGCAGTAACAGCAACAAACTTGACATATCAAAACCCAGAAGGAAGAAGAAAAGCCGGCTTCTTAGCTAACCAGTCGCTTCAATAATCAGAATGAAGAACGAATGGGAAAGAACCCAATTGTTGAATTTCCAGAAGGAAAAATGGGTTGCAACCTTTTTGACTTGGAAATGGATTCGACAGAGGAAATATGAAAGGATTTCCCCCACGGTTTATGAAATGAAAATGGTGGGTAAGGAGTTGCTGCATGTTTCTTCTGGACGATAGAAAATGTATATTTGGAAAGGAATTGAAGAGTAAAGTAGCAGGGTCATCCTGCATCCGATATTCTTTAGATCTTATCCCAAGAACAAGCAGAAACGGACAGCAGCAGGAATATTCACAATCACAGCGGCCGGTGTAATTGATAGTGACGTTAAGTTAAATTCTTATCTCATTTATAGCTGCATTGTTGATTTGCAACTACATTGGTTGTAATTGAATAGCTTATAGCTGATTCACATGGTCGGCACGAAATAGTATTGTATTTGCGGCCATGGATAGATATTAGTAATATAGACACAGAGAGGTGATCAGTGGTAAGCAATTAGGCACGACTACCTGAAACTTAGGAAGCTTCAATGGCCGTGTCAGCCACTGGTTCAAGATCGCTGGTCGTGAGAATCGGATTACATCAGAAGAAATTAATTATGCTGCGATGGACCAAAACAGAGCAATCGGACATGGGTTTCAGATTGCATGTTCGCCTTGTTTGATTGTTGCTAAGGGTGGGATGCAGTTCTGAAATGGGAGTGTTCTTCAAAATGCCATCATTTCAATATCTCGGGTTCCGAACTACTCTTGTTGGAGAAGAACAGAGCACAATTGCTATTCATAAACCGCTGCTGGAAGTTTTTGACTTGAACCGAGCTATCAACACAATCCAAGAGAAACAGCAGAAGGCTTATGAACTATTTCTATCAATGTCATCAATTATACCACCAATTATTTCTATCAATGTCTAATAGTTTCGAACTAGAGAAAATGATGGATACCATCATACCACCAATTTGTCAAAATCAGATCAATACAGTTCTTGCCAGGAAATGATAGGCACCTACTACCTCGTAAGCATTCGCTTCAAAGTGCATTCAGACATAACAAGAAGAATGAAGAGGATGCAGTAACCTTTCTGAGGTCCTATCCAAGTTGGTTTGAAAAAAACTGAATTTCCTTGTCACCGAGGAATAGCAGAGTCTAGGAAAATTCACAAAAACGGGATCAAAATCAGTGGCTAGCCAAAATCAAATCAAGGAATGAAACTTCGGAACACAAGAGACAAACTAATACAAGCATGTGAATTGTGATGAAGAACACTTAATGCTAAGAAGAAGATCACATGTTGAACACAGTAATTGAACAAATGATTAGACGGCAAGCTGCAATGTTTCTGTACAAAAATGGAGAGAAAGAGAACGGGGCCATGACATCGGATTGATTAATTACTTAATTTATTGTTAAGTAGTTCTCGAGGACAAGTGAGGATGCAAAGAACACAGGACATTGTAAAATATAACAGCACGGTGAGTTCCTCAAAACTAGTATCACAAGGATTTCAGAGCACAAGGAAGAACAATAAACCTAACAGCTTCGAGGAAAGTCGGGCGAAAAATCCACCACGAGTTTCAGTTAACAGAGTAAGTCATTGTTGGACCTAACAGCTTGTTTCAGTAACCACAGAAGGTAGGGCTGGGATAAAAAAAAGAAATGCATTGCTAGAATCAGCCTTCTGTTGGAGTGCTGAACTGAAGCTGGAATCCTTCTCCTTCTCGGATTAGGATTGTGTGAAAGCTGCTGTTAGTCTGAAGCGGCATCGTTTTATTTAAGAGTCTGTGGAATAAAAGCCAAATCGTGTTATTGGCTAAGTGTTCATTTGGTCCTTGTAGTTTGTGGTTTGTACAGTTGAGTCGAGCAGTTAGATTAGAGCAGTTGTAGTTGCAGTTAGATTATGCAAGCTGATTAGTAGGGCTGCAGATCGTGTGAGGTGTTGAGATCATGTGTAAACACCAGTATTTAAGTCTTTCTATCGTCATTAATAAAGAATGTCAGTTTGCAATACATTAGAGTTCTACATTGTGGTATCAGAGCACTGATGGCAGACTGTAACCAAAAGAGAAACAGCATTGAGTGAAATTGTTAACTATCTGGGAATAGGGAAACACGAGAGTTTCTTGGTGAGGAAAGCCAGATTGGGGTGTGTGAGAAAGAGAGACAATGGGAGAGAATGGTAGCAGTGCTCAGGTCTGTATTCCCAAGTTTGATGGGGATTATGAGCACTGGACCTTGGTTATGGAAAACTTGCTCAGATCTAAGGAGTACTGGCTAGTGATCAGTCCAGGCTTCAGGGAACCTGCAGCAGGAGAGGAGCTTACAGCAGCACAAACGAAAACTCTGGAGGAGTTGAGACTGAAGGATCTCAAAGCCAAGAACTATCTCTTCAGCAGCATAGACAGAACTTTGTTGAAGACTATTGCCAAGAAGGGAACAGCAAAGGAGCTATGGGACTCCATGAGAGAAAAGTTTCAGGGCAGTGAAAGGGTTCAGAAAGCTCAGTTACAGGTACTCAGAAGGAACTTTGAATTACTTGAGATGAAAGAAGGTGAGTCTGTGTCTGATTACTTTGCCAGAGTTATGGTGGTTGCTAACACCATGAGGAACTGTGGAGAGGATATGCCTGATGAGAAAGTAGTTGAAAAAATCCTTAGAACTTTGACTGATAAATTCAACTATGTAGTCTGCTCCATAGAAGAATCAAAGGATATAGGATCTCTGACTGTTGATGCACTGCAAAGTTCCCTTCTGGTGCATGAGCAAAAGTTCAACAGGAGGTCTGTTAGGATTGTTGCTGAAGAAGAGCATGCTCTGAGGGTTTCTCATGAGTTTGGAAGAGGTGGTAGAGGTAGAGGGTTCTATCAAGGCAGAGGTAGAGGAAGAGGAGGAAGAAGCTGGAATAAAGGATCTGTTGAATGTTACAGATGCCACAAGATGGGGCATTATCAGTATGAATGCCCTGAATGGTATCAAAATCAACAAGCTCACTATGCAACTGCAAGCAAGGTACAAGATAGAAGTCTTGGGGACATGGATGAGGATATGTTGTTGATGGCCTGTGTTGAAACTGAAGACTCTAACGAGTGGGAGGAAGAAACACAAGGCCTGATGACAATTCTTGATCCTGTTAAAGAACATGCTAGTGAAAATTGGTGGTTTTTAGACTCTGGATGCAGTAACCACATGAGTGGTGACAAGAAGTGGTTCACCAGCATTGATACCAACTTTGCCTGCAAAGTGAGGCTAGGAAACAATTGCAAGCTGGAGGTTGCTGGGAAAGGGGAAGTAAGAATGCTTGTAAATCAAAGAAGCATTGTGATACAGGAAGTGTTTTATGTGCCAGGTCTCAAGACCAATCTGCTAAGTCTTGGTCAGTGGCAAGAAAGAGGTTTGACATTTGTGATTGAAGAAGGAAGTTGCAAAGTTTATCATAAGCAGAAAGGGTTGATTCTGCAGACTGATATGAAGACTAATCGAATGTTTGTGCTCCATGCTGAGCATAATCCAGAGAATCAACAATCTCAGTGTCTCAAAACTACTGTTGCTACAGATCCTACTCTAACACTGTGGCATCGCAGGTTTGGACACTTGGGAATGACCAATTTGCAGCTACTGCAGACAAAGCAGCTTGTGAAGGACTTGCCAAAACTGAAGGGAGAAATTGGGATATGTGAAACTTGCATGATTGGCAAGCAACACAGGACTGCATTTCCTAAGAAAAGTCAATGGAGAGCAACCAAAGCTTTGCAACTGGTGCATGCTGATCTCTGTGGACCTATAACTCCAATTTCTAATGGAGGGAGGAGGTACATTCTTACTTTGATAGATGACTTCAGCAGAAAAATGTGGGTGTTTTTCATGGTAGCAAAGTCAGACACTATAGACTGCTTCAGGAAATACAAACTACAAGTTGAGAAAGAAATGGAAGTGGAGATTAAGTGTTTAAGAACAGATAGGGGTGGTGAGTTCATGTTAAATGAACTGCAGCAACTGTGTGAAGAGGCTGGAATAAGAAGACAGTTGACTGCTGCATTCACACCTCAGCAAAATGGTGTGGCAGAAAGAAGAAATAGAACCTTGATGAACATGGTTCGATGCATGTTGAGTGATATGAAGGTTCCATCAAGGTTCTGGGCTGAAGCAGTGGCTTGGACTTGTCATGTACTCAATAGGAGTCCAACCAGAGCTAATCAAGGAAAGACCCCTCAGGAACTGTGGACTGGAAAATCTCCTTCAGTGTCTCATTTCAGGATCTTTGGTTGTGTGGCTTATGCACACATACCAGACCAACACAGGAGAAAACTTGATGATAAGAGTGAGAAATGTCACTTTCTGGGGATTTCAGTGGAGTCCAAAGCTTATAAGCTATATAATCCCAGAACCAAGGCAGTTACAGTGAGCAGGGATGTTGTTTTTGATGAAACAAAGGGGTGGAATGTGGATTTAGGCTCATCAGCAGATCAAACTACACTGGATTGGGAAGGCAGAGATGAAAGCTGGGAAGATTCTGATGCAGAAGAAGAAACTGAGTATTCAGTTCCTGATCCAGAAGTAGCTGACTCACAACCTGCAAGTCCAAAAACTGCAGAAGCAACTGAAAGTGAGAAAGAAGCAAGAAAAGATGATCAGGAGGTCACAACAGATGTGTTGGGATCTACTAGCACAAAAAGAATCAGAAAGCCATCAACCAGACTTGATGGTTATGACTGGCAGACTCATCTCACTGTGCTTGACAGCTCTTTCTCAGAAGATGAGTGGATAGCATTGGTAGCTTTAGCTGATGATCCTCAATCATATGAAGAAGCATGTCTGGATCCCAGATGGAATGAAGCAATGAAGGCTGAAATGGAATCCATCAAGAAAAATCTCACCTGGGAGCTTACTGACTTGCCTGCAGGCAGTCAAGCAATTGGACTCAAGTGGGTGTATAGAACAAAACTCAAGGAAGATGGGACACTAGACAAGTTCAAAGCACGTCTGGTGGTCAAAGGTTATGCACAAAAGGAGGGAATTGATTACACTGAGGTGTTTGCCCCAGTTGCAAGGTGGGACACTATCAGAACTCTCCTGGCCTTAGCTGCTCACCATGGTTTGACTGTACATCAGTTGGATGTAAAGAGTGCTTTCTTACATGGAGAACTCACTGAAGAGATCTATGTAGAGCAACCTCAAGGTTTTGAGGTTGCTGGGGAGGAAAACAAGGTATACAGGCTACACAAAGCTCTGTATGGACTCAAGCAAGCACCAAGGGCATGGTACAGCAGGATTGAGGCTTATTTTGAGAAAGCTGGGTTTGAGAAGTGCAACTATGAGCATACTTTGTTCATTAAAAGGTCAGGGTCTGATATTCTTTTGCTCAGTTTATATGTGGATGATTTGATGTATGCCAGCAATAGTTCTGTGATGATTGAGGAATTCAAAGCCTCTATGCAAGCTGAGTTTGAGATGACTGACCTGGGCAAGATGAGGTATTTTCTAGGAGTGGAGGTAATTCAAAAGGAAGAAGGAGTATTCATTTCACAGTCCAAGTACATAAAAGAGCTTCTGGAAAAGTTTAAGATGCTGGACTGCAACTTTGTTCACAATCCTCTAGCACCTGGTCTGAAACTGACTAAGGCTGGAGATGGAATTGCAGTTAATCCCACTGAGTACAAGAGGCTGATTGGAAGTTTGTTATATGTCACTGCAACAAGGCCAGACATTATGTTCTCAGTTTGTCTGCTAAGCAGGTACATGGATTCACCTACCAAACAGCACTTGTTGGCAGCAAAGAGGATTCTCAGGTACCTGAAAGGTACTGTGAATCATGGAATCTGGTACAGACAAAGGCAAGAAGAGGGAGATGGAGAGTTGTTTGGTTACACAGATTCAGACTATGCTGGGGATTCAGATGACAGAAAGAGTACATCTGGTTATGTCTTTTTTCTTGCAGGAGCAGCAGTATCATGGGCCTCCAAAAAGCAACCAGTTGTGACACTGTCAACAACTGAAGCAGAGTTTGTGGCAGCATGTTTCTGTGCCACACAGTGCATCTGGCTTAGGAACATTTTAACTGAAATGAGGTGGAGCAGCAGTGTGGAAACTGGAACAGTTATTTGGTGTGACAACAGCTCCACAATTAAGCTAGCAAAGAATCCAGTCATGCATGGGAGGAGCAAGCACATTGATGTGCGTTTCCATTTCCTGAGAGAGTTGGTGAAGGAAGGAGTGGTGGAACTGGAGTACTGCAGAACTAATGAGCAAGTTGCAGATGTGATGACCAAGCCTCTCAAGCTTGAGACCTTTCAGCTTTTGAGAAGCAGACTTGGAGTATGTGAGCTGGAAGGCTTGGAAGTGAAGGAGTAAAGGAAGATGATCAATCCGGCTTCAGTTCAGGGGAGGATTTGTTGGAGTGCTGAACTGAAGCTGGAATCCTTCTCCTTCTCGGATTAGGATTGTGTGAAAGCTGCTGTTAGTCTGAAGCGGCATCGTTTTATTTAAGAGTCTGTGGAATAAAAGCCAAATCGTGTTATTGGCTAAGTGTTCATTTGGTCCTTGTAGTTTGTGGTTTGTACAGTTGAGTCGAGCAGTTAGATTAGAGCAGTTGTAGTTGCAGTTAGATTATGCAAGCTGATTAGTAGGGCTGCAGATCGTGTGAGGTGTTGAGATCATGTGTAAACACCAGTATTTAAGTCTTTCTATCGTCATTAATAAAGAATGTCAGTTTGCAATACATTAGAGTTCTACACCTTCAGCCAGTCAATGCAAATGAAACACTATTATTACACGAGTACTTAAACCCACTAACGACATTGATCATCAAAGGAACGGAGCTCATTCCCCAGTTTTTGACAGTACAAAGAAGCAAAAAGCTGGAACTAAAGTGTTCATCTTCCTTTCATATTCATTATCCGAGCACGACGAACAGGGTGCTGTCACAATGGTGTAGCAAATCCTAGCGCAAGCAATGAAATATCGAATTAGAGAAAACCAGGCAAGCTGTTCAGAGCAAAGCTAATAACTTCTATCTCACGGTAACAGAAAATGTGCATTGAGCCATTTTCTATAGAAGTATGCATCGTGATAGTCAAAGGACACAACGAATACATCTAGCACTCCAGAATGACTGATATACAACTAGACACACTAGAAGAACCGGCATACCAAAATCAGATTAGGAAAAAAAAAAAAAGGGTAACTTGAAAGATAAGAGTAATCACCTTGAGAAAGCCAGCTCCAGCAAGAGGAATCAGCTGCAATGCTGGAAATAAGGCGGGCATTCGCCGTCGCACTATGAAACGGTATCAACGAATCCACGCTCCCTATAGTTGAAACAACCCTGACAGCCACCGCCCAGTAAACCCAGAAAAGGGGTTCAACTAATCGAAATACATACAAATCAAAGATAAGGAAAAGAGAAGAAATTGGACGCCAAATTAGGAATTCTGAACTTAAAAATAAGGCAGCAGTGAGGAGAAGGGGGGAAATTGCAGACCTTGAAGCGCTTCGGACTACCCGCGGAGCAGAAGGCGAAGTGAAGGGAGAGGATGAGAAGAGGGATTTCTGAGTTAGGGTTTTGGACCGTGCAGCTAGAGACCTCGAGCCCGCCATAACAGCCGACCTGCAAAGGGAAGCCATGTCTATTGGATTTCTGCTCCAGGAGAGAATTAAGGAGAAATGAAACGGAGATGGCGCCTTGCCCCTTCAACCCTACAATTAGAAGATGAGTGGATTAAGGTCTATGGACTTACCAAACGACGCCGTAAATGGGTCTTCTAACTTACTCATGGCTTGGTTGGGCCGGAATCAGATCGATGGGCTTCGGTTTCTCATGGGCGGAAGGCCCGTCAAGTGTTCAGTTCCTGAGCTCTATTGTGCTCACCTCACGGTACAATCCATGAGCATAGAGATGGCAACAAAACCCGAACCCACGGGTACCCACCCGACTTAACCCGATCAACGCGGGTAAAATTCGTGTTGATGGGTTTTGGGCCGGATTTGGGTTTAAACCCGTTCACTATTTATCGGGTTGAGTTTGGTTTAGGTAAACCCGGCCCGTGGGTACCCGCCCACTCATATAATTAATTTTTTCGGTATATTTAATATTCTAAACAACTAATCTTATTTATGTTTGTGGAGACATGTCTAATTTTTTCTTTTTAATTGTGTAGAATGAAGTTGATGTTATGGAGTGGAGAGTAAAGAAACTTAATTGAAAGGAAGAAACTTTCAATTAAACATGTTATTTATGAATAAATTGTGGTTTGCTTCAATTTTCTTGAGTTTTCTAGATTGGTGTTGAACCATTTATATAGTTTATTTGTGATTTGCTTGAATTTTCTAGAATGGTGTTTTATATATGGATAATTTGTATTGAGAGATTGATATTTGACTTTAATTTTGATAAGAACTTGTAATTGTAAATTTTTTACGACAAAACCCGTGGGTACCCATGAACCCGCGGATACCCAACGGGTTGGGTTTGAGTTTTTCAAACCCATTGGGATTTACCCCGGGTTTTTTTCAAAGATAAACCCATGGGTTTGGGTTTGGCAAAACCCGACCCATTGCCATCCCTACATGAGCATGTGTTTACAAAAGCATTAAACACCTACGCACTGTTGGATGAACGCGATAGTAATTTTGTATATAAAATGTTATCAGATCGATCCAGCGGATGCTCCGTCAATAATTCGATGGCACCCAACTGTTGTGAGCATCATAGCAGGATTGTCGACCCAGAGTCACAACGGTACTGCAGAAAGTCGGCTTCGATCGGGACCTGTTCATGCATGTTTGGCTTGATGAATTCACATGCAGGAAAGAAAATTATAAAAAAAAATATGTTTAACCTACTACCTACCAAAATCCTTCCACAAACGAAAACCAATTCATGGGTCTGAAGGTTTGTACTGGTTCAAATTAGGGGTGGGCAACCGGTTCGGTAAACCCGAACCGAACCGAAACCGAAATAAACCGAACCGAAACCGAATTGTTGTTATTCGGTTCGGAATTCGGAAGGCAAAACCCTATACTTCGGAAACCAGGTGTGCCCAACCGAACCCGAAATTCCGAATTCCGACCGAACAAACCGAAATTCCTCTCCCACTCTCACACATCCCACATTTACAAGCCCACCCTCACACATACAGCCCACAACCCAAGCCCACCGCACATACAGCCCACAACCCAAGCCCACTCTCTGCCACTAAAACCCTAGCACATTCCAAAATCATCATCATCTTCTTCTTCTTCTTCCAGAACCAGCATCCTGCCCTGCCTCTTTGCCGTCGCCATCTTCTTCTTCTTCTTCTTCTTCTTCCAGAACCACTCAAAACCAACCAAATCAAAAAAGACAAAACCTCAGATTAGCAAACCTAGAACAAATCAGAATCAAACAAAAAAAAAACAAATGATGAATCGAAGGAGAGTCCGGATCTGTTCTTGCTTCCCGGGGCGGCGCATGTGTCATCGGTGGCCTCTGCTGACCCCGGCGGTGCATGTGTCATTGGTAGCCTTTGACAGTGAGTCGGTGAGAGAGAATCAATGAGATTGGGGGTGATTGGGGGAGATTTTTGAATCTCTGTCGAAGGTAGAGGATGAGATGCATGGTTGAGGTTGGGGGATTCGGGGAGTGGAGACGATGGTCGGGGATAGAGGGAGATGAGACGAATCGATTTGGGGGAGACGTGAGAACGAAGAGTCAGGGAGTGTTGGTTTTTGTGGGAGCTGGGAATGACGAAGAGGCAGGGAGGGACGGAGGGTTGGGCTTTGTTGCTCTGCAGCCTCTGCTTATGGGAAAGAGGGAGAAAAGGCGGAGAAGAGCAAAAAGAGGAGAGAGAGCGAGGTAATGGGTGAATGACTGAAGACAAAGAGGGGAAGTCTTCAGCTGCATAAATTCGATTTTGACAAAAAAACGAACCGAACCGAGTTATATTTCGGTTCGGGCAAACCGAACCGAAATATAGCTCGGTTCGAATTCGGTTGGGCCATCTGTGATCTCGGAAAATCGGCATATACTAGTTCGGTTCGGTTTGAACCGAACCGACCGAACGCCCACCCCTAGTTCAAATACCATGTACTTGACAGATGAGATTGTCGACATTCGAATACAAAACCCCTTCAAGTCATCGAAAGCTCTTACTATGTCAACAGTCTTATAATCTCATTAACTCAAGTTATTGTAGAAACGTTGAATTACGAATCTTATACAGTTACTCACATTTTACGCTATGTCCTTTCTTTCTTTTTATTGGTCGACTAGGAAATGCACTTATTCATTTTGGTGGCATCATGTCAACTGTCAAAGTACTTTATTTATTTCCGTATGTCAAAAGAGTTCGACTTTGTTTGTTGCCTTACAAGTAAATAAGCAGCATAAGAATATTACCTTGTACTCTATTGAGTCATTATTCTCCATTAGGCGAGTCGTTCATTCACCTGTGACGTGGCCAGTGAATCCGACGTGGCAGACTCCGTGGACTTGGCAAGCGTCCCAGCACAGCCGCCTGCTTTGAAAGATATATAGAATGAGCCTCATTTTTTTGGCACCTCACGTAGACAAAAACACCTAATTTATTTATGTATTTATGCACGTAAATTTGAGTTTATTCACCCTATATTCTGAGATTGTTGACTATTCACGCAACTAATACCATTTATTCATGTATATTTTGTTATTTATTCACGCCAATGGCTGAGCTATTTGGAGAGGAAGGGTATATACGAATTCGAACTAGTGACAATTCAATAATAAGGAGAGTTCCTTACCATCTCAACCGCGAGTGATATTTGTTATATAGAATGCACTTTTGTCTTTATTTATAGTAAAATAAACGGTTGTCTTTTGTTTAAAATTTGCTCATTTCTTTTGCAGCTCTACAGCAGAGGAATCTCTTGTCTTTTGTGTAAACAAATATGAAAGTGAAGAACCACCAATTGAAGTTCACTTGTTTGTTTCACAAATCAATTCCAAGGTACTTGATCTGATTTCTAATTTGTAATATTTGATGAATGGAAGTCTTGACTTGTATGTACTGAACTTATTTGTTTGACGTTGTAATCGGTGTACGTGAAACTATTTTTTATGTAATTGTATGAATTTAGAGTATTGCGTGATAGAAACCAACTTTCGTTCGGTTTCTATAATTATTATTATATTAGGATAATTAGTCTTTTAGTCGTATTAGGATATTTGTTAAGGTTTTTTTGATTCTTTTCCTATATATATGTACGCCATTATTCATCTATTCAATCAATAAGAATAATATTAAGAAAACTCTCCTAATTCCTAAAATCTCTCAATCCTCTCAATTCTTGATCTTAATCCATCTAAAGGCCTAGGCCGATTCTCTATCTTCTTCCCCAAATTCTTATCTAAATCCCTAAATCTCCATAAATTCCCAATTTCCCAACCCAATCGATAGAACCCTAGAAATAGGTTTCTATCATTTAGAGTTGATTTTTCTATTATATAGGCAATTTTTTATGATATGATAAAGACTCTCCCAATAAGTTTCTATCATTTAGAATTGACTTTTTATCAATGCAACGAAAAATTCAAATTTAATTCCATAAAATATATTCCATACAAATGGATGTTCACCACCACTATATATATATGTCTGAATTTATTCCATCAAACAGTCTACTAGCTACGTGTGGCCAATAAAAACTCTCCCAATAGCGACCGCCGACCGCCAGCCAACATGGCCGCCGTCATAATCCTCCTCCTCCTCCTCCTCTTCACCATCACAACCCTACTCGCGAACCTCATCAACAAGAAGAAACGCGCCGCCGCGGCGGCCAAGCTGCCACCGCTACCTCCAAGCCCGGCGGCAGCATGGCCGCTGCTGGGGAACCTCCCGGCGGAGGTACTCATCCACAAGAAGCCCATGTTCCGGTGGATCCACGAGGTGATGAAGGACATGGACACCGACATCTGCCTCATCCGTCTCCCCGGCGGCGCCAACTTAATCCCGGTCCTCGACCCGGCCATCGCCAGGGAGATGCTGAGGAAGCAGGACGCCGTCTTCGCCGACCGCCCCGTCTCCTTCGGCAGCCACACCATCAGCGGCGGCTACGTCACCACCGCCGCCGTGCCGTACAACGACCAGTGGCGCAAGATGCGGAAGGTGCTCACCTCCGAGATCGTGTCCCCAGCCCGACACAAGTGGCTGCACGACAAGCGCGCCCAGGTAACTGACAACACAAAATAACACGAGAGTTTTACGTGGTATCCCTAAACGTCTTGCTAGTTTTTTTTTACGACAGGATCGTAGGGTTGACCATATCTATGCTTGACAAAAAGAAGTAAAGAAGTTTCTTCCATACTTTGACTAGGACGAGAGGAAACTAAAATACAAGCAGGACACGGAATTAATTACTTGCGAATTTGAAAATTTTGATTCGTAGTGTTCCGTTATCTGCAGGAGGCCGACAACCTCGTTTCCTACGTCCGCAGCCACTGCGTGGCTGGGAAGGGCGTCGACGTCAGGGTTGCCGCGCAGCATTACTGCGGCAACGTGATGAGGAAGATCGTGTTCGGGCGGAGGTAATGATTCATTAAAAATCCGACCGATTTTTTTTCTCCATATTTTCTTTCAACGACTCGAGTTACTGAGATCAGTTGCTTTATTGATCTGCACAGGTTTTTCGGAAGGGCCACGTTAGATGGTGGGCCGGGCCCGATGGAAGTGGAGCACGTGGAGGCGGTGCTTGGTGCGTTGAAGTGCTTGTACTGGTCGTGTTTATCGGATTACTTCCCGTGTTTGTGGGGTTGGGACGTCGACGGGAAGGAGAAGGTGATTAAGGAGGCGAATGAAACCATTCGACGGTGCCAAGACCCTATCATCGACGAGAGGATCCGGCAGTGGAGGAGCGGCGAGAGGAAGGAGATGGACGACCTCCTTGACGTCTTCATCACTCTCAAGGATGAAGAAGGAAAACCCTTGCTCACTCCTCATGAAATCAAGAGTCAAGCCGTGGTAGGATGTCAATTTATTGCATGATCCGTTTTATACTTTTATTCAACCCGTTTGATTTGTTTTGAACGGGTATATATAGTCGGGAGTTGTGGGACGGGACGAACATGAGCATTTTTCTCTCGATTTGATATCCTTTTAAGAACCTGATCACATTTAGAGATGTGAGTGGGTCGGGTTGAGTGAGGTTTCTTCAAATGTAAACTCAATTCAGCGGATTTGAGTTGGGTGCATTGAAATCACTCATTTTTGTGAGCGCACCAAAGTAGTCACCTATATATATATATATATATATATATATATATATATATATGAGGCTACTAACATATTAAAATTATATTATATATCACAAAGACTAACATTCATAAATTATTTATAATAATTAGGGTTGTATGCAAAACAATGTCATTTTTCTTTCCAAGAGTGGATCGGGTGGACACAGGTTGAGATTTGGCTAAACATGCATCTAACCCGACCCATCAATTCCAAAAGCGAGTTTTACCCACACTTGACCCAAAATCCGTCAACTTGAATTTTACCCGCTTTGATCTGATTGGATTGGAGGGTACGGATTTCATTGGCATTCCTAATATACACTGTGATATCTCTAGCCAGCTAATTTTTTGTGCATATGAAAATGTTGAATTGGTGTAGGTATGATGGCCGGGATAGATAACCCATCAAATGCGGTGGAGTGGGCGATGGCAGAACTGATTAACCAACCATATCTCATGGCAAAAGCGACAAAGGAAATCGATCTTGTCGTGGGGAAAGAGAATAGAATGGTCCAAGAATCAGACATCGACAAGTTGAACTATGTGAAAGCATGTGCTAGGGAAGCGTTCCGACTTCACCCGTTGTTGCCTTTTAACGCCCCACATGTAGCCACCCAAGACACCATCGTGGGTGGCTACTTCATACCCAAGGGGAGTAGTGCCCTCCTTAGCCGCTATGGCCTCGGTCGCAACCCCAAGACGTGGACCAACTCACTCAAGTTCGATCCTGAACGCCACCTTAAAGGCGATGGTGATAATGATGAGGTGGTCCTCACTGAGCACGACCTTCGGTTCGTATCATTTAGCACTGGCAGGCGAGGCTGTATAGCGGCGATGCTGGGAACTTGTATGACCACCATGTTGCTTGCCAGACTGCTGCAGTGCTTCGCATGGAGCCCAACAGGGAATGCCAAGTTCGTCGACCTCACCGAAGCTGATGATCAGCTTTCACTGGCCACGCCACTCAAGGCATTCCCTGTGACGCGTTTAACACCCGACCTATACCCTGTAATTTGAAGAACTCATTTTTATAATAATGATATATATTTGTTTTTTTTAATAATTAGACATAATGCCATAAATAAGCCTATAGTTTAGGCTTTCTGCCACTTGTGCCCCTATATTTGTTATGTTTCCATAAAATGTCCCAGCGTTTAGAGTATCCATGTCAACAATGCACTTCTTTATTTTGCTAACTGTTAGATTCAAACGGTCAACTAAACGACGGTCAACATTTTGTTTACTTTGTGACAACGTGTCTGTCATTTATCTTAATTCATCTTTGCACGTATTGATCAACTTTGTAATGAGTTTCACATGTATACAAAATCATCCTCCAAAGAAGACAATCGAATAAGACTAAAAGAGATAACAAATTGCATGATAGGAGAGAGCCAATACATTAATGTTGCCGGCTGACTGGCTGGTACACTATTGCTTGGTAATTAGTTGGTTCTTTGAACCATCCAATAATTATAATTAAATATAAAGTATTATAAAATTGAGCCATTACATTATTGGTAGGTTTCTTCCTATTAATACATTTCGTTTCCAGCTGCATAATTATGAATTTTCAGCTGGGGGAATTAAAGATACCATTCAATTAATCAACTACTTTATGAATTTGATTGGCACGTAGAAATGGTGAACAAACGAGTTTCTTCTTATGATCTTATCCTTTCTATTATTTTTGTTTAATGGGGAATATTGCTAGTTTGGGTTTATCTTTAGCTATAAACATGTACTTTGTGTGTTCTGTTCAATTAAGCAGAAATTAGTAAAAAAATTATCTTTTCAAACCCTAAGCTTTTCCTATCTCCTAATTTCTCTTCTTCCCCTAATCCAAGGCTTCGGCCTATTCTTATTTTGTTCTTCCTCCCCTAATTCTCTTCTCAATTCCTAATTCTGTTCGTATAAACCCTAATCCCCAAATATCTAAGCCGATAGAAACCTCGTCTCTATCAGTCATGAACAGTAATTATGAGGAGTTCATGCTGCATCCGTCCATCATCATCTCCAACCAAAACAAGACAAACCATGCTTATTATCTTTGAATTTCCACTGTTCATAAACCTATCTATCACTATGATCAGCACTGTCACTTAGAAAGAAAAAAAAATCCCATCATACAGAGAGAGACGTGCACTATGATCAGCACTGTTGCTTAGAAAAAGAGAAGGAAAAAAAAAAAACTAGCTACCACTATGATCAACACAATTCTAAGTCAACCACCGTTTATATATATGTTACAATCTTTACTTTCTGTGAGCAGCTGCTGCTGCTGTAACTATCTTTCTCATGGGGGAATTAGAAAGCAAAAAGGATGGCCAGTCACAATCAGCAATTCTCATACCATTCTGCTTATTCACATACTGTTAATGTATGTCATTGATTGCTCAAAACAAACAGTGGTAAAGCCAATTTGGAGATAATGCATAGCTTAAACACAGCATCTTGACGACTTCAGTCTCTGGCTCCGGCGGCAGCATCATCTCCGGCACCGTCATCGGAGTTGACAGGGTATATTTTGGAGTCCGGTGAAGGACCAAAACGGTCCTTCAGCCAAAGGTAAATAAAAAGAAGAAAGAAACCCATTACAATGGTTCCGTAAAAAAGAGGGAAGAAGGGAGGCACTGATGATTCTTCGTCGTTTGAAGAAGAATCATCAGCATAATTGTCGATTGGGTAGAAAGACATTTTTTGTTTTTGTTTTTGTTTACGGTGGTATTTGAGTATATGGATAACGAGAAACAGCAACCATTTTATAGGCGCTGGAGATTGGAAAGAGAAGAGGGGGAGAAGTAGGAAGAAAAGAAACAGGAAACTCTGTTTTCCATGGAGGAAAAACAGAGTTGTCTCTGTTCCCAGTCGAGAAGAAGATGAAGGAGAGAAGCAAGAAGAAGAGTGAGGGGGAGCAGGGAAATCGTTTTGGAGGCTGAGAAAGATGATTCTGTGAGCATCCCCATAGGAGGAGGAGGAGAAGAAGAGACGGCTGGTTCACCCAAAATCCGTTAGAAAGAAGCTCAACCCCCATGACCTAAATCTATCCAGTGGAGCACGTTAATTGCCTGAATTGAGACCTGAGAGCGACGGAGGACAGTTTTGGGGGGATGATGTGAGCTGCCAGCGAGACGGCGACGGGGAGATTTGGCCGGCGGCCGGGAGGGAGATCGGCGGAGAGGAAAAACGGGAGAAAATACAGGAAGAGTTTTAAAATCTTTCCGTATTAAGCCTTCTCTGTATGCTGCTGGGAAAAATGACAGTTGTAAACATACTGAGAAAGTGAGAATTTGTCAAATTTTAGTGTTTGTGCAGGCCAATAAATTTAATATTTGAATGACTTTCTGTTATCACAAAGAGATTAGTGAACAAATTCATTTGTATATTGCAAGTCAGTGAACAATTCATTTGTATATAATACAAGTCAATAATGGTTGTGAAATGTTTTTTTCGAACACCCCTAATAAAAAAATAATTTTCTCATGGCATCACAAGATACATACAATACATGTAATGGTTCAATTATGAGTTCTTAACCTTTCCTTAAAAAAGGGAAAAAACATCAAGAGCTTGAATGGTTCAATTCCTTGAATTCTTTTGCAAAATTCACGTTCACACCTCATTTCCCATCGACTCCTCGCTCAGATGAAAGAAGTTGCTCATGTTTAGCACCAGGACTACAACAAATATGATGCAGTACAATCTGAACATTTTATATCCCTTTGCTTGCTTGATGCACATAATTAGAAGCTTTGGGTTTATGTTACTATATATGTAGGGTACATAGTTAGAAGCTAAATATGTGGTTATCTTTTGTTGTCCACCATTTTTATCGTTACGACTTATAAAAAAATATGGTAAGATGAATAAGTTGGAACAAAATGATCGTGAATTTTGCAAAGAATTTCATTGATGCTTCTGACGATTACTAGTTTTAGTTCCTGCACGTTGCATGAATAAACTTAGGTATATATCCTAACATTATAGTTATTGACCTTTGATACCCTGAACAACAAATTATGTTGGAGTAATTATGCTCATTGGCTTATGATTCTATTTAGAATTCATGCCTCTTTAATTTCTAATTCGCGAGAAAATGAATTTAAATATCATTAACTCAAATATTTTAACTTATTCTATCTATTTGCTAATATTTTTTAGGCTTTGTGGCACTGACATGATATGGTTGTTATATTTTTGTAGGTGAATTTATTTTGATTGCTTACATAATATTCGTGGATATGTTTGCACTTCAGTATTATGATACTTACAGAGTCACATATTTTTGCTCCATAAACTCGAACTATTTGACAAAAGAAATTGAACACAAACTTGGTATCATAAATAAGGGGACAAAAACCCTAAAACTTATTCACAAATCAAAATATCATAATAGAGTGATTTTCCCTATTTATCATGTTCACCCTCATTCTTCTCTGACTCTGTGTGTCTAACGAGAGTATCACATAGACTACTCCTTCCAGGAAAAACACCTATCATACGCTGAAGTTTGTACATTAAACTCACAAATCCCAAAGGGTTTGATAATCCATTTGCAATTCACGCAACCCCAGTAATCCCTTTTATCATTATAGACGTCATACCAATGAAGCTTGCCGCTACCTGGCCACTCGAAGGAACATTTAAATAAGGTCGTGGAAAATACACTTGTCCAGAACCTAAAATGAAAGTCTTGTCCCGGCCCTAACACCCTAACACCAAGGTCGTCGTCCTTCGACTTACAATGCGCCTTCAATTGCACACTACCCCCAAGCGCATTGCCAATCATCACCATTTTCTTCAATGGAAAGATGCCATTTGTGTCTTCAGCTTTTACAACATCATTTATAATTCCGATACACAGTAGGAATATAACATTAACTATCATAACTGCTCTCCTCCCCATGCTTAAACTCATTATATGAAAGTATTGTCAAACACACAATGGATAGATAGATTGTATATATACATGTCCATTTGCATGAATTTCGACAGTATTAGTTAAGTTAGTTAGTAATGGGATAACTTTAGTCTAGAATTCTTCTCTATTTTTTTGCACCTCAATATTGTTTTGTATTCCTATGTTTATGATTATTTGAATGGGTTTTGTGTTACCATAAAAAGCGCTTCTAGTTATCTATCCCCACATTTAGATATAACAATCGTAATATAAATTCGGAGGCTCAAGTGTCACTCAAGCAAACAAAAGAGACAAACAATGTTGAGGCGAAACTGCATAATATTTGTTGTGTTCCTATTGTTAGCACAAGAAGCTTCTTTCATCGAGGCGAGGATATGGTATGCCAAAACAAGTGTGGTGGTGAAGAATGAGGTGGAAGGAGGGAGGAAACTAACACTTCATTGTAAGTCTAGAGACAACGATATTGGGGCCTTTGTGCTGTTAACACATCAAGGCATCAAATGGAGCTTTCGACCGAACATCTTTAGAACCACTCTGTTTTATTGCAGCGCTGATTGGGGAGAGGGAGTTCATTGGTTTGACATCTACACTTGGAAGAGGGATTACTTGCGGTGCACTTATTGCCAATGGATAATAAAGAAGAGCGGTCCGTGCCTTCTAGACCTTGGCACACGTAAGTATGATTTTTGCCTTCCGTGGCATTAACAATTGAAGGAGAAGAGAGGGGATGGTTGTGTTATTGTGGACTTGTTTCTAGACCTTTGATAACTAGGTTTGGGTTTGATTGGTAGTTATGAGCATTAAATATTATGATAGATTTCATTATTTTTTTTACCATTAACTAGGATAATTTGCATCTAATAATGATGCTACATGCGACATCGAGTTTCATAATTCGATAGCATTTTTTTTTATCTCTAGTATGGAAAAGAAATAAAATTATTAGCTAAAAAGATGAAATTTTGCATGGTCCCTCAAGAACTCACTCCTCCTACTAATTACAATGATCTGAGCGTCACAACTCACAATGATTGATGCACTAGCCTCCAAGAACAAGTTAGGGTTCAAAGATGAAAGTATTCAATAACTCGCTTACTTTTATAATATTTGCGTATGAAGATCGGTTCAGATTCGTAGTCCTTGGTTTACATTACTCGATGGGGGTGAATGTTGTGTTTTGTTACAGAGGTATGAGCAAAAGCTCAAGATGTAGGATTAGGATATTACAAAGTTAAAGGTTCCATTTGAACGTGGTTGTCCCTATGCATAAACCAGTTGGTCCCAATAATTCGAGTTGTTTGGAGAAGTTTATGTTGGATCTTATACAAGCCCATGTATGGTACTTAACTACTTCCTTACACGCCCCCTCAAACGAAAGCCGACTCATGGACTTGAAGTTTGCACAGGCCCGCCATACCATGTGCTTGAAAGACAACGATTAATATTGGGGGTCGTGAGGACTTGAACACTACCTTACACACTATAGTTTCAAGCCTTCAATAAAAGCAAAAAACAACTCAACCAATATATCAAAAATAAAATAAACTGAACTGAACATAATCTCCAAATCAAACCCTAAACACGACTGATTAGAAACCAATCAAGAAAACTGATGAACATTCAACCAATACTCTCCATCATTATAAGAATAAACAAAACATACATATTCGTACGAACCAACTTCCTCTACTCCAATTGACTAAAGCTAAGTCCTTTATCCTTTCCTAGCTGAACTAGGAAACAATGATTGTCAATAGTAATTTTCATACCATTAGATCACTCGTATCATCGAGTAAAAGAAGATTCAAAGTCAGTTGAACATCTTAAACCAAAACGTAAAATCAAATCCCAACAAACAAGAAAAGGAAGGAATAGGGTTTTTCGCCACCAAATGTGGACAACTCTTTTATTATCTCGACCAATAAAGTAGATAATGAACATATGAAAATACTCCCCAAGAATTAGAGATGACAATTACCCACCCATGGGTATGTTTGCCCAAATCCAATTGCACCCAACTATTATGGGTATGTTTGCCCAAATCCAATTTCTATATGGGTTTGAGTAGTACTTTGGGTAGGTGGAGTTGGATTTGGAAACTGGTTTTTAAAGTGAAAATGGATATGGGTTGGATTTGGATACCCATCACTTTGGATATGCTTGTAAATGTTTATTCTTTTAGGTACTAAATGTAAAACAATTTTTTTTTGAAGTATCAATTTATTTTTTCGTACATAATGTTGGACCTATTTGCATTTCATTATAAAGTTCGGGTACTAAATAGTAATTTTATATGTAAATTTAGCAGTGAAACATGCCACCTGAATTTCCTCTGTCGCAGATCTTCGCCAGTTTGCCGGCAACCGAAAAACGTCGCTGGTGGAGTTGGGACCCGGTTCGCGGGTGGAGCGGTGCTTCAACTTCATGGATTGATCATTGATGAATAGCATCGAATTGTTGTTGCCTGCTTGCGAGTGGAATTGCGAGTCGATTGCCTCTGTTTTCCCCATCAACGACGTTTACCGGCGAAACCAGAAGGTGGAGCTTTGGAAGGAGAAAGTCGATAGTGTTGGCGCCGACGTTGTACGAGGAGGAGCACCTTGGTCGAGGGTGATGAGTACCTCGTCGAGGTTCGCCGCCAGTGGCTCATAAGAAAATACTTTGCATAACCATTCAAGAGTCAATCATTCCTCCCTTTTAGGTTCATAAAAAAATAAAGTTCAATATTATTCCTATGTTGTATATTTAGTGTAGACTACAACATATAAATGTTTAATTTAGATAAAAACTCATACATTATGTTGGATGAAAACTTTAAAGGAAGATCATTTTCAGCCTATGATAACCCATACAATTGTACAATTGTATATATTTTTGTTTAGGTGAATACTTCTATAGACTATAAGATAATTGTATTAGTTATATGTATTTATGTTAAGGGTTAACTATAATTATGTGTTGATTGTTATGTTATATTCATAATATAAATTGCGAATTGTTGCATTAACCAAAAAATTTCTTACTTAATGATAATGTGATGTTACATTGGTTAATCTGGTTAACCGATTAACCAAACCGATTAAGGTTAATTTGGATATTGTATTAGTTTGGACGGTTTGGTTATGATATTGTATTCCATCGTTAATGAAATTTAGGTTTATTTGGTTTGGTAATTACCATGGTAACCATTTGAACAACCCTAGTCGGGCCAAGTAAGGAAGTATGGTGCCTAGTTCGGGCCAGAGGAGCAATTTCAGAAATTACATGCCAAAGTAGAAAGTTTGGGTATAGTTCGTGCCAAAGTAACGTATTAACCCATTTAAATATCATTAACTCAAAACTTTTAATTGGTTCTACCTATTCACCAATATTTTTTAAGGCTTCATGACATTGTCTTGATATGATTGTTATCTTAATGTAGGTGAATTTATTTTGATTGCTTACATCATATTCGTGGGTCTATTTGCACTTTAGCATTGTGATACCTATATAGTGGCATTTTATGTTTGCTCCATGAACTTGGGGCTAAGATCAGGTGACTAGGGGATCAATTAGTCACATGACTAAGCCAATCTCAGCTATTAAAGCTCATTAAAATCTAATGGTTCAGATTTATCTAGTTTAATGAATGGTAAGGTGGTAATTACCTAAATTAAATTACAAAAACAAAAAAAGCGTTGCCCACTCCGCCCTCCCCGCCTGCAGCCGCCGTTCCTGGGAATTTCTCCCCCGCTGTGGGATTTTGTGTCCCAAAAGTAGATAGCTATGAGAGAGAGATATATTTTTTGCTGACCAGAGGAAATTTTCCGACGACTAGCGACGACGGAGAAGAATTTTCCGGCGATAGTGTTGGATTTGTGATGTTTGTTGACCTATTTTGTAATATTTGTATCGATTCGGTTTTTATTGTTTATGTTTCTTGTTTGTCATTTTTAGTGACATTTTGTACTATGTGTCGGTTTATTTTGTAACGTGTGTAAGCTTTGTTATTTTGTAATGTTTGTCGGTTTCTTTTGTAATGTTTGTAAGCTTTGTTATTTTTGTGCACCATTTTTATCATTTTTGTCAACCACGTTTGTAATGTTTTTATGTCTAAAAAACAATCTGGTTGACTTTTGAATGGAACTCCTCTATATAGGGACGAAGCTTCCAAAGTCAACCCGGGTGTTTTTCCAGTTTGTATGTTTTTTGTCCACTATGTTCGTAATGTTTGTATGTATAAAAAATAACCGGGTTGACTTTGGGAGGGAGCTCCTCTATATAGGGATGGAGCCTCCAAAGTCAACCCGATTGTTTTTTTCTTTTTGTATGGTTTGTATTCTTTGTCGTTGTAGTTTGTATTGTTTGTACAGTTCATATGTTTGTAATGTTTATAAATCTGTTTGTATGTTTTGTCATTCTAGTTTGTATGCTTGTATTGTTTGTACGGTTTGTATACTTCGTATTTTTTCATAATACCCAAATTACCCCTCCCACTCATTAAAAATCTATTCCCACTTTTTAATCGTTGAATTGAAGTGTCCAGATCTAATGGCTAGGAGGGGCTTAGTCAAGTGACTAAGGACCCCCGGATCGGCTCGCCACAGCTACCCAAGAAAACGGAAACGACGACGTTGGACCTAAGTGTATACGCTGCCGTTTAGCCTTCATAAAAGTAATCCGCACCGTCTCCATGGTTTGGGTTGGACCTAAACTCCAAGGCCAGATCCCGGTTGTCCCCCGACTTTCCGGTTCGCGAACCGTAAACCAGTCGAGCGAATCGACGAACAACCCAATCTCCCCCACAGAACATTTTTCACCTCTGGGTGGTGTCTTCAGTTTCTTCTGCATCCGGGAGCGAGCCTCAGGCAGAGAGGTTGAAGGAGGCAAACACAAGATCGCATAATCGATTCGCAGAGAAATGGCTGCCATCTTAGCTCGCAAGTCTCTCTCCGCTCTCCGCGCTCGGCAGCTGGTTAGCAACTCTCTTTTATATTGCTCTTTTCAGTTTCATCCCCGCTCTTCGTCGTCCCACCATGATTCCATTTTTTTTTTACGCTCTTGCTTTCTTAGGATTAGCTTCCGTTTCGCTTCTGTTTTCAATCTCTCATCGGTTCTCTTCCTTCACCTTTGTGGCTTCGGTCTGTATTATTATTAGGTTTACTGTGTATATGAACGAATTGAGGAATTTTTTTTCCTTCGCATTTAGAGGGCGATTAGTGTGTGAGAAATTCAGAGCAAGTGATTGCTTCGTTTTACGTTTCATGGATCGTTTTGATGCTTTCCTACTTCTTTGGAAAGCTAGTGCGAAGGTTCAAGGTGAACATTTTTGTTTCCGTAGTGATGTATTTTATCCGCATTCCGACGGGATTAATGATAGAGCTCTGGATCCGTGCTGCATTTGCGTATGGTAGTGGTACAGTTTGTGTCTGGACTCCTCTGGCTGAGTCGTATGGTAATGTGAAGTAAATAATCTCTTGGGAAGAGACTAGGTGGAGTAGAAATGTTGGCAACTACAGTCGCAGTCGCATTTGGTCGTAGGATGGACTTGGTACTCGAGCGTGCGAGGACTCACTTATTTGTTTGGGGAGAATTGGTTTTGGTTGTAATTGATCGTAAATATTTCTCGGAACCCCTTGGTCTTTGTATTTAACTTTGCAGAGAAAAGAGGCAAACTGCCTGTCATGAGCGCTTCGAGTCAATAAAGGTTCTCATGCGCCAGAAGATTGGTTTACTGGTTAATTTACTTTTGATGCCCGAGACCCGTCTCCCAGTCTTGCATATCACTTTCGTTGATGGGTGGCATGTTTATGTCAGAAACCTTTAATGTATTGATGCATTAGCCCTGATATTAGGATGGTTTCTCACTCTTAACATGAGTGACGAAAGGACAATGTTCACCTCCAGATTTGACAGGTAACAAGCAGTAATGTGGCAGCAAAGGGGAGACAAAGTGCCTCTTTGGTTAATGACTTTTGTAGTGTCCTGAAGCCAAAATAAGCAAACATAGATGTCCAAGATTATTGTATGACAAGTCTCACTAGCTTTAGAACTGGTAAAATGTTTTGCCACGGTTGTCTAAATCACAGACTAGCCAACTTGAAGTTATGTTTTCATACATAATTCACCTGCATTTGTGTTCCCTTCAATTTCTTTCTCATTGTTGCCTTGCCTGCTTGATACACTTCTTTTTCTTTTTTGGGCTCTGAACTCGATTTGGCTGCTTGGTTTTATATATTGTAACATTTCCTGTCTTCCTTTCTCGTAGGCTGTATCTGGTGAGGCATTGCGGACCTCATCTCTGTACGCCATGCGATTCAGTGCTTTATTTTCAACGGACAGAGGTAAGCCCATCTATAATAAACCATAGGTGGAAGGTGTAGCATGCATGATTCGAAAATGATTTAGGGGTGCACGATTACATTTGGACTATTGTTCCTTGTAATGTCTCCATAGTAAATCATGATTGCTGGATAAAGCTCTATACTAACGTAAATATGTAGTTCATAAGAAGAGGTAATAATTGGGTTTATACTCTGTTATCATTTCATCTATGTATGAAACTCTCTTTGTCTAGTGTATCAAAGAATAGGCGGAAAGATGGTTGTTTGTTCTTTTTATGCTCGAAGAACCATTCTCATGGGAAGACATATAATTTTTGCTGGACACCGTAATAATCTTAGAAACACATGAACTTCCAGAGTCTGATTGCCTGCCACAATATTGATGCTTTTGCGATCTATTGTCGCACAATTGATGTTTCGCGTACTAATTATTTCTGGCTGATGGATTTGTTTTAAAATGTAGAGGATATAGAGAGAGAGGAACTCGCAAAGGAAATTTCGAAGGACTGGAATTCTGGTAAGATGTGTTGTAATAAACATGTTCTCTAAATTTTGTCACCAGTGCTTTGTTGTAAACTTAACAATTGGTCTCAATGAAGTGTTTGAGAGAAGCATAAACACACTCTTCCTTACTGAAATGGTCCGTGGGTTGTCGTTGACGCTGAAGTACTTCTTTGAGCCAAAAGTTACTGTAAGATTCTTCTGCTCCTCCCCACGTTTCTGACATACTCCGGTGTAGTGGACTAAATATGATGGTAATATCTCTTTCTCTATGTTGTGTAGATCAACTATCCATTTGAGAAGGGTCCTTTGAGTCCTAGGTTTCGTGGGGAGCATGCTCTCCGCCGATATCCTACTGGAGAGGAACGTTGCATTGCTTGCAAACTTTGTGAAGCTGTAAGTATCAAAACACTTCTAATGGTATGTTTAGGTTTATGAACTGCCTCATAATAGACACTCAATCTCTTAGTTATGATTTAACTGGGATCCATGACCATGAAGCCAGTGAAGTGGTTGCCTGATGTTAATGCACTAGCTCTAGAAACCAGCAAGATTCCGTTAGCTGTATCTAGTTGTGAGAACTTGCGAACTAAACCTAATCTCAGTACTGATTGGAAGCATTTTATGTGTATAAATCGATGTATGTGACTCGAAAAAGTACAACTTGAAATCTTGACACGTATTCTATTCTTCAATGGTTAAATCTGCTGACAAGTTGACCAGTTTCTGCCGCATCTTAGATAAGTAGTCTGGAAGTTTTAGCTTGTTGCTTGTTATACTCATACCACTTTGTTTGAAGAGATGCCTTATTTGTGCTAAACATGAAACTAGTAAGTGAAGCTGTGTCCATTGGCCAATAACTCTTCACTGTTTCCAGATTTGCCCTGCACAAGCCATCACAATTGAGGCAGAGGAACGAGAAGATGGAAGCCGTAGGACTACTAGGTGAGACTCTCTCTCTCCCCCCTTTTGTAGTGACAATTTTTTTCCTTCACTCTCCCTGCTTCTCACACTTGATTTCTTTCGCAGGTATGATATTGACATGACCAAATGCATCTACTGTGGATTTTGCCAAGAGGCATGTCCTGTTGATGCCATCGTTGAAGGACCAAACTTCGAATTTGCCACCGAAACCCACGAGGTTAGGACGATTTGCTCTTAAACCTTTGAAACCATTGAGGAGGAGACAATGCCTTAAAAATGTGGAATTGAGTTGTTGCAGGAGCTTTTGTACGACAAGGAGAAACTGCTCGAGAATGGTGACCGCTGGGAAACCGAGATTGCCGAGAACCTCAGGTCCGAGAGTCTCTATCGCTGAGACTGCCATTCGAAGCCAGTTGTTTGCCTGAACATGGAGAATAAAAGGATCCGCGCTTACGGGAACTGAAAGGGATTCAGATTCCGCGCCTTGTTGTTTTATAGTTTGACCATGGAGTTATGCTTTTTGCCCTGTAATTGTTGGGAGCTTACTTGGTTTCTCTATGTGCAATTACCTCAACGATTTTTGTCATATATTATCATGAGAAGAGAATTAACCGACTCTCCTGCTGTGACTAAGGGAATTTCCAATGTGGTTTCATCTACAATCCAATGTGGTGCATCTGACTGCATCAACTTAGCTCTTCTAGTTTCTTTTATGTACATGAAGGGTGGGGAATGATGATAGCAGACCAACTTCTAAACTTCATCTCTTCTCCAGAAAAGCCTCCACCTTCGTCGAGAAATCCTTGTCGTTGCATGCTAACATGTGTCTCAGTTTCGCGTTTATCTGCTTCTCCGCCATAACCTTGTGCTGTGGCATTACCCGATCCTCCAGTGAGGAGCTGAAGAACCAGCAACAAAAACACACAATCACAGTTAGGTAAATGGTAAGAAAGGAAAGCAGCTGATAGCTTTGTAATAGTACTTGCTGGTTTTTCTAAACAATAAGGTCCCATGGTCTAGTGGTCAGGACATTGGACTCTGAATCCAGTAACCCGAGTTCAAATCTCGGTGGGACCTTTCTTTTTTTACACTTCGAGCTCCATTTTAGCCTGGAACTAGAATATCCTATGAATTCCCAACTTGTTCATTCCACTTTCTCTTTTATTATTAGTCTCATCTGTTGGCCATAGAACAAGGGATCTCAGGTAACTAGTAAATCCAACAACCTGTCTCCTGTCTTTTCCCTTGGCTTTTAAGGTAAGAGTGATGAAACTACCATGCTCAAGCACAAGAAAAACAACACAAGGAAAGGGAAACGAACAAGTAAGTGTACAATCTTCTCTTTTGTTTGTTATTTTCCATGATGTCTTCTTTTCCTTTCCAAGAGATAACTTAAGAACCCCAACCCCACCCAATTTCAATATCATCAGATTCTTAACAAAGTTTACACCTTTACAATGATTGCAGAGCACCAAAGACTGCCCCACCAAAAGAAATAGAACAGGAGACCCACTTACAAAAACTCTAAAGGAACAGAAAAAAATGGCAGCTCTGTTCAATTACCGTTAACCTGCCAAACAAATCATGTTGAACTGCACCTGTGATCTCCATCAAGCCCTCCAAATCACTACCATCAAACCAAAAAAAACAGCCTCTGAAAGTTACTTTCTTCACCACCAAGGCAACCGAAACCCTACAAAACATGACTCCTCCACTTTTGGGAAACAAAAGCAAGCAGGCACTCTGAAATAGGAAAGCCTGCTGCTGCTGCTGCTGTTGTCACTGCCACAGCCATCTTTATTAACAAAGAATGTCCATCATTCGCATCTACATTCCTAATCGTGTTCTTGCCTCTCTATATCTTGTTGACCTTCAGATGGTTCTGGGAAAATATCCCTCGAATGACGTCTGCGCGAAGAAGAATGCTCACCACCCCCACCATTCTGCCCACCGCCACTCCCCTGAGACTGCGAATTCGACTTTGACGTTGCTGACCTTTTAAAACTGCCCCCTCCTCCCTCTGGCCGCCGGCTGGTGGAAGCTGTTGCAGGTACCACAGTTACATCGGATGCCTGACGCCAGCTACCGAACACAGCTGCATTCCATGATCCTCTCGAGGATGTTCTTAGCCTTGCGGAGTCTGTAGTCTCTTCCCTCACTACTTTCAGAGGGTTTTCCAATGCCTTGAGGATGTATCTCATTAAGGGCCGCCTCGAAGGTTTGGGGTTCAGGCAGGACCTTGCTACTATTGCCATGGCCCAAACTTCCTCCAGGAGATCTTCGTCGATGATTAGAGAAGGGTCCACGATTTTAACAACGAGGTCCTTCTCGTACATGCTTATGTTGGGGATGATCTGTTCAAGCCATTCCTTCAGTTGGGTATCACTTGCTGCACTAATGCCGATATTTCCTGTCACTAGCTCGAGAAGGACTTTCCCGAAGCAGTAGACATCATAGGCACACGTGGCTGTCTGTTGACCTGGATGAATTCAACGGATGGCTTTCAGAATCAAATGGTCGATAGTAATTACTTACAAGATATATAGCTCTGTGGGATAGTTAATCTAAGGAGTAGTAGTTTGACACAAAATGACAGAAAAGTTCAGCATACTATATTAGGGCAATTTTTGTTTCATCAACTAGGTAAACCTATGGTATAGGAGCATTTGACAGTCAAAAGGTTGTTTGTGGCAAAACAAACCAATGAAATCCATAAGCGACCTGCAATCCATTAAACACTATTGCGGGTTGCTTTCATTTTAACTTGCAGCATGCATGCAGCATTCCAAGTACATGCAAACAACACGTTTTCGGTAAAAGGAGGACAAAGTAAGCCAGTTAACAAAATTCTTTAGAAGTTGAGATCCAGTACATACCAGAAGTTCCTTGATCAGAAGACCTGCACATTGCAAAGGAGAATAATTAACAAACTTGATCAAGCAAGACAAAGGTGACACATAATGTCCATAATAATATCCAGGATAGAAAGATTCCACCAAAGGATGGGTTGGTGAAAAACCAGAATACAGAGTCATGACAAGAACAAAACGCAAAAGATAAGCCCACATAGCAATCAGAAAGACGGTTCATTGTACAGTGAAACTTTCAAGAAGGCTAAAGTCAGTTTGAAAACTTACGGTAACCGCAGCAGCCTGGTGATCCTGCTTTGATGAACATCCGCTTCTTGAGCATGGACCTCATTCAAGCTCCCTAATCTTACTTCAAATTTGTCATCAAGAAGGATGCTGCTTGCTTGAACATCTCTTCAATTAATCAAAAGAGTAATAGTTTTAGTCACTGAACAATCAGCGCCACATTACTATGCAGCATGCATTGGTACGAGACTCCAAGAACACGACAGTCAAGAGAAGGCACATTACAAGATAAGTAAAGGCAAACGGCATTCTGAACTCCTTCGATCATCCTAGGCTTGAATTACTTGTAAGTTTCAATCGCACAATCTCTACTGATCACAGAGCAGTGTAGCAAAAATCATAGCCTATGGAATCATCTATTTGCAGGTCGATTCATCTCTAATGAAAGTTGTGGTGCAACTTGATAAAGTAACATCTTTTCTACACCTACAACAAGCTTAGGCATGAATATGGAATAGGTAACGAGTTTGGACCTAGATTTTCATGTCAAACTTCCATTCTCACTTATTATAGACACTAGAATCTTGTCTGCTAACACCTGTCTCCCGAACAATTATAAGATCACACAAAATTTTCCATTAGGATCTACCACCTATTGATTGTGATGCATGCAAATCAACATATGAAGAAGCAACTAATAAGGGCTAAAAGAGGAACACTGAGCCTCAATATTTAGCAAAAAAATTGTTGTCAAGGTTAGAGAACAGCGCCACTGCTATTCTCAGAACAATAAATCGAATGAGCAGATAGAATGTCAAGTACCTGTGCACAATGGGTGGTGTACATTCATGGTGCAGGCAACAAAGAGCTTCTGCAGCACCAATTGCAATTTTCAATCTCGTAATCCAATCCAGTGACTGCAAAGTATCATCTTCTGAACTAGTTTTCCTGAACAAAGAACTCGCCAAATCCCCGTTTGGCATGTATTTATACACCAAAAACTTCTCATTTTCATTCTCTAAGCAATGTCCCAACAGTGGCACCACTTTAGAATGTGAAACTTTACTGAAAAAAGCAAGCTCGACCAGATATGCATCCTTCTTAATAGCGCTCAAATCAATCCTTTTCACCACCACAGGGATCCCATTTTCCAAGATGCCTTGATAAATATCTCCAGAGTGGCCATGCTTAATAAGATTCGCATCATTAAACTCACCAGTAGCTTGAAGCAGCTGTTGATATGTGAATGTATCTCCCAAACTCAAGAAGTTAATCGATGCTTCCGGAGGCGGAGGTGGAGCAGTCCCTGAAGCAGGAGCTGGTTCAACAGCAACCCCTCTTTGATTTGAACCGTTCCTCTTCCGACAGCAGAAAAGCAGCAGAAAAATGAAAATTGCTAAAAACAGAAGAGCAAGTCCCCCCAGGACACTTGCCAATATAATAAGATTTTTCTTGCTCTTCTTCCCTGAAGTTCTCCCACCAGATTGTGTAGAATTTGGGAGGCCGAAATTATCAAAAGTCAGTCCCTGGTCGGAGTAAAACGATGAACACTCAAACAAGTTCTTCTGATTCGTAACATTCTGGAAACAATTTCTATCGAAAGATGCCTTGTTAAGCACATAATCTGGAACCATGCCTTCAAAATAGTTACCAGATAGATCAACAGAACTGAATCTTCTCAATATAGGTCCAAGAACTCCATAGAACTGATTTGAGGATATGTTCAATACCGCTGCACTAGTGTTGCCAGAATTCAAGTCAGTAGGTGGCAGCATACCTGTGAAATTGTTACCAGAGATATCGAGCAAGCGCAATGCAGGCATTGACCATAGCTCCCCAGGAATAGAACCAGTGAAATCATTTTGGCTGAGAACCACATTCTGCAACCTAGTTTGATTAGCAAACAGACTGGTTGGCAAAGAGCCACCTATGAAGTTGTTACCAAGCAGCAGGCTTTGTAAATTAATCAGCCCACTTAACTCAATAGGCAGTCCTCCAGTCAATGAATTGCGGGTGAGATCAAGATCAACCAAACCAACAAGGCCCCCAAGCTCAGCAGGTATTGAAGATGACAAACTATTGTTGGAAAGATTCAAGTACGTGAGCTCGGACAACGTCCCAAGTTCAGGAGGAACTGGTCCAGCTAAGAAGTTCGAAGACATATCAAGACTTGACAAATTCGACAAGGAGCCAAACGTAGGAGTTATGGAACCAGTAAACAAGTTCCGTGAGAGATCAAGAACCGAAAGCTGCAGCAACTGACCCAAAGTGGAAGGGATGATACCAGTCAAACGGTTACCAGCCAAATGAAGTCGAATCAAGCTAGTCAAACCTCCTAAACTAGCAGGAATGGCATTGATTATAGAGCAAGAGGTGAGATCAAGAACCTGGAGATTGAAGAGAGTCAGACCAAACCAATCAGGGATTGAGCCAGGAAGCATGAATCCAGAGGCATTGAAGGAAGTCAAGCTGGTGAAATTGACAAGTGCATCCACAGCAAATTGAGGGTTCTGTGAACCCACCCTAGTCCTCCTGAACCCAGAAATGTTGATCTCAGAAACACTGCCATTATCACATTTGATCCCCACCCAAGCCAAGCAAGGGTCAACCTTTCTAGGCCATTCTTTGCTCCTTATACCCAAACTAGACCTCAGCTGGAACAGGGCAGCTCGCTCAGTCCTTGAACTAAGCCTCTGCTGCTGCTGCTGCTGCTGCTGAAATGTCGGCTGAAACAACACCACCAGATTCAGTACAATAATGGTGAATGCTTTCACACTTGCGGGATCCACCATGGCTCCTCTCCAGTTTTGTTTGTTACGAATAGTGAAGGAGCAACTCCAATACCCTTTTCCTCATATCAAATACTACGTACCCATTCATCAAAAAGACTGCGAGAATTTTGAAGGGGAAGCAGAAGGAAAAGCGAAATGTGGGTCAGAAATTCCTTCACCACAATCACGAAGCTAAACCAAAGACGAGGCTTCGACACTTTTTTCCTCTCTTTTCCCTCAAGAGGGAGCACTCGCAAACAAAATTAGTTGCTTCCCATTTACATTGTTGCCCATTTCTTCCCCTTCCCCCCCAAAAAAAACAAATTGTTGGCTACCAATACTATTTTTCTCTCTACCTACTCTGTTTCCTCCGTCTCTCTCTTCCCTTCTGGCACACTCCAATCTCTTCAGTTGACAACGAGGGGACCCAAAAAAGAAATCAAAATAATCAGCGGAGGAAGAAAAACAAATGGGTTGTTGAAATTAAGTATGGGAAGGCAGAATGACAATGGAACAAGGAGTGAAATGGGTTTACGGCGGGTCAGGTAGGTTTGGTGAGCAGACGACCGCCGGGATTGGGCGGCGATGACGGTGGTGGAAGGAGGAAGTTTGACTTTCCGGCTATCCCGCTCTCGCCAGCTAAGCTCTCTCTCTCTCTCACATACACTTCCCTATACTATTTACACGATTCAGAAAGGGAAAAGAACTCCTTTTTCCTCTCTATATTCTTCCTTTCCTTTCTCTTTTTCATTTCCTTTGCGACTTCATATTTTTCCTTCTTCAGTTGCATTTTTGCAAGCTGCCCTCTACTACTGTTGTCTGTCTTATGATCATATTTTCACTGTTTATTAGGTTTCTAAACAAAAATTCATTAATGGGGAAGATGGGAGGAAAGTCGAAAGAGGAGATCTTTCATTCAACATTTATTGATAAATGTTTCTCAACGGTATGTGGAAGAAAGGGAAGTTGCTGATGTAGATAGACAGAAAGAGAGAGCTGTTTCCTTTGCTAAAGTGCTAAGCTGGAATCTCTAATGATATAATTTGTATATAAATCATGGTTTAAATGTGATTTAATCATTTTGTATTGTTAAAATCGGATATTGGTTTGAACTCCGGTAGACGATTTTGCAAATACTCTTACTAGTAAGTAGTAACTAGTAAGATTCTTACCTACTTATTGTTGTAAAGAAAAAATCATATGATAGGCAATATTTTCTCAATAGAGTGTGTCTAAATCATTGACTATCGATTTGATTGCTATAATGGTGGAGGTTACTCCATATCTTTGGTAACAACTTTACAAGTAAGAAGGTTGTTAATTTGTTATCTAGTCTCTCAAGTCTTGAACTCGTCGTCTCTAAAGTACTAGGATCTCGAGTTCGAAGTTATATATGTTCTAATTGAATCTAGATATTTGACACCATTCACATCTTTTCTATCTTAATTTTGTAGAGAGAATCTCTTGAATCCGAGCTTGCAATTTGGTATTGGGAGTTTTGTGTTTGGATTCGCTCCATGAAGGACATCTTGAATCGGTATGGTATAGGTCATCCAAGATAATTGGCTTGGACATATATCAGGTTTGGAGCAATCATTATCTAATTGAATTCACATTCTTTACACAATTCCATTTATTTCTTTCTTAACTTGTTTAAACACAATTTTATGATAAAAAAACGTTGAAATAGATATGTATCGAGATTCGAGAATCCTGATTATTACCCGTAATTGATCATAGGACAATTTCCTAACATTTAAAATGTTACAATTATTTTGTTTTTCTCTTAGGTATTGGAGACATTCCCACTAAGTAGTCTTGATTATATCTTTGTGTCGCAAATGTAATCTAACTTCTCCTAATAAAGAATTGAGATCGTGTAATAGAGTTTGGATTCATTGATGGCTCAATCGTGGACAGTGCATCTTTTTGCTTCGTGACCATCAACCTAGCTAGCGATTTGATCTAAATAAACTAAGGAAAGATTCAAAGTTGAATCATTCTTCCATTAGCTTTTCTAATACGGTTTAAAAATTTCAAAGGTATAAAATAAAGGTGTTTGTGAGACAGTACTATATCGATTGTTCGGCTGGAAATATCTCTTATCGGAATCTAAATCGGTTTGTTGTTTTTAGCGGTATGAAGTCTGAATCACATTTAGACCACAATTTCAATACAAAATATCATATTGCTAACTTTTCCGATACAACTTCCGGTGTGATTTTACAATCACCGAGACATAATCAAGAGTTGAAATTCAATAGCTATAGATGATGTTTCCATTACTGAATGCGTCGAGCTTCATTATTCGTTGAGTTTATGCGCTTATTCCTCCTATGCATGTGATTATATTCTGATGAATACAAAACATAATACGAGAATCATATACACGTACAACGCTTCGGTTTACTAACAAACATGGCACACATGTTGTGATCATGTTGATATATGACGGTACTTTGATGACAATACGCCACATACTTAGTAGAGAGGTCAAGTATATTAACATGACATTTACATACGTGTGTCGTTCACATCATCGTACAATTATTTGCCGATCTATTTTACCTTGAGATCACAAGCAGCAGCTAGCAAACTATAACGAACTAATACATTAAGACGACTCAAAATCAAGTGTTGTTCGATAAATGCTTAAACTAATTTCGATTTTTTTCCGAGTAGGTGTGAAAGTGAAACTGATTGAATCATACACACATCTTATCTACCTAGTGAGAGCAAAGACAAGATGGTTGAGGATCTATGGGCCGGCTCAATAAGATAAGACCCATGTGAGCAGTTGGGAAATTTCTGCATTTCGATTTTCGGTCCAGCAAATTAGCAGCAGACGAATTCATAGCCTTTGAATGAGCCCTTTACTATTTGCAAGTGATGATGAACACAGTAGTCGGCACACAGGCAGGCCCGAGACTTGTTTGAAACGTTAGGTGCTCCATTACAGCTAGGGCTGTTAATGAACCAAGCCGCTCATGAACGGCTCGGCGTCCGACTCGAGAAAAACTCGTTCGAAACTCGATTCGTCTTAATCAAGCCGGCTCGCGAACAAGCTCGTTAACTAAACGAGCCGAACTCGAGCCATACCATGTTCAGCTTGAAAGCTCGCGAACAAGCTCATTTAACATTTTGGCATAAGAGAGGATTAGAATTCATGGATTCTATGTATTGAAATTTGGATAAATATTGTATTTTATTTTGCTAGACTTTGCTACAGGTTTGAATGTAATTTTGTGCCAATTTCTAGGTCAATCTTGAGTTATTATGAACATTTTATGAGCTTAACTCGATTTTGGGCTTGTTAACCTTATTAAACGAGTCAGCTCGAACCGAGCTCGAGCTTTCATTTTCATAAACGAGCCGAGCTCGAGCTTGCATATTAAAGCTCGTGACGAACACGAGCCAAGCTCGAGTTTGGAAACATATTAACGAGCCGAGCCCGAACTATGGCAAAACTCTGCTCGGCTCGGCTCATTAACAGCCCTAATTACAGCAGACGAATCATACTTTACGATGCTTTCCGAAATATATCGTTGTTGTCTGCGAAGAACAAATGTGAAATGTTACGTGCTCGATTACAAATCCGACGCGTTTGGATAGAATAATGGATAAGTACTACTCAATCCGGCTAATCCGACGCGTTGTCATCCCTAATAGTGCAACCATTGTTCCGAATCCGAATCGGACAATTTGGGTCACAGCCGGGCCCGGCAACTAAACCCACGCTGAACGGTGCGCAATGCGCACCCTTTACCTCTCTAACTAACCCTAGTTAAGGCCTCCCAGACTCTATATAACCAATACCCGAGCTACGCGCTGTCTGCTCAATTCTCATCCAAATCGGCCCTTCTCGAAAAAAAATTCTCTGTTAGGTTTTTTTTTTTATCATAACAATGGCTTCCGCCGATCTTGAGTACCGCTGCTTCGTCGGTGGCCTGGCCTGGGCTACCACCGACGAGGCTCTCCAAGAAGCCTTCAGTCACTACGGCGAGGTCCTCGAATCGAAGGTCCGTTTGCTGTCATATCGGATCCGACGTCCCGATTCCGCTCGGCTATGTCGATCCAGGACAATCCGATCTGTTTCTGTTACTAGCTATTGATCTCTCTTGTGTTACTCTGTTACTACTACGTTTTTCCCTCTGTTACTGATCTCTCTAGACCAATCGGTACGTTCATCTTCATCCTTTGGGAGGAGATCGATCGATTTTCGTTTTTTTTTTTTTTTCAATTCCGTTTTCAATTCCTTCTCCTGGATTTCAATTCTCCGTTTTCTGTTCTTCCGCGATCTGAATTTTGCGTTTGACGTAGATCTGACGGATCTGTGGACCTTTGTTTGTGTGTGTGATTCTGTTCAGGTCATCAACGATCGGGAGACAGGGAGATCTCGTGGATTCGGATTCGTGACCTTCAGGGACCAGCAGGCGATGAAGGAGGCGATCGAAGGGATGAACGGCCAGAATCTCGATGGTCGTAACATCACCGTCAACGAGGCACAGTCTCGCTCCGGTACCGGCGGTGGCGGATACAGGAGTGGTGGTCCTCGCAGAGACGGCGGTGGCGGTGGATATGGCGGTGGAGGTGGATACAACCGTGGATACGGAGGAGGCGATCGCGGCGACGGTGGCTATGGAGGCGGTGGTTACGGCGGTGGCCGGGACCGCGGTTACGGCGGCGGCGGCGGCGATGGTGGATCTCGCTACTCGTCGAGGGGCGGTGGTGGCTCCGATGGAAACTGGAGGAGTTAAAGGTGGGAGGATTAGGTTTGGTCCATGGAATGGAATCGTCTTCTTCAATTTCGTTGTTAGATTTGCGGTTACTTTGCTTGTCCAGGTTCTGTGTCTTGTTCGCTGTGGGTTACTGTTCTGGTTCTGGGTTACTGTTCGCGTTCGGGTTCGGGTTCGGGTTCGGGTTCGGGTTACGGACGCGCCATGGATTTGTTGTGTTGTGAGTCTGGAAAATGAATGAATGGAAATCGAGTACTTATCTTCATTTTCGTTCCTTCGGGACATATCTGCATCTCACTGTCGCTTTGCGCCGTTTTGTTCGTTATCGCTGACAATTATGGTTGACCTGAGAACGAGAAAGTGGAAGAGATGAGGGTAGTGGCAGGGCAGGTGACGAGTGAGACTTGATTGGGCTTTTTGTGGGCTTTTGATGTGATGTTGATTGTGATTTGTGAGCCAGTTTGTGATTGACCGTTGATGAGATGGTAATGGTGTTAAGGTGATGGGCTTTCTATCTTGATTCGGCCCGGATAGTTTTGGACTTTAGAGGGTAGGTGTGGTTATGGGTTGGGCTTTTTCCTACAATTAACATTTCGAAACTAGGACGACCAAAGCCCAATGAAGAGGCTATTAATTGCAAGCACGATCGACTTTATGGAGGGAAAATGCATTGGTAATTAATTAGTACTTGGTTGACCGAAATGATATTTGAATCGGACGAAAATCGAATCAAATGTATAGATGATTCAGTCGTTTTTGTTATTTATTTTATTATCGGATCACGGTTCTTATGAGTTTGCTAAATCATTGGAGACCCTAGCTAAGAAGGACCATAGAAAACTTAGATTAGCTTGGATGAACTTACGAGCTAAAGTCTATGTCTCTTAAGCTAAACATAACTCAATCCAATAATTTAAGATGCTATTATTAGGTGTTATTAAAGAGATTTGAATTTAAGATGTCATTTGCTTCATGAATTTGGAGATATGTGAGTTTGGAAAATCCTTGGATTTGTGATGGATATTTTGGAGTTTATTTATTTATTTATTTTATATTCTTGAGACAATAGGATATATAAGTTAAATATTATCATGGGGCACATATATTTGTGACCACATTCCAAATATCACACATATTTGGAACTTGCAACTTGCACGTTTATAGAACCCACGGATTTGGTCCAACCAAAATACGAATCAACTAATGATTTTATGAGACCCAAGCTCAAGTGTATACTAAACTCAACTTAGTTCGTCTCATTAAAAAACAAATTTAACTAAACTCGACTCGACTTATTTATAACCCTGATTTAAATTTCCTCGATTCCCTCTATTCCAATGGGTTGAAACAAACAAAAATATTTATGACCTACTCGCCTACCACCACGTATCGGTCAACCACAAGCAGACATCAAACATCATAACTCATTAGCAATATTTATGGTACGAAGTCCAAAGAAGTCGTTAGTTGGGTGGAAGATTAGATGGGCCCAAAATAGCATAATGGAGATTTCCAACGATGACCACCAAATTTAAAGCCCACCGGTCCACACTGTTAAAACGGTTGGGCTGTTGATTGTTGAGGCTACCAAACCTAATCTGGTGGAATTCAATTCCTCTCACCTACTAGCCTACTACAGCTCATAATACAGTTGAAGACAGTTCACTTGAGACTGGACTGCAAGTAGAGACACACAGGATATAACAAAATGAGTGAATCATTATCCCATGGACTTGGTCTAACGCTTTTATCGTTGGTCTCCGATTAAAATGTTTCGGGTTTGAATCTTGTAAGTACGCCATTTACGCTAACATTTGTGTGATGACATTAACTAGACCAGACAGGATCAGACAGCAACGAGTTCCAAATCTCTGGATCCAGAACATCATCAACATGCAAAAAAACTAAAATCTAAGAAGTCTTTATCTGTCAAATTGTCGACGTGAAAACTACCGTTTCGACCCAAAAGTCACAACATCGAGTAAAGAGAACAATTGTAAGTGGGGATTCTCATTTCAAGTTGATATACCAACCCAATGCAGCTCCCCATAAACCCTATAGTAAAAGTTTAGTTCAATTTTAAAAAATCATTATCATGTAAAAATTATGGTTTGATCGAACGGAGTCGCCAAATCGATATTTTACATTTTTATCAATGATTTTCCATGAAATTTGATGTAAATGTTATTATCGAAACGAGAAATTCAGGGGTGAATTTATTAACCAGATTATACTCTTCTTCTCGAAATGCTCAGCTTCGAAACTTGAAACCATGAAACCAACTTAACTTGCGGAGTTTGCAAAGTTATTCCTTTTCCTTCTGGCGAAGCTTTTTTTCTCATATAGTTTTCACCACCTCTGCTCCAACGTCTTCTTCTCCCTCCTCCTTCTCAAAAAAGATTCGACCTTTTCCTCTGTCGATTCCGGTCCGGCCTTTCCCTTCCACCATTTTCTTGTTTTTGTATTTTTCACTAATTCCAAACAAGCCCCTTACAAACCCCCCCCCCCCCCCCCCCAACTCTGCCGTTTCCATTTGCCCTCTCTCATCTCTCTCCCACTCGTCACTCTGTTTTTTCTGTTCCTGTCGCCATCGCCTCTGTTCCCAGTTATAACCAGATCCCGCTCCTCAAATTTTTCTTATATAAACGGATACCAAATTTACGTGGTGTTCAATTATGGCAGCTTCCTGTCACTCCTCGCTCTAGTAGTTGTATCCAATACCCACCAACCATAACCCAGTCAAGTTTTCCTCTTCTTCTTCTACTACCTTCCTCTCTCAGATTTCTTGCCGGTTTCCTGTTTCAGATCCGTGCACGATACCCACTGTTCACCGTCTCCCTCGCTATATATATTGGGTCGGTTTGATTTTTCGATATCAGAAATACCCAGAAGTTAGATTTGGCTGTTTGATTAGTAAGCAATGAGTGGTGAATCCGCCGCCGCTAGCACAACACCGGCCGGTGGCGGTGGTGGTGGCGGTGGAGTCGGCGGGATCCAGATCCAGCCCCAATCGAGGACTCGGCTGCCGGATTTCTTACAGAGCGTGAATCTGAAGCATGTGAAGCTGGGTTATCACTATCTGGTGAGCCATCTATTGACCCTTTGCTTGATCCCATTGATGGCGGTGATCGTAATCGAAGCTACCCAATTGAATCCCGACGACATCCGCCAGCTCTGGCTCCACCTCCAGTACAATCTCGTCAGCGTCATCGTCTGCTCCACTTTCCTCGTCTTCGGGATCACGGTCTATGTCATGACCCGACCCAGATCCGTTTTCCTCGTCGATTACGCCTGCTACAAGCCGCCGGCCGAGCTCCAGGTCAGGTACGATCAGTTCATGGAGCATTCGGCGTTGACGGGGGATTTCGACGAGTCGTCGTTGGAGTTCCAGCGCAAGATCTTGGAGAGGTCCGGGCTTGGGGAGGAAACCTATGTCCCTGAAGCGATGCACTTCGTTCCTCCTCGGCCGTCGATGCAGGCAGCTAGGGAAGAAGCTGAACAGGTGATGTTTGGTGCTTTGGATAATCTCTTTGCGAACACTAATGTGAAGCCTAAAGATATAGGGATCTTGGTAGTGAACTGTAGCTTGTTTAATCCCACTCCTTCACTCTCCGCCATGATTGTGAACAAGTACAAGTTTAGGGGGAACATTCGAAGCTATAACCTTGGTGGGATGGGATGTAGCGCTGGGGTGATTTCAGTGGGTTTAGCCAAAGATTTGCTGCAAGTTCATAGGAACACTTATGCTGTAGTTGTGAGCACGGAGAACATTACTCAGAACTGGTACTTTGGGAACAAGAAATCAATGTTGATCCCCAATTGCCTGTTCAGAGTAGGGGGTGCTGCGGTTTTGCTGTCGAACAAGTCCAAGGACCGGAGACGGTCCAAGTACAAGCTTGTTCATGTGGTCAGGACACACAAGGGAGCCGACGACAAGGCGTTCAAGTGCGTCTACCAGGAGCAGGACGATGCAGGGAAGACCGGGGTTTCTCTGTCGAAAGATCTCATGGCCATTGCAGGCGAGGCCCTCAAGACGAACATCACCACTCTAGGGCCGCTCGTCCTCCCCATAAGCGAGCAGCTGCTCTTCTTCGTGACCCTCATTGCCAAGAAGACGCTGTTCAGTGGTAAAAAAGTGAAGCCTTACATCCCCGACTTCAAGCTGGCATTCGAGCACTTCTGCATCCATGCTGGGGGCAGGGCCGTGATCGACGAGCTCGAGAAGAACCTGCAGCTTCTTCCCGAACATGTGGAGGCTTCCAGGATGACCCTCCACCGGTTCGGGAACACGTCTTCCAGCTCGATCTGGTACGAGCTGGCGTATGTGGAGGCCAAAGGGAGGATGAGGAAGGGGAACCGGGTGTGGCAGATCGCGTTTGGGAGTGGGTTCAAGTGCAACAGCGCGGTCTGGGAGGCGATAAGGAATGTCAAGCCGTCGGTTACTAATCCGTGGGACGATTGTATCGACAGGTACCCTGTTCAGTCTGTGTTCGACATGTCCTCTTCGGGAGGGAAAGAGTAGTACGTGTACGACGATCAGGGTGGCTGGTAATATGCTCTATTAGACATTGCCTGTAGCGTAATTCATTGCCTTGTCTAATTTTATTGAGCAAGATCAGGCTGTGTCTGTGTGCTGATGCTCGTCGTAGGAATGAATGTTTGTTAGTCACTGGGAGGATTTGTTCGGTTTAGCTATTTGCATTTAGCTGCAGGGAGGAAGGGAGAGAGCACCTAATTGATTGAAGAAAAGTAGGAAGGAAATGTTCTCAGTGTTATTTCTGGGTTGTAGTTGCAGTGATGGAGTCAGCTGATAGAGAATGTCTCTCTGTCTGTGTTTGCAGAAGAATGCAGTACGATTGATATGTTTTTGTTGCTGTAATAATTACTCTCCAGACTTGATAATTTTTTTTGTTAATCTGGATCGAATTGTGGCTGGCTGGGTTGTGATGGCATTTATCCAAACCCTTACCTACCAGTGCCATGTTGAGATGTAACATTAGTGATTGTGTGTAAGCAAGATTTAGGTTGAGTTGTGCTACAAGGTAATAGCAATATAATATTCTACACATTTTAGTCAATTGTATTTATCCAAACTGTGGCCATGTATGTCAGTTAAGTAAATGTTGTCAAATTGGTTTATACGGTTACGTTAGTTTAGTCTGAGCGAGATATAATCGATTTTATTTCGGTTTATGCCACTTTAGTAAAATGTGTAAGTGGGAAGTCATTAACACCATACGCATTACACAAATATATAACCTATCTTAAAACAATATATCAACAGTCTATATCCATATTTATTTAAATAAGATACACCATTATACGCAAAATGACAAATCATCATATATTTAAGTAAAACATTTGACATCAACATCCAAACGATTATATTTAAATTCAACATATAGCATCAACATCAACATTCATATTTAAATAAAATACATTACAAACAAAATGATAAATACTCATTTAACATTATTTTGTTTAGTGGGCAAAATTTGTCAATACCGGCCGAACAATTGGTTTCTCGATTCTAATTATCATTTATCAGTTCATATGATGAAAATCTCATCTTATTTTATGTCGATATCAACCAGTTGTACCGGCTGGCATACTAGTGGCTTCACAACCATGGCTCAAACAATTTGCTATTTTCCTACCACCATATAACAACATTTTAACATCTAAACTTCTCAAATTTTTCGTAATAGATCCGAAATTTAGATGACGCTTAGATTCGTGAATCCAGTTCACGAATCCAATCCATAAACCCACCAATAAAATCAATGAATTCACCAAACAAATCCATTTGTGACCTCTAATTAATTATTTGAATTCTATTAAAGATACCGTAATAAAATATATTGGATTCACGAATCCAATCTATAAACCCACCAATAAAATCCATGAATTCACCAAACAAATCCATTTGTGACCTCTAATTAATTATTTGAATTCTATTAAAGACACCGTAATAAAATATATCAATCTTCAGCTCGTCGCGGGTAACTTGAATTTGGTATAAACTGATCAAGTTAAGGTCTATCTTACATTCAGCTATACCAATCAAGAAAAAGGATTGAAAACGTAAGTACAAATAGAAAGAGCACAAGAAATGTCCTGCTACTGCTATTCCTCTGTATGGCTTGTGATAGTTCCTTGTTACCGAGTTCAACGTTCTTCGTAGCTTCTACTGCCTAATAGATGAATCAGTAACCAAAGAGAAAACAATAGGGTCATAAGAAGATGTCGCAACACTATTGGCATCAAATTTCCAGTTCTTCTCCACACTCCTAGTGTAAATAAGGTGAGGACAGGAAGCATGGGCACAGAAACAGACCGCAGTCAAACCACAAAATCAACTATAGGTACAATGGCTCCTGACTTCAACGTCTTTTGTATAGCAAATTATATGAATGATCAAAGATCGAGCATGTAAGAGAAACAGAGAAAAGGATTGACCTGATCATACAGATGTTCTATCTGTTGTGCTTGCTGCAGAACATGGGTTGACATGAGATGATTCAATGCTGACATTTCCACCATCTTGGTTTCAGTTTGTTGAACCGAATCTAAGAGATTAGTCAACTCCACCTGCATAAAAAGGGGCAGCTTAAGAATGCAGAGTTTCTAGAGCATAAATTGGTAATATAGAGGCATATACTATTGTGTTGAAGATACCGATGACTGCTATCAAAACAAAAACTGCTCACTTGAAGTGCGCGAGTTTCATCATCCAATAATTGGTGCTGAAGTCTAGGACGCTCCAACTGAGTTTCATCAGACTCTTTCAGTTCTGGCTGATCTAGTACGTTAGATGCACCGGTAGAGCTCGAGTTTGTGACCCGCTTTTGTTTCCTTCTCGGAATCCTTTTGTTAATAGCATCTTGGAAACGTATGGCCCTCAACTTATCAAATTCTGATGTAACAGCATGAAGTTTCTCGCTCAAAATCAGAACCTGCGACGATATCCATAGAGTCATGACAATGAGAACCCCAAGACGTGCTCAAAGCTCTCGCAAATAATGTCAAACTTACGAAGAGAATGATCATACCACACCATGTTTGTGCGCTATCGTATCGACATTGTTACCGTCGGCCCTAATACCAAGCCATCCTTTGGCATTCGTGTCTTCATTGTTTATGCTGGTCTTAAGAATGTCGATTTGTTCTTTGCATGCCTTGACAAACTCAGCAACCTGAAACAAACCCAATTAGCACAAAAGAGAAATGCTCAAGAAAAGTAGTTCAGCAACTGAAATGCCATTCGATATTCATCGTCTGGAAAGCTCACTTCTTGTTCGATGCTGTCTCGTTCCTGCTCGGTGGTTCGATGCATATCCATGTAATCCTTCCTGTGCTTCATCATGAACTGTTCTAGAGCTCCAATGTTTTCCAACTAATCAAACCATGGAAATGTTAGCAACAGAGACCCTAACCATCTTTCTGTATAACAGGGAAGAAGCTCGGTTGGGGGCAAAACAAAATCAGAAAGGGGGGTTAAGGCAATGAAGGAGCTAGCTAGCTGTACCGTTTTCAATGCAGCTCTGGTGAAAGGCGACGATTGCTTGGGCTTGTGAATGATAAAAGACGCCATAATTGATGCCAATTTCGACTGCGGAACACATAAACAAGAGGGAAAAGAGGAAACTAAAAAAATTGAACGAGAAATTGTAATTCCTGCCGGAGAAGCCCTTGACAAAATTTACCTCGTCGTATCCGGCGGAGACGGCGGCGTGCCTCACCGCATCTTTGAAATCCTCATTCCTGTCCCTGATTCTCGCCATTGCTTTACCTATCAAACTCCACCGGGAAATTCCGGCTTCCAGGCAGCTTGATAAAGGATCCTTAAGTGCGAGGAGATTGAAAGATCGCCACTTCGATTGAGAAAGCCACAGGTTGCTGAGAGCTTCCAGTACCTCAAGAAATCCAATTAACCATTTCGTCGCCACGCTCCTTCAGCTTCTGTAGAACTGTTTCTCTTCTAACCAGCGGAAGTCCGGCCAGATCGGATCCCGCCCAGGGAGAGAGAGTGAAAAAGAAGGAAGGCGAGCGGAGAGCGAAGAAGAATCCAACGGCGGGGTTATTAGAGGACTGATATGGCACAACCGAAAGGTTTTTGAGCACTGAAGAAGAAGGACTGAATTGGCACAACGAAAGGTTTTGGGATGGAAAGTGGAAACGCCACATTAGATGTTATTCGAGTATTGAACGGAAAGATTATAATTGATATTGAGGGACACCCTTGAAATTAGAAAAAATGATTATCCTACTCGCATTTTTTAGATTGCGTATGAAAATATAAGTGGTAGTTTGGATAAATCAAACCTAGGACAGAATTGTTATTAATAAACATAATCTCCACTAGACTAACAACTTATTTATTGTTTGATTTTAAACACGGTATAATAGTAAAATGTCAATCCCTATATCTAATATTTTTTAAAACCTAACAATTAAACTAATTTCAAGCTAGCCTTAATTTGTATTGATTTTATGGTTGTACGACAAGTGTAGAAAGAGTTTTTTCCAACTTTGGGTTATATAAAGAACAAGTCTAGGAATCGAATATGTGATCAGTTCATGAATAATTGTCTAGTAGATATACAAAGAAACGTTTTTAGTGTAGTGTAGACACCAAGTATATTCTACAATTAATTTCCTAATATGAAAACACATCACAGACATTTTTTTTTAACTTGTACTAGTCATGCATTTTCTTATTTAATAATTTATTATTTTTATTTTTATTTAATTTATTATTTAAAAGATGACAACCCTACGTAAAATTCCTGGGTCCGCCACTGAATTTTAGTGTTCGATCTCATTGTCACTACGACAATAACTTCAACAAACTTGAATTCTGAACATGTTAATTTGCTTTCTTGGTGAGTCAATCCCACGTTAAGTAGGATGTAATCATTTTTGTACATCGTATCCTTACATTTGATAACTTCTTCTGGCTAACCAAAGTGTTTTGGGGTTGCTAATCTCTGCTGTTTTCTGTATGTTTTGCTGTGTAATACCAGCATGGTCCGATGGATCTCCCTGCTGGAGAGTACGTACGGCTGCAGAACTGGGAAGGGCATGTGGCATTGTGGCTGATCTGGGAGAAAACAGGGATGCAGCAGCTTCAGTTTTTGTACTGTGGTAGACAGGTCAATAAATTGCTTCTGTCAGTTCTGTGTACTTGTTGTGAGGCCGTGCTGCTTTTGCTTCAGCAGCAGGCATCATTCATTGCTGGATATGATGTTTCATTTTCAACCCACATTGTACAGAGTGGAAAGTAGGGATGGCAATTACCCACCCATGGGTAATTTTACCCAAATCCAAATAGATCCATTTAGTATGAGTAGGGTTTGGATGAAGTGTATATGGGTTTGGGGGTTTGTAGATGGATATTGCTTTCATAATGTAAATGAGTATGGGTTGGATATGGATATCCATTTACTTGAGAGTGTTTTAACTACACACACAAAAATTAGACCTATTTGTAAAACTTGAAAAGTTTAGGTACCAAAATGTAAGACCAAAAAAATTTAGGTACCAAAACATAATTTTCCATCGATATTTTGAGGACTTATATGCAAAAAAATTAAATTTAGGTACTAAATATGCATATCTATTAAGTTTATGTACCAAACTGTAATTTGCCTTTAGGCATGGGTACAAACTCAAATCCATGTGTTAAAAACCCAACCCAACCCAAGTAAATGGGTATGGGTACAAATCCATCAAACTCTACCCATCTACCATTTATTTAGAATCCATACCCAACCCAATTGGGTTGGATAGTAAAATACCCATGGGTATGGGCAAAATTGCCATCCCTACCGGAAAGGAAACCTAAGAACCGGGGAATAGGAAGTGGGAGTGGAGTGGCAGCAAAGCTCATGTGGAGATCACCATATCTATCTATATATGGTGAAATCGGCTGTGCCTGAGGAAGTGAGTCCGCGGATGAACCTGTGGAAATCTTGATGAATTTTCTGACCACTTAGAATCTCGTCAACGATTTTGTATTACCTTAATGTAGACGGGAACAAACACATGTTAAAAAAACTATAAAAAAAAAGTGATGTAAAACCGTATCAGATGTTGTATCGAAAAAATAAACAACATTGTCTCTCTCTAATCACATTGAGTGCGATGGCTGAAGAGAGGTGATAAGAATACTTCGTATTTCCATACGGTCACTCGGGTTCGACGGAAGAGAAACTTCGTGGCTGGGCTACGAAGTGAGGAAGGGGAGTGGGTCACGGATGAACGCGAGAAGGCTGCGATGGCTGATACTTTCTACCAGACTTTATTTACCTCTGAAAACCAGGTCCTTAATATGTCTGAGAGAGTGGCGGCTCTGCCGATTACTCGTAGTGTTACCCCTGAAATGAATGACCTACTGACTGCTGAAGTCCTCCCTGCGGAAGTTCGCAGCACAGTCTTTTCTATGGGCTCAAAGCAGGCGCCCGGGTCCGATGGATTTACTGGGAAGTTTTTTAAAGCTTTTTGGGACATTGTGGGCAATTCGGTTTCTGAGGCGGTTTGCTCATTCTTTGCGACGGGTCGCATGCTCCGCAGCTTTAATCATACTTGGCTCACTTTGATTCCCAAAGTAGATAATGTGGAGAATATGCGCCAGCTCCGTCCGATCAGTTTATGCCAGTTTGTTTATAAGATCATAACCAAAATCATGGCAGGAAGACTTGCTATGCTACTTCCCCAGATCATATCGGAGGGACAAAATGCCTTCATTCGGGAGCGCCAGATCATTGATAATGTCCTTCTCGGGCATGAGTTGATGCATTACCTGAAAATCAAAACGCGAGGTAAGAAAGGCTACATGGCTCTAAAGGTTGACATGGAAAAGGCCTATGATAGAGTTGAGTGGGCCTTTCTTCTTGGCGTTTTGGACAAATTGGGATTCAGCTCTGTCTGGAGAGATTGGATCCATGAATGTCTCCGTTCTTCGTCGTTTACTATTCTTATGAATGGGAACCCCTCTGGGTATTTTTCTCCGACTAGAGGTCTCCGGCAGGGCGACCCCCTATCCCCTTTGCTTTTTGTTATCTGCACTGAGGGTTTTGCGGCTCTGCTTCGGCAAGCAATTGCGGAGAAGCGGCTGGAGGGGGTTAAGGTTGCCCCTCGAGCACCCAGGATCTCTCACCTCTTCTTTGCTGATGACTCTTATTTATTCCTTCGGGGCACTCTTCAGGAATGTGAGAACCTGATAACAGTCTTGAATGAATATGAGGAACTCAGTGGCCAGAGGGTTAACCTGGGGAAGTCAGCGGTTTGCTTTAGTAAGAACGTTTCGGTGCCAGATCAAGAGTTCCTGGCCCAGATTCTGGGGGTTGGGGCGGTTGGAGTGCATGATAAATATTTAGGATTGCCCACCCTCATAGCCCGTTCAAAGATGGCTACCTTTCGGTACCTGGAGGAGAAATTGCTGGAACGGCTTCAGGGGTGGAAGCAGCGCACGCTCTCTTGGGCGGCTAAAGAGACCTTGATTAAATCCATAGCGCTTGCTTTACCTCTTCACGTCATGTCCTGTTTCAGGCTCCCGCTATCCCTGTGTCGTCTTCTTGACAGACATGTGGCGCGTTTCTGGTGGGGTGATGAGGACGGGCATTCCCGAATTCGGTGGGTCTCTTGGCGTAACATGTGCAGAAGTAAGCACGAAGGGGGTATGGGCTTTCGCCGTTTTGAGCAGTTCAATCAGGCCCTCTTAGCAAAAATTGGTTGGCGTATCCTTTCTGAGCCGGATTCCTTGTTAGCACAGGTGTACAAAGGGAAGTATTTTCCAAATTCCTCCTTCTGTTCGGCTACGGCTAGATCCCGTCCGTCTTGGGGATGGCAAGGTGTCCTCTATGGTCGTCAGCTGCTAGAAAAGGGGTTACGTTGGCAGATAGGGAATGGGCGCACTGCTTCTCTACTTCACTCTAATTGGATTCCGCAGGTGCATCCCTGGCCGGTGCGGTTTAACCCCCGGGTGCTTCCGGAGGGTGGTGACCCGACTGTGTCTGAATTAATCAGCCCAGAGGGCGGGTGCTGGGCGGAAGAGAAGCTTTCTCAGTGGTTTGACCCGGATACGTGTCATGCCATCAGAGCTATTCCCCTGCCGCGGCAGGATCTCGAGGATAGATTGATCTGGCATGCCACGACTGATGGGATATTCACTGTGAAGTCGGCCTATCATTTAGCAGTTTCGATTGAGAGAAGTAATGGTCGGTGGCGCCAATTGGCAGGATGGATGGATAAACCTAGCTGGATTCGCTTGTGGGAGGCTAATATCCCTCCTAAGTTGAAGGTCTTCTGCTGGCAAATTTTTAATAGAATCCTCCCAACCACTGAAGCTCTTCGCGAGAGAGGGGTGGAGGTTTTCCCTCGGTGCCCGGTCTGCTGGGCGGAGTCTGAAACCATGGAACATTTGTTTCTGGAGTGTCCAGTGGCGCGAGCCCTTTGGGATTTTTCGGGGTTGGAATATCTTGGCCAAGGGTTGCCTCGACATACGTTTCCTTTTTTCCTCAAGCGTTTGATGGCGCTAGTGCACCAGGCCCCTCTGTTTATGAAAGTTGTGGCTGTTCTTTGGAGGATTTGGCGATCTAGGAACTGGGTAGTCTTTGAGGGCAAACAGTTTGGGATCCCGGCCTTGATTCGACAGTTCAACCAGCAGTTTGAGGAATGGGTTAGCCTGCCTGTTGATCGCCCCCAGCTGCCTGTGACTCCTCTCCCAGGGCCTCAGTTGTCGGTGTTCACTGGGCAAGCCTCGTGTAGATGGGATGGGGCGACGAGGTCTGGTTCTCATTCGGCGGGTGGGATGGTGTTGGTGGATGCTAATGGGGATCCGATCTTGGCTGCAGGATTTCAGATCCCTCATATTGATAGTCCTCCGGTTGTCGAGTTGTTGGTTCTTCGTGAGGCCATTCGTTGGTGCCTCAGCTTGGGCTTTACAGAGGTGCAGTTTGAAGGCGACGCCAAGGTCATTATTGATAAACTTAATAGGGCGGATGCAGGTGATAGCCAGATGGGAGCAATTCTTCAAGAGGTTATAAATCTTTTAGCTGTCCAGTCTGGGTTTTGTGTACGGTTTATAGGTCGGAGTAACAATAGGGTAGCCCATTTGGTGGCTAGGAAAGCCCTGTCTTTGTACCCGGCCACTTGCCGTTTCTTTGATTTTCAGGCCTGGCTGTCTTCCAGGATGTAACTTTCTCTCTTAATCTAATGGATTATCTTTTGTCAAAAAAAAAAAAAAAAAAATCACATTGAGTTAGTAGAACTAACACACTTTACAATATATATCTCCATTTTTTTAGGAAACAATCTCCAACCTTTTGACGAAACAAACAATGTTCACGTGTCATGAACAGGTTGGCCCTAATAACTCGAGTTGTTGGGAGAAGGTTATGCTGGATCTTATACAGGCCCGTGTATGGTGCTTAACCACTTCCTTACACGCCCTCTCAAACAAAAGGCGACTTATGGGCTTGATTTGCACAGGCCCAACCGGGTCCTCGCTTAAGAGAAACAGAAACAGAAGGGGGTCATCGGGATTCGAATAGAAGACTTATCGGTCACAGAAGGCGCTTTGATACCATGTCAAGAACCAATTGGCCTCAACAACTCGAGTTGTTGGGAGAATGTTATGCTGGATCTTATACACTTCCTTACACGCCCCCCTCGAACGAAAACCGAATTATGGGCTTGAAGTTTGCATAGGCCCAGCCCTATCATGTGCTTGAAAGACAACGATTAATATCGGGGGTCGTGAGGACTTGAACACGTGACCTCACGGACAAACCAGCTCTGATACCATGTCACGAACCAGTTGGCCCCAACAACTCGAGTTGTTATTGGGATCAAGTGGTTCTTGACATGGTATCAGAGCTGGTTTGTCCTTGAGGTCGCGTGTTCAAGTCCTCACGCCCCCCAATATTAACCGTTGTCTTTCAAGCACATGGTATGTCGGGCCTGTGCAAACTTCAAACACATGAGTCGGCTTTCGTTTGAGGGGGGCGTGTAAGGAAGTGGTTAAGTACCATACATGAGTCTGTATAAGATCCAGCATAACCTTCTTCCAAACACTCGAATCATTGGGACTATGACATCACGAGTTGACATAGAAACAATCATTCACAAAGTTAATATTCAATGGGCCATTACTGATTGCTCCATCTCAACCGCTCAATCAACTACCTAAATAATTAATTCATTTCTAATTCCAGCCAATTCCCTCTTCATAGTACATTCCCATTTCCTACACCCATCTATATATACACATGTCTCTCTTTATTTCTCAAAAACCCGCCATCTCAGTCTCAACAATTCCTCCCCACAAATGGTCAACACGGTGGTCGTCACCCAAACCATCCTCCGATGGCTCCTCCGCCTAACCACGGGGATCCGGCCCAAACAAGTCGAGCTCGAGCCCGGCACGGTCATCAACATCTGGGCCCCATCAAGCCCACCAACCACCCTCAAACCGGCCCTGGTCCTCATCCACGGCTTCGGCTTCAACGGCATCCTGACGTGGCCTCTCCAAATCCCGTCCTTCGCCAGCCGCTACTCCGTCTACGTCCCCGACCTCCTCTTCTTCGGCGGCTCGTCCACCGACCGGCCGGACCGGACGCCGGCTTTCCAGGCCGAGTGCGTCGGCAGGGCCCTCCGGCGGCTCGGGGTGGAGCGGTGCACGGTGGTCGGGTTCAGCTACGGCGGGGCGGTCGGGTTCAAGATGGGCGAGTTGTTCCCCGGGTTGGTCGAGTCGCTGGTCCTGACCGGGTCGGTCATGGAGTTCACGGAGTCGGTTAGCAGGAATGGGTTGGGCCGGATTGGGTATGACACGTGGGAGGAGTACATGATGCCGGATTCTGTGGAGGGGTTTAGGAGGTTGCTGGAGCATGCTTGCTATAAGCCGCCGTGGTTGCCTGATCGGCTCGTTAAAGACGCTTTGAAGGTAATTAATTAATTAAATTAGGTGACTAATCAGTAATCTAATCGTGCCTTTTGAGTTTTGACTTTAGTTAAAGTTAAGGGGAATGCCGCCCATGTGATTAAGGCAAAAATTAAGGGGGCTAACTAACGCCACCTCGTTAGTTTATCTAGGGGCGGGTATGGATATTTTTCTCAAGTTTGACTCGTGTTATTTTCTATCTGTTTCTGGATGAATTACGTGCAAGTAATTTTACTCAAATTACTTAAATTTGTATTTTTATTACCTCTTATTTTACTCAAATTGCTAAGTTTTTTTTTTAACTTAACTACAGTTATATCATGTTATAGTTTGTTCTTGACTTTTATAATGACAACATATATTTCTAATGTTTTTTCATTAAACGGCATATTCATATGGGTCGATCTGCTCTGCTAACCCGGATCGTATAATAAATTATCCGACTTAAACCCGATTTGTCAAAGGATGAATACGGGTATTGAGATACCCGTTCGACTTGCCTATTATTCCTCGCTAATTAGATCCCAAAACACCACCATATATGGTTCGTGAAGGTGGTAGATATGTTCATATTTTTCAAACAATTTGGGGGTCGTTTGGATGGATTAATTGTCAATGTGGTATTTGTAGAGTCAAATAACTCATTTATTGTATATGTGTTATTTTAGTGGTAATTGAAATAAAGTAGCTCGTTTGGTTGAACCATGCAAATGTAGTATTTGACATGTGGTATTTGTTAAAAGCAGAGTAGTAAAACATGGGTATGAGTTATTTCAAATAACTCGTTTTGAGTTAACTCACCGTCCAAATAACTCATAAATAACTTATACAAATACTCCATCCAAACGGTTTGATGTTTCTTAAAACGTTTGTAGTGCAACAGCCACCAATCACCATGCAAAAAGGGTAAAACTCCATGGCCCACGTACCTACATACTAATAATTACTACGTTGCATGTGATCGCGGTGGTGGCAGGTTCTGTTCGAGCACAGGAAGGAGAGGGCTCAACTTCTCGATGCAATGTTCATCCCTGACGACGACGTCGCTAAACTGGGCAGCTACTGCGCTCAGGTAATTCATTGTAGTTTCTTTATTTATGACAGAGAGAAATTTTACTATGCTTTAAGGTATCGTTGCTTTTTAGGTACACGTTGAATTTATACCAAAATCTACGAGTTTAATTTGTACAATAAAAAAAAAATAAAAGGTACGAATGGGAGTAAAGGTAATAGTTAACTGGAAATTGGAAGGGGGGAGTTGAATATAATTAATTAAAGATTGATGACATATATGGATGCCATGAGATTCACGACCCCTGTTAATTAATTAAGTATTAAACAGTTGATATAAGTATCTGTGCAATTAATGGTTCAATTAAGATCAATAATTGCTTCTCTTTGACTTTTAATTGACAAGGACTTGATATATATAATTGTTAATGGCCACAAATTGTTATGTTTTGCAACACTACATTGTTGTTGTTTTTTTTCCCACCAGGAGATTAACTTTTTATGGGGAGAAGAAGACAAACTCGTAGACATTCAAGAGGGATATGACCGAATTAAGTACGTTCTATATCACTCCCTAATTAACACATGTATAGCTACCTCTTTTTTTCCCCATTGCAATAACGTTACTTATTACTTCATTTCTCTATTTTTATAATTAACATGCTTCTCTAACTAGCTAGCTAGGTAATTAATGTAACATATACTAATGCTGGTTTCGATGAGATTTATGTAGGCTACTGAATGGGAAAGCAACCTTGAAGCCGATAAAGAAAGCAGGGCATCTGGTTCAGATCGAGAGGCCATGTGTTTACAATCGGATCCTTAAAGACTTGCTCCTTTCTTTGCATCGAGGAGGATGAAAGTTTGACATTTGGAGGTTGACTGGAAATTTTGTGTTCATTGGTTCTAATATTGGTATTGTTATCGACGAGAAAATAACAAGCTAAAAACTCATTTTGTTATGTGTGTTGGAAGTGAAATATGATTGTATTATTTTCTAGAAAAGTAGGTTATGCGCTTGATCAATTTGAGCTCCTCATAAGCTCGGACCGCGAATTCATATTGTCTTCGTGGTTGAACCATGTCATTCTATTCAGGGGCGGATACATGGGCCTCTAGGGGTGTCCCGGGACACCCCTAAAATTTGGGGAAACGATTATCCAACCTCCGATAATAGTTTCATATGGGTATACAAAATATAATTGGTAATCCAGGACACCCTAACATTTGAAAAAATGATTATCCTACCCTCGATAATAGTTTGTTTATGATTAACAAAATATAAGTGGTAGTCCGTGTTATTCCAACCTAGGACACTACTATTATCAAACATATTCTAATTATGTTGCTACTCATTTGTTATTCTATTTTAAACATCATGCAACAGTAAAACGCTATTTCTTTATCCCCAACTATTTTCAATACCTAATAATTAAACTACGTACACGCTACCCTTAATTTTGAATTGATTTTATGGTTACATGGCAAGTGTTGAAAGAGTCTTTTCTACTTCGAGCTACATTAAGAACAAGGTTAGAAATCGAATATGTGATAAGTTCGTGAAGTATTGTCTAGTAGGATATGTAGATTTTTTTTAACAGTGGAGACACGGAGTTTATTTATATTATTTTTTCAAAATATGAAAACACATCATGAGTTTTAATAAAAAATTTATACAAGTATGATATTTTTAATATACGAATTTTTTAATTTATTTTTTAATTAAATTTAATTTTTAAGAGGACACCCCTGTGAAAATTTTATGAATCCGCCACTGATTCTATTATCTCTTACGACACTATTTCAAATAGTATAATGCAAAGTTTATGAGCCACCTTGTTAATTTTGTCGGAGTTTTGCTTGTTTCGGCGAGAAATGAATGGGTACTTCTGCACAAAATTTAATAAACATTTTAACAATCTTTTGGATTTCGACAACTTTAGTCTTTTGTCCACATGATGACCAAAGGTTTGGATACGTAAGTATATCCGACATTGTGTCTTTAGAGAGTTAGAAGATCTTGTTCGATACCCTTTAAGCCGACAGATACATCGCTAAAACGAGACCAATGAGGTTGCAAATTCAGTCTTGGTTGAATGCAACGGAGAACCCTAAAGCTTGCTCGTGGGATAAGTCAATTTTGAGTTTGTGGTACTAGGGCTAGGAACTTGGATTGTATGGGTTCTCTTCTCTCGTATGAAATATTGCAATCTCTTCTCTTATCCCATCTCTTTTCTTCATTGACAAGCTGTTCTTCCGTTGAAAATTTTATAGATTTAAAACAAGAGGCAAATTATCAACTCGTGATTAACGATCTGTCTGCAAATTTAGACGGAGGGACTAATTTGAGAACCACCAAATAGTATATGAACCTATTTGTTAAAGATGTTAACATAAAAACTTACTGGTTAAACATGCATAGTATAGGGGTTTTAACTGCTATTATCCATCAGAAAATATCAAAATCAAAGAAATGACGCCGTTTTGAGAAATAGATGTCGTTTAGCAGATACTTGCTGCTGCCTGTTGTTTCTTGCTGCTGAGAGAAGCCGAGAAAGCGGAGATCCAGAGGAGAGAAGACGACACATCGGAAAAACGGAAAGAGAAAGTGAGAGACCAAATCGGAGGAAGATCGGAATCGGTCTCCGTTCGCGGCCTCCGTCATTGACCTGCCTTCTTCGCTTCCGGGATGAAGAATTGGCTTGGACAGAAACGTTAACCCGGCACCATCGTCCAACATTGTTCTCCATCTATTCAGATACTCAGTTGGATTCAGCTCGAAATCCAATTGAGTAATGGCGCCGATCTTCGAGTACTTCGTCGTGTGCGGGCTGGGTCCCGAGATTCGAACCCTTGACGGGGACAAAGGTTACCATGGAGTAGGCGTTCTGTACTTGCCAACACTGCTTGACCAATACCCGCCGGAAAATCATACTCTGTACCCTCCGCCTCCGCCCCAGCTCCCCACTGTAATTGTTCATCTTCCTTCACATTGCTTACAACTGAGAATTCTTGCTTTGCTGAACCGAAGCTTGAAGTTCGTGGAAGATGGCTTGATTCGTTGGATTTTGTTCTGATATATGCAGTGTGTGTTGCCAGCTGGTGTGGAGATCTTCTCTACTGGATTTGATGTTAACGATCCTTCCACTGCGCCACGGAGCTATCCTATCGTTTTGACGGGTAATTGGGTTTGTTTCTTAGCAGCATTTGCTTCTAGAAAATGCCTACTAGCTTTAGGTTTGTGCAACGTGAGAATTGAGACTTGACTTCTTAGAGGGGTTTTCATGTTGAATTCCTTGAGTCCTGTGCTTTTTTCCTGGCTCTGAATTTGCTCCATCAAATGCCTGTTACCTGGTAGGATCCTTTCTTTCAGTTACAAGTGAACTTGTTCATAAACTGTTATCTCTTGAAACTATTAACTTGGGTGCTACTCATTGGCTGATGCTTTCCCTACTGACTTCACTGTTTGGCTAGTGTATTGAGTACGTGTCGAGAAAATTGTCTGTACCAGATTTTCCTCAATTCCTTGCTGGAATGAATAACCTCGTGTTTTTTTCTTGCTGTTCTTGTGACTTCATGCAGAGGGTGATGGGTCTAAAATTTACGTTAGTTGCATTGCTTTCCGGGATCCAGTTAGCGAGGATATTGCTGAAGCGTACCGAATACCTCCAGATTCATTTGCTGACAAATGCATTTGTCTTGTTTCGCGGTCTCCTAGTATTGGTGTCATTCGCAATGCTCTGGAGGAGCTATTTGCACTTTGCTTTTCCTCGGATGGCAGTAGGTATGTACGCTTATTCAGTACGCTTTCAATAGTATGTCTATGTCAGTTACTTCATATAGATGTTTTGCTAATATATTCTCTTTAGTCTGGTTTTTGGCCCTTTTTAACGAGTCTTCTTCAAATTCTAATGACAATTTTCAACTAGTCTTCTTTATAATCTCATAGCTAAGCCTGTGATAAAATATTATTATTTCATGAAAATGGTAAATATTTCCTTAAAATAAACTTGGTGTACAAGTGATTAGAAGTGTGCGCATTCGAAGTTTAGTTTCTGACTCAATTATGTGATTACTGCAAAGTTTATTTGGACTCAGTATTTAGGAAATCTGGACATTTTGTCAACACTACAAGTACTTCAGGTTGTCTCTGAAGCAGCCTAATTTTGTGCGAAAACTTGAAATAAAAATTTTGTTTAGTGAGAATCATTTTTGGTTAATTGAACAATTTCAACTAAGATAGGTTTTTCATTTAAATTTTCCTTTAGGGAGCGCACACAGATTTTTTATTATCTCTTTATTCACATTAGTGGCTGATATACACTCTTGAACGGTAGGTTTTCCATGATTGTTTCTGTGAGTAATTTTTATTTTGTAATGGAGAATTACATTTGATTGGATTTTTATTTGTGGAAAATTTCAGCAAGCCGTTATGGGATGTAATTGCACATTTGGTATCCAATGTACCATTGCCTACTCCTGGGAGGGATCGCGTCTTGTTTGCTATTGAGAATTGTCTGCTTTCTGTGGATCCTCCACCAAAAGATGGTCTTCCTCATGCTGATGTACGGCTTAATTTAAGTAACTTAGTCAGCTAATTGCACCTTGGATGATTATCAGTTTTTGCTATATCCACAAGAAAATTCAATGACATTGTAGACTATGATGTTTGTTTCTGTAAATGCAGATATCATTTCAACCATTGGTCCAGTGCTTGGATGTTGACAACCTAATCCAGCTTTTTACCGCTGTTCTGCTTGAAAGGAGGATTCTGCTTCGATCCAATATGTATATACCGTTGCCTTCAGATATTTTCCGACTTTAGCAGCAATGATAATTTTTTTTTTTTTTTTTGTTGTCAAAATGATTAATTATCCTGATTCATGACAGTAAACTAGGAATTATCTGGTAATAATTGTCACAACTGGCTTTTAATTTCTCATTTTTTGGTGTCTTCTTCTGGATTGCATAGGTGTGCGTTATTTCTATTACAGCAATGTGCTTATTGTTGCAGTATTGGATATAAAATAAGTTGCTTTGTTATCTGGAACAGGTATTCACTTTTAACACTAGTATCGGAAGCCATATGCCATTTGATATATCCCTTTAGGTGGCAGGTAAGATCTTAATGTTATGAATTGCCTTATTCTGTTCTATTTTTCGTTTGGTTAATGGGATTGCTTTTTATTTTTGAACTAGTTATGAATTTTCAAATGTTTTCTTATCAAGCTAGAAGGAAAAGCATAATCATGATGACACGCAACGCAACTGATAGTTCTTTTGTTTGTTTTGCTCCATACAAGCTCCTGTTTATTGATATGGAAGTTTAGTGATTTTCACGTCTTGTATTAAGACTCATTTCTTCTTTATGCCCCGAAAAGGACTGATCTTTTCTGTTCAAATCTTTTGTTGTGGTTAGAACTGTTCAAATTTGATTCATTGCAAGTCATGACATGATATGACTGTGAAGTTGCTTTAGATCTAACTTTCCAGTTGATTATGCTTATGCAATGTAGTTTTATAGCAGCTTTACCTCCTCTCTATTAATAAAATTAAAATGTGATGTTATATAAGTTATTTTTATGTAATTGACATACCGATGTAAACTGCGAACCAAGTATGGTATAATCATGCTAGTTGCAATGAAGCTAATTCTATGATGGGTTTGATTTTTTTATTCAGAGTCTAATAATTCCTTGTTTGCTTGGTGTGAAGCATGTGTACATCCCATTACTCTTTTTCAGTGGAGTAGACTATATTGATGCTCCTACGCCATATATGATGGGTCTTCACTCAGGTGTTGATACATCCCACCTTGCGATGGATGGTGTAAGTTCATGCTCAAACTTCAAGTGTCATTCAAATTTTCTTGTTTGCTTACTCAAGCTGTCAGCAACTCATGTGAACCTTTTATTTTATATATCAACTGATAAGTATCATTGTAGCTGCAAATCTTCGCTTGTTGACTCCAAGGCTTGAATCAAGTGTGGGTTGGAATTTTTCTTCCTAACAGTACTAATAGGCCTTCTTCCCTTGGGGTTATTTTTCTCATTGTAGTTGAGAACATTATGATAGCGGTTGGTTGATTCTAACATATTCTACTGAGAACCATCGGCCTTATCACATCATATTCATCATTTATAAGCCAGGGTGTTTTATACGGGCTTCCAAGCTGTTATCCTCTTCTGTTCCTGTACAAGCTGTAAAGTTACTACACTATATATCTAAAATAGTTTTGATTTTAATTCTCGGCTCAATTGGTTGGTTCAGGTAGTGTGCTGTCTTCATGACGTGCTTGGTATTGCTAGTGTTATGATGAATAGTTGGTTCTTTGAGTGAGGATAATATGTTTCCACTTTTTGTTTTCTCTAGTGCTTTATATTCAGGCTATGCAACAAGCACATTAGTGACAAATTTAGTGAAATCATCAGCATTCTTGATGGTTGATATTCCTACTCATGAATATGTATTGGGCTGGTCATACAACCTTATTCTTGTGTTGGACAATGACAATCTAAACATTACATGTGTGCTAGGTGGTTGTCGTTGACCTTGAGTATAATCGAATAAGCACATCAGAGGAAATAGAACCTATTCCAGAGCCAGAATTCAGTTCTTTGCGTATGGAGTTACTGAAATTGTTGCATCCAAAAGTTGTGGGAATAGATCAGATAAAGACTAGTCCAGCTGGTTTGTCGGAACAGTTGGCTATCTCCTGCAACCAGCCTTGGGGAGAGGAACACGACCTTCAACTTAGGTGATACTTGGATGCACTTGAACTCCAGAACTAATCATTGTCTTACTTCAGCCTACTTGTTTCATACTAATTGCCAATTTTTAAGACTCTTTTAATTGAAAGTTTGAACTTAATTGCCGCAGATTCTTATTGCTGTATTGGTTTCAGCGGAACATTCATCTTGTTGTCTTTTCTTTTCCCTGTCAAATTTATGGTTGCTTTATTCTTTAGATGTGCCCTTGTTGCTGGTTTCAGCTCAGTTATCTTATAAGAAGGTTGCATGCTATGTTTAGTTAGTGGCCGATGCCCAAAGTTTGAGCAAGGTGTGGTGAATGTTGTCATCCCCTCATTACCATTAGGCCAACCTCTTGGGGGTTGTCTTATAAGGATTATTACGAATATGATAAACACATCCAAGTTCAAGTTTGACATTTTAACTGATACAACTTAAAATTAAGCTTTCTAGTCAAGAAACTACACATGATGTTATTTGATCTAGCTAAAGTATATAGAAGTATGTTGTTCAAATATTCGAAACTGGTGCTTGGTATTGTTTGTTTGATTTTTTTTTGGTTGAAGTGCTTGGTATTGTTTTATGCTAGATCAGGAGCACTTTGATTTTAATAGTTTGATATAGCTCAATGGTTATGCTAATGTAAAAGCTTGTTGAGACGCATATTGAGTCTGTCCAGTTGATCTATCATAAAACAAGTATGGCTTTCTGTCCAGAGAAATGCTAGGAACTTAAACTTTGTGATCTTTTTATTTTGCTATCTTTTATGTTGGTTTGGATGTAATGAATTCTTTGTACACATCTGCAGGTTAATATTTCTCAGGTTCTTTGCTTCAATCCTAGGTGGCTACCGCAATTTCATTGTATGGAGAATTTCTCCTCTCCCTGTTGTTTGGAATCACTTTTAGATGTATGACATAGCTAGCCCCCTTGTATATCTTTTCTCACGACCAATTTTGCCAGGAAAATAGTGCAGCTCAGGCCTTCAACAATCAGGCATTTTTAAAGAAACGCTCTAGGTCAACACATCAACCTCCAGATGCCATGGTTCGATTCTTTTTCCTTATTTCACTTACAGTTCTCAGATTTCTTGTAAATTAATTTTCCCCTTTAGAGCACTTGGTTTATTTTGGCTGAGATGTGTAGAATATGGTTATTTTTCCTTTTCATTATTGAATGGAGGTTTGTAGTCGACAATTTTCTTGCTCAGGTCAATGTTAATGTTGTTGGGGAAAATGTAAAGCAAAAGCGGCATGATTTAACATAATATCTTTTGTTGGCCCTCTGCGGGTTCTACAGAGCATCTAGGGAGTGTCATTTGGTGGCGTAACTGAATAACTTGAAGCTGAGAAAATCTGTATCGTTTGTTTGGGATACTGCATTGATTTGCTTTTCTGCACACAACTTTCTTTTAGTGTCAGAGACCAACCATGTGATCTACTAGAGGTATATGGTCTCGCAAGAAATATGTGCTGCTTTCCTTGAAGCAATTAGTGGTAATAGGTGGGGTTTTATACATAAGCCATTTAATCAGTTCCTTGTCCGACGATTGACTGATAGTGCACCATCTGTCATTTCTGCCACTTGACATTCACAGCAACTTTTTGTTATATATTTGAGAATTTTGGCACTTTGAAGAACATGTCTTTGCTATGAATCAATTACTGGTAATGATCCTAGCCGAACTTTGTATTTGCATATGCATATGCAAATGATAATTCGTTTAATATGTGGATAGCTTGCGTATTTCATTGCCTTCAATTATGAAGCTAGAGAGACGTAGAATTTTGATTTGCTGCTTGCTTACTCAGATTATATTTTGATTCTAATTGTGGATAGATTATCACGTTGTTGATGCTATTTCATTTCTGCTTGCAGGTTTCCCAGTTCTTAGATACTCATGGTTTCCTGGATTTTCTGGAAAGAACTGGAAGCCTTGATGAAAGTGACAATAATCTCCTAGACAAGTTACAAGATGCTATTGGACGGGGTCAAAATCCTATGTCAATTCTCCCCTCATCTTCTACGGAACCTGAAATTGTTACCATATCAGATCCAAGTGGGGGAAGATCAGGTACAATTGGGGTCCTAACTAGCCATGTTTATTTTTAAATATATTTGATGATGAGCCAGAGTTATGTTAGTGTTTGTCATTAAAATTAAAGTCAGATCGTCTTTGTTTCTTCAGGATCAGGTGCTAAATATATTTATGACAGGTTTCCTTCTAACATTAGATCAGAAGAACAGGAGGAGAAGAGGAAACAGATTCTTGCTGCAGCAAGTGGAGCTTTTGAGTACATTCAGAATGCTCCCAAGTATGTGTTTTTGCTGAGTAAAGTAATCCTTTTTTTTTTTCTTGGAGAGAGAGAGAGGGAGGGGGGATATTGGGAGGTCCAGCTTAAAACCAAGTAGAATCTGCTAATTCCATTTCTAGTTGCATTTTTTATTTTGACATATAGCTGTTTTTTTTATAAGGGTGATTGATGTATAGCTTTTTCTCCAGCTTACCGTCTGTGCAAGTGGGGAAGGACGCTCTTAGTCCCATGGAGAGGGCCGTAAGTTACTTGTATCCTGAGTCAAATGCTGTGGTAGTTCAAGTACTGTTCTAAATCTTCAAACGATATGCAGGCGGAAAGAGAACGCATGGTCCTGGACATCAAAGTTAAGCTGCAGGTGAACAAAAAACACTATCCTCCTTGTGGTGTTACAATTTGTTGTCTATTCTTGATAACATATTGAGTGGGACATTGATCATTGGAATTTTAACAGACTTGTTTTGTCTACCTATTTACTATTTCTGGGGCTCACTTTGACCAACTATTAGTTCTAAAGTTTCAGATTTAGACTTAAGAAATGCACTGTAGCCGTTCCAATTAGGTTCCGACTAGTTTTATGAACTAGAGTTTGGTCATATCTATTGTTCTTTATCATTTTCCCTGCCCAACCTTTGGTCAACAGTCAATTTTGGTAGATTTGGAATCTCTGACTATGATGTGATGGTCTTTTCTGTCTATTATTAATTTTCCTATTCTATAATAAATCTTTGTTTACAGGGCTTATGGCTGCGTCTTCTGAAACTGGGAGCCACTGATGATCCCCTTTCCTCTTTTGAATATGGCACTATCCTCGGTATGCTTCGTGGAGTGGCGAAACTCTTGTTGACATTCAATGATGACACATTGCACTCCTGAAATTCAGCTTGTTTTCTCTGAAGAATGCTGCAGATTAATGGACAATTTATACTTGCTTTGCAGCATTAATTGAGTCTGATGCTGAGGGAATTGGTGGTAGCGGGTTTATTGAATGTATAAGCGAGCATATACATACTGTATGTGATTGAAGAAAGCTTAACCTGAATGTTTACCCTCTCTTGGACAAAACAGAGCCTTTACAAGGGTTTCTTCTTGCAGGGCTGGCAGTGTCAATTGACTGATGAGCAGTTCATTGCCGTTAAAGAACTGGTAGGTTCACTCCATAAGTAAGCTATTTTTTATTCAAGACAAACAAAGTTGATTGTACTAAATTGCACATAACTCTTGTCCACCTAGGACAATATATGAGATAGATTTTATGGCGTTCAGAGTCCAATTTCCCGTTTCTTGGGTACTGGCTTGAGGGAGAATCATCTTGCTGTTCTTATATTTACGCAAATGCCAAAAAAAATTCTCCATTCTCTAGAGGAGATGTTTCTCCCAAAAGGTGATTTTGGAAAAAGTTCAGGGTTAGTGGATCCTTTTCTTGAGATTTGGATGCCTTTTTGCTCTTGTCAGATCTTCTACAATGGATTGTAGCTGTTATAGATTGGGAACTACATTCTGCCTCATAAAAAAACTTCTTTTGACTGATCAGAAACCAAATTCTCTTGCTCTTGTTTGTTGAATCATCAGCTTAAAACAGCAATTGGCCGTGCAACATCACGCAATGATATGTCAACCATTAGAGATGCTTTGGAGGTATCAGCTGAGATGTATAAGAAAGACAGCAACAATGTGCCTGACTTTGTCCAACGCCATCTAATCTCATTGTCTATATGGGAAGAACTACGGTATAATGTACTAGTTAACCAATGCACGATTTGTAATCAACATGTTCATTATTTTGTACTTTCGTTACCGTGCATAGGATCTGCTAAGCACCATCCGTGCATATATTCTAGTCATGTTCCAGAACTTCTTGTTTGGACTTTGCTTCAGTTTCACAGATGATTAGATATCGATCTTCTTCTTTTACGTGAATCTGCTTCATAAATCTGCATCATAAAGCACGAACTCCTTGCATTTCTCTTTTCCATTGCAAGTCAATGCTTCTTCGAGTATTTATATACTTCCACTTGCTTATCTTTCAGGTTCTGGGAAGGATTCTTTGATTATCTAATCGAACGTTCCTCTGACAAGTAAGCCTTTGTCTTGCGATTCTTCTCTTGCCTTCACATTTTGTTCTCCTTCCATCCTCCTTAACGGCACTTTCGTTACACGAAGGCATCATGTTTTTGCTACCTGAGATTTGTCTCCAAATACTTCATTCTTGATTGGTCATTGGTTCAAGGTTGTTTGTATTGATTGAATTTGAACTTAATATGCATGTATTTGCGTTGTCTTTTCCCTTGCCATCTCACAAAGCAATATATTTAAGAATATGAATCCCTATTTCCAAGGCAATTCATGCCTTAATTTTCTTTTTCAAATATGAGAATTTCCGCGCGAGTGAAATCACTGCTGATCCTATCGTGGTCATCTATCTCTTTCAGGTCTGCCAACTATGCTGCTCAAGTGACATCACAGCTTATCCTCATGGCTTCACACATGGTTTGATTGAACTCCATATTCAGCATCTCTTTTCTGGGTTACCTTCCTTATTGCCAACAAAATTTACTTCTTGTCTTTTTTGGCGTTTTCAACAGGCTGGTTTAGGAATTTCTGATACTGATGCTTGGTACATGATAGAAACGATTTCAGAGAAGAATAGAATTGGATACAAGCAGCTTGTAAGTAAACCCTTTCCTTTTGAAGTGTCAGAATTATGGTTTAGTGTAACTTGGTTATGAATTAGCTTTAAGATAGGGAGTTAAAAAAAAAAAGATGGGATAGAAACGAAACACTGCCAACTGGTTGCATGTTTGGCTCAGTTAGTTAGCTACTTACATAATGAGGACTCGCATGTCTGCATAGCTAGACCACTTACCTTCAGAAAGTTGTATTCTGCTGGCTAAAACTACTTTGAGTTGAAGCAACCTTGAGTAGGAATTGTGGTTGAAGCAACTGGCATCCCTTGGTTGCTGGTTTTCGCATGTCCCCATATCAATTCACTTGTGGGTGCAAGGTTCTATGATGTTATGAAGCACCAGTGCTGTGCACCAACAATGCCACTAACAAGCCTATGCAGAGCGCTTGTTTGGGCGTAAGCTCTGTAAGTCCTTGTAGAGCAATTGGCTTTTAGGGTGTGCTTTCCTGGTCAGTAAACCTGGTCTTTTAATCTTATATCTTGACTTATATGTTCCCGTTTTGACTGAATTCCTATTATTTGTCCTTTTATTTGGGAGACTGATACCTGATGTGGTTATAGTGGGTCTGATCAAATTATTTGAGTTTTAGTCCTCCTAGGTCAAGTGCCCCACCAACAAGATTTGTGTGCTTCTACTGATTGGCTGAGTATTTGACGATGATCAAATGATAAATGCTACTTGAGAATCACAAACGGATGGTCCATTGGGCTAATTAGGTTGGGGGAAGATATAGATGTATGTTGAGTCCTGACTCAACAGACTCCAAACGTGATATATTTATCATGAAACTTATTTTTGTTGTGATTTTTCATGCATGGTTAACTAAATGTAGTTTTATAATCATTGATTCTGTGGCCAAACATCATATATTCACTGTTCTGCGTAGTTGATTTTGGTTCTTGGAATGTTTCAGATCCAACTCCGGGGATTTTTAACACATATACAGCAGCTTCGTGTTGGTTATTGGGGAGTCTCGTCTGTAAAGACACCATCCATGTCATCTCTGGGATTGACTTCTCCTCGCCCAAAAGATGGCACAGATGAAAATCAACAACCTGCCGAGGCTTCTGTTGTTGGAAGGAGCTGGGTTCAGAGCATGTTTAGTAGAGATTCTTCAAGAGTAAACTCTTTCGCTCGTGTCCGTAAATGGACTTCTGATGGTGCTTCAGGTTTGTTTTAAAAGGAGAATAGGGTTTGTGTATTGCATACATTTAGTCATTTTTCATCGTATTTATAACTGTTCGTTTAATGTTTTCCTTCTTACCATTCTGCCACTCCCTGCAAAAAGATGCTTCTGCTGCTGGCCAAAAGAAACTGCAAACCAATGTTCGAGTACTTAGAGGCCACAATGGTGCTGTAACTGCTTTGCACTGTGTGACACGAAGAGAGGTCTGGGATTTGGTGGGAGACCGTGAAGATGCTGGTTTCTTTATCAGTGGAAGCACAGACTGTATGGTAAATCCGTGATAACTTTATTTTCTTCGACATTATTGCTTCTGCCAAGACACGATGACTTGGATCGTTATCTGCTCATTTTTTGTATGTGGGATGACGGTGGATTGTACTTTTTGAATTTTTTTTCTATTATGGTGCACAAGTTTATTTAGGGCGGCCTGACTTCTCTTAGTAAGCTATGAGCTTAAACTTGCTGCAATACCTTACATAATTCAGTCAATGTTTTTATGACTGATTGAGTCACAGGCTTGGTGCTGTTGTTTCCTTGTATATGGTGTCCTTTAATGTGTGACCTATTAGGATTGACTAATGATTCTAGTTTTCATAGTTATCTAGATCCTAAAAAGTGAAAATAATGATGCAGGTTAAGATCTGGGATCCTAGCATCCGTGGTTCTGAACTTCGGGCGACTTTGGAAGGGCACAAAAGGTTTATTTCTGTTTTGCAGAACGTCTGATATGAATCGGAAAATATGTTCTGATGGCCTTGCTCCTTCCTTAAGGTTCTTTTGTCCTTACATAATTGGTTATCTGTGCAGAACTGTTCGTGCTATTAGTTCTGACAGAGGGAAGGTGGTGTCAGGATCCGATGACCAGACTGTTATTGTGTGGGATAAACAAACAACCCAGCTTCTGGAAGAATTAAAGGGTCATGAAGCTCAGGTTTGCTTCCTTATTGTGCTGTCTTGAAAGTTGAAACTGCTTGTACACTACCTTCTAACCATGAGATGACAGTATATTAACAGTATTGATCTCATGACAAGAAACTCTCACTTTGTATTGATGGGAATTCATTGTTGTGTCTATTAAGTAATAAGACCCAGTATTTGTGACATGGTACCAAACATCTACCCTGTGAGGCTAACCCGTCGTGGTATAATGGTGAAACGACGAAAGGACATTGCCAAATCTGTGATAACTGTAATACAACTGTGATAAATTGTATCGAGTTTAGCCCCAGCATGCGGTCCAATTGAACCGGTGCGGTGCGGTTTCACAAACATCCTTTCGTCCATGAATTCAGGATTGATCCAGAAATCTTATGTTGGAGGAGCAAGCGGAATACTAGTTTCTACCATTAGGACACCTACAGGCTAAGAGCACTAGCTACGGTAGAGAAAGTTCTTTGTGTCTTTGTTTACTAAAGGTGCCTGACACATTAAATTACCTCAGAATGATAACTAATAAGCTCATTCCACAAGCTTCTGTGTTTTTATTTTGGATAAGTCAAGAGTTTCAGACCTGTAATATGATTGTGAGAAATCTCCTTTAAAATTAGCGACATGAATAGCAGTTGGATACTTGGTTTATCCTTGTGTTTCTTGTAGGTCAGCTGTGTCCGCATGCTGTCAGGTGAGCGAGTGCTCACTGCTGCTCATGACGGAACTGTTAAGATGTGGGATGTTCGAACGGACACCTGTGTAGCAACAGTTGGTCGTTGCTCCAGTGCAGTCCTTTGCATGGAATATGATGATTCAACTGGGATACTGGCCGCTGCTGGCAGAGATGCGTATGGAATTTTCATCCAGACGGTGTTGCGTCATGTGTTTTATCATATTTATTTACTTTTACATGCTAACTAGAAATTCATTTGACATTCGATGCCAGGGTGGCAAATGTCTGGGACATCCGAGCTGGAAAGCAAATGCATAAGCTCTCAGGGCACACAAAATGGATTCGGTGGGCTTTAAGCATCTTTTCTCTCTCTCCTGTTCTCTGGTTATACAAAGTCATGGATAATGCTTAAAGGAGTTCTATGTCATACGTGTACGTGTACACTGTACAGGTCTGTTAGAATGGTTGGAGACACTTTGATAACAGGTAGTGATGATTGGACTGCTAGAGTGTGGTCTGTCTCACGAGGAACATGTGATGCTGTCCTAGCCTGCCATGCTGGGCCAATCTTATGTGTGGAGTACTCCGCAGCTGATCGAGGAATTATAACAGGTTGGAGATCCATCCGATAAACTAAGATGTTGTTTTCAATTTTCCACCTTGTGCTCATAAACAAATATCGCACGTTAGATAAGTCTCATTTTGAGTGCCTTGTCAAACTTTAAGTATTCATACTGAAACTTGATGGTATATTTCAGGTTCAACTGACGGGCTACTACGATTTTGGGAAAATGATGAAGGTATGTGCAGACTATTTAGTTCATATTTTATTAGCTGTTACCATTATGTATCTGCACGAGGTCGTGACTTCTGTGTTTCTGGACAATTGTACAATTTCCTTAGGCGTTTGGCTTTACACCAAATGTTGCTGTTTGTTGGTGGTCTTTACGAGTTGTTTGTTTTTTATATTGTTTATGTATTTTGTCTCTAGTCTCTGCTTCCAAACAAGTTCCTGTTAACTATCCGTTATCGCTTCATATGTACATGCAGGAGGCTTAAAATGCATGAAAAATGTCACGATTCATAGCGCTTCCATATTGTCCATCAACGCTGGGGAACACTGGCTTGGAGTTGGAGCAGCTGACAATTCAATGTCTCTCTTCAATCGCCCTCAAGACCGACTTGGTGGCGTGGCTGGCTCAGGGTCAAAATTGCCTGGTTGGCAGCTGTACCGGACTCCACAAAAGATGGTTGCTATGGTAACATAATCTCTTTCTTCAACTATGAACTCATTCTCTGCCTTCTCCATATTTGTTATCAGATCTGTTTTTTTTTTTTTTTTTTTTTTTAATATGGCTTCTGTTATTCTATTTCTATACCTATCTTGCTTGTTCTGGGTTGCCTTCTGCTACTACCACCAATATCACGCATTATCTTAGTAAATTAGTCGAGCTACGGAACATTATTTTGAACAGCTTTGAACGGCACACATTACTTTGATTGGGTGATGCATATGAACGATTAGTCTGAGCTGTTAGCTGGTGTTTGTGAACACAGGTTCGTTGTGTGGCGTCGGACCTTGAACGGAAGAGGATCTGTAGTGGCGGACGGAATGGAGTTCTGAGGTTGTGGGAAGCAACTATCAACATATGACAATCCCATCCCCACCAATGATTTTCTGCTGCCCAGTTTTGCAGTTCCACTAAGAGAAGAACTATGAGGACACGGCCTTTCCCTTCCTCAACTTTTGTATGCACCTGCAGTATGTGAGCTCCTGTTACTTCCAGAATCGGATCACCGCATAGACATAGTTTTCAAGGACTAAAAGAAAAAAACACTCAACCTGTCCGGAGAAAGATCGAAGTGGTTTTTTATGAAGTAAAATCCCAGAGTTCTCTAGTATCAAGTTGAAGCACCGGTTGGAGCCACCACAGCACCATCACGGGCACCCGAAAAGTCACTAGAGCTGTTCCCCCCTCCTTGCCGAGACAATGTGGCTGCCCTACAGAACAGCCGTCCTCTCCTCGCGCCACCACCGCTGTTGCCGGAACTGTAGTGATTGCTGATTTGTAACGATACGATTCCTTATTCAATACGGATTCAATGGTTTTCGTCTGTAAGGATTCCGGTATTGCTTTTCCCTGTTTGTAAATTGTATGTCTGTGTGTAATAATATGGTCCCTTTTTTTTTTTGTAGGAATTGTAAGACATTGTTTGGTAAGGATTTGACTGCTCCTTTGACATGAATCAAGTGATTGCTTCGCCTGTAATGGCCGTATACCGCCTTGTTCGGAAAGATTTCGGGCTCCGAAACTACGATCAAAGAGCTCGTCGACGGGAGAATTGCCACGGCACTCCATGTTATAACAGAAAACACGATCTAGGAATCGCCACTTGTTGCCGAAAGCGAAATTGGCGTTGGATGATAATATCGTTTATCACATCACTGGCCACTTGTAGCGGACCAGCATCTCCATCCGCCGGCGCTTTTACTCCGCCGGAAAGAGCCAAAAAGCGAGATTGGCGGAGAGGAAAACTACAAAGAAGGAAGAAGGTAGTGATAACTGAAAGCAACGGTAGTGGAAGGCCTTTCCCCTTGCGCGCAGGTGAGCAACGTAATTCTCCATTCTCATCCTCCATTTTCCATCTTTCCGTCGAGTCAGACGTGATAAGTAAGCGCCTTTCCGTCGTAGTTTTTTTTTACTGGAAAAAAAATGACACAGCCCAACGGCAATTAGAGATCAATAATATGTCCCCGAACTTCCCCTGTTTCTGGGCTCGTCTCTGTTTGCTCCTCTCCCACCTCTTTCGATCCTCTCTCAAGCTCATCTTCCGGTAATTCAGTTCCTCTGTTCTTGCCTTTTTTTTCTTACCCTGTTTTCTAGGATTTTTTGGTCTTCTTCTTCTTCTAAGTTGGAGTTCGTTTCTGTTTTGTTGCTTCTTCCTCTGGCAGATTCCAAGAAATTGAGAATGGAGGGAATTCCGAGGATAAGAAGGAGAAGGACGATTACTCGGCTGTAATTCGTGAACTAGAAGAAGATTGCGATGGGTGTACAAATGGCGGATTGGAGAATACTGGTGCTGAATTGGACACAACTGTTCCAGCGGTGCAAAGTGGTAGTAATAAGTATGAGTTCGTCTCGTCTGGGGAAATGATGACCGGATTCATGGAAGAACCCAGGGTTTTGAAGTTCACGGTCTATGAGCAGATAAGCGATGATGAACGATTCGAATCGTACGTTGAGAAGGATTTCCAGGGAGATGAATTCGATGCAGAGAATGGTTGGGACTTCTTCGATCGTTCCCTGATCGAGAAGCTAATGGAGGTTCAGAAACGCAACGCGAAGTTCATTGATGATGATGATGATGATGATGATGATGATGATGGTCCTGTGGAAGAAGAAGAAGAAGAAGAAGAAGGAATGGGTTTCGATTCCGACGGATTTTCAACGGAGGAGGAATTTGAATGGCGTGGACTGGAATCTGTTTCAGAGAATATGTCCACGGAAGAAGAACTTATGTCTGAGATTGAAGGTGTCAGTGATTTGGGGAAAACAGGGGATGTTGAGGAGAAGAAGGAAACAGTTGAAACAGAGAAAACAGAGGGCTCTGTTTCGGGCGTAGACATAGAAGTAGATGCTGAAGAAGAAGAAGCTTCGGGCCAAAGACTGACAGTAGAACAGAATTCTTTCCTTAGTGAAGAAGCTGAAAACTTTCCGACAGAAAAATGCGTTTCACCAATCAAAGAGTACCATTTCTTCCCTTACAGAACTATTTATGATGGATCAGATCCCAGGATTAATCTAGGCGCCTCCATTGATGAAGGAGAAGAGGTTAAGAAGATGGAATCTGTTCAACCCCCAGAATTCAGCGATTCCGATGTAGAAATCCAACAACAAAATCAAGAAGAAGAAGACAACGATTACGAAGAAGAAGAGGAATTCATTGAATTAGACCCAGGGAATCGGGATTCAGCTTCATTCAGAAATGATGACGAGAGAATGGAGCAAGAACCGGTGAATCCAGTCGAACCGAGCATCGAGGAGACCCGTTTCTCCTCAAGTTACGAGTCCGATGAAGACTATACAGATTCACTGTGGGAGCATAGCGACATAGTAGAACAGCTGAAGATGGAGCTCAGGCAGCAGGCCAGAACCGGCGGCCTACCGACGATTCTCGAGGAATCGGAGACCGAAGAACCATCCATTCCTTCTCCCCAAGTGGTTCACGAACAACTGAAGCCGTGGAAGATCGACGATGAGAAGGTTGAGTACAAAGACCTCATTGACAGCATCCACAAAGTTTACAGGAATTATTCAGACAAGATGAAGAAACTGGACATCCTCAACTTCCAAACCATGCATGCTGCAGGTAAATCAACTACTCCCCAAAATTCACTAATCACTCACCAATCACTTCCATAGCACATTGAACTCTTGCCCAAATCGAAAAGCTTACATCTTTTTTTCAATCGGGGTTGTTTCGGATTTCGTAGGTTTACTGCACCTGAAAGACACTGTTCTGTCCCAGCCACCGCGGCGGAATTCGATCCAGGCGATGGTGCTACACAACTGGTGTAAGCTGGGGAAAGTTGCGGCGGAGCCAATGAGGAAGATCGTGACGGAGATGCAGAGAGATTTCGAGGTTGTGTACGTTGGACAGCTCTGCCTCTCCTGGGAAATGCTTCACTGGCAGTTCTGCAAGTCCCTGGAGCTCATGAAGTTCGATTCGTCGTCGCGAAGCTCTCGTCGATACAATCAAGTGGCAGGGGAATTCCAGCTGTTCCAGGTTTTGGTGCAGAGGTTCGTCGAGAATGAGCCCTTCCAGAGTCCCAAAAACAGGGTCCAGAGCTACGTCAAGGATCGCTGCGTCGTTCGAAACCTTCTTCAGGTCCCAATGATCAAAGAGGACAGCTTGAAGGAGGAGAAGGAAAAGGAGGAGGGAGATTACGAGCTCGTAATCACGAGCGAAATGCTCGTAGAGACCATCGACCGATCCACGAGACTCTTTTGGGAGTTCCTCCGAAACGAAAACAATTCCCTAACCGCATCGCAACCTCACACCGATTCGCACGATCAGGACACCATGAACTCAGAGCTCCTCCAGGAAGTCAGAACCGAATTTCACAAGGTTCCATTTCTCAACATACCTTGAGTAACAAGTTAACTTTTCAAACATTCCTAAAATACGACTTAAGACTAACATTTTCTTTGTCACAGAAGGACAAGAAGCTGAAGGAAATCCTGAAGACAGGGAACTGCCTGCTGAAGAAGTTCCAGAGGCAGCAACATGGCAGTCAGGAATTTAGGAGACAGAGGGAATTAGTGGTGGCTCAGGTCGAACTGAAGCTGGTCTCTAGGGTTCTGAGCATGAACAGAATCACAGCAGAGCAGCTGATTTGGTGCCATGAGAAATTAGGGAAAGTGAGGTTGTCTAATAATAGGAAAGTATCTGTTGAGCCTTCGTTTCTGCTCTTCCCTTGCTGACACAAACACACACTTACCCTACTAAAGTTAGCAACTTTGATGAATCCTATACATCCTTTTTTTCTTCTTCTTTTACTTTAGGAACGACAGATGTATATGAAAGAGATATAGAGGGGAAAGAAAGGTAAACCACTGTGGTGCTGAAAGATGCCATCTTTTCCGTTTTTGGGTTGGAGGATTATTAGAGTGGTTTAGGTTATTGGAATTACTTTACTTTGGAAGAAGAGATTGATGATGGAAGATGAAGAAATTAAATGGTGGTGGTAGTGGGTGGTTTATAGATCTTCAATGTGGGTGGCTATATATCTAGCTATAGGGAACATCCGCGCACATAAACTACAGTAAACTAAACATGGCTGCCTTCGTTACATACTTCCAACAACTCGGATTATTGACATCATCAACGGATTCTTGATATACTGATGTGATGGAATATTCCGGCCGGGGTTAGTATGAAACAAAATCTTACAACCCAAATAATAGGGATGGTGAAATGTCCTCCAGGTGTGAGACATTGAAAAACATAGTATCAGAAACTTATCAGAAGACTGAAGTAATAATCTCCATTATTGATCCAGCTGTGAGCCGGGTAAAACAGCAGGCAGGCAGTTTGAAAATGGAGGATGAGCCACAGTTACAGAGGCAGAATGAGTAGGCCAGCTTCAGGTGGAAATGTTATTGTGAGCAGAAATGTGTCTGTCTGTTAATGATGCATGAAACAGATTTAGGACAGTAGGGTATCTCAGAAGGCTCTTTGTCTTTCATTCTTGAGGCGACCGGCAATAACGATGTATCGTATGCACTCGAAAGTCAAGATATTACCATGATCGACACGCACTATAATAATTATGCATCTATATTGTTCGAACAACATTGTCATTATTGTCTAACGATCGAGTAACAGTGACACAACGTCTTAACATGTTAGATTTGAGTTTATCGTAGACTTGTTGTTTACTTTGAATTAGGGATGGCAATTTTGCCCATACTCATGGGTATTTTACTATCCAATCCAATTGGGTTGGGTATGAAATCCAAATATATGGATATGGGTAAAGTTTGATGGGTTTGTACCCATACCCATTTACTTTGGGTTGGGTTGGGTTTATAACAAATGGATTTGGGTTTGTATCTATGCCCAAATACAATTTACAGTTTGGTACCTAAACTTTATAGATATGCATATTTAGTACCTAAATTTAATTTTTTTTGCATATAAGTCCTCAAAATATCGACGGAAAATTACATTTTGGTACCTAAATTTTTTTGGTCTTACATTTTGGTACCTAAATTTTTCAAGTTTTACAAATAAGTCCAATTTTTGCATGTGTAGTTAAAACACCCTCAAGTAAATGGATATCCATATCCAACCCATACCCATTTAGATAATATCCATACCTAACCCAAACCCATATACAAACCCCAAACCCATACACACATCACCCAAACTCTACCCATAATAAATGGGTCTACTTGGGTTTGGGCAAAATTACCCATGGGTGGGTAAATTGCCATCCCTACTTTGAATATATCAGTTTTGTTTTATGATGCTTGGGCATCAACGGATTGGCCTCTAGTTAATGTATAAAAATGTCCTTTCACAAAGAACACAATACAATACGACACAGTATCATGATATGTCGTATGCAAATACGGTGGCGAGCCCAAATGAAGTGCAGCCCGATTGGTCAGTTTGGGCCCTTGAATCTCAGTGGGTAAGCCAGTGCTTATTTGGTGGAGCAGGCCCACTGCAATGGACAATTGGGCTCGGTAAACATTAGGTCGTTTGGATGAGAAATTGTAACGGATCAATTTGACACAATTGTCTCATTTTGAGACAATTGTACCAAATTGCCTCGTTTGTCAGCAAAATATTTTGATGGATCAATCTGCCTGAGGTATTTTGAATTGACCCGTTTTGAGTCAATTTCAATTACCTGGGGTGGGGGCAGGTAATTCGAATTGACTCGTTTTAATTGTCTCATTTATAAAACGAGACAATTGATCAAATTGACTCATTTCTAGATTGATCCATCCAAACGACCCCTTAAGATCTTTGACAACTGATTCCAGAATTACAGATGAATTGTACCATGAAATATATGACAATGAAACCAGAACAGGCCGGAAGAGCGGAAGCATCAAGATCTTGGGAAAATAATTGGATTGAATAAGATTGGGAGAGTTATTTTAGCGGGACAAATAAACAACTACGCTAAGGAGAGTGATTTTATCACGCATTCAATTTTGGTCTTGTCACCTTTCCTAACGATGCGTTTCAAATTTCGAAACCGATAACAATACGGGTTAACCTTAGCCAAAGGTGGGTCTGCCCCAACATCCAACATGGGTTTGACCGCAGCACGCAGCCGGTCCACTTTATTGCCTTAATATTATTACTGAGAGCTGAATCAAATAATAGTGTGCCAAATTTGGTCCAACTAATCCGCTTACGAAGAATCCATTCCCAGTTCTCTCTTTATTTTTTTGACAAGAATCCAAATGTGTCCCGACATATCCAATGTACTACTGTATGTTTCGCTGTGACAAAAGGGCGCAAAATACAAAGCAAAGGGAAATGTTGCTCTATCAAATATTCACTGGTGATGTATTTATCAACTCGGGTTTAGGAATGGGAATGGGATAGGTCTGGGGCGGGTATTTGATACCCATACCCGCCCTCGGTTAATTTATTATGGGGCGGGGGTCGGGACAGGTCGACACAATGGGTATGTAATTTATATAGAAAATATTAGAAATATTTATTATTTTCATTAAAAGACCAAGAAACAAACCATAATATAATAAAATATAGTTAAGTTATTGGAGAAATTGAGCTATTCACTTATTTACATATTCATTATATCTCAAATATGAGGTAATATAAGGAAAATCCTAAGTAATTTGACTAAGATTACATGTAATTTAGGCAAAAAACAGGTCGAGAATGAGTCAGGGCAGGTCGGGTCGATGAGAGAGGTACCCATACCCGCCTCGTCCCGTCTATGGGCCGGGTCGGACCCACCCCAAAACAGACCAAACAGGTCGGATAAAACGGGGCAGGTCGCAATTGTCATCCCTACTCGGGTTATGGGCCATAAACCCTAACAACAGACCCGCCTTCACATGACCCGATGCCCCATTTCTAACTCCAACAACGTACTACAAAGACGTTTGGTGCAACGAGTTCATGTCCGGATTCGGCTCATCGATTGGGTGGCACGGTTTTTGCAGGATATATGTTTAATTTGCTGCTCCATCTCGTGCTTTCTTTTCTTGTATTTGTACTCTTAGGTTGAACAACAGTAGAGCTGCCTGTTTAGTGGCTTCTACGACTCTTTCATCAACAGGTCGAGTAGTTGTCGATCGAATGCCCCCATTTGATTGCTAAGTGTCCTGTAATATCTACGCTGCTTCACCCTTTTTATGACAAAACAAAAAAGCAACTTCGTCAGACCGTCGTCGTTTTTAGTCGTCTTAACTCTTAAGGAGAAAGACAAATGATGATAAAATATGCAGAGACAGAGAGCAGCAGGAGGAGGAAGAGACAAAGTAATTCGAGTTTGCGTTCTCTTTCTCCTCCGCACAGAAAGTTGAGATGCGGCGGAATGCCTGCGTGCGTATGAATAAGGCCTGCCTCAACTAACTTGGAGTGGTGGTTACGTTTGCAGCTTTAAATTGCTGCATCGATATATGAAGTTTCCACATTTCACCGCCGCGCGCGTCATCTATTTCTTCGCTTTGAGCAGCAGCATTAGCACTGTTGGCAGGCAGTGATCAGCACGTTTGATTTTTCCCAACCCACAGGGAACTTGTCACATTGACGAAATGTGGAAGCGGACGAGTACTGTGTTTAATTTAAGAAATACAATTAAAGGTCTCGAATTCGGTTTTGATTAATTCTCTAGCGAATAAGGACTTGGTCAAGCGATTCTATCACTCGCGATCTTACGATTTTAGGTTCGAATCATTTCGATAAACAACTAACGATAAAAATTAAAAAACGATATATCACCCTTGGGAGGTAGGTACACTTCTCGTTTGTTGTTATGTGTAGCATAGCTAGAATAGGGTTATGTCGTATAGGAAGTTGTGCATGCCCATGCACTCAATAAATATATATTAGTAACTTAATTCCCACCTCGGGAAGGATCGAAAAAAAACTTGCCATGCTGAGCCATGAATCTGCATTTAAACCAATCCCTCCATAACATTTTATGGTCCATCAATGGAGAACATAATAGAGAAGGGAAAAAAAGATCATAGGCATCTGACAATGGTGGGGGAGAAGGCATATGCTGATGAATTTGATTAATAAATTAACTCTCGAGTTCGTGAAGGCGTTGTTAGTCGTGGTGAAAAAATGTGTTCGATCGGAGCGCTTCAGTGGTGTCAGGTGACACGCATATAGGCGCGTACAGGCCAACGCTTAGACAAAATAAGGCGATGCTAAAGATGGAGATTGCCAAATTACAAATGAATGCGTTTTTAAAAAAAAAAAATTAAAACTTGCACACAAAGAACAAACAACATATTGTAACATAAACTTCATACAAGAGTGCTCAAGAGTGAGAGAACTCATGATGGAGAACTCGAGTCTCGAGGGGAGGAGGAAGAGGAAGTTGGTCGGGATGAGATCGCGCTTTTATGGATTATCAGAGATGCGGGCTGGTGGCTGGATGGATCTATTTGGATGATGAACGGAGTACTTGTCGCGTTAAGTGTTTCTCGCTTTCCATGAGCTTCTTATACGAGGAAACTGTGAGATATTTTGCTCGTTGTTAAGAGTTGAATTAATTAGTTATACTGATCATTTGTCGTTATTATTACTTTCGCTTACACCATCTAGATGTGCCTAAACGAAACCGGCACCAGCTCGCGCAGGATCTTAACACCCACCTTACGCCACGGCGCCCCGACGGAGAGAGAGAAAATGGGAAAGGTGAGGAAGCCCATTGTGTGCGAGCGTGTGGTATGAATATGATGATTGGAAATAATTATAGGCTGCATGTGACCAAAATCGATCTTGATGCAATGCATGCAATTAATCATTGTTCTTCCAAACAAGATGTGGGCAAAAATGCCAAAAACTAGCTAAGCTATAGTTAGGGCTAGCATTGGATGCTGCTGCCTCTGAAGTGCATTTCTATCGTTATCTCATTGCTAATTCTTTTGCTAGTTTTAGCTTCTCGACATACCACATTATTATCCATATCTCAAATGTGGGCTCTTCTTTCTCCTACGTACGCCTCCCTCTCCCATGCCTCTCCATCGCCCACTAGCTAGCCGAAATATAAAAGAGATCTGAAAGTTATTATTGATGATAAGATTATGTATGTTATGATTAGGGGTGGTTGATGAGTAGATTTTCGGTTTGGGTTTTTTTGGGTTGGGTTAGGGTGTTTTCCTTTTGGGTCGAGTTTTCCTTTTGTGTTTGGGAGGGGTGGCCGAATAGGGGTAGGACTAGGTTACGTATTAGGCTTTCGTGAGTCTATAAATATGTAACTTGGGCATTAGTTCCGTATCGAATAATAAAGTTAAGGTTTATCGACACCAACGTCGTTCTCTCGCTTGTGAGTTACGAGCAAAACCCTTGAATCGTGGGTTACGGTTCATCAGTGGTAAATGATAGCTGAGCTGTTCACGAGCAGCTCGATGTTCGGCTCTCGGGAAATGCTCTCGAGTTGTTTGCTAACAGGGCGAGCTTCGAACTGAGCTTTGTTGAGCTTCCACGAGGCTAGCGCGAGTTATAGCTCAATTTTGGTGGTCTGTTTGTTTGTTGAGCTAATTAACTCGTGAGTTGTCTCGTTCTGATGAGCTTAATTATAGGATGTCTCAACATTGTGACTAGTCAATCAAACTAGACTACCGACTTATGAGCGAATCGATCGAGTTGATTTTTTTAATAGTTCGAAAGTTTGTTCAATTATATATATATCACCCCATATGATGTTAAAAACTTTGGGTATACGAGCAAGTATGTCTCATTTATAATTTAAATAGAGAAATTATGTATCATATATATTTCTTAGATACTAATTACTATAAAAATAATGTGATATGAATGAGTTAAAAATTATGGAATTAATAATATGATAAGGCTCATTTACATCTGTTAAGCAAAACTCAAATCGGCTCGACTCATCTACATCCATTATGATGCCGTTTATTATAAACGTTTGTCCGGAAGCAAAAAAAAAATATCAGAGATAAATTCACTGTAGATGAACTTTTTTTTAGTCAATTTCAAGCCCTCAAACCTCATAAAGCAATAAGAAGCCAAGTTGATGATAGTAATCCAAAAGAGATCGAGTTGAACGCGCATGAAGCAATTTGGGATTAAATTGATCTTTCATGTGTTGATTGAGACCAAAGAAGAAAGTGATTTTTTGTGGCAGTCGAATTCGAGCCCATTCATTCAATCATTTTCCTGATAATGATGATGATGGAAAGTTTGCCCTCATCCTCTCTAGGACTTGTCCTCTTTACCGGTTTCCTTCCTAAAAAAACAGAGGATTGGTAGATTAACTTTCAGATCTTGATACATGTTATATCACATTATAATTGACAAAATAATGAAAATAAACCGTTAAAAATGCGGCGGATTCAGAACTGGGTAGATCAGTACTGGGCATGTTTTGAAAAGAAGCATAATGGACTGGGCCGTAGCTCACCGAACACTTAAACGATTATCGAAAATAAAAAAATTACAAGTGCTATACGAGCTTTGATTCAGAGGAGAGCTGGACCGCAGATCCGCCGCCGGTGAAAAAGTGTACTTACTAGTCTTTTTAAAGACCGAGGACTGAGAATGATGAATTTCGTAGTTTTGATATCAGAGTGTAAATCACAAATAATTACAAAGAATAGGTTGAAAATTCTTTGCTATGACGTTTATAAATAAGTATTATTTGAGGACATGACATTATTCGTTTTGATTTTTTGTTTTGTTTAGCTAAATTAACAAAACAAAAAAATGTAAGGCGTGATGAATCTCGAACCTTAAATGTATAAAATTCGATGACCTTTATCTAAGATGGAAAACTTACCATATTGTTCTAGTGTCCGAAATAGAGTCCAAACTACTGTTTAATTAGTAGCACATAAAAGTTTGTGAAGTAGTGATACAACTTAATTTAATTGTGACACAACACGTACCAGTACTTATCGTGCAAAATTAATTCGACATGCATGTTAATTTAATAAAATATATGACCCACGTAGCTAACATGTGCCGATTATTAATTAATCGTGCATGCCGTTAATTAAATAAAACAACTAACTAATAAGTACCCAATTAATTATTCTGAAGTAGCACTGCGGATTTTTTCTGCATCTTTGTTCTAAATTTCTAATAGGTGACCGGCCGGCCGTTTACTTCATAACTGCGATACTCTGCCACTGCAATTAGGGATGGAATGGGTCGGGTTGGGTCGGGTTTTGCCAAACCCAAATCCAAGGGTTTATCTTTGAAAAAAACCCGGGGTAAAACCCACTGGGTTTGAAAAACTCAAACCCAATTCAACCCGTTGGGTATCCGCGGGTTCATGGGTACCCACGAGTTTTGTCGTAAAAAATTTACAATTACAAATTCTTATCAAAATTAAAGTCAAATATCAATCTCTTAATACAAATTATCCATATATAAAACACCATTCTAGAAAATTCAAGCAAATCACAAATTAACTATACAAATTGTTCAACACCAATCTAGAAAACTCAAGAAAATTGAAGCAAATCACAAATTATCCATAAATAACATGTTTAATTGAAAGCTTCTTCCTTTCAATTAAGTTTCTTTACTCTCCACTCCATAACATCAACTTCATTCTACACAATTAAAAAGAAAAAATTAGACATGTCTCCACAAACATAAATAAGATTAGTTGTTTAGAATATTAAATATACCGAAAAAGTTAATTATATGGGTGGGCGGGTACCCATGGGCCGGGTTTACCTAAACCCAAACCCAACCCGTTGAATAGTGAACGGGTTTAAACCCAAACCCGGCCCAAAACCCGTCAACACGGATTTTACCCGCCTTGACCGGGTTGGGTCGGGTGGGTACCCGTGGGTTCGGGTTTTATTGCCATCCCTAACTGCAATCATCATCGTCGTCAACCGGACTTCAATAATTAAACTGAAGCAGAATTAATCCACCATTTAGAGCTAGCAATTATAGAATTTCGGTTTTTCGGTCGGAAATTCGAAAATTCGGTTCGGTTGGAAGAACCCTGGTTTCCGAACTATCCATATTTTCCTTCCGAATTCCAAACCGAATAACATTAATTCGGTTTCGGTTCGGTTCGGGTTTACCAAACTGTTTGCCCACTCCTACCTCCGTTCCTTCTTTCTCTACCGCCATGAATGAGCCAACGCCGTTTTTTCGAGTTTCGGGACAGTCCCACGTGGCGGTCATGTCAGCGGGCCCAACAGTCCTCTGGTTATGGGCACCCAATCTCCCTCCGGCCCATTGCTCTCTTCTTCCCCGCACCGACCCACCATTTCTCTCCTTCTCTCTCGCCGGCCATATATATACACCCTAATCTTCCCTCCAGATTTTACCTTCCTTCCCTTCATCTCCACAAACCCAGTCAAACTCAGGAGAAGTTCCCTTCATCCGGAATTCAGCGTAGCGAGGAACAGCCATGGACGGAGCCTCTTTCTTAGCTCCATCGCCGCCGCCTGATTCCCAGTTGTTCCACTACACCGACTCCACCGCGCTGTCGGACCCACCGACGGTGACGGCGGATTCGTTGAAATGGCATCATCAATTGCAGTACGATTTCAATCGGCAGCAGCAGGAGGAGGAAAATTACATGGGTTGCGTTTTGAACGGGTTTCACGGCGGCGGCGGCGGCGGCGGCGAGGGTGGATTAGGGGAGGTGGTGGAGATGAGCCGGAGCCCTTCTTCTTCCATAAAATTGAAATCCGACCCGGGTTTCTCCGCTATCGGCTGGCCTGGTTCGGTTCCGGTTGGGATTTTTAGGACCTCTGGCTGCCCGCCAACGGCGACCGAGTCGTCCTCACCGCCGGCGATGGAGGCTCCGGCTCCGGCGGAGATAGTAGACAGGTCTAAGAAACGGAAATTGGAGAAGCCCCAGCAAGATCATCATAACCCCAAGGTTAATTTTCCTCCCCAAATTCTGAATTCCCGTAAGAAAAAGAGATTTCCCCTGTTATGTAATTGCTGAAAAGATTTCCTCTGTTGGAAAAAAAAAAGGTGTTTGCAGTGGACGAGAACAGAGAATCGAAGACCAAGAAGATCAAAGCCGGCTGTGGAGATGGAGGTGATAAAAAGAGCAGCGTTAGCTGCAGCAGTAGCAGCAGCAAGAACAAGAACATCAAGAAGGAGAACTCCAGTGGGGATAGCAACAATTCCAAAGTTACTCAGGAAGTTCAGAGAACGGATTACATTCATGTTCGCGCCCGCCGCGGCCAGGCCACTGATAGCCACAGCTTAGCTGAAAGAGTGAGCACTTTGTACTGTCGACCTTCATGCTCAATTGATATGATAAATGGTGATGTAAAAATGTCTCCTTTTTGTCATCAAACATTTTGATTGATAGTTCTGGTTCTTGCTTTTGTGAATGAGATAGGTAAGGAGGGAAAAGATCAGCGAGAGGATGAAATACCTACAGGATTTGGTGCCTGGATGCGACAAAATCACAGGCAAGGCTGGGATGCTTGATGAGATTATCAACTATGTCCAATCCCTTCAGCACCAAGTTGAGGTAATAACAAAATCCCACCACCATGAAACAGTTGATCTCTTATCCATGTAACTGCTTCTTTTTTCCTTACTGTTTATCCTGCTGTTGTGATCCCCTGCCAGTTCTTATCCATGAAACTAGCTGCTGTGAATCCCGGCATGGATTTCAACATCGACAGTATGTTCCCCAAAGAGGTGGTACCTGATAGTGGGAACAATTTACCGGCGGTGGGGATGTCATCGTCGAGCTCGGATATGGCAGCGGCTTACCTTCATTTGAACTCATTGCAACAACAGTTATTGGGTTGCTCTGGTTTGGAGATGGGTATGATGATGAACTCTTCTTCTGCAGCAGCTGATTTGGGGCTCAGAAGAACAATCAGTACACCGATCACAAGATTCACAACCCCCGAAACAGAAACGTTCATCGACGACTCCTCTTGTTTCCCAGTAAGTATGCATCAGCTTGTATTAATCAATTGTGGAAATCGGGCTGCTCCATTAGTACGATATTGTCCACTTTGACGATCACACATTCAAATGATTATACTAATCATGTGTATTATTATTATTTATCTGTAAATTGCAGCAGCAAGCATCAATTTGGGATGCTGATATTCCAAGCATTTACCAAGTGGCATTTGATCTAGCAAGAGCTACATGATTCCCACCTCAGCAATTTGCAGGTACAAAGAAGCAAAAGATGGAAACTTTGAAAAGAATTTCAACTAGTGGTAGTGATGGAGGTTAGGGAGAACCCCACAATCTTGCAAATCATATAATTGCCTTTCTTTCCTTCTGATTGAAGTGGGAATGAAGTTGGTTAAGATGTGTCTTTCAATTCTTCTTTCAGATGACAACAACCACTGATTTTTCTTCTTCCCTTTACAAAGAGAAAGGAGAAAGGGATCTCCATTTTTTCACCCATCATAATGGTGTCATTTCCTTGAAAAGAGAAACCAACAAGAAGTGGGGTTTTGACCTATTAGCTAGCTTCATCATCTCAATGATTGATTAACGTTAAAACTTCCATGATGATTCTGATTGTTAGTCAAATTAATAAGCTTTTTTTTATAAAATCAACATTATGCTGATAATGATGATGATGATAAGAACTAACCAAGTTAAGTGCTCCCTAACCTCCACACCAAGATTCCCCTGCCTCCCATTTCTCATTACATCATGCTTAAAACTTTGCAGGTTCAGTTGGACCATCCAATCTGAAGATGGAGATGGAGATGTGAAGAAGTTGGGAAGAGAGCTTTGTTATGTTCATGGCTGCAGATTAAAATCTCTGATGATTCTTTTGCTTGCTTGTAGTACATACCCATCTGTATATTTTTTGTATGTATTACCATCCATATATTATTGCTATCAATAAAAAGATTAGCCTCGATTTGAAGTCGTTTATAAGTGCTTTCTCGTTAATCAAATATAAGGTAGACAGTAATCAATGGTGGAATCTATCATCAATGAGATATCACAGAATATATGGTTGATTGATGGCGATGGAGTTAGAGCGGGGACCAGATGAAGTAATGGGTTCGTTCGTTGACAGCTCCTGGCAGGCTTCAAAGGACAGAAAAAAGTGCAGAAAAGAGAGTGAGCCAGAAATTGTAACTCTAGCTAGCAGTGGCATTGCTCTCTCTGATTTCTAATGCTAAGCTTGTTGCAGAAGAGAGGCATCGTGAAGTGATTTGATGGAAGTCGCAGTCAGTCAACAACAATGGGCTGGGAGAGGCAACTTGTGCTGTTCATCCTTGTGTAGCTGCTTTCATTGCGGCAATGGATAACCTTACCTGATGGATAATCTATATAGAGTAGAGTGACCACAGAACAGAGCACTGACCAAGACCACCGCCGGCCCTGGACCATTTGCATTCACTCTCACAACCGCCTCTCCTTGTCAACCCCGGATTTCCATATCTTCTTCTTCTTCGTGCTTTTGTTATTTGAGAAGATTAAGGAATCAGATCATCTTTGGGAACAAAAGTAGTAACCAGGAACAGGAATACTACTTTACTGCAAGAATAGTAAGGCTAAGAAATTCCTTTCCACTTGCATTCGAACTTGTTCCTGCAGATTCTGCAGCAGCTACTGTACTACTAGCTAGCAGTCGCAGATATGCTGATATTCTCCCTCGATCTCTATTTGCACTTTTACTTTTCAGGATTCATAACTCTATGACTTAAGTGTCAGTTGGCACCATCCATCTTTGGTGTTTGGGGTCAGAATCCACCCAATCTACCTGCACAATTGCTCATCCCTACCCACTTAGAGCATCATAATACGAATGCTTATAGGTCGGTTTTAACATGGTATGGGAACATTATAAATCGTTTTGAAACGAGATTTTACAGACTCGTTGCGAGCATGATGTGGTTAGATTATCGAGTTGCGCTGAGTTTGATAACTAAAGGGACTACTGGTGGTTTGCCTGCAGGATCTGGATAACAAAGGGGTAATGAATGAGATGAAACTACAATGCCTTCATTATCAAGCCACAGGAGAACCTGTCCATCAAGGAAAAGAAGCCACAGAAGAAGAAACAGTGAGAGGTGGTGGTGGGGAAGTGGACCTGGGCCTCATCCACAAACCCAACAAGATCTGCTTTTGATTCTCTTTTGGATTGTGAAAGATGATGCAATCCACATAAATGTGTTTGCCTATCCTTTTTCAGCCCAATTTGTCTTTCCTATTCTTTTCTCTCTTGGTCCCATTTTTCACTCACCTCCTCCCTGTTTGAACTTTTTCTGTCTCAGCTTTTCTGGTTGCAGTCTTGCAGAGCTTTCTTGGCTTTGCCAAATCAGTAGTTGCAAATCCAAGGAATATAATAAAAACCGCAACAAAACAACCCAAGATTATTTCTTCCTTTTTGTCAATACATATTTTGAGATATGGAGCTGGTTGTGGTTGTTGATAGTACTGAGAACTGGGAAGTCTGTCTTTACTCCTTGTTGCAACTGGATTCCTGAAAAATTGACTACACAATGGCCATTATCAATGAGACAATGGCTAGTTCCATATTTACAACGATTCATCTCCAAGTTCTGCCTCTATCTAGTGCTCAGCAGCACCACAGCTGCAGTCCTAATCCTTTATGCTTCCTTGCAAATTACTTTGCTTGGATCTCCTTCAACTATCCTGGCCAGACTCGTCACCTTTTTTTCTGTCCCCAAAACAACTTTGTCAAACAAATGTCAAGTCATTAAACATCACTTGACCAGCAAGTTAAACCCATTGGAAGGAATTCACTTGACAGTTCTCTACATTTTCACTATTGGGTGTCCACGATCGTTAGCTATGATAACATCTCTCCCTCCACGGGATCAAAGATGGCATCTTTACTTTCCCTCCAGTTGGTGTACTCTTTCCTCTTCCTTCAACAACTCCATTTCTTTCTTCTCCCCCTTTCTTGTTTCCAAATTCTGGTTTTTCCTTCCTCGCGCCACTATCTGGTTCCCCATTTGTCAAAGAGAGCAACAAGACCGAGTCTTGACGATTGCAGTTAATGGAAACAGTGAGAAGGATTTGCCTGTTCAGTAGAATAGAATGAATTCTGAATCTCCTACCAAGATCCACAAACATCCACTAGAAGAACCCACCTCTGTAACCACAGTAATATAATGAAAAAAAAGGATTTCAAAGCTCATGAACAGTGAAAGAAGATGAAATTGAAGACTCGAAAAGAGAGGAACTGGGGAGGGAGTGCTCAGAAGGAATGGATAGTTCGGTTGATCCTCACAGTAAATGGATCAGATTAACGAGATTATGTTTTACAACATATCATCATCATAGCATCTCCCCCTCTCACCACCTCAAAGACGAACAAGAACTCGGCATAGAAAACAAGCATGAAAAAAAGAGGAAGATTTTGATCTAAAAATGGCATCGCCGTCGCTAATGATGAACGAATGCCTCCGCTGAGATTTTTAGGGTTGCAGTAGGCTTCTGCTTCTTTATAGTCAGGCGAGGTAGGGTTTTTTTGTTTGAATTGGGCCGGTCATCTATTTAGCTATCCATTATTCGAAGTTGGGCTTGTGCACCTTTTACCGAATTGGGCCTCAATCCAAGTCTTGTTTGAGCTTGGATTATCTGCTAAGAATACTTAAAATTCGGGTAAATGACACATTTGGTCACTGAGATTAATAAATCGTGTCATATTTAGTCACTAGAAAAATTTAATATCAATTTTGGTCACTCGAATTACTGAAACAGGTCACATTTGGTCACTCTTCTGTAGCCTCTGTCCAACTCCGGTCACTCGAATTATTGAAAAATGTCACATTTAGTCACTCGGATTACTGAAACATGTCACATTTAGTCACTCTCCCAAAAGTTTCCATCCAACTACATTAATGGAGTTGGACGGAAACTGACGGGAGAGTGACTAAATTTGACCAGTTTCGGTAATTCGAGTGACCAAAATTTATATTAATTTTTTCTAGTGACTAAACATGACACAATTTAATAATCTCAGTGACCAAATGTGTCATTTACCCCTTAAAATTATGTTTCTTCTTGATAGTGATGGCAAAAATATCCGTAACCGTGGATATCCACCCGAATCCGGTCTAATCGGGTAAAGTAAAACCCGAACACGAAAGACATTTAGTGTGTATGGGTAAAACCCGAATTCGAATATTGCGGTTAATGGGCGGGCATGAATTTCGCACTATCCAACCCGAACCCGCCGAATATACACATGCATCTGTATTTTGTCTAGAAATGATCATTATTTTTCTCTAGCATATTTTATATTTAGCATATAATTGTAATATTTTTCATGAAATTGTGTTATTTTAATTAATTTTTTTCATTCTAGTGAATTATTGTCATACTTTTCCTCTTACGTAATATGAGAATACATGTGAATTTCAACATATTGGTTGGAGTTTTGAAGAGAAATTACTATCCATGGATAACCGTGGATACCCGAAACCCGAACGGTTATGGGCATAGTTTTGTTTTTCGACCCGTTTCACATGTGGGTATGGGTACGGGTAAAACCCGAACTACTTTGGATAGGGTAACGGATATGCACTATCCGCCCCGACCCGACCCGACCCATTGCCATCTCTAATTGTTGAGACGATTCATTGAAGTTCAAGATTTTGTGCAATGTACTCTATTTACAGACCAAATATGTTGTGTAAATAATATGATTTCATTCCATACACAAAATATGATTTCTTTATCTCCTACGTGCTCTCCACAAGTGCGCCCAACTTGCCATCCATCCACAAATCCTCAAGCTAACACTAACGGATGTTGCTTGTGATGACGGGACAAAATATTTAGGGGCCTTTAATCAATGTAATTAACACCTAATACAGCAATCAGCATGCAATGGAAGACCCTCCCAAAATCTCAATTAACGATTTCTGAATTCCCGCTGATAGTCGCCGTCCTCAAATCCGGCCCTATTTCCCGGCCGGACACGGTGCCTTGTTTCGCAAGCAAGACGTTGAAATTATGCTTGTTCTCCTAACAAGCTTTCCCCCAAAAGAATGTCTGAATTTCTGATCCTGCCTTCAAACCATTGATTAGCTACTTGCTAATCATCCTGTTTAGTTGCAAAATTTCATATTTAACTCGAAGTTTGTACATGTTGGTTGAGGCTTATGACTAGATTAAATAACGTGGTATTGAAATTATGAGAATCTAACACGAGATTTTTCGTTGTTATGCTTCTAGCTTGACCGCGATGGGAACATCAATGCAAGCATACTTCAGGGGACGTGTTTGAGACCAGCCAATTAATGGTCTCTTCTCCTTTCGTCTAGTCGTAGTTGAGAGTCGCTTGCAGCTTCAAATCTGAATCTGAGTGTTCTTTCGACGACCGGATTGTTTAATTCTTTAACGGATACATTCGTAATTTCCGGTATCTATCGTATTATGTTTTTATGAGAAGAGTGGCGAAACGTTGTCACATATGGAGGAAGTAGGCAGCGCCACACGCTTCAGAAATTATGGTGGCCGCCGTTGTTCCGACTTACAAAAGCAACATCCAAAGTCCAAACGAAATGGATAAAAACAGAGCAGGCGGATTGCTCTGCTGCTGAGCTGCAAGCCAAACTTACGTTAAACATCCCCCCAAACTGATCTCCATCGTCTCCCTCACCCAACTTCAACACCAAGAAATCGGCTCCCACCCGATCCCCGATTTTCCCCTTATAAGCATTCCATCGAACACCTTCGCTTCATTCCTATTCAAAACCCAAGTCACACAACATATCTCTGCTGCACTTCCACCGAGGCCGAAAACCCCAAATCCTGGTTCTTTTGTAGCTTCATTCCGCTCTTTGCTCAGTCGAAAATGATGAAGCTTTATATTCAACTTCTGGTCACCATTTCTCTGATTCTTCAAGCTTCGGGGGCTCTGTCTCTTGCGACGGACTTCTCCATAGCCAACTTGAAAAGGGTGGACCAGTCCGGAAAAGGGGATTTCACGACGATTCAGGAAGCCATCGACTCTGTTCCTTCGGGAAACTCCGAGCTGGTTTTCATATGGGTCAAGCCCGGAGTCTACGTCGAGAAAGTCGTCGTTCCGGCCGACAAGCCCTTCATCACCATCAGCGGCAACCAGGGTAACACCACCGTCATCACATGGAGCGAGCACGGCGACATATTCGAGACCGCGACTCTCTCCGTCCTGGCTCCCTTCTTCGTGGCCAGATTCCTCACCATTCAGGTAACTGTTCGTACTCCATCTCTCGTCGCAACTCGAGTTATCGAGACAAATCGGTACAATTGACGCGCTGCATAGTCTTTTTGAGTAAAAGGGTCTAGACAGTAGACACAATTTTTAACAATCAGTTCTGATTTTGAGTGTATCTCAACAACTCGAGGTATTGTCGCGTACTAATTTCCCTGTATCTGGTTGCTGATCATATTGTGTAAATTGAATGTGGAAACCTTGTGCAGAACACGTTTGGGAGCGGGGGGAAAGCAGTGGCGTTGAGGGTATCAGGAGACAAAGCTGCATTCTACGCCTGCAGAATACTGTCCTACCAGGACACACTTCTAGACGACAGTGGATCCCATTACTACAGCAACTGCTACATCGAAGGAGCCACCGACTTCATCTGTGGCCATGCTTCCTCCCTTTTCGAGGTAATGTGTTTCCTCGAGCACTGCTCTTCTTATCATCAATTTCCAAGTTTAGTTTGTTTGATCTGAAGTCCTGTTTCTCTGTGTTTCTTGTTGTGTCAATGGTGCAGAAATGCCACATCCATTCGCTTTCGGAGGGCAACGGCTCGATCACAGCCCAGCACAGGGACGTGGAGTCGGACGAAACGGGGTACACTTTCTTGGGATGCAAGGTAACTGGGACTGGACCTACCTTGCTGGGGAGGGCATGGGGAGATTACTCCAGGGTGGTTTTTGTCTACTCCTACATGGCTTCTGCTGTCCTTCCAGCTGGATGGAGTGATTGGGGAGATCAGAACAAGCAAAGGTAAAAACCCTTTGGAGCAATGGTTCAAATGGGAAGACTGGAATCAAGTAGAGTCAGTTCTCTGATTTTGGTATTTGTTGTTCATTGCAATATGCAGCACTGTGTTCTATGGGGAGTACAAGAACTATGGACCTGGAGCTGACAGATCCAATAGGGTGGAATGGTCCAAGAAGCTGTCAGATGGAGAGGTTTCGCCTTTCTTGAGCAAGGAGATGATTGGTGGGAGATATTGGATTAGGGCTTCCCCAAAGTTCTTCAGAATTGGGTCCAAAATTGTCAAAGCTGGCAATGGTGGGACTCCCAACTTCATGACCTGAAACTATTCCTACTGGAATCTGTGCTGTCAATGTACAGTTTCATTTTTCTTTTGTGGGGGAGGTAAATACAGGTGTATATAGTTCATGTATAATTGATTCATTCATTTGACTTCCCTCTTCTCATAAGGAAGAGTAAAGTTTTTCACTTGTAAATATCAAGATCCGTGTAAAATCGTAACGGAAGTTGTATCGGAGAAAGACAACGGTATGGTATTTTATGCTGCAATCGTGATTCATCCGTTTCATATCACTAAAATCTTGTGTCGATTTAGCCTCCCGTGTAAATGTTTTCCTGAGCTGACCGTCGATACAATTTTAGAAACAGGGGTAAAGACATATTGTTTTTGAAATGCATGTACATTTGTGAGGGAAACATAGAATTTTAATATTATCATATAAAAAATAGAATACTTCACCCTCAAAAATCCATTCAAATGTCACATATAGTCAAATGTCGAATTTCATATTAATTTATCTACTTTATTGAAATGAGATATTTGAGCTAAATGTATACATATCTCATTCATCCATCCAAAATTATGTTATAAACGCGCTGCTACGGATCGGGAAATCGTCGGAATCGACAAAGTAAGAATACGAAAGCGAGAATCGAAAACACGACACACGATTTACGTGGTTCACTAACACGATGTGTGTTAGCTACGTCCACGAGCGAGAGAGAGCCAGTTTCACTATATCAAGGAGATTACAGATTACAGAGGAGTATGAGAAGTATTTATAGTACTTCTCCATGTGGGTCTAAACCTAATCCAATCTGACAAAGGAAACGGTTACAGACCAGGCCCAGAACCCGAACACAAATAACAGCGAGACCCCCGATTACCAGTCGTAGCGGCTGATAGTCCGATTCAAGTCATATCAACAAATTACTTATTAAATTTATCTAATTTCGGTTTAACGTTCAGATAAATCGACAGATTAAATAAAAAAATTCAACTATTTCATATGGTTCGAAACCTCTTCAAAAGATCGATACGTAATTGAGCCGTTGCATGAGCAGTAAACAACACATGGTCTAGTTCTTATTAATGTTGGACTATAACAACAATCACCAACCAACAACTTGTCCTCTGACTTGTCCCTTTTGTTGAATGGAAATTCAACAGTGGACCTTTCAATTCTATTATATTATTTATGACATCGACTCCCCCCCAACTTGGTCCTTGGAATTACCCACATTGCCTAAATGGTACCACATATTACCTAAATAATGCAAAAAATACCCCACTGCCTACCAACATATAATAGGGCCCAACTGGGCCCATTACCACATTTGCCCAAACAGCATTCAATCATTTAAACCTTTTATTACACGTTTGGTCATTCAAATTATATAAATCTTTCACGTTTGCCACCCAAATTACTTTTCTTTCTTATTAGCCACCAACTTTACGATTTGTTTCATCATTAGTCACCGGCCGTTAGTCTCCGTTAGAATCCGTTAACGCCGTCAAGTTTTTGATGACGTGGCAAACAGAAGTGTTGACTGGACCGTTAACTTAATTATATTTCAATTAAAAAATAAAAAAAGACAAAAAGAGGCAGAGGAGTGGCCCCTTCCCCTCCCTCATCTTCTTCGGCTCTCCATCTTCATCCAAAACAACAGAGCATCAACTCCTCCTCCATATCAAACAAAGCTAAGAAGATCCAAGGTGTGAAGAAGGTGGAAGGTAGGGGTGAAACCAATACTTCCTCCCTCTAAGATTCTTCTTTCTAAAGCTACATCACCTACGACAACCGCCATTCGATTCGTCGCCATTCAATTTTCTCTTCTCCTGCCTCCTCCAATTCGTCTGCCCGACCAATTTGGCCTTGGTCACGTCCAACCCCGGCCAGTACACGCTAGTCTGTGAGCAGAACCCGATGATGTCGGATTCAGAGAGAAGAGCTCCGGCGGTTTCGAAGGCGTCGTGGATTTTCTGCTCGTCGCGATTGAGGACGAGGAGGGAGCCGGGGGCGACGGCGGCAACAGGAAGAGGAAGCTCTGATCGGCGCATTGGATCTCCGTCAAATCTGGCTAACGAGGTGCGCACGGAGGTTGCCGTCGCGCTTCCAGATCTTGGATTTATCGGAAAGCGTGATGCGGCCGACGAAGGGGATGACGGAGCTCTCGAAGTCGAAGGCGGAGTGCCGCCACCAGACGAGCGAGCCTCCGGTGCCATTTCGCCCAGGCGGAGTGTAGAAATCTATATAGACTGATTTCTATTGAACGGATAGTTTCTCTCTTCATTTGATTACAGGAGAATTATGTTACATTTATACATGATCTGTGAAGGGAAATGAAAAGAACAAATTGAAGATGGCAGCTAGCACATGGACACAAAGATAAGGAGATGGGGAGAATTAAAGAGGAAGATGGGTGTGCTCTGTTCTTTTGTTCTGGGTGAAGATGGGAAGACGAAGAAGATGAGGGAGGGGAAAAGGCCACTCCTCTGCCTCTTTTTGTCTTTTTATTTTTTAATTGAAATATAATTAAGTTAACGGTCTAGTCAGCACTTTCGTTTGCCACGTCATCAAAAACTTGACGGCGTTAACGGACTCTAACGGAGACTAACGGCTGGTGACTATTGATGAAATAAATCGTAAAGTTAGTGGCTAATAAGAAAGAAAAGTAATTCGGGTGGCAAACGTGAAAGATTTATGTAATTTGAGTGACCAAACGTGTAATTTAGCCACCCTTAAAATGATATCATAGGATAATTATTAATTAAAGGTGCTACTTACCACCTAATCCCTTCATTTCCTAGTAAACTCAACTCTTAACCCATCAACTATTACCTTATTGCAATTTTCAGTCCTTGGCAACAACGTCACCCAAATTGCCCTATCTTGGTCCGCTTCGAGATCCTCCAATGCCTCCGATATCCCAAGCTTCAACGTGATCTTCTTCCCCACCGACGACCCCGATGGAATGTCGACGAACGTACCGACAAATTCACGGTACTTCGGACTCATAATCGTATCTTTCACGACGTTAACGTAGACGTCGAACTTCACGAAATCGTCTGACTTCACGTCAATCCCTTCCACGACCAATATCTCCTCCAACTGCTCCTTCTCCCTTCGGGTCCTGCTCCGAACCTCCCTCGGTCGGACCACCCGGACGGTCACGGTCGAATCGAGAACCCGACCGGTCGGACCGAAGTGGCTCCTGGGGAGCTCGAGCCGCTCCTCCCTCTTCCTGATTTCTCGTCGGGCGAGCCTCGGCGAGACGGAAGGCCTCGGCCGTGCGGCGAGCCACGTGTTCTCGACGTCCTCGTACCGGTACCGGAGCCTGTCGATGTCCATGACGTCCCTGAACCGGATCCGGACCAACCGGCTGTTCTCGTCGTGGAAGTACATGTACGAGTCGAGGAACTCCGGGTCGTTCATCTCCGGGTGGGTCGACCGCCAGACCTCCCAGAGCCGGTCGATGTTGGAGTGGTGGGCGTAGAAGCTCGGGTCCCGGGCCGCGGAGTAAAAGACGCCCATGTCCTCCCTACCCGTGTGGAACTCCGACCCGACCCACTTGTGGATCGTGTTGTGCGGGGCCCGCTCCATCGTCCCGGGTCCGAAACAGTCGCCGCCTTCCCCTGTTTTATAGGCGCAGCCCATGAACAGCTCCGCCGTCTTGGCGCCGGAGACCATCTGATTGTACATCAGCGCCAGGTTCAGATCCGTCTGCTCCTCCGGGGTAGATCCTCCCGCAGCGAGCTGGAAGTCCAGATCTGCAACGGCCGGTGGAAAATGGGTCGGGTCGCGCTGTTTGTTGATGAACGACCCGTTTAGGTAAAACGCCGGGAGAGTCATCCCTTCGGGCAAATCCCAGGGCCAGAACGGAATCGCGAAATTTTCGTCGCCGATTAGGTTTCCGAGGATCTTTTCGTGGAAGTAGAGATACATCCGGTGCCAGGGGAAGAAGATCCAGGTCTTGTGGACCCGAACCGGGAGATTGGAGTGCTGCTGGAGAAACGAACCCGTACAGTACTGGCAGTGGAGATTCGCCTGCCGGGTGAAGCTCCTCGGGTCGGAGTAAGGGAGAGATCTCATGATTGAAACCGCCTTCTCGTATTTCGCTATTGATTCCTCGTCGAGGCGGTGGGCGAATCGGCGGACCCGAATCGGGGTTTGGGTCGGGTCGGGGAATTCGAAGTCGACGATCGGGTCGTCGAGCATGTTTCGGGGCGGGCAGCAGTAAACGGGTTTTCCGGGCCGGCCGAATGTCGGGAGGCAGGTCGTTAGGTTGACTTGAACAGGGAGGAGTTTTCCCTTCTGGTTCTCGCCGGATTTTGTTGCCGTCGTCGGAGTGGTGAGGACCGCCGACCACCCGCCTAATCCGTCGGGTACGACCCGATTCAGCTGGCTGAAGGTGAGAAACAGAGTCAGAGTTAGTTGCCTGAGTTGAAAAGGGAAAGGGGGAAAGTTCGTGGTGAAGGGAATTTTTTACTTACCCAATGATTTCAGTACGGATAGAGGAAGAATCCATGGCGGAGAGCATGAAGACGGAGACGCCGAGAATGCAGATGAGGGTGATGGAGAGGATCCATTTCTGTGGATCCATGGAAGCTGGTAATCTCTGCTGAAATTACCAGAGAGGGGGAGAATAGCAAAGCTAGCTTCTCCACGTTGGGTTGTAATTCCGATATAAATTGTTGAAAATGTGATTATTATAAGCTTTTTTCTTTCCTCTCATTTTTTTTTTTGTGGGAATATTCAAAGTAAAAGTTGTTATTTTATTGTTGGCATGTGAAAGTGATTTTCCGACTGAGAGCAAGTGGTCCATTACATAAATACTTCGTCAGAGGTGGGAAAAAAAAAGTAATATCAGTTTGGCCTGAACTATACACGTACTTTTTACTTTGGTTCGTGGTATTGAAAATTGTTATTCTGGCCTAAACTATGTAGCAAACTTCCTCATTTGGCCTGGAGGCGGATTGAACCGTCAAATTAGACGGTCAAACCTGTTGACCGTTAGTCAATGTCCACCTCACCTGCCACGTCGGCTTTGAGGACATAATTTTTTTCTTCTGAATTTTGTTTTCTTTCGATTAATAAAAATAATAAATCAAAAAAATTAATTAAAAGAATGAAAAAATGGCTCATTTTTAGCAAATGACAAGAAAACAAAATTCAGAAAAAAAAATATGTCCTCAAAGTTGACGTGGCAGGTGAGGTGGACATTGACTAACAGTCAACAAGTTTGACTGTCTAATTTAACGGTCAAACCCGCCTCCAGGCCAAATGAGGAAGTTTGCTACATAGTTCAGGCCAGAATATCAATTTCCATTAACACGGACCAAAGTAGAAAGTATGTGTATAGTTCGAGCCAAGCTAAGGTATTAACCCAAAAAAATACTGACGGATTCAGTCATATACATGTGACACAAGCGAGGTCATGGTCGGGTTAGCTAGCTATCAAATCAGTGTTTCATGTGACTTCAATCACTTCATCGTTTTTGTTCTCGTATAAAATTTTGAGCCAAGTGCTCGAAACTTGTTGGCTCCACTAAAATAATTGTAGAGGAGGATCTATCACTATTGCAAGATCATCATTCAATGCAAGCGACGCTAAATAAACAAAAAGGAGTTGATTGACAGCTAATAAAATCGGTAATTAATCATCCACCATGTGTTTTTTTTAATTTCCCCCAAATTAATATTTTAAACAAAAGATTCTGTCCACATCACAAGGAAGGAGAGATTAGAGAACGCTGACCGACGGTAGGGGTGGGCACGTGGGTGGTTAATCCACGGATTGATATTGATTCACCCGCAAATAACCCGACCCGCACGTAGTGGGTGATTGATGTGGGTGAATTGCGGATTGATAAATTTCCCATCCGCACTGATGTGGGTGGGTGGTGGGTGGATTGCGGGTCACCCATATGACCCGCATCCTATTTTTACATGAAAAAATATTGTTTCATATAATATCGAATATTCATAATATTTTCGAACTACACCCAGCCCGCCCGTAAGTGGGTGGGTCAATTTGAGACCAAAACCCACCCAGCCTCCGTTGCCCACCCCTAACCGACGGTTTATGAATTAGGGCCGCCGGGAAGCGATGTGGCGGTGGCGCGTGGTGGTGGTAGGTAAGAGTAAGACAGCCTTTTAAAAAAAACAATATAAACAATAAATAACTTTTTATTTTCCCATTTTGTGGAGTCCTGTCCTGCCTTTATTTTTTTTGTACCAACAAATTATATAAAAAAATATTATATAAATAATGTTGCTATCACGCACGTGCTTCTGCGGGACAAAGGACAGTGACCAGTAATTATTTCTGTGGCAGTGACCAGTAATTACTTTTAACTTTACCGGGACGGGTAGGTAGGAATAGCAGAATAGGAGGGCTGCAAATGAGCCGAGTTGTTCGCGAGCGGCTCGACGTTTGATTCGGGGAAAAATTCGTTCGAAACTCGGCTCGTTTACTAATGAGCCGAGTTTGAGTTTAGCCTTCTGCAGCTCGCGAGCTAGCTCGACTCGGGGTGCTCAACTGGTGAGCTGGCTAGTTTAATTCAGAGCTCATTAGATGTCTCAACTCTCAACATTGTGTCTAGAGAGCCAACTCGATTTCCTAATTACGAGCGAATTGGTCTGTATGAGTTTAATTTTGATAATTCGTAGGATTGTTAAATTATATATCTCACCATATATGAAGTTTAACACGTAGGTTATGCGAACAAATATGTCTTATTTAAATTTAAAAAGAAATTATATATCATAGATTGCTTCAATACTATGAAATAACATAATTTCACTCGTTAAAATTTATTAACTAAATAGTTTGATACCACAAAGTATAAAATGAGATTAGTTAATATTGAACACTTAACTTTTATCATTATTATTTTAACCTTGACATTAATTACATGTATCATGTATGATATACAAAGTGAATATATCAAATACGAGTTAAGATTTTATTAAGCAAGTTAGCTCGAACTCGACTCGGCTCGTTAATAAACGAGTTGAGCTCGAGCTCGGCTCGTTTATTAACAAATCGAGTTCAAAATAGAATAAAACTCGACTCGGCTCATTTGCAGTTGATGACTGTTAGCAATTCTCGCGCGAATAAAACAACGATTTCCCCCCCCCCCCCCCCCCCCCCCCCCTTCTGATTGGGCTGACCATACCAAGCAAACAGAAAAAGCCCAACCCAACAATTCCAATTCATTTTCCACTTCCGCTTCTTCATTTGATCCGCTAAGAAAAGCCCAACCGCACAAACCAAAACTCCCCTCTCGTAGTCCTAAGTTTATTTTTCCTTATTGGGCCAGGATTGCAAGTAGGCTAACTAAAACCAGCAACAACAAAAGCCCAACCCAACACTTCCAATTCTTCCTCTGCTTCTTCATTCGCTCAGCTAAGTAAAGCCCAACACCATCTCCACAGAAGCTCCCTTCGGTTCTCCCCACACAGTCTTCTCCTTCAATGCTGCGGATTTCCTCATCATCCTCCCCATTCAATTCTACCCAAACCGCCATCTCCACGAACAGCTCTTCCAGCTCCTTCGTCCTTTCTTCACCCTTCTCCAGATCTTCAGGTTTCCAGTCTTCGTGAACCGGATTCGCCGCGGGATCGAATCCTTGATCTTTGAGTGACCACAAATCCTTCACAACCCTCCTCAACCTGGCTCTCAACCCACCGGTTATGGACACTTGGTCAGGGTTGGCTTTATACAGCCATTCCAGTGTCGTCTTGACGGTCTTCGCCTTTTGAAGAATCGTGATAATTTTGTTGTTGATTGTTTCGTTGTTGGTCGTGGACTTCAAGTCCAACTTCATCGTGAGCAGTTTTAAATCGTGGAGGAGTATGTCGAGTTCTTTTATTTCTACCTCGACCAGCTTCACTTCTTCGAAATATTTCTTGTTGTGGTACTCCTTCGACTCTCGCCCTTTCTCCAAATCTGACATGGGTTCTTGCATCGCTTCCTTCTTCAGCTCCGCGTAATCCATGAATGATTTGGTCATCAAATCGTTCTTCCTTCTACTTAAAAAAAAAATTCGAATGTGCTTATTAGTAAGTAGTGATACAAACAACCAAATTACATCAAAGCAAAAGAAAAAACCAACCTTTTCGATGGAACTCAAACTCAGTAAAGTCTCGAACTTTGTTACGACGGATGCTTGATTGCTATAGGACGAATGCTGAAATTAAAGCTTGAGAGAAACCTGTTTTCTGGTTGTTGAAGGAAAATGTGAGTACTTCTGCAACTTATATCAGTGAGCGATGCATTTGTAACGGTTCTTCCCACATTGCCATTTTTCAAATTTGAAAGGAACAATTTTAATGAGTTGTATACCGTTTATGCAAAAATGGTCCGTTTCGCCCGTTGCATGATGGAAGAGAACGGCTTCGAAACGGCGCCGGAATTTTGGGGCTTTTCTCAAGTAGTCAAAGTGTCTTTTACTAAGGACACCACTTATCAAGAGACACCGGCTGCTGTCCACTGGAATTCTTGAGAAACGGCGGTAAATGGAGGAGAAGAGCAAAGTACTGATCATCGGATCAACTGGCAATCTGGGTTACCATCTGGCCATCTTCAGCCTCAAATGCTCTCACCCGACATTCCTTCTCGTTAGAGAATCGGCTCTTGATGACCCAATCAAAGCTCAAAAGCTCCAGTTTCTCACCAATGGTGGCGCCACCGTGATAAAGGTCGCATCTTTCTCCGTTTCTCTCCCTTGATCTCATCTGGGTTTCGTTTAGTTATTTCGAAACATCATTGGATTGGCATTCTAAATGGGAATTTCGTCTACTATTTTTTCTAGGGTTCATTGCAGGATGAGAATGTTCTGGTGGAGGCAGTGAAGCAAGTTGACATCGTGATTTGCTCGATTCCATCGAAGCAGGCTGACGAACAGAAGCTCCTTATCAAAGCCATCAAACAAGCAGGCAGCTCCATCAAGGTCCGCGTGTAAATTTTGTTGATTTCGAACTGCAGGAAAAAAAAGAAGTGAATTGATTGATTGATGGGGTTAGGGTTGGTTTTCAGAGGTTTATACCGTCAGAATTTGGGGCAGATCCGGATAGAACTCAAATTTCTGGAATGGACTATGGCTTCTATTCGAGAAAAGCTGAGATTAGGCGTTTGATAGAAGCTGAAGCAATTCCATACACATACGTTTGCAACAACCTCCTAATGAGCTGCTTGCTTCCATCCCTTGTCCAACCAGGCCTCAAATCCCCACCCAGAGATAGAGTGACAATATTTGGAAATGGGGATGTCAAAGGTGGTATTAGTAGTAGATTCATTAGTAGATATTCAGGACTACTTGGTTGGGTTTTGTGTTGATTAGGGTTAGTGTTCATTTGCTTTGTTTCGTGTTGCAGGTGTGTTTGTGAAGGAAGAAGATGTTGCTGCCTTTACAATGAGAACTGTGGACGATCCATCCACATTGAACAAGGTACTGTACTTGAGGCCTCCCGGCAACGTGGTTTCCATGAATGAACTGGTTGGGATGTGGGAGAGTTTGACAGGGACGAATGTGGAGAAGCGTTATGTCTCGGAAGAACAGATGTTGAACCAAATCAAAGGTTGCTTCTTCTTCTTCTTCTGCTGCTGCTGCTGCTTGTTGGTTTGATCATGTTTGCTGACCTGAAATGCTTCTTACTCTGATGTTTTTTTTTATGGATGATCTGTTCTATACTCGATCCTTTCCCTGCAGAGACTCCATATCCGGGGAACATGCAGCTGATATTCATATATTCGGTGTTTGTGAAAGGCGATCACACCTACTACGAGATCGACCCTTCATCTGGTTTCGAAGGCTCGCAATTGTACCCGGAAGTGAGATATACTACCGTCGAGGAATGCCTCTCTACCCTGCTGTAACCAGCTTTTTCTTGGTTTTCGAGTTCCTTGTTGATAACGTTATCTTCTCCAATCTTTGAACTGTACCATGAAAATGAGCTTGCAGGCATATGCTTGTGTTTCAGTTTGTTCATTTTCTTAGGCCTTATCTCTTCAGGTAGTGGAAACTCGCGAAAGTCACCGTCGGATTCTCAGGCCTGAAAAATCTGGAGTCAGGACAAAGAGAAGAAGGTTGAATGTCAACATTTCAACCGAAAGGAATCCACTAAAATAAAGCAGTTATCGTTGAACCCATGAACATGAAGGGCTTGTCTAGTTTGGATTTGAAATTAGGAATAGAAGCTTCTGAGCGAGCTTACATTATAATATTTTGAAGGTTGGTGAAGACGACTTATGAACTTGGACGGATTCCTGGCTCCATTTCCACACGGATTTTCCCCTTTTTTCCCTCCTTTCCTATCTTTTGCTTTAAGAAGCAGAATGATCAAAGTCGACGCTTACTAATAATCAGTGTGTTCCCACTAATTGACAACCCAACCGCAGCCAGAGCTCCCTTATAAATCACACTTCCATTTCTTCTTCTTCTTCACCAATCACCCATTCAGCTCATTTCTCCCTTTCCTAAGCAAAACCCATTCAGCTCAGAGCTTGCTGCTTACTTCACTCGCCGGAAACTAAGCTAAAGGTTCCAACTTTCTTCCACCAATGGCCGAGAAATCGAAGATTCTGGTGATCGGAGGAACAGGGTACATCGGGAAGCACATCGTGGAAGCTAGTGCTAAGGCCGGAAACCCAACTTTCGCACTCGTCAGAGAGTCCACTCTCTCCTCCAAAGCCGCCATCGTTGACGGATTCAAGTCACTTGGTGTCACCATCGTCGTTGTAAGTAAAAATTACCCCCAAAAAATTTGAATTTTTCAGTTACTCTGTTTTTTCTTTCCTCTGTTTTCTTATACAGGGGAATCTAAATTCTTTTGGCAGGGAGATATTGACGATCACGAGAAGCTGGTGAAGGCGATCAAGGAAGTGGATATCGTGATCTCCGCGCTCGGTCAGAATATCCCCGATCAGGTCAAGATCATCGCCGCCATCAAAGAGGCCGGAAATGTCAAGGTAAAATTAGTCAGTAATTATACATCATCGAAAATTTTATATCCTCATCGTCAACAAACTCATTGAGTACCCAATTGATTTCACGCCAAGCAGAGATTCTTGCCGTCGGAGTTTGGGAACGACGTCGGCAGGACCCGGGCAGTGGAGCCGGTGAGATCAATCTTCCAGGAGAAGGTGAAAATCCGGGAGGCGGTTCAGGCCGCCGGAATTCCTCACACCTTCGTCTCCTCCAACTGCTTCGCCGGCTACTTCCTCCCCAATCTGAACCAGCCCGGCGCCACTTCTCCTCCCAGAGACAATGTCGTCATCTTGGGCGACGGAACCGCCAAAGGTAAGGAATCCGATCCAATGTTCATCAAGTGATTGCAGCGTTACAGTGTACAATTTGATGACATTTTTTTTTAAAAATCAATCTGCAGCGGTTTACAACAAGGAGGAAGATATCGGCGCATTCGCGATCAAAGCAGCGCAAGATCCAAGAACACTGAACAAGATCGTCTACATCAGGCCGGAGAGCAACACTTACTCGTTCAACGACCTCGTGGCGCTGTGGGAGAAGAAGATTGGGAAAAGCTTGCAGAAGATCTACATTCCAGAGGAACAGATCCTGAAGAACATCCAAGGTACGCAAAACTGTTGCTCTGCCTTCCCCTGTTTCGATGCTTAACAAGCGAGAACATGTAAAACAATTGATTGATTTGTGAGTTCTTGGGGCTGTTTGTTCTGCAGAAGCTGAAATCCCGATGAACATTATCTACGCGCTGGGGCATGCGGTGTTCGTGCTGGGAGATCAGACTTACTTCGAGATCGAGCCGTCGTTCGGGCTGGAGGCGTCGGAGCTGTATCCTGATGTTAAGTACACGACCGTGGATGAATACCTGGACCAATTTGTGTAATTCTGTTACAAGAAGAAGAAGAAGAAGAGATTTTTAATTTCCCAGTCTGGACTTTGATTTTCTACTTTGTCAGCTGTTCATCTATGTTTACATTCCACTGTACTGTATTCCCTTCCCGCCATGGATTTGATTTGCGGTTTCATCAGGTTTCTTGATTATGTCTAATCTTGTTATGTTGGTGGGTGAAACTGAAATCTCTTTCTAACCTCTCAAAACTCCAATATTCTGCTACAAAAGAATTCAGCTCCACCAGATCATAGATCCACCAAACGTTTGCTTGATAGCTCCTTTTCCAATTTCCATGATGATGTAAGAAAGATGATTAAACAATTAAAAAGAACGAATGAAGCCTTACGCAAAGCTGACGCGGGCCTGACGACATTCAGACCGGCTGGCCGCCGGAACTTAACCTCCCAATCTTTAAAAGCGCCTTTTCACCCCCAACCTCTAGCAGTCGCCGGCGGAGTTACATAGACGGCGGAAAAGAGCATGATTCCGTTCACTGAAGGCACCAGCTAGTGCTACAACGAGGAAGATTACTCGGCCGAAAATGAAATCCCAGCGGTCGGTTCTTCTGTCCTCGCCGGAGAATCCACCGTCGTCGTGCGACAAATTCAAGACCCTCGGCAGTCCATCTCCTCGCCGTAAGTTCAATTGCACTCCTGGGCATCTAATTCACATGTTCTAACTATATCTTTCGTTTCTTTCGCATGCAAAATCGAACCAAAAAGATTTGTTCTTCGGCGAGAATGAACAAAGATCACAAAAGTTCTGTTTTTCGAAGTCTTTGATTCGTCAGCTAAATCTAATCAACAACCCTAACAATTCACTTCGACCCAACAAAACCCTGCTCTTAAAGGTCGAAGCTTTCCCCAGAAATGGCCTTCCCCTTGCATTTTGCTTCCGCTGCTACATTGCGAAATCCAGCCTAGTTAACTCCTCAATGCTCATCAACTTTACCTGAGGTAACAAGAGTAAAGTTCTCGTCATCAGGATTTCACATGTAGAAAAGGAAGGCTACTAATTTAGTTGCCAGAATTGAACAGGATAGTAGCTAGCTGACAGACCTTGTTTATTACTGACTCTTGAATTCTCTCATAATCCTCATCACTCCCAGTACTCCTCCTATTGTGCTTCATCTCAGATTTCTTGTTGCCAGTGGTCAGCCTTGCAGATGACCCTTTAGAGTAACCACTCAGTTGAACCTGATTAGGGGAAATCGAAAGCTTTGGTTTTTAGTTTTGATTCTTAATAACTAATCAAATCTCTGTGAACTTGAGGCTGAGTGAGAAAGATTAACAGACTGAAGAAAAAGAAATTACCTTTCGTCTGGGATTTCGTTCTCCGGGGAGCAAGAGTTCAAGTTGATCAACGTCGAAGAAACATTCGCGAGCTTTTGCGTCGTAGACTAGTTTTTGCCAAACAGATTCACTGCTCATCAAGGTCCTCCCACATCCCAAAATCCACATGCAGTATCTGCATAATGCAAATGAACTCCACAACCACAAACAAATGAGAAACCAAGAAGTAGAAAGAAGCAGCTTGTAACCATTTTTCATCAGTGTTTTCATGTCCAATAACAGTAAATCACCTTGCCCTTGTCAGTGCGACATTGGCCCTTTGAGCATTGGAGAGAAAACCAATCGCTCCGCTTTCATTAGATCTCACAGTTGATATGATTATGATGTCTTCCTCACCACCTTGGAAACCATCTACCGACTTGACTTTCACTGAGAAGCCATCTGTTCTTTCGTATCTATCGCCTAGTTTCTTCTTAATTGCAATCACTTGAGCCGTATATGGAGATATCACACCAATGGAGAGCTTCTTCTCATTTGATCCATTCCATTCTGCATGAATATATATCAGAGAAATTGTGCAGTAACTATGAAATCTATCTTTGACATTGAGAAGTACCGATTCAAGATTCACCAGAAAATCTTTGCAGTATTTGGATACTATACCTTTGTAAAGATTCTTTACCAATTTCAGTGTAATGTCCACCTCTGTCATATTTCTCCTGCTACGCCCAACATCATCCAATTCTTCCCTCCCACCATTTACATTCATAAATGAATAGGGACCAAACATTGGACCAGGAAGATAGCCCTTTTTTTCATAACTTGGACTCTTCACATTATCTCCATCTTGAATCTTACCAGAGTAGAAGATTGAATTGGGGAAACAGCTTATTGATGGATGCATCCTGTATTGAATATTCAGGAGGTGCACAGGATGCCCTAACAAAGTTAACCTTTCAAACAGGCTTCTTCCAAACTCAGCTTTAGTGCAAGCCTGTGGGAAAGAAAAATTAAATTTGGTATGCAGTTTTTGGAAATTTCTTTCAAACTCAAAAGAGTAATACCACAATCCAGCATACCTTGCTTTGAACCATAGCTGGTAGTTGGCACTCATCTCCTATCAGAATGGCGTGCCTAACTCCGGGCAGTTGCAGAGGTATTGCTGATTCACATTCTTTCAGTTGTGCAGCTTCATCAATCACCAAAACCTCCAGTGGCTCCTTCATCTTCACTGAATGCAGCTTGTATGAAGTAGCTGTTGTGCAGAGAATGAGGGAAGCTGATTTAAAGCAGAAGTTTTTGATTTCGTACTTGTTCCTGAAAACTGGAAACTTAACTCCCCTAAGACTTTTACTTAGATCTTTCAAAGCAGATATACACCGAGTTCTTATACGACACAGCTCTTTGGATGCAGGAGTAAACAAGTTGGAAGAATCCTCTATCAAATTTGGACGACGAAAAAGCTTCCTCAGCTCATTGGAACGTACTTTATCACAGAATAACAAGCTTCTGAATGATTTGAGTAAATCGATAACACATTCAATCTTTTCAACAAGCTCTCTCCCCATAAAGCTTTCGGGAACATGATTACACAGCGTTATCATGCAATTCTGGAATGGCAACACCGTGGGCTTAAATATATCTCTTGCATACTGCAGAAATGATTGGCACTTCATTCCCTTCCAACCCGTTTCGCTTGTTCCTTTTCGCTCCTCGACTTTGCTATCTTGATTCTTATTTCGCTCATTCTTCCTTTCGTTTTCCAGATGGACATAAAACTGGATAACACAGCGTTGAAGAAAGTCGATGGTGGAACTGAGGCGGTACTGCCATCCAGAGAGAGGTGCAAAGCACTTCCAAAGCTCTTTAACGCGATAACCCAGGTATATCTCTTGAACTTCTGAATCAAGATTTAGTCTATCTTCATTCCCAAGCAACAGAATATCCCCTAGAGCATTTTTCTGTGTTGCAGACGATTCTGATTTCCAAAGCTTGACAACCCTCGAAGCTACTTCTTTTATTGCAACATTTGTTGGTGTACAAGTCAGTGTCCTGCATTTCATTTTCAAAAGGGAAACTAACAATGTGCTTACAGTTTTGGTCTTCCCAGTACCAGGAGGACCCTTAATAAGTTCCAAACCAGCGCTATGCCTGCATCGAGCTCTTCCAAGGCAAGCGAGAACTGCCCCTCTTTGAGACTCATTCAAGGCAGTAGAATCTATATTCTCACAATTTCTATTCACCTGCTGCTCATAACTACAAAGACGACAACTTTCCTTGTCCTGCAAGAAACCCAGTTCGTTTTAAGCAAAAGAATAGACACTTAACAGACTAAAGTATTAATTAGCCATCAGTAGTGGAATGAATCCCTTACAAAAGTTTCTGCAGAAAGTACTTTATTGATGATACTCAAGTTCTTTGCCATATGCAATGCTTTCCAGATTCGTTCGTTAGTTGCGGTATTCGTCAAAAAGATGACAGTCATCACTGACTTGTGCCCCAAGTTTCCAACTTCCAACCCTTTTGATGCTAGGAGTGTGAAATTGGTGCATTTGGTGGAACCTTCTTCTTCATCATCATCATCCAAAAGACCGGTGACCACTGCAAGCAACCAGAAGCGACCCGGCCTCTGCAAATCCGAGACCCTTTTGGGTCTGCCATTGGCCAAAAGGACAACATCGCAGGGCAATGTTTTATAAGGCGGATTGCCGGAGCTACCACGGCAGTTTCTCCAGTCATCAACTTGGACTTTGTACAACAAACATCCTTCAGGGTTGTACTCTTCGAAACCGGTGACACTGGCAAATGGTGCCTTGGAGATGACTTCCATGGCTGCCTGGAGTTCAGCTCTTGTTTCTTCCAGTAAAGGATCCACGAATTGGTTTAAGTATTGTTTGGCCGAATCGAAAGACTTCGCAACATTTGGTACCTGCAAAAGGTTTGGTACACTACTAGTTCATCATACAGAAGACTGCAAAAAAAGAAATTCAAGCAAAATGGAGGTGGGAATATGGTCAGACCTCGAGTAGACGTTCATCGAAAATGTCCTCTAGTGACCATGAAAACAGAGTAGTGATGAAACCTTTATTCTTCTTGTTGCTTGAACCCTTCTTCGCCTTTCTTGTCATCGTTTTTTTTTTCTTTCTCGTCGCTGTCTCTACTACTTGCAAATTTAAATCGAAGATTCCGGCCGCAGTTGGTCACCTCTTCCTTTCTACGAATTACGGGGTCGTTGGAGAACCGGATTTGGGCCATAATTTTATTGAATCGGTAGATTCGGTAGAAAATTATATTTTTTTTTTCTTTTTTCTGCTGCTTTTCGTATTGTGGATTTTAGGGTTTAGAGATTTCAAATCTTATGAAATCTACGAATATCAAATCTCTCCTAATCAGAGAGATTCTATATCTTTAACCGTTAGATTTTATTTCTCCTGCTTTACCTCTTCCTTTTGTTTATTTATTATCACATTAAATATATTTATCAACAGAATTGCCCATCTTTCTTGAATCACTCTTACCATTTTTAAGGCTAAACATGTTATTTAATATAAAATAAGAATTTTTATTTTCATTAAAGGTTAGCAATCACAATTACCAAATAATAAACATTTTAAAATCTATTTACAACAATCGGAAGAGTTGGAATTTTTAGATTTTCTAACAATCTATCGATTGAAACTCATACTCTCCAAACGACTCCTACGATTCGATTGCAGCCCCTGAAAGTAAATTGTTTGCTGATATAACCCCTAAAATGCGATTGCAGCCCCCGAAAGTAAATTGTTGATGATACTAGCTATGTTCGTTCGCTGCGCTTCTACGATTCGATTGTAGCCCCCTGAAAGTAAATTGTTGCTGATATAACCCCTAAAATGCGATTGCAGCCCTCGAAAGTAAATTGTTGATGATACTAGCTATGTTCGTTCGCTGCGCTTCTACGATTCGATTGTAGCCCCCTGAAAGTAAATTGTTGCTGATATAACCCCTAAAATGCGATTGCAGCCCCCGAAAGTAAATTGTTGCTGATACTAGCTATGTTCGCTCGCTGCGCTTCGCATAAAGCGCGAGTAATGTGAAATGTTACATTACATGTAAGAGAGAATACATACCTACCTCTAAGTAGCCCTCGTTATTCCGTTCACTGGCACCTGCAAGTGCTACATCTAGGAAGATTGCTAGGTCGAAGATGCAACCCCATCGATCGGCACTTCTGTCCTCGTCGGAGAATCCGCCGCCGTCGGCAAACTCAAGACCGTCGGCGGTCCATCTCCTCACCGTAAGTTCAATTCCACTCCCCGCGCTTCTCATTCCCCTGTTCTAATCATATCTTTCGTTTCGTCGCATGCAAAATCGTATCACCGAGATTTTTCCTCGGGCGAGAGTAAGATCACAAAAGGTTCTGTTTTCTAAAAGGGTTTGATTAGTCAGCTTAATCTAATTAACAATCCAAACAGTAATAACCCGAACGATTCTCTTCAACCCAACAAAACCCTTCTCTTAAAGGCCAAAGCTTTCCCCTTTTGTGCAGCAATGGCTTCCCTTGAATTATGCTTTTGCTGCTACATTGTAACATCCAGCCTGGTCAGTTCTTCAATGCTCATCAACTTGACCTGAGGTACCAAGAGCAAAGTTCTCGTCGTCATGTGGGGAAAACTACTAATTAGTTGCTAGAATTGAACAGGAAAATAGGTAGCACTAACACACCTTGTTGATCACTGCCTCTTGAATTCTTTCATAATCCTCATCACTCCTCCCACTGTCCTTCATCTCAGATGCCCTGCTGCTTGTGGTCAGCCTTCCAGAGGACCTTTTGAAGCAATCACTCTGCTGAACCTTGGTTAGGGGAAAAACCAAGAGCTTTGCTTTATTTTTGTTGCCTTAGTTCGTCATAAACTATGTGAACTTGTGGTTGAGGAGAGAAAAGAATAACAGGCTGAACAAATCAATGTACCTTTCGTCTGGGATCTCTGTCTCCAGGGAGCAAGTGTTCAAGTTGATCAACATCGAAGAAACATTCCCGAGCTTTTGCGTCGTAGACTAGTTTTTGCCAAACAGATTCACTACTCATCAAGGTCCTACCACATCCCAAAATCCACATGAAGTATCTGCACAATGAAATGAAGTACACAAAACATTGAGAAACCACAAAAAAGAAAACAAAAGAAGCAGCTAGTAACCATTTGTTAGTATCATCTTCATTCACCTTGCCCTTGTTATAGCGACGTTGGTCCTTTGAGCATTGGAGAGGAAACCAATCGATCCGCTTTCATTAGATCTCACAGTTGGTATGATTATGATATCTTCCTCACCACCTTGGAAACCATCTACCGACTTGACTTTCACGGAGAAGCCATCTTCCCGTTCATACTCATCACCAAGTTTCTTCTTAATTGCAATCACTTGAGCAGTATACGGAGAAATCACACCGATGGAGAGCTTCTTCTCATTGGATCTGTTCCATTCTGCAGGAATGTACAACAGTGTCATAGTGCAGAACCATGAAAAGCAGGTTGACATAGGAATGTACTGATTAGGGATTCATAAAGTGTCGCAGCGTCTGAGTACTGTACCTTTGTGAAGATTCTTCACCAATTTCAGTACGATGGCCACCTCGTCCATATTTCTCCTGCTACGTCCAACATCATCAAATTCTTCCCTTCCACCATTTACATTCATAAATGAATAGGGACCAAACATTGGACCAGGAAGATAATCCTTTTTTTCATAACTTGGGCTCTTCACATTGTCTCCATCTTGAATCTTACCGGAATAAAAGATTGAATTGGGGAAACAGCTTATAGATGGATGCATCCTGTATTGAATATTCAAGAGGTGCACAGGATGTCCTAACAAAGTCAACCTTTCAAACAAGCTTCTACCAAACTCAGCTTTACTACAAGCCTGTGGGAAACAAAAGAAAAGAATGAAACTTGGCATATGGTTTGCAGTCATTATTCATTACTAATAATCTCTCAAGTCTCTCAAGAGAGTAATATCACAATTTGAGGCATACCTTGCTTCGAACCATAGCTGGTAATTGGCATTCATCTCCAATCAGAATGGCATGTCTAATACCAGGCAGTTGCAGGGGTATTGCTGATTCGCATTCTTTCAGTTGTGCAGCTTCATCAATCACCAACACCTCCATTGGTTTCATCTTCACCGAGTGCAGCTTGTATGAAGTAGCGGCTGTGCAGAGAATGAGAGAAGCTGTGTTTAAGCAGAACTCTTTGACTGCATACCTGCTACTGAAATTTGGAAACTGCACTTTCCTCAGATCTTTCAATGCCGATATACACTGGTTTCTTCTACTGCATAGCTCTTTGGATGCAGAAGCAAAACAACGAGAAGAATCTTTGATCAAATCTGGATGTCGAAAAAGAAGCTGCAGCTCCTCAGAACGAACACTACTGCAGAATAACAATCTTCTGAATGCTTCAAGTAACTCAATGACACATTGGATCTTTTCAACAACATCTCTCCCCATAAAGCTTTCTGAAACTTGAGTACACATAGTTATCATGCAAGTCTGTAATAGCGACACCGTACGCTGAAATCTAAATTTTGCATACTCAAGAAATGATTGGCCCTTCCTCTTCTTCCAGCCAGTTTCGGTTCCTTTTTCCGCACCCTTAATTCTGTTGTCGAGTTTTTCGTTTCGTTCATTCCTTTCTTTCCTCTGGTGAATAGAGAACTGAGCAACACATTGTTCAAGAAAGTAGATGGTAGAACTGAGGCGGCACTGCCATCCTCCAAAGCAGTCCCAAAGCTTATCAACACGATAATCCAGGTATATCTCTTGAACTTCTGGACACAGCTTAAGTCTATCTTGATTCCCCAGCAAGAGAATACCCCCTAAACATACAGCAGCAGAATTCTGAGTTGATGATGTTTCTGATTTCAAGAGCTTTACAACCCTCGATGCTACTTCTTTTATAGCAACATTTGTTGGTGCACAAGTCAGTGTCCTGCATTTCATTTTCAGAAGGGAAACTAGCAAGGTGCTTACAGTTTTGGTCTTTCCAGTCCCAGGAGGTCCCTTAATAAGTTCCAAACCAGACCTATGGCTGCAGCGAGCTCTTCCAAGGCAATCGCGAATGGCCCCTCTTTGACACTCGTTCAAGGTACTAGAATCGATATTCTGATAAGTTACGTCCATCTGCAGATTATAACCACAAAGGCTGCAACTTTGTTGATCCTGCAAGCAACAGGGTTGTTTTTAAGCAAGAAAAAGAAACGCTTAATAGAGCATTAGTACTAATTAAGCTATCAGTAGTTGGATGAATCCCTTACCAAATTTTCTGCAGAAAGTACTTTATCGATGATACTCAAGTTCTTTGACATATGCAGTGCCTTCCAGATGCGCTGGTTAGTTGTAATGTTCATCAAGAAGATCACAGTTGTCTTTGGCTTTTGCACTCGATTTCCAGCTTCCAACTCTTTTGATGCTTGGATGCTGAACTGCGTGTATCTAGCGGAGCCGTTCACCACTGCAAGAGACCAGAATCTGCCTGCCCTTTGCAAATCCGAGACCGATCCAGGTTTGGCATCGACTAAAAGGACGAGATCGCAAGACGATGGTCTGTAAGGCGGATTGTCGGAGTTACCACGGCTGTTTATCCAGCCTCTAACTCCAACTTTATATACGCAATTCCCTTTGGGGGTGCACTCTTTTAAACGTGTCACATTGGCAAATGGTGCCTTGGAGATGACTTCGATGGCTGACTGGAGCTCGGATCTTGTCTCTTCCAGCAAAGGAGCCACGAACTGGTTCAAGTACCGTTTGGCTGAATCGAACGACTTCGGAACCTCTGGCACCTGCAAAAGGCGGGCATAGTAGTGCTCATAATCTAGCAAAGGACGATAGAGACATGGCGAGACACGAAGACACGAATTCGTGTCGATCGAACAGAAATGATTGCTTGCTAAGGACAGTTTAACGATGAGGCAGGGGGATAAGTAGAGAGAAAGAAATGCAGGTGGAAGAGAGAAGACGGGAGATCGACCTCGAGCAGACGTTCGTTGAAAATGTCCTCGAGTGACCATGAAAACAGAGTAGTAATGAAACGTTTCTCCTCCTCAGTGAATGAACTCTTCTTCACCTTCCTCGTCATGTTGTTGCTATTGTTCGTCGTCTCTGCTGCTTTGCAAGTTTCAGTGGGAAGAGTTTCCGGTTGCTGGGATTGGGAGTGGATAGATACTGGCTATATATACGAGTGTTAGAGTGACTGCTCCATAGTAAGTAGACAGTTTTGGTTGGCAGAGGAAATGAAGAGGCAGGGGAAATGAAGCGGGTGGTGGTGGGAGTGGAGGAGGCGCTTCGTTAATTTGGTCACATTTTGCCTTTCCACGAACTACGATGCCATCGTGTTTTAGACAAGAAAAAAAAACATTATACGCAAATTCTTGTGGAAAGAAATATGTTATACTCTTGTATATTAGTATTCACTTGCGAACTGGCGGAGTGGTCGTACCGCTAGTTTTTCAGTCTGGAGCTTCCAGATTCGAATCCCGGGGGACGACGTTCGTTTCCTCTTTCCTCCGCCATTCTAGTATCTGGAAGAGATATACTCAAAAACTAAATTTGTGGGGCTTGATCCGAAGCGAACAATATCAAACTAATGGATGATGATAAATTGCAGGTCTTAGTCACTAGGTTTACTAAAAAGTTTCACATTTGTATTTTGTACGCTAAATATATTTTTATTTCGTTTAGTGGTAGATACTAAAGTTTTAGTCACTAGGTTTACTAAATATATATATATATATATATATTTTTTTTATGTTGAAGGCATGTAACTATTGATTGTAGATACTGAATATTCTCAGTAGATTGTTCAATGAGGTGTTAGTTTATCGTAAACCAGCTCAATTAAGTGGTGTTGTTTTAGACAGTCATGGTTGCATACAAAAAGTAAAAGAACCTTTGACCAAATAATGGGTTGAATTTCTACAAAAAAAAAAAAAAGGGTTGAATGGAGTTCAGTACTATTTGTGATCATAAATTGGTCAACTCATATTGTATTGTACTTGAGTAACTGAGATATTAGTTGTTAGTGCAGGAAAATAGACAGGATGGTTTTGGAAAATTTGTGGAACAAATCATACCATATAGTTTGGTAGGGTTCGTAGTTTATTGCATCATAACGTGTACCCAACTCACTTTTTGGTTTGTGTTAGCAGTCTAATCGACCACTCTTCCTATTCTCCAATGAGTAGTATGGTAATTTGAATACACCTCGCGGGTATTACTAGATCTGACTCGCGATGGGACGGGTATTACCCGACCTGCACTAGTATGGGGTGTGGCATGGGTACCTATACATATTTCTTTCCCTTTTATTACTTTCCCAACCTGTCATCCTTTCTATTTTCAAAATTCTTAACATATTTACTAATCTTGTGAATATTGATGATCCGAAACCAATAATGGGTAAATCTTAACAATAATGCTAACAATATGCCACCTTTTGATTTTTTTCAAGATTAGTATATATGAGAACAAGTTCAGTTTCCTTACAGTTTTTTAATATCATATATCACCGATTTTATGATCGGTTATATATCAATTAATTAGCGATTTTTCTGATAAACTTTAGGGGTCGTTTGGAAGTTGGGAGTCTATGAATATGTGTATTCTTACAATGTATGTATTCTAAGTGTAGTGATTGTAAGAAATAGATGATTGTAAGAATATGTTGTTTGTTAGTTGTGATTCTCACTTTTAAAGAGTATAAGGATTCTTACTTTAATGACCAAAAAGACTTATATAACCTTGAAGTTCTCTTTATATAGTCAATTAAAGAAGGGGCAAATATGAAATATACAAAAAAAAAAAAGATAAGAGGTGCAAAAAAGCAATTACAAAAGTAAAGCAAGAGAATCTCACCTTTTTGTAGAGATTCTAAAATGAATGATTCTAGTCATTTGAGATTCTAAAGTACCAATCAAATGCATGCATTCTGGATAAATTTATATAAAAAAAATAATAGATTGTAAAAAATACACACATTCACAGAATCACTCATTTGAGATTCTAAAGTACCAATCAAACCTCTCGCTAATCCGGATCACTACCCGGACCGATTTTAACAACACCGGTTTCATCCACTGCCGCAGGGTCGTCATCATCCCATGAACCAGCTTTTTCAATCTGGGCCCCCATCTCGCAAACAAGACAAGAGCAAGCCCATAGACATCCAGCCCAGCCCAGTCAACTCCTCAAAATCGCTGCTCATGACCGTAACAGCTCGGTCAAACTCCTTGACTTTCCCATTTCTCAAACGCTCTTCTACCGCCTATTTATACGCCCTCCTCTCTCTCCGGCCAGAAACCACGGCAGCAGCAGCAGCAGAGCATCGCAATAGCAGCAAATTCAGCTAACCGTTTCCCATAATCACACAACGATCCAAATCTCCAAAATCTCACCGTCGCCGAGAAATTTTCTCCCGGGAAAAATTGCAGCCATGGCGGAGCAGAAGACGAAGATTCTGATCGTCGGAGGAACAGGGTACATAGGCCGGTACGTTGTGGAAGCCAGCGCCAAGGCCGGCCACCCTACTTTCGCTCTCGTCCGCCAGTCCACTCTCACCAGCCCCACCAAATCCAAAACCATCGATTCCTTCAACAAGCTCGGCGTCAAATTCCTCATCGTACGTCCGCCGCCGGCCGCCGGCAGCGGCGGCCCCAATTTCCCGTTTTCGTTTGGGGAAAAGGGTTAATTGATGGATTGGATTGATGGGTAGTTTTCCTGGTGCAGGGGGATCTGACGGATCACGAGAATCTGGTGAAGGCGCTGAAGCTGGTGGATGTGGTGATCTCCACCGTCGGCCACGACCAGCTGGCCGATCAGGAAAAGATCATCTCCGCCATTAAAGAAGCTGGAAACATTAAGGTTCTGCCCGGTTGTGAACCCACTCTGTTTTTTTTTTTTCCGCCCCCAATTCTACAATGCCGTTACTGATCTCATTGTGCAGAGATTCCTGCCGTCGGAATTCGGGAACGACGTGGACCGCGTGCACGCCGTCGAGCCGGCGAAGACGGCATACGCGACCAAAGTGAAAATCCGGCGAGCCATCGAGTCCGCCGGGATACCGTACACCTACGTCTCGTCCAACTTCTTTGCAGGTTACTTCCTCCCGACGTTGAACCAGCCTGGAGTCACCACTCCGCCGCGAGATAAAGTCGTCATCTTGGGCGATGGAACCCCCAAAGGTAAAACCCTAATTTTTTTTTGTGAAAATTACTGATTCCCTTAATGGCTGGGCTTAACGATTAAGGCACAACTTTTTGCAGCAATCTTCAACAAGGAAGAGGATATTGGGGCGTATACCATCAGGGCAGTGGACGACCCAAGAACATTGAACAAGATCCTGTACATCCGGCCGCCGGCCAATACGATCTGCTTCAACGATCTGGTTTCCTTGTGGGAGAAGAAGATTGGGAAAACCCTGGAGAGGAGCTACATCTCTGAAGAACAGCTTCTCAAGAACATCCGAGGTTCAAGCTTTACACGTTTAATAAGTTCGAATTGCGGACTGTTGATGAATGAATTGAGGATTGAAATGGTGGGTTTGTTTGTTTGCTTGTTGGTTGGTTGGTTGCAGAGTCGGCACCGCCGCTGAATGTGATACTGTCAATTGGGTACTCGGTGTTCGTGAAGGGAGACCATACCAACTTCGAGATCGAGCCGTCGTTTGGAGTTGAAGCTTCGGAGCTTTACCCTGATGTCAAATACACAACTGTGGATGAGTATCTTACCCAGTTTGTCTGATAAAAGAGAGGAATTTTGTATTGTGGCAACCCGCAACATTGCATAAAGAGAGTTTTTTTTTTTTTTTTGGCTCCTTATGATGAATGAGATGGAATATTACCCTGTAATCTGTACTGATTTCCATGGAAGTTCTCCAATTTCTTGCTTTGCTGTGTAGAAACCACTGCTGCTTCTTTTGTGGTCCATTGGACTCTTTTCCTTAATTAAACCGCGGAATATTTTAGCCAATTTTGGCGCATAAATTCGTCCTCCTCTCCCGGGCTTCTTCCTCTTCCACATCCCTCTCTTTAGATCAGCTAAAGCAGAAAAGAAAGTCCGACAGAAAATGGCTTCCACCAGCAGCAAAAGCAGGATCTTGTTCATCGGAGGGACGGGCTACATCGGCAAGTTCGTCGTCGAAGCTAGCGCCAAATCCGGCCACCCAACTTACGCTCTGGTCAGGGAATCGACCCTTAATAGCCCCAGAAGATCCCAAATCGTTCACTCCTTCAAATCCCTGGGCGTCAATTTCCTCATTGTAAGGAAACCCTTACGATTGAACCAAAAAATGTAGAACAAGGGTTCTTAATTCGTTTTGGCTCCACCTTTTCTTCAATTTTTGCAGGGCGATCTGCACGACCATGGAAGCTTGGTAGAAGCGATGAAGCAGGTGGACGTGGTGATCTCTACAGTCGGGCATGGAATGCTGTCCGAGCAGGTCAAGATCATCGCCGCCATTAAAGAAGCTGGAAACGTCAAGGTTTGGGCTGGATTGCGTTGTTCGATTTCAAGTTTTGTTTTTATTCGAATTGGAAAACAATGGAGGGGCTTTCTCTTCCCATTTCTTTCAGAGGTTTTTCCCATCGGAGTTTGGGAACGATGTGGATCGCGTCGAAGCAGTTGAGCCTGCGAAATCGGCTTACGACGTTAAAGTCAGAATCCGGCGAGCTGTTGAGGCCGCAGGGATTCCGTTCACCTATGTCTCCTGCAACAGCTTCGCCGGCTATTTCCTCAGCAACTTGGCTCAGCCCTCCGGCGACGTGCCTCCCAGAGACAGAGTCATCATCTTGGGAGATGGCAATGCCAAAGGTTCGAACTTTATTCATCTTTAGGTTGAATTGAGCGTTTAATTCAGAAACCCAGTTTGTCATTTTTTGTGCTGCAGCAATTTATAACAGGGAAGATGACATTGGAACTTATACGATTAGAGCGGTGGATGATCCGAGAACGTTGAACAAGCTTGTGTACGTAAGGCCGCCTAAGAACATCTACTCGTTCAATGATCTGGTGGGTTTGTGGGAGAGGAAGATTGGCAAGAACTTGGAGAGAGTTTACATTCCTGAAGAACAGGTTCTGAAGCTCACTAGAGGTCAGTAAATTGTATAGTGGAAGTTTCAGTTTGATGGCCCCGGGACTTTGAACTTGTTTGCAGTTATGTAAACCTGAGAGAATGTTTGTTTGGTTTGATTTTCATTGCAATGCAGGAGATGTGATGATGGCGCTTAAGCACTCGATTCTGGTGAAGGGATGTCAGACCAGCTTTGAGATCGAGGAATCATTTGGAGTCGAGGCGTCGAAGCTTTACCCAGATGTCAAGTACACAACTGTTGATGAATACCTTAACCAGTTTGTCTAGATTTATTGCTATACGATCATCTCTCCTTTTCATTTCCTTGCTAGTTCGTTCCCAGTTGTAACTTGTAACCCGGTAATGTCTTCTGTTAACTATTTTCCTTCTCTGCACTTTGTATTCTGACGTGGAGAATAATACCACAAATGAACTTTGTACTCCTTTCCTTCTGGTGATTTGGAACACAAGCATTGCTCACAGAAGGCAGAAGAAATTGCTGTAGGCATCTTGGGCAACTGTTTTGCATAATAACAGTTAGTAACGAAACAACTATGTCGAATTTCGGTTAATGGGTCGCGTTGAATTCGTATCCCTTAATGCAATAGGTATAGTAGCTAGCAAAGCGAAGAAAATTGATTATACAGAACTAGAGACTGAAGAAGGGATAAATTTATGCTATCATAGCATCTAGTCTCTGCCACACACCATGAGCACAAAGAACAGAGGTTGGGGAAAAAGTTGCTCCTCCCACTTACAAGAGGGGATTAAAACAAAACTGGATTTGATTCATCAAAAATTCATCCTTCCGAAGAAGGTTTAAGCTTTTCTATCGAGTTCTTGACTGTTCACTGTTTTCATACCTCACATCTTTCTGCCTTTGTTCCCTCCCGTCTTGGCAGAGCCTTTACTTTTCTGACCGCCTTTCCTGGCATCCTTCCCCTTCTTCGAACCACCTTTCCCTTTCTTCTTGCTCCCACGAACATCCTTCTTCATCCGCCGATCCACAACCACTTTACCTTTGCCTCCCTTCACCGCAACTCCTTTCTTCGCAACTACGAATTCCTTCTTCGGCCTCTTTGGTGCAGCCTTCTTATACAGCTGGTCGATCATTTTACTCTTCGACCGGTCAGAGATCTCAGTTTGGTCCGAGATCACATTGGCCTTCTTCCTGACCTTCTCCATCCTCCTCATGGCTACGCGCTTCTTTCTGGCCTTGGCCTGTGCCACTTTCTTAGCCGGCCGAGCGTTGATCTCTTTGAACTGTGCACGCATGGCATTCATCTCCTCTTTGGTGATTGGTTTGACCGGTTGTCGATGCCTCTTCTCTTCCTCCAAAAACCAACCAGGCAAGCCCTCATCATCAAACATGTACCTGTTGTAGCCATCATCGAGCATCTGCTCTCTCTGCTTCTTCCTCAGCATCTTTTTTGCACATGCCAATATCTCGGCCTTTTTGTTGATGTCATCATCGTCAGATTCATCAGAGGATGAGTCATCACTGGAATCTGTGCCGGGGGCAGGAACAATCTCGAAATCCTCCTCAGGTTTGGAGGGTTGAGGCTGAGTGAGGTGCTTGGGAGATTTATCGGCTGTCTTAACTGCCTTCTTTGGAGGAAGGTCAAGTTTGTTGTCATGCTTCTTATCAACGACATCCATCATTTCCTCATCTTCAGGCATGGTACCCAAATCTCCCTCCTCCACGGCTTTGGCAAATATGTCCTGAGCGAACCACCTGTTTGCAATATCTTCTTTAGTGGGTTCTTCCCCATCATTAAGTGGGACCATGAGAGGATTTGCTTCACGATCCGGTAGCTCCTTGTCTGAATCGTAATCTGATTGATCCATATCATTATTCTCCTCATCCTACATTGCAAATAACAACAAAATAATAAGCAATACTGGAAAAATGAACTTTCTGACATACAAGGATAGTGAAGGCTAGAAACTACAACCAACGACTAAAAAGAAAGAAAATTATCGTTTTTACTCTGCTACAGGGAGGACTCGAAAGAAACTAGGCACGTTTGACACACATTACGAGAGCCACATACCTCCAAAAGTTGCTCGGAGTAGGCTTGCCTTGCACGTTTTCTCTGCTTTGTACTTCCTTCCTTTTTGGTTACAAACCGTTCATAGACCTGGTCAAGAATATCTTCCATTCTTGCATCATACCTACACCAAACATCTAGCATGTTACAAAAACTTAGAAACTATCAACTAACTAAGAAATGAAAAACACTTGGGAACACAATTTACTTTCTGCGCTCTTCATCAGAATCTGAATCAGTGGATGACTCGTCCTCACGGATTTCCTCATTGTCACTATCTTTCAAGTCACCATTTGCGTCACCATTCTCAGCAGTATCAACAGCAACCAAATCTTTCTTTCCCTAAGAGATTTCAAGAAAAATCCAAAGATACAGTTAGCACTGCATAGTTTAAAAAGTCAGCTGGTATGGAAGAGATAATAAAGGGTTGATGCTTGCAGGCTGTAAGCTAACCTTTATAGAAGAAAGAGAAAATAACTCAATATCGTTATAGCCATCTTCAAGTACATCCATTGTCATTCCTATTGCCTTCCGAGCCTTGTCCTGCAAGTCATAGAAAATGCTTGCATCAGCTTCCGAACCTATGGTCCTGATTAATCTAAAGTTGCAATAGCAGACATCAAAACTAAGAAGGTCCGCTGCCATGCATAACTCAACAGTTTCTGATCATCTGGGCTGAACAGTTTCAATACCTTGTCCTCAGAAAAAAGATGGAAACAGGGCCTCAACTGCCAGCTAACATTAATGCGTGTTTTCATAACCATGACTCCAACTAATTTTAAGCATCCACAGTATGGCTACAAGCCTTTATTAACACGATTGTACAAACCTTAGCCCTTCTTTTAGCAAGAATTTTCTTCTCACGTTTCTTCTTCCTCTCCATAGCATCTGTCAACTCCTCCATTTCATTAAGCAACCTATCATCTTCATCAACCTCTTTCTTTTCTTCACTCTCAGCAACAGCAGGAATAGCTTCTACAGAAGGGGACAGAGCTTTTCGTATCTGCATTCGCCACCTGCATGACAAACAAAGGGACATACAAGAATATATCACCACTCCAGGGGAAATAAATAAATAAATAGGAAGCAAAGAAGCTTAGCTTGCTGTTTGGGAACAGACTTGAACTCCTCGTAAGTAATGATAAAATATATTATAACAAAACGGGATCTTACTTCAATAGATGCTTGAAGTCTTGCTTTCCTAAAACACGAAGATCATCACAAAGAGATTTGACCTCCTCTGTTGTTAACTCCAGCTCCTTTATGCATAAAGAATCTGGGTCCTCAAATGTAATTGAAGTAACTGAACCAAGGACATCAAGAGGTGTGGCAGACCAGATAAAATCAGCAGCTGAAGATACTTTCCGCACCATAGCTTGTCCTTCTTCATACCTGCAACGCCAAAAAGAAAATTACTAGACACCACGAATCAACAGCACCAGCAACCTTCTAATAGTGACATTGGCTTACCCATCACGATGGCGCTTTTGCTTTGTTCCTCTCAGGGGATCTAGCACCTGTATCCGGATAAAGTAAAGACAAGAGATCATCAAACAATTAAAACCAAAAACACATACCGATGAAACTGGTGAAACATGATTGAAATGTAGCAGATCCTCTCTAATGCACAATTACCTTCCTTGCAGGTTCTGTGGACTGGAACAGATGCTTAAAATCAAGTAGACGAGGATCGATCTTTGCAGGAGCTTTGTATTTGAGTCCCAACACAAAGATTTCTGCAGATGCTGAACGACTGGCTAATGGTTTGTCCACCTCAACCTTTTCAAATAACTGAAAGCCGAACACAATCATGAGAATCCGAAGACAAATATGTCCATCTACACTCCTAACTAAAGATAAAGGACATTCACCTGGTTTAAGCAGTAGATAACAGAACTGTAATCTTGTGACCTGAAAACCTAACACACAAACACCACATCAGCTATAAGTTTACTCCAACAAGAACTACACAAACTTGAACAACGATTCATTCCCTAACACCACCAAATTCGAAACGAATCAACAGCGGAAAAGCTCACTTTAGTGACGAAATTCCCTTTGGGAGCCAGGAACTGAGTAGCCAATTTCACAGCATCGATAACCAGAGCATTCTGAGACATCGCCTCCTGCGCCCACGCACCACCGACGTTCGGCGAACCATCGTGCAAAACCAAGTCGAAAGCCTTAACCCCATTATCGCCCATAATCTTCTTAATCTTGCTCCTGCACTCGGACTTCGTGATATCCTGCTCGAAGGATATGGCGCCACGCAGGGGAGCGATTGTCACCAAATCGATTCCGAGAACGAGGCTACCCACGGGGACCCTCTCGACGGCGACCTGCATCCATCCTCCGGGGGCGGCGCAGAGATCGAGGACGGCGCGGGAGGAGTTGAGGAACTTGAACTTGGAATCGAGCTGGACCAGCTTCCAGGAGGCACGGGACCGGTATCCGTGCTCCTTGGCGAGATGGTAGTACTTGTCCAAACGATGCTTTCCCTTCACTTTACCCATGGCGGCGGTGGGTTACAGGAAAGTGGGTTTAGCTAGGGTTTCTGAGGGACGAAGAATTTGTCTTCGTCGCGGGGTGGAATGGCGAGTGAAGGGATGCAGAGGTGGTGAATTGTGAGCACTTGAAGAAGAGCAGCCGTTATGTTTGTAGGGTTTCTTTAGCCTAGCAAGTGTTGACGATTGACCAATTTGCCTTCAATATGAGAAGAAAACACCCTGCCGTTTCATAACACAACGGTGTCGTATAGCAGATAATAAAATAAATAATAGATTACCAAAAAAAAATCTAGGATAACCGTAATTTTATGTGAATCACTCGCAAATGGTCATGGTTGTCACGCCTGCCGGCATGTCACCGGTTGAATTTGGTTCAGTCGGTATTGGTAATGAAATTGACGTGAACACTCCGGCATGATTGGCATGATCGATTTACGATCTTTGAGCAAGATGACGTCGTTTTAGTGAATATAATTAATGAGAAATTAATTTATCATATATTTTACAAGTTTAAAAGTTAAGTGTTGGTGTTATTTGTTGGTTTCAAGTATAAATGTTTAGGAATTGACATTAAAATGTTGAATTTAAATATGAGTATTTGTAATTTTATTAGAAATGTCTCATTTATTTACATATCAATATGAATTGTAAGTAAAGTGTCTTCAAATATGTTTTGTATATGATAAAATTCAACTATTGTAATGGATTTTCATATTTCTACATATTTTGTTAAACCGGCATGAACCGACACATAAAGATTGTACCACTGGTTGCACCATTCCACTTGCTAAACCGACACAACAGTATAAACCGGTTTGAGAACTTTGCAAATGGCGCGAATTGGTATAGGTAGATGATTAGTGTGAGCCGATTCGGTACTTCCATATAAGATACTAATAGTAGGACGCACTAAATAGGGATGACAATGGGTTGGGTCGGAGGCGGAGGCGGATAGTGCATAACTGTTATCCTACCCAAAGAAGTTCGAGTTTTACCCATACCCATTCCCACATAAGAAACGGGTAGAAAATCAAAACGATGCTCATACCCGTTCGGGTTCGGGTATCCACGATTATCCATGGATAATAATTTCTCTTTATAACTCCAACCAATATGTTATCATTCACAAATATTCTCACATTAAATAAGCGCAAAAGTACGACAATAATTCACTAGAATGAAGAAAATTAATTAAAACAACATAATTTCATGAAAATATTATATTTATATGCTAAATATAAAATATGTTAGAGAAAATTGATGATTATTTCTATACAAAATACATATGCATGTTATAATAAGGCAGGTTCGGATTGGATAGTGGTAAAATCATGCTCACCTATTACCCGCGATATTCGGGTTCGGGTTTTACCCAACCCGACTAGGTCGGATGCAGGCTGGTATCTATGGTTACATATATTTTTGTCATGCCTAAAGGGGTTATAGAAAGTTGTCTCATTCGACATTGATTGTGTTCAAAATTATATTTTAGACAACCACAAAATATTGATAAGCAGAGAAGTGTGAAGGAACGAAGTAGTGAGTCTGAAGGACGAAGGAACGAAGTAGTGAGAGAACACAATAACGATATAAAAAATTGGAAGATGACACATTAATTTCAGACTAAAGGCATACCATGAGTTGGTCATTATTATATCAAGCAATACAATAGGGTAAATGCCACATTTGGTTACTGAGATTACTAAATCGTGTCATGTTTAGTCACTAGAAAAATTTAATATCAGTTTTAGTCGCTCGAATTACTGAATCAGGTCACATTTAGTAATTCGAGTAATTCGAGTGACTAAATGTGACTTGTTTCAGTAATTCGAGTGACTAAATGTGACATGTTTCAGTAATTTGAGTGATCGGAGTTGGACGGAGGCGAACGGGAGAGTGCCTAAATGTGAGATAATTAAATAATTTGAGTGACCAAAATTGATATTAAAATTTTCTAATTACTAAACATGACAAGAATTAGCAATCTTAGTGACCAAATGTGGCATGTACCCCAAAAATCAATCTAAGCGGTTAGCATTAGCAATGTCTTTAACCACACCAACCAACCAAGCAAATCAAATTAATTTAGAATTATATAGCACTTCTACTATGCTATAAAACATGAGTGCTTTGATGTACAACTTAAAGTTGTATCATAACGTAAAATGTATAAGTTTGGGTTGTACCGTAAAGGAATTTGTACCCTTATGTTATGGTACAATTTCACAACTTTAAGTTGTACCATCATATAAAGGTACAAGTTCAAGTTGTACCATAAAAGAATTTGTAAAATAGTATAGGTACAAGCTGAAGTTATACAATAACGTTAAAGGTACCATAAATGTAAAAACTTAGGCTTAATTGCAAGATTGGTCACTCGAATTGCTATAAAATTTCACGTTTGCCACTCAAATTAATTTATTCCATTTATAGTCACTCGAATTAGTTGAACAGTTCAAATTCGGTCACTCTCCGTTAACCTCCGTTAACTTTGACTGACGTGGCGGTCAACTCTGACCATTGACCGTTAAATGTGTGACGTGGCAAATAAAAAATAATTAAAAAATTAAATTAAATTTTTAAAAATTACACATCATTATAAAAAAAATTATAATTATAAAAAATGGAAAAAAAAATAGAAATGTACACCCTCTCTCTAACACCTTCCCCACCACACGCCCTCCTCCGCCTCTCTTTCCGGCCGCCGCAACTGCTCAACTCTAAGCGGCAGCGATGGATTCCTCTTCATCGTCGCTAGAGAGTTGCCCTGACTCTTTCCCCCGCGCCCAATTCCTCATCCAAATTCAAATTCTCCACTTCCATTTCCTCTCTCTTTCTCTCTATCTCCGAGCTCCAAATCGACCCGCCTCCGCCAATGGCAGACTCCGACTCCGCCACCGCCCAATCTCCATCTCCGCCGCCCGCTCCTCTCGCTCCGGTTAACTTTCTACTCCCCTGCCTTTTCTCATCTCCATATATTTCCTTTTTCTGCTCACTTTCTCATTTTCGTTTCGTTTCCCCCTTTTCGAGCGGCCTCCAGAAGAAGGAGAATCTTACGCCCGTGAGCTCCAAGATCGCGGTGAGAGATTTTTTTTTTCTTTCTCATTCTTCTTCAACCTTTTGAATTCCGAGTCCTCCTACCTAGTTGCCAGGGTTTTGATTTAGCAGCTGCCGCCAGCGGAAAAAAAACTAGATTTGGATTTATTATTAAGAAAGAATCTCCGCTGTTGTTGGTTGCGTTTGTAGGAATTGAACGAATCGAGGGTTGAGCTCCTTACCAGAATCCAAGGCTTGAAAAAGGTGAAGTTCTTAATTTTCTAGTCGAAATTGGAAATTGACTTTGATTGACTTGGAAAGTTGGAATAGACATTGATTGTTGAAGTTTTGTTGGCGTGTTTATGGTTTTCAGGACTTGCATACTTGGAGATCCAAGATAGACACTCAGATCAAAATCTACCGTGAGGAAACAAACAGCCATTGCCTCCTTCCCCTTCCTCCTCTGCAATCTCCCGGATCGGCTGCTGCCGCTTCCCCTTCCTCCTCTGCAATCTCCCGAGCGCTCCACCTCGTCAAATCCGAGAATCCGGAGTCCAAGGTCGAGGCTGCAAGGGAAATCCGCCGCCTCGCCAAGACCTCGCAGCGGTGCCGCCGCCTGCTCGCCCACGCCGTTCCGCACCTCGTCTCCATGCTCCGGGTCGCGACTCCGCCGACTGCCACGAGGCCGCCTTGCTCGCGCTGCTCATGCTCAATTTCTTTTTTTTCATTTTTTATAATTATAATTTTTTTTATAATGATGTGTAATTTCTAAAAATTTAATTTTTATTTTTTAATTATTTTTTATTTGCCACGTCACACTTTTAGCGGTCAACGGTCAGAGTTGACCGCCACGTCAGTCAAAGTTAACGGAGGTTAACGGAGAGTGACCGAACTTGAACTGTTCAACTAATTCGAGTGACTATAAACGGAATAAATTAATTTGAGTGGCAAACGTAAAATTTTATAGCAATTCGAGTGACCAAACTTGCAATAAAGCCTAAAAACTTATAACACCAATGCTATATAGTATTGTAAAATTTTTCAGAATTATAATCGAATAAAATTTAATCAATCTAAACTATTCAATACTATTGAAAGAAATATCCAGAAAGAAATATCTAGGACACCGTTCTTCCTAGCAACCACAGCGTTGAGGTACAAGTACAACGTATGGAAAGAAATAATTGAAGGGGGAAAAGAGTAGGAAGGAAACGACCCAAAAGTGCAAGGGTGAGGAGAGGAATGGGGTCACAGACACAGTCCTCCTCCCATTCGTCCGTCGTCCTCACCATCATCGTCCCCATCTGTGGCTGTCTGGTCTGCGCCAATCAATCTCACCACCATTTACTCAATTAAAAAAGAAAAGCGAGCGGAAACGCGACAAAGGAAGAGAAAATGGCGGAGCTTGTTTGTTCATCATTCCCCATGCCTATTCAATTTCCTCCCTCTGGATATTTTCCTCTCCACTCTCTCTCCCATCAGCTTCGCCACTAAGAAATCAATAAGTAAGCAGAGTAATCTTGGGGTTGGGGATTCGGGTTTCCTCAAACCAAGAAGTTAAGTAATCGGCGACCCCAATCAAGACATTCCCGCGGCTGGTTTCCCGGCTCCATCTCCGAAATCCTTCCACCTGCCCCGGTGAATTCCGCCTTCCACCTCCTGGCTTTCACCTGGTAAGCTACCTGCTGCTTTTTTCCTGTGATTTGGTTGTTCATTTGCTTCCATAATTGAGCTTAAAGTTGTGGGCTTTGTTTTAGTCTCATAAGCTGTGGTATTGTATGGAGCTCGGTCCCAGCTCCACATGGAGAAATAAGGCCACCCATCAATGAATTGTCAAAAATAGCATCTGGGTTCCGTTACTCGGCTTTTTTTACCAGCTGGGTGTCTGTTATTTTGTTTTTGTAACCTCCCTTCCCTAGCTTCGATTCAGAGTTTTGGGTTTAACATCACTCTACGGATTTGATTCTTCAGGTGTAGTTTTGCAGAACCCTTAAGGTTTTGTGTTGCCATTTGAGCTCAAGCTGGTTTTCGAGTAGGTCTGGGTATTAAGAATGTCTAATCCGATTGCAAGATCATTTCAAGGGAAGGAGGAAATGACTGAAAGTGGGACGGCGCAGCAGCCGTATCAGTCGCAATCTGCATGGCTCGCTCATTGGATGCCTAGGAATTATGGGTTGGCGAATGGAGCACCAACACCAGCTCCATTATCGGTAAGTAATGAGGTCAGTGAAGAAGAAAGGTCTGGCATGAAGTTTCATCCTCTGCAGCTTACTTGGCGTGAAAAAGTCGGAAAGCGTAAAATGGTGGATCCTGTGAAGGGGAGTACGACAGTGGGTTTGGAAAGGTTTAGGAATGAACCTTCCGAAGGCCAGCCTTCTTTGATGCTAGGTTGTTCTCGTGATCTTGAGGTTGCTTTGCCTCCAACTAAAAAGAGGTTTGATAGTGCACATGTAACAGGCCCCGTATCGAGACTGGATGCTTCATCGAGTAGAGTGGAGAGCAAGTTACCTGGCTCGGCTCCATGGTTTGCTACTAGCCAAATGGAAACTCGATCGAGTGGCCAAAAGCCTCCAAAGTGCGGTAATAGACTTTCGGAGAAGGATGGGTTTGGCCTTTCAATGCATTCAGAGGACTACTTTCCACGGACCACTTCTCAGATTGTTCCGTATGAGTCTGACAGACAAAGGAGTATGTTACTATCTTCTTTTCATGAGCAGGAGAGTTTGAATCGACCAAGCAGTTCTTTTTGGGATCGCATGAAGAAGATGGATTGCAATGGTGCTCTTTTAGTTCATGATACCTCAATCAGCAACAACGAGGGAAGATGCTTTGCTGCTGAACAAGTGCTCGAGATGCCTCCTCAGTATTCTGATACTGGATATTTTAGCTTCCAGAGTGCGCCCCCTGTATCAGGAATGCCTTCTTCTGCGCATGATGTACAGGCTATGAGAGTGCGTACTACTATCGATTCTGTCACGGATTTTTCTGCTGGTTGCTCAAAGGTTTTGCATACAACTCACCGCTTCTTCATCACAAAGAAGGCTACTGATCCGGCCTTACCAGATGAAGGTCAGATGTTCCACCAGCCGCCATTATCTACAAAGTTCAAAGGAAAAGCATTAGATGAATCATTTGGTTTAGCACTGGACTATTGCTCCCATGGTAACCAAGGAGTGAAGCTGCAACCACTTGAGAGTTCCAGAGAAAGCAAGGGCCAAGAAGAAAGTGAGAATGTCAAGAATTCTATAACTGGTTCAAAGAATGGATCGTCTTCTGAGACCAATATAATGGACATGGATGCTTTTAAACAAAACCATCTCTTTGGTATGTATCTACTCCAAATTTTATGTTGTGAATGATTTAATATGACTTGTTGCATCTCTTAATTGATTCCTATTATTGTAGCCTGAGAAAGTTTTTGCATTCTTTCTTTGCAGGTTTGGCTTCGCCTCCATCGAGTAAGGTAAAATATACTGCCATTTATATTCCTTTTAAGCATGCCCAAGCCTTGGCCCACCTTTCACTTCTAGGATAATATTAGGACTCACGAGATCAGAGGTCCTAAGTAAATGAAAAAGGTTAACTGTTAATTCCCTGCTGACGCGGGGCCAACCATGTAAACAAGCTTGTGGTGACTAGTAAGTACTTGTAGTAGCTGTTGCTGGCCTTATTGACCTGTGAATTCTGTACTGTAGGACATGAACGGTGGCCGAAAATCACCCATATCTCAAGATCCAATGATCGCTTCAGTCAGCCAAGAAATTAGAGCTAGAGCCTTAGAAACACAGTTGCCCGATATCAACGAAGAATTTCATGTGCTTCCTGATGTGCCAGGGACAGCAGATGGTACTAAGCAGTCAAGCACCTCAATAACCCAAAGTTTGGATGGGGACTGCTGGCCTCCTCATGCTGACAACCCCACAAATTGGAAGTCTAGTGCTTTACCAGACCCAGTGGGCCAGGATCCCTGTAGTCGATGGGTAAAACGTCTAAAGCCAAGTGCTCCAGATCTTGTTGCATGTGACTTGGGGGAAGCCTCCCATAAAAAAGTGTCGAGAGTCTTCAGCAAAATGCTTAAATGTGGCCAGGCAAGTTCAGAACCAAATACAATAAGCAAGCCGCATTGTAAAGATATTGGTGGTAATGATTGTCGAACAGAGTCAGTAAAGAACACTGAACCTTCTCTTGCTAATGGCAAGGGGAAAACACTAGACGCAATCCACTCACATCCTTGGATACGACGGTGGTGTCGCGACCCAATTACTTCTGTGGCAAGGAAACCTGATTGTGTGATGGCTAGTGAATCACGAGCTGCAAAGTGGGGAGCAGCAGATGACTTGCCTCGGAAGCAGTTTCCGAGCATAGCTGCTATGGCACTCATGGGAAAGGCTATGACTGGTTTTCGTCCATGTGAATTCAGGAAAAGGGGTTGTCTCATACTTTGGAGTAACAAGGGCTATTGAGATGAACTGTCGCCATAAGTTAGACTAGATAGTTTGGAATAAGCGTGTAAGGTGACCAGTTTGCAGACCCTTACTGGCTCCCCCCTTGTGGGTCAAATGATGCTGTCAATTGGAAAGACATTGGCGACTTCAGGATTCTTTATAATATTACTCTAGAGGAAACCAGTGAAGTTCAGCTATGGGGTTTAGTGAGGGCGGGGAAAGGTACAATCTTTGTGTAATAAATTTCCCATTCCACCCCCTGATCTGAATTTTTGTAGGCACCCATGATGTTTTAGAAAAATGACTAGAAATTCTGTATCTGTTGATTTCCTATGAATTGAGGCAGCAGGTACACTTCTGCTGGTTTACAAGAATAATTTACGTGGAAAGTACAACTTGAATTCCATGGAATCTCACGAATTTCCTCTCAGTTGTCATCCCTACTTTCCTGCTTGTTCTAGATTTTTAAGATGCATTATCAGCTGTAGCTTTGACAAGTCTACTGGAAGAAGATTGATGGTCACAAACAACAGTGCCATTCTTCACCTGGCAACCAGCTTGCTCAAGCGCAAACTCGAAAAACCCTCCTCCTTGAAAGCTTGAATCCATGCCAGGTGGAGCAAACTGAACAATGACATCCCGAGACAGGAGAATCCCGGTGGGGTTCATCGATTGATCAACGATGAAGCTGAAACTGCTGTTTGTCTCTGATAGCTTCATCATGGCCTGCTTCAGGGTGTCACTTCTCGTGTTGGCAACTACTGAATCCATCTTTGGTAGAAAGTTATTCTTCAGTTTCAGCGTTCCAGCCGAAAGCAGCGCTCCTAAGTCTTTCTGAATAGTAGGATCACAATCTGAATTCACTCCTGTTTCTGTATGAATGAACTCCTCTGCTGTTATTGTCCTGTGAATTTTACTAGTCAAAAAAGCTTTGCTTGAACTCTGTTGGTGAAAGGGACGGGAAGAAGGAAACTAATTGAAACTTACTTTCTGTTGCGGAACAGGTCATCATTCTCTAGAAGGAGATAGGCGTCACTGTTTCTGATGCAGCCAATGATGGTCTCATTTGTTCGGTTCACTACAGCAATAACACCGATTTGGGTTCCCCATAGGAGGTGAAGAGCTTCTGCCAAGCTCTGGTCTCCATAAACACTTACCACATGCTCTTCTCTGAGAGGGGCAAAAACAGAAGCTCTAAATCAACAGCATTCAAGCAGGGGAAATCTAAATTTGCAGGCATGCGTTGGGGGCATAGTACCGGTAGGCTGACAAAGGCTTGTCAGCAATGGCATCGAACCATTCGAGCCCGGCTGACCGAAGCAGCAAGTGGATCACTGCATTCTGCCAATTACTTATCATCAACCAATATGCAAAAATTGGGTGAAGAGAATAAAACAAGTGAAGAAAGGAAGGGTTCTTTCAGTGACCTGGGTGACAAAGCCAATGACTTGAATCTCAGACTCCTCTACAACCGGAACAACTTGGAGCTGGTGCTTGCAAAGAAGCAGCAGAACATGAAACACAGTATCCTCCAGATGAACTGGGAAAAACGGGTCCCAAAGAAACGACTTTGCCAGCTCTCCGACCTTCGTGTCTGCGATTTCAGGATTCTCATGCAGCATTGTGGAAATGCTGTCGAAATCGGCGGTGATCTTGGCGTGCCGCTTTTCAGATTCATGGAGACACCAAAGAAGCATCCTGGCGAAATCGATGAAACCCATGTATCGATCGGAGGCCCTGCCGGTGATGTTTTCAGGGTCGATGGAGTCGGCGATCGGAGCGCCGAACACGTTCCTGCGATACAATAGCTCCATCGCGTGCTTCACCGTGTCTCCGGCTTTCAGCTCCGTAACCAAGACATCTAAAGGGAATTGAGATAATAATCACCATCAATGTGTTCACTGAAGAACGCTGTGATTAGTGGTCGTAGGACGCGAGGAAGTTGGTTACCAGGAGAGTTTCGAATTCCAGGGACGGAACTGATGGGAATGTGATCGAGAAATGACTGAAGGGCGGCCCCTGAATCGAGCTGTTGGGTCTGTTTGAGATCTGCGATGAAGCTGGAATCCACTGCGCTTGGCGCTTCTGGGTTCTTGATCCCGTGGACTTCTGGAACCTCCATCATCTTCTTTTCTTCTTGCATTTGCGCGCGCGTTTTCCTGGTCTGTTCTGTTTCAGGGAACTGCCTCTGTTGTTGTTCTTCTGTTTCTGTAAAAACAGAGATATATGTAACTCGGACAGATTCACCACTCTAAACATCCAAGCCCGGTTATATTTGGGCCGGATCTGGAAAGTATTACGAAGCCCAATCAAGAATGGGCCTGATCTTCATGCTTGTTAAAAAAGCCGACGCCTCGCCGGATGAAGGACAGCAACCTCTCTGCCTCCACGGTAATGGAGGACACAAAACCTTCCGTTCAATTCCGCTTTTCCGGCCAAATCAATGGCCTTCGATTCAATTGTCGCCCGCCATGGATTTCACCAGTTAAGACAGACGAAGACGTGGGAGAAGATCCCAAGAAATTAAAGAGCATCAAAATCAAAAGGACTGGTGTCACCCTAATGTACTAACTACTAATTCAAGCTGCTGCCATGCTTGCTTCTTCTGGGCAGGGTTGCATACTTTGCTGCTATTTTCAAAACCTACTGCAACCTTTCCTCTGAAAGAAGTCTCGCAACAAACACTTCAGAACCAGGATGTTCAAATGACGGTTCCATCCTCGATCGTCGCCTTCTCAGCGATGATGGTGATTCCTGACCGAATGTAGAATCCCAGTTCTGGCCTGTCAGCTTCTTCAACATCCTGTAAAAAGCCATCACAACAGATTCAGAGGGCCAGGTCTGGAAAATTATATATACTTTGCTTTCTGAGAGGAGTCAACTTTGAAACTTACATCTGTGTTCATGATCACGACATCTTTCCCTATCTTTGCATTCTTATCAATCATGCAATTCCTGCACAATCCAACTTCGTTTCAGTAATCTGTTTTGAATTTTTTGTGGTGACGGGATTGTAGATGGACAAGAATTCTAACCTGATTTTTGTGTTCTTCCCAATGCCGATAGGAACTTTCCCGTCTGCCAGAAGAGACGCTATCTCAGCTTCAGTTTGGTCGTAATCTGCTCCTAACATCACAGTATCCTGAACGCATAGAAAGAATGAGTTGTTGAGACATTCTTCATGAAATGGTTGAAGCTAATCTTCAAGACACTACTAAGGGCACTCACCACTAGTTCTACACCAGAATCAAGACGAGATCGTTCACCAACGACAGAATGCCGGACATAACATTCTCTTAAGAAACAACCATGCGAGATTATCGCATCCACAATCTACAAAAAGAACGCAACGGATAACATGAATTAGAAGCCAAGGATAATGCATTTTGTGTGTAACAGCAAAAGGGTCTGTTGATCAGCAGTGGCCATTACCCGGGATTGATCGATTTTGGTTGGTGGCAAGAATGTTGGAGACGTGTAAATCGGTTTCTGGGGGTCATAGAACTCAAACATCGGAGTCTGCACAGTGACATATTCATACTAGTTCAGCTCATGGGACAGCAAAAGAGGAGAAACAAACTGAACGAAGTTCTTCGAACAATCCTACCTCTTTGGTGAGAGCCAAGTTAGCTTCATAGAATGACTTGATCGTTCCTATATCCTCCCAGTAGTCTCTGAACATGTATGCCTGTAAGAAGTAAGGAACATATGGGATTGACTATTCTCTTCTGCATGAAAGAAAACATTCAGCAGCTGTTTTTTTTCTTATGTTTGAACTTACTTTGACTTCATGCTCCATGACTGCTGCAGGGATGATTTCAGAGCCAAAGTCGTTTGCTGTTGGAAATCTCCACCGAAGAAGTTTCAACAGAACGTCTGTCTTGAACACATAAACTCCCATTGATGCAATGTATGGTGATTGCTTGGCTTCTTGCTGAGACAAACCCATATGAGTCGTGTCCACTCGCTGGGGAAAACATAGCAACAACATCGATAATCCCTCAGTATCAATATGGACTGAAAAGCATAAGGATTTGAAGTATGGAAGAGAACTTACCATTGCTTTGAGGTCAGTGCCCTTTGGCTTCTCAGCAAACTGAATTACTCTACCCCTGCTGTCTAATTTCACCAACCCATAATCCGAAGCACGGCTGCCAAAGTAGCCACTCAATGTCAGACTCGAGTGGATTGAAGGTCGAACCCGAAGTGAAATTGTGTGAAAGAACCAACCTTTCACCAACTGCTGCACATGAAATGGTGATATCCGCATTGCTGTCAACATGTTGCTGTTGAGTACATAACAGACTGTTAAGAAAACAGGCCAACAAAGAAAAAAAGAAAATGGACTGTTCCTTGATCAAATGAAATGAAGAATTACCTGCACGAAGTCCATGTAATCCATTCGATAGAGATGATCGCCAGACAAGATGACTATATTTTCGACATTCCTGTTCTTTGCATCCTACAAAAAAGCGGAGAAATTTTATGGGTTATGTGTATCCAAAGAAACAAAGATCACGGGCATACAGTTGCAGCAATATTCACCTCAAACACCCATATGAACTGCCTGACAGCATCAGCAGTTCCTTGGAACCAATTTAATCCTGTTTCCCCAGCAGTTTGAGTTGCTGCTAGAACCTCCACAAATCCATCCCCAAAGTTGATGCCATTTCCAAAGTAAGTGCGAGCTAAGTGTCGATTGAGCGATGTCGAATTGAACTGTGTCAGCACAAAGATCTTGTTTATCCCACTGTTGATGCAGTTGCTCATGGGAACATCTATCAGCCTGTAGCATCCTCCTACTGGTACCTATTTTTTCCAGAAAACCCCACCAACTGCCAAGTCAAACAAAAGAATGAAAAACCTCACTTTGCTAAGCCAAATTTCAACAAAGGAGGGCTTATTACAGCTGGAGTTGCAGTCCTTTTGGTGAGAGGAAACAACTGAGCCCCTGCTCCTCCTCCTAGTATTACTGAAGCCACATCTTTTGGATCCACTCTCTTTCTCTCCAGCTTTGGCTGTGGTTTTAAGGTCTAACGTAGAAGTGATCATCCATTTGGAAAACAAACCATTTTCAGAATACCCAAATCAAACCAGTTATAACACAGAGAACGACAAACGAACAGTAAAGAAACAGTTTTTGAGTGAGCTTTACCACAGTTCCTCTGCCATTGCTTGAAGTTAAAACAGAGAAGGCTACACCAGGTTTGGCCTTATTCCTCTCAGTCTTCTTCAGCTGCTCTCTCGGTAGACTGAAAACTTCGTTGTGCAAACATCCTCTAATCTTTTCACCCAAGAACTCTTTGTTCACCAGAACAGTACTGGCTTCCAAGGAACCCATTTCTGCAGAAGAGCAACCTCTCTCCCTCTCTCTTTCTCTATAAACAAAACCCAGAAGGAGAAATGGATCACAAATTTGGAGGAAACCTTGCAATTCTGATAACTAATTAACAAGGGGAACGGATCCCGATTAAGGAAATCAGCTCCAAAAGAAGTAACCAACTGAATTGCAGATCACATAAAGTAGAAGGAAGTAAACATGTGTTTCCGCTGCGTACTCCTCCTCCACAAGCTGAAACTTCACTCAACCAGTCACTTTATGGAATGGAGTAATGCAAACCCAAGAAAGCTAGAACTATACTGATCAATACCCAAGTTGCAGAAGTTCAGAAAGATCACAACTTTAGCTCACCCAGAAGGAAATAACTTGACCCAACAAAGTCGAGCGAGCATGCAAATAAGGTAACAGAATGCAGGTAGAATAGAATGCAAAAGAGGAATCAGAACTAACCAAAAGTGATATTCACAAGATTCAATCACCCCACCAGCGCAGCCAAGCTAGCTTCTAGAACCCAATCTGTGTAGAAACTGGGGAAGTGATGGAAGTGCGTGGCTGCCTTAAGGGCCTGTGATCCCTCACGAGAAATCCTGCAACTTTTGCTTTTCAAAGGGGATTAATTGATTGTTTTTTCCTCCTTTACTCCTTTATATTTGACAAAATAGAAAGGGAGGGAATTGACTTGCTTGGTTCCCAGCAGTTTTGGAAGAGTGCGCTACTGCTACTGCGATCTTGTGAGGTTTCCAGGTTTCTAGGCACCTCTATTTAAGTATTCATGCATGGGTTTTTTGCAGAGAAAGTCAGTTGAAAACGACACCGCGGTTCTCGCTCACCGACGTCACAATCCGAATTTCTTTTGTTGTGATGTTGGCAAAGAAAACAAACAATAGGGAAAATCAATTGCGCTGCTGCACTGCACTGGAATTGTGGCTAGAGGAGCTTAAGGTGAGCCGTTGGTTAGTCTGTATTTTCAGTTTTTTTTCACCCAAAGTTCTCAACTAAGAAAAATGAACACTCACATACTTATGCTGCTCAACAGACATTCATCATTCTTTTAACTAAAGCTTGCTCGCACTATTCTGTATGACCAACTTGCAGGATCTAACCACAAAGTGAAGTCGTAGAACCAAAACCAAGTTTACTAGATCGTTATCGATATAGCTATCATCTGGCCTCTCAAAATCGCATTACGAAAGAGTAAATGAAGGTGAGATTATACCATAGGATATCACCTACGATCGACACCAGGGAAAAGAAAACCAGCAAACGCATATGCATTCTTCGCAAATGAGGAGGCCTAAAGATCGTAAAAAGCTCAACATCGGCATAAACTTTCAACATGTTCAACAAGAACAAAAATACTGTCAACAACAATATTTCGATAAAATAAGTCATCAACTCTTAGAAACTGCTGACATGTAGAACATCTGAGATGCGAAAACGGTGAAACGAAGACATAAAAAACGCAAAATCTAGGTGTTGGTAGCCCTAGTGTAGATCTGCTGGCTAGAATGGGCAGACACCATCCTGATCAGACCTTTAGCCATCAGTTCCCTGATTGCCTTCCTGGCAAGTGATCCATTAACCTGTAACACAATGTACAAAGCCAAATTCAGAAAACAGAACTGATTCCAACAATGTATCATCAAATAAAGAGATATTTTATGAAAGGACATGATAATGATCAGCAATATTACAACAGACATAACCCCATTGTCATAAACTCAAAGTTCTCAAAGACAGTACACAGAGCATAAACATCTTTCCCCATCAACAGTACCATATTTCACCATCTTTCACATGCAGAGTGAAATTTTGGAGCGTTCGTAAAACCATCAAAACACAACAAGCTGAACGCCATGCTTAAACACATCTCTACATTTTCCATACCCAATTCAACATCGGGTAAGACGGAGCAGGGTTAATCGCACCATCAAACCCAACAAGCTGAACAACATCACCAATATGCAATCATCATAAAGAGCACACAGAAATATATCAGCCACTGAAACTGCTGCTTACTATTCTAGGCAGCCAAACCATGACTTCAATTCCATCAAACTTTATCCAGCATCAAAGGAACCACCACCAGAATAGATAAATGATTTCACAAATAGCAAAGAGGTAACTCAATGAATTCAAAACCACTGAAAGCTATCTACCATAACGACAAGGTTCCGAAAAAAATCAGAACCCTAGTACCCTAAACACCATTCAATTAACCATTTCACCACCAATCGCTGAAAGCAAAAAAAAGAAAACAGAAACAACGGGGAAAGAAGCAATTACCCTCAAACGATCGGAGAGGATGGAAGGGGTAATGAGCTTGTACTTGGGAGCTTCAGAGAGAAGCTTGTCGTAGGTACCCTGGTCGAAAAGGACCATGTTGTTGACCTTCTCCTTTTGCTTACCCTTGCTCCACTTCTTCTTCTTCTGCTTGCCTCCTCCGGACTTGGCCGGCTTCGACGACGGCGGCGGGGCCTTATCCTTCTTGGGAGCCTGCAACAAACCCAATCATCAATCAATTACCAAATTCAATGGCAGGCGAAAAAGGAGAAGAGCAGATTTAGGAAATCTAAACGCACCATTGGCGCTCAACAAACGAAGATCGGCGAGAGAGAGCTGATGTGCTGGTTTCGACGAGACGGCGTCTTTGAAAGCTCGAGGGAAGGCAAAGGAGCAACCAGGATTTCCTAGGGTTTATTATCGTTTTGTACTATGGAACGATGACGAGTAAGGGCTGCTGGGCTGGTTAGGGTTTCCGCTCTGGGCCCTCCTCCCTATACCACGGGCCCAGTTTATGAGAAGCCCAGCCCAAAAAAAAAATGGTTGAGAAAAGAAATGCTGGAAAGCAAAAATCCGACCTACCGGATTCGAACCAGTGACCTAAGGATATGCTGTTGTACAACTACAGTCCTCCGCTCTACCAACTGAGCTAAGGTCGGTTATTGATTACACATTCCTAATTTATTATTTTGTTATTTTATCTTATCTTAACTCATAATGTCAATAGAGGACAACAAATTTAGTGTCTGGAACATGATGAGTCCCTATGAACACAAACAATCAGCTAAAATATTTCTCCCTGTATCATTATCATACTCAATAATACAGACGAAACGGGTTCAAATTGTCATCGGATGAATCTTTGCTCTTCATGTAGCCGAATCAGCATCCGGTCCTAGCCTAGGATGGCCCAATAAATTATTTGATGAGAAAGGGAGTCGGAACTAGATATTCCATCAACTTTACAAAATAATTATTGACAATGTCATTAAGGAATAATAATAATCAATTAATCAAGCACATCTTGATAATTCATAAATTTCCTAGTCTTAAGCCTTATCCGATGAGATGTAGTATGGCCTTTAGAAGCAAGTTAGACAACCCCCTTTGCATTATTGCAACACCTATCATTATATATAACCGTTTCTACCTCGTGCTCTTGCTTCTGCTAGTCCTTTATGGGAATGTCCTCCTCATGGCTGTCTAAGATTAACTTAGATGTTGCTCTCCAAGTTTCTGGTTGCTCGTCTGGCCTTTTTTTGTGGCTCGGACGGGCATATACTTTTGGCCTTGGGTGTCCAGCTTCATCAGTCTCTCTTGGAGCTTCTAGAAGTTTTGTCTCCTATCATCATCGAAGTCAATGCAGAAGTTGTCATCCGTCGACTCAACTTTGGTGTAGTGAAAGATTCCATTGGAGGCCTCCGCCTTCAAGATTGTCGCCTTTTTCTTGAGTATTTTCTCATTGTATAGTTTTTAGTGCGGTTCTGTGGACTGCCAACTGAGATGCTCATAGAGTGGCACATTAAGCCATGTTGTTATCTCGGATAGAGTTTACTTTTTTTTTTTACTTTGTAGAGTGACTTGTTAGTGGGACGGGTAGGAATTGTGGGTAGTAGTTCTTTTCTAACTATTGTCTTGACATTACTCGGGGGAAAAAAGAAAACCAAAATGAGACAATGGAGCTCCTTAATGACAAATTTGCTTAAATAATTTCGTGTCGAATTCGAGATTAAAGCGAGCCTCACATTATTGATTTTGAGCGTTATGATATAAAAAGATAATGAATTCGTATTGTTGTATTTTTTTCTCTCTATAATCTCGTAATATCTGATTATAACATTATAAATGGAAAGGAATCACTAATGAGAGACTTTACACATAGTGCACACTCATCCATCAAATTAAAAAGACTTAAACAAAACGCTATAATAAAGCTCCTCCTTTTTACTAAACCCCACGAAATAATTGAGCAATGGAGGGCCATTTGTTCAGTTAAAAGATGCACAAATCAGTAAAGCCCCAAATTAAGTGTTGTTTTATGCTATCACATTTTGTGTCGGCCAAATGGGACTCTTTTATTTGTCAAAATTGCTCTTTTACCAGTTCTTTTTTTTCTTGGTGAAATTTACAGTTACATACTTTCACTTTTTAGCAACGACTTCCACTTTCCACATATAACATGTTCTTTCTCAATTCCCACTTAACTTATTGTTGGATCAAACAATTTTCCGGTGATTAATTGCTGGATCGTTTTCAATTTTTTAAATAAACTTAATGATTTAAATATCACAAAATATGGTTTATAGTATACCGATTACCGAATAACATGTTATTTTATAACTGTGGGATCAGGAGTTTGGATTACAAAAGGTACAATATATTTTTTTCAAGCTTGAAACTACTACAAAATGAATGATAATTTTTTGAAAGAAAAGAAAAAAAGCAATTGCAAAGACTAAGAAGACCATTTAACTCTTCTAGAAGCTATTGATTCCACGAAAATTTACAAAATCTTGTGCTCCTAAAGTTTGAATATTTAACTTTAAATCAACACGATGGTGGTAGTCCATTTTATAATTTTTATCATCCTTTGTATTTTATAAATTTTTGGAATAGAGAATAAAGAGACGTAGGTATTCAATTAATATATTTTCAAGAGCACAAATGGGTTGGTCAGTTTTTTTAGAAAAAAGGAAAGCAATATTCCAGCTGCCTCGGTTTGTTATGAGAAAGGGAATGGAAGAAGAAGAAGAAGGAACTTATCACCAGCAACTCAAGTGAACCATTCATGCCATTATCAAACAATTTCACTTGGAAATGTTGCTCGAGAATCTGAATCCATGTTCAATCTGTTGATATGACTTGAATCGGATTATCAGCCGCTACGACTGGTAATCGGGGGTTAGCACCTAATCCCATCCCATATGATCCCATATATATGCCAGCCTGTCAAAAAGAAATATTTAGTAAGTACGTCATTAATGAATCAACAAGCAACGGAAAATTACACCACGCATAACATGCGAATTCGGACGAAATTTATGTTTGTTAAAAGTCATAGTGTATAGTAGCACAAAATCCCAACATAAAACCTGTTCTCTCTTAAAGGGTATTATTGATTGGCTTTAATTTGGTTTTAGGGTTTAAAACAAACAGAGAGGTCCACACACAAAATGAAAATGGTGGTTTCTTTTTTCTGTGCTTCTTAATCATTTGTTTAAGTGGAAAGTGAAGTGAGTGAAGAAAGGAGAGGAGATGAGATGAGGGGATTAGCATTACAGGGCAGAGCTCTCTCTCCACTAATCTGTGTTTCTTAGTATTGAAGGAAATCTGGCAAATGGCTACGTGGTTGCACTTCCATATGGGCTTTTCTCCTTTAACGGCCCATTCTCAACCGACTTTCTTCTTTGGTTTTGCTCTAGTGAGTGAAACTAAAAAAGTCGGTGGATGTACGTTGTGTCAATTTTAGACGCCTTCAACGATTATATAAATCGTGGAACGCATATGGTCCGACGATCATCAGACCAATAGAATGTCCTGATACCAAGTGATGTTAGGGTCGAAACTGAATTTTGAAGAAGTTGAATATTGAAATTTATGATCTATGCTACCGTTTCCCCAATTTTTTTTTTTTGTCCTTGTGAGCCATTCTACCTTATCCTTTGACTCGATGGAATGTTGTGTAATTTAACGAGCAACTTGACTAGTTTCACTGAGAAACACTGCCATCTCTGATGACGCTTGCAATACCCATCCAATCGCATGAAATCCTTTCTATAGCTAGCAGACAATCAAAAATGAGTTTAACGAAAAGAATAATTTACACGCGATAGAGGCGATACGACGACAAAATCTGAATTGTTCGACATAAACAAGTATCATATTGCGATTTGTTCGGCAATATTACTAGCAGCAGCAACATGAGCATTATCTGTACAATGTATGGCTAAGATATTATCAAAGTGGGGAATTAATCCATGAATTATTAGATAATAATGGAGCTGTTTATTGTTAAGGATATTCTTCAAGAATATGGGCAGATTAGGAAGGTGAGCCACAGCAATTTGCAGCCCCCAAAGGATGAAAGAAGAACCAGAACCAGAACCAGAACCCACACTTTTTGCAGAATTCAGATAGAAATTGAGTCATGCAACTTAGAACAGTGAATTCATTCTGTTTGCCACTATGCTTCACCATTAGATGCCCTGCTGAATCAGCTTCAGATGTGAGAATATTGAGGCAAGTTTATAACACAACATGGAGATATTTTACCAGGAAAAAGGAAGCAGACAGAAAACATCAATAATACACTGAAAAGAAGGCTTAAAAAGAAGAGAAAAACAAAAGAAATGCCTCATCATCTCCCTTCTACAACATGCTCAGTAATTTTCCCCCTCTGTTTTCATATAATTGGATAGATACTTGAATAAGAAACTTCAGTGGTTTGTTTTTTGGTGGTTAAATGTTTATAGTACCATTCATACCTACAGGATAAAATACATGCTCCTCTAAATCATTAAAATCCATCGCCATCACCAAAAGTTTTAACAAATCATCAAAACGGTATAAAAAAACTCATATGAAATGTTTATCGTAATCGAATTAGTAATTAGGGTGACAATAACTAGCTGAAACATAAGAGCGACAAGGAGTTCGAGGAATGAACCAAAAGTAGAGACAAAACTATTAATTACTCATTAGGATCGGTTGATATCGGTACCCATTATAGTAATTTTTTAAGGTCTTTTCTATTATCAAAACAGGGAACCGGTAAACTTGAGATTGTTCATTCGGTTTATGTTTCCTACCATATATTTTTAGGTTCTTTGTTGTCCGTCCACTCCAAACAAACAAATCGATCCGCCGTTATTCTTGATTGGCGTCCCTATATATTCGGAGACTTTCCCAACTTTTATGACCATTGAGAAGCTCTTGATTTGGACCTACAACCCTATCTACACCCAAACCAAAGTTTCTAGTAACATTTTTAGATAATGAGAATCAAATTGATACCTCATGTAACCTTATATCATAACATGGAGTCACCCTTGGTGTGTCACAACACAACATGCACAATGTCAATAAAAGCTCAAATGGAATGTGGAGAATCCAATACCTTCCCATGAAAAAATCAAATTATTATAATTAGAAGTGAATCAGATTTCATTTTAGTTCTCAACTTAGAGAGCATAAAAAGGATATCATATGAGATTTGGTCTCTCTCTCTTTTTTCCTATATATATCCCACTTCCCACAACTTCAACCTTCCAAGGAAACAACTCAACAAAAAAACAGAGCAACACTACCACTCAACAAAAAGAAAAGAAAACAGGGCATCCTCTGTTTTCCCCTGTTTCTCCACCTCTGTTCTTCTCCCTTTTCCAATATCTACTGCCTCTGTTTTTCCCCGGCTACTTTGTTCCATGCTTTCTGGGAATCTATCTCAGGCGCGAGTAGAGTTTTTCTCTGTTCCGTCCCTGATCGGAGAGATGGCAGCTACCATGGTTTCTTTGGGTTACCAATTTGCTCTCGAGTGAAAGAACACTCCTTTTCTGCAACTGCAACCCATTACCCACATAAGAGGAACAAAAAAAGTTCTCTTCTTTTTGGTGTTTTGAGCTCGTAGAGTGAAGATGGATTCGTTCAACATCACCCACCTCAAGGCAGTGAAAGCAAAGGCAATCCGAAAGCACCGGAAGATCGAGAAGATCACAAACATGTTCAGGTTGCTGGAAATCCTGGTGGTTCTGACTGTCGTTTCCAGTTTCTCAGTTCATCTTCCAATCGCTGCCAAGATCTCCAGCGAGTATTTTAAGGACGCGGCGCTCGCCCTGGCCAGCCCGCGGTTCGTGTTCGTGGTGGGTAACTTGATAGTAATAGTCCTCTTCGCCAAGTCCGGTCAGCTTCCGGGACAAGACGGGAAGGAAAAGAGAAGCAAAAAATCTGATCTTTATGAGGAATTTGTAGAAATGAGCGGTAAGATTCCACCACAGCAGCCTTCTTCTGTTGAACAGAGGGCTGAAACAGAGCACAGAAGAAAACAGAGCAAGAGTACAGAGATCGTGGTTAAGAAAGAGGCTTCTTCCCCTGTTTCTTTAGGGATTGTGAAGAGCTACGAAAGGAGTCAATCGGAGAAGCTTGCTACTACTAAATCGATTGTGATCAAGCCCGAAAAGGAACTGAAGCGATCCGTGACGGAGAAGTTGGTCGACAAGAAGAAGAAGGGCTCGTTTCCAGAGGATAATATGAGCAGCGAAGAGTTCAAGAGTACGATTGAGGCCTTCATTGAGAGGCAGAAGAGGTTCCGAATAGATGAAGAGGTCTCTGTATTTGTGGGGTGAACTAAAAAACCATAGCTTCTTTGAGGCTTGCTTCTATACAGCTGAAGAACCTATCAAAATGGTCTGTGCTTTGCTATCCAAAACCAGACCCGCAATGTGAAAAAAGAATATCGTCGAGACGTCGACTATAAATCTTTTGTTTTTGTCCATTTTAGCTTCCAAGTTTTCTTTGTTAAGTTGAAAGGAAAGTTGGTTTTAGATACGGTGTGGTAAATGTATTGGCTTTGCAAAGAGAGACACCTGATTTAGATCTCATTGTCGTCAGCTTATGAAGAATATCACTTATGTCTTATGCCAGACCTTCTTCTCTGTTCCGAATTTCGATTCGTCTACTGCCATGACATAGCTTACCATTCTAGTGATCAAGATTTACCGTAACTTCTGCGAAAAGGGTTCCTAGCAAAAATGGATTAGATGAACCCAATAAGGAGTTGTAGAAGTGCGAGAAACTTCACTGGAGAATGAGAATTTGAAATATGCTGGCTGCTGATGAGAGTGAAATTCGGATTCCAAAGGACAGAACTTGGCATGATGACTCTGATATTCTCATCTTGATGGGATAAAGAGATATGGCATGATGCGGTCGTGGATTTGTATTCACATTCTGCTCCACAAAGTAAAAGAAAAGAGATAACAGGGGAAACAGGGGAAAAGAGGAAACAAACAAACCCCATTATTCAAAGATTCTGAGAACTGTTCATTGGCCAAAAGGGTTCAGAAAAATTGCAGACACAAACAGGGGACCAAAAAAGCAAGAAAGTGGGAAAGAGTGATACTTTTGGAGTGAATGAGTGAGAGCAATCCAATCCATGCAGTGTAAGGAAAAGAGCTCTCGTTCGTTCAACCTGGTGCCTAATCTCAATCTGATTCCTGACTCGGCAGTGTCGCCTGAGGCAGAGCCAGTTAGCCAGTGAGACTGACCAGTCATGAAAAGCTAAGGCAGAGATGAACCCTCCAAAAAGAAGCCAGGACATTGGCTGATGGGCAAAGGGTTCTTTGGATTGGAGCTGTGCTTCATTCGTAGTTTGGAACATTTTCCTTTTCAGCTTTCGATACGCAATGGAGCTTGCCTCCTGCTAAATTGGCATGTGAAGGAATGGAGTCGGTGGTACAGATTTCATGTTCTTTGATGTGCTTCTCTGGCAGATGTCTCTCGTAGGACATATTCCAGCAAGTTGCCTAAGAATAATGTTTACCAAGACAAACTAAGGCTGGTTAGTTTGTTTCATACATGATGTGCTGTTGACCCAAAAGTTCGACCTTACTTGGAGTTTACGGGTTTAGCAATGGCTGATACTCTAGCAAAACCGCAGGGATACCCAAGTGATCAAATTCTTGGGTTTTGCAGGGAAGCAGGTCTGAAATGCAAGTACTAATGCAGAGCATTGCCTTTTTATTTCTGCCCCAGATTCGTTCAGAGACCAAATGAACACACAAATGGTTTACACCACAATGCAATTGTTCTAGGTAATGCGAAGGTTACAAGTGACGAATACATATCTCATAGGTCCATTTCCATGATAACATGAAGCTCGATCCAGATTACAGGCCATCGAAGAATCGCATATGGTCTTCGAATGTTTCTGAGTGTCGGATCTTGGCTACTGATCCATCTTCCTCCACCTGAAATAGTCAAGACACAGATTACAAAACAAATTATTCTCTTTGGCCTTACATTTCCCACTCCTAATACATCTGTGTGAAATCATACGTTCATAAGAAAACATGCTAACCGTACCCAGTATTCTGGAGGCCGCATCTTGAGATTATAAGTTGATGCCATGCTCATGCAATAAGCTCCCGCATCATGAACAACCAGCCCGGCTCCCTGCAAAGATATAACTCGACTAATTTAATTCTCCAATCATAAATATGCTTAACCGGAATAACTTCAATGAGAAGTTGCAACAACTATATTACCTTGGCTGGTGTAGGAAGTTCCCTCTCCTTCCCAAGAAAATCAGCCGACTCACACACTGGACCGACGACATCAAAGGTTGACACCTCTGCATTAGGTGGTGGAGGAGACACTAGCTCGATGTGCTACAAAAGAGACATAATGTACCTTTAAAGGGAAATTCTTGTTCGCATCGGCCAGAGGTATGTGACTGCATATAGATATTTTGATAGTAAGCATAACAATTAACTAGTCATCAGCCGCCTTCATTACCTGATAAGCATCATAGAGACTAGGACGGATGAGCTCCGCCATACTGCCATCTATCACAACGAAATTCTTGGTTCCATTAGTCTTGACGCCTGTTACCCTATTAACCAAGCAGCAGGTGTTGGCAATAAGGGATCTCCCTGGTTCAATTATGAGATTCAGATTCCTTGACAGCACCAATTCGCGAACCTACATACAAACATGACTTCGCATTTCTGAGAAACTAGCAACAATCCGAAACAGGCTGTTAATGCAATTCAACTGGTGAAACCAATGAGCTCCAATTCCTGAGCTTTGAAAGTCAAGCGGTCTTATATTCCAGTAATAAAGTATTTGCATGGGACTTTTGATATCAGACAATGACTTGTGATATTATTATATTTTTGTTGCTACTTTCCACCAATTTTTCTTTTTTGTTGCTATTGATGGACGAGCAGGCCTTTTCTCTATGCCTAATCGACAGCGATAAAGTGTCTCCAAAAGCATTAGTCCTTAAGTACCCATTTATGCATCAAGTCACTGCGCAGAATTGTTTGAATGATGAGATACTTACAGTGTCAATGAGATTCATCGGCTTGGGCAGGACAGCGCCGGAGTGATAGTAATCTATGCCCAAACCACCTCCAATATTTAGGTAATCGACTTCAAATCCTTGAGCACGAATTTCATCAATGTAGTTGACCATCAGAACTGCAGCATCCCTAAATATGTCCACCTATTAGAAAACAGAAAAAGGATTAATAGTCGAAGGTATAAGACGAAACCAAAGACAGTTTATGGACCCAGTACAGGATTCACAAACAATTAAAAAGAAAAGACTAGCTATTTTTGGAAGATCCAAGGCGATCTCATTCCGAAAAAGTGTGAAGGCCTCACAAGCTGAAGTTGTTGACATGATTACCCTAAATTGTTAGGGAATGAAACAGAAATTGATAAGCTACGGCCAACTCAGTACAGTTCTACTTTCAAGTAGTAGGAGTTTAACCGTGTGCTACAAGACATGTTATCCAAATCTGGAGTTCAAATCAAATAATCATATGAACTTGAAAACACCAACTTGTAGTGTTACAGACCTTGGTAATTGTTGACCCGAGATGGCAGTGAGCGCCAACAAGCTTAAGCTCATCTGGGTGTGCCTTAACAGCATCCAGAAACCATTGCAGCTTCTCATTTCTGATGCCAAACTTTGAGTTCTTGTTCCCAGTGGCAACATATGCATGTACCTAAGAGATAGTAAAAAAACATGAAGCATTTCAGATGGACAATAGACCTTTTAAAACTTCAAAGGTAGAAAATCTGATGGATCTCGAATAAATAAGGTAAACATTAAAGGATTATGAACATGGGGGATAGGTTTGAAGCATAAGATTGATTGTTTCAGGCAAAGTCAATGACATTGTCCAAGTGTCGTGTGAAGAGAACCTCATTATGTTACAGGATCTACCAATTAAAAGAACTTTATGAAACTAAAGCATTAACTCTTTCAGCCTAAGCAATTGCCATGTTTTAACTTTGGAGATCTATTTTAGAATCTGTGGTGGTTCTTCCTAGCCAATATGAACGGTTACCAGGCTTCAAATGTGACAATTTTCCTATAACTTCTCCAATAGCTCCTTTGGCATAATAACCTAGTCTACAAACAGATTCAACTTGCACCTTCATTAGTATGAGATTTATAACTTAGTCAATCAAACCATTTAATAGAACAAAATAAGCAGAATCTCACTGATCTCATATCGCATACCTGAGGGTCCACGTCAGGGTTGATTCTAAGCAAGACATTAACCTTCTTGCCGGCAATCCTAGAAGCTGCCACAATATTTTCCAAATCAAATTCACTGTCTATATTCACAAAGACACCTTCTTGAGCAGCCAAAACCAAATCGTCCAACAGCTTTCCATTTCCATTAAATATACATCTGTTCCACAACCGTAGTACACCCCATTATCAGAAAGAATTCTCTACTAGTCAACAACAATCAAAAGCACAAAGCATGAAGATCAAATTCTTTCAATGCATATGAACACTAGGAAACCAGAAAACAAAGTGCACAAGCAACCGGAATAACGGAGAACATACTTGGTAGGATCAAATCCAGCCCTGAGAGCCAATCTCAGCTCATTCCCACTAACCAGAACAGCCCCACAACCCAACGACCTCAAATGCTCCAAAATCTTCAAGTTGTTGTTGGCCTTAATAGCATACCCAATAATCGAATTCAATCCCTGCAGAGCATCCTTGTATGCCTCCACATTCCTAGTAATCTGAGGCTTGCTGTACAAATAGAACGGCCTCCTCTCGACACTCTCCATAATATCCTGGACCTTGACGTTCTCACACTGGAGGAACCCATCAGACGATTTGCTGAAACAGTGCTCAAACTGATTGGTCTGCAGCGAAGAGGTTTTGGCAGGGTTTTGGGAAATGACCGCGCGAAGAGAAAGGGAGTGGCGGGGGAGCTGCCGATTGAATCTCAGTGGCAAAGAAGTGATTTTGGGGAATGGGTCACGAGCGAGAGGGTAAAGTAGGGCTTTGGAGAAAGCCGGCGGCTGGGAGAGGCGAGTAGACGACGCCATCGGCGGAAAGCTGGACGCTTTTAGGGTTTAGTCCAACGTGTTCAGTTTTTGGTCCGGAAATGGAGTGAACTCCGATTATATAGTTTCACTGATTAAAAGGAAACGAATTAATTAGGCAAGGAAATGGAAACTGTTTAAAAAAGCACAGAACTTTTGCGTAGTGGTGGAATTTGAGAATTACCTTTCTTGTTTTTTAGCGCCGGATGGTAGGTGGCGGCGGCCGGCGAGCTAATAACCGCCGGGAAGTGGCAGCGGAGAACGAACGCCGAAAGGGATAGGATATGTCAATATGATTTCCGTCGGATTTTGAGCTTCGATAATTCAACGGTCAACCAGAATTAGGATATGAATTAGGATCATAAATTTGGGCTTAAGCTTCATGATTAAACCAACTACAACTATTAGATAATAACTAAGGTAAACTAATACTTTGACATTTTCGATGACCGGTAATCAAACACGATAGTGGTTATCTATAGTAAATTATGAAAAGGATGATGGATATCTCTATTTCCTAATATTCTTTATCAATATAGTTACATTTCATGTATGTACAAATTTTCATGTGTATGTCCTCTGTCATGCTTTGACTACTATGAAATCTCTCACATGAGCACAAAATCGTTAAAGTATTTCTTCTCCAATACATGTTAAGAGCTCATATAGACATATATACGAACAAATATCTCTAAAGTCATTAGCCTATATTTGAACTCTATTTCTAAGAACGAGAGGAGTATATCGACACCTAATTAGTAGCGGCTCATTCTCTAACATCATCTGGTTAGCTGTTGAGATTTTTCTTTTCGTTCTTAATCCTGACTATTATATGTTACCAATGCATCTACCCTTACCAATAATCATTCACGAACTATGATCGCACAAAATAATATATCACTCACTATGAATTCTATGACGGTAAATAGTAAATACGAATCCAAACCCTATATTTCGATTAAACTACGAGTATGATCAACCACCATATCCACCTATCCTGCTAGTTAAAACATCAATCTGGCCAAATCCCAGCAAAATATATAAAAAGAAGCAGAGAATCTTACAGAATCCTCTAACAATCCCCTTGAGTTAACACACATAATGGAGCACCACAAACCACAACTGTATAGCCAACTAACTTAACTGGGTTACTGCAAAAATTGCAGACCTGTAAACATCACACCACTCCCTTCCACAGCTTCAAAGTCTCCCCAATGCCAACTTGCAGCATATTACTTTAACATAATCCGTGGCCAAAAACAGATTATCACGACCTAAACATAACATTAAACAAAGTTTAGCTTTTTGTTTGTGTGTTTAACATAGCTGTTGAAATCAATGGATGGCTGGCTTGGATTTAGCTCTCTCTGTTAAAGCTGGTTTCTTTTAACCATTTTACCATATTTAGGACCTTAATATTGTCTTGTTAGTTGTTTCATAATCAGTTTTTAGTCTGTTAAACCATTTTTTCCCCTTCTTGTTATTAATGATTGATACACCTCTCTCTCCCGCCATCTCTCTCTCTAACGAATTCGAGATTATAAATGTACATATTTCAAACTCAGTTGTTCTCCCTTTTCAATTCAGGAGGATCCTCCATCCATCCTTCAATCAATCCATCCCCCATTTCTCCTTTTGCCAAATAGGTAAAACTAAAGGCTCAATCTTGAATCTTCAATCTTCCCCTTTTCTCCTCCCCTGTTTTCTTCCTAACCACGATGAATCGTGTGTACGTATGGTTGTTGCGATGAATTGCAGGACATTGAGGAAGAAGAACATCAATCATGGCGGATACGATGTCTGGAATTCTTCCGGACAAGAATCCCAGACCGGGGCTCGACGTGCTCGCGGAGGAAGAGATGAAGAAGAAGAAGGCAGGGGGAGGAGGAGGGGGATCGTTCAAGAAGAAGGTGTCGAACAGGTTTCGGAGCTCGCTGACGAAGAAGGGTCGCCGGAACAGCAGGGTGATGTCGATCGCCGACGAGATCGACGCCGAGGAGCTGAGGGCCGTGGACGCTTTCCGGCAGGCTTTGATTCTCGACGAGCTTCTTCCGGCGAGGCACGACGACCACCACATGATGCTTAGGTTTTTGAAGGCGAGGAAGTTCGACATTGAAAAGGCCAAGCAGATGTGGGCGGATATGATCAACTGGAGGAAGGATTTCGGTACTGATACCATCATGGAGGTGATGATTAATATACATCTCTTTCATGTTAAAATCCTCGTATTAATAACGAATTTAATCGCGCGAAGTATGATAGATTTGTGCAAACTTGGCTTTCGCGACGTATTGATATGGTAATAAGTCTGTCCTGTATTTATTGTTTGTTTTGCTAAGAGGGGAATTGGGGATTTTTGTTATGTAGGATTTCGAGTTCAAGGAAGTAGATGAAGTGCTGCAGTACTATCCACAAGGGTACCATGGAGTCGACAAAGATGGCAGGCCGGTGTACATCGAGAAGCTCGGGGAAGTCGATGCCAACAAGCTGGTTCAGGTCACGTCGTTGGATCGATATGTGAAGTACCATGTTCAGGAGTTCGAGAAGGCTTTCGCTTACAAGTTCCCGGCTTGCTCGATTGCTGCTAAGAAGCACATTGATCAGAGCACCACCATCATTGATGTTCAAGGAGTTGTATGTCATCTACCAATCCATCAACCAACGAAATCAATCTTTCTTTGCTTTCTGAAATATTCATTATGTTGGCTTGTTAACTAACTCTCAGTTAATCATTTTTCAGGGGCTGAAGCAGTTCACCAAAACTGCCAGGGAGCTTATCAGCAGGATTCAGAAGATCGATGGCGACAACTACCCTGAGGTGTGTATGGTCGGATTCAGTCGGGTCACATCTCGATTCGGTCGACCATTTTCGCTTTTGCATAAGAGTATTTACGGAAGTGAAACTGAATCGAATTATATATGCAGACGCTGAACAGGATGTTCATCATTAATGGTGGAGCTGGATTCAGGCTTCTGTGGAACACTGTTAAATCGTTTCTGGACCCCAAGACTGCTGCCAAAATCCATGTCAGTTTTTTACTTAATGGTCCTCTATTCAATTTCTTCTACTTACTGTTTTTAACATGGCTCTCACTGTAAAAAATGCTGTAATTTTCCAGGTTCTTGGGAACAAGTACCAGAGCAAGTTGCTTGAAGTGATTGATGCTAGGTAAGTCAACGAATTACAGTTCTTTTACTTCCAACTGCTTAAAGTAACATAACTTTTTTTATCTAATGAAAGAAACCCTTGTGACAATTTTTTTTCTGGCAGTGAGCTTCCATCATTCTTTGGAGGCACCTGCACTTGTGCTGACAAGGGTGGCTGCATGAGATCCAGCAAGGGTCCATGGAATGATCCTGACATCCTCAAGGTCAGAAATTCTATTCCTGATCCAACTAGGATTTCTATCTTTTGTTATTTTGCTGTGCAGCAATTTTTCAAGGAGTTCTTACATGCGAAACCGGTTTGTTTCAGATGGTTCAAAACGGTGAGGGTAAATGCCGTAGGAGGACATTGTCTGGGATTGAGGAGAAGTTAATCCCTGAAGACAAGGAGCCCATCAAGGTCTCCAGCAGCAATGAAGCAGAGGACCTCAAACCTTATCCAGTTCCTGTTCCTGAGGATGTAAGACACTAACTAATACGCCTTGCCATTTATTCGGTTTGAATTAGGTTCATTTGGACGTTGGATTCGGAGGATGGACTCGAGCAGAACAGTTTCCAACAATGTCTCTCCTTTTTTGCTGTATTTTCAGCATCCCATCGTCAACATGATGAGCAGGATCACCCCAGACGAGTACGAGAAGTCCATCCAAGTCATCGAGAAGACCATCGATGCCAATTGGAAAGCTTCTCCAGGAAAGGGTAAGCAAGCTGCCACAAAATCTGAAAACAGCATATACTAGATTTTTCTTACTGGGGAAAATAAGAAAGCTAATTCTGATTCTTCAAACAGTTGATGTTCTCCCCGAGGATGGTGCCATTGTTCCTGCAAACGGGAAGCACATGATTGGGGGGGTCATGGCCGTGGTGATGGGAGTGGTGTCGTTGATCCGAATGACAAAGACAGTGCCGAGGAAGCTGACTGAGGCAGCCATCTATGGCAGCAAGACCTACTACTCTGACTCACTCAACGACCCCGCAGCTGGTGCTGCTAGTGCTAGTGCCTTCACTGAATCCTCCATCACCACCTCGGACTACAAGAAAATGATGATGAGAATGGCTGAGGTGGAAGATAAGCTGAACACTCTCTGCTCAAAGCCCGACGGGATCCCTCCTGAGAAGGAGGCCATGCTGATGAACGCAATTAACCGTGCTGAAGCCATCGAGAAGGAGCTCTGTGCAACTAGGATGGTATCGATTTTGCTTCTACCCATCAAACATTCTGTGCCATCATGAGAGAAGAAAGAGCTTCGCATTTAACCTCTTGGCATGTTTGTATTTGTGCAGTTGCTAGTGGAAGCTGTGGAGAAGCAGCAGGAACTCCTGGCTTACATTGAGAAGAAGAACAAGAAGAAGAAGAGGGTACATTCTTGTTTTCCTGGTTGTATGATCTATATCTAAATTGAGTATTGCAGCCACTGACCGACAACAACCGTTCTTTGTTATGATTGTTTGCAGTTCTTCGGGTTCTGAACGAGAAATTAGTTGCTCCATGACACAGGCTAATTGAGGATGTGAGGCTACTGATCATGCTTACTTCTTTTATGTACTTTTTTGGGTTCTTGGAGGATATCCATGACTGACTTGAGTCCTTTTGGCTCCTGGATTGCTGCTTTGCTTTGTATATTATTAAGTTAATCTCTTCACAGGCTTTTGTATAGAGCAGCATTGTAATGAATTGTTACAACTTCTTGTAATCTGATTAAATGGAGGGTTCTTTGCATATTATTGAACAACAGCATCCTGCCAATGGTTCTACCCTAAGAGAATTTATCTATTACTTTCCTCCTATCTCTCATTCGTAGCAACTAGCAAGTACGAATGAGAAAAATGTGAGTTCAAAGTAAGAACTCCAGAATGATAAGTTCCAATCGAAAGCCTTTCGAGTGACAAATCAATCTACAAGGTTCAGTTTTCCCTGTTTCGATAACATTGTGTATCCTAATCCTCTACTTCCAGGACTTGCTAAATGATAGCATAGCAGTCATCAGAAAACACACCAGTATCAAGACAATAGTAAAACGAAAACGGATACGGGAGAAGCAAATCTGAACACAAAGCTTTTTCATGTCTGTCTAGCAGTTAATTTTTTCTTCACTTCTTACAGAGAGTCGGTCTGCTCAATGCTTTAAGCATACTTGTTCATTGCTAAAAGTAGCTTACATCTCATTATACCGTACAATAGTAGCCGAGAAATTCGTTCATTTCACTCAGTTATCTATCAAATAGTAGAGGCATAGATTTCATGGGTAGTAACTCACATCCGAAAGACCTTGCCCAGATATCCTGCTTCCACTCTCCATTGCCCAACTCTTAAAAGCAGAACATCTTCTTCTTCTTCTGTGAAAAAGACAATCGGGCAGTTAGTAAGATAACAAGTCATTAAAACAGCAAGCCAGATGGATCATCTGCCAAACGGTTCATACCCTATATTTCGCTTCTTCTTGACTATCAATGTAAGCAAGCAGTTCTTCTTGCCTCATAAGCGCTTCATGCAGAGCCTGCACAATCAACATAAACAATTAGAAATTATTTCTCCATTCTTTCATCACATTATTATTCATCAGTTCAAACCATTTAGCACCTTCTTAGTAGCAATAAGTTCAGCTTCCAAAGCATCCACGCGACAAACAGCAGCATTGAGCAACTCCTCTTTCTCATAAGGCATCTCAGATGGCTTTGCTTGAAGTGTGTCGACCTTTTCCTCCAGTTCACCCAACCTTTTCAACACAGAAGGAAGCAGGTCGGCATCCGTGTAAACAGGAGTAGGTGAGGGTGGACGGTTCAGCTCCTTCTCTGGTTCATTGATAGCAAGTTCAGCTGAAGCTCGATAGTGTTCAGAGAGCATCTCTGAGCTTGTCTTGCCAAAGCGGGAAGGCAGTGAACGGACAAGAGTTAGAACCGTCATGAAGAAAGCCAGAACCGCTACCCAGATCCGAACATGTATAGCCCCTGAAGTCTTTGGAGTCTCTGCAGCAGTTGGAGCAGCTGCAAAAACATTTTTTTTAACACCGTTAATCGAATGAAATAAAAAAACTATCTCCATCAGATATAACCCTGTTGGCAGTAAGAGCCATAGGACCAAACATTTGACCATGAAATTTAAGTTGGCATGCCATGGTGACATAAGGTAATTAAGAGCATGATGGTCCCCAGGGAAATAAGAGTTCCATGTTATTGTACAGTCAAAGCCAGGCAAGCCAACTTGATGAGCTAAAAATTCTATACATTAACAGTTTGGGGGAAATTAGCAGTAGACACAGGAATTTAGTAGCTAACCTTTAGACATTGCAAGCTTCTGGATGGCTGCTTGCTTGTTCCAAGTAGAGTCAACTGCTTTGTCTACCATGGGAATGTACTCATCATACCCAGGAAAGCTACTAGGGTGATTTGCCTTCCCCATGATCTTAGCCTTCACATACAATAAATAAAATGAACACACTGAATATCAGAAAGATACAATTCCAAAACCCAGAGAAGAATCAATTCAAGTACGACGTTAAGTGGTAAGTATGGACGTGCTCCTTCAAACTATGTTAGATAGTCACACGAAGTTGATTTTTTTTGGTAGAAACACGAAGTTGATTTAGCACACAAGAAAAGGGAATCAATGGTGAAATACAAGCTTCATATTTACTTGATCCATCCCCAAGAGAGAATAGATGTCAAGCCAACATTCAAGAAACTCATGCAAAGGAAGTCACATTTAGTACCATAGATTATACACAGTACACCACAAGGAAAATGCTACTAATTATCGCATTCACACCCTAACCTTAACAATCAAAACTTACTTCTTCACGGACGGGTGTCAGGCGCAGATTTGAGTAAGCCTTAAGTGCCTTAGGGGAAACAATATCTTCAGCTTCTGACCCTGATTCAGCAGCAGACGAATCGCTACCTTTTACCTGTTTCAAGATGATTGCAGCAATCTCAGAAAGATGCTCCTTCAAGTGATTCCCTTAAAACCAATGGGGAAAGTTGATAACTTACCGACGGGTAATAAGGAGGCTTCGCATAGGTAATGACCTTTCCCTCGTTGTTTAGAATTCTCACAACTTGCCTGGAGCGCCTTGCTCCCCCATTAAGAACAATCTGCAGAAACCTAAGCATATGTCACTTGCCTAAAAAACATACATAAGCTTTTTAGAAATTAGTTTATAAATTTAAACAACTAAGAGTAACAGAAATCACATGCCTTCAATAGATCAGGGTTTCTCCAAGGTCCTTTGTCAGAGCGAAGACAGCCTCCCTGATCTGCACAGGTACAAGTACCACCCAAGAATTCTGGCAATTCACTGCATAATGCACGTACTCAGAATTTAGCAGGAGATCAGTGTAGATAGAAATTTTCCCTAAAAATAATCCTGTTCCTATATTATTAATTCTTGCCAGCATGTGCTCACCTGGCATCGATGACCTCAAGCAATTTACTCTGAAACTTGTTTCCAAGAACCTATTATTCACACAAGTTCTTCCATTAGATGTCTCAGCAAGCAGACAACTCTAGTCAATAACACAAATAACACAAGTATGAGCATACATGAATCTTGGAGGTGGTTCTAGGATCTAAGAATGATTTTATGGTATTCCACAGGAGCCGAAATCCAGCACCGGCATTGATGATGTACATTTCATGCAGAGTCTGAATCATGAGCATAATATTAGATTAGGAAAACAAAGCAGGGATTATCTACTGGGGAAAAAAACTGATGAAAACATTAATAGAAAAAAAAAAAACCAGAGAAAACTTGTTACCTCGGGGTAATTGTCACCATCAATCTTCTGAAGACGCATGACTAGTTCACGAGCAGACTTGGTAAAGTTCTTTAGTCCCTGAATACGAACGAGCAAAGAGAGAAGGTGAGTTCTTTGATATAATCAGGAGCAATATTAAAAAACATCGATCTTAAACCAACGTACCACTCCTTGAACATCTAAAATTGTTGTGCTTGAATCTATGTGCCTCTTTGCAGCAATGCTGCATGCTGGAAACTTGACAGCAAAGCTTTTCTCAAACTCACGCACATGGTATTTCACATAGCGGTCAAGATCTGTCACTTGCATTAGTTTGTGAGGATCTACTTTTCCCAATCTTTCCATATAAATAGGTCTTCCCTCTTTGTCCACGCCGTGATAGAAATGTGGATAATACTTCAAAACTTCATTTAACTCTTGAAACTCAAACTCCTGATACATGAAAGAGAAACAGACAAGTGAAGTTAGAATCAGCAATCAAGGGTGAGTTGCCAGAAATCAAAACACACCAGCAGACACAATTACCTCCATGATAGTATCAGTGCCAAATTCCTTCCTCCATTGAAGCATATCAGCCCACATGTGCTTTGCTTTTTCAACATCAAATTTCCTTGCTTTCAAGAACCTGGAACAGATTAAAGGCCAGAAAACAGTCACTACAAACTAGTGACGAAATAGCTAAAATTCCTACTTCTCTAGAATTTCAAACTCCTGAACTAATGAAACTATCATCGGAACACTGACTCACTGTTATAATCCTCAAATTGTAGCGAGACATGGAAGCAACTGAAAAATAAAAACAAAGGGAGGCTCGCAAGTCACCTCAACATCATGTAGTAGTCGTCATGTCTTTCGGGAAGTAACTCGTCCATGATCAGCGACTGGCGAAACGCATCAACAGCCCTCAGTTCCTCAAGGTCTCGAATATCTTCAATGGAAACAGAGCTAACCCGGCCATCACTCTTCCTCCTGCTGCTGCTCTTTTTCTTGAGGGAATGCTTAAACTTGGTAGATGCATTAATGGCCTTCTTCTTCAGTGACCCAATTCTGGTTCTCCTCTCATCCTCGGAGTTCTCGAAATCAGATTTCCTCTCCCTCCGCTCCTCTCTCCTCTCCTCTCTCCTTTCATCTCCGCCTGATGACCCCTCAAAGCCTGCCATGAAAAAATCAACATCAGATAGAGCAACAAAGGCCAAAATGTCGGCAATAAGAAGTCAAAAAATTCTTTTTCATCTAATTCTGAAATTTCACCACGACAATCAAAATTTCTGCACAGTATCACCACTCGACCACAAAGCTAAAACAACATTGCTAATTCACGCCGAAATCAACAGCAAAGCAAATACATTTAAAGCAAAACTACCACAAAAACAGCCAAAACTCGATCTAAAGCACTACCCACTACACCACTAACCTGACTAACACTTCAAACCCTAGCTCACCCAGGAACCAAAATCAACAAGGAGTAAAGAAAGGGGAATGAAACTACTCACAAGGCCTTGCAAACCGATCGAGCGGACCAGACATCTCTCAGCTCCTTTCTTGGCCGAAATCAAGAGCACCAAAAAAATCCACACTTTCGGCACCAAAATTTCTCAACCGACAGCGCGAATCAACCAGCAATGCAAAACGGCGCAAACCCTAACAAGGGGACTTCGAGTTTCACGATCCACGACAGCAAAAGGGCCAATTCAACGCGGCACCCGAGAAACAGCTACAGCCAAAGAGTGGGACTTTCTTTCTTTCTGCTTTCCGGCAGAGAGAGAGAGAGAGGAATGGCGGAAATTGGGATTCAGAGGGAGAGGGATATAGCGGCGCTGATCACGAGAGGTATCCAACGATCATCAACAGCGCATCCGACAGTTGAAATTCGGCAGTGTTGATTTAGGTTACTCCGAAACTTGGAAATCAAAATCTGAAAATTTCCCTAGAATGGATGTTTATGGATCAACAAATCGACTATCAAGGAGAGAGTAGTGATAAAATTACAAAAAAAAAAAGGTCGGAAATTGGCGGAATAAATTACGGAACAAGAAGAAGAAGAAATGGGGGAGGAGAGAGAGAGAAAGAGAGAGAAGCGTTTGGACTTTGGAGAGATAAGAGGGTTTATAGCAGGAGACCGAATCCGGTGCGGATGGGGTCTACCATTTCCACATCAGCTTTTTGTATCCCTGCTTTTTGGTCAGACTGCCACGTGGCTTAAGGAGAAATTGGGATGGTAAAAAAATAGTTACGATTCGGCTAACCCATGATAGCGCTGATCCGCTACTGGGTTAGCCGGGTGTAGACAATAGTAATTCGGTGATAGTGCTCATAGTTCTTTTGTGAGATGTGTTCGCAAAATCGGGAGTTGTCGGATTAGGCACAATATGTACATTGCTTGTTAGATGGATTCGTTAGGAAGTTATTTACAAAAATTGCTATTGTGTCCATCTAACCATCATGGGCTCAACTTCTGATATGAATGCACCTAGTCTTTGAGAGTATGTTCTCACATATTGTGTTATGAGCGCATTAGTCGGATTCGAGACGATAGTGCTTCTTGATGTTGTTTGATGACACATCGTACGATATTAATCAGACATTTGTTTAATTTGATAGTAGTTTTATGAAATAATTTTTTTTTAACTTGCATTCAACGATTAGGAATCACATCACAAAACAGAAAAACTTGTGTGCCATTAACGATTGCTAAGGCCTTGGGCTAACTTGCATTTTGTTTTTATAGTTTTATTGTCTTATTGAACTCACTCTCGAATCCACCAAAGCATATGAGTTAGAACAACTCAAATGTCAAGACTACCTCGACCACAATAAAGTTAGTACTTCGTTACTTTCGTTTTGATATTGTTATGAACTTTTTTTTTTATTTGTGTGCTGTCACGACATCGCTAATGCGAATGTCATTTGCGAGATAGATTAACAAGTCAATTTTTGTATCGAATCAAATGTTTGTAACATATAAATGTGATACGTTTAGTTAGGTCCCTACATTTACTAACAATGTGTCATGTAAGGAAGACACATCATCTTTAGAAATTAGTATTGTGTTAGGTGGTGTAGGTGAACTAATTAATAGGAACAGAAAGAGGGGAAAAAGAGATATCATTAAGAATAATAATAACAATAATAATTAGTATTATTATAACAACTAAATAAGTCTTTACTCATAAAAAATAAAATAAAGTCTTTGCTTATAAAAAATGATTTTCCAAGTCTTCTTGAATTATTGAATTGCCAAGACCATAGGAAAAAAAAATTATTGAATTGCCTATGATTAGAAACGAAATGTAACAAATTATGAGGATTTTACAAATAACATTATAGAAAATAGTGGAAAATAACTGTGGGCAAGCCATGGTCAACTATCAACAGCACCCTAAAGCCTAAACCTTATTATTGTAATTATATTAGTAGTCAACATTAATAAAAAAAAAATTCCAGTTGGACATTATGACCTTCCAGTTGTCAACATTTCTTGTTCTAAATTTGAAGCTTTACTATCGGCTTACATGTCTTGAGTTGGAAGCAGAAACAAAGGAGGCAGGGAAGCCAACACAGCTAATATTTCTCCAACCTCAAGCCTGAGAATTATATCTAAGTTTTACTTTCTGTTAGTCTGCTACCATTCAAAATTCACTTTTATATGAGCTCCATAGATCATCTTCATCAATAATCTCTTCCTCAGGACTAGGGGCTTCAGCAACGATTCCCTCGGGATCTTGGCCTGCTGTTGCTGCCTCGTCTTGCTCCGAGTGCCCTGCTTCTTCCTGCAACAACATTACACAGAATGGATTGCATTAGAAATTATTGTCTCCGATAAGAGTCTGAAATGAAGGAAATCAAGCAGATCTACTGGAAGACGTATAATGAGAGGAAAACCAACGGTCTTTCAAAACATTAAGCGTAAACAGTAGAACCGATGACAAAGAACGATATGCATTACATTAGTTTCTGAATTCTGCTCTTCCTCCTCTTCTGCCTCATCTGTTGGATGATCTCTATTTAAATCTCTACCTGCCTCAGCAGCAGCTTTCCGCAGCTGATCAATCACCCTCACAAAATATGAATTATCTGCAAAAAAGAGAATATGCCACGTTCAGATACGCCAGGAAACCGGCATTCAGTAGTTCTCGGATACACTTGGTATGAATCCGCATTCTGCGCCTCAAGAGAGAAGCCAGCTAGGCAGGCATGCATTCCCACTTTGTGGCAAAGCATCCTAACACGTCGCAGCCATTGCCATGAGAAGGCTTGATAAGATCAACACGAGAAAACCAGTACCTCTGTCACGATTTCCCACAGCTTCGTGAAGTAAAAATGGCTGACGGCGCTCTTCAGCCTTAAATTTATTCTTGATCTGACGGCGATCCCTCCCCGGAAACAGTTGTTGTACCAATGAGAGATCAGTTCCAAACTGTCTGATTCCCTAATAGTGTCAGGAGATCATGTCTGGGTAAGAAAAGGACAAGGGGAGAGCTCCAGGCTTGTATAAATAACAACTCATTGATTTAGTAGTGCAGTAAAGCTACCATGAACAAGCGATTTCAAGAATATGATCACAAGAAACAAATACTACCAAACGTAGTGGGGGCGTAGATGCAGTCACCCAGTTCTAGCTCACTTATGCTACTCACAAAGCATGAAATTTAATGTGAAAGTATCAGAGCCAGATTTTGAGGCTGTAGTAGCAATCACAATACAACACTCCACACCAAACTCAAAAAAGAAAATAGGAACTGCCTTCCCAATCACTGGATGTCGGTATCTATGATACTCCACTATCATACCCATAAATTCCTCCATCAATAACACACACAAGTATTTATAAGGGCATTCTCTAACATAATGACGTTTGTGACACAAATTGACGCGATGTCCATAATGACATTAGTGAGAGATAATTTATTGCATTAGCAAACTGATTTAAATTGGCGTGTTGTGTTCATACCTCGTAAAATAAATCTGTCTCTTGTTTTGACCATCTCACGGTCCGCGTCCTATTCATGAAAGAATGGCTGTTGAATAAAGGGGTGCCTGACACGATTCCAGCTTCCTCAGGCTCAACGTCATCCACTTCATTATTGGAAGTGCTGGTGCCACAAAGGGTATTACATTTAATAAGGTGAAGTTGATCGATCGTGCAAACAAGATGAAATATTCAGGACTAGAGCAACATAAGTTAAATCTTTAAGCCTTCATCTATTGAACACTTCTTACCCCTGATTCAAAGCTTTTGCCTCTTTTGCCTCTTTAGCCTGCACATAAAGACACATAGGTGAACTCCTGCCACTAATTACTTAATATGGGTTAACCAATAGTGGTAAACTATACATAGAGACATGATTCAAGATCTGTAGAGCAACAGGTTACCCACAGCTAACCGTTCTCTGTGTTCACCAAGAAAAATGATATCTCGCATGGGCAAGCTCCGAAAATCTATTTCATCGTCAGGTACTTTGAGCAACTCATCATTCCCTGTATTAAGAGATTCAAGTCATTAAGCTGTTAAGGAAATCAACAGTAACTCATGTTTAATAATGAAATCATACTTACTGTATCTTTTCTTTCGGCGAGTTGTATGAGCAAACTTCTTGGGAGGTTTCTGGCTCGACTCTTCAGATGTTTCACAGGCTTTCTTACGCTTTCGACCTCCAGTTCCCTTATCTGGAACTGATTTCTTTGACCTTTTAGAAGCTCTCTTCTTTTTGCCAGAGTTTTCTCCACCATCAAAACCATCATCACCACCCTTATCATTATTTTCATCCTCATCCACCTGATATTCACTATCATTCTCTTCATCTATAACCGGACAACCAGGTGCTTCACCGGGGGGGTTGCCATCAGCATGACCTTCATTTTCGGGTTGGTTAACAGCTTGACGTGTACCTGATCGCTTTCTCAACACCTTGCCACCATTTTTTCCAATATCCAAGGAAGAATTATTGGACTTCCGAGTTAGATCAGACTCCAAACCATGCTTTTCTCTGCTCTCTTGACCCTGAGACATAACAAGAAAACAAGTTACAAGCATGACAACAATACTAAGTAAAGCACCATACTAGGTAAAAGCAATGTTCCCTCATTTTCCACCAAATCCGGTACAACCCCAAAAGAACCATTTTTATCTACCTCATTCAAGTCACAAATTTTCCTTGAATCTATCTGGTCTGAATTCATAGGAAACTCTGAAGCAGCAGGCGTTGATGGTAGATAATCATCGAAGCTCATGGATGAGTAATAATCAACAACATCATCTTGTGCAGTGGGTAATGAGCTCTCACTTCCATATCTGGTCTCCGAAGCAATGAAATCTGTAGCCTCTGGAGGAACAGGAGACTCAACTCCATCTGGGAGGACGCCATCATCGTGACCTTTCCCTGGGCCAATTTCTTTATCTCGTGAGAATCAGTTCAGATATTCTTTTGAATAACACAAGGACAAATAATCCGAGCCTTGGATATATAAGTTTACCTGATGCAACAGCAGATTCAGAGAAGACATTTGTTGCTTCCATGTCCAGAAAATCACCTGATGCCTGCAACTAACCAGTTTACAGCAAATTAATCCACCCAGAATTCTATTCTCCCCCATTTTCAACAAAGGTACAGATCTTCACCTCTGATTGTAACCTCTCACCGTCAGTATCAACAGCTACCGGATCTTTGGTTGCCATGTCACTCCTCCTCAACTCCGAAGAATCAGCAGACTCTTGAACCAAAGAACTCGACCGCGGCTCATCTATCCCTTCATCTGTACAAGGAACTGAAATCCCTGAAGAATGGACAGCCAACCTTCCATGTTATCATTTGCTCCACACACCATGAACATACGGTGAGACGACGACATCTTTTGTCAAAGTTTCCATGGCTCTCACCTGTGTCACTTGTGGGCTGAGTAACCAAATCATGGATAACATCCAACTCCAAAATAATGTCAGCATTCTGAAAACCAGTACAGCTTCGTCAGCAGAAAGAACAAAAGCGCCCTAGACACACAAGAACAAACTGCAATTCTCATTACCTCCACCGCTGACGAATCCAAATCCCTCAACGTAGCATCACCATCAGAGGCCACCTCATTAGGTTTATTTGCAGCAGCGGTGGCATGAACAGGAGGAGCAACTGCGGCAGCCTTTCCCTTCCTAGGTCGGGCCTTCGGCTGGAACTTCCCCGCCGGACGAGCTACGCGCAAAAATCAAACCAACAATCATAAGGAAAAGAAAAACCCTTGCTCTGCAGAGAAAAGAAGAAAAAAAAAAATCTTCTGCTACGGACGAGTAGGCTTTACCTCGAGCCCCCGCCGCCGGCTCGTCAAATACGTCTCCAAAAGGATCCAAATCAGCATCCATTTCTCAAGCTCTCTGACTCCGAAAAATTACCGGTTAGCATGCAAAATTAAACCGCCGGCGGCCGCTCCTCCACTCTAACGAAATTGGTTTCTGGATTCCGGCAAAAGGGAGAAAGGCGGTGAATGGTGAGAGAAGGAAACCATACATGGGGCTTTTTTTTGTTACCTGCAAACTTTGATTTCCCCGATGAGCCTCTCCGACGAAGAACGAAGCGCGGGAGCCGGAGCACTACCTCCACTACTGCCTGGTTTTCTGCACAAAATAAGTGTTTGCTTTAATTCTGGAGAGAGTTAATTATCGCAATTAAGGCCGGGAGCCCGAAGGGAAATTGGACTTTCTTTAGGGCCCAATATCTGGTGTTCTTCTGGGCTTTGTTTGGATTTTGTTTGCCCAGTTTTTTGCTGGGCTGGGCTGCTGCGAGCCTTTTCTTATTTTCCAATTTTTCATTTGTTGATACGCAGAAGCAAAAAAAAAAAGTATTGAGGGGGTGAGTTTTTGTGAGAAACTTAGGTTTCGTCATACAAAAAATCTTATTATTGGACTTTCAACACAGCTTCGACAATAATAAGTGATAACATACACATTTTCATCTACCGACGTGCATGTACAAGTCGTAAATTAGCCTCTTGTACTTACTACTTACTACTCACAATTTGGCGGTTGCGAATGTTCGCTTGGACACTACCTGACCCGTATGTAAACATGAAAAGTCCGCTTAACTACATATTAGCACAAAATTGCATATAAGCAAAAAAAGTTAAAAAAAGGGAAGAAGGGAAAAAAAAAACAAAGAAAGAGAGAAAATCTTTGCTAAAATCTTTTGTGGGTGAAAAAAGAGATAGAAAAAATATAAGTCGTGTGTGACAATTCAATTTCAAAGCAAAATATGAGAAGCCCAAGTAGCTACTTGCTTTATAAGGAAAAAAAATTCCCAACGTGCATGTGTTGTGCTCCCACCATGTCGTGGCGGCTTTTCTTCGCCACGAAGGCAAACCCTTCTTCTGAATGGAAGGAATTGAGGATTAATATGGTTGACCACGTTTTTAATCCATTGAACCATACCACAATATGTTAGCCATCACCATAAAAGTGGGATTAAAGATAAGCAAGAAAAGGGGAGGAATGTCTTGTGTTTGGTAACTCGCGACACGAGTTCGTTCGAATCGATCAATACGTAGTTATTGATTCGAATTCAGTTTCATTGTCGGTTGGTTTGGTCGTTGTTGAAGAGTATGAAGGAATTGATAGGGCAAAGCAAACTCAGATGGTTGTGTTTGAATTTGTCCATAATAGCGAATTTGAATCGGAACGAAGAAAGATGGCCTTCATACATGAACTAAGCAAATTATTCGGATTTATTTTACGCGAGTATAACCCCACTCGACCTAATTTAACAAAATATGAGTGGAACTATCAATCAAAAACATCCATGTACAGATGTACTTAATAAATGTAAATGGACTACTTAATTACTTACTTAGACTAAACAATGAGCCAGCTGCCACTGTATTTGTCCTTTGTATTAAGATGGTCATTTTCCTTGGGATGACTAATTTAAAAGGGAAAGTGTGCAATGGTGGTGATTGCTACATCCAAACAAATGGCGAGTTCATCGACCACATGCATGTAACTTCACTGTCATGGCTGCTAAGTCGACGTTTCATTGAAACTGCAAATCCAAAAAAGCAAACTGCTTGCGGGAAATCTTCACGCAGTCCTCCATTGATGACCAAAAAACATAAAGACATTGTCATATATGGAAAAGCAGACTTAAGGTCAAACACACAAAATTGATCTACTTATTATAAATAGTTTGAACTAGGGCGGGAGGTTCGGTTATCGATTGTCGGTTAACCGATAACCGGCGGTTACCGGTTAACCGACTAACCGAAAAAGGGTATTGCGGTCGGTGTTCGGTAGGGGGATTGATTGTGGCGGTTACCCACAATACGACCCCCCCCCCCACTCTTCAGCCCTAACCCTAATTCCCCTTCCCCGACCCCAATTCCCCTCTTCATCGCGACGCCCAGTCCCTCGCTCCCGAACTGCGATTGCGAACAGCGACTCCCAGTCCTACGGTCTCCATCTCGTTCTCTCTTCTTCCCAGGCCCCAGCCGCGACCAGAGCGACGCCGCGACTAGAGTGTCCCCTGCTCCGACATCTCCCTCGCCGACCCGCGCCCTTGCTCTGTCATCTCCTTCCCGACCAGCTTCCCGACTCGCCGCCAGCCACAATCCCCCCGCCGGCCGCCGGTGTTCCTCCACCGCCAGCCACAGTCCCCGTCGTTGTTCCTCCGCCGCCAACCATAGTCACCCGTCACATTTAGATGGCCATCAAGGAAAGAAAGAAGTCAGAAAATGTCTCTGCATCTCTCTCTTCTCTCGAACCACTCCCAGTCTCCTCTGCTCCTCTCTCTTTTTTGATTTGTGCGGTTATCTCGGTTAACCGAACAACTAACCGGTAATCGACCGGTTGGTTGTCGAATAACCGATGGGATCCGTCGGGCGGTTGGCGGTAGGGGTTAAGCTGTATGGGTTGAGAAACAGATTTAATCGATACACTCAGAAATAAAAAAAAAGATTTAATCGATACACAGATCGATTGTTAAGCTGTATGGGTTGAGAAACAGTCTAGAGAATCAAGCGATGCGCCATTTATGGCTTCTTTCCCAACTTCAGGCTTGAAGTTGAAATGGAAGAGTTGGAAACCTAGATGAGTAAGGAATTTTTGCCGGTGAATGTATTGTGACGAGCTCAGATTCCAGGCAAATGGGCAATGCAATAAAAACAATTGCATAGATACAAACAAATGAACAATTAGCCGCAGTGAAGAAAAATGATGCAAGGCGAAACAGAGTGATGTACATTTTAATGTTCTCATCTGTAATTTTCATGGCGGGCGGGTTGTACTGTTGTTGGTTTCCCAGCTGTGGATCTGGACACTTCCTCTTCCTTCCTTTCTCCACCCCACATGTCCCTTTCTTCCTTTTCCTCTCTCTAATCAGAGAGATTCCCAAGCAAGCTCTCCTCTTTTCTCCCCTGCCCTTCCTTCACTCTCCCCACCCCACTCTGCTTTCTTCTTCTTCCCCTTTTCAACATTTCCCCTGTTCCTTTTTTAATCAATTTCTCCGTCACTGTGTTTCCCATCTTTCCTTCTATAAATTCATCCCCCCTGCTTCCTTCAATCTCCCCTCTTTTCCTTCTCTTCCCTTCCTCCTCCCCTGCTGCCTTCACCCTTTTGCTCTGTTTTCTCTGCCGGATTTCCCCTTCCTGGGTTTTCATTCTCTGGAGCGTTTCTGAATCTGGGTTGGGGAGATCCTTTTTGGGCTTGATGCATAGCCTCGTAGTATTGATGTTTGAGATTCATGTCTCCAATTCTCAGTGAAGAACTCCTCCTCCTTCCTCCTTGTTGTATGATCAATTCCACTTTCCGGCGCAGGACCCATCTAGTTCAGTCTTTCTCCGTCGTCTTCCTCTACTTCCTCTACTACGTCTCATAACATCTGATTCACACCCACCGCCCCTCCTTCTTACCCTAGCTTTCAATTATCCCAATAAGAATCAAAATTCCCCCAAATTAGTTTCCGTTCCAGAGTCTCTGTTTTTTTTTTTTGTTCAATTTCCCCTGCAAATTCCAGCTACTTGGGTCCTGCTGCCTAAAAAAAAACCCCCTAAATAGAGAAATAGTTTCGATGGCGTGCTCGAGCGGGACGTCATCGACGACGTCGTCGTCTCAGCTGGCGGCGGCGGGGAGCAACTCCGGGGAGAACGAGAGGAAGAGGAAGAGGATGGTGTCGAATCGGGAGTCGGCGCGGAGGTCGAGGATGAGGAAGCAGAAGCGCCTCGACGATCTGACGGCTGAGATCGCTCTGCTGGCGGAGGAGAACGGCCGGATCTCGACCGGAATCAACGCCACCACCCAGCATTTCTTGTCCGTGGAGGCGGACAACTCCGTCCTCCGAGCCCAGGTCGGCGAGCTCGGGAACAGGCTGGATTCGCTCAATGAGATCCTCGAGCTCCTCACCACCACGACTCCCTCGCCGGCGATCACCGCCTGCGGCGGCGGCGGAGGAGGATGTTTTGGGTTCGAGTATGAGGCACCGGCGCCAATGGCGGAGCAACATTATGGCTTGAGCAGCAGCAGCTGCTTCATGAACATGGGGTTTCTGAATCACAATCAGCTTATTATGGCGTCTGCTGCGGCGAATGATGTTTTCCTCGTGAATTGATTGATTATTACAAGGGATATGGATTGATTTTTCTTCTTTCTTTCCTCTGTTAATCTTAATTTGGGGGGGATTGTTGAGGAATAATTAAGGTTAATTATCTTGGTTTTTTTTACTGTTTACCATTGGTGGAATCACGGCAGTAAGTCATGGGATGATGAGCTTGGTGTGTAGTTTATTTCTGCCATTATTAATTACCGTTTGGGTTTCAATTTTGCTTTTGGTGCTTTGATTGTGTTTTCTTTCTGTGTTTGGTTATTGGTTGGCGGGACAAATAACCAAATATATAGACATACGTATCACATTTCTTTTTTGGGTGAGAATCATTCGTATTTGATAGAATGACAATTGACAATTCAAATCACATGTATGTCAATTATAAGAAATTAAAGAAAAATTGCGAACGCCAAGCAAAGTCGAAATTCATGAATCAAAAAATAAATTCTAGCATAGAAGAACAATATTTGAGGACGTGCTTCAATTGAATTTATTTTTCCAATGGCAATCCATAAAACAATTTTCTATTTTTTTATGTAAATGGACGGTGGTCAGGCCGTCAGAGGTGGAATATATTGTCTTTTTTTTTTTTTGACAAAGGTTACCAACTTTTATTCCACCAATCAAATGAAAGACGAGAAACTCGGTTACATTCTTTAAAGAAGATCAGAAATGAGATCAAGAATATTAATCCAATCATCAGGAAGAGACGCTCTAGCTTTAGAACGAGCAACCCAATCTGCTCTGACATTAAGTGTTCTGGGCACATCTTTGATTTTGATGAGAGGGTTCGTCCGAAGGATAGAAACAATCGAACCGATCCAGGCTGCACACCTCCAAGGCCATCGAGATCGATTGTTATCCAAAGCTTTAACCAGCACCTGACAGTCGGATTGAACCGTACACTCGGATCCATATTCTTGCGCTAATTTCACTCCTTCGAGAAGGGCCTTAGTTTCCGCTTCAATTGGGGTGGAACAAAGAAGATCCTCAGCTCTCCCATCACACACTTGTCCATGGTGGTTAACAACCACAACACCATAAGCCGCCGGCTGGGAGTCGCTAATGAACGACCCATCACAGTGAATCATCAAAGACTGATTACTTGGCGGTGGATTCGTATGAGACTGGGTTCCCCTAAGCTGAGTGGGGAGGGAAGGCAGGGGAGGTGGGGACCTCGGACACGAATTCCATTCAGTGAGCTCTTTATAGGTAAGTTGACACACATTCGGAGTCCACGGGACTCTACCTTTGAAAGAGCATTCGTTCCTTGCCTTCCAAATATTCCAACAAAGGAAGACAATATGGATCAAGGAGCTTTGTTGGACAACATCTTTAAGGGAGCAGAACCAATCAAAGAACAAGGTTCCTTGAGGGGGTAAAGGAAGGGATGGGAACAGCGCATTCCATGCCTCCTTGGCATGAGGGCATTGGAACAGGCAATGATTAACCGTTTCCACGGGGTACTGACACACCTGACACGAAGAGTTGGGAGCACACTTCCTCTGGAGCAGTCTCTCTTTCGTTGCTAACCCGTTCCTGGAGCATCTCCAAACAAAGAATTTCAACTTCGGGGGGAGGTGAAGGCTCCAAATCCACTTCCATTTATCAGTATTCCCGCTTGGTTGAGCTATGGTGTTTGCTCTGTGAATCATATGGTACGCGGATCTCACCGTAAACTTTCCCTCATCATTGGAGTTCCATGCCCAAAAGTCATCTGCTCCTTCCTCCCCAATGGGTATCATGAGAATAGCTTCGAGTTCTGAGCCAGAGACATGTCCCTGTATAACATCCGTCTTCCACTTCCTTTCTCCCGGGTCAATCCACTCGTTGACCTTCCGATGATTCTGAGGGCCAGTCCTGAGCGTAAACCCATCCAACAAGGGAATCCATGGGTCTTGATCGACCCACGAGTCTTCACCTGACCCAATCACTCTAATTGCACCCAAACCAATCACCTTCTTTGCCTCCCAGAGGCTAGCCCATATCCACGACGCTCTGCTTCCCTTTTTTGCATTAAGAAAATCACCTCTGGGGAAGTACAACCCTTTAAGGAGCCTGCTCCACAGTGAATCAGGGCTCGTGAGGAGGCGCCAGGCCTGCTTAGCTAGCAAGGCAAGGTTAAAATCATTGAAGCTCCTGAAGCCCAATCCTCCCTCTGACTTAGGCAGACAAAGAATCTCTTTCCTACACCAATGGAGGCTACTCTTTTGCATAGACCCTGACTAGAAGAAGTTACTAAGGAGAGAGTCCATTTTCTTGGTGAGGGCTTTTGGGAGATAGAACAAGAACATGATATAAGCTGGAATAGCTTGAATAACCGCTTTCAGAAGGACTTCTTTTCCCCCATGAGAGAGAAGGAGACTTTTCCATGCTTCCCCCATTTTCTCCATCCTTTGAATGAGGAAGTTAAAAGTTTCCTTCTTCGAATTTCCCCACTCCGTCGGGACTCCAAGATACTTTGAGTAGCAATTCGAGGAAGCGAAGCCCATGCTCGCGATTATATGATCTTTGACATCGCCCGGGACATTAGCACTAAAGAAGACTGAAGATTTGTTAATATTAACTTCTTGACCTGTGATAGCTCCATACTCACCAATGATATCAATAATATTCTGTGCTTCTTGGTGATCTGCTTTCCCGAAGATAACTGTGTCATCCGCAAACAGGCAATGAGTGAGCACTGGACATCTGGGATTCAGTTTAATCCCCTTCAGCTTATCATTCTCCACCGCCTTGTCAATCAGGAAGGTGAGGGCATTTGACATGAGAATGAATAAGAAAGGTGAAAGTGGGTCTCCTTGTCTAATGCCCCGGGAAGGTTTAAACGAGTCAGTTGCTTCTCCATTGAACAGAATGGAGAAGCTGACCGTTCTAATGCATGCACTGACCCAACAACACCATTTATTGTCAAACCCATATTTCTTGAGAAGAGCCTCCAGGCACTCCCAATCAACCATATCGTAGGCCTTCTTCATATCCAGTTTCAGCATCATATCTCTCCTTCGACCCCGCTTGTGGTTCTTGAAATGATGAAGGGCTTCATGGACAATGATGATATTATCTTGAATAAGCCTTCCCCCAGTGAAAGCTGTTTGGAGCTCTGAAACCAGATCGGGGGTCCACCTCTTGAGACGCGTTGCCATAATCTTAGATATGATCTTGTATCTAAAATTACAGCAGCTAATAGGTCGGTATTGGCTTATCAACTCAGGGTTGTCGACCTTTGGAATCATTGCGATGTGAGTCTCATTCCATCCAGTTGGCATGGTAGTCGTTTCAAAGAATCCTCTAACTTCTCGACATAAGGTGTCTCCTAAGATATCCCAGTATCTCCTATAAAATCTTCCTGAGAAACCATCAGGACCCGGAGCTTTGCGAGCTCCCAGGGAGAAAACAGCTTTTCTAATTTCCCCGTCAGTCACCGTAGCACAAAGATCCTCGTTCATCTCCGTAGTCACCTTTTCAGGGAAGTTTTCTAACAAATGGTTAAAAGGAATAGGATTCCTGGCCTTAAAAAGTTCTTTGTAAAACCCTTCTGCAAGTCTTTTGAGACTATTCTCATCCTCTATCCAATTTCCTTCTCCATCTTGGAGTTTCAGAATTTTGTTCCTATGCTTCCTATGGATAGTGCTTGAATGAAAGAAAGAGGTATTTTGATCACCTTTTTGGAGCCAGTTAACTCTCGAGCATTGACTCCAGAATGCTTCTTCGTCCCTCCATAACTTAATCAGCTCGATAGTCAACATCTTTTCCTCCTCCACATTCTCAGTCGTTCTTGGCGGCTGTTGTAGCATTTCGAGCTTTGAAAGTATATCTTGCTCCCTTTGCATACTACTCTTATGGAAGTCTTTCGCCCACTCTTTTAAATCTCTTTGACATTTGTTCAACTGGTCCGTTGATTGGCCTCCCGGGTCCCACGCTCGGGCTATTATCTCCTTACATTCTTCCTTCTCCAGCCATCGCTCATCAATCCTAAATGGTGTCTTCTTCCTCCTGTTACCTCGGTAGTGAAGCTCAAGTCTGATCGGGCAGTGATCAGACTCCACCATTTTCTCATGGAAGACCACTGCTTCTCCAAATTGGGCACGCCAGGACGTTGAGCAGAGCACACGATCTAATCTCACTCTAGTCAGGTTTTGGCCCGTTCTCTTATTGGTCCAAGTGAAAGGTTCCCCTTTGTATCCCAGGTCAATTAGAGCATTCTGGAATATGAACCTCTTAAAAGGTTCAACATTCCCCTTTGTATGAGAATGAAAAGGAAGGGAGATGCCCTCTTGGAATATATTGTCCTTGTAATAAAATAAACAAACTTTGTATCAAATTCACTATTTTATGTCCCATAAGATTCTTCATTAGCGATTTTGCCAATTCCAGAGGGAATCATATCATCTAAAATTTATATTTGTCTCCCTTTTTTTGGGTTCAGATCTCATAAACATATATATTATATAGATGGCAGGTCCATAGCAGTATAAAAAAATAGCATAGTTTACTCTTTAACGGAATAAATTTCCTCGATATTGAAGATCAAACCAACCATTTTATCAATAATAAAATCGTTGTAGTATTATATGATTAAACTATATGGATTTGACTATTGATTTATGGTTCTTCAATCGATGAAACCCACCTACCTTTGCCAGCCCATAATATCACAAAAACATTTACCTAAATTTAGGTAAGTTTCTTGGATATGTTAGTTTGTTTTAAGAAAACAAAAGTAAACGGAAGGACGTGTTATTATGGGAAAATGACATTTTTCAGGAATCTTTCAGAATATTACTAGGAGACCATAGCAGATTCCAGTGAGGGTTGCTATTTGCCGCCCTAAAATTTACTATTTGCCGCCCATAGTTATAAATAAAATTACAATTTTACCCTTCTTTTATTTTAAACTTATACCGCATCACATCGGCCGGAAACCTCTCTCTCCTCCATCTCGAAGCCGCCGGCGGGCCTCCCCTCCCGCCGCCAACCGCTCACCTTCCGCCGCCAGCTGCTGAAGAGGTGGCCGCTGCTGTTGTTGTTGCCACTGCCTCCGAGAAAGAAATCGTCGCCGCCATCCCGCCATCGAGGAAGAGCTCGCCGTTCAAGACCAGGCCTCTTTTTTTTTTTTTTTACCGTCCGCCTGCGCCCGTCGGACGGGGTCCGATCGCCGCCGCCGGACGGGGTCCGATCGCCTCCGTCGGACGGGGTCCGATCGCCGCCGTCGGACGGGGTCCGATCGCCGCCGTCGGACGGGGTCCGATCGCCGCCGTCGGACGGGTTCCCGAAATTATTTTTATTTTATTTAAGGAAATTATTTTTCTGTTGTTAATTAAGGAAATAAATTAGCAATTCATAATTATAAACAGTTATTCTGAAATTTGACCATTACTTAAGTACTTTCCCTAAAAAACAGAGTATGAGACGTGGGTTTGGGAAAGAATTAAATCCCTTCAAGATTAATTACTAACAATTACCGCTAAAAACTAGGCTAGATTAATTACCGCCAATTGGATCATCACGGAGGGAAAAAAAAAGGAAGGCGAATCTTCTCCGGGAATTGCGGGAAAAAAAGAGGAAGGAGAGTGTCAATTGTCGTCGGGATTTGCGGAACTGAAAAGATGAAGGTGAGATTCCGGCGGCAAAACTCGGACAGCGGCGGGATGAGAATTTTATTTAAGTTTCTAAATTATAAATTGAAGGGTAAAATAGACTTTTCTTATAAAATTATGGGCGGCAAATAGCAATTACACGGGCCAACTTTTGTTGTTGCGCTTGTAGAACAGAGCTAGAAACCCAATAGAGTTTGTTGGGCCGTTACCCAGTACCCATTGGGCTGTAGTTGAAGACTTGGGCCTCCACTAATTCTGAATGACTGGTCCTTTGGTTTAGTGTAAAAGATGACGATCCAACCCACCAAGACTTCAGTAGGTAACAGCTAATGAGAGCTTGGGCCTGGCCTCGGGGAAATAGAGCAGTAGCAGGCTTCAAGGTTAGCTTTTTTTTTTTTTTTTTGAAAGATTCAAGGGTAGCTGATGGAGAACAAATTTGGCACAATTTTTTTTTTTTGTAAATTTTACTTTTTTAGTGATGATAGTATCTGAACTCGATATTATTTGATAATTGTAAAATATTTTTAGTCAAGTTTTTGGGTCCACTACCTCATAATCTACCCGATTTGTTTTTAGGCAAGTAAATGCTGCCTCGCGAGCGAGTCTCTTATATAATTTTTTTTTATTCTTGACTTGTTGCGTCTAACTTGTGTATTGTATTTGTTAGATTATGTGTATTTTAAGTTATATTACTTCATACTTCGACTCTGGTATAGTTACCATCAAATGTCATTTTTTTTTTTTATAGAAATGTCATCCTTTTCAGTTTATATAGCAACTGTGTTAATTAATCATGTCATCCTTAATAAACTAACTTCATTAATCATGACATCCTTTTCATTTTATATAGCAAGTGTGTTCTATATACTTTAATGAACTGAATGAGTGACTTGAGATATCTCGTTGTTTTAACATATATTTGAAAAAAAAAAGACATTCCTCTCTATCAATATTTTGAGCCAAAAGATGGGATTTATCATTGAACAAACATGAATACTATCCAATTCATATTGTCATCCCGTATACAAAATCTCTATTGTCTGGTCGATTCCTCCTTCTTTAAGTTTCACGTAATATGACATAATCTAAAAAATCTTGTATTTGACTTATCTTTTCGTTTGAATGGGTTAATTTTCAATGTGATATATGTAGAGTCAAATAACTCATTTATTGTTTATATGGTATTTGAGTGGTTATTGAAATTTGGGCTCATTTGGTTTTGGTGATTGTTTGGTTGTGATAGTTACAATGCATTGTTTTTTTTTTTTGCACAAACTATACATGCATTGTTTGCTTGGTGTGATAGAAACTATCATTCAAAATGAGTGATAGTAATATCTCAAGTTTTTTGTGAGGTTGTTTGTTTGAGATTGTTGGAGTGTTTTCTTCTTCCATGTATAGATGTATTGTTGAGAATGCATGTATAATATTATACATGTATTGTCGAATTTGATGCATTGTAGAATACAACGTTTGGTATGTGTGATTGTGTATGTCGCATCAGCTAAAAGCTGAGACAAAACAATCTCAACTCAACTATCTCAACAATCACAACTAAAAGTTGAGATATAACAATCACTCAAAATGAGTGATAGTTTGTGTCACATCACAGAAACAATCCATGTATTGTTTCTGCTAAAAAAACAAAAAAACGATGCATTGTAAACAATACATGCATAATGACAATCTCAACAAAACTATCGCAACTTCCAAACGAACCCTATGTCTCTACCTTTTGATGTGTTTGCTTTTTTATATTAAAAACAAAGGGTAAAAGTGAAATTTACCCCGAAAGCAATATATCTTATTTAAATACTAGAATAACTATAACAGAAATCAAACGATGTAAACTACATGTAACATCCCGAACCTTTTCCCGACGAAGATATTGTCCGCTTTGGGCCTCGACCCTCACGGTTTTCGACTTGGGGTGCAATTCAAAGTGACTTCCCATAAGGTCACCCATCCTTGTTGTACTCCACACTGAGCACGTTTAACTTCGGAGTTCTCACAAGAACTCCTCCATTTCACTCCAAAACGCATCTTGTCAGTTAAGGTTGGTTTCCTACTTATGAACCATGGATCTCTCCCGTGCTTTGTCGATGTGGGATTTGCCAAAAGTGTTAGGCTACAATACATCAATTTTCTTATATGCATGTATTGTTAACAATGCATCTATTTAACTATCACCAAAACCAAATGACCTTAAAGTATCTCGTTTGGTAGAACCATGCAAATGTGGCATTTGGTAAAAGCAGAGAGTTAAAACGAGTTATTTCGAAATATCACGTGGGCATGAGTCACTATCCAAATAACTCATTTCAGTAAAATGCTGCTACACAAATAACTTACAAATAACTCATACAAATACTCCATCCAAACGACCGTTGTGTTTTGTTTGAGGTTATTTTTGGTTTTTTTTTTCCGTAATATGTGAATAGATTTTTTTTAATAGATTCCATGACAGGGTGGGTTTGCATTTACGCGGCATTTTACTTGAGAAATTTATATGACGGTTAAATAACAGAAACGTCCCCTACAACAGATCAACGAAGCTTCCTCCTTCAATTTCTGTTCCCATATCCCGCCCGATTATCCACCCCCAACCGACGCCGTTTCCTGTCTCTTCTTTTCCTTCGCCTGTTCGCCACTTGGCATACATAAATATCTCCAGTTCTTGCTTCTATTCCCCACTTTTTACTTGCAATCTGATTTCGGGTGAGTGATTTTCACTTGCGGGTTTCCAAAAGTCACCAGCTTTGCATTGATACGAAGAAGATGTAAGTTTTGGGTTCTTGATTTCCTTTTTCCCATTCGTAAAGTTCCTTCCTTTTTATGGGGTTCTCATGTGATTTCTTCTTTCGAGCTTTTCCTATTTTGGATGCCTGTTTCTTGCCGAGATCTAGATTCTCTTTGAACCGTATGATCGCTGTTCTGTATTGGGCATTGTTTTTACTCCATGTATCTGTAATGGGTACCAATTATTTTGTGTTTGCTCGACTCCCGCGGCTGTGAATTTGACTGGATTTCGTTTGTTTTTAATGTCAGAGACCGGAGATTACAGCAATGGTGAAAGAGACAGCTTACTATGACATTTTGGGTGTCAATGTGGACGCCTCAGCAGCTGATATCAAGAAGGCTTACTACATCAAGGTTGCTTTTAGATTTTGATGGCTTGTGATTTAGGTAGCTTTTTGTGGTTTAGGAAATGGGTCGACCAGTATTTTCGAAATGAATTGCTTACCCTAGAGCTTCTTATTCTGCTTTAATTTTTGAAAGCAAGTTTCAGTTGTCAGAATGTACTGGTTTAATGCTGTTATGCAATAGAAAGATTGTTGCTTTGCTGTTCTTTGTTCTTGGCTCTCCTCGTTTATTTTCAATTGTGGCCACCTGTTGCAAGTCGGAGTACAGAAATGAATCGATAGGTTTTATTGGGTTAATACAGAATGTTGGATCCCTTGAATTTCACTCATTGAGAGACATAGAAAGAATGTGCTAATTTCTGTTTGATGACAACCTTTGATATGTTCTTTGCAGGCAAGAATCGTTCATCCCGATAAAAACCATGGTGATCCAAAGGCTGCTGAAAACTTCCAGGTTTTTGCTTGTAGTTTCAGTTCTTCATTACCATATTGCAATAGTGTTTATGGTATTATTTTTAACTCTTCTCTTTCAGGATTCATTTTCTAACTTCACTTCCTTTCTTGTGCCTGTCCATAGAAACTTGGAGAGGCGTATCAGGTGTTAAGTGATCCAGAGAAGCGTGAAGCTTACGACAAACATGGAAAGGACGGCTTATCACAGTAAGTTCATATGGCGATATTGAGAGCTCCCTTTTGTTGCTAAGCCTGGTTCTCCATTGAGCATGAGAATTTCATTTTGACTTTCCCCCAGGGATGCCATGGTGGACCCTGCATCTGTATTTGGTATGCTGTTTGGCAGCGAGTTTTTTGAAGAATATATCGGCCAGCTTGCTCTGGCTTCAATATCGACGATTGAAATTGAAGACAATTTGGATCCTGAAACCCACAGGCAAAGAGTTCAGGAAAAGATAAAGGTTGAGAATCTTTTTATCTGCTTGTATTTATATTGCATCTCATTACTCCTTTACATATTGCGTAAACTTCAGTTGTATTTAGGCCACACACTTTTTTCCATTGAAATCTGCAGGCAATGCAAAAGGAGAGGGAAGAAAAGCTAATAACAAATCTAAAGAATCTTATTGAGCCATTTGTTGAAGGACGGGTGGATGAATTTGTAAACTGGGCGAATTCTGAGGCAGTACGGCTTTCTGGAGCTGGTAAGGTTTTTGTGCTTTGCATTGGCATGATTGATATGCTCATTACTTATGAATGCCTGCTTCCATGTGTTTGGCATTAGCATCCTTCCGATCCATGAAGCGAATATTGAACAATGTTATCAACTCTGACTACATTGGATCCTCTCCTGGGTTAAGGAAAAACTGTCTAAAAATGAGAATGTAATGAAAGTTTACTTTCAACTACTTTCACTTCATCTAATTTGAGGATAATCTTAGACTCTTAGTCCACTTAATTGGTATGAACCTCTTACAGAGCTCTTCTGCGCCATAGTTTGTCACAGAACAACGTGATTGACTAATTCTGAAGTTACATTTGTTGATGTCTTACATGGATTTCAGATACATTGGCAGTTCTGTTTCTGCATATGCTGCTCATGCGTACATGTATTTCAAAGGTTTAAATCTCTTCACTAACAGTTTCCTTTCTATGTTTCAGCATTTGGTGAAGCTATGCTGCACACTATTGGCTATATATATACACGTAAAGCTGCTAGGGAGATTGGAAAGGACAATCGGTACATGAGAGTACCTTTTTTAGCAGAGTGGGTACGTGATAAAGGACACCAAATGAAGTCACAAGTAATGGCAGCATCAGGTATAAAGTGGCACCCTCATCGAATCGTTCTAGGACTCGAGAGAGACATGAATTTATTAATTGCAAACTAAAAACTGAAAATGATATACATTTTGGTTTTCTAGGTGCTGTCTCTCTAATCCAGATACAGGAGGAATTGAAGAAACTGAACCAAGCGGAGAACAAGGAAGAGAATTTGATGAAAGCTGTTGAAGACAGGAAGGACGCTATGCTCCAATCTCTTTGGCAGATCAATGTGGTTGATATCGAGACTACTTTATCTCGTGTCTGCCAAGCTGTAAGCTCTTATATTTCCTTTTCTTAAGCTCATTACACTTTGGTTTATCAAAATTGATTAAATGTGGATAAATTCGGTTCTTTTGGTTTTGCTTCTTCACCTTTCTTTCAGGTGCTCAAAGACCCTTCTGTGTCCAAGGATGTTCTTCGACTGCGAGCCAAGGCATTGAAGAAACTAGGAACAGTCTTCCAAGTGAGCATAGTGTATTTTGACAACTTCAGAATATTATTTATTGACAACTACAGGTTGAAATTGCCAAGTAATATGCTTTCTTTAATTGCTCCACAGGGTGCCAAAGGTCCTTACTGCAGGGAAAACAGCTTGCGCCACGAGAGCCTGGTCAAACCAGCTGGCATGACATCTCAGTCCGTCTGATCTCGAACCACACACCTCATCAAGATTTCACAATATCAAGAGTGCACATAGATGATTATGATCTTATAATCCCTGTAGCATACAGATATGCAGGAGTGCACATATATGTATGGTATGCCCCAATTGGTTGATTATTCATACTCTTGGCTGAGTGTTTCCCTTATGATGCAATGTAAGAGACCTGAACAAAGTTTTATGCTTTGGTTGTGAATGCCCATTTTCGAAAGAGCCCGGTTGTGAAAATACTTTGGATTTCTTGTTTGATTATTGAAGATCAAAAGGGCTATTCTTTGAGATAATGCTAAAGTAATTTGTTTTTCAAGATGGTGGAAGCAATAAGCATGCATCTGGGACAATACGTTCCTACCTTCTTTTCTTCTTTAATTTACTTTGCTTTCCCCCTACTGTGAGTCTGTGACTCTGCAGTTCTTGGATAAGAACTTCTGTATGTATCAACAAGAAGAAGGTTCTGATTAGAACTGTTGTTCTTTCTACCAGTATTTGCTCATCTGCATAAATTCTTCTGTTTGCAACTTAGTAGGTAGGATCAAGGATAAGAATTTACTTGTTTGAACAGAATTAATCGGACTGATAAGAATCGATATATTATTGGGTACTCGGAAGATGGTGGTTCCAACAACGATGTGCGCTTTCATTTGACTTGCTTGGCATGGCAATATTGCCGGCCATCGAGAATCTCAAGCTAAGAGGCATTCAGGTCCTTCATAGGTGTGTTCTTGCTTCGTGTCGAGTTCATCGATCACATATTGGTGCTTTGTGGCTTTAACCTAAACTTTGGTATAGGGTTCTTCTCCCGTCTTTACATAAAAGGTGTATTGTTCGTCTATGTATGTCAAAACATATGCATGATAGGATTTTCAGGATCTAGGCAAGGCCATAATCCTGAAGATCAGGCAAGGCAGGTTTTCTAGTTACAGCTTTACAGAGCCATTATTGCACTTTGAACAAACTAGTGATGTCGATCATCATGCAAACCAAGGGTCAATAATCAAGAGACATCATAACCAAGCTATCAAGTGACAAGGATTGCCATTACATCATTAATTTTCTTATTACTCTCCTGCTTTATTAATTGTGAAACAATTATTTTTTTTATAAGGAATCGTGAAACAATTAAAGTAAGCCACAAACTGAACTTTATCCCACAAACGAATTAACTGTATTTAGTTAGGAGCCTAATCCAACCTAATACTTCATTTTTTACAAGGACAAAACAAAACCCTAGTTCATCCTTACTATCATTCCTCTTTTATCCCATTTTTCTCCCTATAATTGCTTGCTTAGCATCTCCTTCAACATGGTCACACTTTCCATTCTTTGCTTCTGTTAGTGAACTTATTCACAACACATTTGTCGAATTGTATAGATCTCTTTTATTCAAAGTATTACAACACAAAATCGGCATGAAATCCCTCATATGTTATGCATTAGACACTTTGGCAACAAGAGTAAAGACGGTACGGTTCACCTTTTTTAGCATTTATCTAGTTCTAAAAATTGCAACACCACCTCCTCAACATCATGATTCAGGACCAATAAGATCAAATACAAATTTATATAAAGGAATATCGAAATTGTAAGCTAATCGACTGTCTGATGTGCTACCTTGTTTAATTGGTCAATCTCAATCGGCATTTGTAAATAGTATATTGATAAGTGACAGCTTGCATATGAATTAGTCAAGGATTATCATAAAAGAATTGTATATGCTAGATGTACTGTGAAGATAGACCTTGTGAAGACCTTATGGATCTCCCAAATCAATTTGTCACCTTGATTAAAGCTTGTATAACTAATCCAATGTTTATCATTGCTTTAAATGGTCGGTTATGTGGGTACTTTGCTGCTCCCAAAGGGTTAAGGTAAGGTGACACTTTTTTACCCTATCTTTTTGTTCTTGCTATGGAAGTGTTTGATTGTCTTTTGAAGAAAGCATTAAGGAGTGAAAAAATCCCTTTTCATTCGAGATGTAAACCCGGGGGGTCACACATATGTGCTTTGCAGACGACCTCTTGATTTTTACTAATGGTTCGGTTCAAGGAATAGAAGAAATTAAGAAGGTTTTGAGTGACTTTTACATGCTTTCTGGTTTTGCAGTGTAATCCGTCAAAAAGTCCGTTATTTTGTGGTGGATTGGCTAGTGATGAAAAGGAGAACTTGTCCATATGTTCTGGTTTCCCACTTAGCGAGTTTGCTATTAGGTATTTGGGTGTTCCATTGATCACTGAAAAATTGACAAGTCGAGATTGCAAATTCTTAGTGGATAGAAAATTACATAAAAAATCCAAAGTTGGAAGGAAAAATTGTTGAGTTATGTTGGGGAAATCCAACTTGTTTCTTCGATTGTGTATAGTACCTTACAGTATTGGATGAATATGTTCATGCTCACTCACTCTATTTTAAAGGATATTGAAAAGGCATGCAATGATTATTTGTGTGGGACCGATGAAGATAATGTGAGGAATGGTGTTGTGGTTGTCCAACAGTTATTGGCTAGACCAAAAAAGAATGGCGACCTTGGTACCAGGAATTTTTGTATTTGGAATAAATCCTGTCTCATGCGACATTTATGAGATATTTTGGCAAGGGTCTCTTTGGGTTGTTTGATGTCTTAAGTACACAGTCAAACATTGATCTAGTTGGATTTGGAAAGGCGTCTTGAAATGTAGTGATCCTAGCCTAATATGGAATGGAGTTAAGTGGTGAGTATGGTGTAGCGTGAGCGTTGTGCGCGATGGTATGGAAATGTGTGGATGATGCTTCTCTGCAGCAGTTGTGTTTGAAGTTTCAGCAATATGTTCGATGCTTGGCAGCGAGGGAAACTGATTTGCAAATGAGTAATGTTGGGATGGGGAGTTTAAGTTGATAGTTTCGCTTTTGTTTATAGAGTACAGAATCCGTCCCATTTTGATGGTTTGTAATTGAGAATAAGAGGCGAGGCATTGTTTCTGGCTTTCTTTGTGCTCAATGAAATTTGATTTAACCATTAGAAAAATTATTTTGATCTCGAACCTTAATTATTGATATTAATTTTCTTTTCTTCGCTTTGATTCGTCTCGTCCAAACAACTTAAATACAATTCCACTACGCATTGCATGCGTATAGTTTATGCATGATAATTGTACCTCAATTCTATCACAAGAGATCTATGAGATCGATAATAACATCTCTTGCTCGAGACAGGAAGGAATCCAAGGTGGGTGATAAGAGTACAAGATGGAGGATATTAGGATAATTTCCACTTGTGGGTTGTCACACTCAAATTAAAGCAAGTAATATCTATATGTGTCTTGATTTGAAAGATAGGACTAAAGTGTGATTTTCATAAGATTAACACATTGCTAGATAGATAAATTCCCACTAACTTCCACTTCCATGGTAGACGGTAGACTTATAGTGCCCCAACAAAAGCAAAGTGGTCTTCTTTCACCTTTTTGCCCCATTTCTCCACTAATCACATTAAATTAACATATTAAATATGATCATTAATCTCCTTTTAGATGTTATTGTTGTTGGAGAGATTAGTGAGTGGAAACGCCTTGCATTAATATATGGAGGTGAATGTAAACTTAATCAAAAGAAGTTCTACTGCAATATTGAACCAGATCAGAGTGCAATAAGCAGAAGCTAGTAATCAACAATGGAGGTTGATGCTGTGAAGAGACTTGGGAGAGTGGTGTTGCTTCTTCTTCTTCTTCTCAACTTAACATTATTGCCCTTCTTCCCTTCTCCTTGTCTTGCAGGTAAGTGTAATTAATTAGTCTTTTGCTGTCATAATTAGCCTGCAGCGACAGCTAATTGATCTGTACGTTATCAACTTTGAGTTTGGTTCGACATATATTAATAAGAAAGTATCTGTTTCTGCTACCATCGTTTAAGTTTTCAGTTTATGTAGAGAGGCTTATGCCAATAAGTGCATGTTTATTAACTCAATAACTCGAGTGGGATGTATGATTTTTAACCACTTCTTTATGTTATTTTTAACCACAGACCCGTTATATCATGTGTTTTAAAAGAATGGTTAATATTGGGAGTTGTTTGTGAGGACTTAAAACACGAAACTTTAAGGGAAATCCAGATATGATACCATATCATAAACCAACTGATCCCAATAACTTAAGTTGTTGGGAAAGGTCCATATTGTTAAGAACCATTTGACTCTAATAACTTGAGTTGTCGTGAGAGGTTCAATAATGAACTCTATACCAAATATTAACAGACCCCTCAAACGAAAGCCACAATAAGTTGGCTTGAAATTTGCACAGGTCCTAATGCCACGTCAAGAACCCGTTGGTCCCAATAACTCGAGTTGTTGAAAGAGGTTGAATTGTAAATCATATAACACTTGTGAACTTCTGTTCTGGTGCAGCTGGTGGGAGATTCGAGCCGAATAACCATGAGAATTATGACAAAAGCAGCTGGCTGGTGAAGAACAAGGTGCAGTAGTCCATGAGAGGCTGCTGAAGGCGAACACAAGAGACTATGGAAGATACGATCCAACACCAACTCTGTCCAAACCACATTTCAAGCTTCCTAACTGACATCGTTCGATCAATTCAATGATCATCAACAACAGTCCATCCAAACTCGACGGACCGAACCGGGATATGTTATATGGATGTTTGAATCGATGGTGTCATATACCAACTGGTTCCAACAGCTCGAGTTGTTGGGAGAGGCCCATATATAGTACTTAACCACTTCTTTACATATCGATCTAAGGGTTTTCGCTGAAAACTATATATCGAACCGTGAATAGGTTATATGGATGGCAGCAGTTTGTATTCGTAATATATAGAAAACATGAATAATAAGAAGGGATTGGATCACGTAATTGTTTAAGGATATGCTTTAGTAGCAATTAAGTATTTACTTAATACAATATAATGATGGGATGGGAGTGTTTGATTATCAATTTTATAATGCATTTATACATACGAATAGCTAGCAATGGATTGTGTTGGTGATCATTAATTTGATCGTTTTGTAAATGAAAAAGTGATAGAGATTGAGGTTTGAGATATATGGTGGATTTGATTGATGAATGACAAATTCGGGAATAATTCTATGTAAGATGAAAAATATTATAAAGCTCATGGCAATCTTGTACTTATTTAGGAGCAAAATCACGGTCGTGATCTTTGTGCTTCTCTAGTCGTGAACTTGGAAAAGTGGAAGTTCATGACAAGGGGAGGTAAGATCACACATGATCTACCTCCTTCTGGCCATGATCTCGAGAATCATGCTCAAAAGTTTATCAAATGTAATAGACATTAAGTATCCGTGAAACAAATTGTGTCTTCCTCCTATTCATGCTTCAAGTGACTTTCGAATGACGAAACTTGCTCCAAAGTTGTGTTTGATATGCTAACCTACGAAATAAGATTATAAAAATACACTCAAGCATAAAACAGAATAAGGATGAGCAAATTACTAGCCAGTTGACCAAAAATGGTTCAAATTGTGCTAATTAAGTCCTAGATTATCACCAATGGGCTACACTTATCACAATATATTACAATCTAAAATGGCTAAAATATTATTATTAATATTATTACTACTACTACATTCAAATGCCTAACAAATATGCATAATTTAGATATTATCACTTGTGAATCTTATTAATTGTAAAAGAAGTTTATAAGTAACCAATTCTTAAAGACGGAACTACATATAGTCTAAAAGAGGAGAGTGGATCTGGTGACTAAGGGGGTGCTTAGTCACTTGGTTAAACCCCTCATAGCCATTAGATCTGGATACTTCAATCCAATGGTTAAAAAGTGGGAAGAGCTATTTAATTAATGACAGGGGTAGTTTGGGTATTATGGAAAATTACGAAGTATACAAACCAGATTTACAATCAGTACAAACCATACAAACATACGAACAGTACAAACTAGAGCGACAAAACATACAAACAGATTTACAAACATTACAAACGTATGAACTGTACAAACAATACAAACTAGACTGACAAACAATACAAACCATACAAAAAGAAAAAACAACCGGGTTGACTTTAGAGGCTCCATCCCTATATAGAGGGCTCCTTCCCAAAGTCAACCCGGGTGTTTTTTAGACATACAAACAGTACGAACATGGTGGACAAAAATGACAAACTAGACCGACAATCCATACGAACGGGAAAAAACACCCGGGTTGACTTTGGAGGCTCCATCCCTATATAGAGGGGCTCCTTCCCAAAGTCAACCCGGGTGTTTTTTAGACATACAAACAGTACGAACATGGTGGACAAAAATTACAAACTAGACCGACAATCCATACGAACGGGAAAAAACACCCGGGTTGACTTTGGAGGCTCCATCCCTATATAGAGAAGTTCCATCCAAAAGTCAACCAAGTTGTTTTTTAGACATAAAAAACATTACAAACATGGTGCACAAAAATAACAAAGTTTACAAACATTACAAAATAACAAAGCGTACAAACATTACAAAATATGTCAACAAACATCACAAAATTGGCACTGTCGTCGGAAATTTTTTCTCTGTCGACGATGGCCGTCGGAAAAAAATTTTCCGACCAGAAAATCTGTCTCTCTCTCTCTGGCCAATTAATTCACATCCCTGCCGCCAAACACTGGGAAATTCTCTCTCTCTCTCTGGGAATTATTCTTGAAATAATGGCGCATGAGAGCTGGGGAACTCTCCTGCCCAGGGGAGCCACCGCCGAACAACCGGACGGAGACGGGAGGCGGCGGACGGGGCTGCTTAATTTTTTTTATTCATTTTATAATTAAATATAAAAAATAAACATTCAATTACTACATTACCCTTCATTAAATTGGATTAATAGGAGCCCTTGGATTTTAATGAAGTTGTGTGGCTGAGATTCACTTAGCCATGTGACTAAGGAGACCCCCCTTAGTCACCTGATCCCAGCCCCTAAAAGAGGCCATACTCGTATCCCCTCTCCATTTTTTCTGTAGAAACACGGATGCTTAAGCATCCTTAATCATATTAGACTATTAATAGAACGACATCCATGATGTCATACTCATACATAAGCCATTATCTTAAATTCTAGTCGCAAAATGTGTGTCAAAACCAACATCATGATCCTTAAAGGCAAAAGAAGAAAAAAAAAAACAACTTCCCAATCTAAGTAATTAAGAAGTAGTCCAATTCCCCCTCTCGCCTTTGTCTGAGTTTCTACGATTCAAAAGGAAACCAATTGGAAAACTGAGCAAAGAAGAATGGCGACTTGACCTTTCTGAGCCCATTTGGAAGAAAAATGGCCAAGGCGGCAGGTCGGCTTTTCTTAATCTTCCACAAAATAAGATTAGTTTAACGAATTAAGTATGATCTCTTTCTTTCTTTCTCGATCTTTGTCGTTGTTGGAAATTACTGAGTGGAAACGCCTTGCATCAATAGTGAAGGGAAGAGGCCATGCTAGGCCATATATATATAACAGAATCAGCATGTAATGAGAAGAACATAATTAAGAAGAGCTCATAGATAATCATAATTAATTAAGCTAAACACCATCAATTACAAGCTGTCTGGTACTGTTTTGTCATTAGATGGAGGTTCATTATAGCCTGAAGAAACTAGGGAGCATGATGCTGCTTCTCCTTCTCATCACTGCACCTTCTCTTGCAGGTATATACACTTTCGATTCAATCGATTATTTTCGAAGCTTTAATTTGCTGCTAATTAGCCGCATTCTAAATTGATGATTGTTTGCTGGATTTCTGCAAGCAGCTGGTGGCAGAGGAAGCAGCTTCGAAGAGGGACCTGCTGCTGCTGTGACCCCCTCTTTCGAGGTAAATTTAACTCGAAACTGTTACGAACGTGCATGCATGGAACATACTACGCGCGCGTACGCTCGTTGTATTGCTTCCTTCCGAGATTAGTGTCAGCAGCACCATGTCGAAAACCCGTCAGTAACTAACAGAGTTTATGTATCTGCAGGAGAAGACTAGTAGGGGAGGAGCAGTCCATGAGAGGGCTCTGCTGCAGGTGGCAAACACAAATGACTATGGAAATTATGAACCAACACCTACTTTCTCCAAGCCGCCACGGAAGGTCATTCCGAATTGATCGATCGTCTCCAAAATCGTCCTATCATCATATCACTCATCACAATCATCACCTACATACCGATCTAAATCGAAGAATAAGGCATCGGATCCTATCGAAAGCAGCTGTAGCTATAGCTGATTTGTTGTACTACTTCTCCTACTTCTGTTATATTATAACTATGGATGATTGTGTAAATTTCGTGTATCCTAAGCAATCATTTAAATAAACGAGTGTTTGTTTTACGTGAGATCTAATAAATATGCTCTCTATAGCGCTATATATCCTTGCTAATGATATGACTGGTTTATAGAACTGAATATTACAGCTCATTTGACTAACTGAAACTAGCAACAAGCCAGAAAAACACTCAATCAGACTTCACAGCAAAACAAGTAAGAAGAGAGGTAACAATGAGTTACAACCTCATTGGCCTCATCAACGCTTATTCAAAGTTGTGCAGAACTTTTGGCTCGTTTCAATTCCTCTGCTCCATTCCCGGCTCATTGGAGGCAAGGTTATGTGTGCAAGCTGCTGAGATCGTCAAGTTGCCAGCTTCTCAGAGTTTTGACAGCATAGCGCCATGATAAACAAAGTAAAGGCATCCACCCAGTTTCAATCGAACATATCCTCGGAGGAAAAAGAAAAGCTAATTTGTAACCTTCGGAGGTCTTCTTCTCCACTGAACCAACGAGAAATGAGAGGTGGAAGCCATGTAACCCTCTACAGGCTCTCAAATGTCTGCCCGATGGTTGATCTCCTGGGGAAAGCAATAAACGAAAGTTTGAGTCATTACATGGGAGAAGCTTATTATTGATTCCTCCAATGATGTGTGAGTTTGTGTTGAAGTGGTTACCTTGTTCTCGATGACCGTGTCATTTGGGATGTTCAATGTGGTCCCTGGTTCCGCATGGATGCTTACTTTCCCCTACCATAACGAACGATTAGACGAGTATTCAGTTACTGATTTCAATGCAGATGCATACTTGAGCATGATCTCGTGGTCTTTCTGGAGGAAACTGGGTAACCTTAACTTGTTTAGAAAAACATAAAAGACGGAGTCTCCAAGTACCTTAAGACTAACACCCGTTCCAAACCACACATCACCAGTGACTTTCAAGGAGTCCAACTCAACTATGCTAGGAATGGATTGGAAGCGACTTTTGAAGTCATCAATCTGAAAATGAAGAAAAACAAATATTATATATGAAAATTACAGTAGAGGGTCAGTGTTTTATTACAGCAGAACAAGCAATAAATCACCTTTTCAAATTCAGGCCCCAATTCAATGGATGGATCCAAGGGATTGGTTCTGGCTGGATTCCGAACCAGAGAACCATCAACAGCAGAGTAAATGTCAGACTGCAAAAAAAGTAGACAAATTGCAAAATAGACATTAACCTTCTTCCGAGATCAGCACAAAAAGAACAAATGCTACAGATAGTACCTTCAAACGAAGCAAGTCAGATGTTGCATTTAGTTGAAGAAACCGAGATTGAGGAACATTAATGCCAATGGCTTGGTTAAATAACTGCCCAAATACAATAGACCAGATGGCGACATCAGAAGTAAATCACCAAGCATCCAGATTAGAGGATAAAAATTGAGTCTATCTTACCCATATTGGTAAATCAGCTGCATTCTCTTGCTGCGGAAGTTGATTGTCTTCTACTTCCTGAAAATGTACGATAACCATTTCACTTGTCCACTGTTTGTTGAACATGAAGAATTAAATTGATGATTAATGGTCACATAATCCTACCTTGGAGATGGAAAGATTCTCCACCGGCAGAGAATTTGTATCAACAAGCCTTTTGATAGCTTTCAAGCTCACCCACCTGTTGAAATACATTATTAAACATTGTATATTTGTATAACCAAGTCAATGCACAATCCATTAGAGTAAAAGGAACTCACAATGTTTTTGTATCAATCAACTTGAAATTCTCCATCGACTGCAATTTTAGATCACCACAAAACACAAGATGCAAATGAGTAGACTAAATGATAAAAGCAACCTACAACAACACATTACTGGAAAATAAAGCTGTTAACTCACGTGTGTGGGTGCATCATCTGCAATTTCCGTAAGCTGAAACAGACATTTCTCAGATATTATATGGTGGCTTAGGTACAACAAAGAAGGCTCTCAAACCACTAAATTGCTAAAAGTTGTCAATGATTCTAGTCAGTACTACTGATCAGATTCGTAAAAGAGTTAGTACATTAGTGGCCTAAGTCCCCAACAGAAGACTTGCTTATAAAGCACAGAACAAATGAATGTAAACTTGCCTGAAACTTTCCTTCAGACTCATTAACCATAGGGTTTGTTGAGTAATATGATGTTGTTGGCGTCACCTAAACAACATCAGCAATTAAACATGTTCCTCTTTCCAATTGTAAAGCACAACCAAGAGCAATAACAGTTGAGTTAGGGTACCTCCATGCAGTACTCAATTTTGTTCAAGACCAAATGATTCAAGATCTCTGTAAACACAAATAAAGAAACATTCGTCAAAATATTATGCCATCTGAAAGACGAGGCAAAATGTAATATCATTAACCGAAAGATTAAAATATACAACAAAGCATAAAATAGTGGGAAGTAGGGTCTGTACTGGCATCAACCACCGCAGCTGAGTTGTCCGAGCTTATAACAAGTACATACTCCTTCCCCTGTAAACATGTCCAAAGGAAGTAATTAAACATGCAAACCTCAACAAGCCTTCTGGAAAGTAGTGTCCATGAAAAAAGACAGCAAAAACAAATGTGCACCTTCACTAGTAAGACATCTAGTGCCCCACTATTAATCAGGGAGCGGAATGCTGCTGCTTGATCAGAAGGGTGCCTTCAGGTGGAACATATCAAAGTCTAAGTTCAAATTTTTTGTCACAATCAGAAAACAGTACTTTTGGGAAACAAACGTAAGGCCCTTTTACAGGCCTTAGAAGGCTAAAGAGAGAAGGACAAACAATGATAATGAGAAAGAAGCTAAGGTACAGAAGGAAGATACTGGATATCTGGCCTCTTAAACAGAGAGAACAGAGGAGTGGTTTGCCATAGGAGTTTCACGAGTTCATAGTTGAGGAAAAGTATATCAATCATTAACAGGGTAAGGAAATACTAATTAGTATCCCCTGATACTAATAGTTAAGGTCACAAACTTGACTGACGTCCTAATCATAAAGAGAGAATGAAGGACCAGAGATCATACGGTTTATTCTCGGTCTCCTGTAGGCCAGATGATTCCGCAGACTGTTGGCCCTAGATACATCAGATCATGCCATTTTAAGTCAATAAAGTGCCTAAAACATATATGACTCGGTTCACACATGAAAACAGTATACATAACAAGAAACCTGTTGAACTGGAAGAATATCTATGTTTGACCTGGAAATTTTTTCCAAAACCTACAACATGAAGGCCGAGAATTAGATTTAGCCAATTTATGAAGATGAACTCAAGAAGGATACATGATCCACTTACTTTAGACGTATCATCATGAGTGTTGCCGGAGTTTATAAGCACCAGTGGGATATCCGACCCATACTTCTGATTAAGAGTCTGGAAATGTAGCATAATAAGTGGAACTCAGTCTAGAGTACAGATGTGACAAAGAAAAGACAATACTAGAAAGACCAATGTGATTACCTGAATTTGATTCACAATCATGTCGAGAGAAGTCAAACCATCACATACTTCAACTAGGGACCTACACATAGAAGTAAGTTGGGGGTTAGTAAAGAAAATTTATTAAGCAAACCTCACTAGAGTTATGTATAAATAAAGACAAGGCAGGAATATAAGCAATTATATAACATAAAGGCTGCTAACGAAACACATGACATTGAAAGTATAACAATTCCACATTGTTGAGCACACACTTAAGGGTGGAATAGAAGCAATTATTATAATATAAAGGCTGCTAATGGAATATATGACATGGAGACTACCAACATTCCACTTTGTGAGCACACACTTATCGAATTTTAGATGCCAGACAATTCTAAGATTCTAACTCTCCGGATTAATGAACTTTTTTAAATGTTCATTTTGAGGTAACTGTGATTGTTAACATTCGATAAAAAACATCCAACAAACCTATACTATTAGTTATACATGTTATCAATGCAGGGAAGCATGGTGCTTACTTAGGGCCATTAAATCCGACAGCCGTTCCCAAAGTACCATTGAACTTCACCACCACAAGCTTATCCAAGATCCGCTTAGTTTCAACAGAATCTACATTTGGACAAAACAAATTGCTTCTGACATCAGTACAGTGGTAATTTAGCCAGTTCATAGACTTTGCAATGTGTAAATGAAACAAACCTCAGATAAAATAGAAGGGAATTACCTTCAAAAATAGGAGCTAAGCTGTCATAAGGAACAACAAGGACTTCATCGGTTACAGAGCTTATTCTCTTCATATTGTCAACTTGGTGGACCTCCTTTCTACAATGCAGAATTTGGATTAGAACTTTTATTGACCAACTAACCAAACTATGCAACTGTTTTACCTTTCTTAAGAATATAGAAACAAAAAGTTAAGTCAACTATTGACATCCATTCCATAGGCTAAATGTTCAGTGTCAATGGAGACAATAACACTCTCTGTCACGGAACCAAGTGACATCAGACGAATAGGCAGCAATAATTATTCTGCCCAAGCAATACTCAGGAGCAATACGTAAATTCTATCAGGATAGATTACCCAAGTTCTTTTGTTGAAGTTTCTGGTTCATCTTCAACTATATCTCCCTTTGCTTCTCTCATCTTCTTACGCTCAAGCAAGAAAGTTTTAGTAATGATGTTACAGAACAAGTACACGAACTCCATTGAATCATTAGCAGGCACAGGATAAGCAATCTTCTCATAGTAATCCCTTGGCAAACTTGAATCTACCAATGCTACAATGGGAACTTGAAGCCTAGCAGCCTCCAAAATCACTGAACTCTTCCTGTCCGTATCCAGCACCACAACACAATCTGGCGGTTGTACTGGCGCAAAACAAACCTTTTAGAAGAAACAAAAAAGTGAAATCGTTTACTTCAAAAAACAAGGAGAAGAAGAATTGGAGAAATATAATTAGTCTCTTAAGATTGTGCCAGAATATATTAGATTCCAATTGCATGGATTTAAATTTCATGCTTTAGGTCTTTTCGACCAGCTGATTCTGTTTCCTAGAGTTTGATATGGACAAGGTATGCTATTACCAACAGAACCTCCTTTAAAATGATAATCAAGCAAGGTCAATCCAACAAACAGGTGCCACTGCCAGGGATATAAACTTCTGCACGCGAACTCTAGATATTTCAACCAAAAGGAACATGTGGCAATTATCTGTGAACTCCAATGGCGCATTATCAGCATTCAAATTCCATGGTCCTAACAAATGCATCAAAATAAACCCACTCTGATGCACTATTCACAACTACTCATACAAGAGAAAAAATATAGTCAGGTGCAAAGAAAGAAGCAAACTTTAACTCAGACCAATCACATAGGAAACATTGGAAAATGCAAACCTTCTTGTTTCTGGAACGGAACTTCTTGGGACTGAAACTGTTGGTCAAAAACCCACCCATTTTCCAAATGACCTTATCCCTTGGACTATACAGCCCAATCTTCTTCGTCATCTGCTCCACTATCTCATCAAAAAGCGGATTGGTGTTGACAAACAAGAACCGGGCTTTCTTCTCTCTAGCCATCTGTGCAATAAAGTTGGTAGCATTCCGAAGACATATCAGGGTTTTGTCGGAATCAATTATGGACACCCCACCCCGTGTTCCTTCAGTGAAGATCTTGAAGTGGTGAGCCACCGCTCGCTTTCCCAAATGTGCATTGGTGTTGAGTAGTTTCTGGATAACAACTGAATGTATCGTCATCCCCGGACCGGGTTATCACCAGTGGCAAGCGGCAGTTCCGAGAGAGCAAGCTAGCTCAGAGACAATCAAACAGACAGCACTCCCCGCTACTATACCATCTGCAATTACTGCAAAATTGAGGATGGAAAGGAGAGTAAGAAGCAAACACAATGTCAGCATGTTCTGATTCAAGAGAAATCACAACTCCTCTAGCCATTTCTCCACGGAATTTGAGCAGGTCAAAGTGAAACACGAAAACCATACTAATACCCTCCAGTGTATTTCCAAGCTTGCATGTTCGAAATTAACACTTGATAGTCAGATGTGAACCCTCAAAGGAAGACTAGCTCGGTTGTAAACCCTCCGAAATCTGAATTAAGCTTAATTACGAAGAATTTACTCTAAATAGAAAACTACAGTCTACAGCAGATAGAAGTGTGGACCGAGCAGACCACGCATTAGGGAAACGAAATAAGGAAACGAGGGACTTGTTCTTCTCATTCAGTAGACTCGTCTAAGTACAAGATTACCGATTAGTGGAACAGGATTGGAGGACAATGGAAATTAAGACAGAGAGAGAGAGGAATCAAACCCGTCGAAGAGGAGCTTGGTGCTTCGGCGGGAGAATGAGGATCGGCGGGCGGCGGCGGCGATGGAAGGGAAGGAGAGCGAGAGTCTCGGCGGGAGGCTGGATGGAAGAGAGTGAAAAGGGCGGCACTCGGCAGGTGGGGAAGGCTTTTACTGGGTTTTAATGTATGGGCCGAAATTAATTGGAATTTTTATGGGCTTAGCCCAATAATGAGACGGTCATGGTTTCACGTTTATTCTTCGAGGGCCCAATAGCCCATGGGACTAAAAAAAAAGGAAAATGGGAAAATATGGCGTTGCCACTCAATACAGAAAAGGAAAATGAGAAAATAACTGAAACTATGCCTGAGAAAATAATTCGGACTGTCTGAAAAATTCAGTGGATCAAGTCAGATCACATAATTTGATCTAAATCGTATATCATTAAGAATGATTTTGGTTTGGTTCATGATTTATATTATATAAAATATATTTTGATCTCTTGATGTAATATGATTCAAATCTCGGATTTACTGAATTAGACTGACGACTGTGGACCCAACACACTTTTTTTCATTCGTGTTAGTCGCCCACTCTCCTCACCCATAAACGAGCACTAAGTCTCTCAGCCCTAATTTTACGAATCTAGTCCCCTACTTCACTTAAAAAACTTCCCTCCATAAGAGAGTAGAGACCAGAGACGATAACGTTTCCACAAGACATTATATTAATGCCTACGATGTTATGGTAGAGGTTGGGTTTCTCTGACTGTCATTATTATTCCCTTGGATTCATAGTATCAAAATTTGTGTCTTATATTTTGTTATCTAAACTATTTAAATTTCGTAAATAGTTCATATTTTATAAGGGTTTTTGTATGCTTTAAGAAATTTGCGATATACTTTAATAAATTCGTGATTTGCTTTAAGAAAATTATTAGCACATTAGAGTATGCCACGACTCAATTATTCTTCAAATTTTAAATAATATATTTCGTACATATTTTAATGTCAATAATATTTGAAGAAATATACTGAGAAATTTTGGAAAACTATATCATTTTGTAGTTTGTACAGAACAGCGAGGCAAGGAAAAAGAAGAAAAGGTGGGGCTACGTGGCGGAAAATCTTGAACCAGTAGACGTCGGCTAAACAAACTCCGTCAGGAAACGGTGAAGCCGCGAACCATTTACAGAATGGAGGGAAACTCGAAAAGCCAAAAAGAAAGGAAATTCTCAACGGCGTTACGTAAAACCGTTTAAAACGACTTCCATTTACATTCCTCCGGCTCTTCTCCTGCTTTCCTTCCCTTCTCCATTTCTCTCTCCCCCTCACTTTCTGTAACCAGAAAGAAGAGAATAGGAAGGAAGCCACAATCATAAGCAAGCTAGCAGCAGCCGCTCTCAGTCTCTCTTTCTACAGGATTGTCTTCTTCCCGTAGAAGCTCTCGCTTCCACCGGCCATGGCGGTTCTCGTAGGCTGCTGAATTTCAGGCGGCGCCCGTCTCCCCCATCCCTCGTTTCGAGTCAGGTGCGGGGATTTCTGTTGCTTTGAAGTTCGTCGAATTCGATTGCTCGATCTCAAATCAGCTTGTTTATCGTTATGCGGTGGGGTGGTGGTTCTATTCCCCTCTGTTTAGCTTCTTCTTCGTTGTTTTACTAGGATCGGTTGACTCGTGTGTTCAACTTTTCCTCGCCTCCGTCTAGATTTTAGGGGTTTTCCATCTCTCTAATGGATATTTCCGCTGGGATATTTTTTGTTTGTTTCTCCGGGTTCTATTATTAGGGATTATTGACTCTGGACTCACTATTCGCTCCGCCTAAAGAGAAGGCGAATTTTGATTCGATTTTCCGGCTGCTTTGTTTATTTTTATAATTGTATTTTAGTTTCTCTATTGGGATTTGGTTTGTTTGTTTTGTTTGTTACCTATGATGTGAGCTGCCAGAGGGGTTTTGTTCTTGTTTGGTGAGAGTTGGTGTGAATGGTGAGTTCGCTAGCAAAGAGAAGGAAACCAGGGGAAATAATAATAGTTTAATTTGTTTCATTTCGTGGGTTGATTGTTTTTCTGGGGCTCTTTGATGTTACCTGTGTGAACTGTATTTTGGTGGGTTCTCCGGTTAGATGAGGCCATTGAATTAGAGCTTGTCCCCCATTCTATGTTTTAGTTCATTCCGAAATATGGGCTGGCGGAGCTGAAGATCAAATCTATCTCTCTCACGTCCTAAAAATCATATGAAATCTTTGGTTAAGGTCTCTTTAGTCTTGTCTGGTTTATTGGTTGATGAGGGCTTGTTTTGATTTTTCGTTGGCCGGTTTGAGCCTTGTTGAGCTGAATCCATCATTTGGCTAGCAGGGGCTCTCTCTGGTGTTCTTGAGGTCAATAGTTGTTGTACGAGGTTATGGGTAGGTTTTTTTTTTATAGAAAGGTTATGGGTAGGTTAGAGTTAGGATGAGTTTCTGAATTTTTGTTTTTTAGGCTTGCTCCTTTTCTGTGAAGTAATTCTTTGAGGGGTTATCAATGAATTCCATTTTGCTTCCTAATTCTGGAAACTTGCACATGGTTTTCTGGGCACCAAATTAATGGGACATTAAATTCTAACCATTGCTTTTGTTGGTGTTGCAGATATACAAAACTGTACCTGGGTTCTTTCCTCTTATGGTGATATTGCTGTTCCAGTGCTGGGTTTGAAATTTTGAGCATGTGATTGGGAGTTTCTTCTTATCCATACCAGAATAGTCTTCTTTAGCGTGCTTTGAGAATGGGAGGCGCTTGTTGCGTTGCTGCTAGAGACAGAAACATAGTGAGTGGACCTGGAAGTGATATCCTGCACAGGAATATTCGGCATTCACCAACATGGAGCTTTAGGTGGGATAACCGACGGCGGGTAGCTGGTGAAGATGCTTCGATAAGCTGGTTTTCTAATGAAACCAGTCGAAACGATGGATCCGATGCTAAATATGAATCAACCTATGCATCGGAAGATGGGAGTCCATCAACTAGTGCTAGGAGACATACATTTCAGAAGTCTCCTCTATCTGACAGGGCTCTGGGCCCCCTAACTACTCCTGCTTCAGGTTAGTAGCGGTGATGCAGCAATCAATTTGCATAAATTTCGTGTGATGCTGTAGTTTTAATTGTCAATAGTCTGTCCATCTGACTTCCGTGGTTAGCTTCACTCGAAAATCTCTGTTCAATCTCTTGCTACTACCATTCTATTATTGAGAGATACTTCTTAGTATTCTGGAGCCAATTCTTTCTTGGAATGAAGAATATAGCTTTTCCTACAATGAGCGTGAGATTCGGATATAGGCATTTTGGTCCCCTGTGTCTTGCTTTACTGGGCTGCTCATAAGCTTTATGCCATCATCTCTGTCAATAGTTGTGTTGTCTAGGCTACTGCATCTAAGTAATATAGCTAGTGTTGGGTGATTAGTGTCTCCAAAGCTGAAATAGTAGATTGTGAATAGGAATCTTAAGATGTACCAATCTTCGTTCTCTGTTGCACTATCGCGAGTTGGGACAAACTGGTTATATCCATTTCACGAAGTTAACTTGTTTCCAGTTTGGTTGTTTGGGATACTTTTGAAAATTATGTGCATTGGAGAAGAGTGACTGTTCTAGGTGATTATTTTCCATTTTAAAAATGGCTTTCAATCGCTTTGCGATATGCTCCGTGCTCCGTTGAGCCTCGATGTATTGGTAAACTTTAGGTTTTATGGTACAATATAATTGCCGAAAGTAGTTTGCTTCCCCTCTCCAAGTTTCTTTGGTTGATATATATTGGTATGTGGCAAGTATCCGGTGCATTGCCCCAACTGACATAGAATCGCCGTTCTAGCTCTGTGTAGATTAGTTAGAACTGGGAATAACAGGATCAGGGAACACTTGTATTAGCATGGAACAAATGGTAGCAATACAGGTTTGAGATACAGCTCTGTTCTGAAATCTGGGTTGAGCAAGGAGAGAGTGGATGAGCACATATCCTCAGGAGTAGATGATGTTGTATACTATGGCTTGTGGTTGTCCTTTTACTAATCTGTTTCATATGCACGTTTGTGTTTTCCTTCTCCAGCTATCAATGGTAGGCTTTTCTCATAAAGTATTTCCGTTTCACTGCACGTTTGTGTTTTTCTTCTTCAGCTATCAATGGTAGGCTTTTCTCATAAAGTATTTCCGTTTCACTGCACGTTTGTGTTTTTCTTCTTCAGCTATCAATGGTAGGCTTTTCTCATAAAGTACCCACTGACTGTCTTCATTTTGTGTGGCCTGTTTCATCGAGGAACTACACCTGTTGTTTTTTATATTTGGTTTTCAAGTTCCTGAAATCGTTTTTCTTTTCGTTTCAGATCAATCCATATCAAGGAATGCATCGATGGATACAAATGTGGAACAGGTAAATGTGTATTCTCTGGTCATGTTATTCTGTCCTGGCTCCCACTGTTGCTAACTATTCCCTCTGTTTTAGGTGAAGGAGACTGAAGGGCCCCCGGCAACTTCAAATCACTATACCTCCAATTTATCCCTTTCATTGCCTTCAACTTCATCGTTGTCAAACTCTCCTATGTCAACGGCTCAAAGCCACTTGCTTCCCGCCAGCTCAACCAAGGCAACATGGTCCCCAGGGCAAGAAGCATCGGGCAGCAAAAATCCAGAATTGAAGACAGGTAGTGAAGACAACAGGTTTACAAATCCCTCATGGAGCAATGAATCTACTCGAGGCTCCCATGGAGGGTCTTCCGATAGTTGGTCTATGCTTGCATTCTCTGAACTCATGGCCACATCTAATAGAGAGAGATGGTCCTTCGACACCACCGAGTCATTGGGGGGTTCCAATCGGGGGAAAACCAGAGGGCACGGTCACCAAAAATCTGCTTCTTCTTTCTCTATGGATCTACAAACATGTGGAATATGCTTGAAGCTACTAACCGAGAAATCCGTGTGGAGCACCCGGAAGCTTATTGCAAGCAACGAGCTATCTGTTGTTGCAGTTTTAACTTGTGGCCATGCTTACCATGCCGAGTGCCTGGAGACTTTGACACCAGAAATTACCAAGTACGACCCGTCTTGCCCTATATGTACACTCGGGGAGAAGCAGACTCTGAAGCTGTGTCGGAGAGCCATGAAAGCTGAGATGGACTTGAAGGCGGCCAAGAACAAGAAATCCAGGAGCCGAGTTGTGGACAGTGATCCTGATGAGGATTCCTTAAATGGTGATCATGTCAAATTTCCTGGACGTGAAGAAAGGAAAGGTCCCAAGTTGGGTTCCAGTTCCAGCATGAAAACCAGCACATCGAAACCTTTCTTGAAGCGACATTTTTCATTCGGATCGAAGGGGGCTAGATACACATCAGAGAATCATCATTCGACTAAAAAGAAGGGATTCTTCTGGACGAGATCTCTCAAGGGATGACGATCTCCGCTTTCTAATCAGCTATAGTACCAGGTCAGTACATTACAACTCCTTTTCCTAGGTTGGTTTCAAAACCAGAGAAGTTTTAACTGTTTTAGTATTTCACCTGTCAACAGTTATATCCGGAAACTCACTACTGTAACTATAATCTCGCACAGATTCTAGAATGGATCTCCTATGCATTGGGAAAAGATGGCACGTCTGTGGTAGAAGAGAAAAGAAGAGCATCTATTCTTTGCCTAGGACGATTGCACATCTTTGAGATGTGTCAACCACGCTTATGATTGTGGTTGTGGGAACTACACTTGTAAAGATAAGGAATTTGTAGTAGGAAAAGGTAAAAAGAGAGAAGGGTCCACGTAGGGAAGAAGAACTCAGTCAGTTCAAAGGAAGAAGGAAGAAGGAGGGCGCCACAGTACTCAATGGTGTCCTTATATTATGTATAGATTGATTCGTTTTCCTGTTTGTTGCTTGGAAACTATTCAATGAATCTTCTGGGAATCCAACTCATATGCTTGTATCTGGCTTTGCTGAATAATGTTAGCTCCAAAATTTCATTACTTGCCTCTTGTTTCCTCTCCCGAAGGATTTCTTGTGTTCTACTTTGGTTTCAATCTGACCACTGTATTCTGTTTGCGGTCAGGTCAGTCCAGTGTACGTGTTAATGTGTATGGTGAATTTCAAAGGGTAAATGAAAAAGCAGGTTTGGATCAAGATCAGAAGATATGAGCATTGCATGAAGTGGTAGAGCTAGAGGGTGACACGTGGACCTAATTGTTTGCTAACGTGGCTGGTGCAACATAAGGTGACACGTGTAAGAAACCCAGTACAGGTTGCATTCGGTGGAAGATTTTGGCGGGCATGCATATGTTTTATCTATATAATCTCTTTTCTTCTGGCTCTGTCGGTCTTCACCGTTAATCAGTCTCTGCATATATTTCGTCATCTGAAGTTTCCGCTTTGCTCAAAGGTGATTGTGAACCCGAAATCAGGGAAAATGGCACAATTGAGGGACGAGTATGGGAACCCGGTGGAGCTGAGGGACGAACTCGGCAACCCGGTTCAACTCCGAGATGAACACGGCAACCTTGTTCACATCAAAGGGGTGGCAACCACCGGCGGTGGCACCGAAAGGAGGGAAGACGAAGGGCCACCGTCTTCGGCGGCAACTACCGGCCCTCGTACCCTGAGGAGAGAAGGGGAAGGGCCGGTGGAGACCACTCACCATCATACGTTGGGTGACGTCCTGAAGGATACTGGTCATGCAACTGAGCGGACCGCTGGCGATGCCCTGAGGACTACAGGTCACGCCACAGAGCGAGCCGCTGCCGGCACTGCAGTTGTCGGAGGCGGGATTCTCAGCGGTGCTGCTGGGGTCACCGGCCAAGATTACGCGTCATCGACTGACGCGAATACAACCACGACAACAGCTCCGGCGTATCCTGAACATCATGAGAAGAAGAGTGTTATGGAGAAGATCAAGGAGAAATTGCCTGGCCACCGTGGGCATGATCAGCTTAATCATTAAAGAGGAATGCGTGATAGGTTTTTGTTTACAGAGACTTGTATCCCCTGTTTTCTGGTCTAGCCACCACCCTCTAGAATAACAACACCCCTTTTGTCCTTACTGTAACAACAAGGGTATAAGGGTAAAATTACAAGAAAATTAAAAAATAAAAGATAGAATTAAAGAAGGAAGAAAAGCGTGTTTCTCTTCCGATCCCCAATCCTTCAGATCTCACTGTCTTCTTCCTTCGTTTCTTCTTTCTCCTAGCGCCGCCGCCGTCGATCGATGCCAATCCAAACAACCAAGCACGGACTTCCCTGGAGAAGGTGGAAGAGGATCGAGGGTCGAAACAGTTGTCGATTTCGCCGGGCTGGCGGTCATTCACCCACGAGAACTCGCTGCCTGAGTCGTGCATTAAATGGAGCTTTGTTTTCGGAGTGCCGAAGCCGCGGCGACGAGGTAGTTTCCGCTGCCGAGGGAGCAGCTTGGCGACGACGAAGTCCAGCTTGGCGAACCATGACCCTTTGAACACGAACGTGCCGCCGCTCTCTTTCACGACTCGATCGACGAAGCCGTGGAGATCGGTGGTTGCATTCCAAAGCAGGGCCGGAAGCATGCCCACCACCGGCCATTCGACGACGGAAGCGTTTTTGCTCTTGGATAGAAATGCTATCGAGCACCATAGAGATATGAAGAAGAGAAAAGATAGCAGCAAAATAGCTATGATCGACATTCTTCTAATCTTCTTCTATGGCTTAGTTGATATTGAATGAGCAGGGGTCGTGGCTGTGGGAGATCTTCAATGGATCTGTTGATGTATATAATTGGTAGTGAGAGGTCTAAATTTGTCCAGAATTTACATTTGAAATTGGGGCCTATAATTGGCAATAGCGTTATTCTGCTAACCCTTTAAGTGGTTAGCAGATACTAACAGGGTGGGATATAGAGCCACGTCGCCAAGCCACCATCGGAGGGTGAGGGGTCGTCGGCGCTGTTCTGTGAGGGGGGGAGATTTTTTGGGCCAAGTCGAGCCACTTTTGAAAAAAGTGGGGCAGAAATAAAATAAAAAAACCCCCCAAATTTCAAACCCAAAACCCACCAAACCCGCGTCATCAGCCATTCTCTCTCCCCTCTCTCCAACTTTCGAACCCTCCTCCCTTTCTTCTTCTCCCGAAAACCGCAGAAAACCACCGCGCCACTGAGGTCTGCGACGGCGACGAGGAAAGCGACGGCGACGATGGCAGCGAGGTCGGCGACCGCTTGTTGGATCTCCCGCCGCCGCCGACGTTGACGCTGGACCAACCGACGAGGAAGAAGAGGCCGCCGACAAAGAAAAAAGAAGAAGAGGGAGCCGACTTCGCCGACGAAGAAGCCCGCCGCCGTCGTCGCCGATAGTGGAAGGTAGAAGAAGACTGAGGTAGTTCTATTTCTCTCTTTATTGTTCATTTTGTTTATGGATTTGAATATTTATGTTAGGGTTTCGGTTTCATGAATTTTTTTTTGTGGAAATCTAGGTTTTGTTTATGGATTTGATAATTTATGGTTCATGCAATTCGATTTAGGGTGTTTAGGGTTTTGATGCTGGATTACATATATTTGATTTAGGGTTTCATAGATTCGACTGGATCTGACTTTTTTTTTTTGCTTCGTTTTTTGTATATGAGATTCATTGTTAGGGATCTGGGATTCTTGTAGGGGGATTTGAGATTCGATTTGGGGGATCTGGGATTCTTTTGAGTTGGGGGATTTGGATTTCTTTCGATTTGGGGGATTTGGGATTTTCTGTGGCTGGATTACATATATTTGATTTAGGGTTTCATAGATTCGACTGGATCTAAGTTTTTTTTTTCGTTTTTTGGATCTGAGATTCATTGTTAGGGATCTGGGATTCTTGTAGGGGGATTTGAGATTCGATTTGGGGGATCTGGGATTCTTTTGATTTGGGGGATTTGGATTTCTTTCGATTTGGGGGATCTGGGATTTTCTGTGGCTGGATTACATATATTTGATTTAGGGTTTCATAGATTCGACTGGATTTGAGTTTTTTTTTTTTTTGCTTCGTTTTTTGGATCTGAGATTCATTGTTAGGGATCTGGGATTCTTGTTGGGGGATTTGAGATTTGATTTGGGGGATCTGGGATTCTTTTGATTTGGGGATTTGGATTTCTTTCGATTTGGGGGATCTGTGATTTCTTGTTGGGGGATTTGAGATTCGATTTGGGGGATCTGGGATTCTTTTGATTTGGGGATTTGGATTTCTTTCGATTTGGGGGATTTGTGATTTTTTTGTGGCTGGGATTTCTTTCGATTTGGATTTCTTTTAATTTGGGGGATTCGTTTTTTGATGTCGATATTGTTTGGGGTTTCTGGATTTTGCTCGTTAATTTGATATTTTTTTACCTGGAAAATTGTTTAGCTGGCATGGGATACCATTTAGTTTAATGTGGATATTGTTTGGTGGTTGATTGTTCGGATATTGGTTATGTGATGCATAGATATTTGTATGCTAGGTCTGGATATATTTATGCCCTGTATGGATATTAGTTCAATGATATTAGTTCTTTTAAGGAATTGCTTCTGGATTTGGGGGATTTGGGTTCTTTCGATTTGGGGGATCTGGGATTTTCTGTGGTTGGGATCTGAGATTAGATTTGGGAGAATCAGGATTCTTGTTATTTGATTTAGGGTTTCATGGACTCAATTGAATTTGAGTTCTTTTTTTGTTTTTGCTTCATTTTTTGCATTTGAGATTCGTTGTTAGGGATCTGGGATTCTTGTCGGGGGATTTGAGATTCGCTTTCTATGCATTGGGATTCGATTTGGGGGGTTCTGAGTTTTGCTCGTTAATATAGTAATTTGTTGACATGAGATATTATTTAGCATGATTGGGATACCAGTTCGTTGAATGTGGATATTGTTTGGGGGGTTCTGAGTTTTGCTCGTTAATATAGTAGTTTGTTGACATGTGATATTATTTAGCATGATTTGGATATCAGTTTGTTGAATGTGGATATTGTTTGGGGGTTCTGAGTTTTGCTCGTTAATATGGTATTTTGTTGACCTGAGATATTATTTAACATGTTTGGGATACCAGTTTGTTGAATGTCGATATTTAGCATGCCCATGATGCATGGATATTTGTATGCTAGGTCTGGATATTTGTATGCCCTATATGGATATTAGTCTGGACTGTGCATATGCCTAATGATTTCTTTCCATGTATTTCAGGAATTTTGCAAGATGACAAGATCCAAAAGATGTTCGATTCCAGCTCCTCCATGAGAAGGGGAGGTGGAGGCACATCACTGGCTAAAACTATTGCTTTCTCATTTCTTATGTGGTTGTGCTTTTTCGGATTTGAGATTCTGGGATTGCCAAGTTGTAATGGCATTGATTACTAGTTTTATCGCGGTTTGTCGATAAACAATTTGAGTTTGTTATTCTGGAATATTATTATGTTAGGGTCTGGATATTAGTTATGAAATGTATTGATATTAATATGCGCTGTCTGGATATTATGCTCTCATATTAGTTCTGTGAGGTCCAATGTTACTTAAGTGAGTCTGGATATAACACAACCAAATATTCGATCGTCCTAAACTAATATCCGCAAAGTTTAATAAAGACATGGATACTGGGTTGGTGAAGGATGGATACTAAACACAGAATAATAGTTCATTTCAACGATGATACTAGTAAGTAGATAAATAAATAAGGATAAGACTCCCCCACAACATGGATACAGTTTCGCCGGTGTTATCGTCATCATCCGACTCTGAATTGAAAATGAAAAACAACTCAACAAGGACCTCAAGGAACATCGACACAAACCAATCCATGTAAAAACCACAAACCTTGTCATACACGTCCACATAGACACCCTTCTAATATCCATTCATTGCAAAACTAATATCTAATAGTTGTAACCTAAACCGTGAACCCTAAACTCTAAAACCCTAATCACTAAACTCTAAAAAATAAAAACTATTATTGTTTGCCCAAACCGAGAATATTCAAAGGCTCCACACAAATATCCAAACACATGAACTAAAGGAATATTTTCTCAGGTTCAAATAAATATCCACACAACCCGGACAAATATCACAATATTTTAAATAAAAATCCTGTGGTTAGTAAAAAGTATTACAACTAGCAAAGACAAGTATCCACAACACACTAACTAATATCTTACATTTGTACCCTAAACTCTAAACTCTAAAACACTAATCACTAAACACTAAAAAATAAAACTATTATTATTTGCCCAAGCCGAGAATATTCAAAGGTTCCACACAAATATCTAAACACATGAATTAAAGGAATATTTCCTCAGGTTGAAATAAATATCCACACAACCCGGACAAATATCAAAATATTTGGAAGAAATATCATGTGGTTAGTAAAAAGTATTACAACTATGAAAGACAAGTATCCACAACACTCCAACTATTATCTTCTATTTGTACCTTAACCCTAAACCCTAAACTCTAAATCACAAAACACTAAAAAAATAAAAAAATTATTGTTTTTCCAAGCCGAGAGTATTCAAAGGTTACACACAAATTATCTAAACACATGAACTAAAGGAATATTTCCTCAGGTTCAAATAAATATCCACACAACCCGGACAAATATCAAAATATTTGGAAGCAATATCATGTGGTTAGTAAAAAGTATTACAACTATGAAAGACAAGTATCCACAACACTCCAACTATTATCTTCTATTTGTACCCTAACCCTAAACCCTAAACTCTAAACTCTAATCACTAAAGTCTGATAAAACAAAACTATTATTGTTTGCCCAAGCCGAGAATACTTAAAGGTTACACACAAATATCTAAACACGTGAACTAAAGGAATATTTACTCATGTTCAAATAAATATCCACACAACCCGGACAAATATCAAAATATTTTGAATAAATATCAAGTGGTTAGTAAAAAGTATTAAAACTATGAAATACAAGTATCCACAACACACCAACTATTATCTTCTATTTGTACCCTAACCCTAAACACTAAACTCTAAACTCTATCACCCTAAACACTAAAAAAATAAAACTATTATTGTTTGCCCAAGCCGAGAATGTTCGTTTTAGTTATTTTTCTGGGTATTATGGATATTTTTTTCATGGATATCAGTTATCTCCGTTTGGATACACTTTTGCTTTACTACGATAGTTGTATTGTATATAAGTGTGCGTTTTAGTTATTTGTCCAAGGATTATGGATATTTTGCTTAATATATAACTGTGTTTCAGGAACAACCCGGGATGAAGAGAACGAAAATGGTTGCATCGAGATCTCGTCAAGGAGAAAAAACAAGGCAGTCCGCTATTCCAGAAGTTGTGAATTTCATTTGGATTTGCATGTGTGATGTAGTACGAACTCATCCTAGTAATTAGTAATTAAGCAATGGTTTCAACTTTCACGGGGAACTTGGATTTGTATGTATGACCAAGAACGATAAAACAGTACCAAAAAGTTAGTGGTGGAGTATTTTGTGTTGAATCCGTGGTGTACTTGTCATATCAGTTGTTTCACTACGGGGAAAACAATCTGAAACCATGCTGCTCAGATTCAATTAAATATCCAGACAACCCAGACAAATACCCAGACAACCCAGACAAATATCCAGACAACCCAGACAAATTATTTAAAATAACTATCAGTTCCTTAGTAAAAAGTATTAAAATCTTTTCAAAAAATATCCACAACACACAAACAAATATCCACTATTTGTACCCTAACCCTAAACCCTAAACTTTAAACTCTATCACCCTAATCACTAAACTATAAAAAAATAAAACTATTATTGTTTTCCCAAGCTGATAATATTCAAAGGTTCCAGAAAAATATCCAAACACATGAACTAAGGGAATATTTCATCGGGTTCAAATAAATATCCACACAACCCGGAAACAAATCAAAATATTTTGAATAAATATCAGTATGTCATAAACAAGTATTACAACTAAGAAACACAAGTATCCACAACACACAAACTAATATCTAATATTTGTACCCTAACCCTAAACCCTAAAACCTAAACCCTAAACTTTAAACTCTATCACCCTAATCAATAAAACACTAAAAAAATAAAACTATTATTGTTTTCCCAAGCTGAGAATATTCAAAGGTTCAACACAAATATCCAAACACATGAACTAAGGGAATATTTCATCAGTTTCAAATAAATATCCACACAACCCGGAAAAAAATCACAATATTTTGAATAAATATCAGTATGTCAGAAACAATTATTACCACTAGGAAAGACAAGTATCCACAACACACAAACTAATATCTACTATCTGTATATCAAAAACAAGTATTACAACTAGCCAAAACAAGTATCCACAACACACAAACTAATATCCATTATTTGTACCCTAACCCTAACCCCTAAACCCTAAACTTTAAACTCTATCACTCTAATCACTAAACACTAAAAAAATAAAACACATGAACTAAGGGAATGTTTCCTCAGGTTCAAATAAATATCCGCACAACCCGGCTAAATATCCGCAGGTTCAAATAGACTCTATCACCCTAAACTCTAAACCCTAAACCCTAAACCCTAAACAATGAACACTACTAAATAAACTCTAAAAACAATATAATTAGGAAATAATAGATATTCATACTGACCAGACTAAATCTTAAACCCTAAAGAGAACCCAAACCCTTATGTTGAAACATTAACCCTAACCTCTATACCGTAAACCATAAACCAAACCTAAACAATCAACCCTAAAAAATAAACTATAAACAATAAAAACTAATATTATTTAATGGGCCTTCGGCCCATGGGCCCTCGGCGGGCAGCCCTAACTAAGGTTGCAAGCCTTACGTGTTAGGACTTGATAGTGTGTAGGACTTGCTAGTGTGTTTAATTTGATGTAAGACACAATATTCCAATCTTTCACAAATTGAAAACCAGAACTCTAAACCCTAAAACTAATTCTCTAAATTGGTGTAATCAGAACCCGGAAAAAAATCACAATATTTTGAATAAATATCAGTATGTCATAAACAATTATTACCACTAGGAAAGACAAGTATCCACAACACACAAACTAATATCTACTATCTGTATATCAGAAACAAGTATTACAACTAGCCAAAACAAGTATCCACAACACACAAACTAATATCTGTTATTTGTACCCTAACCCTAAACCCCAAACCCTAAACTTTAAACTCTATCACTCTAATCACTAAACACTAAAAAAATAAAACACATGAACTAAGGGATGGTTTCCTCAGGTTCAAATAAATATCCGCACAACCCGGCTAAATATCCGCAGGTTCAAATAAACTCTATCACCCTAAACCCTAAACCCTAAACAATGAACACTACTAAATAAACTATAAAAACAATATAATTAGGAAAGAATAGATATTCATACTGACCAGACAAAATCTTAAACCCTAAAGAGAACCCAAACCCTTATGTTGAAACCTTAACCCTAACCTCTATACCATAAACCAAACCTAAACAATCAACCCTAAAAAATAAACCGCTCATCAACAAAAACTATTATTATTTAATGGGCCTTCGGCCCATGGGCCCTCGGCGGGCAGCCCTAACTAAGGTTGCAAGCCTTACGTGTTAGGACTTGATAGTGTGTAGGACTTGCTAGTGTGTTTAATTTGATGTAAGACACAATATTCCAATCTTTCACAAATTGAAAACCAGAACTCTAAACCCTAAAACTAATTCTCTAAATTGGTGTAATCAGTTTATGGTGGTTGGGTGATTTTCGGCCGCCGTTAAACATTAATACGGCCTAAATTTCAACAATGATGCAAAACACTATCAACATAACATAAATTAATATCCACTGAGAACAAATAAATATCCACACAAACAAACATACATAAATATAACATGGGCCCATCAAATTTGGTTCTCTTTCCACTCCTATCCATTCTCCCGCCCAAACTCAAGCCGGGCCCACCAGCTTGCCAGCCCACTTGCTCGGATCCGCCGCCGCCGCCACATGCTAGGCCGGCTTCTACCCGTTGGCCCACCTACAACTCACTTAAGTGAGCCACTACCAAGCCGCCTTCCCCTCCGTTGGATCACACATGGGCCGACGTGACCCAAAATTCTGCCCTGTTAGTATCTGCTAACAGTTTGAGCAGTTAGCAGAATAACTTCTGCGTATAATTGGAAGGTTAATCCCTTTCTTTTTTGGGGATTTGTTTGTAGGCAGTAGTTTGGTCCACAACAAGCATTTAATTCTAGAGTTATGAAATCTACTTTCTTCTTCCAGTGATAGTATTTTGGGTTGGAGGTTAGGGGCAAGATTGCAATTATGTAGAAAATTAATATAATGTTGTGCTAATTGGAGTTGGGTGTTCTTTATTTGACAGAAATAATGTTTTTTTTTAGCTTTTGCCTATTGGAATTTCTGTTTATGCAAATAATTTTGTGACTTATTTGCCTATACGATGTTGTAATATGCTAAAATGAATTTACGACAAATGAAATCAGAATTATCTAAAAGTACCACAAATGTCCTGAAACATATGAAAAAATACCATAAATTTCTCAATACAAACCACGAACACAATAAATCAATCCAAAAAAAGCATACCGTAAACTTTTTAATGCAGACCACAAGTCTTCTAAAATAAACTAGTTACCTCACAAAACAAACCAGAAACCCAACAAATCAAACCATAAAATTTTCGAAAGCACACCATAAACTTCTTAATGCAAACCACAGAAAACATACCAAAAACCTTCTAATGCAAACCACAAAATTCTCTAAAACATACCAGAAACCGCACAAAGCAAACCACAAATATTTTGAAAGCACACCAGAAACCTCATAATACAAACCATGAACACTGCAAAGCAACCACAAAAAACAAACTATAAACGTCCTAATGCAGACCACAAATATATTAGAACAAATCAGAAACCTCGCAATGCAAACCACAACATTTTCGAAAGCACGCCAGAAACTTATTAATGCAAACCAGAAACCTCCTAATGCATGCCACAAATCTCCTAAAACAAACCACAAACCTCACAAAGCAAACCACAACATTTGCGAAAGCACACCAGAAACCTCCTAATGCAAACCACAAACACAGTAAATCAAACCACAAAAAGCAAACCATAAACGTCCTAATGCAAACCACAAATATATTAAAACAAACCAGAAACCTCACAATGCAAACCACAAAGTTTTTGAAAGCAAACCAGAAACTTCTCAATGCAAACCAGAAACACGATAAAGCAAACCATAAAAGGCATAAAAAAATATGAGAAACCAAACCATAAATCTCACTATGCTAACCATAACATTCGGTGATCGTTGACCATTGACCGGTCAACGAAGTTCGTTGACCGAACTTCGGTGACCGTCGGTGAGCAGATTCCGACGCCGATAGGCATATTCCGGCCCCGATGACTAGATTCCGACGCCGGTAAGCATATTCCGACGTCGGTAAGCATATTCCGGCCACAAATAGCATATTCCGTCGACAAAAAACATATTCCGGTGACCGACGACCATTTTCCGGCGACCGGTGGCAGAATTCCGGCGACCAAATTTTTGGGCGGGAAATAAAAAAATATTTTTTTATTTTTTATTTTGTTTTATTTTTTTTATTTAAATAGATTTTTCATAATGACAATTATACCCCTGCTTTGATTTTACACTAGGTCAACTCATCTAATAAAAAGTTATCACAATCCTAGCTTCCTATTGGTTGGGGACTAGTGTTGTTATAGTAACCGGTCCCAAAATAAATATATGAACAGTCCTCTTGGGCCCAATAGGCCAATACACATTATCTTAGCCCAAAAAAGAATGGCCCGGCCCGGCCCGGCCCGGTCTTTGTGATTCTGTGCTTTGAAAAGAACAGAGCCAGTTGGCACTTTCTCTGCATTCACTGTCTTCGACTCTCATTCTCCCCGTGCTTCCACCGCAGCAGCGCCGCCGCCGCTTTCCGCCTCCACGGTCTTCAATATCCCAACGCCGTTGTCAGCCCCTCGAATTCCTAAATGCTTTCCCAATCAAATTCCTCCTCTTCCCTCTTCCATTCCACTCCCCATCTTCTGCATTTTCCCACCGCCGCCGCCTCTCAATCCCTCCTCCGCCTCCCACCTGCCGCCGCCAACCTCTGCTTCCCAACTCTTAGATTGCAGTCTCAATTTCCCCTCTCGCTCAATCGCCAAACCTGCCGTGCTTCCTCTTCGATGGCGGCAACGTCACAGCTCCCTGAGGATGGCTCCTTTCTGTCGTCGACGGAGCTCGACGGTTTCGCTAACGTCGCTGGCAGATTGGCGGACGCTTCCGGTGAAGTCATCCGGAAGTACTTCCGCAAGAAATTCGAAATTCTCGACAAGGATGACTCGAGTGGGTCTTTCGTTTTGGGTCTATACCATTTCTTTCTTATTTTGCGATCGGGGTGAATTTACCCAGTTCATTTACAGGTCCAGTGACGATTGCCGATAGGGCGGCTGAGGAAGCAATGATTTCGATCATATTGGAGCACTTCCCTTCTCATGCAATGTGAGTTTCTGCAAGGCATTGGTTTCTCGATTGTTTGTCACACTATATATCAACATTCTCTTGTTGATTCCTTCTGTTGCTGTTTATTATGGGAAGAATTGTGATTGCAGTTATGGGGAGGAGAATGGTTGGCAGTGTAAAGAGAAGTCTTCAGATTTCGTCTGGGTTTTGGATCCAATTGATGGCACTAAAAGCTTCATAACTGGTAATGTTTGCTGCTAACCCAATGCCAGATTCAGCTAGTGGTTTGAGGGTTTTATTCTGGCTGAGTTTTGTGCTTCCAAATAATACAGGGAAACCACTATTTGGCACGCTCATTTCTCTGCTATTCAAGGGTAAACCGGTAAGCATTCTGGTTAATCAATCTGTTCATCGAAAGAAGAGGACTTTTTGCTGTTTAATTTGGAGTAACGGCTTCCATAGTAGCTGCTTATTTTGATCCACAAATGGTACTGTAGATACTAGGCATAATCGATCAGCCCATACTAAGAGAACGATGGATCGGAATGGTTGGAAGGAGAACAACATTAAACGGGGAAGAAATTTCAACTCGCGGTTGCCTGCAACTGTCACAAGCATACTTGTATGTTCTTGGTCGTTTAAGCCATTAATTTGAGTGTAAAAAATGGAAGAACTTGTCAAGTTTAAGTCTTTCTGTTCGGTTTAGTTTACTACATCTGTTTAGACATGCGACTGGCTTTGATTTACTCTTTGCTAAGTGAACTCTTGCTTTTATCTAGGTACACTACCAGCCCCCACCTTTTCAGCGGGGATGCTGTAGAGGCATTTGCTCGTGTTAGAGATAAGGTTCGTGTTATCTTAATTGATGTTTACTTCCATTACATGATTTGCTGCCACTGGAATATGAAACCACAGATCAACCGAATAGTTGAATCACTGACAAATTGAGCTCTTGTCTGACTGTTTATTTCAAATCAGGTGAAAGTGCCATTATACGGGTGCGACTGCTATGCTTATGCCCTTCTGGCATCTGGATACGTAGATCTCGTCATTGAATCTGGTCTCAAGGTAATCTCATGTCTTTGCTTTACTAGAACCGCACAAGCTTGTCTGCTGAATAACAAGTGTAGACGCAAGACTGTTAATTGGTTGTCCTTTGCTATGCAGCCCTACGATTTTCTCGCCCTGATCCCAGTGATAGAGGGCGCTGGAGGGATTATTACCGATTGGGAAGGCCGTGATCTCTCTTGGGAGGCATCTCAAGATTGTAAAGCTCCAAGTATGACCAATTTCTCAACAGATCCTAGTTTATTATGGGCAGATTATAATCTTCAGTTCCTACAATGATTCTTGATTCAAACTTGTTCTTTCTTTGTTCCCTCAGGTTTCAATGTTGTGGCAGCTGGAGACAGGCAGATTCACCAACAAGCTCTAGATGCATTGCAGTGGCCCTGAAGATGTGCTATTTGCGACGAAATCAACTGCCGTATCTCAACTGTAACATTTCTTCACCTCGGTAACCATAGCTAAACAAATCCTAGGTCATTTTAGTTAGGACTTAGGACTTGGCCGGAAATCAACGATGATGACATGCTCGGGTCCTTACCGGATCAAATCATCCTCTCTTTTATGCAAACCAGGTACTCCTTCGGCACTGTAGTCCGCAATGCGGTGTAGGTTTGCTTGCACCCCAATTTCGTATGTATGATAGAAGTTCCTTAGATTGTAAGGTTGGTTTACTCAGACATCTTGCTCTGAGACCACCTGGATGCCTTTTCTTACGAACTTAGAGGTCCTTCCTACCACACAATAGATCGAGTTCCCTGTTCAATAGACTCAAATGAATAAGCACAGCAATGCAAATTCCTCCAACAAATAAGTAAAAGTTCATTCAGTCCACTGCGGTATGCTGTTCACGATCCGGTTACTACGCTGACGGAGTTCGTATAAGCGAGGACTGACAAGTTCACAAAACAGAGCTCCAGATCGCAACTCCTGGCCAACATCAACCGCCTCAGGAAGAAGTACGCTGGCGCTTGGAGTGCTTGTTTGTAAGACTGGGATGAATCCCAGTTTATACATCTTATGTGTTCGTCCAACTTTCTTCTTTATAACTGTATCATCTATAAGTGTTCAAAGTGAAATTCCGAATCATCGTAGCGTTAATATCGGAGTTTATCGAGACTGGAATACGAATTCAACTACTACCGATCTCGAAACGATATTGAAAGCAGATTTAAACCGCAAACTACTTTATACTAGTAAGGAAGCCCGCGCTCTGCGGCGGGGCAAGACCAATGGAGAATTTAAATACGAAAACAGAGAAATGGTCCTTGTGGATGCTATGTAAGTTCTTTGTGTTCAAGTCTGACTTAGTTTTGTACAACAGTTTATAAAGGAATCTGAAAGCCTAAAAACCCATGGTACCATACTGGAGAGTCCTGTACAACTGAGGTTTACACGAAGGCATAAAATGTAGTATGAACAAAGTGGAAGAATAAACAACCCCAAGAAACAATAGGTTGGAAGTAGTGAAACGGCAGTACGATATAAACGAACAATTAGATCAGCGACATTATGACAATGCAACAGGAAAGAACAAAGAAAAAACCATTTCGTGAGATATGAAAGATAAATCTTCATATAGGTCAAATGATACAACTTGAGACCTTTCATAATCATTCCTTGAATCTCATTGGAAGACAGAACATACAATTTCCAGTCTTCCATTTTCATTACATGGAACCTAGGATAGAATATAAACCCAGAGTTGAGTAAGAACTCACCAAACACCATTTTCCCACACATTTGATCTAATATAAACAATCACATCTTTGTTCGTTTTCTGTTGGAAGAGTGAGTCGAGCACAACACACTTTGAGTGTAAAGAGCTGGAAAAAGTCACAAACTCATAAGCCTGTGACAGCAAGTATCGATATCTGGCTATATATAAACGTAACACTATGAAGAAAACATCATTCCAAAAGAGTTCACTACAATGACCTTCACTTCAAAACCCAAAAACTGGCATCAGAACATCAACTGGAAAATCCCATCGCCCGAAAGTTCCCATCACCGCGATTGCATATAGTACCATGGGCTCGAGCTTAAATGCCAAGAGCCTGCAGGCCGACTCAATATCACTATGATGGTCAAGAAACAAACTTTGCCAAGCTGTTCCATATGATCATCAGCAAGGCTCCATACGACTAAAGGAAATCAAACAGGACAGTAAGGAGGGAATGGCGGCAAAAGCAAAGCACAAAAGGGATTCACATGAGAAGGTCTATCCTAAAAATACAGCATATACGTATCACTTGATGTCATGCCTCTTTGTCGAACTACAAAATTCCAACTATCCATGATCAATGGGTGAAACAATAATTCTGGACCAAAAGCAGACCATAAATACAGTGCCAGTAAAGTGACCGGCCTCAGGCCTGTAGTTTGCAGGCTCATACCAGTTCTAAGCAACCTCATGCAGGTGCGGTGTTTTGACATTAAACGCATCCTACTGTAGTCAAGGACAGAAATATTGACCCTTGAAAAGTAAAGAACAAAAGTGCAAAGTGGCAAAGGACGTGAATTATTGCCAGAGTAACGTTTTACAGAGATAGCTGAAATCAATACCGGAAAGAATAAGGATCAATTAAAGCATAACCTGATCATCGAGTTCTTTTTATCTCGTGGATGGGAAGACATTCCAGAATTGCAGAGTTTCAGCTGCTGCTTCAGTAACCATTGACAGTAAACAAAAGGAAAACCTTTAGAGTTTCAGTTTTAGTTCCTGATCTAGGTACATGAGGCTCTTACTCCACATAACTTGTAAATGGGATTATAAATTAAGAGGGCCACAGATACCATAATCGAGGCAAAACATAACCAAATATCTAGCACAGAAAGCAAGAAGAGGAACTATAATTGAAAAAGTCAACCTTTGTTGGATTTATGTGGTGAAGGATAAGAATTTCTACTTAACCGTGTCATTAGAGAAGAACAGCAAGCGAAGACCAAAACAGAACCAATCTAACATAAAGGAGACCAACATTGTTCCCACAATCAACTCAAAAGTCTAAAACTGGGCTGCAATCACAGCATAAGGAGATGATGGAATGCAGCGCTTGAAAAGAAATGAACCATGCTTTCACGATTCGATTGAAAGAAATCATAGAATGTTTCTTCCTAGATTTAACTTTATTTGTGATTGAAAAGATGAACAGACATGAGCATAAGAAATAAAGGAGTTGAGGCTGTAACCTACATCAGCACAGGTCCAAGTCAATTTGTATACAGACGTAATCCAATCGCATATGAACTAACTACAAATATGAGAAACTAAAAACAGAAAAGAACTACCTGAATACCAGAATCAGCGACGCCGCTCATTCTTTTCCTTTCAACTTGTCTCTCCTGCTGGAGGTACAGGTGGAACTGTGAGATAAGTATCGATATATGCCTCCTCCACGCTAACTGCAGCGAACCCAATAGACCATAACCCTTAGATGTTTTGAGAGTAAGAGGTGTCAGTAAGAATAATTTAGCACTGCATCCGAACATCCCCGATTACCAAACTAACCGAGCACAATTGTAAATGGTGTTCAATGAGCATAATATCTACAAATGACACACAACACAGATAACATGGCTAGTGTTATCTCCTCCAGTGTCGCTGATGGGCCAAAAACTTCACTGCCTTCCTCGTGTCCTGCCCGACTCCTCATCTTTGTTGAGAACTTCTATCCTATTACAGGTATGTTGCCACATCAGGGCCGGAATATTTCATTTACAAAAAGCTAAAAACATGTAAATTCGTGCGGATAGATATAGAATTCGTATGAGAATGTTTGGGGCCTATTCAGAGCTCTTATTCTTATCATAACAACAAAAATGAGGAACACAACTTACAGATCAATGTAGAGAACCAGTTGCAGGAAAGGATTTTGGTGCATGCAATTTGAAGTCCCCTCGAGGCCTTGACTATCGATTTACTAATGAAAATCGAACCACCATCGACACAACATGGTCCGCATCTGAAACTGCTTATTCTCAAAGGAAAAAGTACATCTCCTATTACAGTGGCATTGTTTGAAGACCTAGCTGTAATGCAGCACAAATGCACAATTGGAGACGAATATCAATTTTAAGCTGCAAAAATAGCAGAACAGGAATGAGTGATATACTAATGACCTTGTTTTGGCATACCCCGCGAGTATAGACGCAGACTGGACTGGTTGCTGCTCACGACATGCAAGGACACCGAATTCTGGCGCCTTTAATTAAAAAAACGTAAATGAGAACCATAAGAAACCAAAACTGCCAATTCTGCTGATTCATCAGCGGCATTCAGTTTTGGTTACCCATTAATGCAGCTTAATGGTTTTTTCTCATTAAGAATGTGTTTGCTGGTTTGGCAACAACTGACTTAAAGGAAAAGCACCTGAGTGAAGTTTTGTGAAACAAACATAGGACCTGCTGCTTTTCTTCAGATCTCTCAAATTAGGCACCGCCACTTGATCTCTTCAAACTTGACACTGTAGCTCCTGCATCACTCTCAACCCCAGTGCTGCAAAGCACAACACCAACATAAGCGAGAAGGTACAGTGAGAGAATAAACATGAATATTAAATAGCACAGGAAGAGTCAGGAAATATGTAGAAGATTTGATAGAGCAGAGAGATCGGTGAACCACCACAACTCAACAAACAATTTCCAATTACCCAAGATACGCATCTCAGAGACCAAACCCCTAAAAATACAAAACAACTTTTAATCACCTAACAGGTTGATAGAACAGAATCTCGAGCCACTCTTCCAGGAGCAATGCTTACTCTTTTCACATAACAATAACAATGATAAAAACATATTTAACTCTACCTCTGGAAGAGTCGAAGAATAGGTTATGGCGCTCTAAATTTCATCATGCTGGAGCAGCAAGAAATATATGGGCACTTCTTGAGAAAGGACATCACTGACGACCCTGATGTGCCTTTAGAAACTGTTGTAGAACCCAACAAAGTAGACAAATGGTCAATATAATTGAATTAAGAACTCAACCAAGCATGTAATATACATGTTTTTTTGGTTTGTGTTCATTCTTTTGTTTTCCAGTAAGCCAAGCTGTGATGGTAAATTCAGGTGATACATGTCAGAACTCTAACTCGATGACTAACGACACAACACATTGTAAAAGAACCATACTAAGGAGCAACATTTGGGATGACCATGACTCCATCACACCATTTAATCATAAAAAAGACATTCACAGTCAATAGTTTAGAGTGACTTGCCGAATTTTGTGGCAGAACTCAACCTAAAGGCAAAATAAGTTGAGCTTAGAAAAAAGACACCTTAGCAAACCTTAATACCTTATGGACAGAAGGAAGGTAAAGTGTGCATGGCTGGTTAGTTGGTGAGTGGTAGAAGATGCCTCAAACAACACGCCATCAGGAGAGCGACAATATCTGGACTGTGATATCGGTAAAGTAATCAAGTATTTTGCGACTAAGGACAAATGCAATATAAAGTGAACCGTTAAAAGGATTTTTGTTTGATCTCTTTCCCAGAAACGAAGAACATCACGAAATGTAGAATCAGAGTTAAAAACAAAAAATCAAGGAACCAAATAGATGAAACCAGGAGGTTCATGATACCCCCAGTGGTTGGTTTCAATTGATGTTTGGGCAGAATTGTTAACGACATCAAATACGTAAAACCAATACAAACATGTAAAAGACCAACAATCTGATCATGAAAAGCGTTAACAACAGGTACATATGGAGGCAAACAATTCTAATACGACCTAATTTGTTCCATGTTTAAGCAACACGAATAAGCAACAGAGTAAAGCTCTAGCAAGAGATTGAGAAATTGGGGTTGAAAATTCAGACTAAACAGATACCGAAGACAAGAAAGGGAAAGTTATTACCTTTTAACTGCAGCCAGCATAGCCTCCCGCTTGATCCACCGTAATTTGTCATAGACAAAACAAAGCAAAGCGAAAACATAAAGAAGCAGAGAGATGGTGGCGATTGACACTGTAAAATAGATAAATCCATGTGCCCTCATTCCTATTAAGGTCAACAAATGCTTTTAAATTCCCAGTTACAACTGACAACAAAAAATCAGAGACCAAACTCGAAAAGAGCATACCGATTCCCTCTAAAAGATATGAAAGAGAATAGTAAATCAATGAACTCTCATCAACTTATGGTATGCTCAAACACAACCTGCAATCTGGCTCTTGTTTGGACCCTCTCCAGATCTCCCAAAATCTGCCTGTAGATCTCTCTGAAACTCCAATCAATCCCTATGCAAAGTTCTAGACTTTTGAGGCTTGAATCATTGGATGCAGATCATCAACTCCTGTGAAGCGAAATTTTTGATATGATTTTACATACCAAAGCACAAAGCAAGCGTTAGAGAAGTGACTAACACTAAAATCTACCAAAAGGACGTCTATATAGCATGAAGGTACCCAAGCACCGAGTCAACACTTGGGCAAACGAAAAGGCTCCCTACCTTCAAATCTACGATCAATTCCATCTATTAAGTCTTCGTGATGTCCAGCACCACCATTACAGCTAAAGGCCCCATCAAAATCAGCATGAATGAAAAGAAAACAAAGTAGCAACAACTACTGCAACTAAACCGAACCCCTCCCTCAAGTCAAAATAAGTGAATATAATGAACCCCTCTTTATCTCTCCCTAACTGGTATTTCCAAGTATCCTAAGTCCACCAACGATTCTTGTCCTTCCCCTCCTTCCCTCCCAAATTGCTTCTTTTCCAGTAAGACGTGGATTCTAATCCACTTTTACCCAGAGCAAATAATGTCAATGCTGATAACTTCCCGTGATACCACTTTCATTTTAATCCTGATCAATAGTCTATGGCTTGCCTGATGGTGGACGAAAAGCTCAAGTTCCACCATTTTTTGGATGAATGAACCCCAGAAACGAAAATAAAAGAGCAGGAGGAAGAAGGGGAAGAAGCGGAGAACTAACCAGATTAAACAATGTCATTGATCGGTGATGCTTTGGGCAAAAGAGGTTTCGTTGGAGAAGGAAGAAAACATATGGGTTGTGCCAAAAGGTGCTCTACAGCAGACATCACGGACGTAAGAATGTATTGAACGATAAGTGATGCACATCAAGTATAGGAAAAACTCACATCAGATGCTACGTAACTTAGCTCTAAAAAATAATGAAAAAAGAGCAAACAGTTTGACCTGACTGTGTCCCTTTGTAGCAAAATCCAAGTTAACACCCAAAACAAAGATAAATAAACACGTATGATGGCATAAACAGCTGTAGGAAGATGACACCGCCGAAGGAGAAAGAAAAGGAACCAGTCCTCAAGTATTGATTCAGGAGGCCAATTAAAGCCTTCAAATCATAAACTGGAACTAAAATAAAGATTTGAGTAATAACACTGTAGGTATAAACATAATCAGTTTCAGCAGAAATGCAGAATACATGGCTAGCTCTAACATGGCGTAGAATGATAGTGGGAAAAGCAAGAGGAATGGAGTCTGAAGATTATTTTCACCATAAAGTAGTGGCCAAGAAAACATGATATTACAAAACACACGACTGGCGAAGCAATTCTGCTCCAAAACGAAACTAAAATGGAAGGAGACCTGATTGCATCAAGGCAGGCGCCTGGAACAACATAGAATACAGCAAGCTCAATGTTTCTGGTCCCACAACATCCTCTTGCTTCCTCTTCAAACCCTACAAAGACAAACCAGAAATGGAGTTAAATCATATCAACATGGTCGAAAAACTAACAAAAAACATATGTTGTTACCATATGGAGCTTGGTTCTAGAGAGGAAACAGAGGTTCTGAGAAGCTAACAATCTTTGCTCCTTGAGAAAGATTTTCATTCAGGGAAGAAAGGGCTGAAGAGAGCTTAGAGTTGAAGAGCTTGACAACTTCATGCAACTCTCCTTCTACGCAATTCCACTGTGGTAGTATCCCGCCAGCAGCAGCAACCCTATGGAGAGGGAAGCAACTTATTGAAGCTTTACCCACCGCCTCAATTTTCTTCCGCCCGTAGAATTCCAATATTGTAATGAGAGCAGACAATGACAAACGAAAAACATCTTTTAAAAGCACAATAACGACCATTAAGATTTGACAAACTGAACACATGATTACAAATGGATCTACTCCACATTCCCAATCCATCTGGCAAACAAACAATGATGGTCTGCATCTTATAAAATATGACCGAAGAAGCAAAGGATCAACAATGCAGCAAGACAACTTAAAATATGGCAGAATTCACCAGATGAGCATTTTTTGCTTCAAAATATAGTTACATGACCTCGTCTTTACTCAAGGTCTGAAGATGCAATTTCCTCTCCCGCTCCAGAATCCTTGGGCAGGGAAAACGCACCCACTTCCTGAGAAAGGACCATCAGCAATGTGACTCATGCGACATACCCTTAAACACTAATGTACAACCCAATAGCAGTAGATGGTAGATCAACAGAACTTAAGGCAGAAATCAGGCTAGCAAACAGTACAATAGGTAAAGTAATTTTTCGTCACACATTCCAATATATGCTAGCCAAACTCACACATGCAACATTCAATACTACAAACTATAAGGCAGAAGTCCCTAAAGTCCAATATCCTCCCTACTCCATCTCAAAAAGGTCAAAGATCAAGAAAGCTGGCATTCAAAATTAGAGTCAGAGATTCGTAAGAAAGCAAAGAATCCAATGACAAGACTCATGAGTAAATAGAAAGGCTCTTAAGCCTCACCTCCTTACTTTAAATACACACAATTCATCCCCTACTTTCTCACTGGCTCACAACAATTCCAGCAGTAGTGCCCCTCTGGATTCCCCTGTTTTTCTTTAGAGAGAAGACATTGATGAACTTTGGCACTCCAATCTGGTCCATCGAACAGCCATTATTCTCTGCACCTCACTAAATCCTCCGTCCAGGACCCTTCTCTCACTATGCTACGCTGCAAACCTGCACCGATCGCCCCAAACAGGTAGCAACACATCCGTTGATCAAAATTGGTTCCACTCGAACTCATGAAAATTAAATATTCAACTCCAACATAAAAGCAGAAATAACTTGGAATCTAGATTGCCATATCTAAATGAGTTTGGAAGCAATGGTTGAAGCAGAGATTACCCGGCATAAGCAGGAGAGATCTCCATGGACAAGCAACGGTACAATCCTTCTGAACGATGAAATCCACAAACCAGTGAAAGGAAGCTCGCACGAAGCTAAAAAATCACAGTTCCAGGAGATCTTTTCGGATTTCTCCTTCACCATGGGTGTCACCGACCACAGGCTGAAAACCAAAAGGAAAAAGCAAGAAAGGGTGAGAAATTTCTTGGGCATCACTCGTCAACAACAAAAAAGCGAGGAGATTTCCGTCACTATCGCCGTTATTATGCTGCCAAAACACAGCTGTTGGACCCAAAAAGTATTGAAAAGTAACTTATTAAGAGAGAAGCATATGTCCCTCTTCCTTCCTTCTCCTCGACTTGTTCCTCTTCTTGACGCTTCTCCTTCTCCTCCTCCTCCTCCTCCTCCTCCTCCGCTCCTTCTTCTTCACTATCTTCCAGCGAGAGAGAAAACACAGGACCTCTGTTAGGTCACACCAGCAAAACTTATTGATAAAAAACGACATATATCAATCAAATCGCCAAACAAAAGAAAAAGTGAGGACAAAGTGAGAATGAAATAGAAGCGAAACTAATATTGATCAGAGAAGATGAGTAAAAAGAGAGAAGCTGATCTACGAAGCAGACTTACTGGCATCATTCATGCCGCTGCTACAAGCCAGAAGGGAGCGAGAGACCTGGAGACGGCCAGTCGGATCCGGAGCGAAAGGCAAGCTGATCAGGTGGAGACATCAATCAAAGTGAAAAATGGTACACCAGAGAAGTTTACCAAAAGGAGAAGAAGAAAGTCGAAAGAAGGGGGAGTTAGACACCCAAATGAAATAATTCAGGCGGCAAACCTTTCGTCGCCGCCATCGACGTTCACATCTTTCTCCTTCCTTCTTCCTAATCGATAACCCATAAATAAAACAATAAGCATCAAAACAAATACGAGTTACAAATATCTAAAAAAGGCAAACGGCTCTTACCTAAGTCGTCGGATCTATCACTGGCGTCCATGGCAGATCTTCCCATCGCCGCCATCACCGGCTTTCCCCTCGCTGGCATCGACGGCCTTGATCGGATCTCCTTCCTCCTCCTCCTTCTTCTGACTTGACATGAGAGTCTTCTCTCTTCCTGTTTTCTTTCTTCTTCAACAGAGAGAAGACTGATTGTGGCTGGGATTCGGATCTCCTTCCTCCTCCTTCTTCTGACTTGACACGAGAGTCTTCTCTCTCCCTGTTTTCTTCTTCTTCAACAGAGAGGAGACTGGGTGTGGCTGGGATTTTGGAAAGGAAAGAAATGCAAAAGGAGGAGATGCAGAGATAGAGATGGGTGGGTGGGAGATTGGGAGTTACGGGAGAGAGATGGAGATTAGTGGATGAGAGAATAGAGAGGCAGAGTGCAGGAGAACCAAAGAATAATGAGGGGAACAGAGAGAGATATGAGGGATCAAGCATGGCGCCTCAAAACAAGGAAAGCAGAGGGCTCGAAAAGCAAAGCGATGCAGGAAAAGTAGAGGGAAGACTAATGGAACGACGGCAGGAGAAGCAGAGAAGCGATTTTCTCCGAATTGAAGTGATGGGAGCCGCTTGTCCATGTCAGAAGAAGAGCCAATCAAAATTGAGAAGAAAAGGCAAAAAAGCAAACCAAGTCACAGTGTTTGGATGTGACTCTACGAAACAGTAAAGTTGTAACTTGTTCTTTTAAAGAGATAATAATATCGATATGTTACGAATGTGATAAACTAGTTCATCTATTAAGGTTCTGATAGAACACTTAGAAACTAGTCTATCCTAACAGCATCGAATAGTACGATAGATAAGATTTCAATACAACGTCGAAATTCAGATTCTACCAATGACCTTGCATTGGCCATGCCAGAGCGCTATCAAAACACCAAAAAATGACGATAAATCTCTAATCCAACACTCCAAATCAACAACCTTTCTTTCCACAAACACAGCACAAACACAAAAGGTTAAAGAGGATGAGGGTTGGAACCAAGAGAATCACTGCTGCAATTCACATTGAAACACAATAGTTAATTACACTTAGCAAAACAAAAAAATTCACTCAAAAGAAACTGGGGTCGTAGCCATTGCTGGTGGTGGCCAAGATGTAGTAAGCCACAATATGGCCAATCGACCCCCAAGCAAGAACATCCACGATGTTAAAACCCACTGGATCGTTCGATTTCAGCAAGCTAACGTATTCCTTAGCCCTAACATCTCCAGCCTCGAAGTGGGTTTTCCCGTTCTGCTCCGGCAAACCCTGTTTCGCCACGTTCTCCCTCTGGAAGTTGAAGAACACGAACCGGCCCAGAAACAGAGACAGACCCGTGCTCAAGCTTATCACCAGAGATGGGTTCAGCTCTGCTTTCACGGCCATGCTCCGCCGCGAGGTGAGGCTTGGGAAGGAGGTTCTGGCGGCGGCGGTGGAAGTTAGCCGGAGAGGGCGGAGGCCCTGGAAGGAGATGGTGGAAGGGGAGAGGCTCTGGTGTTTTGGGGATTGGATGGTTGGGGTGAGGAACAGAGCTGAACTTGCCGCCATTGTTTTCTGGTTTGGTTGGGGATTTGGGTCTCTGTTTGGTTCAAGTGAAGATTGGAGATGGAAGGAGTAGTGAGTGGGGAATTGGGTAGGAATGGATCTTATTGTGAGGATGGAAATGGTGGGAAGAACGATTTTGGGAGGGTGACTTGGCAGTGGCTTATTGGTTCATAGTGGATCAGAGATTTTGGCTCCAGATTACAATACTGCACAAAACAAGAAACGACGTCGTATCACAATTCACAGCATCAAATGAAGCAACTTCAAAGCCAACCCTGCAAAGTCTGTATCAAGAAGAGTCAATTACTTCGTCGTTCTATCATTGCCACAAACAGAACCACAATTAAACCACATCATGGGCACAAAATATCCTACCACTTACTTCTTAGACGCAACTTACGTTACGGTTTTAAAATCATCACTTTGTGGCACAGACAGCTAGACCATCCTCTCGATAACATTAGCCAAAATCGAATTCTGTAACTCGGGCACTTAGCCTTTCAGACTCAACCATCCAGTATAATCATCGAAGTAACACATCAAATGAAGAACTACGAAGTTGCAGAGGATTCGGTTGGATCTTTAGAACGCAAATGTTTCAGACAACCAACAGTCGATAGTACACTATTGGGTAGAAGATTTGGCTTTCTTCTTCCCCGCAGCTTAAACATAATTCAGTACAGAAAAATAAGAAAATGAAACTAGGAAACAAACAGGCTGTTCTCTTAAAACTAATTACTCCTTTCCAAAATCAGCATTGTAGTGAGAACTTGATTCAAGTTTCTTGGCTTCATTCAACTTCCTCACAGCCTGCAACAACATAAGCAGAAACGAAATGTCATTTTCGGGACCCGCAAAGCAAAGCTGAACCAATATTCAGAATCTGTAGACAAGCAAAAGTTCTCACCTTCATGAAATCTTCATGGATGACATAATCACGTTCTGCACGGATTGCAGACATCCCAGCTTCAGTACATACGTTACGGAGATCAGCACCATTGAACCCCTGAAAACCAATGAAACACTCTTTAAGTTAGACTGCATGCATGCATGAAACACCACAATGAAGCCACACATGATCGCCTTTCCTCACCTCAGCTAGTTTCACGACGGCTTCATAGTCGATTTCACCATGCTTGGCAATGCCGGCAGCATGGATTTTCAGAATTTCCATCCTTGACTGCTCATTTGGCAATGGAATCTCAATCTTTCTGTCTAGACGGCCTGGACGAAGAAGAGCAGGGTCCAAAACATCTGGCCTGTTGGTGGCCATGATCATTTTAACCTAAGAGAAAAAACAATCCAAAAAAGATCAGGCATACTCAGCACCAACACTGATTAACAACAATAAGAAGATTCATGGTGAAACAAGATTACCTTCCCCAGTTGGTCGAACCCATCTAATTGATTAAGCAGCTCCATAAGGGTTCTTTGAATTTCACGGTCAGCACTTGTTCCCTCGCTGAAACGACGTCCACCAATGGCATCGATTTCATCCATAAATATGATGCATGGCTTCATACAAGAAGCAACCAACTGTCAGTAACCAGATACACTTATCAGAGAGTAAAGCAGTCAAAATAACAGAACTCACTTGATGATCACGAGCATAACCAAACATTTCACGAATCAACCTTGCACTTTCCCCAATGTACTTGTCAATGATAGCACTAGAAACAACCTACATCCACGAAAAACCGCACTTCTGGGTTAAGTTAAGCATGCGCATAGTTTAAACACGAGAAGATTAACACACTTCACAAATATCTAACCTTCAAGAAGTTCGCATCGATGTTGCTGGCAATTGCCCTGGCTAACAATGTCTTCCCAGTTCCAGGAGGTCCATAAAGAAGAACACCCTACAAAAACAGTAAATTGGTCTGTCAACAAACATTCAAATCAGTTACATAAAGAATCACCATTCTGAAGACTTCATGGCAGCAATTGTAGGACTCAATAAATTTACCTTAGGAGGCTTAATACCAACTCTCAAGAAGAGTTCAGGATTCATGAGGGGAAGTTCTATAGATTCCCTGAGCTCTCGAATTTGATCCCCCAACCCTCCAACAGCTGAGTAGCTAACATTGCCTGGGTCTTCATGGAGCATGTTATATACGACTGGATCAACCTATGGGGAGAGAAACAATTGATCAAAACAATGAAATAACAAAATGCAAAAAGAGGAAGTCACCCACAACTTCATTCAAACGGTTAGCATTTGATACGTACTTCACGGGGAAGAGCCCTCATGATTGTCAGAGTGGTCATATCAAGGACCACCCGAGTCCCGGCAGTTAGTTTTTCTTTGTCTACCTTATTGCGGCAGCCAACCACATACCTTGGGCCACTGCTTGCTTTAACTATCACTGCAGGTAAGAATACCAGAGATTTTAATACATAGTAGGTGAAGTTTACTAAAATTGAAAGATATTATGGCACAAAAAATAAAACCTATCTTCCAGGTATATAAATGCCTATCATCAGCCAAGGAGAATCATCAGACCCAGGTAGTAGATTCAATTGGTAACAAAAACCTTTGCATCCTTACAGAACTATGATAAGAAAATACATGTATGGTGATCATAAGCTCGTGCTTAGAATATTATCCATGCAATGACCAGTGAGGACCACACTTGTGACCAGAAAAAGAAACAAGTGCACAATGTCAAAGTCTACAATAACATTGCAAGATAAGAGAGTTAGACTTACTGCGTTCATTGTCAAGTGGCCTGAGCACTTCACCAATGATCTGTCCAACACTCTGCAGTGACTTCAGATCGTCCTCAGTTTTGGCAAATTCCTTCTTTGACGCTCGCAGACTCTCTCTCACTGCATCAATAAGTTTGAAGGTGATGATTCAGTAACAGGCACAGAAAGACGGAAGGTAAACAAACAGAACATAAAAGAGACCAAAATCATTCTGGACCTTACTGGAACCAATCCATCTAATTCTACATCGAAGGAAGACCAAAGTCATTCACTAAGCATCAATGTAGTAAATCCAATACTACCTAAAAGGACTGAGCAGAAACAAGTAAAATGAGGTATAGCTGGACAATGTTCAACCCCGACTATTTGATGAGGCCTAAGATTAACCTTACCATTCCACTCAATAAAAGAAACAAACTTCCTCAAAGATTAAGCTTTAAGACGTGGAGAATCTAGAGAAGACGAAAACCCCAGGCTCCTACAGTCCCTTCAGCGAGCAAATTAAGAACATAAACCAAGAAATCCCATCTCATTCTTTCTCCTACAGAATGGCAAAACCAGAAATCACGCGTTTTCCATCTGTCACGACATGGGAACCTTAATTTCCCCAGACTTCAAACCAGAAGATCGAGCGAAAGATCAAAACCCCTGTCCGCAACAATCCCATTAACGATCCGGAAAATTTTCATTCACAAATCGAAACCACAAACCCTAGAATCCAATATCCTAAATCGTAACAGCGAAGGCCAGAAACCCGAGAGCAGTTCGAGCTCAATCGGAATGGAAATAGGGGGGAAACCCAGCAAGACAAATATCTCAGGTTTCTGGTAGGAGTAGAGCGTTTGGATGAATCACCTGCGCGGACTCTAGATTCGAGTTCCTTGTGCTGGAGGAGCTTCTTCCTGTACTCGGCGACCGCCGTGCGCCGCCTTCCCGCTTCTTCGGCGTCGGTCGACATTGCCGGCAGAATGCGAAGAACTTGTGGTATTGGGAATTGGGGCAGATCGCTGGACTGAAGTTCTCTACCCAGTACCCAACTCGACGAGAGAACGGAGGAAGGAGAGGAGGCTTTAATCGGGTTCCCAGTAAAATTTCTCGACTTGTCTATCAAGAAAAGAACCCGAGCTCACACCAAAAAAAAAAAAAAAAAAACCAGCAGGTTGGGAACTTGGGATAAATGGGTAATTTCCCAATCCTCCCTGAATTAGGAATCAGACTAGGGACTAAAAAAAAAATGTTGGTAACGAAGAGATGGATCTATTGTATTTATAGTCAAGTATTTTTCTTAATTCAACCTATTTTCATCACTAAGGTAGATAGATGGTGGACTGGTTGGGGTGAATATTCGGTTAGCGGTTACACCGTTAGACTAACCGATAACAGATGGTTTAGATTATAGTTTAGTGGAAAAATTGATGATGACGCCGGAGGTGGAGAAAATGAATGAGGAAGTGACGAAGATGAAACTTTCACAAAGGCTCGCTCCAATAGAGCATCGAAACCCAAAGTTCGTACTAAGAACTTCAGAGGAATAACGGATAATATCAACTCAATATGATTCAACTTACCTATTTAAAAAATCATCTAACTGAACTCATTTGACCCAAATCTATTGTGTTGGAGGTTGAAATGGTTAGGTTAGGTCGATGGTGTATTACAAAATTAACATTTAGTACCTAAACAATGAATATCTTGCAACTTTAGTACCTCAGCTTTATAAATCAATCTCTTAACTTTTGTCAATTCTATCCAAATAACCAAAAGTATGGAGGTGATTTATCGTTGTTCTTATACAGTTTAGTACTTAAATTTTTTGAAAGTTCACTGTACAACCTTCAAATTGTGCATATCACACACGTACCATGCAAACCACAACAGAATTTTTATAGAATATCAACAAACCATCAAACCGATTAGTTAACCAATGTGTTTGCTCCGAAGTAGTGGCTCGTAAGCTAGTTGGAGGTGTTGATTTAGACGTGTAGGAGACCAATTCTCATGAAGTAGTATGTAAAACCCTTTCTCTATCTTGTGTACATGTATTATCTTTTGATTTTGTATCTCGTATCGGAGGATATTTTACGGACTGGTTTTGATCGTGGTTACGTTATACAGACACAGACGTACCATAATTGAAAAAAACATGTATATTATTATCTTCAACACCACTAATTTTTTTATTTTAAAAAATACCGAAACAAATACGATTGTATTATTTCTTTTTTGTTGTTAATTATATCCCCTCTTGATGAGCTTTCCTAATCCGGAAAGTCTAAATACAAATTGACTAAAGTCAAAGAAAAACGTTCTACCTAATTCATATATGCATACCATTTACTACCATCCATCAAATATGGGAAATAATATGAGAAATAATTCCTCAACACAGACACCTTTGACTATGTAAGCCTAGGAAATATATTTTACTATATAAACCCTACACTTGAATGTTTCTGAATCAACCTCAACAGTTTGCTAATCGTTACTTACTCCGACGAGTCCATTATGAGCTGCCGGCGGCAAACAAGTTCACCGTTGACTCATCAGTTGTTCTCGTCACTTGTTCTACTAGCATGCCTTTGTAGCAATGGCTGCAGAGCTACAGCTCCAGCAAAATACTGCCGGTTGAATCGGTCCGACAAATATGGCGTGGCCTACACGATCACCGTCGACAACTCCGGCCATGGCCCCGCCGCCAACTTCACCACCGTGCAGCGAGCCATCGACTCGATCCCCGTCGGGAACTCTCAGTGGGTCCGCATCCAAATTTCTCCTGGTAAATTCACGTAAGTGAGTAGTCTTTTTTTTTTTAAAGACAACATTTTTTCTCCTTTCTCCTCTGAGAGACGAAATAAAAATAGTATCTTTATTTGAATACCCTCTGCTGAAAGAATTTTTTTTTACGACTATGTCTCGTGTCGTGAACAGAGAAAAAGTGGTGATCAGAGAGAACAAACCCTGCATTTTCCTGCACGGAGCCGGAAGGGCGTCGACGAGCATCGAATGGGACGATCACGAGGACAAGCCCACCAGCCCGATCTTCGCGGCCTTCGCCGACGACATTGTAGCAAAAGGAATTACATTCAAGGTTCAATTGTTAATTAACCAAGACCAAATTTTGGAGACGACTCTGTTTTCTTGCTCTGTTGTTTTGCTCTGTTTTTAACACCATGCTCTGTTTTTTTTTTTTTTGTGTAAACTTGCAGAACAAGTACAACATAGGGCCCGGCGACTTGGTGTGGAAGAGAGCTACGGCGGCGAGGATCGGAGGGGACAGATCGGCCTTTTTCGAATGTGGGTTCATCGGTCTGCAGGACACATTCCTCGACGACGACGGGCGACATTTGTTCAGCAGCTGCTACATCGAAGGCGCCATGGATTTCATCTACGGAGCGGGGAAATCCATCTACAAGGAGTGCGAGATATCGCTCAACATCGGGAAGTACGAGCCCGGATTGGCGGGATCGATCACGGCGCAGAAGAAGGAGCTGCCGGGAGAGGAGGGTGGGTTCGTGTTCGACGGCTGCGAGTTCACGGGGACAGGGAAAGCCATACTTGGGAGAGCTTGGGGAGCTTACTCGACCGTCGTCGTGTACAATTCGAGCATTGGTGACATTGTTGTTCCTCAAGGGTGGGATGCTTGGGGCTATGTTGGACATGAGTAAGTCAAGTTTCCTCTTCCACTAGCACTTTGGGTTACGGACATTATGTTCGTACGAAGATGGTCATGGTTTTGATGGATGGATGCAGAGCAAATTTGACGTATGTGGAGGCGAATAACAGAGGAAAAGGGGCGAATACATCGAAGCGAGTTCCATGGATGAAGAAGCTGAATCCGGCTCAGCTCAGAAGTTATGTGGATATTAGCTTTATAGATCGAGATGGCTGGCTTCGTAATTTGCCTAGAATCTCATCTTGATTCATGTTTTCCAACTGATGTTTCATTTTATAGAATTCTTTCTGTAACTTGGATGTCTTGATCTTCAGTTTTCTTTGAATAATTATTCAAATTTTCGACTGGACTATGAGGTTATCTTATTGAAAGAGTTTTGTGAGATGAATTACTATGATGGTCCATGAAACCGTACCGGAGACCGTACCGGGAAAGTCAGCTATACGGTATTTTATGGTAAAACCGTGGTTTTATCGTAGTTCAACCGTTGTACCGTTAAATACCGTCTACCGGTTTAGCCTCCGATACTGGTATTTCGTGGTTGAACCGCCGGTACGGTACGGTTTCATGGACCATTTACTATAAAAGGGTTGCAAAAGTTAGGGATGATGGTGAAACTAATTGTGAGGTGGTCAACACAAATTTAATAGAGTGGTTATGACGTCATACCTTTAACCTACAAACCCTAATTTCCATGTTTGTAACAAATTATTTGTTACATTTTCCCTTTCCTTTATGAGACACTCATAAAAAAAACAATTAAATACAACTATAATGTTATGGGGACTAAGTTTTAATTTAACATAATTTTTCCTAACGTTGTTTAGCTCTTACGAATTACGTGTCTATGGACCATCTTGAATTGGTGTCATACAATTGAAATAATTTCTAATTTTTGCAAGAATGGTAGGTGACGAGGATGTCAACAAAGTTAGTCTAGGTTCAAATCTTGGCGGTCACCATTTTGCGTTACTTCTTTGGTGGCCACTAACAATGTTGTGTATGAGACTTAATTGCTCTTATAAGTTTGTCCGATATTTATAGGGACCAAGATTTCCAGTTTGACAAATTTCCCTCGTAGCAAAAAAAAAAAAAAAAAAGCTTTTTTTTTTAAACATTTACTTTATTGTCAATTTACTAAATTAATATCTTAGAGCTAGTCAGCCAACAAAATCCACAACAACAAACAAGAACACTTCATCAAAACTAAAAACTAGAAAAATCCCTCATTCTCCATTCCATTGTGTTGTTGATATTTTGATAAGTCGCAACACCCTAAATTATTGTCTAAAATGAGAATAAAGAAAAACAAAATCACACAAAATAAACAAAATTTCTTTTCCTCCCTTCTCCCACCTCTATCCAATCCATCGCTCCTCGCCTCCTCTGTTCCAAATAATCCCTCCATTTCCCTAAATTCAAAAGCCAGCAAAACAAAATATAGTAATCCGCCATTTCCACCCAAACGAAACAAAACCGAAGGATTCCCTCTCTTCCGCCATTTCCTTATTCTTGCAGAACCATTTTCCCTCTCTTTCTGGAGGGAAGATGGCGACCGAAAGAATAAGAAAAAACCCAAGAAGAACGATTGCTCCTCCTTCACCATCACCGCCAAATCCAAATCCAAGCGCAACCCATTCCATCTCCTCGATCAATTCACAATACCCATATCCTATAATGGCTGTAGCCACATTTTCCCTCGTCCTCTTCCTGACTTCGCTCTCGTCCTTCGCCGCCGGCGCGCCGTTTCAGCCGGACGACCGGTTCCTCATCGCCTGCGGATCCAAGAGCCAGCTACAACTCCCCGACGGCCGTACATTCATGAGCGACGAGGAAGCCAAAGGGTTCCTAAAGAGCGAAGAGAACATTGTCGTCTCCGTTCCTTCCGGCGACGTCCCTTCCTCCGTTTACCTTAACGCCAGGATTTTCACCACCGAGGCTATGTACAGCTTCACGCTGAAATCCCCCGGCTGGCATTGGATTCGCCTCTATTTCTACCCGCTGAAGAACAATAACAAGGATTTGAAAACGGCTAGGTTTACGGTGACGACGGATAGGTACGTTCTGCTCCACGATTTCAATTTGGGGAACGAAACCGCCGTCTCCAAAGAGTACCTTATACAGATAACCGACCAGATCTTCTCGATCCACTTGAAGCCGGCGAAAGATTCGGTGGCTTTTATCAACGGGATCGAACTCGTTTCCGCTCCCGACGAGTTGATCGCCGACGAAGGAACGGAGCTTTTCCCCATGACCGGATTCTCCGGATTGACGAAGTACGGTTACCACACCGTTTACAGGTTGAATATGGGTGGGAGCCTGATTACTCCGAAGAATGATTCTTTGGGGAGGACATGGGAGAATGATAGGCGTTACCTTAAGGCTGATGTTTTGGCTCAGAATGTGACAGTCCCAACCTCGGCGATTAACTATGGGAAGACGGTTACGCCATTGATAGCGCCGCCGTCTGTGTACGCAACTGCTGATAAGATGGCTAATGCGCAGACGACCGAGGCCAATTTCAATGTGACGTGGAATTTGGATGCTGACCCTTCGTTCAATTATCTACTCCGGCTTCATTTCTGTGATATTGTGAGCAGGTCTCTGAATTCTCTCTACTTCAATGTGTATATCAATGGCAGGACCGCAATCTCTGCCTTGGATTTGTCTGCACTTACTGGCCAATTGGCGTCTCCGTACTTCAGAGATATTGTGGTGAGTTCGTCGTTGATAACTAAAGGGCTTGTGGTTGAGATTGGTCCTACCCATGAGGATACAGGAAGTAAAGATGCGTTTTTGAATGGTTTGGAGGTGTTGAAGATGAGCAATAGTGTTGATAGCTTGGATGGAGAGTTTGGTATTGATGGGAGGCAAGCTATAGCGAATCGCAACACGGTTGCAGCTGTTGGGTTTGCGATGATGTTTGGAGCTTTTGTGGGTCTTGGTGCAATGGTGATGAAGTGGCATAAAAGACCACAGGATTGGCAGAGAAGGAACAGCTTCTCTTCATGGTTACTTCCTCTCCACGCTGGTGATAGTAGTTTCCTGTCAAAGGGCTCAATGGGTTCCCACAAATCGAACTTCCACTCGTCGACGTTTGGTCTAGGGCGATTCTTCTCCCTCGCGGAGTTGCAGGAAGCTACGAAGAACTTCGATTCGAGCGCGATAATCGGGGTGGGAGGGTTTGGAAATGTTTATATAGGTGAGATTGACGAAGGCACTAAAGTTGCTGTCAAGAGAGGAAACCCACAATCCGAGCAAGGGATCAACGAGTTTCAGACCGAGATTCAGATGCTATCGAAGCTTAGGCACAGGCATTTGGTGTCACTGATTGGATACTGTGATGAGAACGATGAGATGATCTTGGTTTATGAGTTCATGTCTCAGGGACCCTTTAGAGACCATCTCTATGGCAAGAACTTGCCACCATTGTCGTGGAAGCAGAGGCTGGAGATTTGCATAGGCTCAGCTCGTGGGCTGCATTACCTGCACACGGGGACAGCACAAGGGATCATTCACAGGGATGTCAAGACGACGAACATCTTGCTTGATGACACGTTTGTGGCTAAAGTTGCAGACTTTGGGTTGTCCAAAGATGGGCAGATGGGGCAGAACCATGTGAGCACTGCTGTGAAGGGAAGTTTCGGGTACTTGGATCCAGAGTACTTCAGGAGGCAGCAGTTGACTGATAAATCGGATGTGTATTCATTTGGGGTGGTGTTGCTGGAGGCATTATGTGCTAGGCCTGCAATCAACCCAGCACTGCCGAGGGAGCAAGTGAATTTGGCCGAGTGGGCTATGCAGTGGAAGAGGAAAGGGTTATTGGAGAAGATCATTGATCCTCACCTGGCCGGGACTATTTGCCCCGAATCGATGACCAAGTTCGCTGAGGCTGCGGAGAAATGCTTGGCTGAGCATGGTGTGGATAGGCCTGGCATGGGGGATGTGTTGTGGAACTTGGAGTCCGCGTTGCAGCTTCAAGAGCAGTTCTTACAAAAGAAGAGTGAAGATGATAATGGGGATAAAGAATCTCCTACAGAAGCTCCTGTTGCGGCTTCTGCTGCTGTTCCTGTTCCTGTTGCTGCCTCTCCAGCTCCTTTGCCACCTGCTGCTCCTCCGACCGGGGATTCTTCATCTTCTTCGAGGGATACGGGGAGTCAGAATCGAGCAGGAGGACCGAATGAAGTTCATGCCATTAGTGAACACTCTGGCACTGCCGTGTTTGCACAATTCTCAGACCTAAGTGGAAGGTAACCTATATGCCGTGAAGTGATCATCATTATCTGATACAATCATGGGAATTGGCATAAGCTCCAACAGAAGATGTAGGATCTGTAGAAGGGTTTGGGAGGGATCATCCTTAACATATATATGGAATGAACTAGTACATTGCTTGAGCAGAAAGTTTGCTCTTTTTGTACAATGTAGTAGATTATGTATAGCAAGTCCTTGCCACCTTCTTCCTCATTCTTATTGTTGGAATATTCCTATGAAATCTGTAACTGTGACTTACCCTCATTCTGATGATTGTTGTAAAACTTGGTATGGAAATGGATGTGATCATAATTATTTATAAGTTCATTCACTCTTCTTTTCTAATTCTCAAGACCCTAGGATGGGATGAGTTTGTGGTAATTTGGAGATGGAATTCGGCCAAACGAAAATATACAAGTGGAGATTGTAAATTTGGCTTGATACAAATCCTCAGTGCACCCTTATTCTTCAAGAAGCAACTTTATCTATAATGGATTTTGTCTTAATTTTTCTAATGTCAACCTAGAACATCATAGAAAAATTGAGTTCCATTGTTTCGGACGATTTGTGGACATGCATTATCAGAACCACGTCATGTATGACAGAAACTTAAAAAACAATGCGGCAGATAAAAAACATCTCAACAACGGGGAAAAAGAACACATACATCATTTGTGTACAGAAAGTTGCAGACTTTTGTAGATTCATAATCCTCAAATAAAAGGAATTTGTTTACATAGCACCATTTTCCAACAAAAGAAGGTACCTGGATTAAGAGAGCTCTCGAGTCTAGCTAGGAAAACAGAGGTAACCTAGTTTTTACAGGTTGTGAATCAAATAAGGGGAGCAAAAGGGACAAGGAAAGTTAGAAATGTCCTCTCTAAAGAACCAAAATCATGCCCTGCTAAACAAAAGAATCACCGTTTTCCCTAACTGGCACCAAAATTAGTTGTGTGAGAAAGACTAGAGGCCCCTTCGCCTATCGCAACTTTTGCTTCTTATTTGTGTCTATATCCCACTGATCTAGCACGACGAGGTCTTCTTCATCCTCATCAATTTGTTGAACTTTCTTGTGATTTGCAGCAGTAGCTTCATCGGCAACATTTGAAGGAGGATCCAAGCTGATGTCCTTAGAATCTGGACCTTTTCTTTTCTTTCCTGAAGCGTCAATCGCCTCAACATTGATTTTGACCACCCCGGCATCTGCTTGAGCCACCGCAGGCTCGGTTTCTGATGTTTTTGATGTACTAACTCCATTACCAGTATGGGGCTTGTCATCATCATCCTTGGGCTTCGTAGGAACTTGAGTCCATCCAAGGAGAACCATTCCATCTGGCTCGTTCTCCTCGTCGAATTCCTCCCTGTGGGAGAACATGAATGCATATTTAGAAAGTGGATCAATAGTGCAACAAATGGGGTGCGTTTTTACTAAAAAAATATATTCATGAAAAAATTGAATCAAAGATAAAGCAAACACACTTCTTCAATCTAACTTCGCAAAGCCATTCTATAGCCCGCCACTGATCCATCTCACATGAATTGTAACAGAATTGTTTAAAAAATTGCTTATACCACCAGCCAAATTTTTTCCAGATGAAGTTTCTGGGGGACAAGGAATCACTGGGATTATTTTTATAGAAGTGACACGAAAACAAACCTATGTTTGATATTGATATTGCAAGTGAACTCCTGCAGCAGATCCTCGACAGTTAGCATTGTCCCACTAGTAACTGGAGAGGGCAGACTAGATAGCACCTGATAATGGAATGCACGGAACGACAATTGGTGGAAAGATCAGAGAAGGAAAAGAAAGAGATAGCTAACTGCAATTCGAACCATAGTCAGATAACTAAAAAGATGTACCTTCTCAAGGTTAGCAGAATAGTTAGCAATCATAGCTTCATCAAGATCATCCCCAACTTCGTAAAGAAGGGAGGACCCATGCATGATCAATGGAGAGGTCATGCTAAGCTTGGCTTTAACAATCTTTTCCACAAAATCCCTTAGCTTTGAATGATTGGTGTTGATCTCCAATGTTAGTGGTGTCTGTTAGCATTCACATCAAATTCAAATGTTAGCAAATGTCCAACAATTAGTAGATCAACATCCATTAATTTATGACTAGAAATATAGAGAGATACTTCAGAGCAAACACAGCAGGACTTGTTTGGCTCAAAGGGCTGCACTGGCATAATAAGCATCTTTTGGGTAACATGTTCGAGACAATATGACATCCTGCAGCGACATAGGTTGATACTTAGAAGTATTTTAACGATGGTTATATTGGTAAAATATTCCCAACTTGAGAGCCCATAATTAATTGCAGCAGACGAAGAAAGAACAGGTAATACCTGTAACTGTCAAAGTCCTTTTGCAACACCTTGATTGCTTCAATAACAATTAAGCCAGCTACAATTGCATTTGTTGTTGCAACTGCATGCACAATGTTACCAGCAATACCTTTGGCTTCAAAAAGGCTATGCAAAGGGATCCCAAATGAGGCAGCCCGGATATTGGCAGCAGCAGTAACAAATTCGACAGCTAACTGATCATCTTTGTCAAAACCAAGGCTTCCAATCTCCTGCAGAAAAGTTTTGAGGGAACAAATGAGTACCAAGCAATACAAGGGCATCGTTCAACTCCTTCATTTAAGGGAACAAAGCAGCAAACCTTTTCTCTTTTTCCAAAGAACAGCTTCAACGCCTCAAAGAAAACTCTTGAATTATCCGTAAGGCTCCAGAGATCCTGTGGATTCTTCAGGCCCAAAGATGCCATAGCAGACACTGACAAAGGATCATCAGCAGAGCCTGCTTTATTGGAACTTCCATTTTGCTGCATCAGTTCAGCAGATATAACATCACTGCTGTATATGGGTCTGGGCTTGTTTCGATTTTTCCATGTCTCTTCATTGGATAAAGCTTGTTCAATATTATAACCGAACACGTGGTCATATATTCTCCTTCCATAATGTTCAACGCTTTCATCAGCTTTGCGTTCAAACACATCTTCAGTTTGCTCAGATGAGCCTGTGGAATCATTGGAGCGGACATTTAAATCATTGTCCTGATTTTTGTCACCAAACAACTTTGCAAAAAGAAGTTCCTTTGCCCAAACAATACAGTGAACAAACTGCAATTTGAAACAACAAGCAAGGTAAACACTTGACCAAAACTTCAATTCAGAAGCAGTTTACAGAAAGTCAATTAAGCTGTGTCAGCAACAATGAAACAAACTCAGTAAGTGTTCGTTCAGAAAGAGAGATTTAACTGGCACCAGATGGAAAGTAAAATGCTCAATTCACTTAATGCATACCTTTGATGGAGTGCTAGTAATTGTGCAAACAGGATATGTTTTGGGAGAAGGTTTGGGATTACATTCGTAGCAATCAGTTCTTCCTTTGACATGTACTGAGACCTGCAGCAAGAACCAATTACACGACCCTTGTCATTCGACAGTTATGGAAAATAATAAGTCTCTAATCCTAACAGAATACGTCTTCGGGGAGGTGAGAAAATAATAACAAAAAAAAGATATTAGAACAGACAGGAAACATTAAAGATACAGACAAACACAATGAGCACGTTTAAGTGCTTCTCACAATGAACAAATTGCCCTTCGCAGGGGCCAGGGAGTTTTCAAATAGAAAACCCATCAACTGGCGGGATTACAGGTAGGTACATACACCAGCATGTAGATAAAAGAGGCCGCTCAACAGTACAAAGTTCTGTGATTGTGGATTCTTTGAAATGAACAAGATGATAGAGCTCACCTGTCCGAGGAAGCCAGTAGTTCCACTCTCCACCAAAGGAACTTCAGCGGCCAGACACAAGCGATTTACATGTCTCCTTGCATCTAAGTTGTCAAGCCCATTCAGTACAACATTGAATTGCTTGAAGAAGTCCACATTGAAGCTAGAATCTTTCACATTTGCATGGTGTGAAGTTATGCTTATATGAGGCCTGAATCTCAGTACAGCATCTCTAGCAACCTGCAAGCAGCATTGAAAATGATTAACCAAACCCACAACTGACCAAGAAAAATACGAAGACAAGGCTGATGGGCACAAAAGCTTACCTTGGCCTTAGACTGCCCAACATGCTTCTGACGAAACAAAAACTGCCTATTAAGGTTGCTAACTTCTATAGTATCCATGTCTATCTGCGTACAAATGCAAAAGGATAGAAGAAGTTAAGGAGCAAATAACATAAAGTTACATAAGACCAAGTCTGAAGAACTAGTTACGCAACTTAGGCTGATCACCAGAATTCAAAAACTAATCAACAAGTTCGTCGATGACCCAACGCTTCCTATGCACACCAACTGGGAGAATGGTGTCTAGTTGCATGCACCTTCCCTTTCTTATGAGAGTTGTGAAATTCATTACTTGCAAAATTACCAGTCTAACTAAGGGACAAGCAATGAACTGCCAATTATAGCTAAGCAAATTCTCCCAAATCAGCCGTAAAAGTTCGCTATTTGTCTCACAATACCCGTAGCAGCGCTAAACCCTTCAAACCCACAAACAAGAGCCTCCCGCGAAAAAGACCACTGCTAATTCTAAGATCCGAGATTACTAAAAAGGATGGAAAAACAGAAAAATCGTAACTTGGAATAATCAAAACCCAGAGGGGGTGTGGCAACTAAAAGGTTCACAGCAATTACTACATACAATATGAATATCCTCGAAGCCGGAGAGGGCAAGGGTCTTGAGAAGCTCGCAGCCAATCCCACCTGCTCCAACCATAAGCACTTTGGCGCCCTAAAAAAACGAAACCCAGAACCAGGAACACGAATCAGAAGAAACCCTTAACACTGAAATTGAACAAACCCAGCTCCTAAATTGGCTTTTGTGTGGTTTAGAACTTGAAATCATATACCTTGATAGCGGGCGACTGCTGCAGGGACGCCATTGGGAACAGGGCGGAGACCGGAATAGAGCGACAGATGAAGTAGGCGAAGTAGAGAGCAAGACGGAAAGAGCGGGGAAGAAGTTGCAAGTCTATGACTATCTGCCAATGAAAAATAGTAGTCGTCGGCAGAAGTAGAAAAGGGGCGAAGAGGGGGAAAGTGAAAGAGTGAGAGTGGTATTGGAGAATCGAACACGGGACTAAGGAAATGAACAGCCTATCTTCCAATGAGAATCTTTGATGAACCAATACCAATTTTCTTATTCGTGGAAGTGAGAAAGGAAAGGAAAGGAAAAGGAGACACGAATGGAAAAGGCCAAACACGAGGTAGTTAGAATTCGCCAAAAGAAGAGAGCGCCAAACTAAAAAGAGCAGAATTGAGATTTGAGGCTGTCTTCTTTTGCTTTTAGGGTTTTTCTCACTGGATGATTTGGGGGAAATATGAGGGAAGAGAACTTCAATTTCTTGGAGAGTCATGTTTTTATTGGGTGGATTCAAATCCCAGATCCAATTGGATAGAATTTGTCCAAAGTGAATGTAAGTTCCCTCTGATGTGTCTTTGTTTGAGTCCTAAGGTTACGGTTAGGGTTTGGCTTACATTAGGCTAGTGGTATATTAGTAAGTAGACATTATTCTGACGTTATGTCATATATCAAGTTTTTTTTTTTTTTTTTTTTTCCTGAGTGATATCAATAGAGGAAAATAGTTAAACTTACAATTCTACCCAGGACCCCTAACAGACTCTAAAGAAGCCACCCAAAAAAACAAAAGATTCTACCTCTAAACGAGACAAAAGCAGTGCTTTATGCGCCACTCTATGGGCAACACTGTTGGCGGATCTAGGTACCGCCCTAAACTCTATACAAACAGACAAAGAGCTAAGGATCTGATGACACTCTCGTAACACCGGACCACCAATCGAGTCTTCTATGACGCCTTGACGAACTTGTTTGACGACCACTTCGGAATCACCTTCGACTATCACGCGGGTCAAGGATTTTGAGGCTGCCATGGAGATAGCATCTCTAAAGGCTAGAAGCTCTGCTAGGTAAGGATTGAAAATTCCTTGAAGTTGCAGCTCAAAAGCCAACACCACATGCCCGTCTGACCCACGGATAACAAGCCCAGACGAACACCCGGTGGCACAAACAGCAGCATCGAAGTTGGTCTTCAAAAAGACTTCTGGCCGAGGGACCCAAGAGGTGGCAAGATGGTTTGGGAGTAGAACTGCGGGGTGGAGGAGGAAGGAGAAGAAAGGAGACTTCGAGGACCTGGTTGTAGAACTGGCTGGATAGGGAACGGACATGAGGTTGGTAAAATTCGAAGGTCACTTTATTTCTAGACTTCCAGATTCTCCAAAGTAAACAGATGCATAAAAACCTGTTTGTTTTTATTGATATGTAAAACTCAACATTTACAAATCGCGCTTAGAAAGATTTCTTAAATGAATTTATAGAGGCATAAGTCTTCGTTTATCGATTGCAAACCTTGGGCAACGGAGGTATATACGACTTCTCTCTCTCTATTTTTTTTTGTTGGGTGAAAATGCGGATTAGATCTCTTAGAAGCAGATTAGACGAGAAGAACTCATTGTCTACCAAGGTCAAGGTGACACCATCTTCATCAGATGACTGGGACTTTTTGTAAGAGCTTGTTTCTCTGACTTTGATTACTAACGAGGTGGCTAAAAATCTTTTGGTTGTTTCATTTGGCGTTCCATACCCAAAAGACCTCATAGATGGTAATTCTTATTCAATGAATGTGAGTTTGCCCCTTTTCGTCTTGTTTCTTTTGAGTTTTAGGGTTGGCATCTGACTAATAGTGTACATCACATGTGAGTGACTATTGAAATATACTTTCTATGATACTTACAAACAAGTTCGAGGAATATGTTGTGACATATTATGATCCTTGGGGTAAGAGTTTGGTTTCTTACTAAGAAGCGAAGACAAAACACTCGTAAAGTACAATTGCAAAAAATTCCAAAATGCATTGAACGTAAGAAATGCGATAGAAAATACGCCTATAGTTTTCCAAATTATATGAATTAGGAAAGCTCAAGCACAAGATATATGTTAAGTTGTTAACAGAGTTAACCTCTTATAGGAATACGAGAAGAGCTCTTTGATTACAACGGTGAACTCATCAATATCGATGGATTAGACATTTTCAGGGAAATATTTGTGCAACTCCCATTAAGATTAGAGTTTTTTTTGTGTATCCTATCGTGTTAAGCGTCACCTTTATAACTTATTCAATTCAAATTAGAACACATAAAAGTCGTGAAGAGATGTAACTGTAAGAAGAGGGCTGAAGTGGAGGTGGAAGAGGTCGAGATGGTCCCTGAAACACAGATGTCAGAGCCTGCTGAGGGGAAGGTGTATGGGGAATGGATGACCGTCAAAAAGAGAGAGAAGATATAATGAGAGGCTTGGTAAATGCGAAGTACAGTATCGAGGGAGAAACCAGAACAGTTTCCATGTATTGCATGAAGTTGATGAGAGCCATGCAGCGCCGAACGTTGGAGGTGGCGAAGAGGAAGGGCGAGCTGGAAGTGTGAAGGGGAGTGCTACGGAGGATGGGGAGGTAGGGAGAAAGGACAAGGATGGGAAGAAGAAAAGACAGGTTGGTAAGGGTGAAGTGGCGGGGGAAGGAAGTAGGTGGAGGATTGAGCGGTAGAGTGGATGGAGGAGGAAAGGTTGTGCAGCAACTAAAGAATGGGGGTCCAAATAATGGAACGAAATCCAAAGATAAACGTAAGGGTTATAGTAATGGGATGAGTACTACGACCCAAACGAAGGGGGGTGGGTATGGTCAGAAGGAGAGTAAACGAATGGAGGCAGTGACTACAGAAGGGGACCAAACCCGAAAAGGAACTACAATCCAAAACAGTCCAGGAAAATGTGCGGGGAACCTATCCCCTTTAGGTCATAAATGAGGCTTCTCAGCTATAACTGCCGCAGATTGGGGAACAAGCGGGCAGTTATAGCTTTGAAGTCGCTTTTGCGACTTAGTTCCCCACACATGGTCTTCCTAATGGAGACTAAACAAACTTCGGAAGAGAACGAAATTTTGAGGAAGGAGCTAGGATTTGAGAAAGGTGAAAGTTGGCCTATGGATAGTAGTGGAGGTGGGAGAGCGGGGGGTCTGTGTGTATGGTGGAAGGAGGAAATAAATGCAATGGCCATGTCGACCTCTTTACACCATATTGATATGAAAATCGTAGAAGAGTCAGACGAGGTGTGGAGATTCACGGGAGTATATGGGTGGCCGGAAGGAAGTGACAAAGAGCAAACATGGGACCTAATACGAAGACTGGCTGATCAGTGGGAGGGAGCATGGCTGTGTGGCGGTGATTTGAACCAGGTTCTTAAAGCAGCAGAGAAAGCTGGAGGGCGTCCGCCGGTGGAGGGTGATATGCAGGCGTTTAGTGATTGTTACTGGATGCGCAGCTTAATGATCTGGGATATACAGGGTATGAGTTTAAGTGAGAAAATAAGAGGGCAACAGAGGGTTGTATCGAGGAGCGACTCGATAGATTTGTGGCCACGACAGCATGGCAAGATAAATTTCGGCAAGGAAGGGTTCTCCACCTGGACAAGTCACGATCGGACCACAGACCAATAGTCTGTGATACTCAAGGTGATGATGACCTTGACCCAAAATGGGGATGGAGTTTCAAATTTGAACCGATGTGGGTCAAGCATGAAAATTGCGAAAAGTTAGTCGCGGAAGCTTGGGGAACGGCAGGGGAGACATATGCTTTGCATAAACTCAGTGTGGTTCGAGAACAGCTGCTGGTCTGGAGCCGAGACGTGTTTCCGAGATTCGCAAAGCAAAAAAGAAAGATTAATAAGGCTTTGAAGGCTATGGAAAGGGTACCAAGGAGTGATGCAATACTGCAGCTAGGGGTGGCAGCCGGTCGGTTTCGGTTTAACCGAAAATCGAAAACCCGGTTATCGGTTAAACCGAGTCATCCCCTATAGCTGCCGACCACCGACCGAAGAGAGCTCACGGTTAGCCGACCAACCGACCGGTCAGTTTCGGTTTTAGGCTCGGTTAGCCGGCCAACCGAAAAAAATAGAATTTCAAAAAAAAAAAAAAAATCAATTAAATAAAACAGAAAAAATCCCCACCACTCCTTCCTTATCTCCTCCTCTCTCTTTCCTTCCTCCACACCAGACTCTTCTCTATCCTTCCTTCCTCTTCTCTCTCCTTCCTTCTTCTTCCTCCACCTACAGCCTCCTCTGCTCCGACTCCCACCACAACCGCCGCCGCGCCGCCGGCAGAGCTCCTCAACCACCCGGTCTTCGTCGGCCTCCTCAACAAGTCGGCGCAGGAGTACGGGTACGAGCAGCAAGGCAGGCTCCGGATCCCCTGCCACGTCCTCGTCTTCGAGCGGGTCATGGAGGCGATTCGCCTCGACCTCGACGACCTCCTCAGCTCCACCGCCGTCTCCGTCGGCTACTTATGAGAATTGCCGTCTCTCCGATTTAGGTTTTTTTTTAAAGATTTGGGGGAGAATTAATTTCACAGGAAAAGAGAGGAAGAGTGGAGGCGGGGAGGTGGAGGGGGAAGGGGAAGGGGAAGGTGAAGGTCGAGGGTGGAGGGTGGAGAGAGGAAGAGGAAGGGGAAGGGGAAGGGGAAAGGTTGACTGTGAGGGTGGAGGGAGGAAGGGGAAAGTCGACTGTGAGGGTGGAGGGAGGAAGGGGAAGGGGTTGGGGAGCTAGGGTTAGTGGGGGGATTGGGGGCGGCGCCGTTTTGGGGGAGGGGGGGTTTCGGTTAGCCGGTTAACCACCGGTTTTCGACCCCGGTTAGTCGGCTAGCCGAACCCCTACCCTTCCCCACCGCCAACCGACCGTTGTAATTGGAGTCGGTTTTTCGGCTAGCCGAAAACCGGTCGGTTCGGTTGAAACCGACCGGTTAGCCGCTAACCGGAAAACCGTCTGCCAGCCCTAACTGCAGCAGCAGAAGCAACTTGAAAAAGAGTTGGAAGAGTTAGAAGATCAAGAAGAACTTTATTGGAAACAACGCTCGAGGGCAGACTAGCTACGAGATGGGGATAAAAATTCAGCTTTCTTTCATAAGAAAGCATCTGCCCGTAGAAAACGGAACACGATCAGGCGTATGCAAGAAGAGTCGGGTAGATTAGTGACGAAGCATGATGATATTGCCGCATGCTTGGTCAAGTACTTCGACAAGCTATTCAAAGCTGGGCCAGTTCCGCAGGAGACCCCTATTTTAGATACAGTCAGTGCTTCTATTAGCACCGAGCAGAATGAAGCCCTACTTCTCCCTTTCAATCGGGACGAGATATTTGCCTCACTAAAGCAGATGGGCCAGCGGAAAGCGCCAGGGGAGGATGGGTTTTCAGTTCTCTTTTTTCGCCGGAATTGGAGTGTGGTAGGAGACGATGTGGTGAAGATGGTGACTCATATCCTTGAGCGGGGAGAGATGCCGACGGGACTCAATCATACTCTGATTGCTTTAATTCTGAAGGTGAAGTGCCCCATCACCAAAGGAATTTAGACCGATAAGCCTCTGCAATGTCATGTATAAGCTTGTCTCCAAAGTGTTGGCAAATAGGCTGAAGCCGCTACTGAACCAGGTGATTTCAGAAGAGCATAGTGCCATTGTACCAGGCAGAGTCATAACAGATAATATCATGGCAACGTTTGAATGTTTTCATACTATGAAAAGGAAGAAGAAGAGTTGGGTGACTTACTGTGCAGCGAAAATATATATGGCTAAGGCCTACGACTGGGTGGAGTGGCATTTCCTTGAGTCCATGATGTATCGGTTGGGATTCTCGGAGAGATGGGTGAAACTGATAATGATGTGTGTCACCACTGTTACCTATTCGGTGTTAAATAAATGGACATCAATCTGCGAGAATCACACCGACCAGAGGAATCAGACAGGGCGATTCTCTCTCTCCCTACCTGTTTCTTATCTGTGCGGAAGGGCTATCTGCGGCCACGAAGAAAGCCGGAAAGGAAAGGAGATTGTGGGGTATCGACCCATCAAGGGGTGCTCCTGCCATCACCCATATGTTTTTTTGCTGACGACAGTGTGTTCTTTTGCAGGGCGACATAACAGGAGACTCAAGTACTTAAAAATATTCTTATGGATTATGAAAAAGAGTCAGGCCAGTTGGTGAATTTCCAGAAGTCTGAGATATCTTTCAGTGAGAATGTGAAGACCCATCAAAAGCTGATTGCTGGGGGAATACTTGGGATTCAAATTGTGCCTAAGCACGATAAATATCTCGGTCTTCCTACAATAGTGGGCAGGTCGAAGAAGGATATGTTCCAAGGGCTGAAGGAGAGGGTGCGAGCGAAGCTATCGCAATCTTCGAAAATCCCTCACATTCATCGCAATCCCCATCGCAATTCCAACCCTAAAATCTCCCCCTATTGAATCGATGCCAGTGTTGGTCCTCTCCGAGGGGGAGGCGAATGCTGCGACAGTGGTTGTTCCCGGTGGTTCTGCACTTCTGCTCGACGAGGAGCGAACGAACCCACTTTCTCCGTCGACAGACAAACTCATCCAGATCGACGAACCCACCACCGCAAAACCCTTTTCTTAAGGACGGCGTCGATGTTGCATATCGATTCTGTTGTGGGAAGATCTTCTAAAGGACGCCGATGGTGACTTCTCCAACGACTTCCAGCTCTCGATTGGTGGTGAAACTTGGTGGCCAAATGTGAAGCACCCATTAAAATTGAGGGCCAAATCTGCAATGAGCATATTTCCATCTCTGACCTCACTTCTAAGTCGCTTCGTCTCCTTCACCGGTGTTGTTGTCGAAATCGATTGGCTTGGACTCCTCTGTCCCTAGCGAAGTGCCGAGGACGATGGCGACTAGAATCTAGTGGTGCCGTAGAGAACCATTTGTTCGTGAGACATGGTCGCGGCGACGGATTGAGGTTGCTCTCGGCGGCGGGGGGGGGGGGGCTAAGGTTTTTGAATTGGGGATTTTCGTAGAAGAGGGGATGAAGGTGGGAATTGGGGGGGGGGGGGGAGATTGTTATTCCCCATCTATCTCCGTTGAAGGATGGCGAGCAGTTCCGTGGAGACGCCAGAAATCCGATCCCAACATCGCGCGGTGGTAGTGATTGGGGTGGGCGACGAAGATGAAGGCAATAATTTAATTATTATTTTTTTTTTATGATTTTTCATATAATAATTTTTTATTTATTTTTAAATTAAAATATAACATGACATACATGTGGCAAGTGTTTGTGAGTTGTCGATGATGTGTCCGGTGAGTTGACAGTCATATCATCGTTCCGTTAATTAGACTAACAGTGTCACTGGCGTCGTTAAACTATGTAACGGAAATGACTATATTTGTCATCTAACTTTTAAAATCTTTGCTATTTTTTGTAGTTTCCAAAAATTGGCCATTATTGTCACAAACGTCAAAATTTTGATTACACTGATAAATTTAACCTAAAATTAACCATAAATAGACCACAGATGATGAAAAAGCAGGAAGGATAATATAGTAATTTAGCACCTAGAGAGAGGAGAATCCATCTACTACCCTTCTCTGTCAAAACAAATACCAAATTCACTTCAAAATGAGATTCACTTTGATTTCACCCTCCCAATTCTACATAGAAAAACAAACTTCCACCTAAACATGTACAGAAATTCGAATCCCTAACCTTCCGACTCCTCTCTTTAGCTCTTCTTACGTCGTCGTCGGCGGCGATAAGCAGAAGCTGCCGCTGCGGCGTGTTCGCCGCTCCACTCCTAACCGGAGGAACCCCACTCCTTTCGCAAAGAATCCTCCGCCGATCACCAGTTGACCACCAGTCAGCCAGTTAATTCCGTCAAACGCTGTAATAGTCAATTCCGTTAGCATTTCCCCGTCCATCGTCGCCGTTGCTTCTCTTTTACTGGGTTGTTGCCGGATTCTTTACGCTAATTGATCGCTGCTTTCCGCTCTCTTGCTTTCTCGCTGTTTAGACTGCAAAAATGGAGGCCGCATTCTGCGTCGCGCCCCGAAATGACACCCGCCACACTCCAGAAGGTATTATTTTTTCCTGTCTGCATTTCTTGGTTAAACATGCTGTTAAAGACTGCGAACTGTGAAGCTAACTGGTAGACTGTGCATGGAAGTATGAAGTTGGGAATCTCTGCATGTGATCACTGACACTACCCCAATCATCTGAATGCATTTTCCAACTGAAACGGAGAGCGAATTAAGCTCCAGTGTGGGAATAGAATACTGGAGTAGAATTAAGCTCATCATGTTCTTGTTTGTGTGATATAGAAGCTAACAGAATATGCCGATTCTGTTTATGGTTGTTAGATCTTGTTTTGTGCTTCATCTGCATATACTATTGTGAATGTTTCACTAATTGTGTGATTTCTTGTTTGCAGATTTTTATTCGAAAGGCCATAAGCGTATTAAACTATCCCATGATATTGCAAAACCCAGTAAAACAGGCTCTTCAAATGTGGTGGATTATTCTGATCCATTTGCTGTATCCCATATGATTGAGACGCTTGATTCTGGAATATATGGAAGTGTTACTGAAGACATGAAAGCCTTGCTTACGTTCAAGCTTCAAGTTTTGAGTCCCTATCTTCAGAAACATCCGTCACTTTCTGATATATTATGGGGTGGAGAAAAGAGCTCAACTAAAGGTGGTTCAGGGGTACAGTCGGATGATGTCATTGATCTTGATGATGATGATGATGTGGGACATAATCCAATGGTGAAAAATGCTATTGTAGTTATTGACTCAGATGATGAAGACAAACAAGATCAACGGATGGTTCTTCCCTTCCAGGAGGTGGCTTTGCCGAAGCCTGAGGGGCAATTTGTCACAGAAAAAGAGGTTTGCTTTCTGTTACTGAAGTCTTTTCTTTTAGGAATTTTTTCCTAAGGTGCTGCAATGTCGGAGAAGGGGATCAGAGAACATCAAAATTGCATGTTTCAGATACGTAATAATACTGTTACATTGTTCGACACAAATATTTTGAAAATGCAGATGCAATATTCTGCTCTGATGTTGGGGAAGATGGTACGATAACATAAAAGAAATACACTGCAGTCATGTCATATCATTTTATTTCGGGAATCTTTCTTTTTGATAGTTTTGCTTGAATGTTATAAGCTTCACTTGGAGTGTACGACATAAATGCATTCTTATTCATGGAACCTTATTGCTAACATGCTCTTCATTTGTACATATTGATACCAGTTTGACGACCTACAGATAGAGAACAAACGACGAGGAGTGCCACAAATGGTTCCTGTTGAACTTGGTGGCAAGAAAAAGCCTGATCCCAAGGACGAGCCTGATATCAAGAAAGATAAAGGGACTTATATTGGTGTCGCTGATGATGATAATGATTCTGAAACTGTTGATGATGGTCTGGGAGATATTTGGAATGAGATGTCCCTGGCCATGGAATGTGCCAAGGTAAGTAATTCTCTCAAGTTTTTACAGTTTTTGCTGTCATTATGGGCCTCTCCTTTTCGAAGTTTCTTGATTATTATGTTTCTATTTGGATTCTGATAGGAAGACGTGGAGCATCATCCCTCTGATGATTACATGGAAGATGACGATGAGTTATGCGACCATTCTTTCATCTTAAAGGATGATATTGGCTATGTTTGCCGCATCTGTGGAGTTATTGAGCGAGGGATTGAGAGCATAATTGAAGTCCAATTTTATAAGGTAGGCATATTCCAGCCTTTTATTTTACTACAAACTTAGTCGTCCGTTGTCAAGCTATTGACTCTGATAGTCTTACTTTAAACCTCGTATCCAAACTTTATTTTTAATCTTTATCTACGCAGGCAAAAAAGAGCACAAGAACATATATGAGTTCACGGACAGAAAAGGACCGAGACCAAAAAGAGGCAATTGGAATTCAACTATCAGAAGAAGATATGATGGTGACCGAAATTGCTGCCCACCCAAGGCACTTGAAAGTGATGAAACCACATCAAATTGAAGGTTTCAATTTCCTTTGCAGTAATCTGGTCTCGGAAAACCCCGGCGGATGCATATTGGCTCATGCACCTGGGTCTGGGAAGACATTCATGATAATCAGTTTTATGCAAAGCTTTCTAGCTAAATATCCTCACGCAAGACCCTTGGTGGTGCTCCCAAAAGGAATATTATCTACATGGAAGACAGAATTTAAAAGATGGGAAGTTGAGAATATTCCATTGCTCGACTTCTACACCATGAAAGCTGATAGTAGACATCAGCAGTTGGACATTTTAAAGCAGTGGCTGGAGGAGAAGAGCATTCTGTTCTTGGGTTACAAGCAGTTCTCCTCAATCATTTGCGATAGTGGGAGCTCGGTTGCAACCAGCTGTCAAGAGATACTTCTTAAACGACCTTCGATCCTGATTCTGGACGAGGGACACACTCCCAGGAACGAAAACACTGACGTATTGCAATCTCTTGCAAAAATTCAGACTCCTCGAAAAGTCGTGCTTTCCGGAACCCTGTATCAGAATCATGTGAAGGAGGTGTTCAATATATTGAACCTTGCACGTCCCAAGTTCCTGAGGCTAGACAGTTCAAAGGGCATTGTGAAGCGGATCATGAGTAAAGTAAACATCTCGGGACTGAAGAAACAAATTAAAGTAGGTGCTGATGCAACTTTCTTTGAACTTGTTGAGCACACAATTCAAAAGGATCCCGATTTCAACAGAAAAGTGTCGATTATCCGAGACCTTCGTGAGATGACTAGCAAGGTCCTTCATTATTACAAAGGAGATTTCTTGGATGAACTTCCTGGACTGGCCGATTTCACTGTGGTGCTTAACCTCAGCTACAGACAAAAACACGAGGTCAAGGAGTTGAAGAAGCTTGCGAGGAAGTTCAAGAGAAGTTCTGTTGGTAGTGCTGTTTATCTGCACCCCAAACTGATCACTGTCTCTGAAAGTGTCGGAGTGACGGATGGCAAGATGGACGAGCTTTTGGAAACTCTGAACCTAAGGGATGGGGCGAAAGCGAAGTTCTTTTTCAACATGTTGGGGTTATGCGAGTCCACAGGAGAGAAATTATTGGTGTTCAGTCAGTACCTCACTCCATTGAAGTTTCTGGAGAGGTTAGTGGTGAATGTGAAAGGGTGGACGATGGGGAAGGAGATATTCGTCATCTCGGGTGAATCGAGTTCTGACCAGAGAGAGTGGTCCATGAACCAGTTCAACAAGTCTCCTGATGCCAAAGTCTTCTTCGGATCAATCAAGGCTTGTGGAGAGGGCATATCGTTGGTAGGGGCATCGCGGATTCTGATCCTGGACGTTCATCTCAATCCATCCGTGACCCGCCAGGCTATAGGGCGTGCATTTCGACCTGGTCAGACCAAGAAAGTGTACGCATACCGGCTGGTCGCTGCTGATTCGCCCGAGGAGGAAGACCACAGTGCTTGCTTCAGGAAGGAGGCGATTGCCAAAATGTGGTTCGAATGGCACGAGTATTGCGGTTACCAGAATTTTGAAGTGGAAAAAATCGAGTTGGAAGAGTCTGATGATCCCTTCTTGGAGAGTCCTCTGTTGAGGGAAGATATTAGGGTTCTGTACAGAAGGTTAGTTACCATGTCAATCAGTCTTGTGCATGATTCTGCCATGGAATCTCCCTGATCCGGAGTTTTTCACTAATTCTGTCCCCCTTTCTGCACATTTCAGGTGATCTTGATCAAGAAAATGGCCCCAAGTTGTGGCGAAGGCCAGCCGGCTTTCCAATTTTCCAGCCTACTATTACCCTGATGCGCTCTGTTACTTCCCTTGCCTCTTTTTGCTCAACCTGACTGAAGTGGAGCAGGAAGTTGTCTATCCTTAAGCCTTGCAAAATTCCTCCTGACTTCTTTCATGGCGGATCGGTCGTGGATATCAATCAGATAACTGATCCACTGTGTTAATTTTTTCCTGCTGTGTTCATAGAATGAACATGAATTCTGAAACATGTAAATGGTATTCGGGTTTTCAAGAATTCAGCTTGTAAACGTTTGGCTCTCTGTTCACTTCCCATTACATTTCCTGCTTCTTGTCCCCGCAACAAAATTTTTGGAAACGCAGATGAGAAAACGTGTTTAAACGCAAATGAAAAGGCGCGTTTGCACGTGTTCATATTTTCATTTGTGGAATGTGTTAACATTTTGAGGAAATTATGCGACTCTAAAAAGAGTAGATTTCCAACAAAAATCAGTGTTTGCAAAAGCAATTTGTACCAACAATTTGATCGAAAAAATTGTCTACCGAAACTCAAATCGACATACGATTTTAGCAGCATAAAATTGTTGTTAATTTTGGTACGACCTTCGGTTCGATTTTACGATTCGAGGGGACAACATCTACATCTCGATTAATGAGTCGGGGATTCGAATCCCACTTTACAGTCGACTCCTTCTTTACTCCCCAAATCGTGTCTCCTCCCGGAAACCCACTACTCGAGTTCAGCTTTCCTTCTCTTCAGCCGCACACTTCCACTAATCGTCTTCTTCCATTCTCTCCAGCAGCGCTTTCCACTTCTGCCCCTCAAGGCTCAAAGATCAACCTCTCGGCCTTCCTCCCAAACCCAGCTTGAAGCTCGAGTTCATTCCCCATAGATCTCGAGCAGCGACATCCACCTCTCCCCCCTTGAATCTTGAGTGTATTCCCATCAATCTCCATCACTCTACTTCGCAGCAACTTCCCCCCATCAATGCCCACCCAAATTCCCCCTTTATCCAAACCCCTGATCTGCCGCCAACGATTCCTTCCCCGCCGCTGAATCTTACTGCCGCCAACAGATCCTTCCTCAGATCTGGTTAGTCACCTCTTCTCCCGATCTGCTTTTGTTGAATTGGCAACAAGAACAGAATGTGTTTGGTGGTTTCAGGTGCATTGAGTTGTTTGATGATGGCCATATGTTTCTGGTGGTTTGAATTGCTTATGAGGATTTGATGGTAACTAGATGCATGAGCAAGCTGTTTATTGATGCTCTGGTTAATTAATCAGCTTCGGCGGTTGGTTGAGCAGCCTATGCTAATTGATGTTCTGGTTATTAATCAGTTTCAGCAGTAAGCTTGCGAAAAATAGTAAAAGTTCAGTGGCTTTGCCCAACATAGTAAACGAACCATTATGATTAGGGAAGGAGGTAATTTGGTTAATGGGTAAACTTCATTCAGCAGAACCAAAAGTGTGCAGCTATGTTTCCACCGGGATCCCATCCCTGTTCTTCTAAAACGATCCTGCATTTTCATCAAAAGGGCTGAAACTGAAACCAGCTTACCAACAATAGGTTTTTTATTATTAATTTCCAGTGGCTGGAGTGTATGAACGAATCTTTGCAGTACTATCTATGCGTAAGTTTCAGCAGTACTAGTCTTTGCAAATTAGGGATCATATGAACCTTTTGAATTAGCATGAACAAAATGAGGGTTCTCAGTATCAATTTGTTCATGGATGTTGGTTGTTATACAGTCTCTTGATTGGATTGTTTTATGATATTATAATTTTAATGATTTGTTTAACTATCTTGAATCATGGAGGATAATGAAGCTTGAAACGATAATGATTGTATGCTAGTGGAGGGAATGGACGTGTGGCCTCTTTGAAGCATATCAGAATTATCAATTGTTATTACAGTATGTTCTAGTATGTGTTCATTTAGTTTAAAATATTGTGATTCATATAAATAATTGATAGAAGGACTATATTTGCATGACATTCAACAACCACAAAAAAGTAGTAATCAAATATCTCAAAATTATACAAATTTATATTTTCAGGTTTAGTAACAACTAAACAGGGAATGACAGCTTCATTTTCTTCTGAATTGGTTTTCTGTTGCCACAACCACAGGAAAATGGAATGGGAAGTGAACGGAGCCTGAGGAGTGAGCAAGATATGTTTCAGTCTGAGGCCTGATATATGGTTGCAGCCTCTTCAGTTGAGACATGATTTTGTCTGTTTATTGGGAAATTTGATTCTGCCTGCCAGAGAGAGATTGAGGAAAAAGAAAATTGCCATTGAGGAGGCAGTGGAGGAGAAGAGCGGCATAGGCGAAAGGTGTGATGAAAGGTGGGGCCTCATCTGCAGCTTTGGGTTACCCAGCCAAAAGACGGTGGCGATGCCTGGCCGCCGCTGTGCTATTTCTCGTCGTGCTTTCTATGCTTGTTCCCCTCGTTTTCTTGCTTGGCCTTTACAACGGATTTCACTCCGCTGGTAGTCCTCTTCTTCCTTTTCCATGGTTTTGCAATGGAATGTTTAGATGCATATTTGTTCCCCAGTCCTTCTCTCTGTCTATGTTTCATTTTCTCTCTCATCAGTAGCTTTGATGATCCCTCTTTAGTGACCATCTCTCTCTCTCTCTCTTCGTTTTTTCCTCGTTCGATTGGATTTCAAGTTTTGTCTTCTTACGCAGGATACACATCTGATCAACAGAGTTCCAGCTCTGCTTCTTCGGTATGTGTTACTGAAACTTCCTTCCCTTTGCTTTAGTTTTAACTTCTTAGAATTTCGAGGATTGACTTGCTCTGCAATTATACCTCATTCACACGTGTTTGTCTCTTTGTTATCAGGTCGACCTTGGAGGTGACCAAGGGCATAGTGCCATCAAAGTTTTGAATCACTCTGAGGTAATAATCTATTTTCATTTGCTGGAACGTGGTACAAATAATAGAATTTTAGCAGCAAGGCTACGAGTGTAGAAACTAGAGAGCACACACATCTAAAACAGGCACACAACTACGAAGTCAGTTAGTTATGATGACTTGTTAATTGTTTTCTGATTCTTCCGAAGGATGCTTCATTTGTGTTTTCGTTGTTTTAGAGGGATACTTCCAACCACGTATACAAGGTTATCAGAAGGCTTGTACCAATTCCTCCCACGGTTTGTACATTGTGAACAAATGATCCTTTAATGTTGTCGTGCTATATTTTGTTGATTGCGCTACTGTGGTTTCATGCGATGTTGTGCGTTGATCCTTTAGGAAATAGTCCGTGTAAGCTATTGCTTTTCTGAAACTCTCTTTAATTGTGGGGAATGGAAAGGATTTGCCTATGTATTGAAATTCCAAAACCTTTTAAGTTTGAAACAGTCCCAACTGAAGCTGTGGTTTGTTTTGCCTACCACTGTAAGTATTAAATGATTCAAAAGAGAGTTGAAGTTAGCTTTTAGTGTCTAGCTTATGCTTTGGTACCTTTAATTGGAGTTAAGATTTTGGTCAGAGAAAATGGAAAGTTGGGGGTGGGGGGTGGCACTAGTAACTGACTATCTCTGAGATGATTGTGTTTCGATTCATGACTTCAACACAAAGGTCTTTTCATTTCGTATGTTCTGTTTTAATGAATTTAATCTCACCAGCATGCTATAATTTGACTGATGGAATAGAATATTCGATAGTTGAGGTAATTTGAGCAACTATGGAATAACCTTTCTTGCCCCTAACTTTAATGGATTCTAAGTTTTCACAAATTGTGTGAACTCATGTGTAAGTTGGTGTTACATCAGCTGAGTGCTTCAAGCCATACATTTTTCTACAGTGATTTTAATCCCTTCTTTCTTCCTTTACTATTTTTATTTCCCGTGAGTGCCGTACCTAGTGTCCTGGCAATTGGTTTATAATCGAAGTGATGGTAAAGTTCACTTTTCACTGTTTCATCTGTGTTCCACCTTGATAAACCTTGGACTGACTGACCTTGTAACTTGTGCAAGATTACTTTAGCATGGAAAAATTACAAAGCTGTGTTCTCATTGGGATTATAAATTGAATTGTTGCATGAACTTCTGTTTTTGTCATATATTCCAACAATTTAGGGGCTATTCAAATGAGGTAACACATTTAGAATCTGTTTCATGCTCTTTTTTCCTTCTTGAATTCAGGAAGTTCTTAGGAACCACCCAAATGAAGAAAACAATGGAACTATTCAGATGGGCTCTTCTGGTCATGGTCGACCGGTAAGCGGTAAGTTTATCTTTTGTGAATGTCATGCGAGTGTTGTTGTATCTTATGGCAGTATGTTGATTCTGGTTCTCACTTATATAAAAAGTTCTTTTGGCAACCTACAGGTCAACTAAACCCACCAATTAGTCAAAAACTACTTCCAAGCAAACCTGTACGTTTACATGCGCGTGAGTAAAATTTATTTTTACTAGAGAACCTTATCTTGCCCTCTGATACTTCCTTAGTTTTATTATCAGAATTCAAGTGGTGGTGGTGCTGTTGTCGTTCATAAACACAGAAGTAGCGATGTGGACAGTGTGAGGCTTTGTGAACTGAGTTTTGGGAGCTATTGCCTCTGGCTTGATGAACATAGAGAAGATATGAAGGACTTTATGGTGAAGAAACTGAAGGATAAGCTGTTTGTTGCACGGGCTTATTTTCCTACCATCGCTAAACTTCCAGAACAGAGCGAATTGTCTCGGGAGCTGAGACAAAACATTCAAGAATTTGAACGGATCCTTAGTGAGAGTTCAACAGACACCGATCTTCCACCATTGTAAGTATGAACAGCTTAGGATGGTAAATCTTCTCATGAATTATTTTCATGTTTTGGTGTCATGATGTGTACTGGGTATATTTCAGAACAAGTTTTTGAAAGGAGGTGAAGTTAGCAGTACTTTGATGAGGAATATACATGGTGACCCTGTTTACTTCTTTTGAGCCTTTGAAACTGCAACTGTCCAATGGATTGTTGGAATTCTCTGAACCAATAAACTTTTTAATGACTTGAAAATTTCTGTTTGGAGTTAGCACTGTGTATCATATGTTTTTCATGTGCGTCGTGGCTTGTGCACACGTTACTGCATGATCCATGGCCCTCACGTGGAAAAACTTCACTGATTGGAGAAAATGGAAGCTCAAAAATTAAGTCATTTGCTAGGGTTTGTTGGTTCATTTTGGCTGATATCTTAGTTAGAACTGGTATTCTTGTCCCAGGTTGATTTTGTTTGAAATTGAATATGCTTCATGGGCCCAGTGTTAAGGATGGCATTAGGTCAGTTTTCTGGAGAGTAGAACTCCAATACCTGTTTTTTTGTTGTTGGTTGATATTGAGAACTCCAATCCCTGTTAGGATGGAGAGTAGAGCTCCAATACCTTTTAGGATGGCATTAGGTCCAGTTGGTTGGCCAAGCTTTTATCTGAATTTGAACTCCCTCATTTGCTTTGTTTTACTGCTTTTTGGCATATAAGCTATTTTGATGTTTGAATTTTACGAAAAGTTATAAATCTTGAAGTTCCCGCTAGAGTTCATTAATCAATCCCTTCCGGCAACCAAATGCACTTTCACCTTTATTACCTATCTTCTAGTTATTTTGGTTCAGCTGTGCTTTGCTAGATAAATTTTGCAGTTCATGTTCGACCATACTGATGACTGTTCTTTTCTGATAGTATTGAGAAGAAACTTCAGAAGATGGAAGCTTCAATAGCCAAGGCCAAAACATTTCCTGTGGAATGTAGTAACGTTGATAAAAAGTTGAGACAGATATTGGATTTGACTGAGGATGAGGCCAACTTTCACATGAAGCAGAGTGCATTCCTCTATCAACTGGCAGTTCAGACCATGCCAAAGAGTCTTCATTGCCTGCTTATGAGATTGACGGTTGAATATTTTAAAACTTCTCCGCATGCTGAGATTACTCGGCCTGAGAAGTACTCAGATCCATCCCTGCAACATTATGTTATATTATCCAAAAATGTCCTTGCATCATCAGTTGTGATAAACTCCACCGTTTTGCATGCAAGGGTATGTTTCTGCCGCTCTCTTGTGCACTTCTTAGTAAATATTCTGTCATGATTATCGTATTACTACTTCAGCAAGTCTAATTTGCTTCACCTCAAATTGTAGGAAAGTGGAAATCTTGCTTTTCATGTGCTGACCGATGCTCAGAATTATTTTGCAATGAAACTCTGGTTCCTTAGAAACACGTACAAGAAAGCAGTTGTGGAAGTGATTAATATTGAAGATGTGAATCTGGACAATGAAAAGACAGCTCTGTTAAGTTTTTCCTTGCCCGTGGAGTTTCGTGTTACATTTCATCAGAGTGTTGAAAGTCCATCTGAAACCCATTTGAGGACTGACTACCTATCAACTTTTTCTCATTCTCACTATCTTCTTCCGTACATATTTCCAAAACTTAAGAGGATTGTGGTTTTGGATGATGATGTTGTCGTCCAGAGGGACTTGACAGAGTTATGGAGTCTGAAGATGGGAGGAAAAGTAGTTGGTGCTGCACAATTATGCTCGGTGCGGTTTGCGCAGCTTAGCAATTTGTTTGGTGATGACAGCTTTGACAGAAAATCTTGCCCTTGGATGTCTGGTTTAAATGTCATTGATTTAGTCAAATGGAGGGAGCTGGAGCTTACTAAGACATACCAAGACTTTGTCCGAGAGGTGAGTAGCACAATCGTTATCCTTGATTTCTTTTATGTTCCTTGGAAAGCTTTAGTGGTCTGATTCACTTACATCTTGCTCAATACTTTTATTGGGTCTGCATTCTGTAAGTGTTACATCTATGATTGATTCAACATGTGCTGGCTTGCAGGTTAGCCGAAGATGGTCAAGTGAAGCTATAGCATTGCGTGCTAACCTGCTCACGTTCCGAGACCTAATACATCCCCTCGACGATTCGTGGGTTTTGTCTGGATTGGGTCATGATTATGCACTCGAACCCCAAGTAATTAAGCATGTTGCAGTACTACACTATAATGGAAACTTGAAACCTTGGCTTGAATTGGGAATCCCAAGGTATAAGCCTTATTGGCGGCGGTTCTTCAACCGAGAGGATTCTTTCTTAGCCGATTGCAATGTCAATTCATGACGTTGAGAGTTGGATCCCAGATTTTAACGGATGGATGGTAATTCCTTGATGTTGAGAGTTTGTTTATCTTTAGCCTTGGGTTCACAGAGGGCACAGCATCAACTCTCACCATGTTTGACGATTTGTCTCGTGGCTTGGAGGTGGGTAGTGGCCATGGATGTGTGCTAAATAAAGGACCTGCAATTTTTTTGTCAATTTTTGTCAGCTTTCTTTTCCCAGAGGGCAGAATGAAGGAAGGAATTCTTTGGAGGTGGCTTATATGGGGAAAGCGTAAAACCTTCAAGCAAGAGTAGAAAGAAGCCTTGCCCTCCTCCATCCTTGCTGAATATTGGCTCTTCTCCAGTCTTGGATCAATTATTTGAAGCAGCTTTCTCTTATCATTCATGGAAAACAGGCTCTCTTGCAGTGTAATGATTTTTTTCTTCCTTAATGGCTCTGTAAAATTTGTTCCCTAATGGTCAGAATATCAAGGAGTAACACGAGTGTCATGCCAGATAGAATCAACAATTTTTACAGTAACCGCACATATTATCTAAAGTAAAAAAGATTAGATTCTTTTGAGTATATTGAACATTTATTTCTTCAGGTGCAATATAGTAAACCTAGCTATTTTCTTGAGCTATTGAGTTTATCTGTTATTATTTATGACATTAATTGATCTCATTGATTAAATTACTGTATGTTCTCGGATTTTATATTGTTTGCTCTTTGAAAAAATGTTCATTGTTTCTTACGAGCGAATTTAATGGCGATTACGAGACATTCATTTGTTGACGGAAAGTATTTCCCTACTGGGTCTCTTCTCTCAGCCGCGGCTCGCTCTTGTCCCTTTTGGGGTTGGCAGAGTATCTTTTACAGACGTTAATTGCTTCAACAAGTACTGCGCTGGCAGATTGGGAAAGGACAGTCCGCTTCCATCCTGAATTCAATGGCGATTACGAGACATTCATTTGTTAACGGAAAGTATTTCCCTACTAGGTCTTTTCTCTCAGTCGCGGCTCGCTCTTGTCCCTTTTGGGGTTGGCAGAGTATCTTTTACGGACGTCAATTGCTTTAACAAGTACTGCGCTGGCATATTGGGAAAGGACAGTACGCTTCCATCCTGAATTCCAGTTGGATCCCGCGGTTGCATCCACATGCCCCTGTGTGTAATCCTGACATGGTTCTATGTGGGGGGTGGGAGGTGGGGGGGGGGGGGGGTTGATTCAACCGTTGCTGAGTTAATGTAGCCGGGGGAAGGGCGATGGAACGTGGATCTGCTTCATCACTTGTTTTCGTTAGAGGTAGTGCGAGCTATCACAGCGATTCCGCTATCGCGCTTGGATGTAGAGGACTCTCTGATCGGGCATCATACAAGTGATGGGGTGTTCACTGTGAAGTCTGCTTTTCATCTTGCGATCCTCATTGACCGCAGGCACGACCGATGGCGTTAGACTGTTTGTTGGATGGGTCGTTTGAGCTGGATTCGGATATGGGAGTTACCTATCCCCCCTAAGCTAAAGATCTTCCTTTGGCAGATTTTCAATCGTATTCTGCCTACCACGGAAGCACTGATCGAGAAGAAAGCCCAAGTACTTCCCCAATGCCCGATTTGTTGGGCGGATCGGAGACTATGGGACATCTCTTTTTTTATTGTCCGGTGGCTAGGGCGATTTGTGATCATGCTGGTGTAGCAGCCTTAGGCCAAGGCCTCACTCGCCATAAATTTCCCATTTTCCTCAAGAAGTTGGTGTTACTGTTGAATCAGGCCCACCAAAGTGTGCGAGTTGTCGTGGCTCTGTGGCGGATTTGGAAATCAAGGAACTAGGTTGTCTTTGAGCGAAAACAGTTCCGAATTATGTTTCTGATGCGGCAGTATTACCAACAGGTTTAGAAATAAATTGATTTACCAACGGATACAGTGGCTTCCCTAGACCCTGTCCAGACTGAGAACGAAATGGGAGACACCCCCGGTTTCCGTTGTATGTGGGATGGTGCTACAAGAACTGGTTTCACACTCATCGGGGGGAATGATCGTTAAAGAATGGAGTGGATCGGTGGTCCTTGCTCAGGGAATTCAAATTGAAGACATTGATGATCCATCGATAGTTGAATTATTGGTTCTGCACGAGGCTATCTAGTGGTGTCTGGACTGTGGTCTCGCGCAGGTGCAATTTGAAGGGGACGCAAAGGTGATCATCGATAAGGTCAACCAACCAGGATAATCTCTTTGGCGCCATTCTGGAGGAAGTTCGTTCTTTGCTGGGCAATCATAATGGTCTTACTGTACGATTTGTAGGTCGGAATAGCAATAGGGTAGCCCACTTGGTGGTTAGAAAAGCTTTTTCTTTGTATCTAGCTACATGTCGTTATTTTGATTTCATATCCTGGTTATATACTAGAGTGTAATGTGTGGATTTTTTTTTCAATCACTACAAAATTATCTTTTGTCAAAAAAACTTGTTATTGGATAATTTCTCAACCAAGCACAAATGACTAAGTCAATGATTTTTCTCATTTGCTAATATACATAATAATACATATGCCTTAAGTAAAAAAGAAAAATTCACTCAATCAATTAAGAAATATTGACTCTTGGTCAAACTTATCGTAAAATTTGGATGAAAGTTCCCAACATTTATCATGTCAATTAATAATGGTTTAATTATCCAATTTCGACTCATATCCTCGACGGAAGTGTGTCAGTCTGAGTGTAGCATCTTGTGTCAAAATTTATGAACCAAAACACTTAATTCATTATCTTATATAATATGCATGATCAATAATTTTCAAATTTTTTTAAATCTATAATTTTTAGAGACATCCAAGTACACTAAATTCGTGTTCCACCAAATTCCAAATCACAAGATATTTTCTTAAAAACATTTGACTCGCCTATAAGTTACACGCTCGAGTTTATGGCAAGATGATTTTGTCACAAAAATTCAATAATTAGGTCAAAATTCAGCCATATAAACTCTTACCTACCTTTCCTCGAGAAAGGCTTAATTAAATAGTTTGATTGCTGCATTTCTACACCATCAAAAGAAGCCTCATCGCATGCTTCCACAGTTCCACTTAAGATTTTTAGTCTACTTCTTCAGCCTAACCATCATTTGTTTTATCTGCCTTTTCTTTCTTCCCCATCATTTCGCCCTCGGAATGAATCTGGTTTGGGGCAGACAGCGATCCCAAAAACTCTCATTAAAATATCATCCGCCACTTCCAAAGGTGTACGGCCCTGAAACTACTTCGCCCCAAAAGAAAACCAAAAGGAAAAAAGAAAGAGAATTTGAAGAGAAAGTCCCCGTCTTTTAAAATTCTCAAATCGGTCCAAAAAACCGTCTCTCGTTGGCAAAGCTCTCTCCTTTTCCAGATGTGCGTGTGGAGTGAGTGAGTGTGCACATTGCCCATATATCTAGCTAGCAAAAAGATCTGGCAGCAAAGGTGATTCAGAAAACCCAGAAAGAGATGCCAAACATAATAGTGAAAGGAGGGAGCCGGCCGCCATGGGTGGGGTTAGCTGCTGCTGTGTGGGTCGAGGTAGCTGCTGGGAATGGCTACACGTTCCCTCTCTACTCTCCTGCGCTGAAAGCTGTGATGGGTCTCAATCAGCAGCAGATTACGATTTTGGGTGTTGCTAATGATATTGGGGAGAGTGTTGGTTTGCTCCCTGGCATCGCCTGCAACAAGTTCCCTCCATGGGCTGTTCTATTTGTTGGCGTCGTTATGTGTTTCTTGGGATACGGAGTTCTCTGGCTTACAGTTAGCCAGACTGTTGTTGGCTTGCCTTACTGGCTGGTCAGTGAAAACCATCATCTTTCCCCCAACTCTTTGCTTGGTTGAATTTTGCATCTGATTGTTTGTGATTGTTTCTGCCATTGTTGTTTAGTGAGTGATTGTGATTGCAGAGTTGTTTTCACATCTTTAACTTCCTTTTCTTGGTAATCATTCTCTACTTCCTCTCTTTGGATCGCAATTCTACTGCTGCAATGACTGATCTCCTAGACTTTTGTGGGTGGGTGGATTGGATTGGTGGATAGGTAGGAGCTGGTGTGCTTGCTTCTTTAGTTCTTTGGTCTTGATTGGGTTTGCAACGATGTAAATAATGGGTTAATAGTTACTTAGTCACTTGTGATCTCCCATGTCCGGCTAGATTTCTCGTTATTGCCAGGGTTCAGCTGTTGTTCAGTGTATGATCTGGATCAAGTACGCAGATAACTGTGTTCTGTAGTTTTCCTAAAGTATTTGTGGTTTTAGTTCTTTTCTTACTGTTTTCGAAAGTGAGGTGATAAATGAGAGAATATTTGTTTCAGATTTCAGGTCTCATGGCAGGGAATGAGTTGGACACATCTCTATACAGAGATTGATTTGAGTTTAGATGGCAAACCATCCTTATGAATGGCTCAATGATCTTGCAGCTATCAATTTCCCAGATTTTCAGTTGCTTCTTTCTGCATTCTGAATAATTTGGAATCTTGCTGTTATACCCGTGATAAAATGCTTTTGATCAACATTTATGGGGTATCTTCTATTCTTGCATGAACAATCTGATATCATATGTATGCGTTGTTATAGAAATCCTAACACAAAGGAGTATGTTTGCACTTTGCTCACTAGTTGCCCTTCATTTTCGTACAGTTAAGTGCTTTTCAAGTCAACATTTACCAATCATAACTTGTGTCTGGAAGTCTCTGCGGGTTGTCAAACAAAGTCTGTCTGCATTTTAAGATTATTAGTTTTTTTTTGCATTTGACGGCCATATAAAGGATAATAGATCATGAATGTTATACTTCTGAATCCGTTTGACTCAACAAATTAATATGTTATTCATTGAAAATCTTTGGCCTAGTATTTGTTCTTTCTTTTCTCATTTCAGATTTCATCCTTCGCAGAGTAGTTGACTTGCGTAACTTGTTTTCAGATTTCATGATTAAATGTCTTATGGATTTACCCCACTGTGATTATTGCAGGTATGGATTGCGCTAGTTATTGGAACAAATAGCAACGCATGGTTCGGAACATCTGTTCTCGTAACTAATATGAGAAACTTCCCCCTCAGCAGGGGCACTGTCTCTGGTATACTTAAAGGCTACGTTGGGCTCTCTGCTGCAGTTTACACAGTGATATACAACATGGTGCTCAAGGATTCTGCATCCAATTTCCTATTGTTCCTAACCCTCGGCATCCCAGTTACATGTTTACTGATGATGTATTTCATCCGGGTGTGTACTCCAGCTTCTGGAGAAGACTCTTCAGTGCATGTTCATTTTCTTTTCACTCAGGCTGCCAGTGTTCTGCTTGCCATTTACCTTCTGACAACCACAATAGTGACTGATGTGTTCTCTCTTGGAAATGCTGCTTGCTATACATTGGTTGCAATCATGGTGGTTCTTATGATTTCTCCTCTTGGGATTCCTGTAAAAATGACACTCTTTCCAGCCAAGAAACGGAGCACACCAACTTCTGCTTCAAATCTTGTTGCTGCACCTGTTGCTGTTGAAGGTGACTCAACCCCCCCAACAGAGCAGCCTTTGTTGGTTCAATCATCCTCAGCAGCTTATCTCGGGAGTTTCCTCGAGAATGAGGATGCTTCAGATGTTGAAACACTTCTTGCTGTTGGGGAGGGAGCTGTGAAGAAGAAAAGGAGACCCAAGAGGGGCGACGACTTCAAATTCCGCGAGGCTGCAGTAAAAGCTGACTTCTGGCTTCTTTGGATGGTGTACTTTCTTGGAGTTGGTTCAGGAATTACTGTCCTTAATAACTTGGCCCAGATCGGGATTGCCTTTGGACTTAATGACACAACAATGTTGCTTGCCATCTTCAGCTTCTGTAACTTTGTTGGACGCCTTGGATCTGGCGTTGTCTCTGAGTACTTCGTCAGGTCATTCCTTCAACTTTAAACCATAGTTGTACTTGTTTATTTCTGTACCAGGGTAGTGGATAGTCCTTTCTCATAGTTTCCAATACCATTATGTAATAGATGATGATGATGATATTGCAGGTCAAGTGCGACTCCGAGGTCCGTGTGGATGACAGTAGCGGAAACAATCATGGTCATAATTTTTATTCTGTTTGGTCTTGGTGTTGATGGCATGCTGTATGTGGCAACTGCTCTGATTGGTGTCTGTTACGGAATTCTCTATTCTGTTATGGTCCCAACCGTTTCTGAGCTCTTTGGCCTGAAACATTTTGGTGTCATTTACAACTTTGTGCTACTGGGAAATCCTGTTGGTGCTCTTCTCTTCTCAGGAGGGCTTGCTGGGACTATGTATGATATAGAAGCTTCTAAGCAAGGAAGCTCCACCTGTGTAGGCCATGAATGCTTTAAGGTGACATTCCTGGTTCTAGCTGCGATCTGCGGATTGGGCACTCTCTTGAGCATCATCTTGACTATCAGAATAAGGCCTGTTTACCAAATGCTTTATTCGGGGGGCTCTTTCCGTCTACCTCAGACTTCAAGCCATTGAGGAGCAGAGGATATATATTGTATTGCTTCGGAGTAAGAGCAAGCTTGTTTTCGCAAAGACTTGCTCTAGACAAGCCATTTAGTAGTATACACATTATATAGGAGCTCTTACATTTGCAGGTAAGAGTTTGTGAAATACTGTCGTTAATTGGAGGTTGCCAAATGTTGTATGTAATGACCTCAAATAGTGAATGATCGTGGGGTTGATGAAGTATGGAAGCTAGATGCTCCCATATTCTATATTGAGAAATAAGATTGTTTTCCTATGCTATATGGTTAAATTCTCTTGATTTCTTATTTTTTGGATTAGCTGTTCTTGCCAGTCGCATGGCAGTTTGATACCCTTAAAATCACTTTGACGGACTATAATCATGGCAATTTACAGTATGATAAACTTTTTCTGGGAAGTGTCGGGGCTAGGAGCATTGAACAGCTACGCAAGAAGGCTACTCCACCAGGGGAGAGGGCGATCTTAGCTGCAATGAACCTTAACCTTCAGAATCTTTCACTCATGCTGATTGTGCAGCACTACAACCTGTGAAACCCTGTGGCTGTGAGATTTTTTAGTTCCTCATTTCTTGTATGATATTTTGTAGCCAACATGGAAAGGAAGTTGTTTTAACATTCTTCGTTGTTGTTCTTGTTGTTATGATGATGATGATGATGATGATGCATGATAGCATGTGCCGAGTGAGTTTGTCAACAAGTATCTGAGCCCATTGCAGCAGATGAAAGTGAGAGATTCCATCAGCAGCAGAGGAAGAGAGTGGGTGATTCAATTCTCTCGGACAGACAGTGGTGGCTTGAATCTGGGACTGGGATGGGCTGCTTTCACAGACGATAATGAGTTGGAGCCAGAAGACATTTGTCTGTTTGAGCTAGTCAAGCCTGCAGATTGCATCATGAAATTCCACATCTTTCAAGCATCCTTTTATGGTTAGAAAATCTAGGAATTCCTGAGTGATGATCGACATGTAATAAGCTCGAAAACTTGGATTGCTGTTGTTTGGATAATGGTTAAGGTAGCCTTGTGGTATCCGTGTGCAATTCGAACCTGTTGCAGGCTTCCACTACAGGTTTTGTGCTGTTACCCTAATGTACAAGATCATGTTTGAAAAAAGGTCTATAACATTAGAGTTTGAATGGAAATGAAATATGACTCGAGCTTAAACCCATCAATCTTATTGCTAGATGTGAGAAATAGGCTTCAACTTTAGGATTTCTCTTGTCAAGTTTGCTTCTCTCTTCAAATTGACAGCCAAAGCATATGATTTTGTAAGGCAAGAACTTGTGAATGTGTGAAAGCTGAGGAGGGGAAGACCAGGATATAGAATTCAGACCATAGTGGGCAGGAAACGAGGACATTATAACCAGGAAAAACCAGCTGCATAAAACTTGAACGAAGATCCTCCAATGTCTACCACAAGACCATGTCACTTAAGTTTACTTGAGGAAAAAGTTACATGCTGTCCTTTAGAATTCGACAGTCCATTCATTAACGTATTATAAGTAGCAAGATCAGGTATAAATTCTTTATCCAACATCTCATCCACCAAGACTTTCCCCTTCCTTACTCTTGCCTTCTGTTGTATATCCAGAGGACCCAAATGTTGTAGGTCGTTGCATCAGGCTCGAAAACCTGGGAACAGCCCAATCGTCACAACTCGTCAACATCACACGCTCTCCAAACTCTGCAAACATCTCGGATTAGGCCGTAGAATGTTACAATATCTGGAACAATGATAACTGCCTTCAGCAACTTCATCAATCTAAATGCATCTTCTATCTTCCCTGACTTCCTCACACCTTCAACAAAAGTTTAAGAACAAATCAAGCTAGGAACACTTTCACACTTCCACAACTCATCCATCACCTCTAATGCTATACCAGCATACCTTTGCTCACACAGGTTAGCCACAATCCCAGTAAGATCAAATTTCAAGGTAGAACTCCTCTCCTTAAGAAACCAACGTTCCCTAGCAAGCAAATCTCAATTAAAAAAGCTGGTTTTACTGAAATCAGAAGACCAAGAGTTTTACCAATTCATACCAATCTTTATTTCAAGACCATGAATGTATTCTGTTTTTCCCCCTTTCACCAATAACCCCAATTGTGACTACTTAATTGTACACTTTACTCTTCCACAATTTTTAGACAGCCAAAAAATTATGTATCTTTACAAATATTCTACCCCACCCCTCCCCTGGCCCCTCCCACTTCTTTGCTGAATATGCTACAACAGTGTTTGTATACAAAAGCTTTTCCCTTCACCATCAACAAGCCAATCCTTGTCGAATCTGGATTCGACCAGTTTCACGCTACAAAATCATGTAACAAATGGGAGGAATTGAACCTGTGCTGCTGCCTACTCCCCGGGTTTACACATTCAAACTCCCTCGTCTCTCCACCTACAGACGACGCTGCTGCGGCTGCACTATAGATATCATCACCTCTCATGGAAACAAAACCTTGGTTCTGGTGGTGATGGCTCGCACCGGATATCGGCAATCCACCACCACCACCTTCACAATGCTGCAACCCTAATGTCAACGACACGCCGCCACTACTCCCACTACCGTACCTCCCCATTTCCTGCATCTGGTACGCTGCAGCAGCTGCTGCCATAAACCTATTATCACCACCCCCGCCACCGATGGCCTCATTGTAAAGGCCACAATCGTCGACATCGAGCCGCCCATGTGTTGCGCCGAATTGAAAATGGGGCCTCAGAGTTGAGCTTCCTACCATATCCATGTCTTGAACATGATGATGATGATCAGAGGTTTTCTCCATAGCTTGTTCTGTGGCGGACGATGAGGTCACACTTTGATGTTGCTGCTGCATTTCTTCACCTTGGTCCTCAGAGCTTCTCATGTCAGCTCTTGAGAGTGCTCTGGCAGCAGCAGTCTCGGAAGAGGAGTTGGAGTCCATCTCTGCATCGCCGAGCTCTTCTTTGTACATCTCTTCCACCATCGGCTTCCAGAGACGAACTCGTGCATTGATGAACCAATTCGAGACCTGAATACAAGGCAGAGAAACCATGTCTAGAAGTTAAAACGAAATGAAACTTATTTAATATGCAAAACAGAATGCATTTTTTTCTTCTTAATCAAATAGGTTCATTTTCCCTCTTACCTGGCCTCGGGTTAATCCAGTCTGCCTAGCCAGCATAATCTTGTCAGAATCCTTTGGATACCTAAATATAAGACATCATCTATGAGACCAATAATCAAATCGTGAAACTCACAATACATAGGATTAGAATGATAAACAGATCGAATATTTACGGATGAAGGAAATGCTCAAACAGCCAGGCACGAAGAATCGAGACGGAGTTCTCGGGCAGTCCCCTCTGTGGCCTCCAAGAGTGTTGTTGCATCATGCCAAGCTGCTGAAGAGCCCTCTGTTGCCTCAGCTGCTGATCAACATACCGAAGCCGTGTTATTGCAACACCTTTGCTATTCTCTGATGTCTCTTGCTCACCTAAGCTTTTCCTGACAGTCTTTATCTGTCCGTTAATGGCGTCCCTCAAGCACCGGAAATGGCGAGATATGGTCTGCAAGGCGAGAGCTGTGTATGGTTTGGCGGCCCCACAGCCTGCTATGACATCAAATGACGACACCACAATCTGCATTTGGTGATAGTACTGCTTGTACCGTCTGTCAACCTGGAAAATATCGAGGGGATACCGGCATTACTGTTTGAACCATCTATCAACAGTATGAGATCGTGGTGGTAGTTTCGAGCTTTGATCAAACAGAAACTGGGGAAATCATATGGAAAAAGATTTCTCTGGTTTGCAAATTATTCTAGAAGCAACAGTTATGATATGGCAAGTAGAAGGTGGGAGTTAGGTGGGAGTATGATTTGCTATATCAAAGAAAGTTGGTATCCCTACCAAACATCGTTGTCTGGAAAATATTCAGCAGAAATTTTAGACCTTATCTGATTACAATTCCCAACCAGAAACAGCATCTGTTTAACAACATTATATTATATTCATACATAAGACCAAATGCAAGTAACTAGACAATAAACTATAAGCTTAAAATTTGTAATCAAATGAAGGAAAAAAACTGCTCAGAATTTGGTTCTTCAATCAGTTGATGCTAAGAGATATATGATTTGTCAAGACCTGGTGAAAAAGAAGACAATCAAAATTAATCAATTGGGTTTTACCTCATCCAGCATGGACAAAAGCTTTGTCAACTTATTCTGCAACTCCTGTCTTTCAGAATGCGAAAGTTCGCTGGCTGAATTGTTCAGAGATTCATCATTCTTTGATCCACTGTCTCCTTCCTTGGAGCTGTTGTTCATCTCATTCTCATTTGTTTTCTGGCTCTTATCCTTATCGGCATGCCTCAGAGCTTTCCGAACATTAACTACTTCATCAAGAAGTTGTTGTGCTGCTTTGAGGTACTTGGAATTAGGAATGGTTCTTGCTATACTTGTCATTCCATACTGTGCATAATCGCCTTTATTGCCAGCATCCTGATGACCACCTCCACCCGGGTAGCCACCATGTCCCAAATACTCACCACTCCTTGGTTGATCACTCCTACCAATTGGGCTCTCACCTACCATTGATGGATTGGGACTCAAGAATGATGTAAATCCTTGGTTAGCGTTCCGGTAAGGCATTTGCATTCCAGATGGGATTTGTGTCCCCAAGCTCAAAGACAAGCCTTGTCCTTGTAAATTCTGTTGAAGAATGTTGCTAGAAGTACCAGCAATTGAGTGCATAACAAGCATCTCATTTCTGCCATCTCTCCATGCATTGATATCATGCTCACTTACTCGTGATCCCTCAAGATTCGTCAATATCTCTTGCTGCTGCTGCTGCTGATGGGTCGAGGTTGATCCCTCTACAGACTGAATTTCAATGCAGTTGTTTTGTTGCTGAGCATTGGAAGGTAATCCATCTGAGTATGACCCGGGATTCATGTACATCATCATGTTGCCTGTAAGAACTGGAGTCTCGGAGTATGCACCAGGAAGATATACCATTGGGGTAGCAGCAGCCTCCCTTTCATTGCTGGAACCGGGATAGTAAGTTGCCATTTTTTATTCAAATCATGAGCTTTCCCCTCTTATCTTATACTGCTCCAATCAGATTGCATGCATAGTCACCCCCCTTCTCAACTGAAAATGGACATCAACTGGACATTAAACTTCCATTTGCAGCTCAGAAGTAGCAATCAAAGCAGCAATTTCACCCAACCAGAAGAGGCAAGAGATGGTGTAAGGTTTGAAGTTCACGGGAAGTTACACAAGAGCAACCAAACATCATATTACCTTTGGCTCTCTGACACCTTCATCATCTCCTGGTTTCTAGTTATCCCAAGAAACAAGGTAAAAGGAAAAAATGACCTATCTAGTACACAACATTAGGTAACTTGAGACACAACCAAAGAAGAAATTAGAATATTAAGGAACACACAAACTTTCAGAACAGAAGCATCCACCAACCCCAAACAAACCCCAAGATAGAAAAAGAAGAAGAGGAAAAGGCAAAGGAACACCCCTCCTGCAAAAGAACACAAACAAGACAAACCCAGAATCTGCAAATCCCAACACAGCAGCATATTCAAATTTTGCTCATTCCAACACAAGCAAAAGTTGCCAATAAATTAACAATTTCCCGATGGGGTTATCACCACAGTCACCGCCACTTAAAACCATCCATCTCTTCTTCTCTTCCTTCCCATCAGGCACATGGAAGAAAGAAAGAGACAGCAAAGAGATGAGAGGAATGCAAAACAAAAAGATCAAACCTTTAGCAGCAAAAAGGAAGCTTAATTTAATTGCTGAATAAAAAATTTGTACCTGGAAACCAGTAAACAGTTTTGTGGGTGCCTCAGGGAACAGGAAAACCTCAAACACATCGATCGATCCACCACTGACTTCCAACGAGACGAAGAAGAACAGCAACAAAAAAATAACAATATACAAAGTCCTTGCTCGAGGAATATACACTCTAGGAGAGGAATAGGGGAAATACCAAGGATAGAAGAAGCAAAAAATTCCTCTTTTTCCCCAATCCCTATCTTCTTTCTCTCTGAAAAGAAAGGAGGTGATAATTGAAAGGAGATGCAATGAACTGTTTCTCTCACTCTCTTTCTTCTTTTCTTCTCTATGTGGGTAAGGGATTACAAGTCCCTTCCTCTCACTTTTGATCTTTTATCTCCTCCCATCATATATTCTCCATCCATCATTCCATCAAAAAATCCCCACGTGAGCATCCCTCTCTTCTCTTTCTCAAAGAGGAATACCAAATGATAGCTTTCTGTTTGCAGCTATCTCTGTGTGACCCTTTTGTGTTGAAATAGTGGTGGTGGTGGTGGGAGGGTTAGGCTAAGCTGTCTTTCTTTTCTTCTGGATCCCCTTTCTTTTCTTAGCTTTGGATGGGGCTTTGTTGCTTCAAACCTCAAATCCCCATCCAACAGTTTGTTGAAACCAAGTTAGAGAATGAAAGACAAATAGCAGCTAGAGAGTGAAAGCAGAGAGATAAAGCTAGAATTATGGTGATGAGAAAGAAGAAAAAGGGTATGGTGTTTGGCGGTTGGTGAGGACTGTAATCAGCTTGACTCCCCTTCTTCTTGTGGATTCAGCAGCAGCTTGTTCACCATCTCCTCCTTCCTATGTTGCTTGCTGCTGCTGTAGTTGTTGGTAAAGTTCACAACTTGCTAGTTTTTTTCTTATGGGGTTTGGTTAAAGAGTTCCAATCTCTTAACTACCAGTTGGTAGACCTAAAGAGGCTAAAACCCTTCTCTTAAACCCTTCTCCATCCTCTGCTGCTTCTGCTTCCTTCTTCACTCCAAAACTCAATCTAATACTTCTTTTCTGGGGTTTGTTTCTCTCTCTAGACTCTCTCAGCTGATTGCTGGATGTCCCTCTCATATCCCCTTCAGCATGGAACCTCTCCCTCCTCGCTGCCTTTTGCTGCAATCTCCACCATATAACTTAATAAGCATATTCTTTTATTTTTTTTTATTAATTTCCCCTTATTTTATTTGGTTGGCAAATTCTTCTTCCTATCCTCTATATGTTAGGAATAATTAAAAAAAGAAAAGGATGTTTTGAATTTTTAAAGGTGGTAATGAAGGAAGAGCACCTTTAGCAATTAGGTGCCTCTGCCCCTCATATCACTGTTCTGTCCTCTTGTCCTAACTAATGTGTGTTTTGGAGATCCATTCATGGCTTCTTTTTGCTTTTGTTGGTACTAAATTTTCACTTCATTTAATGGTTTTTACTTTTACTTGTTGATCTCCATTCAATAGGTCCTCGTCTTTCTTCAATTGAGTGCTTCTAAGTGGGATTTGTGCTTTCTTATTCCCTTTTCTTTCTTCTTTATAAAAGGTTAAAATAAAATAATTGAAGGATTTCATGTTAAGACTAGATAAATCAACAAATTCAAGTATTATGTTTCTAAATAGAGGATTTCATGTTAAGACTAAATAAATCAACATACTTGCAAAACTATTTTGATTTTTTTAGAATATTCATTTAATTTGTGAGGGTATACAATTTGGACTTATAAATTTGTCATTTAGCTATGCAGGTTGATAGGTTGTGAAATTGAACTAGGGAACAAACTCTCAAGATTCGAATACTAAAAATTTATATGTTAAGTAAACATAATCTTAAAAACTTATGTTTAGTCACTCAATTCCGTGCCCTTTAGTCCCAAATAGAGGATAGATTCTACATCGAAATGAGTTATGAGATTTAAGAGCCTAATTCAAAGAGAAGGGTGCATTAAAAGAAACTTGCACAAAAAGAAACTTCATATCAATAGACTAAAGTTAGATAAATCATATATAGGGATATGTTAGTTAGACTGTAGTATGAATTAGGCATTAATACATATATGATATTTTTTATGGTGAATTTTTTTAACACATACGTGTGAGATTATTCCGATCCTCTGAATACCATAGAAATCAATGAAAAAAGTTATAGATTCTCTCAAATAATTGTAACTAATAAGTAATAACCGATATAGCGATAGCCCTTCTATGTTTCGCCAACTTATAATGATGCAAATCCATCCTTTCCTTAGAGGGTGAAATTTTTGACAAAAGGAAAAGGAAAGGGAGTCCCCAAAGCACATGAATAGTATAAGAAGAGTGAGTCGCCATCCAAATAATAAAAGGCTGAAGTGTCAACTTTTTTTCCTCAATTGAGAAAGCACTTCCACCACTCATCTTCATCTTTGATGTGGTACAAAGTGAAAAGGAAGAATGTGAATATGCTTAGGTTTTTTTTTTTCGTTGAATAATATGCTTAGGTTTCCATGGCTAATATCCCAAATATTTTTAAAAAAATATTTCCTCTCACATGACAATAATAAACTATATATCTCTTTTCATTTTCATCAACCAATTGACCTTTCTTCTTAGGTCACCAAATCATAGGTCATTTTCTCTTTGATGGCATATACCAAAATGTACAACATGTGAGCTTGTGTGCATAATAAACTCCCTTCAATTATGGACCACAAACTAATGTGATGTGATCCCCAATTGTGATAATGATAACTTAGCTTTCAATAATGTTCCACAATACTCACAAATCATATAGTGCACATACAAGGGTTTTCGTAACACATGCATACTTGCGTTTACAACATTGATTTAGCGATAATTACTCATAAATTACCACTGCATACATTTGATGACTTGACGTAGTGGATCGTGGGGCGCGCGTAATCCAACAATGTAATCAAGCTCACCAAAAGTTTGTGAGTAGGGTAGTCAAATTTGCAAAGCTCAAACATGGAGTTCTAATTTGATACTAGAATATTATGGCAGAAAAAGCTGTTTTCATGAGGCAGAGGAAGAAGACGAAGGCAGCAGTCCAATTTCATATGCTCTGTGATGAATGATGGGTCGACGTGAGAAATAATAATGAATGAATACGTTGTTGGTAGGCGGTTGCAGAGAAGAATCCAAGTAAAATCAAATCTAACCACAAGTTTCCCTGTCATTATTTAAGTATTCCTACTTCTTAGTGAGAAATTTCTTCTTCGATCATGAACTAAATCGAATTTGAGGTATAATATTATACTCTAATTATATCAGATAAGTTTCGATTGTCTAAATTCAAAGACGAAGTTTAAATTAATAAAAAATAATAATCGATAATTTTGATTCGTCAAAGTAGAACAAGTACATTCAACTATTAGGTTACTTTGATTATGATGTACTTAGGAGTCAGGAGTGCCAAATCGTTACCATACATATATAAATTCCTACTAAGCACCACTATTGCGGATAAAAAAAACACAATATATGTGTCAATTGTTTTCAAACCACCATATTGGTGGTAATTTAAAAAAAAAGACAATATTTATGAAATTAATCCCACTATTGAGAGGAAAAAACAAGTTATTGTAGCGGTTAGTTACCTCCCTGATTTGAGGTAAAAACAATATTTGTATCTTATTGGATTTCTTTACTATTTTCAAAATTGAACGTTTATTTTCACCCATTATTTCACTACCTTTAAATTTTCACTCACTCCAAAATTAAAATTTCTTTCCCTCCCCAATTTTCTCTCACTCTTTCGTGAACAAAGTCGTTACAAGATTTGAACTTGTGATTTTAATATTAAAAACCAACAAAAATAATGCTAAATTAAGCCTGTTTTTTCAACACATATATGTGTTTTTTGGGCATGGAGTATACGTCCTCTTATAAGTTACAACCCCACTATTGATCGAGTCCTCCACACTCCAAAAACCAAATATATTTATAGAAATTAAATAAACAAATAAAAAGTAAAGCCTTGGCCGGCACATTGATTTATTTAATCCAAATGACATAAGCTACCAAAGTCAAGGAAAAAAAAATGACATAAGTTGCCAAAGTCAAGAAAAATTAAAAAATGACATAAGCTACCTTGCATCCCAAGTTTTCTTTTTTCTCCCGGCGAGTATTATTCTACAAATAAAAACCCTACAAGAAAATTTCTGACTTTCGTGTGTTATGCAAGACTAGAAAATAGAAATGTAGATCTGGAGTTTCACCAAATATAAGATGAACCTGAACCCTAACCCACATAGAGAGAGGGAGAAACGGACTCGAAAGTGATCCACTGGAACAAGGTCGGGCCCCTCACTTTGGGCCGGCATGATTATCTCATCTACACAACATGGACTGGGCCCCAGCTTATCAGTACACAGTACAGTAATGGGCCCTACTCCAATCAGACCTTCCCCCATCTGCCTGGCGCCCTGACGTGGCTCGTGCTTAGTCTAACGTGTGTAAATGTGCGACTTGATTGATTAAATTAAATATACGGCTGATTATGTGTAAATCGTAATGCACGTACGTCTTAGAGTTAGGAATACGTACAGTCGTACATATGTATGTTTGTGCTTGGAAATTTCTCAAGGTAGGAGGATAGACATGAGATTGATCAGGGTTTCGTTGAGATCACGGTGGTACGTGTCGCGTGAGCCAATCGTGTGAAGAACTGGTTGGTTTTCAATAAGTCGAGTTAGTGAGTGAAGTTTAATCATATATATATTTTGGCCATAACCAAGACGACGATCAACAATTCGCATGCTGTGTGAACGGCCCAAAGCGAGCGAATGATGATGTGGCACTGAGCGCGACGGCGACCGGTAAATTGACGTGGCGGAAAATACAAAGAGGTGGTGAGATAGCAACCGTGTTTTCCTTCCGACGTGGCATTGTCGGAGGCACATCGGCGGTTCCTCTGCTCCCGACTACACGCAATCGGAACCCATTGGTTAGTGGTTACTAATATATCAAACGCGATCCGCACGCACCGCATTTTCTTTTCCACACCAGTTTCTAGGTGAATTAATTAATTTTTTTTTTATAAATATGACTCCACCAAATCCGATGACGTGGAGCATCCGACATCCCTCGTTTCGTTTGAGTCGTTTCACACACATACCCACCTAGTTGTCGGGTTAATTACATAACTCATCACGGATCTTACCAGTTGATACCCAATCCATCCTTCAATAATTAACGTATGCTATTAACTTTATGCATCTCTGATCTCTCTCGTATTTTCATTCCCTAACTATTGAGATGAGTGTGTCTAATCACCATTCACCACAAGGGAAGATAATACCGTGAGATTTTATCTTGTCCCCTTATCAAAACTCTGGTCTAACAGAGAAGGAGGTTATACTCCACGAGACTACGACGTAGCATCATAAATGCAGTTGGACGATATCATGATTCATGATTTCTCTTTTCGTAACGTTAACTCGAGATCATGGGATATAAATAGACTCTTTTAGTGTTTCTCGATATTTGATTCCTACCTTTTTTACTCCGATTTTCTAGTGTCTGGGCCACGTTCAAGGGTGATTAATCACCTTCGTGATATACTCTCGAGCATAAAGATCAACTAGTTCCATTTTTTAAAATGAGTTTTGAGAGAAATGGAATGGAGGGTTTTGTTGATAAAATTGATGCAAATAGACCCCATGTTTTTATAACCCTCGAGTTTGCTATTAGGCAATATGAGAAAATGTATAGAATACATTATGCCTCCCAAATAATACGAGTTCAAAATATATTGAGCGACGAGAATTGAACATGACAAAATGAGTAGTCCTTCCTTTCTCATCAATAATAATTTACTAACAAGCTAATATGAGAAGTTGGCACAAACAATTTAACAGAGTTCGACAGAAAATAACCGTTATCAAACTGTAAACTTCAGTGACCGTTTTGTTAAGGCTCAAAGTTCAATCACCAATTCGTCATCGATGCCAGACTTGAGTGACCAATTCCTTGCCGCCCGAACTTTCGATCCTAGCTCCACATCATCGTTGGACGGTGCGATTTCGCCCCCACTGCCCCGCTGTCTTATCACAGCCGTCCATTCAATCGGCGTGACGATCGCGGCGACGATCCCGCGGTCCACCTAATAAGAAAGGAATATCAAGAATTTAGCAAAAAGACAAAAGTAATTTATTTTATTTTTTCCGTGAATTCAAATAAAAATTCAATTAAAAAAAAATAAAAATATTCAATATCTGCTCTCTCCCCCGTCTTTTCCTGCGCCTGTCCTCAGTTTCCCGACCACACACATCGCCACCACCACTACCCTTCCCACCGCCGCCGCTTCACTTCCCCTGCCGCCGCCGTCACCATTTCTTCTTCCATGGGCAAGCACAAAACCCCGCGCCGGAGTCTCGACTCCTACTCCGTCAAGCACATCAACAAGACCGTTAAACGTGCGTGCCGTTCTGACTAAAAACCCTAATTTTGTTTTAATTTGATTCTCTCAAATTGGAAGTGATAATTATTTTGTTGTTGTCGTTCTATGTTTCCAGCCGGCGACTGCGTGATGATGCGCCCGGCGGACAACTCGAACTCGTCCTACGTGGCGAAGATCGAGCAGATCGAGTCGGACAGCCGGGGCGCCAACGTGAAGGTACACGTGAGGTGGTACTACCGGCCGGAGGAATCGATTGGCGGGCGCCGGCAGTTCCACGGCTCCAAGGAAGTGTTCCTCTCCGATCACCGTGATATTCAGAGCGCGGATTCTATTGAAGGCAAATGTACGGTCCACAGCTTCAAGAGCTACGGGAAGCTTGAGGCTGTTGGGGATGAGGACTTTTTCTGTCGGTTCGAGTATAATTCCACCACCGGGGCTTTCAATCCCGACAGGGTCGCCGTGTAAGTTTGAGTTTCTGTCTCTCTTCCAGTATATCCATAACACGTTGAATTGGTAGTTTGCTGCTGTTGTGTGTATGCTGATAATAAAAGAGGTCCTTTTTTTTGTAGCATTCATCTGTTTTCCTTTGTATTGATATGATTTTTGGCTCAGTTAATGTGACACTTCTGGGTTACTCGTTCATCTTGTGCGAAATTGTTCCGTCACTTCACCTAGCTCAAATGTGTTGCTGTGAGGGTACATAGTTAGTGTTTTAATCACTGATTTGTAGACAACTTTGTTTTACTAAGTCTGATGCTTGCAGAAAAGTTGGTGAATTTTCCTAATTTGACTTGTGTGTCAAGTTACTAAGGTTGCTGGTTAGAGTATTGTGTGGTTATTGGTGGGTATTTGGTGCAGACGCTGGCAAGTTGTTGATTAGTGATGTTTTATATAAGTTAGTTATATCTACCATGCAATTTATTTATTTCTTGTTCTGTTATGGTTCTCTCTTTTAGTATGTTGACTTGTTTTGACTGTGGCAGGTATTGCAAATGTGAAATGCCGTATAATCCCGATGACCTTATGGTGCAGTGTGAAGGCTGCAGCGACTGGTAAGTTGCATCCTTTCACATTTTATAGCTCAGGTGTGGTGAATGACTTTGTTGTATCATGCTCGCTGAGTCATTTAAACTCATTGCTTATTACCCGGGTTTGTATCCATTTCTTTTCATAGCCCTTTTGCTTTGGTCCACCCAGGTCCAATTTTCATTACGCACTCTTGAGGGTGGTGTTAATGGCGATCATTAATGCAAATTGTTCCAGATGCATTATATGTATGATGTATCTCTAGTTATTAACTCTGCTAGCTCGCTGTTTTTTGTTTTGTTACATTGGTATAGATGAAACACTTGTAGGAATTGGTTCTGCAGCATCTTGTTTGATGCTTTAGGTAGATGCTCTTTTGGAGTAAAATCAGAAGGCACTTAGTAAATTAATTGCTGCCTGTAGAGTTATTGTGTACAATATGTAATCAGAAAGGTATAAGTATTGTATTTCCTATCCTGATCTCAAGGAAACCAGGCAAGTTACAGTGTACTAGGATTGTGGTCCTTCTAGCTGCTTTTAGAGCTCAAACTCGACATGGAGTGATAGCATGATAGGAGAATAATTCGTGTACGGTAATTGTCTGGTTGAACTCTACTTGCATTAGATGGTGTGTAGTCTGTGAAGCAAGCCATTTCATATGGATTTGCTTGACATGGTTTATGGAGGGTGGTATTGTTTGTATGAACATAAGGCGCGAACACATGAAGGGGCTTGGATGCTTATAGTTTGTCTAGGTTGCACTAGCTTTTTTTTGGGGGGCATTCATCGAATGAAAGTTCCTCTCTCTAAAATAATGGGCTTCAACATTTCAAAAACTAGATCAATAAATTGGCTGCAATATTTCTAATTTTGCTAAGAGGCGAGTAATTATACGTCCTATACTGCTAAAAAGCTGAATCTTTTGTTACAGGCTCTCTATATTCATACACAGTCTTCATTTGAACTACATGCCTCTGCCATAATACAGTTGCCTTATGTAGTGCCACAGGAGATGTTTTCCCTTAGTTTAAGAATGCCATTTCGTTCTGAATGATCGTAATGAGAATCCTTTGTTGTGCTTGATACTTTATTCAGGTTTCATCCTGCTTGTATAGAAATGACAGCGGAGGAAGCTAAAAGGTTAGACCACTTCTACTGTGAGACCTGCTCATCCCAAGTCCAAAAGAAGTTGCAGAACTCCCATGCTGCTACTACTACCCCACCAAGACAATCAGATACAAAGGTAATAATATCAACCGTTCACTGAGTGCTCATTTCAATTGCATCATACATTCCCTTAACATCCCCTTGTCGACTTTCTTGATGCGTTGTTTTCTCCCAGGTGGGACCAAAGAGGCGTCGAAGGGGATAACTAGAGGAACATAGGATCGTGCAATAAGAAACGAAACTGGGGATGGAAAATGTGATCATTTTCATCATCATTGTCATCTTCTTCACCGGGTTTAGTTGATGATGGCTGAGTGGCAATCTGTACTCTGTGAGCTGGCTGAGGATGGCACTGCTTTTTAATGACCCCCTTTGCTTTGTTGTTGTATTTATGTTTATATATGAATAGAAGAGTAGTAGTTAGTTTTGCCACGAGGTTTCCTGTTTGAAGGTCGAGGACGAACCAACGGGTGGGTTGGTTCGTGTGTCAACTATCAACACGAGCTTGTTAGACATGTTGTATCATATATAGGGTTTGTTCATTGCTGTTTTGGTGTGTCTACTTGTGACTTCTGACTTGACTGATGATGGAAGCTTAATGTATGGAAGCCAAGGGTCCGAATATCTGCAATCTTTGCTTTTTGCTGCCAACAATGGAAGCTGTGAAAAGGAATTCGCACGGCGAATTCATTTCTGGAAGAACAACTATGCAGAGTGATTTCTACGCACAAAGATGGGTTGTAAGATATGATCAAGCGTTAGTTTTAACAAACGTTGTGATAAAATGATGAATACTCATGGTTTGTGAAACCATATCAGATATGTGTACAACTATAGCTAAATCGGTAGAATATAAGATGGCCGATTTAACCACGTAAAACCAGCAGGCGAACATTCCGGCCATGAGTGGTTAGTATAGTTTGTGCATGGTATGTACTTCTGCAGTAAATTGTTTGATATTTGGTATCCGTCTTATATGAAAAGAAAGTGTGTAGAACCAAACGAATTAAACCAATCCAAACCAGGAAGACCTCTTGAGAATGGTATAGGCGCTTTACAATATGGGGATCTCAACTAATACTGAGCACTTGCAAAGAGAATCGTTTTCCTTCCATATATCGCGAACGGCCATTGAGCAACAGCATATCCACCACCAGTAGAGCGTAGTTTCTCGTTTGCCCCCTCTGTTGAAACTGAAACGAGAATCGAGACTGATCTGTCGTCGCTATTCGTACCTCTAGCCTGTCTTAGCTCTTTTCCACACAATGACAACTCCGTGAAGATCAGACGACGCCAGCAAGTTTTCGCCATAGTTCCAAGTGACGCCAATGACTGGAAACTGGTGGCCCTGTTTGTGGAGATGAGTTAAGTTAGAAAGAGCTCAGAACGAGGAAATGTAGAAAGAAAGTAATAACCACACGAGATGGACCTGTAGTTTGTTCACACAAGGATTCTGTGGCTTTGTCAGATCATAGAAATAGACGTTTGAATCCTCACTTCCAGCAACTAAATTCATCCAACCGGGAGAAATAACAAGTTAAGCAAACGGGAAGCTAGAAGTTTCGTTTACCGAAGGACTATTGGCGTGAATCACAAACCTATATATTCTCCTTTTTCAAGGGAGAGAAGAGGGCAGAAAGACGCCCGCATGCTGTGTACTCGTGGAGCCAATTTCAGTGAGCAGTGAAGAGTTAGGTAACCTTTTATTTCCAAAGCCACCCTGCAATTCCACACACAAGTAGAAAAAAAAGTTACTTCTCTGTAAGTGCTTGCTTCTACTACTATGAAACGAAGAGGGAAGGACAATGTCTCTTGGGACAACAAACCTGAAGAAGGACAAGTTCCCGTCTTGAGTGCATGTTAGCAGCATGGGCCCACGTGCCAGCAGAGAGAAACTTCGGTACTGCACAGTTGTTACTGGGGACTTGCTCTTGCTGCTACTTCGATACCGATGAGAGCGAGACAAGGCGCCGGTACGAGAGTTCATGCTCATGGAATATATACATCCCTGCAGCAACGCATGTGATTATTATTACCCCCAAAAGCTATGGATAAGAAACCAATGTGGATTAAACAGCAAGGATTATCTTGGAAAGTTAGGAACTGGCTGGCACCTGTTGATCTCCACAGAAAATGAGCTGACCAGTATGATCGTGGTCCATCGAGGTGATCTCATTGTTGAGAACTGTTTTGGCAATAATCCTGCCTGTGCTGAAATTGAATACCTGGAAGAGATACAATTACATTGGTAGCATCAACCAAGTGCCTTCCTCACATTACTGGAAAATCTGTTTTTTCGTTGATAATTAAGAACTATAAAAAGGACAACTGGTTTATCTTTGGTTCGAAATGAGAAACGTCCCAGGAATAAGGAGTTTAGGTTTTCATATTAAGTGAGACAGGAATGTTACTTAATCATCTTGATTAGGAAAAAGAACAATAACTAAGTGTGCGGAGCAAGTCACATCAGCAAAGGCAAACAAGCAATACTTACAGTGATTTCTCTGTTGACGTTGCCAGCAGAAAGGAAGTTGTTATTTACCTGTGTCAAAGGATAATTTAGAACTTCTTGGTTAAGATAAATAGCAACGAATTGAGCACGTATAGAGTAAAAAGAACCACAACAGTTCAGGATGCCAAAGCCTCAGGAATAACAAATTGAATGAGAGGATACATGACTGGAACAAATTCCATCTTGGCCATAAAAAAATGTTTGAATCAGATGAGACAGTTTTCTAAATTTCTTTAAAGACAAAAGGATCTAGTCAAACTAGGCAGTCTAATGTAGACAAGCTGTTCTGCAATTGCTAAGAAACAGGAACATCAGCTGTGAGCTGTACTTACAGGGTGAAAACGGATACATAGTTGTGGGGAAACTCCATAGATAACTCTAATGCAAGTTCCTTTTGATAACTCCCACACTCTCACAGTTTTATCCATTGATGATGATGCAATGTACTGATTGTTGGAGGAGAAGTCAAAGTCTGAAAAATACATAGGATTCAGAAATCTTCAAATGCAAGCCTTTTGATTCACTTATAACTACATCTCTTGTATTCAGCAACACCAAATAAAATATGGTCACAAAGATAGTGCCTTGATTTAATCATCTAAATTAAGTTACTACTTCAATTAACAACACAAAAGCACAGTGATACATAGAACAAATCATTTATTTTGTCTTGACGATGGGTACGGTAAACTGACTATTCCATGATAATCGTTCCATATAAACAAAGCATAACAAGCATTTTGAGAAAGTGATGCATTGGTATAGATTGATTAACCATATTGACATGCATTACATAAAAAGTGCTCTGCAGGGAAGATAGCACAGCTCTTCACATCTCAACCTCAAAGGATGCTCTTTCAAATTCATTCAAGCAACTTATCACATAACCGAATATATCTGGTTTTATCCCTGAATAAACAAAAGCAGTGACTTCTGAGCTAAATTACTTTCTCATGCTTGCTGCTACATTATCTCATATTTCAACACACATGATTTCGCCATTTGTTCCTGGTATATTATGCCTATTGTACTCAATGTTAAACTAACCAGGGGAAACCAAATGGTTATACTACCGACAGATTTGTCATGGTTAACACTTGCATAAACATAAAATAAACAACAATTGGTTAGAAAAAAGAACGCAAGAGTAATACCAGGTAATCAAACCTGTGACATCTTTTGAATGTCCATTCAGTTGTTTGAGTACTGAAGGTGGTTGGGAGACCATACAGACTGTCAATGTACCATCAGATGCCCCATATGCCAGTAGATCAGAACTCCTCTTACCGAACTTCAGAACTGTCACTGCAAAACTGAGACAGTTACTTCACTTTTCAAATTAAGAAATAAACCACGTCAAATGGTGTCCAAAGTAGGAACAAATAGCACAGACAAAAGACAAAGGATGAAAGTACCAGCAGCTTTGCTGTGATCAAAGATGCAATGCATTCCCACAAAAGAATAACCAGGTTCAGGCCGTCTCCCACGTGAGTGATCAAGATCACTTCCACCTGAGCTGACACTTGTCCTACGGGCTGAAGATGGATTAACACTAGATACGTCCTGTATAAAATCAAGAGTCGAGATTCAATTGAAGAACATTGCGTTAAAGATATCAACCTTTAAAATCAAGGTGAGGAAAACAAATGTGTTCAAGGTAGGAATTAAATTTTCAAGTCATCAAAGAACAGGCAGCCAGACATTCTTCTGAAAACTCATTCAAATACCATTGTTCCAGGGCTTCAGGATACAATTAAAATGTTATTGCAAAAACGGAACAATGAACAAGCTATGAAGAGAATCTCCCATGGTTGGTTTTAGTCAAATAGTTGGAGGCAAAAGCATCCTACACAGAGGGGGAAACATGAAAGTCTCAACAATTTTACACATACCCGGCTAGAAGTAAGGCTTTCGACATTATATAGTTGGGAGAGAGGACTAGGAGATGGAAACCATCGACCGCTGATGCATCAACCAGTAAATTAACCTGATGTCAGAATCGTGCAGAAGATAAATCATAGTACTTAAGAATCAGAAAGCACACTTAGCATAAGGTGCCATGAAGTTGAAATGGAGGCTCAATTGCCAAAAACATCCCACCACCACAAATGCCAAGTCATGGAATGAAATGGAGGAGTCGCAAGTTCTAGTATGCACCACTTGTAATCTCTTCATATATGCATGGGCAGAATATCATAGAAGCATTTTAACTATATACAATAACTTATATAACATGTTAACCGGTCAAGAAACACCAAAGCTGACTCAGAAAAACCCTTTTAAGCATCAAGTAAAGTCTTAGCAACCTGTTTTCTGGTGTGCTTTGGAGGCTTGAAACTTGCGACTTCTCCCAATTTCTTGGTCTTCTTATGTAATTACGGTAACAGACATATCCTTTTCCATTGCATCTCCAATCCTTCAAGACAAACCAAAGCACTAAGACTATGCTTTTACTTCCTTCGAAGAGAGGTAATAGGATGAATACCGACAGTACCGTTGAATGAAGAACTCGAAAAATAAACAAGAAGAGTGTATAATTTTTTATAATTTCTGAAAATTTTACTTCGGGGAACTTACGCTATTCAAATGCGAGATAAAGTCTTGACTAATTCATCTTAACCTTTTCCATTACTGACCTTCAGATTCAGGTCATAGTAGTTCCTTTAGATCTACAAATACCATAATCCTTCAATTCTCATCAGTCACATTCAATAGCTTACTCCTCAAATGACTACTAATACAAACACAAGACTAAACTCATGACACCCAATCAAGGCGCATCAGAAGCGTCTATGCCTGCACCCCAAACTGTAAACACAATTCAACGCCAGTAACATTTGGTCCAGAACGTCTAAACTCGAACCTAGATCCAGTGTTTATAGCATTCCACGTTTCAATCAAAGCGTGCATAGATGGTGGAGCGAACTCACCAGACGTCGGACGGAACCAGATTCCGCTTTGCGATGGAGGAGGAGCCGCCGGATGCCGACGTAATCGGGATCCGAATCGGCATTGGCAGGCTGAAGCAAGCAGCAGAAGAACTCCGGATCTACTCCTCCTCCCACCGCCGTCTTCTTCGTATCCCCTTCCTCCCCCTTGTTGTTGCCATTCTCGGTAAGGTTAACTACTTCCACTCCGCTGCTCCTGCTACAGTCGTGATTCGCGGCCGCCGACTCGGCCTTCGCATCCGCCATCATTACGAAGCCTCCTTCGATGGATGCTTCATCAGTGATGTCGGTCGCTGGTTCGGGATGAACGCCAATTGCCGAGTTGTGAACTGGTGACGCCGAGTAAGATTTGGAAAATTATCGAGAATGATAGTCTCGCCGGAGAGCTGTCGACTGGTGTGATCGTGCTTGGCGCCGTGGCGAGGAATGAACGAATGAATGAGGAAACTCTTTCTCGTCGGGCTGACTGAGACTGAGGGCTTGGTTGCTAGCTGGGAAGAAAAGAAACGAAGCCAAAACCAACAAAGAAAGAAGTTGGCCTTGTTGTTCATTAATTACGATAATCTAATTTACTAATCACCATTTATGACGGTGTGAAGCTTCGAAATCAGTACTTAACTCTTTCGCTTAGGGGATTAACCGATCGAGGTTGGTAAATGTGATCTAATTGAGATGCAAAAGACAAAATTTCATATACCTTGCATGTAAGTCATTAAGGAAATGTGTTTACTTAACATGAATTGAACAAATTAGTCGTACAATTGCAAATACCTTCTTATGTATTTTATAATTCATTTTATTGATGTAAGGAACCATAACTTTCAAAACATAAGGGGGTTAAAAGTTGAGATTGTCCATCTTATCATTTTTTCTTTTCATTTTTTTATGGACCACCAAAGTCATTCAACTTTCAAACATTGTATTTTTCAAATTTACACACCGAAACAATGCATCTAATTAGAATACATAATTCAAGTAAATGCAGCAATTTAGAGAATTCTAACTAACAAACATGACTTCTAATTATCAGGTTGGATGAGATGAGAGTTTTGCCAAAACCCCGACCGCTTTTCAGGTGGTATTGAACAAACCGGAGTATGATTGTCCAATTTTTTCTTCCCCGTTCGTTTGGCATCTATTCACCTGCTCGGCTCGAGTACAAATGAAAGAATGAAGAACAAGAAAGTCCCATAAATGCCAAAAATATCAGCATCCTCACGTTCTGAAACTGACCCTTTATTCTGCAGATTCTATATTTTGCAACATACAAACTACCCTGTTTTTCCTCTCTTGTTTTGGCATGTCACATTTGTTTAGTATGTAGTGCTTAAGATGATTTAGGCCATTTTTGTTTGGTTACATATTTTCACTCTTCAATACTCCGAAACAAATGGTTTTGGTCATATTCAAACTCAATCAGCTCATAATATTGCCGATTTGCAATCCGCTGGCCCTGTAATATGAGGACAATATTTGCATAGCTGGGCAGCACGATGAGCCTGCAACCCGGTTCGCACACAAATATTGTCCGCAATCCAATTAAACAACAAAAAAAGGGGGGGAAATAAGAACTCCTTCTAATGTAACCAAACAGTTTCACTAACAAAATAAGAGTTGGTCCCCTGCAATGTACACTTCTCCTAGCAAAATACCAAAGAGCAAAACAAACCTACTGCTTATTCAATGAGATCATCAAGAGGAAATCTAATCTAATCCAAATCCAAATCAGTTGCTTTTGGATTCATCAACAGGGTGCCAATATCTGTTATAGAACCACATCGAATCGGCTTCCATCGGATAACCATCCTGGTTCCTATGCCAGCTATAGTGAGCATGCGTCCTGTTCTTGATATCTAAGATGGCATGCCCGAAGCTCGCCTCCCTGAATGCAGAATACTCCGGCTGCGGATCAGTCATCCTGCAACCAAAAAAACCAAAACCATCACAGGAAGCAAACCAAAACAGACGAAATGACGAAAGGAAACGAATCGTGGAAGCAAAGCAAACTTTACTTGTATGCCAAGCCTTCAATGTTGCCACCATCACCAAGTGTTAGATAAACAGGAGCACTCTGATTCTTCGTTGGAGTACATTTCTTGTTCACGATGTTGTAAGCTGCATTCGAGATGCGTTCCTGACACGAAGCCACATAACAAAATAAGTTGCTAAGCGTATACCAACTCGATCGAGATTGCTTCGTGCTTACAGATCGTTCGTAGCCGTGAACATGGCCAGCGAGTACGAGGTCGACTTTGGCATCGACGAGCCACGACTCGAACATGACCCTCATGCTTTCCCCTTCCATGTAGTGGTAGTCGTAGCTGTTGTACCACGGTGAATGCAGCATCACAATCAGCCATGGCGTCACTGTCCTGTTAACTTTGGGCAGTTCTGCTTGCAGCCATTCATACTGAGGTGTGTATGTACCTTTAATGGAGAAAAAAAGCCACCCAAATTCGCCATTACCCTTTGTGGAAGAATCAATGTAGAGATTAGAGAAGGGAATGCTCAATTTACCGTAGGCTGAATATGAGGACAAGACAATTATATGTGCTGAGGCTATCTTGACAGAGTACCAAAGTGGAGAAGTGCTCCCAGATGCCTTGTAAGGAACATGGTATCGATGGAGATATGGCTTGAATGGCTTGGTTTCGCCCTGCAAAATGACGAAATGCTAACGGTTATCATTGTGCGTTGGTAACAGCTTGGATTGACAACACACATGGATTGTGAACGATGATGGTTTACGATTTCAGGGACGAAGTCGAGCTCGTGATTTCCTGCGCACCAGATCCACGGCTGATAAGCGACGCTCCTCTCGACGAACCTTCCCCATGTGTCCCACCTCCGCTGATCGTGATTCGGATAGTCATCGGCGTAAGAGAGATCACCTGCAAACAACAGGGCCTGTGGCTTCCTAGGGTTCTTCTCGTAGTGGGTGAGTGTGATGTTGGAATCGAAAGTCTGGCCAAGATCACCTGCAAAACGAGGGGGGAAAAAACCCCACCACATATCCAACAATGTAATCAAACTAACATTGTAAAACCCAGAAAGCCTAGTGACTAAATTGGAGGATTGCAGTGGTAATAGAACTAACTAACCAATCATGCCAAATGTGTAAGGAACATCTGGACCAACAGGTGGAGGAGTCGTGAAGCAGAATCGTCTCGCGGTGTGACCACTTCCAACTTCGTAGTAGTATTTGGTGTCATGCTGCAACGATACAAACACGCTCAGGACGGGTCAGGTCGAATAATACTCAGCATACTACGAAATGAACTTCTTTTTTTTTTGGGAGGAATTGTTAAAAGTACCTCCAATTTACGGATGGTGCAGTGGTGAATGTATCCAGAAGTGTAGTTATAGAACTTGTAGCTCTTGTGTTTGCCTTGGGCAAACTTCTTGTGCGAGCTTTCGTCTTCCTTCCAGTAAACGACTTTGCTCGAACCGGGTTCATCCATGGTCACCCACGACACGATCATTGCTCTGCCATCCTGATCTCCCAGCGTTATGTGTACCTTTTTTTCGCCCAAACCCATATCACAAAATCCAAACATATAAACAACCCAGAAATCAAATCCTGTCAATCCAAAGATTGAAATGAAGAGATTGAAGAAAAGATGGGGGAAAAAACCTGTTGAGGGGCATTGTAGCCAGGGGGCGGCTGGAAAACGTCGCTGTGGAGGGGCATGTCGACGGACTTCTCCACTTTCCTGACGAAACTGCTGGTGTGTCCGCCATTGCAGACGATAGCTAAGTAGCTGAGAACGAAGAACAGAGCAACCAGAAAGCTGAGGGACAGTGGCGATGGAGAGGCGGAGCCCTGAAAACCCATTTTTTTGGTGGTTTTTTTCAGATGAGTACAGTCGGCCGTAAGGTAAGTAAGATATTGAAGCTCGACATAGCTTTTATTGATAATTCGCAGATTTTTCCCGGGATAATCGGGGATATTCAAAGATTTTTTTTCCCCCAGATTTTCAGGTTTGTTAACAAACAGGGGTTTCAATCGGCTATTCAGTTACAGTAACTAACTAATGGAAGTATGGAACAAACCGTACTGTTAGGTTTGAACCGACAGGGTCTTTGTGATTTCTCATAATCGGGTAGGAGGTGACCGAATTGTATCAAATCGATAATTTAGATAGAGAATCGAGTATAATTTTATTTGATTACGATTTCATGGGATATTTTTAATTAGAAGAAGAAGTTGATCAAAAATTGAAATTAAAATTCATCGCCACCGATATTGAGATTTTGTTGTACATCTTATTTCGCCATTTGTTGGGTTTGTCCGACAGAGCTACGACCTACGAGTATATACTTTTGGTCATGCCCGATTAACTGGAATGCAATTCCTGTGACCATGAATATCCATAACAAAATTCGTGTGACCATCAATAATTCTCAGCTCGTATGTGTGAATTTGTTGATGACGCTTATTTCTACCCTTTCTCACTCCATCTCGAGTTGATAGTTATCACGGGAGAATTGGGAAATATTCTAGGTTACCATAATAAGAGAATTGGGAAATATTCACAGAATTTATTTAGATTTTCAGGTTTGTTAACTAACTTATGGAACAAACCGTATCAGGATTTTCTGTTAGGTTTGAACCGAAATGGTCTTTGAGATTTCTCATAATTGGGTAGGTGTGATCGAATTGTATGAAGTCGATAATCTAGGTAGAGAATCGAATTTAATTTTATTTAGTTACAATTTTGTGAGATGGCTTCAATTAAAAGAAGTTGATCAAAATTGATATTAAAATTCATCACCAATAGTCGCTATGGAGGGGCATGTCGAGGGACTTCTCCACTTTCCTAACGAAACTACTGGTGTGGCCGCCATTGCAGACCACTGTTGAGTAGCTGAGAACGAAGCACAGAGCAACCAGAAAGATGAGAGACAGTCGCGACGAAGAGGGCAAGCCACCCATGTTTTGGATTTTTTTCTATGTTGGCCGTAAGGTTGGATATTGATTATTGAAGCTCGAAATAGCTTTTATTGATGATTCTTATGTCTCTCACTCGATCAAACTGATAGTTTTCCCGGGAGAATCGGGAAAATATTCCCAGAATTTTTTTTCCAAATTTTCAGGTTTGTTAAGAAACTTGGGTTTCAATCGGATGGCATTTTATAAAAATAAAATAAAATTGGATGGCATGCAGGAACTTGGGTTTTTAAGTTACAGTAACTAACTAATTACTAATGGAACAAACAGGATTTTCTGTTAGGTTTGAACCGAAATGGTCTTTGTGATTTCTCATAATTGGGTAGGGGGTGACCGAATTGTATCAAATCGATAATCTGAGTAGAGAATCGAATATAATTTTATTTGGTTACGAGTTCATCATTTCATGAGATATTTTTAAGAAGTTAATCAAAATTGAAATTAATATTCATCGCCACCGATATTGAGACTTTGTTATGCATCTTATTTCTCTATTTGGTTTTGTTCGACTGAGCTACAGCCTACGAGTATACTTTTGGTCATGCCCAATTAAATAAAGGGCAATGTCTATTTCTTATCCAAATCTTTTTCAGATTCTTTTATATTATCAAAACCTATCGAAATACTAAGAATTAACCAAATGTTAACTTCCAGTTAGCCATTTTGTTAGTGATATTGACTTAGCAACATGATATTGACTTGGATGAGACTCAAGAAGGTTAACATTCCAAAATTTTAGTATTTTAACTAAGAAAAGAGTTACAAAATTATTAACGATAACATAAAAAAGGCTAATATTTTGATGCATTATGAAAGATTTGGATAACTAATAGAATTTTAATAGGTTTGGATAATATAAAAGAATATGAAAAAGATTTGGATAAAAAATAGACATTACCCTTAAATAAAAGGTAATTCGTGTGACCATGAATATCGGTAACAAAATTCGTGTGACCATCAATAATTTCTCATTTCAGATGTGTGATTTTGTCCAATTTCTGAGTGTACTAAATGTCGTTTTGGGAAGATCTTGGCATCGGTCATTGATCCTTACTATCCCAAAAAGGGCTATATTATATAATAGTGGTATAGCTCAACATTCAATTGAAAAGTTAGAGTACAATTAGTTTCTACCATAATGAGGTAGCTCGACACAAAAGATCGATTATTATAAATACGATATTGGGCGCAACCAGAAAGCTAAGGGACAGTGGCGACGAAGAGGGCAAGCCCTGAAGACCCATGTTTTTTATTTTTTCTTCTTTTGCATATCAGTACTATTAGCCGAAAGGTTCGACATGAAGCTTGAAATAGCTTTGTTGATGACTCGTATTTCTACCTATTCTCACTCCATCTCGAGCTGATAGTTATCATGGGAGAATCAGGGAATAATCACAGAATTTATTCAGATTTTCAGGTTTGTTAACTAACTAACTAATGGAACAAATCGTATCATGATTTTCTGTTATGTTTGAACCGAATCTGGGTAGAGAATCGAATTTTATTTTATTTGGTTACGATTTTATGATATGACTTTAATTAAAAGAAGAAGTTGATCAAAATTGATATTAAAATTCACCAACACTTGTAGTGAGGTTTTGTTGCTACGGCCTACGGGCATACTTTTTTTTTTTTTTTATCATACACAATTGACAGCAATGTAGTTCGTGTGACCATGAATATCCATACCAAAAATTCGCGTGACCATCAATTATTTCTTATGTAATATGTGTGATTTGTCCAGTTCCTAACTGTTTCCAAGAAGGGCTATATATTATATAATAGTAGTATAGCTCAACATTCAATTGAAAAGGAAGAGTACATATGATTAGTATCTACCATATTGAGATAACTCAGGTATAAAAGTTTGATAATTACAAATACAATATTGAGCGCAACAAAATTATAGCACAATCGGTTCATATTTAACCCCATGTCAACAGAAATAGAATTTGTTTTGTTTCGTTAAGAGACGAACATGTATCTTTTGAAATATCCATAACATTGTCTCCATCTTCTACTTTTATTCCGCCAATTTTGTCTCTCTTTATAATCTTCATGTCTTTGAATTGATGATTCAAGCACTTATATGGAGTTCCAACATGAATTTTAGAATCTCTCTCCATAAACTCCTTGCATGCATACTGTCAACATATAGAAAAACCAATTAAATCACGAAAAATAAATGTATTCGGTACAAACACCAATAAAATTATCTTTTTCCATAAACCAATATCATTATCAAGTTGATTAAAACTCATTTTAGTCTAAAGATTAAATGAAACTGTTTGTGCCACGTAACCTCGCGCCTTGCGCCCTGCACGTCAGACACGTCCGTCCGTCCTCCCTGCACACAAGGGCGCCCCCCCCCCCCCCCCCCCCGAGCCCTTCCCAGGGCTCGTTAGCACTCTAATGCCTAAGTCAGCTCAGGATTTCTAAAGAGAGAAGTGAATAGTAATTTTAGAGAGAAGATCCAACCTGAGTAAATGAGGTTCACCAACTCCCTTATTTATACCCGGGGCCTGGCCGACCAACATCCTTTGCTCCCGCCCTCCGTCAGGTCCGCAATTAATGCGCCGTACACCCAGATGCTATGCGCCTCGACCGTCTGACCCCCTGCTCAGACGGTCGAGGCGCATGACGTCAGCTGGTCCGTGCTTCGTACCCTTCCACCCTCTGCGAACTCTTGTCGTATGCGCCCCGTGTCAGAATCCTAGCCCACCTGTCTGGAATGTCCAACCCTGCTTTATGGGCTGATCTCCTTCCTGCACCTGGGCTTATTAGGTTGGGCCTCTACTCATGCTTGCTAGCTCTCTTCCTTGGGCCAAGGGAGCCCAATCTCTTCGGGCTATGTTTATGCCCCCAACAGAAACCATTCTCGTGATAAGAACATAGACTACTCAAACTTGACTACCTTAATTTGAAGCATACAAATAACATAAATCTAGGAAAAAACCTTTTTGAATGTTAGCTTTGAGAGTAAGGGCCATAGCATGGAAGGTTTGGGGTTGGAATAGGAAGAAGAAGAAGGAAAAAAAGTAAACAGTTGCAATTGTTTTGATAAAGAATAGAAGATCATACGTACCTTGACCGCAACTAAAGAGTGCTCATCCGAGGTTGAATTTGAATATGGTTCTCGAATGAAACTTAAATAGTTAGGATGAAAATTCTGGAATTGATCGTAAAAAAAAAGCAACTTTGTTGAATGATCTCAAAAAATCCCACACAATATTTATATGTTCAATTGGCGTAGGCGGATTTTCTTGGACTTCTTTCCAGTCATTTTGCATATAATACGATAGAATAAATAAGCACGATTTCTTGAGTAGGTAATCAAATACCAACTACAAAAAATAAAAATAAAAATAATGAATAGGCAATGTTGATTTGGTACAAGAAGGCATTATGTGTTGCTAAATGATCCTGAGTTAAACATATTTGAATCAAATGAAGCAAATTGATGCATCGAAAGTACAATTAGTCCAAAGATATGTCCACATATCTTTGCAGCCGATTTCAACATGTCGTCGAGGAAAGCAAACAAAACAAAATTCATCATTTTTCAAACCTAACAAGCAAAATTTTCCGGTTTTACTGCGTAGTGTAGGGCTTATAGATGAAGTTATGAACATTAATACAGTATCTCTGATGTATACCCACAAACTCTTTTTTTTTTATAAAGGCGATGAATAAAATTAAAAAGAAACAAGAAGTTTGATACAAGGAGGATCAAGAGAATTGATCTGAAAGTAGCAAGACACAAACTCTTGATTTTACATTTAAGAAGTTCCAAACATTCCCAAGTTTGAAGACAAAACAAAACTGAAAACCCCTATATGTAGTAAAAAACGAACATGAAATTACAAACAAACAAAAAACTCCTCCCTCAAAGCTCAAACCTTACACAACTCCTCCTGACTGAATTCTTTTCCTGCCCTCTCTAACCACAATTTCGTCGATAAACCGATAAATTGATTAGCACTAATCTTAACTTCCTCCTCACATAATCATCAAAGGGGGTAAAAAAAGGTTGAAGAGTAAACTTCAGGGCCAAGAAACATGTAATGTACCAAATTTACTTCAAATTTTGATGATGTACTCTTCCACCTATAGTAGTAATCCCTTGTTTTTCATCCTAAGCAGCAATTCCTGAAACAGAACACCAAAAGCAAAAGCAACATGAGCCTTATCCTGCAAATCTTGGAAAGCTGTCGAACGAACAAGGGATAGACAATGTAAGGTAAATTATTGCAAGCAATTTCTGAGGCTAAACGATAAGCAGTGATTCAACCGTAGGCAAGTTCATACTAAGCAGAAGATGTGAGGTTACCTCTATCTGACTGTCTATCAGCAATGCCATAACCACCACTAAAAGCAGCAGGGTTCTTAGTAACAACACCTGAAGCTGTATTTCCAATGCCGAAATCAAACATCTCGGAAGTCGAGGATCTCCAGGAAGAATCTCCATAGAGCGAACCATTCTCATAAATGTCAGCATAAGCCGCCCTATCATAACCACCATTTGCAGCAGCAGCACGAGATGCAACCGGTGCAAAACTCGCCCCACCATTTCTACCATATCCTCCTGCTCCTAGACCAGCACCAAATTCGCCTCCACTGCCATTGTTATAGGTTGCTCCCACACCGCCACCTTGCCCTGTATTAACCGAGGAATCCCAAAGAGCTCCGGAAAAGGAACCGAGCCCTGAGTTCCAACCTCCGCCATTGGAGTTAAGACTTTGAGGAACACTGTCATTGCTCCAAGCAGTACGAGAAACAGAATTCAGCCCTGAATTGTTTGCTCCTCCATATCCAATGGGGCTCCCGTACCTGCTCGGATTGCCACTGTACATGGGGCTCAACCAGCCAAATCCAACGTTTGACCCAAGGTTCGAGTTGCCACCGTAACTCTGACTCAGACCCTGCTCGAAATTTAGACCTGAACCATACCCAGTACGGAATGGAGAAAAGCTGCTACGAGTTCCGACTGGACTGAACCTTCCATCCATTCGAAGTACAGAAGTTGGATTATTTGCCTGAGAGGAATAGCCGTCTAGGAAGCTATTGACTCTCGTAATGCCATAGTTATATCCGGCAAACTGGTTCGATCTGGTCGAACCAGGAGAAGATAGTTCCTTTGGAACAGCTCGTTTCACCTCGACCATCTTCCCATTGAGTTCATGGAATGTTTTGTATAGTACTTTATCCACAGCTTCCTCTGTGTCAAAGGTAATGAACCCGAAGCCTCTAGGCCTTTGAGTATTGTGGTCGTACATGACAACAACATCAGTTATTGTTCCGAACTGATCAAAGTAATTCTTGAAGTCTGTCTCTGTCACTGATGATGCTAAGCCTCCTACAAATATCTTTTTCGTCCGAGTTGGACCAGGCGACCTTTGAATGCTGCTGTTGTTGCTGATTCGGTTCAGATTGTTCTGATCGTCCCTAGGCAATGCTTTCTTCGCCTCAACCTGATCATCAAAAGCATATCAAACAAAATGACAACCACTAAATTACCATAATTATTAGCAGGCACCTATCTTTAAGATCACATTTTCATTGGAGGCTTTCAGTAGATAAGCTAGCGTCTTCGTTATCTATCTCAGATTGTTCAGCAGCCTAGCAATGATCCAGTGACCAAAATAGAACCCTGTTATGAATCATGATGCATCTAGCTAGAATTCAAACTACCAGGAAACTAAGAATACATTTTTCAATATAACAAACACTAGTGAATCTACAAACTAAGATCACGATCTGGATATTTGAGGATCACAAATTGTGATCTTCATTCACAATTCATATCCTACAATTGACTGAAGCAAGGATCAAATATAGTTATAGAAATAGAACCTCTCTAGGTTCTAGACCCATAATTCAAGTCTTCTTCATGCCAACCACACTTTACTGCCTTCAAATACTAATGACACACAAACCGAATCACGGAAACATCGATGAGAAATCTGCCTCTTGAACTTACATTTCTGCCATCAATCAGGTGCTTCTGCATCACTACTCGCTCAGCAACAGCAGGGTCAGCAAAGACAACAAAGCCGAAACCACGGGCTCGACCGGTGGACCGATCCTTCATAATCACAGCTTCCACAACATCTCCAAATGCCTGGAAATACTCTCTAAGACGGTCTTCATTAGTGTCCCATGAAATCCCACCAATGAATAGCTTTCCAAGCTCCATTTTCCCAAATCCTCTGTAAAAAACAATCTTTATCTCAATTCATAATCAAACAGCGGATCTGTTACTCCAAACACACAATTCTACCAAACCAGAAACAAAGAAGGGGAAAACCCAATAATCCATGTACGAAAAAACATCAAAATGCGGCTAGAAATGATGAATACCTTGCCGCAGAAATCAAGCAGCAAAAAAGCCACTCGGATGCCTATATGATGGATGTCTTTATATATCAAGTGGGTACTCTCGGATTCAATCCGATAGGGCTTCAGGAACTCTTAACCGATTGATCGAAAGTAGGGAGAGTCCAAAAGGAAACCGATCGCTCCCCAGCAGCAATCCAAATGAACGGAAGACAAAAACTTCGACGAAGAAATGTCTAATAACTAATAAGATCCACAAACCCAGATAGCAATTCACTAAAAAGGAGCAAGCTTTATCTCTCTTATCTCACGTTTAAATGTTACCCTTTCTTTCTGTGGATGGCGAGGAAGAACCCAGAAGAACAGAAATGAAAAAGGAACTGATTGATTGATCAAAGAGAAAGAGAACCCAGATAAGGTAAGAGTTGCGAAAGAATCTCAAGATCTGAACAACAACATCAGAATAAGAAGAGAGGGTGAGCAGCTAAGGCTCTTCTCCCCCTTTTGGTTCTCTTTCTCTTTTCTTCCTTCCCCTTCCTTTTTCCCACCTTCTTCTTCTCCTTGATTATAAAAAAACTGTTCTGGATTTCAATTGGGAATTGAATTTATATGCGTTAAATTGGAATTCGGATTTGGTATTACCAGAAAGAGAGAGCGGAGGGGAGGGGAGGGGAAGGAGATGTGAGGAAGAGAGTGGAGGGGAGAAGTTTGTTTTGTTGCAAAGCAAAGGGAGACTATTGCAAGGTGGTGACTTCCCAAGTTTTACAAGTTTGATTTTTGATTTGGAGACTTTAAAAAAAAATTATAATTTGAAATGTATCACCCTTTGTTGTTTATGTTTCTCTATCTAATTATTGACAATCTTTTTTTAAAAAATGTAGCTTGGTGTCAATTTCAGGTACCCTATGTTCTAGGGTTATTTTCCCTAATTTTCTGAGGGTGTTCTTTGAAGTTTTGTTTGCCCATTTTGACTCTAAAGCTCTTTTATTTTTGGTTTTGCATAATTCTTAAGCTAAAATTTTCAGGATTATCGTTTTATTTAATGATATTGGTCGGCTTATATCCGGCGAAAGAGATAAGTAAGAGAGCAAAATTAATCAAAATTGAAAATTAAAAATTACGATAAAATGAGGATTAAATATCTTGATTTGTCAAGAATGGACGTTTATGTATTCAATTGATCAAATAATTTGTATTTTATCCGTGTAGATGGAGTTGATTGATAACCCAATACTACTCTTAAACCCAATAGATTAATAAGGCAAAACTATAATGAATTTTCAGATAAAATGAAAACATAGTTATTTCATGGGTGAATTGCAAATTTGGTCACCCATATTACTCATTTATAACACTTTAGCCACCCGAATTAAAAACCATTCAACTTAGCCACTGATATTACACGTTTATGTCATATTTGGTCACTCACCGTCTAGTTTCGTTAAGTCTGTCCTACGTGGCAGTCAACAAATAGTTTTGACCATTAAAATGCTGATGTGGCCATTAAAAATAAATAATTGATAAATTTTTAAATTTTTTCTTTTACAGCTCATAATTTTCAATTACAAAATATTATTTATGATAAAAATTTAACAATTCCCTACCTGCATCTCGCTCCCCAGTTCGTCGATTCCTCCGCCATAATTGATCCATCAGAAACCTTCATTTCGCCCATCACCACAGCAAACCTTCCTCCGCCCATCGCCACTGCAACCCAAAACTCCTCCGCACCACAATTGATTCCATCTGAAACCTCCTTCGCCAATTCCCTCATCTCCGTCTCCATCGATTCTTCCTCCGCCCATCGACCATCGCCACAGCAAACCGAAACTACTTCGTCGCCATGTTTGATTCCATCTGAAACCTCCTTCGCCAATTCCCCCATCTCTGTCTCCACCGACCCTTCCTCTGCCACTCTCTGTTGCCTTATTGTCTCCCGCGACGTTCCCGACAAGTTCCAGAGCCCGAAGAACCAAAAAAATCACCAAAACACAACAGTTAGTTTCTAGATCTGAGAGTTTTTCGCGATTCGATTAAGAAAAGGAGTGAGCGTATCGACATTCGCAGGCACCACTTCGACCCCGCCAACCGAAATCCTCTTCTGTAAGACCTGGATTTGGGGCTTCAGCGGCTAAATTTCGCTCAATAGGGACCCCCGCTCGCGAGCCACCTATGCTCTTCCCGGATCCACTACTGCTCCTCGCTCAGCCACAGCTGCTCTTTGTGGAGCCAGAGAAAGCTCCTCCTCATCAATGCAACTGTGAATTGGAGGGACCCCATCAATTGCACCTTCTGTTTGTTTTCGTTGGGTTTAATTCGGCGGGACGATTGGGAGGATTGTGGTTTTGTGGCGGGATGCTTGGAGCAGTGGTGCTGGAGATTTTGCAATGGAAAGAGGATTGGTGGGTTTTGCGGCGGGATGCTTGGGCTCGTGGGTTTGAGGTGGCATGGAGGCAGCAAGAGGGGAGGGCGACGAAGTGCAACAGCGGAGAGGGGGATGGCGACGATGTGCAACGACGAAGAGGTGAGGGCGAGCCGGTGGGCTGGGTTTAGTAATATTTATATTAATTAGTTTTTTTTTATGAAGAAAATATTTTTAATTTAGTATGATGTGGAAATAAAAAAAATATTTTTTTTATTATTTTTAATGGACACATAAGCTTTTTAACGGTCAAACATTGGAGTTGACTGCCACGTAGGACAGACTTAACGGAACTAGACGGCGAGTGGCTAAATATGACATAAACGTGTAATATCAGTGGCTAAGTTGAATGGTTTTTTATTCGGGTGGCTAAAGTGTTATAAATGGGTAATATGGGTGACCAAGTTTGCAATTCACCCGTTATTTCATATTGCATGTGATAGTATATATAACAGCTCATCTAAATTCAGTTTTTTTATCTAGAATAATAGCAATAATAATAGAAGAAATTTCAACTAGTCTATGAAAGTCAATAGTATATGATTTTTCTTTCTTGTGTGTAAATGTAATATACGTTTATCTTCATTGAAATATCTTGAAGACTTACAAAAAAAGCTTTTCATTAGCTATTTTGTAAAGGAAACTTCACCTATTTCAGATTTCATACACCTATTAAGGGGCCGTTTGGAGATGTTTGAACCTAATTGAGTGTAGGAGTGAGGTTCGAGGGAGAAAGAGGGTCAAGGAGAGTAAGCAGTAGGAATCAATTATAGAACGAGGAACGAAGGTAGGGAAGAACGAGGTTGGGAGAACAGAGTCTTAGAGAGAGAAGTTGATGATTGTAGAGATAGAGTCTGGAAAATGCGATCCCCTCACCCACCCGAGTAAATGCCATATTTATAGACTACATGGTGGTGGGTGAGTAGGTGGATTACATGATGGTACGATGACATGACCACTGACATGTCAGGGATTTAGGCCACACCTCTACCTAGGACATGTCAGGGGTCCACCTATGACTGTATCTAGGGCCCTGATGTGACTCTCTCTCGGGAAACACAATGACGCTTTCTGCGGCTCCTTGGTCTGGTCTACGCTTGATCTCTTCACTTGCATGCGTAGCTTTCGTCTTCGCCGCGCGCGAGGTCTTCGCGCTGAAGCGACGTCGGTCGTGTCGCGCTCTGACGTGTCTGACAACATCTGGGGTAATGGCGGCGTGTTTCCTTGGCGCGGGGAGGTCCGAGTCACATGCCCAACAGGAGACTACTTATATAGCACAATTAGGAGAGGTTTAAAACACAACTTGTTAAAATTAATTGATGGGTCCTAGAAATATTGTGAATTTTTTATACAAAAATTTAGAACCACATCCACTTTGAACCCAAATTGTATTTGTAACTAATAAAATTATCATAAACCATACAAGAGAAAGACCAACTCGTAGAATGGTTAATTCTAACTACAGTTCTATGATATAGCAGACCATGTCACTAATCAATTGTTTTTTTAATTAAATTTAGAATCATACTCTATCGTTGAAACCCTTTCACTTAAATTATTAAAAAGTTATTAATCTTGTAAATTTTCAAGGCTTTGTCCAAACATGTTTTTCCAAATTTGGAGTGAATATTATCTTATAAAGGTTTTAACTTTTAACACACTTGACAAGTACATAAAAACTTTTGGCCCCCCAACGTGATAAATAAATGAAGGGAATAAAATAAAGCTAAAGTGATTGGGAGAGACAGAAGGGATCACTTGTTCTCCCCCACTAATCCAACCCATAAAACCCAATAATTAAACTCTCGTAAATTATACAGAAAATAATGAATTGATGCTATAACATGACTATTATCTTAATACCAAAACTCCTTTCTAGTTTCTACCTTTTGATCGATCTATAATCTATAGCAATTTGCAGACAAGCCAAGTTATCGTTCCATACTAAGGATTTGAAAATAAGGCAAAGGAATGATACATCCATTCAGTTACTTGTTTGTCAAGTTATTATAGAGACACCAAGATAAGTTTCATTAAAAGAAAGGGACACCAAGATAGTAGTGATATAGAGGTAAAAGAACATGCCAGTGTAACAGAGAGAAATGTAACTACAAACGATGATAAATCGGTAATGAATTATTTCGTGCATAGGATCTTATGTATCCGAAAATAAACAATCGTGTAAGCTAGTTATGGTATATATGGAAGATGGCAGTTTGAAAGTAAAATTTCGACGGACATAATGAGCGATAAACTTAATGCAAATTCTCATGAGTCATGATCAGTGGAGACGAAATAAGTTTATTAGGTAATATAAAATCACTACATATTCTCATATGTTCTATGGTGATCATGAAATAAATTGAATAATAGGCATTGTGTTGTTCCTCTTAAAAAAAAAAGTATTGTAACATCTGAGACGAATCTCACATCGCCAAATTACGGGAGAGATCCATGATTCATACGTAAGAAAGACCTTAACTGACAAGACGCGTTTTGGGGTAAGAACTCCGAAGTTAAACGTGTACGCTGTGGAGTGGTGCTATGATGGGTGACATTATGGGAAGAGTTGATTATGCACCCAAGGCAAAATTTGTGAGGGTCTAGACCCAAAGCGAACAATATCTCATAAAAAAGATTCGGGATGTTATAGGTATTGTGAATAGAGATGAACAACTTTTTTTCCCCATATAAGTGTGGCATAGATTCTTGTTGTGTTAGGTGCTATTAAACGATTTTGAATAAGCAGCCTTCAAGTTGAAAAATAGTGGTAAAATTACTGCACCAAGTCCTTTGCTTAAAGCTGACAACTCTTTCCTGATCATCTATTTATTTTGCTAGTAATATTTGGTTCCTGGGGGACATATAGTATTAAATTAAATAATGTAATAAAAAAGGATCAAAGAGCAACACATGGCATGCTTAGGCAAAGGCAAATGTACTCTTTTGTTTAGATGAGTATGCAAGTGACAGTGTATTATTAATTATTAATTAGTAGCAAATTGTTAATTCCAAATAACATAAACGCCTAACGGATAACATACATGTGCAGATATACCAGCCAGGGAGATGAAGCTCTGTCATATGATAAACAAAGACTAATTAATTAAGCAGGAAGGAAGGGGTTTACCGAAAAAGAAACAAAAAAAACAAACGGAAAATGTAATTCTTTTGGCCTACAGATCTACTGATGACTAAGTACGGCAGAGATTAATGGTTAATAAGTAACAATCGAATCTTAATTTATAAGAACAAAATAGTTTTTGTAAGAATTTTAAAATTAAACATGCTCAATTTAGAGTAATGCATATATGAGTTGCCTATTGGGAAAACCATCATAAATCATAAAGCACACCATAAGAAAAATCATGTAGGAATAAGACTAAAGCGGGATATAAATAATTCAGATGCTACAAGAAGAGTCAGTGGCGGATCCATGGGCTCTAGGGGTATCCCGGGACACCTCTAAATTTGAAAAAAATATTTTAAGTGATAGCGGGACACCTTTAAATTTTGGAAAATGATTATCCAACCCCCATTAGTAGTTTGCGTATGGGTAAACAAAAATATTTAAGCGGTAGTGTATCTGATTTGAAGTCGGGTCACTGCTACTTTTAGTAAACATATTTTCCAAACTCGTTTATTCCTACAATTTTAAATCCATGTATAATTATAAAATGCTATTTGTTATCTCCAATTATTTTCAAAAGCTAACGTTTAAACTCAATTACGGGCTCCCCTTATCTAGTAAGATATATCGAGAGAGATCTGTAGAGTAGTGTTAGACATCGAACGTATTCTAAAATTTTATCGAAATACGAAACACATCGTGTGCTTTCGTTGTAATTTGTGCAAGTTGGATATTTTATTATGTAATTATTAATCTAATTTAATTTAATTTTTAGGAGAGCACACTTCTATGTAAAAATTCTAGGGTCCATAGAAGAGTGGTCACTCGTCACCATTTGTAAGGAAAATAAAATTTAAAAAGGGAACTTTATCTATTTTTTCTTTTATATTTACCGTTTAAATTCACATCATAGTGCATGATCTAATATGTCGAAGTCGTTATTAGTATCAAAGCCACGAAACTTATTGAAGAATTTGATTATTCGACAGATTGATACGAGCTTTGGAGGAAAAACAAAAGAACAGACCAGATCCAAACTAGTATATTAGAAACCCGAATCGATCCGAACAACAACTGACGACAAAGTGGAGAAAAAATTGTGCGAAGAAGTTAAAAGAAAATGTTTTGGCCGATATATATCGTCCACGATGAGAACAAAATACAGCAAAAGGTTGGCTGTGAACACAAGGCCCGGCGGCGATCGAATCAAGGCATGCGAATGCTCCGGCGTGGTTCTGAACTTGCCTACCGGCGATCAGAACGGCAATACCGGCGGGTCACTTCCATATTTTCCGGGGAAAATTTTTCAGGGAGAGGGTATCATTATTAATTACTGGCCCCCTTTTCCGGCGGCGGCGAGTCTCTCCGCCGATCGAAATTGGTTACCCTGTGGATGGAATTCCAGGTGCGGATTTGTGTTCCGTCCTCCATTCTCCGTTTGCCGGCGGCGTGTGGTTGTCCACTTCTCCGGCGGTGGGGATTTGTAGTATTTTCTATTTTTCTTGTTTGATTTTAGCGTGGGCTTCTGTATGTATGCTATGCTCTTGGGCCTGGGCTGAGGCTTGGTTCAGCCCAAAGTCTGGATTGGTTACAACCAAAACTCGCTATTTTGGGCTTTGACAACCCAAAATCAAGGATTGTCAGTTTCTGACGTCGGTTGGAACTCGGAATTTAATGGGGAAACAGCAGTGGCAGGCAAATCTGGAAAGAATCTCACTTCTCTTTTTCTTTCTTTCCCTCCCTCCCAAATTTATGGATGGGCCACCGCACCGGCTGGAGCATGGTCCAGTAACTACACGCCACGTCCGGTATTGGGCCTCCAAGGCAACGGAAAGGCCGCAGTTCGTTATCCGAATCTGGGCCGGAAAGTCCTCGGGCTTCGGGACTACCGGAATCTTTTTCTAACACTATTACCGAAGCAAACTGTTGGTCTGGTCCCAACTACCATTTGAGGAAAGCGGGCGAAAAAATGCAGGAATAATATAACAAAATTGAAAAAAAAAAAAGAAACCATGACACACTCCACCGTCTCCTTCCACGTTTCATCTTGCGGTTGGACCCACCAATTCCATTCTCTCAGCGTACAAGTTACACTATTAAATTAAATTTAAATATTTTTCCTTTGGCATTGGGATAAGAATTAAGAACGATGTTTCGTTTTTTTCATATCGGTGGATATCTACTTGAATTCGATCAAATTGGACAGGTTAAAATTTGAGTTTACATAATTTTAATGAGTATGGAAACTTGAATTCAAGTATTATTGTATGACTTATTCACTATTATACATATATATGTATTTTATTTTAAAAGTGAATATTATTTTTTAAGTATATTTGATATATGTTCATGAAATTATGGTATTTTTAACTAATTTCTTCATTCTAATATTTTAGTATTGTACTTTTTTTACTTATATAATTTTGGTATGCGTGTCAATATAAACATGTTGGTTGATGTTACAAAGATAAATAATTACTCATGGATAACCGTGGATACTCAAAACGCAATCGGATATACATATGATTTTGATATTCTACTGGTTCATGTATGTATTTTGGATAAGGATAAAATCGAACTATTTTGGGTAGGATAATGGATATACATTATCTGTCCCTTCATCTTATTCGCTACCCATTAGGGGTGCACAAGGGTCCGAACAGAACCAGACTCATGAGAACCGCGCGATCCAATAGTGAAGACATCTTAGAATTGCGAATCGAACCAACATTACAAATTTACAATCACTCTCGTTTGGTCCGGTGCAAATGTCGACTCGATCTACTTTTATTTAGTAATTTATAAAATTCAGGTGACTAATAATCGAAACATATTATGTATGGTAGAGTCAAAATCATTGCACAAATGTAGTTAGTAGTTACCATCCCTGCAAGTTATTGGGTAGTTGTTTCAATAACTCTAATAATTACCTAACATTTTTTTAATGCCATCCTAGCTTTTAGTTTTTTTTTTGTTATAAAAATATTAAAGAATGTTAATGTGACAATCTAATAATTTGGGAATCCAAAAATTATTATAAATACTATTGCCATACGTATTCCTATACGCATTTAGACGCGACCCCACTGCGTCTATTATATATACACTCGCACTGCAACACTTTTCGTTTCAGCTTCTTCATCCGAAAGCAAAACCAACGAGACCGCCATGGATTCCCGTTTCTCTCTCTTCCTAATCCTCTCCGCCCTCCTGGCCTCCGCAGTTCTCGCGGACCTCTCCCCCACCGCCGATCCTCTCATCCGCCAGGTGGTCGACGACGGCGCCGCCCAGGACGCCGGCGTTGAGCAGCCGTCCACCTCCCTTCCCGCCGCCGACCACCTCCTCGGAGCGCCGGAGCACCACTTCTCCCTCTTCAAAACAAAATTCGGGAAATCGTACGTCTCTCAGGCGGAACACGACTACCGGTTCAAGGTGTTCAAGTCGAACCTGAGGCGCGCCGCTCGCCACCAGCTGCTCGACCCCAGCGCCTCTCACGGCGTCACTCGGTTCTCCGATTTGACCCCTCGCGAGTTCCGGAGGCAGTTTTTGGGGCTCAGGAAGCTCCGGTTTCCCAGCGACGCCAACAAGGCGCCGATCCTTCCGACGAGCAATCTGCCTGAGGATTTCGATTGGAGGGAGAAGGGGGCGGTTACTCCCGTCAAGAATCAGGTCAGAATTCGAAAATTCCCCTTTTTCCTCTTTCCTTATGAATTACAAGCTTGGTCTTCATCAGCTACAGTTTTAGGTTTCGTAATCGAATTCTCGAAAGTTGGTGAAGGATTGGGACTGATGGTTGCTTCTTAAGGTCGCTTTTCTGATACCTAGCTGTGATTATAACCCTCTGAAATTCAATTGGTTGATCGGTGTAGTATGAGAATAGAAATTAGAAACGAAGCGTGTTTCAGGAGTTCCTAAAAGAAGAACTGACATTCTGATTAGTAATTACTAATTACCAATTTCTTCCTTTTAATTGCTGCCTTATACTGGAATTTGGTGGGTAGTTTGATTGTCCTTTGTGCGTGTTCAAGTCGTTGGACCTGCTCGTAGTTGGAAGTGATCCAACGATGTTAGTATGTGCTGAATGATCTTGCCTATCTGGGTGGCTGCTTTAATGAACAGACGAGCTAGAAATTACAAAAACTGAAAGGACTAATTGATACTTAAGCTGTCAAGCAGAACGAGAAACAGACAAATTTCAGTCACCTGATTTGTTTGGGTTGTTCTGTGTCATGAAGTTCCATAAGGTCTTTTTTTTCCTCTCTTTTTTTACAAAAGGGGAGATTGTTGATGGTGATTCCTGTTGGAATGTTCAGGGTTCATGTGGCTCTTGCTGGAGTTTCAGCACTACTGGTGCACTGGAAGGTGCTCACTACTTGGCTACAGGGGAGCTTGTGAGCCTCAGCGAGCAGCAGCTTGTGGATTGTGACCATGAGGTCCGTTTTGCATCTCCCTCTCTGGCTCTCTCCCTCTTCCATCCTCGAATTAATCGTACTCATTGAGCACGAATTGATTCTTCTTTGCAGTGTGACCCAGAAGAGCAAGGAGCTTGCGACGCTGGCTGCGGCGGCGGACTAATGAACAGTGCGTTCGAGTACACTCTCAAAGCCGGCGGCTTGATGCGTGAGCAGGACTACCCTTACAGCGGCACCGATGGCAGCACCTGCAAGTTCGACAAGAGCAAGATTGCTGCTAAAGTAGCCAACTTCAGCGTCATCTCGACCGACGAGGAACAGATCGCTGCTAACCTCGTCCAGAGCGGCCCTCTTGCTGGTAAATATAGTTTGATCCAGTTTCTTTTAGTATTCTTTTTTTTACCTCAGTGTCTCTAATTGTGAATTGTTGCTGTGTAGTGGCGATCAATGCTGTGTACATGCAAACCTACATCGGCGGGGTCTCGTGCCCTTACATCTGCTCCAAGAGGCTCGACCATGGAGTGCTGCTGGTGGGCTATGGAGCGGCGGGCTACGCTCCGATCCGGATGAAGGAGAAGCCGTACTGGATCATCAAGAACTCCTGGGGGGAGAACTGGGGAGAGAACGGGTTCTACAAGATATGCAAGGGGAAGAATGTCTGTGGAGTGGATTCCATGGTTTCTTCTGTTGCTGCTATTCAGACCCCTCCCGGTACCCAGTAGTGAAAAGAGGATCAGGCTGGCTGGCTGGCTTAAACATTTGATTCTTCAGTATACAAAAGAGAATTGGATGGATGAATGTTTGGCTGTAAATATTTATTTATCCCTCCTTCTTGCAACACTGAAAGGGAGCTCTTTTACATTGTTGCAATTTGCATTATCTGTACTCTTTTCATCTGTAGGCAATTTGGGACCTTGTTGAAATACTATCCTTAAAAGAAATTGATAATGTGTGACCCTGATTTCTGAACTAGTGCCAATAATTGCCATTATGCTGTTGCCACTTATTTCCAGGGTTATATACTTTCTGGGTGGGAGCCTGGGAGGTTGATGACGTCTGAAAATTTGCACCAAAGTTGGACTTGGACCCTTCCGCAGATTAGTGGGCCAGAAGAGCGGGCCTGTAAATCAGCGTTCTGTGGCCCAATGGGCCAAGACTACGGTGGCGCGCAAATAAGTAAGTTTGAACGGCCCTTCCGTTTTCCCGCCTCATTAATAACGGCATGCGCGTGCAGGGAGAAACAGAGCATCGGAGCTGAAAACGATACAAAACCATTGGCCCAAGATGAGAAATTAAGCGGACACACTTCGCCGGAAAAATTGAATGTGCTTTAAAAAGCGCTTTGTTCCCGACGAGTGGCTCCGGGAACGCCAAACGACTTGTAAAGCTCTCTTATCGCACGCTATATAAGCAAATACCACCGGAGAGGAAAATCCCACAAGAGCAACATCTACAGGCAGAAATCCGTCTGGGGGAATTCAAGATGCGGATCGATAAATTGGAGCAGAGGCTCAAGGCCCACGTGATTGGACAAGACGAAGCAATCAACCAAGTCGGCCAGGCAATTCGCCGGTCCCAAACCGGCGCCAGAAACCCGAACCGTCCCCTCGCGAGCTTCCTCTTCGACGGTGCTTCCGGCGTCGGGAAAACAAAGCTCGCCCAAGCCGTAGCCATCGAATTCTATGGATACCAAGGGTCCGAATTCTATGGATACGAAGGGTCTCTAGCTCGTGTCGACATGGGCGGGTTCATGGCGGAAAAACAATTTCTCTCCCTTTTCACCGGTCCAATTAGTCGGAATCGCGGCAAAGTCATCCTGTTTTGCGGAATCGAGAAAGCGCCTCCAGCCATCGCCAGGTCGATTCTCCAAATCATCGACTGTGGAGAGTTTGAATTTCCCTGGAACGAGGAGGACGGGGTGAATTTAAGTTTTCCGAGCACATTACCTCGGACTGCTGATTTCAAGAAACGCCGTCATGATCATGACTTCTAATATCGGCCATCGCCACGTAAGTCAACGCCTCGCAGATTCGGATGTGAGGCAGGGGATCTCGCGGGACCTGACAGGGATTTTCAGAGCGCAGCTGCTGTGCCGAATCGACGAGATCGTGCTGTTCGGGATGCTGGCGAAGGAGGATCTGATGAGGATGGTTGAGGTTATGGTGAGGGAGCTGGCGGACAGGATGAAGAAGTCGAAGTCGATCGGAGTGGAGGTGACGGATGAGTTGAAGAACAGGGTGATAACAGTAGGTCGCGGTGCGAAGGAATTGAAGTGGGCGTTTTCCCGGCTGGTTGAAGATCCGTTGGCGGATCGTTTCTTGAAAGACAATCTCCATTCAGGATCTTCTGTTACCGTCGGGTACGATACTTTTTACGAGCCTCTGTTTACGTCTCCTGCATCTGCTTCAGGAATCTGACTGGAGAATTTGGTTGGGGCTGTTGGTCGAAATGATCCTTTTTGTCATGTCTTTGTTTAAGTCTCCTGCGTCACCAGCACAAATAGGATGACAAACAATGAAAACAAATGATTTACTGATAGCAACTTACTATGAATGCAGGAACATCTGAAAGTAGACTTGACCTTACAATACATGAGCATAAAAAAAGGTAGGAAGGAAATGAAATAAAGTATTCATAACCCTATTTATTTATTAATTATTACACGTGGCAATGGAACTGCTAATACTTCCTCCTCGCCATGGTTGCATACAAAACCCACATCTCTCATTCTCCTGTTCAAATCTGCTTACTGATCGAGAGAGCAAAAAGAAGGAAGCTAACTCTCTTTCTTGGGACCTACTCCAGCAAGATCCCCAATCTCCATAATAATCAATCACCTTCTCGTCGTTACAGATACTAAATGCAGAAAAACTCAGTTTCACAAATCCCATGCTCTATGCACACTGCGAATTTAACTTAAAATTCGCTACTCGGCCTCTAAACAACAAGCACACTAGGCAGATGGCAGATCAGATTTCCAGCCGAATGATTGATTTACTCCTCTTCGAAATCTATTAAAGCGAATGAGAAGGGGATGAAGCTGTAACCGTCTCCCTCGTAGAACTTGTTCTGGAACTCGACCCAGTGGAGACGAAGGGCATGGAGGAAAGCGCTCAAAGTTTCCATCACTAGCAACACGCCGACAGTTGCAAAGACGAAGACAATGATGCCGATGATCAGGATAAAAACATTGTTGAACCTGCAAGTGAGGACAGATTGTCAAGAGATCATATTATTTCATGGTTAAAGCTCAAGCCGACGAATCAAGTGGTGGTGGCATGACATACCCCCAGGCGAGAAGCAAGACTTTCTCGTAGAATACACTGGACAGTTCCGAGTGTGCAAGACTGCAGACAGGGAGATACACGTAGGACGTCAGAGGATCTTAACTAAAAAGGTCCGATCATTTAAAATTATGCATGTGCACGAGACACCAAATTTAAGTCTGTCGAAGAGTGTGTTGAAGAGATGATAGATTTGATTTTGAGAGAATGCGAACCTGAGAGCCCATAATCGAAGGTAAGAAGCTGTGTTGGAGACTGCTCCAAGAACAAACTCGATCGTGTGGATCATCTGATGAACAAAGACTTCACTGAATTCGAATTCCCCGTGACCACCATGTGAACCATCATGGGCTGCTTCCAACTCAGCAGATTCATCAGTGCTAGGAAGTGGAGCATATGATTGGCCTTGGTGTGTCTGAAGAAGAAAACATAATAATTAGGAGAGAAAAATACAAAGAACAAACAATCCAAATACCCCGGATATGGTTCAAGCTTAGCGACTTTGGTAATTTGAGGTTTGTTTGTTTTACCTTCTCGTACTCCCTCTTCAAAAGAAAAGGCTTCGGGAAGAGCATCCACGGCACAGCGACAAGGGCCAACAACAGTAAAACCATCTGATGACATAAGAGCAAACCAAAAACTATTCATCCTTCATCTTCCTGTCACATGGATGATATCTGTGGAAAGGTAATGAGAACAGCTAGCCAAACCTGAGTATTTTTTTGTCCTGGGAAAAGTTGGTTTTCACCTAGCTCGTCAGTTGGACTCAGAAACATGTATATCATGACGTGATATAAGTCTGCTTGAGAACCAGATACCCACTTCATGATGATGAGAACAGATAAGTACCCGAACAAACTATTAAAGAATATCATCTGGGGAATGAATTGAAACCTGGACAAGCACAGAAAGAGGCAACCTTTCAGCAGTTAGAAGACATAGATAGAAATACTCCACAGCCTAGAAAAGTTGCAAGGCAGATGGCATACCAGATGTTTAAGCTACTTTTAAAGTAGATTGCATTGACGTAACTCATTATGATCCCGAGATTCATCTGGGCAACCCCAAGAAGGATTGACATTTTCATTTTCAGTGAATTGAGAAAGGGAAGCTCACTGCGTGTACCATGCCATGCTGGGTCCACACCAAATGGGTAAGTATCGCGCACCTTGATCAGCCCAATTGTAGTGGAATCCCTGGGAAATGAGCACAATAGTATATCATACCAGGCACTTGTATATATACTCGGTAAGATTTTCAATAATCCTACATAAGCAATTATCAGAAGGTCCAAGAGAAGTACTCGCAAGAGGGATCACGGCACCCATAAGCAGAGGGAGCGAATAATGGGAAGGGTATTGAGAAGAATTCATTGTAGATCAGACCAGTGTAAATGGAGAACAGTGACATCATCAATATAGTATAACGACCACCAAATGCCATTGCCGTGATATCTCCAAGTTTCTGTTGTCCACGAGAATTGCAGGTTTCATCAGATCCAAATTAGAATAATAATAATCAAGACCGTGAAATTTGAATTCTAGGCCAAAGGCTTGAAACAATTTCTAATTTGCAAGAAAAATTAAGTTGGTGAAAAAATGTCTCTTTTGGCTTGGGCTATATGTTGGCGAGGAAAAAGACAGAGACTTGAACAAGAGGAGAGGACTGTAAGAGAATTGTCAAGCAGATCATAAGTTTTTTTTTCTTCCAAAATTCAATAAGCAGCCACCTACCTGGCTGGAAAGTTTCTTTTCCCTTGCTACCAACACTAATGTTGCAAGCAACAAGCATATTCCATGACCCCAATCACCAAACATGACTGCAAACAGAAAGGGGAATGTGACAATAGTGTATACTGCTGGATTTGCCTCCCGATACTTTGCCACCCTACAAAGTTATATAAAGACCGATTAGCCTTCTTCAAATAACACAGAGATAGAAAATGTTAAGTAAGAAGAATTCATGTAAGCATGAAAATGCAGTTCTTGGCAACCAATACGGGGTTTCTTCCACACCGAATCAGGAGGCATTTTATTCGGGTCACATCTACTGATGATTTTCCTAGCAAATGTTGGACTTGCCATTATAAGTGGAATGACATACAAACAAGAAGACTAACCACAGGACTTAAGAATTTCCTCAGGCCAATCTAACTTAGAAATATAAGGTAAACTCACCCATACGCACTAACAATTTCTTGGAAGGCAGAAGTGAATTTGTTAGTTTGGAAGTAAGTAGGTGGTGCTTCCTTTGTATCCAAGAGCTGGAAAATGGATCCAACCTGAGAATTTGAATCAATTGAAGCCCGGTGCAAGGCATCCTGGATCTGCAAAGAAATCAACACATTCATGGAAACTTGTTATTCTTTTGTCACATCAAAACTTGCAAAACTGAGTGGGGCAAAAGCCTACAGAACTTATAAACATGTCTTACCTGCTTACTGGCAAACACAGGACTCCATCCTTCACCAACAAGACATTTTTTAGTCACATCAAGACTGAGCGTGTTTAGAACATGATAGACGGATTTTTCCTTCTTAACCTTCAGATGTTCACAAATACTTTTAATTAGTGACCCAAAACAGTCCAAGATAAAAGTTAACAATCATCATTGAAGAACAAAAAAATATAAACATACAGCCGATATAACTCGTTCTAAAAAACAAATGCACCGAGAGACAAACAAATAGTGAAGTTATTTGGCCAAGACACTACCAATGAGTTCCACTGCTCGTATCTTTCTCCAATTGTCTTCAGCAAACTGTTTCTCTGAAGCGAACCAGCATCTATGGTGGTCTTCATCTCTGTCAGCCTTCCTGAGACCTAAGGGTAAGAGTAAAGTAATCATAGGCATATTGAACGTACAAATCAAATGAACAAAAGCATCAGCTTTCAGAAGGAACAGCTCAGGCAGTAGGCTCAAGACCGGGGAGTTATAACCATAGTAAACGAAGTAGATGATAACTTTTATCTTTGGATGATCAAATAGTACTAAATGAATCATATTGACAAAGAAAATAACTTCCAGCAGGAAAAGTCTGGCAGTCCTCACAAGACTAGGGAATATAGCATACTTCATTCCTCAATTATCCTATTGGGGAAAAATTCCTATGTGAGTGAATAGCCATAACTTCAGCAGTCCAGTGACTCGTACCTGGGTAATCATTTGGCCTTGCTTGTTCGCATCCTCTGAGAAAGGATAACGATTAGCACCAAAGGCGTCACATATTTTCAGTATTTTAGTCTTTGCTCTTTCTCCGGAATAGAAAATAACAAAAACGTTCTTCTCCACCTACATATCGACATTCATAAGTTAGAAGCAAAGAAGAAAAACATCTGAAAGAATTTTCTACACAATTCTCTCCACAAACACAAGTTGCTAGTAATAAATGAAAAGGGAGAAATGGAAACACGCTATGCATATTAACTTTAATATAAACAACAAATTCAGTGAGATTTCAGCTGACCAAGAAAGTTAGATTACAGGAACACAAGAGTCAAACTTGTAGGAACGAAAATTTAGTTAAGTAGATTAAACCTTCTCTCCAGAAACAGGATCAGTGACAGGTTCCTCAATAGCAGCCTGCTTGAGGAATACATTTCCCCTTGTAGCACGAAAGATAATCCTCTCAAATGCCAATGACTTTTCTTTGGAAACTAAGCCAGTGATAAACCCCAGCTTCACTTGCTTTGATGAATCAGCTGATATTTCCTATAAAATGACCAATTGACCAATCAAGGTGATATTCTGCTAATGAAAATATGTCAATAGTTGAAGCTAGCATAACAAACAGCTGCCTTTAATATTACCTGGTCCAATAAGGGGGTCTCTAATGATCCTTCCCCAGATTGACGAGATCCAATTTCCCTCTGATGCGCAGCTGCACTGATATGAGCTGAAGAAAAAAATTCACCTGCCTGAAAATAAACATTATTAGCTTACCGCATGCCCAAGAAGGTGAAGGAAAAAACTTTAAAAATTCCCTCTAGAAATTATGCAAATGCAAGAAATGATAGCATTCGCGGCCCAGAGGGGGGAAAGTCAGGCATTTCTTCACATGCTGTTTGTGAAAGTTAGATATTAGATATAATCATATAATCATCAATATAAGCTTACATTATGCTTTTTGAGCCTACGTCAACCACTGACGCAACTTAAAGGTTACTTTACCATGAAAATAAATTTACAAATTTCCTCAACGGCCATGTCACAAATAATGTCGAAAAGGCTAGTCTACAACTAAACTCAGAAATAGAGCCACAAAGTGTCCATTAGTTCTTTATCTTTACATAAGAATAACCAATCTACCCATTTCATTCACTACTTTTCACCATAAGATATCAGGAATGCAAGCAAGCCATTGATAGACAGCAACAGCATGTGTCTACTCGAACCATAAATTATTATTTCAGGAGAGCTTACTCCCAGTCCTCTTTATTCAATAAATCCAAATGCATTCTCTAAGTACTTGTAAGAGGGGTTGTATAAAAAAAGTGAATACTGAAAACTCGCAAACTACAGATCCTGGAGATAGAAGGAGGAGCAAGGTAACCTTCCGGAGGACAAGTGTATATTCCACAAGTTCATTATAAGCACGCTGCAATTTTTCGTCATTTGCATTCACTTCAACCAGCTCTGCCTCAAGTTCCCCAAGTTTGAACTACAACGTGCGAAAGATGACTGAAACAGTAAGCATCTGACATAATCAATCCCCTTCCTGAAAGTGTATATCGTAGCTTACCTCTAAGTCATCCATGTTGATGTCAGCTTGGGGGTCAGGTATCTTCGACGGCTCAACACCTGCCTTCTCCATTTGCTCCTTGAAGAAGCGCAACTTCCGAGCCATCTCTCCGCATTTTTTAATCTTAAAAGAATAAAAGCTTTCTTCAGTCAGAAAACTTGCCATCTCTCCACATTTTTAGAGGATTGTGCTCGCAGCCGATGAAGCCATAAAATAAATATATGCGCAGAACATTTTTGCAATGATACAGCATTGGGTAAATGTCAAGCCTCTCTTTAAGCTTCCCCACATGACATAGTAACACTTGATTGCAAATGAGTCTTGACGAAACCAATAATATATTTCTAACGATTCAAATATAATCCGCTAACTAGCTCGTTTAAACTGCCAATCAATCAACAGAAGTCACCAATCAATCAAGACAATAAGGTAAGCAAAGAACTTTTTTTTACCTGAGCAGCATAAGTTCTTTGAAAGGGGCTCTTCTCAGAATTGAGCTGGAAACAACAAAAACAAAGACAATTAAGCAACATCATGAAAACCGAATTCGATTCCTTAATGCTCAATCAACCACACAACAAATCTTGACACCACCAGAAGCTCATCATCAATTTCCCTAGTGTTCAAAATAGTAACTAGAGGGAGGCAATCACAGTAAAACCCCGTAAAATCGGGAAAACAGAAGAGAATTTCAACTTCAACTCCCCAATTCAACACACCGCAGTTAGTAGTTCAGCTGCAGTAGAACATCATAGAGAGTTTACAGGGAAACCGGATAAGAGAGCGACAGGAAGAAAGAGAGTTGGAAGAAGTGGACGGACGTCTTTGAACTGAATGAGGCCGAGGTCGCCGAGATAGGAGACGGTGAGATGAGCGGACTCGATAGGGATAATGAGCTGAACCAAGTGCATCTCCTCGGACCGAAAGAGATCCATGGGAGGGCAGCACCCTCCTCCTTCGCCACGAGAATCCGCCATTGTTGTTTAGGAGATCACCGAATTCCCCCAATCGGAGATCGGCCGATCGAGTGGAGTCGAGAGCTCTGACAGGAGTAGGATTATAAAACTATATTCTAGCTCTCCCTGGTCTGGACCATAGCAAGTTAGCAACAGAGAAGCGCGGGGAGAGAGAGAGGGAAACGGGAGGGGGTGGGATCAGGTGACTAAGGGGGTCCTCTTAGTCACATGGCTAAGTGGATTAAAATATGGTACGGGAATGTTACGTATAAAATACGTACGGGTATTTTACTTCGTCTGTATGCTAATGTTACGTTTAATAGTACGTTAATTTTCATAAATATAGAAAAATTAATCATTTTAAAAATTAATAAATATATAAATAATAGTAAAGTTAGTAATTTAATTCATTAAATACGGATATTAAACGTGTTATACGGGTTTTATACGTGTTTAATACGGGAGCCATCAAATGAACGGACAAAAATGAAACGGCTTGACAATAATACGGATACGGAAGTTTTAAACGGATAAAGTACGTACGGGTACATATACGTGTATTAAACGGAGTATTTACTAACTATATTCTTAGCCACTCAACCTCATTAAAATCCAAGAGCTCCTATTAATCCTATTTAATGAAGGGTAATGTAGTAATTACATGTTTATTTAATTTTTAATTATAAAAAGAATAAAAAAATTAAGGGAAATGTCTATTTTTTACCCAAACCTTTTTCAGATTCTTTTATTTTAACCAAACCTATTGAATTCCTAAAAATTATCCAAACGTTAACTCTCCGTCAACTTTTCTGTTAGTAATGCTGACTAAGTATGACCATAATGAGTTGACTTCCTACGTGGCGGTCAGAATACCATCATTTACTATTTTTAATAAAAAGATTATAAAAAAACAAAACAAAATCCCACCTCTCACGTGGACGAAATAAGTAACGGTAACAGAATGAATGCCCAGACTTTGATAAATTATAATACGTTTGGATAATAAATAGAATTTCTATAGGTTTGGTTAAAATAAAAGAATCTGAAAAAAGTTTGGGTAAAAAATAGACATTGCCCAATTATTAACCCAGCGCCTGTGTCTTTGCGTCGCCTCCCTCCCCGTCCGGTTAATTGCGCCGTCTCCGGCCTCCCCTCCTCGTCGGTTGCGTCGTCTCCGACTTTCTGGGCGCGCGCCATTTTTCCATTCCAAAAAACATGGGCGCCATTATCACTATTCCATTCCCAAACATGGGCGCCATTATCACTATTCCATTCCCGCGAGAGAGAGATTTTCTGATCGGAAAATTTTTTCCGGCGAACATCGTCGCCGGAGAAAAATTTCCCGGCGACAGTGCTAATTTTGTAATGTTTGTATGTTTTGTTATTTTGTAATGTTTGTAAACTTTGTTATTTTTGTGCACCATGTTTGTAAACTTTGTCATTTTTGTGCACCATGTTCGTAATGATTTTTATGTCTAAAAAACACCCGGGTTGACTTTGGGAAGGAGCCCCTCTATATAGGGATGGAGCCTCCAAAGTCAACCCGGGTGTTTTTTCCCGTTCGTATGGATTGTCGGTCTAGTTTGTCATTTTTCTCCACCATGTTCGTACTGTTTGTATGTCTAAAAAACACCCGGGTTGACTTTGGGAAGAAGCCCCTCTATATAGGGATGGAGCCTCAAAAGTCAACCCGGTTGTTTTTTCTTTTTGTATGGTTTGTATTGTTTGTCGGTCTAGTTTGTATTGTTTGTACAGTTCATACGTTTGTAATGTTTGTAAATCTGTTTGTATGTTTTGTCGCTCTAGTTTGTACTGTTCGTATGTTTGTATGGTTTGTACTGATTGTAAATCCGGTTTGTATACTTCGTAATTTTCCATAATACCCAAACTACCTCTGTTATTAATTAAATAGCCCTTCCCACTTTTTAACCATTGGATTGAAGTGTCCAGATCTAAGGGCTGGGAGGAGCTTAGTCAAGTGACTAAGCACCCCCTTAGTCACCGGATCCGCACTCAAACGGGAGTGTCGTAATTGTTCTTCTTCGTCTTCTACTTAGCTAGCCCACCACAAGCTTCCACGTCGTCGTCTTCTTCTCCTCTGCTCTGGCTCTGGCTCTGGGCCTTTTCGCTAATGTTTTCACGTTATTGGGCCATCCCTGCTTTCACGTTATTGGGCCATTACTGGCTACTGAGCCACATCATCAATGGGCTTCTTCGGCCCGTCTGACAATTTTCACTAGGTTCAGTCCGGCTGACACTTTTCTCTCATTATCCTTTACGCTTTGTTTACGTAAAACTTCTGTTTCAAGAATTTTTGTTTTCAATAAGTTAAGATTCTAATTGCTATAAGCTTGCGTTTTTGCCTTCGAGAAAGTCATGACATATTTTACTTGTTGTTAACGTTATCTAAATTATAAATTAATCATTTGGAATTGAGTCTATGTAAAATATTTATGGTCACTCAAAATGCTTAGTAGTGGTCTAGGCACATATTGAAAAAATTTTGGTCATTAAATCACTCTTTAAAAAGCGAGGAAATATATGTACAGAGAGTAGCTAAGCCATAAATTGTTAAACTCTTAGCAGATAAAGTTATTCCAGCAACGACCTTAAAGGCTTAAACTAGTTATAAGAAGAGAAGGATTTCTGGTTAGAGGTGGCAATTTCAATCCAATCCACCAATCCAATCTATCAATACATTAAAAATATCCACCTAATCCAATCTATTTAAATCCAATCCATTTGATCCAAATTCAATTGGATTGGTGGATTCATGGATTAGATCCATGGATCATTGGCAAATTACGATTTAGTACCTATAATTTTTATTTTGTACATTTGGTACCTAAAATTTAATTTTGTATACGAAAAATATCATTGGAAAATTACGTTTTGGTACCTAAAACTTTTTGTTGTAACTTTTTAGTACCTAAACTTTTTACATTTTACATATTGGTCCTTGGTTGAGGATGTCATTTGGATTCATGGATAATCCACCAATCCACTTAATTCAATCCATGAATCCATGATCCTTGGATCCACCAATCCAATCCATCAATCCAATCCATTTGCCACCTCTATTTCTGGTTAATCACGGCACGTGATCGCACAAAAATTGTAATCCGTAACGGAAACGGCCCGATACGCCTACTCTTGGGCTCCCCTAGTTCGATCCGTTTATATAAATCAAGAGATAAGTTGGATCACTCCAAAGTCCAGACAGTTTCCTGGTCCAATAAGCCACTCGCTCCAAGCCCAAAATCCTTCCGTCTCTCGCTCAACGCCTCACGGGCCTCTGCAACAAAACCCTAGATCCAACCCCGGCGGAGATCGCCGGAGCTCGGCCTCCGAGCTGCGCCCCCTCTTACGATATCGTTTCCGAGTCTCCTCCATCTCCCCAGCAGGTAAAATCCCAAATCCCTAACCGTGATTTTCTTCTCGCGCTTCCCTTTTCTACGTGTTTGCTGTATGCTGAATCCATTGTTGTGCTGTCCTGGTTTCTTCGCGCTTTATACTGTTCGCATTCGTTGAATTTTCGCTCGGATTTTTCCCGCGGAATTGCTCTGGATTGAGAACTGAATGATTTTTCCGCCATGCGTTCCCGGGGAGCCCTTGTTGGCTTCTGCTCTGGTTTTCCGACTTGTCAGATTGGTTTCGGTGTTGCGATCTTTAGGGGCTTCTTTTGTCCTCGTCTCCCGGCCGTTTTGCTTCACCGGCGACTAATCTTTTTAGTACACTCTACTGTCAAGTTTTATGTAAGTAATTGTTCTCCTCTCCACTCTTAGACAGGCCGAAGTAGTAGCACAATATCCCTTCCATTGATCTTGCTCGATCTCTTTGGTGGTTCATTATGTGCTGAAATTTCTCATTGGTTTTCTTCGTGTTGCTTGATTGATTGGCCAGTGAATCAGTTTCTTTAGCAGAGAAGAAGATGGAAACCAACGGTCTCGTGAATCGCCTGTCTCATCTCCGCATCAACGATCCGCTCATCCTCAACGTCCAGCTCTTGCTCTTGCTCGAGCAACGCATCTCCCACCCTTTCACCTCCATGGCGAACGACGTCCTGTCAGCGGGAAGCGCCATCATCGACAAGATCCGCGACAACATAACGTACGTCAAGGCCTCAGGGATCCACGGGGAGGCACCACATCTGTTCCTCGACGACGACCAGTGCCAGTGGAACAGGACGTATCAGATGCTGGCATCTGCTTTGTATCAGAAGGAAGTCTTCTCCCACTTGCACACTGTCATTCCAGAGTACAGAGATGCTCCAACCGTGGAAGATTGGAGGCAGGTTGAAATCATCTGCGCGCTCTTGAACTCTCTCTCCATTGCAATGGGGAAATTGGTCGCCTCAGCCCCTTGCCCTCCCACCACCAGCACAATGTTCTACGAGGCATTGATGGTCCACTTGCAGATTGTCAGTTGTGCAGCAGCAGCAACAACAAATGGTGATCATCAGTTCCTCGGCAGCTTCATCGAACCGATGCAGGAAAAGATGGACAAGTACTGGAAGGAATGTGGGTTGGTTCTCGCGATTGCTGTCGTCATGGATCCTCGCTTCAAAATGCAGTTTGTGAAATTCAGCTTCCCCAAAATCTTCGGCAACGAGTCTTCTCACTACGTGAAGATGGTCGATGACGGGCTCCATGAGCTCTTTGCCGAGTACCTTGCGCTTTCTCCACCTCCATTCCCTGCTCCCAACGTTGATCGAGTGGGCGAGCACAACCAGCTGGCGGGGAGTATTTCGGGATACGGGCTGGCAGATTTCGATGTGTACATCATGGAGGCGACAACAAGCAAGCAGTTCAAGTCGGAGATGGACCAGTATCTGGACGAGGACCTCCAGGATCGGAGCTCGAATTTCGACGTGGTGGAATGGTGGAAACAGGAAAGTGTGAGGCTGAGGTACCCGACGCTGTCGAAGATGGCGAGGGATATATTGAGCATTCCTCTGTTTACTGCTTGACGGTGTCGGATCTTTCAAACCCTGCCTTGCAATTGGAGAACTAGGACTAGGATAATTTTTTTTTTATAGAATAGGACTTGATATTGCTACATGGTTTCTGTCAATTTTTACGTACTGATTCGCACAATTGAAATTGGTATTGCTTGTTTTTTAATTAGCCCCGTTCAGAGCACAGCTTTCGATCTATATAAAAAGTAGGAAAAATACTACACCGAGAACGAAAATTAGATTCCCCTTTCTAGCTAGTGACAACCCAGAAAAGGCTGTAGTCATGAACATCCACTGAATTAGTAGTAGAATTCCATTCTCCTTCTATACCCTCTTCACATTATCACCATGAACAGCCACAACTCCTTCAGTTTGCAGGGTTGCAATGGCGTTTCTCAGCTGAAAAGTACAAAGAAGACACATTATGGATCCATTAGTCTCTTATCTGATCTTCAATTGATAATTTGGGAGGGTCAGGGAATATATAGACAGCTTACATCATGAAGGTGGACTTCAAAAGCAGAGCTCTGCTTCTTTAGCTCCTCCAATATCTAAGTCGAAAGATACAGAAAACGAGCAAATTAAGTACGAGGGCACTAGGACGGTTTCAACTGGACAGGCTCAGAGTTCAGACTAGAATACTGACCTCCAATAATCGCATGGAGGGTCCTCCGAGCTGCAGCTTCTCCATTATTATGTTTCTAGTTGATATCACTAGATTTTCCCTCCTCATCCTTTCGCTAGCAGAGACTCCAGTTGTGATGAGATCCATGTCAATTGTCCCTACAGAAAGGTTGTCCAGAATTAGATGATCAACCTGGACATGGGCAAGAGTAGGGTTGTTTAGAGTCTTATTTGGAAGCTTACCTGTCGCATGATCGGTTGCTGACTGCTGCATAGCTACTTCGAGAAGCCGGAATGCCTCTGTTACATCATGCTTCTCCACAGTCTCTGAGAAGCGAATCCGAGCAAGAGCTTCACTAATCCGTATCAAGCTTTCTATCTGTCTCGGTGTTGCTGTTATCACCTGAAAGGATAATTATTCCACACACAACATGAAATGCTATACAAAGAAGGGGGGAAATGTCATAATTGATCAGTCACATAGTAGATTTAATAATTTCAACAACATGCCTTTTTACTACTGCCGGGGAAGTTGCCTCTCCTTCTCATTTCAACATAGCCACGTGTCAACTCCTCTGCTGCTTCATCAGACAACTGAGGGTTAATGTGATTGCGAGCATAGCTCAAGTATGCAGTTAGTGTAGCAATGTCCAACACATCCTGCTGTGCTAACTGCAAGTCATGGAGAGAAAAAATCACTTTTTAAGATGAAACAAAAAAAAATGACACTACATATGAATAAGCAGTTACTTAGGCTTTTGCAACAGACAAAGAGACCTCAGGATCTTCAAAGTGCAAAGAAACAATATGTCTTGCTAGATGCTTGTCTGTCTGCTCATCGGCCTTGTCAAGAATCAAATATATCAAATCGAACCTACCAAAAAAATGATTGTCTCAATGGTTAGCCTAATGATTACATCACTTCAATGTTATATATCTCAAGTGAATGTATAATCAAGGCCAAAAGAAACCCATATTTCCTTGAAAAGAAACAATGAATTCTTTTTACCTGGATAACAATGTGGGAGGCAAGTGTATGTTGTCAATGACGGATAGCCTGGGGTTATAACGAGAACCAATAGGATTGGCACATGCCAATACTGATGTTCTAGCATTAAGAGTAGCAATAATCCCAGCTTTTGCAATGGAAACAGTTTGTTGCTCCATCACCTGCGAGAAAATGAGAAAATAGATTGCTTCAAACATCATGCTTGACAGTGTAGCAGCAGATGAGCGCCAAATGATAACATGAGCTAATCTAACTGATCTGTCATTGTGATGCTTTTATGCTATCGTGCGCTTCTGTGAAAATGAAGTGGTCTTCCAAAGATTGGGGGAATAATGTGAGAAACAACTGAATGTGCAGTTCCTATGCTTGTTAAGGGTTTATTTAGTTACAAAAGAAAAAGCATCTGGTTTGAAGCATTAGAAAATGGAACCAGACCTCATGTAGCATGCTTCTGGCATTTTCAGACATTTTGTCAAATTCATCAATACAACAGATGCCTCTGTCACTCAGAACAAGAGCTCCACTCTCCAGAACCTGCAAGTTTTCAAATGGTCATAAATATGCTTCCATAACTAGTTGAATAGAAGTAGGCACGACATGTTAAGAAAAGAAGGGCTATACCGTTTCTTTTGTTTCAGGATCTCTGCTGACATAAGCAGTCAATCCAACAGCGGAGCTTCCCCTTCCACTGGTGTAAATACCACGAGGTGATAGCTTGTGTATGTACTGGAGCAACTGAGACTTGCTGGTTCCGGGATCACCAACCAGAAGGATGTTAATATCACCACGGAAGCTGGCGCCAGAAGGTAATTTGAGAGCATTTCCACCAAAGAGCTAAATTTTGGTTCATAAAGTTACAGGGATTAGTGCAGGAAGTTCAACAGATTCTCGCACTAAAAGAACTTCACAAAGCCAAACGTAGAAGATACCTGGCAAAGAAGCCCCCTTTTAACATCATCTAACTCCCAAATGTTTGGTGCCAAAGACCTAGTTAGTCTGTCATATATATCAGGAAGCTTTGACAGCTCTCTCAACCGCTCTATCTACAATTTAAAAAAAGAATGACCCTGAAATCGAATAAATATAAAATAGGAAATCTCCATTTACATACTGAAATAACAAAGCCTACGATACCTTAGCTTCGTCAAATTCGACATCTTCGTCATGCTTCTGGGTACTACTATCAATTTCCATGGCATCCTCTGCCACCATTCTTGACTTGTCAGTTTTCTTGATATGAAGGCAGTCAATGTATGTCTGAAATCACATTAAAAAATAGTATGCCAGTTAGACAACCACATCCCTGAAGAAAAATTCACTTGCTAAAGCAGGACAGGAAGTTTACACCATGCCTTGAATAGTGACTTCACAGTTCTCTGAGTGGGTCCAAGCCTGACACTCATTGCCCGATAAATTCCAGTCACCTATCAAGAAATGAACCAAATCCATCAGTCAAATTATGGAATGAGAGATAAATCTAGCAATATCATGATATTTCCAGGAGGTGCAGTTGATTCTTTTTGCTCACCTCAACTCTGTCACCTGGCTTTCCAGCATCCACCAGCTTGTCATGCATCAACAGACTCACCGTATGTGGTGTTCCACCCTCAGGGATCTCATCAGGTGTCTCCTGGAGTCTCACGATTTGCTTATCAGCGAACCTGATGTGAGACCAATTGTAAGAACATCAATAAAGATAATCAATTTATCAGGATTTACACTAGACATGGGTTCTTCATGTAGATTATTACACAATCTAAACCAAAAACAAAAATTACCTGCATCGGTTGTGTACTAGTGTCATAGAATTCTTTGCCTGACATTCTTGCTTTAGGCACAATGTAGGTTCACTTATACGTCCTGTACATACAAATAATAGAATTGAATTTGCATTATACAAACAGCATGCATTTATTTATACACAAAGCAATTAGCAGATCGAGACCTCTTACCTCTATCCACAACAATGGGGTCAGAGAAGTAACCGCACACAAGGCATCTAAATGTTGCCTCCCTAATTTCTGGAATAATAGCACTGCACCGAATCACCATTCCCTTGAGTGACACCATCTTCTCAATGTCTGAAAAGATTGCACCAACATTAGTCAAATTTTCAAATGAGCAGGAGCCAAAGAACAACATAAAGCAAGTCACTCAGACACAACAGACACCACATTGCATACCACATCTTCACTGAAACCACTAAAACCGGCCAAATCACTAACAAAAGACAAAGACTCGCGCAACCCATTCAACATAGTCAATTCAGAGTTGAACAAAGCCAAAGTGAAACTAACAAATTAGCACACAAAGAAAAGGATAACATGTGAAAACTCACCAGAAGGGTTGAGATTTCTCATAGTAGTAGAGCCCTTCAGATTAAAGATCCTGACTTGGACATGCTTCTCAAACAGCGGGTTGATCTGGCTCACCATATCCATCAGAACAATATCGAAGATAGCCAAAACCTCAAGAGGGTACCTAACCATCTTTCCATACAGTTCAGGATTATAATCAAACACATCGTGTGCATCAACATCGAGCCACTCCCCTTCAATCTCCAACACCCGGTGAATCGCCTTCATGTACTTCCCATCCTCATAAATCTCAGCTCCCTGACTCTGAGCATCCCTAAAATTCTTCAGAAACATCTGAATGGCGCTCTTCACTTCCTGCACGCTGATATTGGTGCCCCACACGAACGTGGGAGCGGCCTCGTCCATGTCATCTCCGGCTTCCGAAGACGGCGCACCCTCCGAAGTGGAGGAGGGCGTCGGCGGACGCCCGCCATGACCGCGGCGGGAGTTCGATGCGTTGTGGAGTGGAGTTGGGGTCGACTCCGAACCGGCAAAGCGGGGGTGGTTATTGGGATGCGGAGGAGTGTCGTAGGCCGGAGTTGCAGCCGATCTGCCTCTCCCTCGTTTATTCCGGCGAGACGTACCTGCTGCGGGGGAAGAAATTGTGTCTCCGATTGGACTCGAGAAGGCAGAATCATCCGGGGAAGAAGGTGCTGCGGATTAGGTCCAACGAGAAGCAAGTTATAATACAATCAGCTTACTTCAAATCAAAGATGGAAGAACTTCGAAAATGCAGAAAAAATCCAAGCAGAAGGAAGAAGGAAATTACTATTGTTGAAGCGAGCTGGGGAAGAGTCGGAAGCCATGGCTGCGGAGAGACGGCGGAGGGAGGCAACTGGAAGCGTAACGAAGGGAAATGAGTGAAGAGTACTGCCTATTTGGTCCGGGGAACGGAGTCTCTGGCGGGAAACGGGTGATTTTCGCGCCAGTTTACACGGGCTTTTAGTCAAGGTGTAGTCGTCGGGCTGTATACAATGTGGACTACTCGGTGGGCCGCTAAACTTGTTGGGCCCTTCAATGCTGCATTGGGCCTCCGTTATCCTTTCCAAGTCCAGCTAGACAACGGCTTTTTTGTGGTTTTCTATCTTTTCGGTCCCTCTATTTTGCCTCGACTACAAAATACACCAATCAACTTATACTACGCTTTAAAACCCAAAAAAAAATTCTCTTCTTCTTTTGGTTCTGAACTTTTTTCCAGTTTATCAATTAAGGCGATTGCCCCTTTAAGAAAGGGAAGTGACCATGGCTAACTCCAACAGCTAAGTAGAACAGATTCATAGCATTAAACTAACAGAAAAGGGGAACATTACAGGCTCTCCATCACAAAGATTGGTCCTTAAACATAAGGATTGTTTACAACAAATGCAATATATATAGCACTACAATGGTCCTTCAATATTTTATGGCTAAGTGAACAATATTACGAGGTGATTTGGCTTTGATTAATAGAGCAGTTAATTTGTCCAAAAGCTCTAACCCGACCATCATATCAAGAATCAATCTATCTAGCAATACATTATCCCTGATGTATTATGTTTATGTTATGATTTACAGGAGACACCTGTCTGTTGGCCGGGTGCTCAACTCGGATCCTCCTGTGGGATTAACTTCTTTCAAAACTAGCAAGTCATGGGCTCGAGCAGAGGATCTTATGTCCCCGAATCTATGACTGTTGTAGATCGCTACGTGCAACTAGTGAGACACGTTTTTTAACACATTTTTCATTGAGCAATGCTAGTGTTGCCTCATTCGTTTTTAATATTTTGTTTTGTGGTGATGCAAGTGGTCGATCTGCTAAATATGGGAGTGTCATTGCGTGAAATACAATCAATGATTGGTGGATAAATAACGGGGATACAAGGCCAACCCTAATGATTATGGCCGTAGGCGTGATTGCGTAAAATACAATCAAGCATATGCATGAGTATATGTTTCGAGTTCGTTCAAACTCGTCGTATTGGTCATTCGTGCGCGCGCGTAAAACAATTGTTAGTATCATTGAGATTGTATAACATGGAAACTATGGAATAACTTCGCGGTTTGATGTCGCGATCATGTTCATATACTATATTTATCTTGATAATCAGAGTTTAACAAAATGTCTGAGGAATGAATGTATTAATATATCATTTCCTCACAAAAATATATGACACGAGCTTGCTAGAATGTATGTACTAAAAATTTCGATCTCGAACTATGAAGAGTGCTTATGCGCGTTGAAACGGGTTTAAGTTTAGTATAATTAAGTCGTCATCGCACAAAGTACTTTTAATTTATACACAAGTTTACACTAGTTTAAAAAGACATGCACGTCGTATTGTGTGTTTTAGTAGTCAAGTTAAATATTGGATCCATGTTTGCTTGCACACAACCATATATCTGCCACAAAAGTTTATCATAGCATACGATTATAGTAAATTAGTTCATTAATCTCGATTAGTTAAGTAATTTGAGAAAAATAAAGAAGCTAAAAACAGATCTTGTAATTAGCAATTCCATATCATAACAATCCCAATACAATTATAGTTTTAGTATGTTTTTCATTTGTAGTCGTTGGTTTTCGTGTTTACGATACTACAATTCCAATACAAATTACTATTCATGATTAGCATGCTACATTGATGCTACCCCTTTATAAAGTTGGCACAATATCATATTCAGATTTCTCACGCACGTAGAGATGCCAATTAGTCGGGTTGGGTCATATTTCTCTAAATCCAAATCCAATACGGTACCCATAAGTTTATGAACATAACCATACATTATTTCTTCGAACACCCACATTGTAAAATTATCCACACAAAAAAATCCTATAAACATATCTCCATAAATAGTCCTAACAAGTCCTAACAAGTAACATCCGTAAATTATCTATATGTTTATGGTTAAATTGCCACAAAAACGAATAGTATCCATAGATTATTCATATTATTTCGGTGATGCACAAAATAATTTCGGTTTGCTTTATGGTTGTGGGTCGGGTGGAAAACAAGCTGGATTTCGACAAAATAAAAACTCGATCCAGCTCGTCAATTTACAAAATGGATGTAACCCTCACCAACCCAAATCATAAAAGTTGAGTTTTATCTACCTTAACCGAGTTGGATCGAGTTGAATACTCATGAGTCCGAGACTCCGAGTTCAGTTGTCATCACTAGTTCACTACCCAAACCCATTCTTAGAGAGCCCTGCCCTGGCCATTAGAGTTCGGCCTTTGGGCTTTACAAAGAAAGGCCCAGCCCAACCTAAGTAGCCTTTAAAAATTCGCATATATTTTATAAATACAACAATTACCCGAAAAAGCAAATAATAAAGAAATACTCAGGCGTGTCCGGGAAGCCAGGCATCAGCACACGTGTCGTTACTTAATTGGGGAAACCACGTGTGCCAGTAGAACCGCATCTCTGCGAATTTGATACCACCATATCTCCGGTACGTGCGACGGAGAACCAGCCACAAGAAAGAGAAAGAAAAACAGAGTAAATACTGGAGAAAGGAAACCGAGCGACTCACTCAACCCATTTTCACCAGAAAAAAGTCATATCTTCCCGTGACAGCAAAAAAAAAACCCAAAGAAAATCCCACCGGCAAAAAAAATGGCCATGAAATCCGCCACCGCTTCCTCCTCCTTCTCCTTCCTCCGATCCGTCTTCCCCGGAACCGTCACCGTGGAGCCGATCGAAGACGCGGTGGTGGTGGTGGACGCATCCGCCGCCGACCTTTCCTCGTACTGGGAGTTCATCAACGCGTCCGATGCCGATTCCAGCGACACCGAGTCGCTTCTCAGCGATGAGAACGGATTCGTCTCCTTGCACGACTCGTCCGCGCCGCCCCCGTCTCTCCCTGCGCTGCTGATCGCCGCCGCTGCTCCGGAATCTATTGAGAAAGACGACCAAGAAGAAGAAGGAGAAGCGGTGGGTTGTGGTTTGATTGTTGCTGCTACCGGGGATCTCGGTCGAGCTTTTGTGGAGAGACGGGTTTATGATCTGTACGGCGGGCGTTTGTACGGAGAGGAAGAGGTGGAGGAGGAGGAAGAAGAGGAGGAGGAGGAGGAGTACGACGAGCTGGCGGCGTGGAACTTGAGCGGGAAGCTGGCGGGGAAGCAGAGGATGAGGAAAGTGGGGAAGAAGGGTTGCCAGAACAAGATCAGCAACGCCAAGCGCAATCCCTACAGCTACGTCAAGAGAGGGTGCGCTTATGGGAAGCACAAAGCTTGAAGAAACCGTAAGGAAAACAGTGGCAACCAGATCGGAAGGTAACAATTTGTGGGGGAAACGGGGAAGGAACGATCTTTTTTTTCTTCTTCTTATTGTCCTTTTTCTTTTTTTCCGATGTGAATTCTGCAAATTCGTGAATTTTTAGGGTTCGGCTCCTGGTAGTTTGATTTTTAGGGATTGCAAATGTAAATTGGGGGGTTAGTAGGAATGTGTTCAGTTGGGTTGGTTGCTACAGTTCCTGAATTTGACTGGGTGGAAAACTGTAGCTATGGGTTGGATGGATGGTTGAATTTGGAAGAATCATCCTTTGTACATATGTCATGAGGATCTGGGTAGTGAATTGAATTCTTTTTCCTGATTTCTGTGAATCAGCTGATTGTCTGTTCTTCAGTATTGGGGAAATCAACCTTTTTCTGCAATCTAAATAGTCTATTAATCCTGAACTATTCTTAAAGGCCATACCTTTCTCGGCCTTTTGGCAAAGAGATCAAGTGTAGTATCTGTTCTTGAAAGGACATTGAAGAACACGGAGTGGTGTGTATACTCTACGTAGCTATGTACATATGTTTCTCTGCAACTATTCTGTGCTTGAGGAAACTGTAGATAAGCCTCTAATACTCTGATGTGTGCTTTTCTTTCTTAGATGATGCTTCAAACATGTGCTTTTTACTTTCTCCATGAGCTCAAGGGCTTGGGGTGTTCCTTGAAGTTTAGCTTTCCCGTTCTAGATTCAGCAATCATAGTTTCTAGGCATTCTTCACTAGAAGGAATTGTTATCCCCTTCCTTAGCTTAGCTTCCTAAATTTTCAATCTTGCAGAACTGCCGCGACCCTGATTCCTACAAATTGAACTATGATCTAGCCGTCCAAAATACCTTATTGTTGCTTGGAACAGTGATGAAACAGAGAAACCAAACTGCGATGAGAACACAGAATACCTTCTCTGGGATTCTACCAACGAGGTTGGGGAAGCCGCATTGATTCTCCATGCTTGAAGCCAGGACAGTGTTCGTGAGAGAGATGCTGAAAGGGATGGCAATGGGTAGGGTCGGGTGCGGGTTTACCCTATACCAACTCCTAACCCGCCGGGTAGAGCCTTCTAAAATACCCGATCAAATAACTACCGGGTATGAAAATTATATATAACCATACCCTACCCACCGGGTAACCACGGGTATTCGGGTAACCATGGGTACGAATTCTAAACTATGAACTTATACACATATATGCACATACATACTATTGTCCATTAAAAATTCTCAATACTTGTAACTTTTCTAGTTTCAACAATCCACACAAATAAAAATAGCAAACACATAATAATTGTTCTTGCTTCTACAATCCACACAAACATAAATCGTCTACATCTTCATCATCAATAATGGTAGCTAAACTCAATTTCTCAAACTAATCTAAATTTCTCAAGGGAAATTGACCCTTTGGTTAGCGGGGCAGGTATAACGGGGCGGGTATTATCGATTACCATACCCGTACCCTACCCTTTATTTTGAAACCGGGTATTACCCGTACCCGCCCCTTAACCCGTCAAAGCGGGTGATTACCCTCGTTGACCGGTTACGGTCGGGTAGGGTACCCATGATTACGGATTGGATTGACATCCCTATGCTGAACGCCTACAACTACAAGCAGAAAACGGAATACTCCAGCTTCTCATTGCAATCGACAAGCCGAAATAGCAACCAGACAAAGCTAGTTTGATACGAAGCTTGGGCCTAAGGCGATAGTCCACTCTTCTTCGGCTCACAAAGTAGAATGAAAACGGTAAGGCCCGTAAGCTTGGGCCTAAGGCGATACTCTATCGCACCCCCACCCACTTAATACCAAAGTTGGGCTTTTCAAGCTCCATAGACTTTTCAAGCTCTAACCAAGTTACAGTTTTCTATTAGTGAGTTAATTTATTTACTTTTTTAATTTTAATTATTGAATTATTTAGCATAATTAAGAACATTAAATATTAAGAAAAAAAGGAAGGTGTGTCCACCAATAACAAATTGACATGTGGCTGGTTGGAGCTTCTACGCCCAACCAAAGTTGGATCTAAGATTTTTTTTCCAAAAATCACAACACAGTCGTTGAACCCTTTTAAGGAAACGAGGGGTTTCCTTTCAATGACTTCCAATCCATGGTAACCGCCAGTCCCTTGCTTACCCCCAATGTAATAGACAACTGGAGCGTCTCTTCAGTAGTTCGACTCCAAACCTAAACGCGGTTGAAAACGCAATTAGGTAAGTGTCTCACCTTTAGTCATTTCAAATTCTATCTGGTATATGTTTGTTACGAGGCAAAATTCGACGTTCGAAACACCGACCATCTCAGAATTTGATGGCGATTTATAGAATTGTCACTTTTAACACTGTTTTTGCGAGAAGACAAGGTATACACACAAGTTCATGTGCGTGCATCCATTCATTCCATATCCCACACACAATAATGGTTCAAAAAGTGGCAATTTTTTTTCAATCAGAAGGTGGCATTAGATTGTTCCTTTCTTATCTTCCTACGCTTTTTCCCTCCATAAACAAATACTAGTATTAGGTGACAACTTGCAAAGGTAGATGTTTGGAGGGAGGGCAGGCTGACAAAAAAAGAAGGAAAGATCATCCAAATCCAGTTCATGAAAAAGCGTCATTTGTCGTCTAGCAGCACTGAATTGCTTCTCCACTCTTCTCCTGTCTCCAACTTGACTGGATTATAAAATAATACCTCATTACCTTCAATTCCCATCCACATCCGATCTAGGGTTTTCCAAATACATTATTCTTATACAGTGGGTTGAGCCGTTGAGGTTTTTCTCTCTCTCTTTTTTCCTATTGTTGTAGAAGTTTCAATTCTATTGGATGTCTATGAAGAAACGTTATCATGCCAGTATAAGATTTTTTGAATGGGTAAGACTTTCGTGCATTGTTTAGCCCCGTTGTCGATCGACGTTTTACGGTTGAACATTCATGTTTTTGTATCGTTCTTTTTAATTAATTATCAAAAGAAAGTGTTTAAATACAATAAATGGGTACCTCCCAATAACTCGAGTTACTGGGATCCGTTGGTTTATGACATGGAATCAGAGCCGTTTTTGTACTTAAGGTCGCGTGTTTAAGTCCTCAAAAACCCCAATATTAACTGTTGTCTTTGAAGCACATGATATGCCAGGCATGTGCAAACTTCAATTTCATGATGAATTGACTTTCGTTTTGTATCAGACGAAAATGTCAAATTTTCGCCCCAAATTCCAACGGCTACTAAGCCAACTCGGTGGAGCGACGTCGTCTCGGGAAAGGCCTCAGGTTCATTAGCTGCAACGGCGCCGTCTCGGACAGTGGAGAAGACTCACAGCGAAACGTCGCCGTAGCGTCCAACGTCTCTTTCAGCTTTCTGTTTTCTGTTCCCTCCAAACTCTGCATTTTCTGATTTCACAGACTGTAAACCCAGCCAAGTGCTGCTTGTCTTCTTTCGATCAATCTCTGTATATAAGCAACATTTCCATCAATGAGAAAACCAAGTTAGGGTTTCAATTGCACATCTTGTATTATTTTGAGGGGACGCATAAGAAACCTCTCCTAAAAAACTTAAATTATTGATACCGTAATTGGTTTATGACAATTATGTACCTGCATACCAAACATCTACACCCAGCCACCCACGGGTATTATGAACTTTTGTCTCACTCAAGGCAAGATCTGATGGTTGGTTGCATACTTGCATTGCAGTATATAACTTGGTAAAAACTTACTTGCTGCAATGAATGACCGCAGGCAGCAAGTTGCAGTTCTGTTCTCCATGTATACATGGCGCCCATGCTCGAGTAGTAAAAGCTCTGGAGCTAATCAAAACCCAATCTGAAGAATCAGATATTCTGATCAATATATATCACATAGAAAAAGTAAAATGTATTTCTAAATTTGACAAAAACCGAAATTAATTGAATGTGCATGCACTAAAAAAATGTCAGACCAACCCTTCTTGTATCTTTCCATTAGCTTAGCTACTTCGATCGGTTCTCAAAAGAAATAAGTATTTTGGTAAGAAGCGAAGAACGAGTCGAGTTTGGGATGTGAATCATTTTCGTCATCTAGCGCACAATCATCTATCATATGCAACTTTATCCTAATATATATATATATATATATGCATGTTCCCATAGTATATGATCGCTATATATACCCACATGCGTATTTGACTAGCTAGTACATGAATAAGCATATATTTAAACCATGTAAACCATTCTCAAAAATATCATTAAGGCATTGATCATACAACTAATAGTTGAATCCACAACTTCTTCATCACACAGTTATAGTCACACCTGGGGATGGCAACGAGTGGGCTGGGTTGGGTTTCTCTATATCCTCACCCAATTCAGCGGGTGCACCCATAAGAAAATCCACTAAAATATTTATTAGATTTTAGAATAAGAAATCCAACCCAACCTAATGGATACTCCCCCGAATGCATAGATACTCATGAATTCACGCGTATAACCGCAAAAATCTATCTCAATACCCATATCTTATAATATTATAAAAAGGAATTCTACAAATAGACCTCCATAAAAACTAACAAAATCTATATTATTAGGACTATATTCTCATTAAGACTGATAACACCCACAAACTACCTGTACTATCAAGGTCAGATGTACAAAACGACGTAGTTTTATTCTGTGTGGGCTGGATGGATGGAAAGCGGCTTGGGTTTTGACAAAAATCACCCCATTCCAATCCGCTGATTTCGAAGGTGGGTACATAAAATAGCGAACCAACCCATAAATCGCCAACATCAAATTATATTGTATCCATTTCTAGGGCTGGGAAACGGTGCGATCCCGTCCAGACCAGACCATATATATACGACTTATGGTTCAGACCGAGAGGCTAGAGTATAGATCACAGACTATAAGGTCCGGTCCCGACCACGCCTGTGCGATCTGGTCCATATAAACCACACTCAACGAAAAATGAACAATTTGTTTAGTCAACCAAACAAAAAGCTAAACCAAGGAAAAAATATATATATATTTTTTTTGTGTACTAAAACATTAATGTACTGAAATTCTTCACTCCAAACTTTACTCGTTGCCCATACCTTTCGACTTTCGTCCCTCCCCACCACTTTGCCCATAATTCACTACTCCCCCGCCTCTACCTCTTTTGTCCGTATCCCCTCCCTTCTTCATATATTTAACTATTCAAAGGCAAAGGCAAGTAGCTAGGTCGTCGGAGGAGAAATAATAATGAAGATCCGGTGCGACGTGTGCGAGAAAGCCGAAGCCAGCGTCTTCTGCAGCGCCGACGAGGCTGCCCTCTGCTCCACCTGCGACCGCCGCGTTCACCACGCCAACAAGCTCGCCGGCAAACACCTCCGCTTCTCCCTCCACCACCATTCCTCCAAAGACTCCCCCCCACTCTGCGATATCTGCCACGTAATTCCTTTTAACTCCCCTAGTTCCATACCTTATCGAGCAGGTCGAGTAATACTCGTGTGTGTACGGAACTGGTCAGAGTTGATATATTCTTATACGTTATATGAAAAAAAAAATATATATGTTGACATTTAACTCTGGTACAAGAACACTAAAAAAAAAAATACTTCATAAATGAATGGAAAATATAGTTACCAAACAAGGGCTTGGCCTAGTGATAATACCACTAGCCTGGAACGTCCGAATCTCTTAAGTAGTAGCTTAATGACAACAAAATGAAACATATACCACCCTTATTAAAAAAAAAATGAATGAGAAATAGAGTAGAAGGAACTGTTGAGTCTAAATATACATTTGAGAGATAAAAGTCTTCAAATTTTATTGAGATGAAAATATGATTTTAGAATGATCGAGAAACAAACAAATGTAGATATTAATGCAGATCATGATCAAACGGGTTGAGAACGAGACGGGGCGGAGCAAATAAAAAATAATACGCGTATCTCGTCTCACGCGTGCTACTACAGATCGAATAATACCCCTACCCAAAACAGAGCAGAGCACAGATCAGATCAGATCAAATCACACGGGTCGAATGAAAAATAGCCATTGCTAATTTACTATACTATAAATCATTTAATATTTTTACACTTCTGTTAAGAAAGTCCGTTTCATGTAACAGGAGAGAAGGGCGTTCCTGTTCTGCCGGGAAGACAGGGCGATACTCTGCCGTGAGTGCGACGTCCCGATCCACGCCGCCAACGAGCTGACCGGCAATCACAGCCGCTTTCTCTTGACCGGCGTCAAGCTCTCCGCTTTTTCGGCTCAACACGACCCCGCCGCCGGCAACGCGGCCAGCTGTGGTGCAAAAAGGAACAGGGCGTCCCCGCCGCCGCCGCCGGCTGTGCCACGTAATAATAATGAATTTTATTATTGTGGCAATAATAATAATTGGGAGGGAGGTTCTCCGGCGTCGTATAGTAGCTGTAGCGGCGGCGACACAACTACGGGTTCCGCTAGCAGCATATCGGAGTACTTGGAAAACCTGCCGGGTTGGCGGGTCGACGACTTTCTCGACCCGCCCGCTTCTCCCCTCTGGACGACGCCGTATATGTGACAGAGGATGTGACCTTGTTTTTTTTTTTACTGCGGAGAAGGTCAAACTAACTCAACGATGTTTGGACGGTGGAGATTTACTGTTTTCCGCTCTGTCTTGGATTTTTTTTTTTTACTTACTGCCACGTGTGGCGTGGGAGTGAAGTAATGGTTCCTTTTTCCAAGACCAGAGCCGTGGGAAGTGAGACGTAGTCGGGAGAAGAAAGGGTACTTGAACTGATCATTTCAAGGAAGCAAGTCCATGAGAGAGGAATTGCAGCAACTACAAAATGTGTGCATTGTAAATAGTTCTTGAGGTTTTTTCTCTTCCTTTGTTTCAGAGATCTACTGGCCATTTGTATTGTTCCTTTGTTTACTTTTTGCAGTCAAGTCCCTGTTTGGTGAACCGGGTTCGGTTTGCTTCTTTTTGTAACGGGTCGTCGTCTGATGTTTATCACCGTGTTTCTTGTTTCAAAATTTGACTATCTCGTTAAATAGTTTACACGCGTTTTCAATTATTTGATTTGTGAATGAGTAATTATGGGTTTCACTTCCATCTTGTATATCATTCGATTGCTTATCATACCACTAGTGATGTAGCACCAAAAGGAGGAATGGGCCAGGTATGGTGAATGGTGGGATACATGTGCACCAAAAAGCTAGGGAGAAGTCCTTCGAGTGAGTGTGAAACTTTGTTCTATCATAATGAATATGGAATTCCTTCAAGCTGATGTGACATCATTTTAATGTTGTGTAAGCCTCTCCAGTCTCCCCTTCATCATTTTTTTGTTTTTGTTTTTGTTTTGGCCTTATCCTAGGATGAATATATATGAAATTTTACGAATTTCACAAATAATTCAGCATTTTGGAGATTGAGGTGATCTGATCTGATCGGGGAGTGGCCGAGTGGAGCAGCATCACATTAAAGTGCACTCCGCCAAAATTTTGCAGGTATGGCAAAGTCAGACGGTTGATACGGAGCAAAATGGCAGCAACCCAGCGGCGGATCCAGGACACAGCGTAGCACTGGGCCGCATTTCATTAGAAAATTAGATATCGTAAAAAAATCAAAGTTTTTTTTTTTACAATATCAATTGTACACGTCAATCTTTTAAATTTTAATATAGTGAATTCATCAATAATAGAGTTTACATCCACATCAATAGCATACTCTCTTTAAGATAAAATAGTTAACCAATTGAAGAGAAATTCATCATTCATTTTGTTGCGCAAATGTCAACACAATCGACTAATCAATTCCTATTTTCAACAGCTGCTCAAGTAATTTTTTAAGAGAATAAACCTCATATTTCTTTTAGTCTTTTACGTTTTAGAATTTGAGGTTTCATTGTTTGCTTTTCTTTATATGAGAATTATTGGAGCTAGAATTTTCAGGCTAAATTTAGAGTTGTGATTTGAATATGTTCATCTTACTCATTTTCCTAATTACACACAATTTTATTATAAAATAACACTGGGCCAAATGGTTAAATCGATAAACTCATAAGAGCTATACTAGTTCCGGATCCAGGGGAGGGCTGGGCCGGGACCCGGGGTGGCCACCCCGTGGATCCGCCACTGCAGCAACCCATGCTGCAATGTAAGCGCACCCGCCAAAACAAGTCCATCCAATCCAAGCCCTCCAAGCCCCAAGGGCCGAAGGCCAAAGTCGTTTAGAGAGACGAAATATTAACGAGTATACTTCTCACTAAAGCTTTCATATGGACTGTTTTTATATACACAGGAAAAAAGAAGCTGGAAACACGACACGACAACCATTCTACTGCAAGTAGTTGGACACAACAGTCAACAGGAAAGAAAACCTCAAAACATGAGAAAAAAAGTCTTTCCTTGAACAAAGGCAATTCTCTCTGTCTCTCTCATAGTCTCATTGTTCTGTTACAGACACGGAGCCCTTTTTTTGTTTTGTACCTCAACCTTTAAATCAGAGTGTCTTATTTTTTACAGCCCTATAGGGAGAGGAGGGCACTGAACAAGAAACCAATATATTGTACTAATCTCATATACCTTCTTTAGAGACAGTTGCAGCATATACAGCGAATGTTAAATGAAAGAATCCACAGCCCCTCCTAAGCCACTATTCCTGCCGCGTTTTCTTCACCTTCACTAACAGTGGGAAGAACCTTGAATGGTGGTGACAAGACCCCTGTTGCGAGGGAAAGACGGATACAGGTTGACGAAATGAGAACAGATGGAGCGAATAGATATGGTTACGAGGCTTGATTCGAGAAGGTATGTGTAGTGACTGACCTTCATTTGGAGGGGCAATGCCAGGAATGTTCTCACGATGTAAATGCAAAAAGCCTATCTGCAATCTTGGTTCGGCAGATTGGACACTCCGAACAAGCAAGGGAACAGGATTTACACACTGCAAAAATGAGCCAAAATGGCGCGGGCATAATGATGTTTCGGAGTAGGAGAAGAAGAATACATATGTGGGAGGAGGAGAAGGGAGGAAAAGTTTACTCACAACAAAAATGTCGGCATGGAAGAAGAATGGCTGCTGTAGCTGATTCGAAACACACTTTACATATATGTGAATTGGCGTCTCCATTTCCATTGTGTTTGAGTTCTTTTTCTTTCATCTCTTGCATCCGTGCCTGGTTAAGGGAATTGCAACGAAACCATCAGAACAGTTGGCGTTAAATTATCAACGTAGGGAAGGCAGAGATGCAAAGCCCAATAAGAGAGGTGGAAGCGAAATAACAACATTCTTGTGGTTTGGTTCTTACCTTCAAACGAAGAACCAACGGCTCTTCCTTTTGCACGTCATTAGCGGGTTTTGAATCGTCAATTACTTGTCTTTCTTTCAGGACAGAACCATCATCAAACCCATTCGACTCTGGCTCGCCCATACGATTTTCCATGTCGATGGGCCTCTCGTCTGTTCTCAACTCGGGGGCATTTCCTCCATCCTTCTTCAACTTGGCAACAAGCACCCACATGTTTGCCAAGTCATTTTCCAGGGATTCTTCCCTTCGTTTTGCTTCGTCTACCATTTTCCTGTATTCGTCTTCTAAGATGTCCTTCTCAGCTAAGGCAGCCTCAAGAGCTGCTTCTCGCTGCTTCCTTGCCTGCAATTCCATCCTCATATCATTAGGATCAAGATCCCATGAATCAAAGTCATCCGAGTGATTTGGCCCCCTGCCGGAGGAGAACCGCCCTTTCCTCCCTGATCTTAATCCGTTACGGCCTCCACCATTTTGTGCAGCAGCGCCTCTAGAATGCAATGACTCACGAGCAGCCAACAATTCCTTTTCTAATTTTGCGTTCTGCAAAGATAATTTAGTAACTTCACTAGCCAAATTTTTTAGTTCTACTGCTGCAGCAGATGCCAGTTCTTTGGCATAAGAAGCTTCTTCAGCAAGCTTCTGGTTTTGGACACGTAACCCACTGTTGTCCTCTGAAAGCTGAACCTGTTCTATCTTTAGCCTTTCATTTGCAATCTCCTACTCAAAGAAACAAGAACGTAAATATGAGTAAACTACATTTAGGGTTTTAACCAATGCTGTTAATTATTCAGTGATTTGAATTGTCACAATGAATGGACAGTGTACTTGCATTATCCACTGTGATTTGAATTACCTGTGACTGGATTTTCTTCTTCAATTCATCAACAAATTCTTCAGGCACAGATTGACTAGAAGGTAGTGATGATTTATCACCAGCTAGGGATGCCAAATGCTGCTCAAGAAGATTCACCTTCTCTTGCAATTCCTTGTTCTCCAAACACTGCTAACAATAATTAAGTATATCTACTATTAGCTCTCAGATCTTGCAGAAAGCCATGCACAAAACCATGAGGTCTGTAAGTGGTACTGATTGAGATAGGACTCTTGACTCAGTCACTTAAAATTTTGCAGATAAAAAAAGATAATATGTCACTAAGGACTAAAGATACTTCAAAGATAATGAGTCACAAAGTAGTAAAGATGAACTTCACCTTATTCTGCAATTGCTCCTGGAGGATGCGGTTGTCCGCTGATTTTATCTGCATAAATTGACAAATCATTAACCCACAAATGAAAAGAAGATACCATTTTTACAATGAAGGAAACAATCAACTTCAACTTCAACATTCAAGATAAACCAAATTGATAACTAATGTTTGTTCATGTGCAACAAAAGTTCTCACCTCAAGCTCAAAGGCCTTTTCATTATGCTGAGTCATCAATCGCATGACAGTCTGTTGCATCACAGGTAACAGATACAATCAAATTATTGTATATTGCCGGATAAGAGGAATTACATAATGGAGAAAATCAAGCAGTAGGGAACTAGTAAAATTACCTGCTGCATGTCAATCAATGATCCATTGGCAATTGAAGCCTCACCACTCTCGATAATGCGCTGTTCTAAGGCTCTCATTTGCCGTCTCTTTTCTTGGATCTCATTTTCCAAGTTCTGGATCTGTAATTTAGACAAACTAGGATTAACACACATAGGACTATTGGACAATCATAAACATCTAGAGTCAAACAGCACCAAGTAACATGACATGTGGAGTAATGCCTATTAGAATGCTTGATTTAAAAGCTGATCAACAACACATGCACAATGCAAGAGCGTAAAAAAACTAGAAGTCACTAATAGAGAAGTAAGATGAACCACAATGCGCAGCCAATAACTGGAAAAACACGAACCACATGAAGCAATGTATAAGCTGATTATATATTCACGTTACAAATCCAGACTCAATAATACAAACAAGAACTGGAGAATGGCACAAAAGGTAAAGCACAACCGTTTAGAACATTGGAAATGAATGTCCTAACACTTCATTCCACAAAAACAGAGAGGAATGGGATGATAGTTTCATCGATATCCACCACAATGAAATAATAACATTATCTTAAACTTACAAAACATATTCTAAGAGTAGGATTTAGAAGATTGTAATCAAAGCATACTTGAAATTTTGAGTTTTCAGGATCAGTCACTGATTGCTCCACTAAGCGCTTCAAAGTGCTTGTACTTAGTGCAATCTCTCCAGCAAGCATCTTGACCTGCTCAACTAGAAGGTCCATCTGATCTTGAGTCAGTTCCTGAAAGAAAATAAGAAAATTCCTGATTATAAATTTAAGTTTTGCCGTTTAGGAAATATAACTATCAAGTGTGCCAATAGAAAAGAAATGGTACCGAAGATCACAAGAAAGTTATAGATATCTACGAACCCAGGACAAGTTCCAAGAAAATATTCGAAAATAAAAAACATTTTGCTCCAAAGCTGACAATACGCCCACATTGTCTTTAGGTAAAAGGCTCATGTGTTGGCCCTAAGGTAGGAACCCGGAATGTGGTCGAGATTATCATCCCCACACTACCACTAGCTGAACCCCTAAGGCCTATTAGAATGCTTGATTTAAAAGCTGCTTCGCCATTGGGTTAATGACAGCAAGTAGGCTGAATGTCAACTTTAAATAGCATGACCAACAAACAATAACACTATTAGAAAGTCTTGGAATAAAACAAGTAGAACATACTGTTGCAAATTTTGAAGAACTCATACGTTCACCACCAGTTGATTCAGTAACCGTGCTGCAGCCAGGAGAAAGCTCTTCATTCCACTTGCTGGACGATCTTCTAAGCTTGGATTCATGAGATAGATCCGAAGACATTGCATTCACTGAAGATGGTGAATCCTTGTTCTGACAGTCCAAGAGTAAAGTGCCATCTCGCAGAACATCCAGTTTCTGGCAATAAAAAACATCAAAGCAAGTCTTACACTCCATACTAAGAAGAGACAATGATAAAGGACGGCCAGTACTACAAACGTGAAGTTTAATATTCTCAGTTCATTGCAAACAACATCATCTATGAGTGACCAACTGCAACTAAAAGCGAATATAGCTCAGCTTTGCTTGTCAAATATCATATTCCAGAACACAGCTGACAAGCATACATCTCAGGCATGAGGCATGAATGGCACGAAAAAACGAAAAAAAAGAAGAAAAAAAAAAGATGGAATGTGCAACTCACCACCCTGGAAAACCAACCCCGAAAGAATATAAAGAGTAATGTTCATTATGATTCCCACGTTAATGAGAATCGGACAACGATTAGTTTACTACCTTAAAACCCAGGATTGTCAAGATAAGACATACGAATTGCACAGAAAACTTTGCATTCAACCCTTTTGGTCACTTCACCAATTCAAACTTAAATGATTGGAAAAAAGAAAAAGAACATAGCTTGACAGATTAGGAAGCAAAACATACATCATCTGATAGACTCCGGTGATGAACTGGAACATCCCCCAATCCCGGAATGGAGTTCTTTGTAGAAACCAGAATTAACTTGGTTAACCTCTGGATTCTACTCATGAGAGCGGCCTTCGCTTCCTCCTCTTCTTCCAATCTGGATTGCATCTTTACTTGTCCTTCTTCCAACTATAAGAAAAGCATATGCTGATAAGGCAACCAAAGGACAGCAGCAACAATTGCGGAAGAGTGAAAACCTAAGACACTAAGGATTTAAATACCTTTTGTTTTAAGCTCAGGATCTCCTCATGACTTACACCAACGAGCATCCCACTTCTTAACTGATCAAGTTCCTCTTTGAGAGTTGAAATTTCTCTCTGGTACTTCTTAATTAGAGACTTCTCATCAATAATCTGAAGGCAGAATTGTTTAAACCAGCACATGAGTCAGCTACCTTACAAATGGTGATTTCATCACAAGTTCTGATGGCCACACATATCATGTGCAAAATTAAAATACCTTGTTACGTGACGCATAGATCTCCACACGCTTTGCCCTGCTAGCAAACTTCAACGTGTTGTGAGTTTCCTCCAAGTTACTAGATGCTGGAGTAATTGTACAAATAAGCTGGAGAACAATTCATGAAGCTAATATGTCAAAAGGCATGGAACTTCGGCTCAACAAAGACAACTGCAAGAACAAGGTCTGCAGGTATATCACTGTTCAAAACAGCATAATTGTGCTTCAGACTCACTGAAACATGTCCGTGCCCACTTAGCGAAGACTGCAAGAGGCGGGTGAGCTTGGAATCTCGATATGGAACATGAGATGCTCTTCCTTCACTCAGCTTTCCTATTACCTGCACATTTTATTGATAATTACAATCAGAGACTTCATGAAAATACAACCATAATGGTCTGCAGAGGCCAAGGACATACATATCGTCAACAAAAGCAATTGCCAGATATAACTCCGACAATGTTATAAAGGTGGAAAGCAGTGCTCCAAATCATCAACCTGAGCTGATGATCTCTTAACTGAGTGAACAATAGTGTTTACTATTGCCAAATTTTGAATAATCATACAAACCTACAGTTGGTGAAATTCATTTACATGCATATGCAGATTCATACTCAATTAACAATGCAGGTAGAAAGAGTAGCATAAGTACGTAAGAGAATTTAGTAACATACAGTTCCAAGAGTAAGAAGACTTTTATTAATGTAGGCTCCTTCTTTTCTCCTCAGCCCCGTTGTCTCAGTTTTTGAGCTCTCAGATCCAGCAAGATCAATCAAGTTCTGTTCAAGGGGAAGGCAAATACAGAAAGATGACATATGCAACTAGAAGATTATTGCAAGCTTGGGTGCCATTTGCATCCATTTACCAAAAAAATATGGTTGCATCACGTGCCATTACAATCATGGTAATACAACTTACAAGTTGAGAGAAAACCACACCATCATACTCATCTCCATGGGCACTGCTTTCAATCATCTGCAAACGCAAAAACAGTTTCGATAACCTCAGTTTAGCTACTTACTCAGTAAGAATTGGGCTACCACATAAAATATCGAAAACCTCAGTTTAAAGGCCAATATGACACAGTAAAGTGAAGTGAGGTTAAACCCAGCCACTTTACAGTGCTCATATTGCAGATCATGGGAGATGAATTTGCATAGGCAGGTTAAGGGAATTATCCTTGATGCTTTAGCAACAACAACACTAAAGTATACAGCTAATTATTGAAAAGTGAAAACTATTACCAGCCTCTAAAGTCTAAAGCAGTCAATACGGAACTAATTTCCTGTTGCAATGCACTAACAATTATGGGCTTGGGGAAAATATAACCAGAATACTTACCAGTGTGAATATGGTGTGACTTCGGCTACTCAACAGATTGAAATTATTTGAACCTACATGGCGATGTTCTGCAATCACCAGAAATCAATTAAAATTAGCAGTAAGATACTTGCAGAATAGAGTACACAGATACACCTGAGAGCCACCACCATAGTATACCTTCTCCGGCAGCAATGAAGGACAGTGCATGTCCTGGAGACAAAACAACTTCTTCCTTTATACCCTCAACATAAGTACCCTGGAAAATATGGAGGCTGAAGTGAGTGGAAAACTCCATGACAAACATCATTTTGAACAATGTACGTGAAAAGACAAAGTCAACAGGATCATTTGCTCTGAAACCTTCATCCAACAGTTTACAGAAATTTCACCCCCTAACAAACTGTTCTCATTTCAGGAGAAGAGAAGGGATAAGGACATTAGAGCAGCCAAGAGCAGATGAATTTTCAGATAAGTATGTAGCCTGTAGGTACAATAAGCAAAATACCTGTGCATCTTCTCTAACACGCAAATTTTGGCCCGTTGGATCAAGTAAGTCATTAATAACCTGACATGGGCAGTAAATAATGATCCAATTAAGAAAACACTCGATATGCAGAGATGATGACTACCAGAAAGAACAATAATAATCTAGTCATCATGTGATAGTGCTGAGTAGGCTAAAAGCTAGAATAAATTTACAGAACTAAACTGAGCACAAACAAAGATGATAAAGAGTCTACATAACAGCATTCCAGTAGTAATGAGTCGGAAGTATTTGACTGACCTCATTGTAAATTTCGAGATATGAAACCCGCAGCAAAAATTCTCTTCCTGGAGTCTGAAGAAACCAATTAAACGAATAATCCATCCCTGACCAACCAGTCGATTCTCATAAAAGATACCAGCAACAGAAAGCACTAGCTAACAAAATCACCACCAAGATCACCTATTGTAGTCGCTGGTTCACATGTATCACTAAAGATGATATTCTTGAGGAATTAGAATCTCACAGATCACTTATGTTTTTACAAGCACTCGCAATCATTCAATGATACATCCCTGACCAACCAGTCGATTCTCATAAATGATACCAGTAACAGAAAGCACTAGCTAAACACAATCACCACCAAGATCATCTAGTGTAGTAACCGGTTCACATATGTCACTAAAACTGATATGCCTGAGGCAATTAGAATCTCACAGATTACTTATGTTTTTAGAAATCATTAAATTAGCATTATCTCCATCAGAAACAACAGGCACCAGTAATTGAATCAGCTAAGATACAGAACACAATGTCATCCCATATCTTCAGGTTGCAGTTAAACAGTCTAATTCAAGCCATTACTAATACAGTAATAGGACAACTTACATCTTGGATCATGCTGAAAACGTCCTTAATTGCCAAAGGTATAATACCAGGAGCACTTTGATCTCCCTGCACATATCAACATAAGGGCAAGCCATCACCGAGAAAAGTCAGTAACTATGCAAACGCAGCCGCTCACTAAAAGAAAACTCAGCATAGCACAGGATTCTCCTCCTCTCAAGCAAAATTTGCACCCAATCGCTTCCGACTGAAGACGAGATAATGGCCATGACACTCGATGCAAGCAATTTATAAGCTCAATCGTCAACCTTATTCTCAACAATTCATTCTGTTTCCAATATCAACCTTATTCTCAACAATTCATTCTGCACTATAAGCTCAATCATCAACACCTTAATCTCAATTCTCAACAATTCATTCTGTTTCCATTGAGAAAGTATCAACGAACAACTCAGTAGAACCAGAAGTAACAACTTACATGCATAGTGAAAGTCTTTCCACTACTTGTAACACCATAGGCAAAGACGGTTCCTGGAAAAACATTGTAAGAGATGGAGAGTCAAAAACACACTACATTGCCCTCAAAGCTCAACTGAACTACCGTAACCTAATTGCCACTTCACTAACTTCATATTCGAGCTACCTACCGTTGACTCCTTCCATTGCAGCCTTGACCACTGGTTTTGCAGCTACATCATACACGTCCTGAGTGATTGTATGCGGTCCAAATACTTTATCTGCGCGATTGCAAATCCAGTATTAGCATCTCCAATCTACTCCGTTCTATCAATTACAGAGAATCACCGGAAACCAAACAACGGAAATGAATTCTCGTAATACCGAATGCATATGCGGAGGCTGGATTATACTCGTTCCTAACGATCTTATCTCCATCGGCGTACCAAGCAATCTCATCGCCTTTCTGAAACTCCCTCTCGCTGTAACAAAAAATGGAAGGAGAGAGACAGAGAACCGCAATCAATCACATTAACTAGAATACTAAACAGAAAAGGCAAAGTAGATCGATCCGATCCGATCCAATCCACTCCACTCCACTAAGATCTACCGTTTTTTTACCTCAACGGCCTGAACCGAATCGTCACCGCTATACTCTCACCGGCACCGCTCCTGGGAGCATCAATCGACTCAGCAGCCAAGAGCTCGTCGGAGCCGTAACCAACCGGCGTCCGACTTCCACCATAACCGCCGCGCGAGCTACTGCCTAAGTACATTGAATCCGACATCGACCGACTGGGAGTCGTGGATCGGGCGCCGCCGCTGTAACCACCACCACTTCCGCCGCCGTTGTAGTAAGAAGAAGCCGAGGACGAGCAGGAGCGGGGCATGAGCCGGTTGCTGCTGCTGATGTACGACGAGGCCGAGGAAGTGGAAGAGTAAGGACTGGGAGAAGCAGGCTTGCGGTGTGAGAATGGCGAGCTGCTCCTTGCGCGGGAGGACGATGCCATACGCAGCTCTCAAATCCCTAGGTTCCCCCCCTCTCCTCTCTCTTTCACTCTGTGTCTCGCACTCGCAACCAACTCGCTGAGTCGAGTGGAATGAGGACCCGAGTAGGTCGAGGAAGGAAGCGTAAAGAGGGATTGCAATGGCGGAAAAGAATGTGTCAGTGAAGTCACATGGCGCTGTAATGGAAAGCGAAATACATGGTGGACATTATTGTTTTTTCCAATTAACTACGCTCCGATAAGCAGCCTGAGAAGGAGATGGAAGGCGGAGAAGAGGAAGAAGGAGGAGGAGGAGAGAGAATCTTCCTTCTTCTTTAAGACAAAGGAGTTGCAGAGAAATGGGGAAGCAGAAAGGGGAATTGAGAAAGAAGGGACTTTTGAGTGTGTTTTTTGAGGTTTTGTTTTATTATTGCTATTATTATTTGGAGGAAAAAAAGTAATTATTGAGCTTCTTGATTTGAAAAGTTTTATTGGTCCTTCGAATTCTGCCCAGATAAAGATCTGATTCCGCTAGTTTTCGATCCGTCCAAAGCCATCCTTGCGTGGCTAGAAATAACTTCTGCGAAATATAACCACTAAAATCTGGAAAATAAAACAAAAGAGGACTTTGTAAGTCAAAAAGAGCAGCTCAAATACAAAAACAATTGCCCGTATAACAAACCTCACTGTGTCGACTCATTTGCTAAACTAGTTCCTTTGAAACTCTTGAAGATGAAGGTCGAATTGATTTAAAATTTTGGTTACATCAGTTTTTGCCCGTGCGGGACGAAGCAACAGAAGTTTTGAGAGTTCAAGAAATTAATAATCACAAATTTATGGTTTAACTTATGATTCAATTATATACGGGGAATTTCAGTGTGAAAACAAGCGTGTTCATTTACAATACGATATTGATTTGGATAACCTGAATTGAGTATTTCAGGTTAATATTTATTTATCTTTCAACCCAAACAAATCTTTATAATCTTGTGATTTTTTAATTATAGGAAATAAATAAGAGTGTACTAGTTACACACCAAGTAATATCGTTAAATTTACCGAACCCACGTGAGTAAAAAATGACTCTATTCATGGATTATGGGCTAACTTATAGCATTTTCCGGTTGTTTTTTCTTTTCTTCTTCTATTAGCTAGTGCATTAATTTAAAAAATAGAAGGGTTACAGAGCTAAAGTCTCGCGTGATAGGTGATATCACAAATAGAAAATCAAACTATTTAAGAGATTTTACAGAACTGAATGAACAAACCACCAAATTGACGAACATGACAGAAAGAACTTTGCCATGGGTAGGAATGGTAACTAAAGGGATCAAATTGTAAGTATACATAATCTAAGGAATGAGTATCCTCTATCGGAACACACTGATTGATAATTGAATATTTTGAAGTAATAATCGCCTTTTCTTGGGTTATTTTCAGGAATATTGTTTTTTTTTTTTAATTTACCACGAATATAGTGGTTTTAAAACTATTTACAGGAATATTGTGTTTTTTGATATGTTGAAAGCGCCGAAGCTCCAGTCCGGGGCGCCGGCGCTAGGTGCTTTTTAAAAAAAAAAACTCGGCGCCGGCGCCCCGGACTGGGGCTTTGGCGCTTTGGAGATAGAAAAAGCGTCGGCGCCCCAGACTGGGGCTTCGTCGCTGCCATTTTTTCCCACTCCAGCACCTCCCATTCCATTATATATACTGCACCTTTCCTTCGGTTCTTCATCACCAAAAAACTGAAAGAAGTTCTGAGAGAAGCTCTGGTGTTGCTGTCTGGTTGCTGGGAAGATGGCTGATAACAGGTAAGAGTCGTAATTTTTTTTTTCCATGTATTCATCATAATGATTTTGTCCAATTAGTAATTAGAGTTTGTTTTTAATGTAGTGGTTTTAGGAGATTTGAACTAGCTGTTCGGTGGCGATCAGAGAAAGTAGAAGACAATTTGGGTGTCCATTTTGTTGGTGGTTTAAGTTTCCAGATTACTATTCCATCCAGGGTGAACTATCAGAAACTTTGTGATCATCTAATTCGGAGAATACGGATTAGAGACGAAACAGTACAAGATAGTGTTGTGATTACAGGTTTCACCTACTGTCTTCCAGAATGGCAAAATGGTGTTTTATTTCATCATGCAATGCCTATTGTCGATGATGATAGCTTAAATGTGCTTTGGAATTTTATGGCACAAAATTCTTATTGTTTGGGTGCTGAGATACATGCTGAGCTCAGTGAGGATCGGGATGGAGAGGAAGACGATGATGACGGTGATGATACATGGAGCGTGCCATCCGATCCTGCCTTTGATGACGATGATGACGAAGAGGAGGAAGATGAGGAGGAGGAGGAAGACGAGGAGGAGGAGGAGGACGACGACGACGGGGAGGGAGGAGAACTACCTAATTATCCTCCATATTTTTACTTGCAGGGTAATGAAGAGGACGAGGAATTATCATATGCTGATTCATATGGCGTAATTCCAGGGTCTACTGTTGGTGGTTTTGATGGAGAATTCTACAAGGGGCAGATATTTCACTCGAAACAAGCTGCACAGGTGGCGATTAAGCACTATGCACTACAACGCAACTTTCAGTATAACGTGGTGGAGTCGTCACCTTCAATCTGGAAGATCAGATGTTTGATGCACAAGGAGGACAAATGTCCTTGGATGGTGCGGTTTGGATGTCGAGATGTGGGAGGCGATTGGAGCGTGAGAAAGGTCGAGTTGGTGCATACTTGTAGCAGTACGACTCAACCGACGGATCATCGCCATCTTGATGTCGACGTGATATCTGAGGCCGTCAAACATTTGGTACGTGCCCAACCAAATCTGAGTGTTCTAACTGTGCAAGCCGAGTTGAAAGATAAGTTTAATATGCAAGTTACTTACAAGAAGGCTTGGTATGGGAAACAAAGAGCATTGGAGAAGTTGCATGGAAATTGGGAAGAATCCTATGATTTTTTGCAGACATTCTTGCGGGTGGTCAAGAGAAAAATGCCAACATCGGTGATTGATTGGGTAAGAGTTCCTTCGACTCAACCAGGTCATTCGATATTTCAGCGAGTATTTTGGGCTTATGGACCTTGTATAGATGGATTCAAGTATTGTCCAGGCGTCATTGTTGTTGATGGGACATTTCTTACTGGGAAGTATAAAGGAGTGCTACTCATGGCGAGCTCATTTGATGGCCGGAAGAAGATTTTTCCAATTGCATTTGCCATAGTGGAGAGTGAGAATACTGATAGTTGGCCATGGTTCATACGTCACGTTCAGGGTTTGACTGATCGAAATGATGTATGCATCATCTCAGATAGACATGCAGGACTCTATGAAGCCATGAATAACATCGGAAGAGGTTGGGAGTGGAGGTGGTGCATGCGACACTATGCAAGCAATTTGCAAAGGAAGACTAAAAGCAGAATTATGTATAAGCAACTATTTCGAGTCGGTAAGCCTTCTTCATTTAATTTTGTTATTTATTTTTAGGTAAGTTTGTCATGAATTTATCTAACCCGTGTGGTTGATTATTTTGTTAGCCGGAGAAAAACGCTTGGAGAAGTTCGATCGTCAAGTTGAGCAATTTAAGAAGGTGGCCACTGATAGAAATATTTCATGTGATAACTGGGTGGACCAACATCAGATTCGTTGGAGTTTAGCACATGATAACTTCAATGGTGGGCGTCGTTGGTCTATCCTGACATCCAACATGGCAGAAAGCATCAATGGTGTTTTCAAAGGTATTCGTGCACTTCCTATAGCTTCTCTTGTGCAACATACCTATTGGCGATTGGTGGAGAAATTCGATAAGTACAGGTTGGAGACAGGAGCAGAAATTAGGAGTGGTCCTTCACAGTACTCCACCAAGTGCGAAGAACTGATGAAGCCGTGGTCACAAAAGGCAGTTGGGCATTCTGTGACAGCTCTTGATCGAAGTCAAGGCATCTATGTAGTTCAGACTCCCCCCAACAATTTAAACATGACGGGGTCAAACACACTCACAGTGCACTTTGACGACCACAACCGGACGGGATTTTGCACTTGTGGGAAATTTCAAGGAAATAAAATTCCTTGCTCTCATGCCATTGCAGCTTGCAACCGAATGGGAGCCCATCCATATAGGTTTGTAAACGACGTCTACAAGCTTCGAACAGTGCTTGCTTGTTATGGAACAAGTTTCTCTCCTCTTGGTGAACCTAAGGGTTGGAAGAAGCATAATGACACTACTCTCCATCCTAATCTGGACATGATTAGAAAGCCGGGGAGACCAAGATCAACACGAATTCACAACGAGATGGATTGGCCAAGGGAGGGTTCATCACAGCAAGTGTGTAGCAACTGTAACCAAGCGGGACATAATGCATCAACCTGTGGTGGCCAAGCAAGTGGGAGTGGGAGCAACCGAAGAGGGAGTGGTGGCCAACGAAGTGCGAGAGGTGGTAGAAGAGGAGGAAGTAGAGGGAATAGACGTGGCTGAGAAGTTTGTTTGAATGTAGCAGTTGTTGTTTTTCTTTCGATTTATCTCGTTGAAGTTGTTGTTTGGACTTGTTGTTGTTTGGACTTGTTGTTGTTTGAAGTTGTTGTTTTTTGGAGTTGTTGTTGTTTGAAGCAGTTGTTGTTTGGACTTTTATGAACTGAACTAGCTTTTGGAATTTGTTGGTTTTATATTTAAAGTCTCAATTTAGACAACAACAATAACATGAATTAGTCCGCATGAAATTAAAAATAGTCCAAAAAATAAGTACATAATAATAAATAGTCTCAAGAACGAAAGTACATAATAATAATTCATAGTCATAAAGAACATAATAATAATAGATATCTCAACATAGTACATAAATACACTAACGACCACCACGACCACCGCGCCGACCACCACGACGACCACCGTGCTCTGCCACTAGATGGCCGCCAGTACCACACCTCGCTGGCCTCCTGTCTCGTGGAGGCAACTGCTCAGCTCTCTCCGCCCCATCATCCTGATCCTGTGTGCCGAACATATCATCCACCTGGGACTGAACCTGCTCATCCGGTGGACCCTCTCGTCGCTGCTGCTCATATGCCCAATGAGATGTCTGGAAGTCCTGATCCTGCATCTGCAGATCGACACGCTCCCACTCGTCGACGTCCAAATGTGGCAGGACTGTACTACCTGATCCCATGTGCCCTCCTCCCATCGTAGCATGCTGAGGTGTGTGAAAGCTATCCTCCTGGGCCTGAAACTGAGGGCTAGAAGAACTGGTGCCTGCCTGAAATCCGGTAGAAGCGCCTGGCCGTAACGGTGGCTGAGAAGGCTGGTGGAATGTGAAGGTCGAAGTAGGTCTGACTGGCTGACGATCTGAGTACCTCACTCCACGAGGTACGTCACCCTGCTCACGTCGCTGTCTCCTCCTCCTGGGCTCCTCTATGAACTGTGG